CCTTAATATAATATTATATTTTAAGATCTCTATAATATCTAAAGAGAGAGTATAGTTTATACTTTAAATAAATATAAGAAGTTATATAGTTTCTTAATCTACTACTCTATAACTATACTTAATAGCTTCTCCTTCTATATTTATAAGTTAGTAGAGCTTATTTTCCTTTTTTTAAAATAATTATAATTTATTAATAAGTTTTAGTAAAATATAGTTTCTTTATACTCTACTATTAATTATTACCTAGATTAGTCTTCCTTTAATAAGAATATTAACTATAAAGTATATAGTACTATTAATATTTATAGTATATAAAGACCTATTAGATCCTTATTAATAAATTAGTCCTAATAGTAATAATAGTTATTATTTTTTAATCTTTTAACTTTTCTTTTAGTTACTTATTCTAATAACTATTTATCCTATTAGTATTAGTCTATTCTTCTCTTTATATATTCTTCTTAGTACTTATATTAGTAATAGTCTTCTAACTATTCTATAAGAGTTAGACTATAATCTAGTTACTTACCCTTTATATTAATTAAACTTAGACTAAGTGAGTCTCTCTTTATTATATAGTTTCCTCTAGTCTTATATTATAAGATTATAGTATAGATAGTATATAGGTTTTTATCCTTAATATAGTAACCTTCTTTATTTTTCTAAAAGATAAGTTTTAAAGTGTATTTCCTCTAAATTATCTAGTAATAGAAGTGGGTTTCTAGATAAAGTTTATAGTCTAGAAAGTATAGCTAACTTAGGAACCACCTATATTTAAGTTTCTTCTAAAAGTACTATTTATAATTATTATAGTAATATAAGGCCTATAAGATTATAGTATACTCTTAGTATAATATATTTATTATAGGGTGCTTCTTTATATAGTAGATTTCTCTTACTACTAGTTAGTATAGTAAGTTAAAGAGTATAGTTAGGTTAAATATATTTATTCTCTAAAGGGTAACTATAATAGGTTCTAGTCCTTCTTTTCTTATAGTGCTTTCTAGTGTATAGGTAGGTCCTTTCTCTAGAGTAGTAGGAATACACTTAGTGTCTTACTATATTCCTAGTTCTAGGGTAGACGTATATACTAGTGGCTAGGTTCTATATTCTTAATCCTCTTCTTTAGGTAAAGACAATAGTTATATTCTAAAGTTCTAGTCTTCGTCTAATATAGGTTTATTATAATAAGCCTATTTATTAGTATTAGAGAAGTATTCTTTACTATTAGCTATACTAATATTATAGGTAGGTATATCTTTATAATTTACTATATTAAGTTTCTTTCCTTCTCCTATAGGCTTCTATTATTTCTTTAGAGCCTAATACTTATTTATAAAGTGTCCTTTCTTACTATAGTTATAGTAAGTTTTAGTCTTTTCTTTATTTATAGTATTAAGTTCTATTAGTCCTATATAGTGACTATAAGTAGTAGAAGTTTATTATAGCTTACTAGTGTTTAGTTTATTCTTATTAGGTCCTATATAGTCTTAATAGCTTATTCCTCCCCTCTTTTCTTAATGTTATTTATAGAGGCGATTATTAGCCTTAATAACTTATTTAATAAAGTTATTAAATAAGGCTAGTTAATCTAATTAGTAGATATTATCCTTAACCTCTTCCTTTAATCCTTAATAGAAGATTTCTATTATAGCCTTATTACCCTAACTAAGCTTAACTATAATCCACTTAAATTCTTATATATAGTATATAGTAGATCTAGTCTATCTAAGATAAGTAAGTTATTAGGTGGCTTCTTTATATTTATCTAGATTACTAAAGGCGCTTAGGAGTCTTTCTTTAAAGGTCTTATAGTCTAAAAAAACATATACTATATTAGCTCTAGCTTTAGCACTATACCTAAAGTATGCCTATAGTGTAGGTTCCTACTATTCTATAGCCTTTCTAGTTAAGAGGTTATTAATATAGAGGATCTTATCCTTAGTAGTAGTAAGAGTACCCTTATTAACTTAAAGGTAAGTATTAGCTTATATAAAGAAGCCCCTTATATTACCCTTATACCTATTATAGGTTTCTAGTTTTAAGAACTTAGGCTTTCTACTTCTTTCTTTCTTAAGCTATTCTATAAACTAATCTTTTTTTTTATCTAACTTATTAATTTCACTCTAGTGTCTATTAGTACACTTCTAGAGTTCTTTATTATCTTTCTTAAGTTATTTAACTCTTACTAAGAGTTTCTAAAGGGTTTTAAAGGTGTTACTAGTAGGTCCACTTATAGTTAATATCTTAGTTATCTACTTAAGGTTTCTTATAGTAACTCACTAAATAGGACTAATTAAAATATAATAGTAGCTTAATTCTAATCTATAGTATATCTATTTCTTAAGTAGAGAGTTAGATAAGTATATATAGAGTATATATAAGTAAATATTATAGCTTAAGTTATATTAGGAGGTTACTCCTAATAGTAGAACTATTACTTAGATTAATTAGTAGAGATCTAGTCTAGCTATTTACTAGAAATCCCCTTCTTTATATATCTATCCTATCTTCTACTGTGTTACCTAGATCACTTAGCTTACCCTATAATCCTAGTGATCCTAGATTAATGCTAGATTACTATGCTCCCTAGTAATCCAGTCACGTGACTAGTTCCTTTGTTCCTCGTAAGCGCCCTATAGTCACTTCTTCAGGCCGCCCTACCCCTCATCTATAGCACCTTAGTGTATTTATAACACTTTCTTTATTAAGTATAGTAAATTTTTTATTTATAAAGTTCTTCTTTTTTAATATTTTATTAAAAGAGTCTTTTATTTTAACTATATTATAAAGTTCTTTTTCTTTATTTAATAGTAACTAGGTTCTAAAGTCCTAGTCCTTCTTAGAATATATACTCTATTCTTCTTAATAGTTAGTATTTAAAAAGTATTCTTTACTATTAACTATATTAATATTATAAGTTAATAAGTCTTTATAGTTTATTATATTTATTTTATAGTTTTCTTTTACTAGCTTCTATTATTTCTTAAGTACTTTATATATATTTATAAAGTATTCTAACTTCCTATAGTTATAATAAGTCTTCTTTTTTTACTTAAAAGAATTTTTTTTATATATTATATTAAGTTCTATAGGGCCTAAATAAGTTCTATATACTATATATCCTCTAATATATCTTCTACTATTTAACTAGTAGTATAGTAACTAGGGGTTCTACTTACTTTATTCTCTATACTTAAGTTATTTAATATAGAGTTAATTATTAACCTTAATAATTTTACTAGTGAATTTATTAAAAGTATTAAATTAATTATCCTTTATAATTTTATCCTTTATATCCTCTTATAGAGTATTATAAAGTAGCTTTATTATACTATTATTATTCTATATAAAGTAGTTTAAAATACACTTAAATTCCTTTATAAAGTATTAAATAAACCTAGTCTACTTAAAAGCTTTAAGCTTATATATAGTAGTATATACTTTATTTAAGTCTCTTAATATAGTTTAAAGTAACTTCTTAAAGTATTTATATTATTTAAAAATTTATTTAGTCTTATCCTTAGGTTCTTTATTATTAAAGTAGTCCTTAAAAGTTAGCTTTTACTATTTTATTACTTTTCTTATAAAGAGGTTTTTAATATAAAGTATTTATATTATAAGGTTAATAATAGTAGTATTTATATATAAATAGACTTTTACTTAGATTAAGAAGTTTTAAATATCTCTTTTAGTTCTATTAAATAAGTTAGATTTAAAGAACTTTAATAAAGTTAGTTACTAGGAGTTTAGTAGAAAACAGCCCACTATAGATTATTACGGCTTCTATATAAAAGTTTTTAAAAAAGAATATTATTTATATTTAGTTATTATTATTTTATTTAAAGGATACTAAGTTAATAACTAAAGTATAAGTTAGTTAAGTCCTAAAGATGCCTTTAAACTTTAATATAATAGTAGTTTAATCCTAATCTATAGTTAGTCTACTTTTTAAGTAGAGAGTTAGTTTAAATATATAAGTGTATATAAGTAGTTATTATAGTATAAGTTATATTAGAAGATATCTTCTAATAGTAGAATTATTACTTAGGTTAATTAGTAGAGATCTAGATTATTTAACTATAAGAATACCTCCTCTTTAAGTACTTATCTACCTCTCTACTATAACTCTTAATAGCTAGATTATTTATTTATCTATTAATTATTCTAATTATAGTAATTAATAAGTGATTTATTAATTACTTTATAGGTTATATAACCTTATATTCTATTTAGGATACTAGTGTGTCTAACTTAGCTTAACTTACTTAGTCCTACCTATACATCCTATACATTTATAATATCTAGTACTAATCTAGGATCACTAGGATTATAAGGTGAGCTAAGTAATTTAAGTAATATAGTAGAGGATAGGATAGATATATAAAGAAGGGGATTTCTAGGAGATAGCTAGACTAGGTCTCTACTAATTAATCTAAGTAATAGTTTTACTATTAAGAATAACCTCCTAATATAACTTAAACACTATAATATCTACTTATATACACTCTATATATACTAACTCTCTACCTAAGAAATAAATATACTATAGACTAGGATTAGGTTATTATTATATTTATTTAAAAAATAGACCTACTATAGATTAGGATTAAACTACTATTATATTAAAGTTTAAAGGCATCTTTAGGACTTAACTAACTTATACTTTAGTTATTAACTTAGTATCCTTTAAATAAAATAATAATAACTAAATATAAATAATATTCTTTTTTAAAAACTTTTATATAGAAGCCGTAATAATCTATAGTGGGCTGTTTTCTACTAAACTCCTAGTAAACTTATTAATTATTTAGAAGCGTATAAACTTTAAATAGGCCACACACCATTCTACGTACAGTTTATTATTCATTCAATGGTTGCATCTATGTGATACTAAATGCCTTCGCCTGTTCTAAATCGTGCCTACCATTATCACTATTGCTAGATTCTCCTATATTAGTGATGAGTATATGAAGGACCACTATTATTAAGTAAACTAGCTACGACTTGTCAACACAGTTGCCAGTAGATCCACTGAGGTACTGTGTGGCTCCGCAGCACTTATAGGCTGACCAACTATCCCCAGCGAGGCAAGCATAATAGTTATTCTGGGTGAGGTCGCACACCTGCCCAGTCACCATCATGCCCACCGTCATGGCCACGAGCAGCTCCGCCTCCCACAGCAGCACGACGTCCTCGTCCGCCGGCAGCGGCGCCTGCTCCCCCGGCGCGAGCTCCTGGCGCATCCAGCCGTCCTCGACGACCGTCGGCCCGAGCGCCAGCCGCCGAAAGTAGCCGACCACGGCGTCGTCGGGCATCTCCACGGGCCGCAGGGCCAGGGAGCACGTGAACTAGCGGGTCACGCGCAGGGCGCTCGCGCTGGCCGCCGTCTTCGGCACCGCCTCGCCAGGGAGGCGTGAAATACCAGCTCCAGCTCCAGCGCCTTCGCACCGGACGGCGGCGCGTCGTCCGCGAGGGACCAGCCCGCGGCGTCGTGCTCCGGGTACACGTCGTGCTGCAGCACGTACCGCAGGAAGTTCTCGACGACGCCGACGGCGCGCGCGGTCGGGGCGGAGTCCACACCGACGAGCGGCGGGATCGACACGGAGAGGAAGCTGGCGGCGACGCCGGCAACGTCGACGGACTAGTGGCGGGCGTTGCCGTCCTAGAAGCGTGCGGCGGCACCCTCGTCGTCGTCGTCGGCGTCGCGGGCTTGCGGAATGAGCGAGCCGTCCTCGAGGTCCGGGTCGTTGAAGGGCGCGCCGTTGGTGTCGACGCTGCCGAGGAACATGTACTCGTGGAAGTAGGTGCTTAGCTTGGAGTCGAGGTGCCGCCGGGTGCGGAAGCGGTGGATGCAGCGAAGTATTCTAGGAGGTTCGTGTTAGCCGTGGACGATGCAAGTTTAAGAAGGCACGCAGCAAACCTTCAAAGCCAGTCGCGGCGCTTCTCTTTCTCCCCGCGCGACTCCTCCTCCTCTTCCTCTTCTTCTTATCGGGAAAGTTGCCGTCGATATGGTCCAGCTCGAGGTCATCGGGCTTGTTGTTGGAATCCATGGCGGTGATTTCGTTTTGTTGCTAGATAAGTAACGTTGTGATGCGAGAAGATTGGACTTGGCGAGGGAGGGGAAGAAGAGAGAAAAATTATGCGTTGTGCAGGGCATTCGTGGTGGTGTTTTTATTAGCAAACGGCACACTGCATAAGAAACACGTCAAGGCAACACACCAACGCACCACAGCGCAGCACACCTCATAAATTCCAAGTGGCTGGAGTTGCACACTATGGTACTCATTGAGCAGCTATTACTGCCTGCTGTATGCATTACACGCTCGTCGTAGAGATGTACCGGACTGACTGCCCGTCTCCGGACTGACCAAGCAATCCTGTTCCATTGGGCATTACTAAGGAAGCCCAGCGACACCCTACATTCCCTCCCATACTGTCAACAGTCTGTATGTACGGCCCGGAATAACGCATCGCCTTTCTCTTCATGCCTAATTTCTCCTACGGACTTTTTATCGCCCACCTCGGCTCTGTTAGGACGCAGATCCTGTCCCGCCAGATGATTTATTTTAAAGCAACTCCGCAAGCAGCTCAGGTCGATTACTAGACCAGGGTCGCCACGGACTGTGCCATGTTGTGAAAAACTTTGTTATAGAATCTGTGCCGCTGAGGCTCTGACAAGTTCGAGAAGAAGAAAAAAATCTTAGTCACTTTATCTCGCCGCCCCGAATTTTCTGACACGTCGCAAATGGCCATATTCTCCGGAGATGGGGGCGCCCGTCTTGTCCGCTGCGGACTTGCCCCGAGCCGGCGGTTAACCTGACCGGCCTTTTGCAGAGCCGCCGTGGTCGATCGCGGCTTGGCCGCCAGTAGCAATGCTATATAGCTAGACGTTAGACTCGAGATGTATAGATAAAGAGCTCGTGGCCTGCCCGTCAAGCGATTCGAATATTTCTCAATAATTCTCGCGTTTCTTCTGCAACGACATGGCCGCCACAATGCTGTCCATCACCGCCCCCAAGTACACCAAACCCGACGGCTACGAGCTCACCCACGTTGCAAAGCCCGTCGTCTCACAGCCCTCCGACGTCCTCATCAGGGTGCACGCGGCGAGCATCAACCCCATTGACCTCAGAAAGGTTGACGGCATTTATAAGATGGCTCTCCAAGACACGTATGTCACACCATTCCGACCCCCCCCTCCCCCCTTCCGGCCTCTCCCAAGGAGGAGGTACTAACACGGGCGAGCCTTGCAGGTTCCCATACAAGATTGGCTACGACGCCGCCGGCGTGGTGGAGGAGGTCGGCAGCGGTGTCGCGTCGTTCAAGCCGGGCGACGAGGTCTACGTGCGCCTCCCAGAGGCCAGCAGAGGTATAGTGTTGCTGCATGGCATGACACCGCAGAGGTAACGATCGCTGATTTTTTTTTTGGGGCGTGGGTTAGGTGCGTGGGCAGAGTTCGCCTTGTGTCGCGAGCGCTTTGTCGCCCTCAAGCCCAAGAACTTGCCCTTTGACGAGGCCGCCTCGATACCGCTGGCGGCCATGACGGCGCTCCAGGCCCTGCGCGAGTACACGGGCTCGCTGGAGGGCAAGACAGTCTTTATCCCCGCTGCGTGTGAGTGATATACATGCACGCATCAGCGACAACATGTCGATCCTGGCACGTAGCTAACGCTGCGTAGTGAGTGGTACCGGCGCCTACGGCCTGCAGATTGCCAAGCACCTCTTCAAGGTGGGAAGGTTGATTACGACCGTGTCGACGAGCAAGGTGTCCAAGGTGCACCAGCTGCTCGGCATCAACGTGGTTGACCAGAGTACGCGCACCGCCACCCACCTTGTTCTGCTACTACGATGCTGATATATTTTCCTTGCCGCCCGCAGTCATCGACTACACCAAGGACGACCCCGTTAAGGCGATCCCGGCCGGGTCCGTCGACTTCATCTTCGACACCACCGGCGACGCGACCAAGCTCCTGCCGCTCCTCGTCAAGGGCACCGGGCTGGTCGTGTCAGTCGCGACCACCCCGTCGGCCGCGACGCTGCAGAACTCGAGCGTCATGGACGTGCCGGGGCGGCCCAGGGTGCCGCTCGCGGGCCGCCTCTTCCTCGACGCCACGGACCAGCTGCGCAAGCTCAAGGCGCGCTGCTACGGCGTCGAGTACAAGTTCCTCTCGCTGGACCCCAACGGCAAGGACCTCGCGGTGCTCCGGGACGCGGTGGAGCAGGGCCAGCTGCGGCCGGTGGTGGGCTGGCGCGTGGACTTCAAGGACATTGACAAGGTGCGCGAGGCGTGCTGGCAGACGTACAACGGCAAGGGCGGCCTAGGCAAGACGGTGTTTGTGGTGAAGAAGGACAGCTAGGAGTTAGTAGGGGGTACCGGGCGCGTAGCAGAGACGGGGATCTCGAAACTGTGTAGTTAGTAGTTTAGTAGTACTGTATTCATGTATGAGGCTTTGTTTTTTTTTTTGGCATTTTTCTTTTTCTCTTCGAAAGGTAAAATAATAAAAATAATCAATAATGCCAGATGATGCAGGACCTGGCCAAGACCAAATGCGGGCGTGACGCAAAGGGGCCCGGCTGGCCAAGGCAGATTGGTAGGCAGTTTTCAGGCGCATGCGCAGTGACCAGGAAGCAGTTCGGGATCGGCTTTGTTGTCCCCCTTCTGACACGGGCGGCCACGCTGGCAAACGTGGGGAACCGTAGGAGGAGAGAAGATGGGCAGGTCGGGCAGGCGGATCTCGAGGTGACGAGCTCTCCCTCCTCTCCCCTGCCAAAGACGTGGCCGTTGAGATGAGATGACCTTGGAGATGGTGGCTGAGATGGCACGCTGACGCGAAAGCGAGCTTTATCGGCGGCAAGGTGGCGGCAAGTCAGCCGGACTAGGCTGTTGGTCGTAGAGACAGTGTGCCTAGTGGGCAGGGCGGGTTTCGCACAGTACCACGGGTTTCGCAGGCTGCCTGTCTTGGCTGGGTTTATGCGCGCCCAAACGTGACTGTACGACTGCGTGGCGGCTTCCATATGCCTACATTTACAGGTGGAGGAGATGTGCGGATAATGCTAGCTAGATCACCACACATTCACCATGCATTAGAGTACTTACCTATGTTCGAAAACACCACGAAATACAACCTCAGCAACTCATCGTGGCCCCATCCCGCGACCTATTGTGGATAGTAGTAAACGGTACTACTAAGGCCACCATAGCCCTAGGTTAGGGCAGGCTAGAGCCTAACTCTATTATAATTACTTAGAATTACTTGGATTGTTTAATAGAGATCTAGACTATCTAGTATAAGAATACTTCCTCCTTAAGTACCTATCTATCTCTCTATTATTAGCCTAGATTACTAGCTTATACTAAGCCTATAATCCTTTATAGCTTACTAGATGATAGTATACTTATAATCCCTATATAGTTATAAACCTTTCTATCCTAATTAGTTACAGTATAGGCTCCTGCCTAGTCTTAGTTTAGGCCGCCTCCCTAGCCGCCTTGTACTGTTTTATTTATATATAATATACAATTTCTTTATTAAATAGAACTCTTAGTATTATTAGTGTCTATATATAGTTACTTATATTCTCTATTGATAGTATTAGTAGCTACCTTATAATAGGCCTTCTAGCTACTACTACTACTACTACTAGCTTTATTATAGTTAGCTTTATTATCGCTATCTTTATTATGGCCAGTATTAAGAGGATATAGCTTCTAGCTATAGTAGCCACCCTATATCAGGAGTTACAGTATATTATCTAGTGTATATAGGCTCCCCTATAAATCTTAGTGGGCTAATTACCCTCTATAGACTCGATTAGGATAGTTATATGTAATTCTATAAACGTCATGTATTAACTAAATCTCGGGCCTTAGAAATCGTTGTTTGTCAAAGGATCGGCGGCCACCTCCGCCCGGCGTGAGCCAAGACGCTTGTGTGGATAAGCATAATCAACGTTTAAACAATGGATCGCTGTGATAGGTGATTGACGGACCACTAGATGAAGAATTCCCATTGTCGTTGTCTTGGCCTGATCCTTTGTGGCAAGTGAGTTGGAGCAAATGCGCAGGACTGATTCAACTCACCAGTGACTGGGAATACCCTGGACATGCTCTCCGCGGATATAAACCCCGACACACGATTTCTCTCTGTAGGTACATAGGTAATTAGAGTCAACGAGTATTGTATTCCGAACAACAACAAAGTATGAGCGCTATCCCAACTCCTCCAGCCCTCCTCACTCACAACGTCAAGCTAGAACAGCAAACAGCCCCCAATCACTCTCGCATTCCAGCCTGAATCGTCCTAGCCAAAGCCTGATTCGTATTCCCAGCTCACACTTTCTAACCACGGTCACTGCTCTTGCTGTTGAAAATACCACGACCCCACTTGCAGAATAACTTAATCGAGCATCTTAATTCGCCGGCGAGAAAAACGTGGCAGCTGAAGGACGCTTCGTCCGCCCGCAACTGTGGTGGCGCTCTTTTCAAGCGGCCAGATATTCGAATCTGGCCTTGTCCATGAATGACCCTAGACGACAGCGCCGTCTCAGCCTCAGCTGAGGCGGCCTGCTTTTAGTTACTCTCTGCCCTATATAGGGCGAGACGAAACCGCAACGTCATGTCCTTGTAGCTAGCGGCATTGAACTCGCCCAAATCTCATCTACAACTTCGCAATGACAGCGCCGCCACCAACAAACGAGACCATGCGCGCCTGGGTCTTCACCGACCGCGGTGATCCCTCGCAGGTCCTCACTTTCACCACCCTCCCCAAGCCTCCCCTTCCTCCTCCCGTCCCTCTACCCCGCGACGCGCCCTCGCCCGAGGAGTGGGTTCTCATCCGCACCGCCTTCGTAGGTCTCAACGTCGGCGCCATCTTCCAGATGACCCTCATCCCTTCCTTCCTGCGCGCCCGCACCTGCGTCCCCGAGATGGACCTCTCCGGCGTCGTCGAGGACGTCTGGCACCCCGAAGCCTGCAGCAGCGACTTCCGGTTCCAAAAGGGGGACAAGGTCGTGGCCATGCTGCCGGCCAGCCACTCCCTCGCCACCGGCACGGGAGCGCTGGCAGAGTACCTGGCCATCCCCGCGCGGTACGTCGCGCGCAAGCCGGACGCGGCGAGCTATGGTGACGCGGCGGGGTGTCTGCTGGCGGGCATGACCGCGTGGCAGCAGGTGTGCGAGTCCGGCGCCAAGGAAGGCGATCGGGTGCTGGTCAACGCGGCGAGCGGCGGCATCGGCACCATGGTCGTGCAGATGGCGCGCAACGTCGTCGGGCCCTCGGGGCGCGTCGTCGGCATATGCAGCGGCAAGAACGTCGAGATGGTCAAGAGCCTCGGCGCCGACGAGGTAAGCCTTCGCCACCATCAAACTGCCATTTCCATCTGCTGACCAACATGCTCAAGGTCATCGACTACACAAAGCACGACCGCCTCCCGGACTACCTCGCCGACGTCTTCGCCGCCGAGCCCTTCGACGCCGTCGTCGACACCCTCGGCCACCAATCGCTGTACCTCGCCTCGCCGCGCTACCTGCGCCCCGGCGGCGTCTACTCCTCCGCCGGCATCAAGCCGCCATCCTTTGCGGTCCCGCACTTCTTGCGCGCCGTCGTGCAGATGAAGCTCAACGAGTGGTGGCCAGTGAGCCGCTGGCTCGGCGGCGTCGGACGGCTGTGGCGCGGCGTCTCGATGATGGCGCCGACGCTGGAGGACCGCGAGCGCGTCGTCGGCATGCTGGCCCGCGGCGAGGTGCGCGTCGTGAGGGACAGCGTGTGGCAGCTGGAGGAGGCCAAGGCGGCGTATGCGCATCTCGGGGGGCTGCATGCGAGGGGAAAGGTGCTGGTTAAGGTGAATCTCGAGATTGGTGATGATGAGGCGTAGATTGATTGCATGGTGTGATTGATGTATATGTATTATTGATATGAAGCGTATAATTTACCCCAATTTATCGTATCAGCCTGTTATTTGAAAGAAATTTATTTCTCCTGAAACACCATAATACAAGATCCAACACGGCCTAATCATCAAAGCTCATGTAGCATCAGCGACGAGATAACAAGTCCCGACACACTTGTTGCCAGTCATTTGCCGGAAACCTTTCGCCTATACCAGTCCCTGAAATTGACTCGACCAATGACGCCCCTCTGAGCGCCATCTTGATCGACTTTTTTCAGATTCAAGTTTTCAATGGCCAGAGACACCAAGAACGAAGCCGCCACAAAGGCGATGGATGTGACGAGCAGAATATGCATAACTTCGGTGTAGCTTTTATTAATGGCGAGTCGCTCAGGACTGCCCACGGCAAAGGAAGTAGCGACGGTGAGCGAGTCTTGTATGGCTACGGCACTGGACTTGGACGCCTCTGGGAGATGCGCCTCCAGCTTAGACAGCAGCAGTCTTGTCCAGATGGAGCCCGAGATTGCAGTTCCGATGGCACCCCCAATTGCTCGAGCGGCTTCGTAGAGTGTCGTCACGTTGGCAACATCTAACACATGTCAGCTGATCGCGTCGTCGGCAATGGGAAAAGGTCAGACAAAGCTTACCGTCATGACTAGCGACGGACTGAACGGCAGTCTGCGAAACGATGCTAACCACGCCGGAGCCGGCCCCGGCAATAATTTGAGTAATGACAATCTGGGTAAGCGAGGCCTGCCTGTTGGAAAACCGAATCATGAGTCCGCTGCCGACGAGTTTGACGAGGGTGCCGCCGACAACCACCCACTTGCAGTGGCCCGAGCACTTGACCACGACAGCCGCCGCGAGGCCGACCACCGCGGCGGAAACAACCGGCGCTGCCATCCCGACATTGGTGGCAGCCGCTGGCGAAAAGTCGTTGACGACGACAAGAAATGAGTACAAGTACGGCTGCCAGAGGTAGTAGCTTAGGAAGAGCAGTGCCTCAGTCAAGCAGCCGGCCGCAACTGTCCTGCTCTTCGCGAGGTGCAGGGGCAAGATCGGGTAGATGGCGACGTATATATCGTATAGGACGAAGCCGGTGAAGCTCACGGTGCCGGCGATGATCATGGCAAGGATCGGGGCCGAGCTCCAACCGTTGTGGAAGCGAACAGTGAGGGTCATGGGGAGGAGGAGAAGCACCAGGCCAGCGACGAACAAGGCGAGGCCGGGGATATCGGCCTGCGCCCACTTGGAAATGAATCCATCTATTGGACTGCTCCGGGGTGTCTTGGCTCTTGTTCTTTGGATTCGCCAGATTGACGCGAGCAGCGGGATCGACACGATCGGTACTACAATCGCCCTGGGAATATCGTTAGTCCGCCTGCCTTGCACTGATGGCACAGTTCCTTCTCTTACCACATGCCATATCCCCTGGTTTGCGACCAAAATTAGCAAGAAGTCGCTGCATTCATCCAAGAATCAACTCACCAACGCCAATTCGCCGGCACCAGCGCCTCCACCATCGGCCCTGCGACCCAGGCTGTCACGATAGGCGGCGAGTACAGCAGCGCCGAGAAGAGCGCCCTGTTGGCCAGAGTCGTCGTGTCCGCCGCGACGATCTGCTGCAGGAACACGATGCCTACCTGGCCGATGGCGTAAAACGCCTGTCCGGCTGCCATGGTGCCGAGACTGTGCGAGGTAGCATTGATGACGAAGCCGAGAGCGATGGCGACGAGTGACACGGTGAGGGCTTCGGAGCGGCCCGACACGTCGGCAATCTTGGCCATGACGGGCTTTGTGGTCGCGCTCCTTCGGGGAAAAGGAGGTTAGCAGGAGGTGCCAGAGGTAGTGGTAGTAGGTGTCGACGCTTGCTTACAGAATGCTCTGGAGGGTGGTGAGAGCGGGGAGCATCGAGTGTGCATTAAACGAGGACAGCGCGTAGGGCTGGTATGAGGGCACGGTAAGGCTGTCGAGGCTGAGGACGATGGCGAGCAGCATCATGCCAGTCCAGGCGACGATGATAGTGGTTGGCGTCCACGAGCGGGTGACGTGCTCGATTTTCTGAACGCCCGTGGATGGACTCTGCTGCACTGGTTGTTGTGGTGGGTGTTTGTCGTGCATTTCTGGATCTTTATCGAATTCGTCCATGCTATCGTCATCGTCGTCGTATTCATCATCGTATGATCGTGCGGCACTGATCCGAGCGGTGGAAGGAACCGGTGCGATAACATCTGCCTCATTTGGCCGACGGGCTGGCTTCTGCTTCTTCTGCTTCTTTGGTCGCGGCCGTCGGCGGCGCTCAGCTAGAGGGGCCTGGTCAAGAGCTGGGCCTGCCGCGAGAGGTGCCGGCGAGGCAAAAGGCACCATCTGCAGGCTCGCGTAATTCATGTTGGCGCTCTTGTTAATGAATCATGGGGTGGGTGCATGAGCAGAGCAGAGTAGAGAAAAGGAACAAACAGAATGGATGGCCAAGAGGAGGAGGCAAACGGCGGGAGAAAAGGCGGCTGCGTGCCCGAATCCTTCCTTCACCCGCCTAAAGGTTGCATGTATCACACACACAGAGAGTATTAAATTTTTAATCCTACGAATATGTTTTGGCCTGTGCTTAGCATCCTGGGTACGCATACCGTGGCCGTTTATATCCGACCTTGGCAACTGGTTGGTTGGTTCACAAAGCAGGTACACTGTACCAGGGAAGATTGTGGGCAACATTGAGAAATAAAAGTACAGGGGACACGGAAAAAGGCTGGTTGAAATTGGACAGAAATTGCACGGTCCACGAGAATGACACCACCCTTGTCTTGTCGTGGGACTGCCCTGCCGTTGAATGTACGAGGAGGCGGGGGAGGAGTATGTGGTCTGCCTGATGGCATCTTATCAGATGATCTGATAACTGTTAGCTCAACAGAACGTACCCATGTGTTGTGGTGAATTAGCCATGGTGCTAACCGAGTTAAAATTTAGCATCAAGTCTTGTTCCATCCCTGTCGCGGGCGGCCGAGTGGATGGATGCGGGAACTTTTGTCTGGGCTGGGGGGGGGGGTTCAAGTCGTAAAGTCAGCCCGTAGTTATACAAGGCTCGGATTCGGCCGGAGAACCGAACCAAGCAGAAGTGGCCTCTCGCGAAAACTGCCAAATTTGGTTGTCTGAGGGAGGAGGGTGATCAGAATGGCCATGATGTGTGCTCTCAACTACCCACACCACAATTAATGCCTTCCAGGACCACAGTTATCTGAGTCGATGCTAGACAAGACGCATCCGAAGCCGGCGAACCATGTCCGATGATTCATTCGTCCTCCGCGCCGGCATTTTACGACCGGAGCTTGCTATGTCCGACTGTGCCCGCGCACGCTGACATAGGGCGTACACTTTCACGCACCGCGCACGGCAAAGCTATACGGTAAATATAGCTTCAGTCCGAGTGCGCAGGCAATTCCGCTCTGCTTGAGGTCTTCCTCGGCTTATCCTCTTCATGCCTGAGTCACAACAATTCGTGGCCTCGCAAAGGGAGTATATAAAGCTAGCGCCCCGAAGCCACCACCAACTCGTCCCCTCCGGCCGACCCAGCATCCTCCGGCTTCCACTTACAACTCCGAATACACCAATCAACATTTCTAACCTACATCTTTAGAACAAGAATAACATCGTCAACATGCCCTTCAACCGTCCCACCCAGAACCCCATGGAGGGCGTCCCCGCGCACATCCTCGCCCTGCTCGACCGGCTGCACGCCGAGTCCCTCGACCAGGAGCGCAGCATCGACCGCTCCGTCTTCGTCAACGCCACCAGCGAGGAGCAGAAGAAGGCCGTCGTGCGCGACAAGTTCATCGCCCTCGACCAGGACAAGAGCCAGTACCTCTACGCGCTGTGCCGCGCCACCGACGCGCGCACCATCGTCGAGGCCGGCACCTCCTTCGGCGTCAGCACCATCTACCTGGCCCTGGCCGCGAGCGCCAACGCCGCCGCGGGAGGCAAGAAGGCCAACGTGATCGCGACCGAGTACGAGCCGACAAAGGCGGCGCGCGCGAGGGAGTACTGGGCGCAGTGCGGCGACGTGGTGACGGGCGCGATTGACCTCCGCGAGGGCGACTTGCGCGAGACGCTGCAGGAGAACCTCGAGGACGTGGACCTCTTGCTTCTTGATAGTAGGATGAGACGCTTGCCTCTGCCATTTTGATTGATGTGAGGAAGCTTTGCTAACTTAATCTACTTCTAGTCTGGACGGAAATGGCCCTGCCGACACTCAAGATTGTCCAGAAGAAGATGCGCCGCGGCGCCATCGTCATTGCCGACAACACCACCGTGTCTGAAGGATACGACGAGATGCTGACGTACATGCGTAATCCCGATAGCGGCTTCATCACCATGACGCTGCCGTTTAACCAGGGCCTGGAGTTCTGCGTCTATCTTCCCAAGAACTAAGTTGCCTGTATTGGTATAGATTATGACATTGGAGAATAGAAGGATTTCGCGTATGAACAGAGCTGGCTAACTTTCAGCAAGAGTCATTAAATACGAATATATTCAGTAGTTCATTATGCGTTCTATTCTCTTGGTATACTTTATAAGCAGCGCTCCGTTGTAGGTGGCAGTCCACCCCTTCCCTTCCTACTCGCCTCCTTCATCAACCACTCTGCATTGCACTGCTCGATCAACCCTTGACCTTGCCGCCTATCTTTTCCTCCTCCGACGGCAACCGAATCCCCGGCCCGCCCGACCACTCCGCCATCGTCGCGCCCCTGCGAAAGTGCGACGCCAGGTGCTGCGCCCTCTCCTCCCAGCTGTTCATCGTCACGCTGCAGAAGCCGCAGCGGCTCTGCAGCCGGTCCTGCTTGTGCTGCAGCAGCGCCAGGTCCGGCCGCCACCCCTCCCACTTGCGGCAGTGGTGGAACTTGTGCAGGTGCTGCCACAGGTGGTCCTTGCGCGTGAAGGTGCGCTCCGCGGCCGTCCGCTCCGCGCACGTCTGGAACTCGTGCGACTGGATATGGTCGTGTGTTGGTGATGGCTCCCCGCAGAAGATGCACTCGGGATGCTCGTGGCTGACGCGCCACACTAGGAAGGACTGGTCCGGTGGAAGCGGTACCCGGCACACCCACGAGTCCAGCCCGGGCAGGTGGATGGACCGCTCGTGCCTGACCCAGTCGTAGCGCTTTCGGAACGTCTGCAGGCAAAACGTGCACTGAAAGGTCGTCGTCGTCGTGCCTTTGCTGCCGGGGCGCGGCGCGGCGGTTGTCGGGCTCCGCTTGCCGATGGAGTTGGAGTCCCCGTCGACGGAGTTGTTGGCCGAGTACGGGACGAACATGAGGTCGCCTGCGGACTGCTGCGAGTGCGCCGAGCCGCCGAAGCTCGTCGACGACGCGCGGTAAAACGACGACCGCCGACGGCCGCGTCGCCGATGGCGACAGTGGGTGGTGCCGCCTGAGTCGCCGCTGCCGGAGGAGCACGCGGAGCCCGCGTCGCGCGCGCTACCGTAGCTGCCAAAGTACTCCGAGGACCCCGCGCCCAGCGGCGGCGAGCGGTTCAGCGCACGCTCAATGGCGGACGCGGACGCCGGCTCGTCGTTGGGCGGCGAGTTGCGCCAGCGCTCCATCGGCGACATGCTGTCCAGGGCGGACCGCGGCATCGGGGAGCCCTGCCGGAGGAGTGACCTGCCGCTGCCGCTGCCGCTGCCGTTGCTGAAGAGGGACTGCGCGGAGAGCCGGTGCCGCCGCCGGGCGTTGGCGAACCAGTTGATGACTTGCGTGCGGCTGAGGCCGCACTGGCTGGCCAGGTCCGCCTTCTGGTCGTCGGACGGGTACGGGTGGCCGAGATTGCGGGCGAACCAGTTGGACAGAGGCCGCGTCTTCTTGGCGGCGCGGGTGCCGGCGCGCTTGGACGTGACGACTTCCAGGGGGCGTGACGACTGCTGCTGCTGCCGCTGCTGCTGCGCCTCCTCCTTTTCGTCCAGGCTGGCAAGAGCAGCAGCCGTGATGCCCGTGGTGTAGTGGTGGTTGTAGCCGCCCTCCTCCTCGCTCACGCCGTGCAGGTGGCCGATGACGGGCCGCGACGTCTCGAAACTCGAGGCCTGGCGCTTGCCTCGCTCGGCGAGGCTGCAGTCGCGGAAGAGCGCGACGCAGCTGGAGCACGAGGTGATGGGGTTGGGGTTGGCGTCGGTGGTCTGCAGGATGAGGCACTGCAGGCGCTGGCGGCGGCACTGCACGCAGGGCTCCGGCGGGCGGTACGCGCCGTTCTTGACGAAGAACTGGGGGGAGGGGGAGGGGGAGGGTGTTGCTGCCGTGGCCGTGGCCGTGGCCGCCGCTGCAAAGGCCGTCTCGTGAGCGCCGACGGGGAGGTTCCAGTCGGCGGCGTCGGGTAGGAAGCCGTCGTCAATAGCGCCCGGGACGGCGGGGTCGAGCTGGCCAAGGCTAGGGTCCGCGGCAGCGAAGAAGAGGCCGTCAAAGTCGTGGGTCAGGTCGGTGGTGCTCATGAAGGCAGGATCGAGGAACATGTCATCGTCGGCGGGCAGGACGTGTGGCATGATGAGGCTGTCATGGTTGCTGTTTGTGGCGGTCATGGTGGTAGTGTCCGGCGCCGGACGTGCGAGGCCGGCATCGCTGAGCGGGAAGAAGAGGTCGCCGTCTGCGTCCATCCCCGTTGAAGTAGAAGCGGCGACGGAGGAGAAGCGAGGGGAAAGTCTCGCGGTAAGCGGCGCGAGGCAATAGATGATTAACAAAAGTATCAAAAACAAACGGCCTACATGGTCACTTGGGGAAAAAAAAAAGTGGTGTGTGTGTGTACTAGGAGTGACGAGGAGGAGTAATAAGAGGAGGTCGAGCCCGGTGCCGGTCGCCGGGGCACTTTGCTGCTGACCAAACCGTTTGCGCTACCAACCAACCAAGCTAGAGACCTGACTTTGGAGGCCCTCTTATTCGCAGCTTGCCTCGAGCTCACAGCGATAATAGGCCAGAAAAGTCTCCAGTTGGCGCACGTCTTGGCGGGTTCAGGTGCCGAACAAGTCTGGCCGGCATGCCAATCTATAATATAGTGGGTTGTTGAAAGCGGAGATGCGACTTTTAATACCTCCAGCGCTGCGTGGTGGATGTGCTTGTCTATGAAGAGGTCCTGACAGGACGTCAAAAGCAAGTATTTAATTCCGAATCTCATGCAAGAAGCTGCAGAGGGACAAGAAATGGACATACAAAAGACAGGACCCCCGGAAACAGGAGGCAGCCCACCTCTCCCGCTGTAGTTCCAGCGAGATGCCCTCCTGTTTATAGCGGCCATCCACTGCTTCTAGCGGGTTCTAGCGGGCGCCGGTCGCTGTAAAATAAACCCCCCCTCCCCAAAGTTCTTCCTCCTTATTATTACCTATCACCTAGGTACGGATTGCCCAGCTTGTACGCCGAAACCGCTAGCAAACCTTATTACGAGTCGGCATATCAAGGTGAACCCTCGGCCAGGCCGGCAACTTGTAACTGCAGATTGCCATGCAAACCAGGCAGATAAGAGCAGCATTGTGTCTCTCGGATACGCGGAATGCGAATACCGCTAGTTCGGGCAAGGGACTTGGTCCTAAAACCCGCGTCCTCGGCCATTCCCTCGCTCTTAGCGTTTGAATATAATGCCAACAAGGTGCAAACTCAGTTGCCGTTGCCCAAACTGAATCATGGCTCCCAGCAGCCCGGGTGGTGAGGCCAAGTCAACGTCTGGCCGCCGACCTGGGCGGAGCAGCAGCCCGCTCTTCGGCACATGACCTGCCACCGTTCCCCTCCAAAAGGTCACCAAGCGCCAACCACTCCAGGTTGTCCGTATTTATGCCCATAATAAATCCCATGCAAGCCTTGCCCAACACTCTCCCCCAAAAGACAAGCCGCAAACGCCAAGTCTGTCAGTCCGCGTCGTGGCGTGCGCAGGCAGGCTCATGTCTCATCCTCGCCATGTATGGGGTCCGAGGAAATGCGACCTTTGCCTTGTGTAGCGCAGTTGTCGAGTACCGCTTGTTATAGGAGGAAGCTTTGGCCGATGAGCCTCGCTGCTTCTGCCCTGCTTTCGACCGTGCCCGCCATTATCACACTGGTCTGGAGACTGGCAAACTTGGCAATCATGATAGTTACGTCTCATGTCCATTGTCAGCTACTTCCCGTGTGTGTTCCTGTTCCGAAGGCTCGGCCTTGTCCCGCCCCTCAATGCTTGGTAACTAGCTACAGTAGTAAGCGAGTTGCCTCTTTCATGCTGGCTTACACGGCCGCGTTTCACCCACAACTACCAGGTAAATGCAGTCTTTCATCTTACCATTTCTTCACCCGGCTTTGCGTTGTATTAATCATTAACAGCAGTTAACTAATCGTGGCCGCTTACTCATTTTTGTGTTCTTTTTCTTCTTCCATCTATTTCTTTCCTTCCTTAACCGCTGTATGTTGTAGTGGCCAGTTGCGTAGCCAGAAATAAGAGCGCTTGGCATTTCCGCCTTACGCAATTGTACAACGCCCGTCTTTAACGAGCAATTTCTTGAGTTCTAGATTTACCATACCTGGCGAGCTTCTCTAACAACTATGGAATTCAGAGTTACGAGTACGGAGCACGGGCAGCGTCCTTGTCGGCTCATTGCTTTGTTACTAACACGTGCACTGTTCCCCACAGCCAGCGCCACACGTTGCCTAGGAATGCCACTGAGGACCCCTGACATGGTGACCCCACTGTGGCTGGCCCTCGTTGGCGTCTGGCATTCAGTGGCTTCAAGGCCATCACTACTCCGTGTCTAGTACGAAGATAGGGGCCAAAGAACTTCAGGCCAAAAAAACCCTGCCCACCCTCCGTGGATCCACCGATTCGCGAGCCTGTCATTGTGATGGCATCTGATGATATCCAGTATACTCCAGGATTCGGTTATAAGGACCTCGTAGCTTGCGGGAGCACTGGTCTCGTCGTGCTTGATTCGGCGACCCAAACAGTCATCAAAACACCCGTCGGCCCAGAGAACAGCGCTCACATCCAGAGGGAACGACAGATCTACGAGAGACTCACCGAACGAGGACAACATCAGGGCGTACTGTCATATCATGGCGAGGTCGAAGGGGGTGGAATTCGCTTTGAATTTGCCCCCAAATTCGATCTACAGTCCTTCATCCGCCGAGAGCATGTTGATACTAGTCTCCATCTCCGCTGCATGGTCCAGCTCGCTAATGCTCTCGCTTTCATCCACCGCGCCGGGATCATCTACGGTGATTTCACGACCGCAAATGTGTTCCTGGACGACAAACTGAACGCAAAGCTCGCGGATTTTGCAGGATCATCCATTGATTCATCTCCACTCCTCGTCGCGGTCACCACCAGCCACGAGTTCCCCGGAAACCTATTGCCAGAACAGGGAGATATTTTTGCGTATGGCTCAGCAATGTACGAAGTTGTTACTGGGCAAAGACCGTATGCCACGCTAAGTGAAGCGGATATCCCGCCGTTGTTCCAGAATGGAGAGTTTCCAGATGTTACCTCTCTAGGCAGCCTGGGATATATTATCCGGAACTGCTGGGATGGTGGTTACAAGGACAGTCAAGCTTTGGTGAAGGATCTTGAAGGTCTGACTGCATAGCGATTCGCAATGCAAGACACGGCCCTGCAAGACACACTCTTCTTCGCCTGAGTCCGCGTTGGCATTGCTGCCGTGGTCCCGATGAGTGTCATCTTTGCCACATCAGCAAGAACAACTCAATAGTGCGTCGAAGACGTGGTATTTTGTGCATTTCCCTGGTGGGAACGTCGTGCCGGCCATGAGCGGTTGGCCATTGAATCCCTTGGTAAGAGTAGCCTTGATTCTGCTGACCTGGTGACCAGATCGTAGTTGTACTCGCTTCCGTTGTTTTTCAGCCTCTCGCGCTGTTACTCTTTTCGTCTTTTTTTGCAGTGGAACGGCATCCGAAAGAGCGGCTCGGTTTTTGCCGTGACTCATGCATCCAGGCCCGACGACGGCTCGTCCATCCATCCATCCAACGTCTCTCAGCTGGGCTAAATAACTCGTGGCTTTTAGCCCCCTTTCCCCGCCGGACTAGTCTGTCAATTTTGCTGGATCAGGGCAACAAAGTGCACGCTCTGCCGCTGTCCGCGGGCCGCCGCGACGCCCGGTCGCCGAGCCGGGCGAATCATAATGACGAGTGGCTGAGACCCGGCGTGCTGGTATCCGAGCCGGAGAGAGAGGCGGGGGACCCAAAGCGAAAGATGATGAGGGTGACATTTTGGGGGCGTCAAGGTGAATCAAGGTGGAAAATCTCGAGACGATGAGAACGTGGACTCGCCATGTATTTATCAAGCAGCGCCCAGACCAAAGCTGGCGACTCAGCAGAGGGCGCGGGCACGCTTTTACAAGAGGGCGCCTGCTAAGGACAGCAAATAGCTACAAAAAAACATTAGAGGGCGCGCGCAAAAGTCTTTATTAAGACGTCAATATTTTGATAGCCATGGCCATTGTGTTGTAAAATCAGAATCCCTTTTTCTCCTCAATTGATATTAATGCCCTGGTCTCACTGAGCCGGACACCTCATCCCCGTCTCCTTCCCATCATGTCGCCAACCTCCTCCTCTTCCTCCTCCCCGCACCGACGCCCGCTGCATTTCAATGCCGCTGCCGCTGCGATAACGGCCTCATCTGCCGTCACTGCTGCTGCTGCGCCACCAAGCAGGGGTCCGCCCTCCTCCTCCTCCTCCGACCTCGTCCGGCGGTTCCATCAACGCATCCTCCCCGGCTACGCCCCCACCGCCCTCGTCGGCCTGCCCTCCGTCGCCGCGGCCATCGGCGTCGGGGCCGTCCACCTCAAGCACGAGGCCGACCGCTGCGGGCTCCCCGCTTTCAAGATCCTCGGCGCATCCTGGGGCGTCCACCGCGCCGTGACAGCACGCCTGGGACTGCCGCCGGATGCCTCGGTCGACGTCGTGAAGCAGGCGCTGTCGGCGGCGTCGTCGGGGCTGACGCTGTACGCGGCGACGGACGGGAACCATGGACGGGCGGTGGCGCGGATGGCTTTGCTTCTGGGCATCACGGCGGAGATTCACGTCCCGTGCTGCATGAGAGAGGACACCAGGGACCTGATTCGGAGTGAAGGCGCGAGGGTTGTCTTGTCGAAGGGGGACTATGATACTGCGGTGCAAGAAGCCTTTGCAGCTTCACAGCACTCTAATGGCCTTTGCATCCAGGACTGTAGCTTTGGGGATTATACAAAAGTTCCTCAGGTTAGTTCTGCCTAGCTCTCGTCTCTGCTGTCCTCTTTCCTAACTCATTGACGGACAATAGTGGATTGTCGAGGGCTACGAGACCATGCTGCATGAAGTCGACGAGCAACTAGATGGAAAGTCTCCAGACCTAATTATCGTGCCCGTCGGCGTCGGCTCATTTGCGCAATCTGTCGTGACGCATTACAAGACGCCCGGCTCGCCATCGTTCCCCCGCATCCTGTCCGTGGAGCCCGACACGGCCGCCTGTCTGTGGAAGCGACTCGCCCGCGGCGAGGAGCGCTGCGTGCGGAGCGCGCCGACCGTCATGGCCGGCCTGGACTGTCTGACCGTGTCAGAGCAAGCCTGGCCGGTCCTGCAGCGCGGCATAGACGCCAGCGCCACCGTCTCCGACTTTGAAGCGCACCAGGCCTGCGAGACGCTGCAAGAGCTCGGCGTCGGCGTCGGACCGTGCGGCGCCGCCGCGCTGGCCGCCCTCCGCCGGCTGACCCCCGAGGACAAGGCGAGTCTGGGTCTCGACGACAATTCCGTGGTCGTGCTGCTCTCGACGGAGGGGCCTCGGTCCTACGACGTCCCGCACGATGTCTCCGCGGCCAATGACCCCGTGGCGCTCACGCAGGCCCTGGTCCGGATCGACTCCGCCAACCCGGCGCTCGGCTCGGAGCCCGGCCCCGGCGAGACGGAGATTGCAAAGTTCATCTGCTCGTGGTTCGAGCACCGCGACATCGACGCGCACTGGCTCGAGCCCGCCCCGGGCCGCCCCTCCGTCGTCGGCGTGGTCCGGGGCCGCGGCGGCGGCAAGCGTCTTCTACTCAACGGCCACACGGACACGGTGACCCTCGTCGGCTACGACGACGACGCCCTCGATCCCAGGATTGAAGACGGGAAGCTCTACGGACGCGGCTCCGCGGACATGAAGTCCGGGCTCGCCGCGCAGATGGTCGCCGCCGCCAACGCCAAGCGGCTGGGACTCGCCGGCGATGTCATCGTGACCGCCGTGGCAGACGAGGAGTTTGAGAGCCTGGGCACGGTCAACGTCCTGGAAGCCGGGTGGCGCGCGGACGCGGCGGTCGTCTGCGAGTGCACCGACATGGCGGTGACGCGCGCGCACAAGGGCTTCGCGTGGGCCGAGATCGACGTGCACGGCGCGGCGGCGCACGGGTCCCGGCCGGACCTAGGCCGCGACGCCATCGCCAAGGCCGGCTATGTGCTGGTCGCGCTGGACCGGTACGCGGAGGAGCTGGGGCGGCGGCCGGCGGCCGATCCGGTGGTCGGGCCGCCGAGCGCGCACGCGTCGCTCATACGCGGCGGCGAGGAAGTCTCCTCGTATCCTGCCAAGTGCACCATCACGCTGGAGAGGAGGACCGTAGCTGGGGAGGGCCCGGACGCGGTGGAGCGCGAGCTGCGGGAGATGCTGGAGCAGGTGGCGGCGGAGACGCCGGGGGGGCTGCGGTATGATCTCCGGATCACGTTTCATCGGCCGCCGTTCCACATGGACGAGGACGCGCCGCTGACACAGCTCGTCAGGAAGCACACGGAGAATGTAACGCGCGGCGAGCCCCAGGTTGTCGGCGCTCCGTATTGGACAGACTCGGCGCTGTTGCTTGATGCGGGTATCCCGACCATCCTATTCGGGCCACGCGGCGAGGGGTTCCATGCCAAGGAGGAGTTTGTATACGTTGATTCTATTATACAAACGACGCATATTCTGACGCAAATTGCGCAAGAGTTCTGTGCTTGATTAACGAAGCGATCCTAAGTACGACTAGCTATAAAAGTCATTCCTCTTTAGACCATTACAGTCAGATACATAGACCTATGCCTTTGTCCGTTTTCAACATCATGTTTCGCTCCCAGCCTCATATAGCTTGCGGGCTCTGTAGAGTTTCCCCTGTTGCAGTATCGACCTTTTCTGGTGTCAAAGTCGAAGCCGTCAGCCCAAGCGACGCCGCGATGCCCAACAGCCTCTGTTTCTCCTCATGCGCCGCCGCATCCCCAAAGACCGCATCCATGTCCTCCAAGCTCCTGCCCTTCGTCTCCGGCACGAAGAAGTACGTGAAGAAAAACGCCAGGAAGCAAAACGCCGCGAAGAAGATGTGCGTGCCCCAGCTCAGCGAGTCCAGCATGCCCGGCGTCACAAGCCCGATGACGAAGTTGCACATCCACGTACAGCTCGTCGTAATAGCCATGGCCCTAGACCTGTCCCCCAGGCTAAAGATCTCCGACGGCAGCACCCACCCGATCGGCGCAAACGAGTACGAAAAGTTGACGTCGTAGAGGTAGACGAACGCGACGCCCACCCAGCCCGCCGCCGGGTGGTCGCGGAGCCGCCCCCCGTAAACAGCGAGCAGCGCGCCGACAATGGTGAGCGAAGCGCACGTGCCCGCCGCGCCGCACATGAGCAGCGGCCGGCGGCCCAGCCGGTCGATCAGCAGCAGCGCCGGCAGCGTCGACAGCGCGTTGACCACCCCGTAGACGCCCGTCGCCAGCAGCGACGTCGCCCCGCGCGCCAGCCCCAGCTGCGCGAAGATGCCCGGCGCGTAGTAGATCAGCGCGTTGCACCCCGGAGCGGCCCGGGAAGCGCTCCCGCGCGACCGCCTCGTCGAGGAGCACCTCAGCCTTGATGGCGAGGTACTCCTCGCGCAGGCGCGGGGAGGGGTCGTGCGGTCCCACGCGACGCAGGCGGGCGAGGGAGCGCAGAGCGGCGTCGTCCCGGCCGCGAAGGAGGTGGTACCGCGGCGACTCGGGAAAGAGCAGCAGCATGCCGGCGCCGAGGACCAGCGCGGGCACGACCTGCAGCGCGAGAGGTCGAACGTGCGGTCGGCCGGGTCGCCGCGGCCGCTGTAGGGCACGTCCGGGGCGCACCGGACGCCGCCAATGTACTGCGTGCCGTACTCGAGCCAGTAGCTAACCAAGATGCCGAGCGTGATGCTCACTGTTTTTCCGCTCACCATTGTCAGAAGTCTCGGGCGAAGGAAGGAGGGAGGAACGTACGCTGCTGAAGCACGACCAGCGTCCCGCGGACCGGCGCCGGCGCCACCTCGGACACGTACATCGGCACCGTGGCCGTCAGCATGCCGACCGCGAGGCCCGCGACCCGCCGCCGCCTGCAGCGCCGAGCCGAGCGTGAAGACGCACACGGCGGCCAGGACGGCGCCACGCCGGCCGAGCCCGTCCGCGACGACGCCGTTGGCGAGCGACCCGAGCCACGCCGCAAGCAGCAGCGTCGACACGAACCAGCCCTTTATGCCGCTGTCGGCGTATACCCGGGGGAAGGCGGCACCAAACGACTCCATGGTCAGCACGCCCGAGACGACGCCCTGGTCGTAGCCGAACAGGAAGCCGCCGAGCGAGGCGAACTAGAAGAGGGGTGAGGCGGACATCGATCAGTTTTGGCGGCCCTGAGAAGAGGCAAAATGCGGTAGGTGGGTACAGGAGCAAGGTCTCGGGGCGAAACGTACTGCTGAGAGGCCAAAGATGTAGGGATTGTCGAGGAGCTGCCTCCAGACCCCCTGGTCCTTCGATGGGCTTGCGTTCGAGATCATGGTGATGCCGGTGATTGACTTCCCTCTGGTATGACCCGATTATCCGCAAAAATATGGTAGGAGAAGAGGAGAGGGAGGCTGCAGGTCGCTGACTGCACGCGACACAAGACTCGCGGGGAAGCCCCCGTCAATGAGACACTGGGTAGGATCGGGCCGGGTTTAGCTTGCAGCGTCTGCCCCGGCCGCCGAGATGCGGAGTTGATGCGTGGGGGTTGCATTGAGATTTCATTCCATGTATGCACGCCGTAGTAATAAGAATTGCTGCTTCTACCGCCTCTGCTCTGGCACTCCCTCTGTCTACAAGCAGTCATTCTTGTTGGCATTTCACTCTACGGACGCGAGCCATGAAATATGATTGAAACATCGCCGAATGCCCCGTATCTGGAGTCTTCATTGTTATCATCTGCTAGCCAGCCTCTACAAGTTCCCCCAAGGTGGTGACAGTGCCCCCAAGGTGGTGACCATTGGCCGTCACCATACCCTTCTAATGAGCCTCATCGCAGCACAGAGTATAGGCCATTCGATGAAACTTTACGTTCATCCACTCATGAGGCCTCTCTAAACAAAGCCCAGCGCATCAAACCATTCGTGTTTGCAGCTCCCTATTCTCTTCGCGCAAGCTCTTGAGCTGAGATTCGAAGGTCTTGTTAGCCCATTCCCAGTAGCCCGTCCAGACACTCGATACGCCGGCGGCACTCGTGACAGCGCTAGCATGGCCTGTGAGCTCCTTCATCTTCCCGCCCAGGAGAATAGTGACACGCAGAACGCTCTTGTTTGCTTCTTCTTGCTTCTCAATCTCTTGCTTTACCGCGTTCTCCTTAAGCTTTGTCGACAGGACGCTTCTATAAGCTTCTGCAATCGCATCCAGTCGACGTGCAGTCTCGTCAGGGTCGATAACAATGAGCTTCGTAATCATCAGGTTACAAAGCTGTCGAATATCATTGTCGTCTCCGAGGCCCGCGATAATGCGGTCGTAAAAGTCAATGTTATTGATTCGACTAAAGGCCGTCTCCATCAAGGCGTACAGCGTTTCATAGGCACTCTGGCAGCACGTTAGAACAGTCTCTGTATACGCATGATATCGCAGACAAGATTTACCTTTCGAACTTCCAAGCCATCGTCCACGGTGTGTTTGAATGGCCCAAGCTGCACTTCACGCACCAATTCTGGCTTCACGACCGATTCGGTAAGCACGAATGGCATTAGCTGACCGAGATGGGGCAAAATTAAGTCGGGTTTGTTGTGGGCGGCAGAATTCAGTGTCGTCATTGCCAGACGACGAATCTCCGTGTCTTTATCTTGCAGTATCGTGAGCAGCATATCGATCAACACTTGACGCAGCACAGCATCGAAAGCTTCATCACACTCGGGGAGTGTGTAACGCACTGCCTGCACAGCCATGCCGCGTACACTTGTCGACGAAGCCTTGAGCAGTAACTATCCCAAGAATAATTAGTAAATGCTTTCAAAAGGATGCAGCGGGGATCTCCTACCTGAAGTTTGGGCATGAAATTAGTCGGGTCAAGCGTTGTCAAACGACCTACACACTCTGCACAAACCACTTTGTTGTCCACAGTATCCGAGGCCTGAAGCAACTGGTCCCAAATGGACACAGCTTGGTCCCGAAGATCAGTTGACTGGTCGGAAACAGACTGCAGAATCTCTTTAATCGACTGAATCAACAGATACTGAGTGTTGCCTCCATTCTTCATTTCCTGGAGAATTGTTGGTAGGAATGCTTGTACGTTTCCGGAGCCGGCACGGCCAAGCGCAATGGCAGCGGCCAGGGAGACCTTGTCCGGCTCAGCGCGGAACTGCCCAAGGAACAGGTTCGGCTTCAGCGGCGATTTTGAGCCCAATCTCATGCCCGCTTCACCAAGGACGGCAAGTGCGAGACAGATTCGGGCCGCGTCACCACCTTCTGAGCTAGTCTGAAGCTCCGAAACGAAGCTCTGCACAGATACTCCGGATGACGACCCACCGGTGACGAGAAGAGTTCCGATCACCTTTCCAACAACAACCGCATCGCCCGAAATGCTCACGTTCTGCAACAAGGCCGTCATCAAGGGACCACCTACGCCACTTTCTCCGACTGCACTGGTGAGCGTAAGAAGCTGGTCAAGAACAATTCCAGCCAAGTGCGACTTCAAAAGCTCACACAGAGCAGCAATAGCTTCGTCAGTCAGAACAAGTTGCGGGTGGTCCCTAACAAGGTCTGCCAAAATAAGCAGAGAGGGGCCGAGGAGATGAGTGTCGGCATTTTTTACGGTCGGCATAAGTGCGGCGACCACCCTTTCAATAGTATTAGCTTCCAGTTGGCCCTCAGCAGCTTTACATAGCACAAGGTGCTTAAGTGCAGCAATGCTTGAGCCACGGAGTGGTCGGCTGGCTTTGCGGAGCTGGGCCGCAAGCTCCAAAGCCACATCTTGAATCCAACTCTTTTCCAACTGGCCTGGAGTGTTGGCGGATGCCGCAACACCATCAATGGCGTGCACGGCGGCAAGCCGGGCGGTTTCGTTCCTGAGGCGTTCACGAAGGATCGTCAGCGCAGCCTCGCGTTTCTCTTTAGGTAATAGAGCCTCGCTGTCAGCAGCGGATGTTCGAGAGATCATGACGCCAAGTCCATGGATAGCTCGTTGCCGAACCTCTGCGTCTGCGTCATTCGCCGACGCTCTATCCATAATCACGTTGTACAGTTTTTCGAGCTCTCCCTTATATTTTGGCGCAGATCCTCGTGATCGGGGTGGTGTGATGGCCTTGACCAATTCTTCGGATGTGCGGATGGCCTCGCTTGAAATTTTGTAAAATCTATCGTGCACCGCGGACGTGACACCGTCCACAATCTGCGTCAGATAGGGTTGCAAAACCATAGAGGAGTGAGTTTTTGAAATGTCGCTTATCAGCTTCAGGGTAGCTACTCGGAGCGAGCTGGGAGTAGCGGATGCAGTGCCTCCGCCTGTCGCGAGCGAGGACGAAAGTGAGTTGGAACCAGTAGTCTTGACAGCATCCAAGATAATACTAATTACAGTCCCAAAATGATCAGTGAGACCACCACGTAGCACAGAGACAACATCATCGAGTAGGCTGATGATGGCCTGCTTTGTTGGAATGGACTTGCCCTTGAGTTGCTTGGCCGAAATCTTCACAACTGAGGGAACAAGAGCCGTCAGTTCGGCGCGGGGTCCATGCATAGGTGCCTTTTCAAGGACTGGGGAGACTAAACCGGTGCCCATCATCGATTTTGACATGCCGGGGCCACCTCCACTGCTCTGGCGTCGCCTCTTGCGACTAATCGGCATCTGCACAGTCAAGTCGGGTTCAAGCTCGTCGAGAGTGATACGTTCGGTATGGAGTCCTTCTCCAGTTTTTCGGATGAGAAGGGAGAGTGCCGAAATGACCTCGAGACGAACATTCTCTTCACGCTCGGCAACACGTTTAACGAGAGTCGGAGCGGCCGAGCTATACAGGACCCCGTTTTCCAGCAAGTCACCACTGCCACGAGTGGCAATCAGGGTATAAATGGCTTTCGCAGCACAGCGTCGTACTTTCCAGCTCGCGTCATCGTCGTCATCTTCGAAGCCATCATCGGCATCGAACTCGTCGTCGACATCTTCCTCATCCTCCTCCTCATCGTCGTCCTCCATTTCTTCGTCTTCATCGACCGCATAGTTTGGGTCGAAACGCAAGTAACGGAGACACGACGAGATGACAAGATCTGTAAATGGTCGCATTTCTTGCGGCATAGAAGCCAATAAAGCCTCGAGAGCCACCAAAGCTGCTTCTCTGACGTCGTTGAATTCCAGGCCAAGGTCGTCGCCGTCATTCATCCTTTCCAGATGGCTTTCAAGCTTGTTCTCCGTTAATTCGTTGAGAATGACGTCGACAATTCGAGGCAGGTGCCTAACAAGACGAGACGGAATAGAACGAGCCGTACTTCCAAGAATGGAAATATATAGACGGCGAGGGACAGGCGTAGCATCCGTTCGTGCCAGTCCCTCCGTGAGTGTTTTTATGACGTTTTCCAGTTGCTTGTCCGACACATAAACGGCAAGCATTGAAACAGCAACAACAGCTCTCTTCTTCACAACAGAGGTTATCTCCTGGCCTTCAAGAAGCAGCATGAGAGCATTGAGCAACAATGCGACTTCCTCCTGGCTAAGAAGAGGCCCAAAACAGCGAACGACTTCAATGGATACGTCAACAGCTTCAACGCTGATTTCTGCCCTGTCTCTGAGCAGCCCAACAGGGGGTTTCGGAAGGTCAAGCTTATCATTCGTAGAGGGAAGACGGGTCTTGGAGTCAGTGCCGACTAGACGCGGAATCAGCACTCTGCTGATAGCTGCGTATGCGTTATTGACTTCGGTCGAGGCCGGGGTTCCGGGACTAGGTCGAGGGAGTGCAATAAGGACCTGACGCAAAGCCGATGATGGAATGGAATTGTCCACGGAGTTTTTGAGCTTGAGCGTCGATAGCTTGTCGATCATCGGCGCAATAAGGGCGGCAGGGATTTTCCCGACGAGAGGACCTAGACTATGGATATGTTAGCGTATTGAGTTTCGAGAGACATCTAGGCACGCGGCACCACAACTAACCACTTAATGGCCAGACTTTGCACTTCGCCGTTTTGGTCATCGAGCGTCGTGATGATGTTGTCGACGGTGCGCGCAGCGGCATTGTAATCATGCTGCAGAAAGTCGTGTTTCGCGGATTTAAAAATGTTCAAAAGATCATTCAGTGCCATGAAGCGAAAGTCGGGATCATTGTCGTTGAGCTTCGCCACATGGCCCAGAACAGTCTGAGGCGTGGCCATCGCCGCAGCATCAACGGTGGCCATCTTTGATACCGCTGCGGAAGCTCGAGCAGTTCACTTGTGGAGCGTGATTTACAAGCCTGCATACAATTTGCTCTGATGGCCTTTTGATGCTTTTCTTGTCCGTGTCTTGCACGCTTCCGGAGCCGTCTGTTGATAGGGTGATAATGGTGGTGATAAATGTTCACAAAGGACGGCAAAGAGGCAGAGGGAAGCTGTGACGCGGAGGTGGGGTAGGAAGCTCAGAGCTGGTACAGTGGGGTTCCAAAAGTATGTACATAGCAGCTTGCATTTTCCTAGCTAAACATGTTGGACTCAAAGTAGAAACAATGGGTTTATTTAAAATCAAAAAATGCATCAAGTGAAAGAGTATTCCCTTATCAAGCTTAAGTGGTATGCTCTTTCTTAAATTTCGTGAGCCGTGTGTGTATCTGGGAAAAAGGACGTGGTGACAGACAGTTAGAACCCCACTGTACCAAAAAGGTTACCTTGCCAGGTATGGTGCTCCCAGTTCGCCAATAACTATAAGTCAGTCAACCGTTGATACCTTTCTTCCCCCTGTCAAGTTCTTCTTTTCTGAAACGAGATGAGCAAACCTGAGTTTCTACCAAGTGGTACATGCCGTTCTACGTCATTCACTGACCTTGAGCTCTCGCATTTATCTCCCCTCACTGGACCAGCAACCCCAGGGCAAGGCACCAAAACACCTTTCGCCCCACTCAGCTGCAAGTCCTCTCCGTCATCCTTCTTCCATTAGCAAACAACCCAACTACAGTGCTCAATTGCCATGATTTGAAACATTCGCTTCTTTTACGTGCGGACAAATAACTACAAGGGCATGAGTGAGTTGGTGCAGGCGGGGATCATCACTTATTACCAACACCCTTTAGGAAATCCGGCGCGTACAAGATCGATACCCTCCAGGCTCGGTGGACGACGCGGGCACGACCTCCATAACGTTACAGCAAAAGCCCATGCGATTCCAAAGGCAAAGGTTTACTTTGTTGCTACACGACTCCCAATCAGCAAACAAGTCTGTACCATGCTGGAACGTCAATCCTACTCTACTACGATAGTTCAACCATCGCGCAACAATATCAGCCACAGTCAGCCTTACAGACTTTCCTTCTCCACGGCCGTTTAACACGTGGGAACCGTGAGTGAGAATGGGGGAAATGGCTCCCATCTGTCTTTCCATCGTCCGGTCTTGGCGGAAGAATGACTTTGCAGAATTGCAGCGTTGCCTACGACGTTGACCGGAAAGCCGTTGTTGAATTGCGCTGGGATCAGGGGTCAGGCCCCAGGAGTCAGGCCGGCACTTGAACACGACCGAGGTTGACCTGTGTAGGCTATGAATATGCAGGACAACACAACAGACCAAATAGCGCCCGCCCTTTTTCGAGGCCGGCTTAGGAGAGGCCGAAGAAATGGCGCTGAAACAAATATAGCTGCCGATGCTGTGGGCAAAGGGCAGCAATGTAAAGTCATCTGCACAGCCTCTGGATAGAGTATTCCCCGCGGCATGAAGACAGGTGGTGGTTTCGAATCGGACCCAACCTGATGAGATCTCGAACGACTGTGCGGATGAGGACCCAGCCGGAGCGGGAAAGATCCGTCACCTGAACAGCCCAATCTTGATCAGCATTGATTGCATTGTCTGAACCAGAAGCAATCACGCACAGACAACGCCTTGTGCCGATGCCGTTTTCACACCCCCACTCTGGTGACGACTCACCTGTAAGCTGCAGTTGGAATATGGAGGATTCAATTCATACACCGTCGAATACTGAGCTGAAGATGATTTGCCAGGCCGGTGAGCTTGGCTTCCAATACTCATCACAAGGTGAAACAGTAGGCGGGGGGTTGAAAAAGGGTTTCCACGCCGGCGTTGCCTTTTTCAGCTGGTCATTTCCACGGCCGCCACAGCTTCACGCGAGAATGGATTGGTACGGATTGCGATCCACTGGAAAACAGCCTCGCTTCTGTTCCCCGGCCATGGGTCCGTAACTATGGTCCCCGTTAAGGCAAACTTCGTCTCTCCAAAGGCCAGGCGCTGGCGCCGGACAATTAGGGTAACAGCGCGTTCTAACAGCCATTCTATGTAACAGGCCGTCGCTCGCTGTACTCGTCTACTAACAATCATTACAGCGTACAGGAAACAAAGATGACGGCGTTTTACGACAAACCATCTGCCGCTCACTGTTGCCCGGCCTAGTAGCACAATATAGAGATGGCTCCCCAGCATAGGCGCCTTGTGTCGCCCCTTGGAGATCACTCCGTGGCCACGGCAGACGGTCCCGGCCCCAGCAAACATGGTGTGAGGGGTTTTCAGAGTCCCAATCTGGTTTACTGCCAACTGGAAGAGCCAATAAAGCTCATCTCCATCTCAGACTCTGGCGTGGCTTTCGGTGGCGCTCCGGCGTGCTCAGCTGCTGGTTGGTACGAATTATTACTGACTGGTAAAGCGTACGAATAAGTGGTGACTTGCACCGTCCGTAGTCGCCCGGTTCTGGGTCTCATCCACACAGCCTGGGCCACACTGATGACTCGGGTCTAATAATTCCACCTCGATTGTGGAGTGAAGGGGGTATGAGGGGGAAGAAACGGGTTGCATTGTTGAAAGCTGAGCAGCCCGTCTTTTTGTTTGCCACAGGCCCAAGTCCTGATCGTTCTTCAATTCCATCCTTTCAAAAAAAAAAAAAAAAAAGCCAACGGCGTCTTCCTGCAACACAACTCTACCGAGCTCAGCTGGCTTACACAGGATACCGTCTACGTGGCGAATTTTGCTACCGCTGGAGATTAAGCATTTGATCGCGTGAGCTTCCACGCATTGGACTGATTAGTTACCTCTGTCAGCTCCAAAAGTTCCACCGAATATCTCGATGGTTGATATGGACCTCCCCACAAGCGCCAACAAGGACCACATACGGTGCGCCTTCACCATTCATTCATTCATTTAGTCGGCTTGCAACGGCGCTGTGGCAGGCTACTAACTATCTTATAGACATGGACTCGCGCTACTCGATATTGACGATCCAGAGCTGGACTGGTACAGCGCGTATTTGAACAACCCGCTGCCCCGAAGGGATCGCACCTCCTCCCGTCTTGGCCTGGCTATGCGCGCGCCACCACGAGACAGTCTCGGTTCCCCAGCACCCTCTCCCATCAGCAGCATTGGGGCACCCTCCTGGTCGACCGATGAATACGCGTCTTCTACAACTTCCAAATCCACCACCTCATATAGCCAGTCTCGTCCAGCCGTGTCCAGGGATCCAAGGACATCGCTCGGGCGGTCGCTGCGCAGCATTTCTAGCTCCAACAACATGTCCCAATACAGCCTGTATCCCGCGCCGACAAAGCCTCTTCCTCCCATCCCGCCACCTAAGAATAACTTACAGCGTCACTACTCCATCGACTCGAATAGTTTATCCTCCATCAGCACAGCCCGCTCATCGCGGTCAAATTTCCATCCAATTTATGCCGAGCCGGCCCAATCCAGCCCTGCTACCGTTGCATCGCCTAGTTTTGCAGTTGCGGAAAGCACAGACGAGTATTCCTCGTTTCCCGAGAGAACCTGGGCGCCCTTGCAGAGGACGTTTAGTCAACGATCCACCCCGAAAGCCCTGACTCTCCATTTCTGGAAGAGCATTGTTTCCGACGACAAGAAGCTTAACAATAGCGTGCACTATCTCGACATATCGCCTACCGGAACGGTTCTCGCGAGCAAACACGGGCATAATCTGATCAAAATATGGTCCCTGGCCAGTGGCGAGCTTCAAAATGCCATCAAATTCTCGTCGTACACCGAGGCAAGGTCCCGCTCCAGAGATTACATGATCCGCAGCCACGCGATTCTCTCTGAAGCATCCAACTTGATTGCCATCGCCACCCGCTTCGGGCGCTCTGTCGAAATTGTTAACTGGGCGAAAAAGAAGTCGATTCAGACCATTGGAGACGCCGACCGGTGGACCGCTGGTCGTTTTGACATGTTCGACGGGGGAAGATGTCCACTAGCCGTGTATACGGCGGAATCCGCGACAATCGAGGTTTTTCAGGCCTCGCAGGAAAGAAAGAAGCCGCTTTACAAGCACTGCACCATCGAGTTGGCCAAGGCCGGGCTGCCCTTTACCCCGGTACTCCCCGAGCTGGCAATCTCGGCGACAAGCCCACTCGTGGTCGCCGCAGCAGGCCCAAGACCTCCGATCGCTGGCCACCCTCCGCCGAAACGGGAGACCCTTCTCGTCGCGTGGGAAACGTCAGACGAGACCACCTCCAAGAAGCCCTATCGAGTCGCGCGACCTTGGCAACACGAGGAACTTGACACTGCCGTCCCCATTGACCTCGTCACTTACGGCAGCATGGTCGTGTCCATCTGGATACCTGCCAGCTTCCGCGCCATTCCAGTTCCCGCAACACGAAAAGGCTCAGGGTACAACTTGACCCGCGTCCAGGTGACAGAGCGTCATGTGCTCGTCTGGGACTTGTCGGCCAACTCGACGCGGACATTTCCAATTCCTAACTGCGCCTCCTGCATATCTCCCGATTGTCGACTCGTGGCCTATTGCAACGGTGCAGGATCTGAGATTGGCGCCCGAGGCTCCATTGTCATACTCGATGTCATCACCGGGCAAGAGGCCTGGTGCTGGCCAGACAGGGATGCAGTCAACATACAGTCCAGTTTTGATTCTGGATTCAGACAGTTTAGTGACCTAGGCAGCGTTACGGAGCTTGCCTTCTCCGCCGACGGCCGTTTCTTAATTGTGGGGGATGCTGGAGGGCAGATGGGGGTGTATGATGTGCGTTCAGCGTCAAACTGATGATACCTTACGGACTTTTGTTGTCGCATTTTCTTCGTCTTATTATATCCTAGCGTCCAATATCATTCGTGCATCTATTAGTAAACGTATCGGAACTGTGCAATCTCCCCGTCCGTCATGTCGGCCTGGTTGATCGCCTCCGCGTCTGCCAGCCCTGCCACCGGCCGCGCCGCCCTGTCTCGGCGCCGATTCTCCCATATCAGGTAGAACCTCAGCACCACGCACAGCGCGATACCCGACGCGTAGCAGACCAGCATCGCCAGGAAGCCGGACGTGTACCGCGGCGCCTCCCTCGCGAAGAAGAGCTGCGGGCCGACAATGTTGCCCACGCAGTACGCGACAAAGATCATCGCGTTGGCCGTTGTCTTCTTGGTGAAGCCGCCGGTGTTGCTCGTGACCAGGGAGATGTTGAGCGGGAAGGAGACGACGTAGCCGAGCAGCAGGCAGTAGCCGACGAAGCGCGGCCAGCGGCGGGCCGGGTCGAGCGCGCGGATGACGACGGCGCCGGCGAGGGAGAGCGAGAAGCCCCAGGCGATCCAGAGGGTGCGGGTGTTGCGCAGGCGCGCGCTACCGGCGGTGGCGACGAGCACGAAGACGACCTGGAAGACGTAGCTGAGGCTGTTGAGCAGCAGCGTGGAGAAGGTGCTGAAGCCCATGCCTTGGATGACGATGGGGCCGAACTAGGACGGTGGCATTAGCTGGGGTTCTAAAGAAAAAAGGGAGGGCAGGGGGGAAGGCCGGAGAGTGTTGGGACTTACGCTGGCGACGCCACCGTTGGGAATGTTGGAGCAGAGCTGGAGGAGGCAGATGATCCAGATCTTGGGGTCGGTGAGGGCCTCGCGGATCTGCGACCACTTGATCTGGTTGTTCTTGATGCCCGTCATGTTGTCCTGCACGCGGACGATGGCCTTTTCGCGGTCCTCCGCGTTCAAAAAGAAGGCCTTGTTCGGGACATCTGGCAGGGCGAAGAGCATGGCGAGGCCCCATGCCACCGTCGCGCCTCCAAATATGGCAAAGACGGCCTACATGTACAACACAGTGTTAAAAGACAGGCGCGTCGAAGCGATGGGTGGTGGATGGGACTTGCCTTCCACGATGCGATGCTGTGGACGTGGCCGATGCCGTAACCCATCAGGTTTCCCACCATGCCCGCAAAGGAGTTCCCGAGGAACCAGGCGGCATGTCGGAGGGGCTGCTCGGAGCGCTTGTACCACATGGAGATGAGCACGCCGAGGCCCGGCGCGATGGCGGCCTCGGCGGCGCCGAGGAAGAAGCGGTTGGCGAGGAGACCGGCGCTGTTGAAGCAGAGCGGTGTGAGGATGAGGATGCATCCCCAGAAGAAGCTGAAGAGCAAAAGATGGTGGTCAGCGGAAGGGTGTAAAGCTCTTGTTTCGCCATCGCAAGCAGGGGAATGGTTGGAGCATACATTGACGCGGCAATCGTCTTTCCGGTGGGCAGGCGGACCATCAGAGCCGCGGCCGGGTAGGAAGCGATGAGATATCCTAGGTAATAGACGCTGTTGGCCCACGAGTATGCGCTGCCGGAAATGCCAAGATCTTCCCGGATGCCCAGGATGGCTGTCAGGCTCAGCGCCGACTTGTCGAGGTACTGGAACATGTAGGACACGGCGCAGATGGGGAGCAGGCTGATGCAAACTGTCAGTCAGTACCTTCTCGTGTTGGATGCAGTGGCCGCCTGCCTCTTACCAAAGATCAATTCTTCGTAGCAGTCGCTTGTCTTCCTCCGGGGACAGTATGTTGCTCGTCGTTGCTATCGTGGCCGAGCCCGTTTTCTCCAAAATGCCACGATCCACGACAACGCTCTCTTTGTCGTCGGCCATGGCTGTTGTCTGTTTGTTATGAGGAGGCGGTCCCGTTAGATGCGTTTCAGTTTGCAAATATTTCTTCGGTTTGCAAATAGACCTTCGGTTTGCGAAAAGTCCTTCAGTCTGCGAGTAGTCAAATAGTAACAACGTGGACTGTTCCCAGTCGGCCAGTAGGGAAGACGCGGCTTGATATAAAGATAGCCTTCCCACGGGTTAGTTGATTCCGACAACGGCTTTCAGGGGTATCTGGAAAAGTCCAATCAATCCTTATCGCGGGGTTCCGCTTCCGCGGCGGAGGAGGTTGCCGGGGCCGTAGTCCGTGATGATCGACCGGCGCGGGGAGAAGAGCGCGCCTGGCAGTCAACGATGTAATGCGAAGGCGGATGCACTGAAAACTCAGTGTGAACGAATTTTTTGAATGAACTCTTCTCGGAGTCCTTAGCGAATTGATGAACTTTGGATGAGGGGAACTGAGACATGGGGGGAAGAAATAGAATGCTGGGACGAAGGCCAGCACGGCAAGGAGGTTCCACTGACAATCCTACTCAGCTCCAGCAAGCAATCATCTAGTTTACAATTAGCGTTGGAGCACCGCAGTGCACCGTTGGGGAATTTTGCAAGCATTACAAGGAAGGCTATTAGTCGGATGAATCAATGATGATAGTCAAGTGTCACAGTCGCTGCTTCAGTGGCCAGGCAGGCTTGGCAACAACCAGCTCTTGTGATAGACCAGCAACAACAGAGCCCGTGTAATTTCTGAATGGAAGGTTCTCCGTAAAAAAAGGGCATTAACACACACCCCATCGTCAGTGCAACATAGACATTACATCAATCGCCAATGCGGGGAAGCCGGTGAACGGAGCGGCGCTGCTGCCCTCAGACGGAGTCCGCCGCGCTGCCAGCGCTTGCCTAACATAAATTCTATGAAATTTGATCAAATTTCAATTTCATTGCTAGGGCATAGATCCATATCATAGCTTATATCAGCGATACCGATACCATTGATTCCGAACAACCGCACCCTGTTTCCTCCCAGCCAATTAAGGCGGTTTCTTTTCCACGCGCAGAATCCAGTGGGGGGGCTATCAGCCTATGCCTGGAGTGCATGCATATACGAGCGCGCGCGGAGCTCAAATTAATGCTGCTAGCTGGCAATTGTCGTCCGTCTGAACACTGACGCTGGAGGTAGGATGCTACCCCCAGATGTTGCAATTGCAACTACACACCAAGTTGGATATGTATAGGATCGCGGCTTGGTTTGCTTGCGGTCAATCAACACTGGCATTAGCCAGCCGCTTGAAAAAAAAAAAGTAGAAGCTGCTTCAAGGGGGGTCAATTTCGGAGGCATCTTTGATAAAAGAGTGTTTCATCTCGCCCACGGAAAGTCGCATAGAAATCAGGGTCCAGATAAAGCGATCTCTCATTACCAGCTAAGCTGACCTACATTACAACTTCCCATCCGCCCAACATTATCAGCCTTTCCGAGGCATTGATTCAAGCAAACCAGGGAGAAAAGACGGAGACTTGGGTACTATACACGTTTTTTTGCCAAGATACTCATAAAAGAAAAGGAACAGCAACTCATTCGGTCACGTCAGCGTCCCGCTGCCGAAAGGAGAGAGACAGAGGTAAGAATGGCCACTTAGAGCGCAAGGGCAGCAGCGACGGCGGCGAGGGCACCAACCGGCGCGTAGACGGCAGCGGCACCAGTGGGGATGGTGATCTGGGAGCTGGTGGGCACGACGCCGCCGGTGCCGGTTGGCTTGGCAGAGCCGGTGGTCGATGCGCCGGTGCTGGTCGGCTTGGCAGAGCCGGTGGTCGATACGCCGGAGCTGGGGCTCTTGTTGCCGCCACCGTTGTTGCTGCCGGAGTCTTTGCAGTCCTTGTAGGCATCCTGGGCCTGCTGGAGGACCGTGGTGAGCTTGCCGGCGAGCTGCTGGGCGATGGGCTGGGCGGCCTCGGGCACCTTCTTGACGACGGCATCGATGAGGGCCTTCGAGTTGGACTCGATAGCGGAGATCTGGTCCTGCACAGTCTTGCACTCGCCAGCCTTCTCAACATCGGGCTTGCGCTTCTCCAGGGTGTCGGTCAGCGCGGTGCCGGCCTTGGTCAGCTTGTCGACGGAGCTGGTGAGGTTGATGGCGTCCTCGGCGGTCAGGTCGGGGCCGCCGTCGACCTTGGTCTTGCCGTCCTTGAGGTCGGAGACGAGTTGGTCCGCGGCCTTGACGAGATCCGTCTTGTCGCCCTTGTAGGCATCGGCAGCGTCTTTGACCTTTCCGATGTCACTCTCGACAGTACTCATGACGCCGTTGATGATGGTGGCGTCACGGGCGACGATGCCGGCCATGGCAGTGGAGGCAAGGGTGAGAGCCACGACGAACTTCATGTTGACGGTTTGTAAGACTTAATCTTGGAAGGAAGACTTTGTAAGTAAAAGAATGTTGTATAGATTCGAGAAAAGCGAAGGTGAGGGTTAATGGGGATGAAAGGAAGAAACAGCGTCCAAGGGAAGGGGCGGGGAGGGGCAGCGAATATATAGGGAAAACAACACAAGGTTTTAGGCCGGCGAGAGATGGCCACATTGTATGTAAATTTGTTTCTGCGGCAGCTTGTCAAAGCATACACCATCATCAGCATGGGCCTAGGGAGGCGTCTTGGTACCTCTTACACGCCATACCAATCAACCCGACGCCTCCAATCGGGGGGCGTGTGGCCTGTGAAAGGGGTTGCTGCCGAGGCTGCCCGTATAAATGGGTTCATTATTATAAGACGAATTACCAGGGAGTGGATCAGGTTTGGCGAGTAGAGAGAAGTTGCTGCAGCCAGGCATCCATCCTCCAAGGGGGGTGGAAGATGTCAGCCCATCACGGGCCCAGACAGGCATCGTGGTGCAGAACTACGTCTGCATGTATGTATGTATGTATGTATGTATGTATGTATGTATACATGTACATGTACGCAGAGGGGGAGTTATTGTCAGTTAGAAGTCGTATGGTTAGTTGCAAGTCCGCGTACTCATCGATCTATTAGCCTTGGGCGGTGCACATCTAGACGGCGACGGCCGAGAGGTCAGCTCGTCCGTCCCTCATTCGGACACCGGACACAGGCTCAGTCTAGCTTGAAGCTCGGTTCAGGTACCGTGCAGGATCAAAGCAATATTCGGGCCGCGCAAGGCTCTGACAGCGAATGCTGTATCTCCCTAGGAAGCAGATGGCCGCTGCAAGAGAGTCATTTCGTGTTATCTTGGGCCAACGCCTTCACACGGACATATTCCCTTTACCTGGACAAGTCAACGTCATCACTTGGGAAATTGGGCACGTTTCCGTACTTTTTTTTTTTGACCGCTCCCTGACTTCGTTGACAACTGTGAGCTCGAGGTTTCTGCTGAGCTACTGAGCTACGCAGTACACCACCATAATAGCATGATGTATGACAGGCACATCAAAGTACCCCGGCCAGTTCTCCGCAAAAGCTGTCGCTTTTCTTTCTAGGACCGGCCCGGTCCACCTGCTCCCTCCCGATTCCCCTTGCCCATGAACGATTTGCTTCCCCGCGGTGATCCTGCTGGCCAAGAGAGTTCGACTTGATATGAGCCCAGGGTTATTTGGTATCATGGTAAACACTTGGTTTTTGGCCTCAATTCACGGACTGTGGTCGACTGCCCGCGACGATGAAACTCGTTACAGTCAGAGCGAAACGAGGACAAAGTGGTTGCTGCGGCCAACCACAGCAGGCCCTGACACCAGCTTCCTTCATCCTTCAATGCAAGCCACTTGCCACTTCAACCCAGTCAGGCACCGGAAGAGGCAAATTTCGGGCTTGCTATTTGAGTGACTTGGCCACCTTCCCCTTTCTTGTGTGCTTGCCACACCTGCATGATGGCCAAATCGAGACACACCCCCGGCGGTGGAAACTCATGTGAGGGAGAATGGGCTCGGGTTCAATGCCTTGAGGGCTCAGTTAGCTCATAAAACCTTTCCAGATTAGCACAATCCATGACGGGCTCTCAATTCACTAAGAATATGTCGGTTGGGTAAAGATACTTGAGCTGGAATGGGCGAGGGCCTAGTCAGGCTTTAATTACAGATTAACCCGCTTGAAACTATCGGCTGCAGACCCCACGACTGATGCAACATATAGCTTTACAAATATAGAGGGGCGCCGGCGAACCGATCCCTCTACTCCTTCCACAGTTGGATTTGCTTCCATAACAACTGTCGCTCAGGAGCTTCACATGTACGGAGTACAGGCAGTGGAGTACAGGCGAGGAAATATTCCTGCAGCCGCCACAGACAGGAAGGAGGGTGTGCAGTATTGCCTATAGACAGAACTCATCAGAAATGGAAATTTGATTAATATACATTGTACATTGCTAAAAACATGTGCTTTTCTGTTCATACTAGTTCGTTGAAGCATGGGCAATCCACAGGTTGAGAACTGGCTGTCGCTTCTATCGCGCCCCCCGTCTCCCCAAGGCTAGGAAAAGCAAAGGTATTTCTATTTTGTACTAGAAATGAACATTTGATACTCAGAGCTTTTGCAGAACAACAATCTGTCAGCATGTAGATGTACTTTTTAATGTAGCCGCGCGCTACCTTGGGGCCACTTACACCGAAACAGACATGGCGGGCGAATGGCGGGATTCTTTCATGGCGGCGAACGTCCTACAAAGGGATAGAGGATAGAACAAGCTTTATAAGTGACGCGTCGATAAAATCCTATTACCCTTATGGCCACAATCCATTGATCTCGTCGCCCAACCCCTTGGAAGAATCGTCCGCCGAAATATTCCGCTGTGAGCCGTCCGAACCTGGCCCCCTAAAAATGGAAACCAGCGAGAAAATGTGCTGCCGGGCCTAATCACCCGAGCCACGAACCTAACCTGCAACGGCTGGGTTGCGTGGAGATGAAGATGCAGTTAGTTGCGGGGAAAAGACAACTGTAATGTGGAAATTACCTTTCAACCATCCCAGGACTTGGAAGAACGAGAGACTCGTTTCCTCTTGTCTCGGGGTGTCTTGTAGGGAAACACAGTCCAGAACAACCATGTTACTAATAACTTATAATGAGGGACAACACTTTTAGTAAGTAACGAGCCTTGTCTCCGTTCGAAAGCTGGCCAGAGCCCGGCTTGTCAAGCTGTCAACCTTGCCTTGCATTCAATAGATGGGCACTGCAGCAATAAGCCACAGCGCCACCGTGTGGTAAAAGTACGAAGTTATGCCATGATACTCGGCCAATTAGCAGTTGCAGCCAACCTTGTCAGAAGCACTCAGAGCCCCTTGCCACTTTATTAGGCCAGGAACGCTCTTCAACTCAGGTGTGGCGTCCTCACAATATTTTTTGTCAAAGGAGCGGGTTGCACCTCCATGCAACATGTCCAGTTGCAACTATATTGCCGATTGTACGAACTTGCACTCTCAAAGCTTGGCCAGTGGAATGAAAGGCTGAGTCTCTGCCTAGCGACTTACTATCGAGGCATCTTTACTGGAGGCTTTTGCCGATATTCTGCTACCTGCACCAATTGGCAGCGGCCGTCGCAGATGCGTCGCACCAAGACGTAACTCAATAAATATGTTCAACATTTGAGACATCAAAGCCGTCTTAGATTAACTGGCAACTGCGTCTCAAATTGAAACCTGGGAGCGAAAGTCTTCAACATGTGATGATGACATGAGACATTCAGGGTAACTATTACCACGGTGCGCCGCTAAGAACCAGGAGGGAGCACGGTCAAGCAGCGTTTAATACATCGCCAGTGGCATGCAACCTACGGTTTGTAGATTCTATCTGCACAAACTTGCCAAAGTGCTATTGTCATAATTTTGCAAGCTCTGAGCTTTGCTTTTTGCTGTCTGTCTTTATACCACCATAACGCTAGCTACGCCGACTAACAAGTATGAAGGAACTGTTCACAACTCAGTGTCAATATGGCTACTCGAATTCTGTTCTCTATGCAATTCCGTATCGTCCCAAAACTTATCAATTGCGAGTAAATTCTCCATGCATCTTTTAGAAATCTGCTGTTGTCGAGATTGCGACTCCCACACGTGATGGCACTTTGACGTCAGCCCCTCTCCATCCCGCCAAGCCATGGCAGGCTGCAACCTGGAGAGCTCCCCCGACAAGCACCGCCATCGCCATCACCATCACCAGCGAACCCTCAAAAGGAACTATCAATATTCATAGCCCGACCCTGCTACCTGCTACCCCAGAGGCCTGCGCACACAAAAGCACCACCACCCGCAACGCCGACCATGGCCGAGCCTCTCCCCGCCGCGCTCAAGATCCCCGAGATCAGCCGGTTCGTCAACCGCGCCAACCAGCTGCGCGCCGTCAAGCCCGCGCTCGCCTACTGGTGCGAGTACCACGCCGTCAACCAGATCGTCGGCAAGGGGTTGCACACCACCGACGACGACTGCTTCCAGTTCACCCGCGCCCTCATCGAGCGCCTCGAGGCCACCAAGGCCGAGCGCCCCGACGACGACGCCATCGTCGACAACGCCGCCGGGCAGGCCTATGTCGAGGTCTTTGCCCAAGAGACGCTCGACCGCGCCGAGCGCACCATGCGCGCCAACAAGGTGACGAGGTAAGAAGAAGGAGAGTGTTGTGCTGCGCCGGGACGAGCTACAGGGGGGAAAGGACTGTTTTGCTAAACGAGGCTGGTCGTTGTCTAGGCAAACGGCAGACACGTTCGACGCAGCCGCCACCTTCTTCGACCTCACCCGCGAATGGGGCCCGCCCGAGCCCGAGACGCTCCAGAAGATCAAGTTCGCCAAGTGGAACGCTGCGCGCATCCTCAAGGCCATCCGCCAGGGCCAGGACCCCAACGAGTCCAACCCGAAGGCCCCCGAGCCCGAAGCCGCGCTCTCACCGGAGGACCTGGCCGAGATCGGGCTCGACCCCGCCGCGACAGGAGGAGGCACGGATAACGCCTGGGGGCCGCCGCCAGTCTCGCTCGAGGAGGTCCCCGACGCCGGCGAACCACTACCGCCCACGACCGACGCAGAAGCGGGGAGCTTCTTCCCCGCAGCACCACCGTCACCACCCACCGCGACGTCGCCGGAGCCACCATTCGTCCCATCCCCGATCACCACGCCGCCGCCGCCGCCCGCTCAGGCAGCAACAAACCTACAACCGACGCCGTCGCCCTCTTCTTCACGGCCGCATGTGCCGCCTCCGCAACCCTCATCCCCGATTCCGACCAGAGTAGCTCCCGAAATAATTCCGCCGCCGGAGCCCCTCCCCGCGGTGCAGCCGAGAGAGGTGCCTGCGTCGGTGATGGCTCCGTCGGCAGCCCCCGTGCCGACGCCGGCATATGCGCCGGCCACGAATATACACCGCAAAGACCTCAACCAGGCCCAGAAGCATGCAAAATGGGCCATCTCAGCCCTTAACTTTGACGATGTGCCCACGGCCATCAAGGAACTGCGGAACGCCCTAGCCATGCTGGGGGCTCAGTAGCAGGAAAAGCACACCTTGGTTTTTAATGAGAGACGAACCAAGGTAGTAACGGGGATGGTGGAGTGGAAATAGTTTAGTTATTGATACTCCTAGCCAACAAGCCATGATATATTTGAATGCATAGTTAAAAATTGAAACCCCCGTTGCCATATGAAGGAGGTGATGCCGTAATAGTCCCGATGCATTGCACGGCCAAAAGTCAGATAATCTGTCGTAAATTCATAGCGAGTTGACCTTCTCAGATGGCCAATCTCACGATACCCAGTTTCAATAACACAAAAGGTGAAGTGGCAAAAGTAGCAAGAATAATCTACGCAACAGCAACAAAGCTTTGCGCTGTGAATCCAGTAATAGGTATACTATCCAGATATCGGTTCGGGACGCCATTTTTGGTAGGCGGTTCTTCATCTTCCGGTGCACCAACCCATCCGCGATCAGGGCCCCAAGTGATGACCTTGTCTGATGCGGTGGCAATGCTGAAGAGAGATCGCATCATTGCGCCTCTCTTCTGCACACTTTCGTATGCGTCGAATTCAATAGTGCGAACCGCTGGCAGACCTTTCAGGGTTTCTGCCAGCAGTTTTCGACTGAATTCCTCGTAAAAGCCATCCGCGCGGCGAAAATTGTTAAAGATGTTGTCACTCGGGTCGACCTCAACATAGACGGATAGAGTGTGGACGTGAATGCAGTCCTTTAGCCCGAGAGCAGCATTGACGACCCATCCAGGGGGTGGCGCGCTCCAGCCAGGTCCAAGGCGCATCTCAATCTTGGTCAGGCATTGTCGCTGTCTGGCGGAAAGACGGGCCAAAAGAGGCTTCTTTGTCTTGAAGTACCGGCCGGTACTCGTAGGGAAGAGGCGAAAGGTTCGAGTGCTGTAAAAGAGGTGTGTCGCTTCATTGCTAATGAGCCGGCAAGTCCGCATCAGGCCCAGTCTTTTGTGAATGCGCTTATGGTTCTCTCGTGTCAAGTCCAAGACCTCAGTGATGTCGGCAAAAAAGTATTCGTAAATCTTGATTCGCAGCTCCGATGGCAGGGACAGAAGCGGGAATGTCTTCTCTGGAGCCTTTGGCTTTGGCTTTTGAAATGTGCGAAGGGGTGTGTCAAGTGTCAATGAAGCAATAGAGGCTATAACTTCTTCAGTCTCCGTGGCAGAGCCAGTTGCGAACGAAGGGTTGACGCTTGTTAGCTCTGCCGATGTCTGCGCGCGTGTCGGCTGGTTACCCCTCTGTGTCGTAGAGGCGCGCCTCACAGATTTTCGAGGCATTTTTGGAAATAGATTGAGGAATTCCCGTAGCAAGCGCGTGTGCCCGCCAGTGGAAGTTGCGGAGTGGTGTTGGTCTCGTAGAATGGGTGGCGAAGTTGTTATCTCCGTAGCGTCTAGGTAGAAGAGTTTGCGCTGGGGATTCGTCGACAAAATATTCCAAGCTTTTCTAGAGATAATTCAATCGGAGTCCAGACGGGGTCTGATCAGTATTAAACAGCTCTGAGAATAGAGTACAGCGTTGAGGGTGGTGCCATTGCGATGTCGCGAAGAAGGGTCATCTAGGAACCACCCTCTAGACTGCAGCGGGAGCGGCCATTGCGCCGAGCTGGATGAAGAGTAAAAGGAGCGGGAGACGATATCAAGGGCACGGCCGCCAACGGGGAAGAAGATGAAGGAGCGGAAAACACGAGGCGCGGAGGGAGCAGTGAACTAGGGACAAAGTCTCGTGCTACTGAAGTGAGGGAGGTGGGAGAGTATCGCCCAAGTCGGTGACAGACCGGAGACAGTTGCAGACCATGACTTGCAGGTTGCAGGTGCTGCCGACACATGCCCGGGAACTCCACTTCAGGCTTCTGCAGCGCTAAAGGACAAAATACAGGGCAGCAGGCCGCTATAACATGCCGCTAAGACTGCCTCCGCCTACCTGTCCGGGTCTCGGGGAAATGAAAATTCCGGGCAACCACTGCCGATTCCTGGTGGCACCACTTCTGTTCCACTACCGCTGGATGAGGTCAGCCGGGAAATTTTTGGTGGACAAGGAGGCATGCTGGTTAGCTTCAACGCAGTCTTCCTGCGTTTTAATTCTTGTACCCTCGTCTATCGACATACAACAACAAATTCCCCGCGGCAGCTGGTGTGAAGGCGCAACACAATTCCCTGCTTCAGGTCTCGCCGTCGCATCGCGCTGCAATTGATTTGAAACACGCCTTGCAACATGCTGTCAAGGCTCGTCCTGGCTCCCCGTGTGGGCATTGCCAGTCTCGCCCGACAGGCCGCCGCCCCAAGCTTGCGCACCCGCGCAGCCATCGCCGTGCCGTCGGCGCTGCTCGCCCGACCTTACTCGCAGAAGAACGATAAGAGCGCTGCCTCACAAGCCAACGAGGGTGCAAAGAAGAGCCCTGCCGCCTCCGAGGAAGCTCCGTCATCTCACCAGCCGACCGAAGCTTCCTCGGAGCAACAGCCACAGCCCAAGGATGCGTCGGCCGAGGCCGCCGACTCTTCGACCGATTCTGCCAAGGAACCCGAACAAATACCCTTCCACAAGCTCCCAGATCTGACGCAGGGCATTCCTTCCACGTTTGCGCAGGAGATGGCTGAGAAGGCCGGCCAGAAACCTGCGTCGTACCTGCAGACGATCGAGCAGGAAGAAAGCTCGACTTCCCGCCAACGTCGCGACCCATACGACTCGTACGAATCGACGCATCAGCTCAACCGCCGAAAATATACACGATTTGCGATGGCCCTGGCCGCCATCGGAGGCGCAGCCACTCTGGTCTACATGGGCCGCAACTGGGAGGACTCGATCGATGCCGAGCGTCACCCAGACGCGCCCAACGGCTGGGGTGTCGGCCTGTGGTGGAACAGGGTCAAGGCCCGCACCACCGAGTCCATCACCTACTACCAAGAACCCGCCTTCGACAAGCTGCTTCCCGACCCCGAGCCGCTATTTGCGCGCCCGTACACGCTGTGTCTGAGCCTGGACGAGCTCCTCGTCCACAGCGAGTGGTCGCGCGAGTATGGGTGGCGCGTCGCCAAGCGGCCGGGCCTCGATTACTTCCTTCTCTACCTATCCCAGTACTATGAGCTCGTCCTCTTCACCACAGCCTCTAGCGTCATGGCAGAGAATGTGCTACAGAAGCTGGACCCTTACCACATTATCATTTGGAAACTATACCGTGAGGCTACCAAATTCGAGGACGGCGAGATTGTCAAGGTAAGTAGCTGCAGCTACCCACGCGTGCACTTCGATCCGAAACTACAGGCCCGCTAACATGGATATCATCCAGGATCTCTCGTACCTGAACCGTGACCTGTCCAAGGTCATCATGATCGACACGGACGCGAAGCTCGTGCGCAAGCAGCCCGAAAACGCCATCATCCTACCCCCCTGGAAGGGCAACTCCTCCGATCGTGGCCTCATCAATATGATCCCCTTCCTCGAGTACATCCACACCATGGAGTACGACGACGTCCGCCGCGTCATCAAGTCCTTTGAGGGCACTGATATCCCCACCGAGTTTGCGCACCGCGAGGCCGTCATGCGCCGCGAGTTTGAGAAGCGCAACCCGTCCGCCCGCAAGCCCAAGGTCTCCGGCTTCGGCGCCATCGGCAACATGCTCGGCCTCAAGTCCAGCAACATGAGCATGGCCATGCAGGCCGAGGGCGAGCAGAGCGCCAGCGAAGCCTTCGCCCAGGGCAAGATGCTCCAGGACATTGCGCGCGAGCGCGGCCAGCGCAACTACGAGTTCATGGCGAAGAACATCAAGGAGAACGGCGAGAAGTGGGTCCAGGAGGAGAAGGAGGCGATGGAGAAGGCCCAGCAGGAGGCCATGAACAACATGATGGGCTCCTTTGGCGGCTGGTTCGGCGTCGCCAAGCCCGCGGACGCCCCTGCTGCTACCTCCGAGGCCAACAAATAAAGAACAGGAAGAAAAGCAAGGGGAGCCGTTCTCTACTCTCCCCATTCACGCCTCATTGGCGGGTTCACGATGAGCTCGCATGGAAGGAATAATAACCGACAAGTCTTCGTCATCTTCGCCACGCAGTCGAAGCCAAAAACGAAACAAACTTCTTACGCCACTTTTTTGTAATTTTTTGTAGGACTACGAACCGTCCACACTGAGTAGAAAGAAAAAAAGGAGAGAGGGCTGGCTGTGACGCAGCAGCTGTGTCTTAGTATCATCGGGAGGGTTGCATGGGCAGGGCAGGATATGTCCTTTATATAGATTCAGCATTTTCTTTTTGGTTTCTTCCATGTTGGGCACCTTCTGTCGACGAAAGGGGACACTGAAGTTGAACACGGGCAAAGTGAAAGACATCGATGTGCGAGGTACAGATGTCATTGTATACTACAGGTGTATTAAAGAAATGATTGTTCAAGACATCTTGTATAGGTCCCAAATCTGTGCTCTCGTCTCCATTTCGCATCAGTGCCATTTACTTGGCAATCGTTCGCTTGCCAGATCGTCTACCACCAATGAGGCAACGCTCGCAGTCGGTATTGGTGATGCACTGGAAGTAGCTACACGGCTGGTTAGCGCGGGACTCCTCCCTCGTTGTTAAAGCACGTACTTATGGCTGTCTTTATCCTTGATCTTCGAGCAATCACACCAAGCAGCGCATGACGGGGTCGGGTTGGCGGATGCCGCGGTCGTCGAATCATGGGTAGTCGATTCAGGAACAGGCTCCGGCACAGGGGGGAATGGGATCCCGCAACCAGCACACTCGGGCTGTTGAAGACAGCTTTCATAGCTACAAGGGTAAGCAATGATGCACATGAATGAGGGTGTCAACTTACGCATCAGGATCTCCGTATTTTGGTCCGCAATCGCAGTACGATGGGCACGTTGGAGGAGATGTTTCGGTTGGAGTTGTGCTCCTTGTTGTGAAAAACATTGATGTCGTCATCGTCTTGTATAGAGAAGTCTGTACGGAAGTTGGAGCAGCTGTAGCTGTCGGCAATATAGTGCTAATCACCGTGTGTACTCTTGTGCTAGTCACTGTCATTTTTGACTTGGTCGTCTTAGTGACAGAATCGGTGATTGTGGTAATGTCGGTAGCAGTAGCAGTTGGAGTATTGTGAGCAGTCGGGTATCTCGTGATGGTCAAAGTTGATGTCGCTGTCATTATGACAGAATTGGTAATTGTAGTAAAGTCAGTGACTGTAGCAGTGGGAGAAGGTACAACAGCAGCCATGACAGTTCCATCCGATGTGATTGTGTAGGTGCCTGGAGTGAGTGTCTCAGTTGCGTAAACTGTAGATGTCGACGGTGCAGACGTCGTGTCTGGCGCAGTACACGCGGCACATTTGGAATTGGAGATGCACTGAAAGTATCTAAAAGTATGGGAGTCATTAGACTTCAATCTAAAATTCCGCCAGGTCGGGATGCATACTCATCACAGTCTTTGTCTTCAATTCGAGAGCAATCGCATTCGCCATATGACAGGCAAGCGGCAGGGTCGGAGTCAGGTTGGCCTGCCTGGTCAGATGGCTTGCAAACGACTTTGCTGATGCATTGCGCATATCTTGTTAGGGAGTATGTGTTAGCGAGCGTCATCTCCGGCCATTCTAAGTAATCAACTTACCCAGCCTGTGCCTCTGGATGATTGAGACACCATCCAACAGCAAGCTGGCCAAATTTCACAGCCATGGCGGCGTGAGAATACAGCACAGCGTGTGCCAAGAAAAGCAGTGAATATCGATACATATTCAAGGTAAAATAGTGAGTGTATGTGATATGTCTATTGCATAGGTTGAGCCGAAAATGAATATCCTGTCGTGAAGATAGGTTGCGGCACTGTAGCTTCGGCACAAAGAGTCTCGGGATATCGCTGCGTTTATATGCAAAAAGGAGAAGGTTTTACAAGCACGATTTATCGACTTCATTGCTACAATTAACACGTGGCTCCGGTCTGCTCCTGCAGTGTCACTCGTCGACCGCAGAACACCTTCCTCATAATCGCAGCGCAAGGCTATGACGGCGCGAAACCCGGGTATTTCTCTCCGCAAACCAGTAGGTACGCTCTTACCGTATCGTACGGCTTCTATTATTATAAGTCAAGTTTCTCAACGAGAGCAAGCAGAAACAAACGTCTCTAACGGGAGCACGGGTATGTTACCGAGCATGTGATACTCGAACAGTAACAACCAATGTTAACGTCGTACATCCCTCGATCGAGGAAGACTGCTCTCTGAGATTATCGGATACATGGATTGACTTCAAAATATTGCTTTGAATTTTTCTCATCGGCGATTCTGTTTTAGCGGAACCAGTGCAATAGCTATATATGTACCAAGCCGCACCCAAGCTATCAACGAAGTACAACAAAACAACAATTCAATACTCCAAGGCGCTTCCAATAACACGGCCTATTTGGGTACTACAGAACGTTTATAGTTCCGCACAAACGAAAACTGAATCGTCTCGTGACGTTGCAGCGGACATTGATTGAAGGCAGCAATTGAGCCTGGGGAGCCGCCTACCACAGAGTTCGCCGTAGTTTGCCCAAGTGTTTGCGTATTCAGTTTCGCATCAGCTCACTCAGCCGATCTTCGGATCCGTTTGCACAATTTTCAATTGTTCGCACAGCAGCAGGCTCTCTTTCTTCGCAACAAATGACTCGCCGAACGCTCGCCAGAGGGACTCATTAATGCTTTTTTGTAATTATTCTATATGCTAATGTATGTGTAGCTTTCAAAATCAACTTCATTGGCTCGGCTTCGAGCTGCTCTTCTCTTGCGGCTTGTCGTCGTTGATAGGGTTGTGTCGCATCCTGCTCTTCGCTTCTGCCCAAAGGGCAAGGATCTGTCTTCGCGTCCACTTCTCAACAACAGCATAATGGCCATCAACATCGACACCAGAAGCTGCCATGGCGGTAACTGCTACGTAGGAGGTGGCACAGGCAATCGTTCCAAAAATAAGAAAGTGAGTGAGCCACCAAAAGTGTTGCGAGCCAAGTGGGCAGTCAATGTATTCGTGCTCCCACTCCCAGGTGTCAAAGTTGAACCACATGCTCAGGAGGCCAGCATTGCCGCCGAAATCACCCATCATACTGCGCACGGTAATCTCTCGGCGACCCGGTAGACCAGGGCGTGAGGGGTAATCCATCGACTTCGCATCTCCCCATCGAACTGTTTCCCAAGACCTCTCGTAAGAGTCTGTCCCGTTTGTTTGGTTCACAAAATGATACGTGTCGCAGCCTTCATGATCGTGCCCATTCATGACCATGCCTTTGCGACCCAGTCCGTTGGCAGGAGCGTTGGTATCTCCGCTTACGCCAAAAATGCCCTCCAGCAGACCCTTGCTGGCGTCACCGCTCAGTAAGTATTGCTCCTTCAATCCACCGCCATCCGCTTGGCTGTGGAAGTCGAAGAACGGAGCATCGACACAGATCCCAGCAGGCTTGTACATCGGAATGTGTGTGAGTATGAGGGTGAAATGGCCGTCAAACTCGACGGCGGCGGATGTTCCAATGACAGAGTTGATAAACTTGTAAGTCTCGTCTTGTAGCGGTACGGATTTCGCAGGTGTATCCAAGTTCATATCGTTAAGGACGACAATTCGCAATTCTGGCGCTAATCGCCTCGAGTCTGGATTCGTTTCTTCGTTGATGATGGTCGCGTTATGATCGGGATCGGTAACGGGAAGTTCAAAACGTAGCTCGTAATTTGCTTTGCCGAAAATACGTTCAAACCGCTCGAGGCGCTCCTCAGTCAAGTCTCCAGCATAGCCAATGTCGTGATTACCTGCAACATTGATGATGCGCTTCTTCCAAATATCCTCTTCTGGTGAACCATTGAGAAACCCAGTAATGTTATATTCATCAGCTGGAAATACGGCCACGTCGTCGGGGACGCGCTTTCCGCCTTTGAACGTCCTGTTCCAGAACCGGTGACCTCGTTTCTCGAATTCGTCATCCTCGATCCATTGGCTGCCGAGCAGGTCACCCAAAACACTAACATGCGTTGGTTGTGTCCACCAATGCAGGGTTCTATAAATGTGGGCGAGGTAGAAGTCGTTCCCGAAAAGGTCAAAGACCTTGCGCGCGGATTCGAAAATGTTCGGGATGTCGTCGAAGAAGATATCGACGAGGTCGTGCATGGCCCATCGGATGCGCTCTTTTAGAGATGGGTGACATGTTTGGAATGTCAGCTGCTTAAGAAGCAGTGGAATATGCGGCATGAATCCTGCATATGCGAGGGGAATTGAGGTATCGCCTTCGAGCTGGGGATCGCCGAGCGCAAGTAGCCGAAAGGGTGCCTGCTTCGTGGGCACGTTGGACAACGATTCCTTGTCTGCGAAGGGCCAGTGGAGCTTCTTTGTCTCCTCAAATGCTTCGAGTGCATTACGCGACGGTAAAGGAAACGCGCATTGCCCAAAGAAGGGGTAAAAATAGAGGTAAAGCGAACAAGCTAGCGTCAAAGGCACCAGCAGGCCGAGGCCATTGCGCAACCTCGACGCGACTAACATGTAGCCGGCTGCATGTATGAACAAGCACAAAGATGGTCAGCACAGCTGGCCCGGTTGAAGAAACGAAAAGGGCCGGTGGTTAAGGAATGTCTAACGTTGGCAATGGCATACTTCAGAGGAATAATAAGGAAAGGGGCTGGCATGTGAGGGCATCGCCGCTATCGATTGCTGATTTCGGCTTAGTCATGATACGTGGCCTCGGCTCTACCATAAAGCTGCTGCTGGGCGTGCTTCAGCTTCCATACCCTTTTGAACTATATGATTTCTTCTCCTTCTGTATTCTTTTCTCCGTTAATTTCGCCGTAAGGCTGCTGTGTCTTTACTGAGAAAGACTGGGTCTCTGCTTTGCTTGGATCTGCCGCGTGGTCTTGGATCTGGGTGTCACACGCGAATCGCCTGATAACTTACCCTAGACCACGTCTTGTATCTTTAATCAGCAGCTCAACATGGCTAGAAATCGCGTAAATCTATGTCTCAGGGTAGGGGTACATTATAACCGTCTGATTTCTTTGGTCATTGTTTTTCGTTTTGCAAGGCCATATTGTTCGCATTGTTTATATTAAATGTTACCCAGTAGTAAAGCTGGATTACGGTGAGGGCCTCATTAGCATTGGTAGGGTCGCTACGTCAAAGGAGAGGCTAAATCCTACGTGCCATGTCTTGTCCCATACCAGAAAGAGAGGAGCCCAGTCTACTTATCATACGACCAAGAAGAGCCCATGAACGTTGGTTCAATACCACGGCTACTATAGTTAACAACAGCGTACAGATGGTGCAGCTTGTCTAGGTATGTATGCAACAAAGCAATACCAATATGTGTAGAAGAAAGACACCAGTGCTAACCAATGGCTTATACGACAGAAAAACGATCGGAAAAGGCATCCGTCATTTCAGGTTTTTGCATATGTTGTGGCCAGTTGACAAATGCCTTGGTGACGAATGGCTGTGCTGGCAGGTGACCAACGGACCAAGCTTGGACAACGTCAGACACGCCACTTCTTGAGCCGTCATCGGAGGTTACTCCGCGGCGCTGGGAATTTCCCCCCAAAGACCCGTGATCTTTAGTAAATCGGTTCAAACACCAAGTTCATTAATTCCGCTGCCTCCGAGCGACACTAGGGTTCCTGTTCGTATAGTTCCTCATCCTCCACCGGCCACTCCACACGAAAGACGACGTCATCTAGGTCATCCCCATCTTCTACCAACATGAAAGCCACAAGACTGTTATTCTTCAGGCCGCATCTCGTTGGCGTGAAGCCCTCATCTGACCCGGTATTGATACGTTTCCAGCCGTGGGAAGGGTCGTCGTGCTTATTTAAAACGCCGTAGACAAACTTGGGCTCTGCGGGGATGGCCGTCTCCATGGGCGGCTCCAAACTCGTGGTGAGCCCTGCGGGATAGCGGTCGCGTAAGATATCTGCAAGTTCACTGCTAATCTCCGAGAAGGGAGCCTGGGAATCGACAAATAGGTAGAATGTGTGCACTCCGTGCCTGAAGCGCACCGAGAGATGTGAGTCGTCTATCTCAGCCTGTTGCCTGCCATATTAGGAGCCAAGTGAGAGGTTGCCAGAATCCGGGCCCTACGTACCATGTTGCGCCGGTTGAGGCAGATTTGCGGTTAGACCTTTTTTTGCTAGGCCCGGAAGAAATTATCGGTGACGTTTTCACGCCAAGATTGAGAGCTGACTGCACAGAGAGGAGTTGCTGCAGAGAGCTTACCGTTCAGCGCGTTAAGTAGCGACACGAAATCACGTGCTTCCGCGCGCAGTTGCCTTCCTGCTACGCAAAACCTTTGAAGCCCAAGTTGCTGGCGCTAAGGAGTACGAAAAAACATAGAAGCGTCGCAATTGGCTCTACACAGCTTACGAAAAGTTTCATAAGTCGACACTAAGCTTATGCAACCAGAATTTCTTGGCTCGTTCACAAGGGGTAATTCTGTGATACCGGGCTTCGCCTAGAGAGGTGCTGGCAAGCTGACTGGCGAGTCCCACCAGTACTTGACTGTCGCAAGATTCCTAGCTGAGAGGCCTTCGTTGAGCTGTTCGAGTGAAGGAAGCGAGAGGATTCGAGACACGGCTCCGGTACCGCTTCGCAGCTTCTACAAGCGGGTGCGTTGGGAGTTGAGAACCGGCAGCATCGCTCACTCGCCTGGAAAAGGGGAACACAGCAGCATATGGTCTCCCAGGAGCAAAAGAGAGCGCATCAGACGATGGCACCCGATTCAGTGACGAAGGGCGATGCCTTTGCATCGCTGTCCCGGGATGGACAACAGGGGCAACAGACGACGGCAACAGCAGCGGCAGCGCCAACTCCACCAGAGCTGTTGCCGGCCTCATCGGATGCCATGCGCCTGTCCATGCTAGCACCGACGCGACTGCTGCTCGGATCGCTCGCTTCAACCATGATTGGGTTCATGCTGGGAAGCTTCCAGGGTGGGCAGATGGCCCAGCTACGATTCCGAGCAGAGCACGCGCACAAGATGCCAGACACGACTACGGGCTGGTACTTTTACCACAAGTCGAAAAACTACCATGCGATGCAGGGCGGCATCCGTGAAGGATTTCGGATGGGGGCCAAGACGGGGTTCTGGAGCTTTGCGGCGCTCAGCTTGGAGACGACAGTCGACCGCATGCGCGGATGCAGCGACATGCTTTCGACAGTTGTGGCGACGGTGTCGGTGGCGGGTATGTTCTCATTGACACGTAAGTAGTTTCCCCCCTGTCATGCAACGGCTGGATATCTCATCTCGTCGCCCCCTCGCAATGAAATCTCAGATTTGCCCATAGGCAGATAGTATTGCGTTGCGTGTGGGGGACAGGGATAAATGATTTCTAGTGACACATGGAGAAGAACAAGGGCCGGCTGACACTTTTTGTTTGTCATTAGATCGATTCTCGTTGTCAGCAGCAGCGCGCACAGCACGATACGGTTTGTTGTTTGGAGTTGTGTACGGGGGTGTGCAAGACTTGTCGGCGCTCGCCCGTGGGCGACCGGTTGGCTACGTGGAGGCCATCCGACGTCGGTTGTCCCGTGCTTAAAAATACGACAGCGGGTTTTGGGGGGCCGGGGTGTGTGTGGTGTGCGTGTGAGCGTGGCAGTGTCGGACAGGGGATCCGATAGTGGCCATAAGCCGCCGGGCCTCCGAGAGGGCTCCGAGAGCCCGTTCCGACATGGGCGCTGACCGTGCTCCGACAGGCAAACAGCCAACCAGAGCGCAGCATAGCCCTCAGCTGAGGGTCCTCTGCAAGGGCCTGCCGGCGCCCCACATCCGAGATCCTCATCGCCTACATCGGCGCACAACGCACCCAAAACGGATGGTCTCTGGCACCTGCTGCATGCCTAGCACCTAGCGCCCCCCGCTCCCAAGTCACCTGGCCCAGGACATCGGAAAGCAGAGGCAAAAGAGGTAAAACTCCAAAAGCCCAAGTTCACGATAGTTTTTTTTTTTTTGGCTGCTGGCAGTGGTGCGAGCATCCCCCCCTGTTTTCTGTTTTCCGCACCCACTACTTCGACACGTAACTGCGGAAGGCACTTTTGGTATGAACTGAAGCGACATTCTATTTTTCTTGGCAGGTCTTGCCTTTGTGATATATGTTTTGTATTATAGCTCTTCCGTGTCTTACATATATTTTTACTTCAGACGCAGGAAGCATACTTTTTCTGTTGTTGCCCACAATCTCGCATAGCCAAAACTCTACCGCCGCGGCACGCTGGGAATGCTGTCCCCGCATCTCATCGCAGCTGTGTGCCTTGTCTTGGAAAAAAACTGTGACCACGTAGCAAGCTGGCTGCTCTTACGAGTTTTAGGTAACACGAAACAATCTGACAGAAGACAAGCGACCCGCCAGCAGCTCGCAAAGTGAGCCGTGGCCGCTTGTGGGAGGTGGTTCACGATGGTTGCGTCTGCAGGGCGACTAGTGAACGCCAACAAAGTTCTGTTGAATTACCAACGCGTAATCAAAGCCATAACAAGAGTAGCGCCAAATGGAGAGACGTCGACAGGGTGAATGCCCGCCACCAATTCAGGACGAACAAGGTGAAACCGACTCTCCGGCCTCTGCGTTTGTCGTACGGCATGCTAAGCTTAACTTTCTTCTTAATTTTTGCTGCAACGTACCCCGAGAGCTTTGAGGCAACACAGTACTTTACCGCTGGCCTAGACTCCTTGCCGTGAGACAGTGATTTTGTTTGGGCAAAGTGAATGCAGCATGGACAAGGAGGGGGGGGGGGGGGGGGGGGGGGCGTGATGCAACGCTGGCACGACATGGCGTGTGCGGCTTGGCTGCTTTTTCTCATGGGTTGGGGCAAAAAAGACGAGACAACAGATGCGAGATGGGCAGGCCATCTGCCGATGCTAGGTTGATGCGCTGGACAATGCGGAGTTGTGAATGATTGTTGGCCATGTTTGCTGATGAGGAGCGCCCCAATCAGCTGAATATGCGACTCTAATAATCTGTTATCGAGGAGTTGGCTTCATCGCAGCAGCCATTGGTGCCCGCGCCGGCTCAGATAACAACATCGCTGGCGGGCGGGCAAAAAAAAGCAAAGCAAGATGGCCATCGAGACAGCGATGCACGGCTACGACGGACACGTCCGCCAAGGACTCGAGAGCGCCCGACGTTCTGGGTTGATAGGTAGGCATCGCGGCTGGTATTATTAGAGCGAGACCGCCAGCCACCGCCAAGCCGCTCGGAGGCAGGCATGCATGGGCCCCGAAAAGACCGTATCGGACGTGTTCCAGCACGCGCAGATAAGCCCTTTTCTTGCTTTCACAATGCAGCCATTCAGGTCGAACAAGAAAAAAAAAGGAGCCCGGAGCCCCATACCGACGGTTACACGCGGGTCGGCCAGCACGCTCCCGTTACACTTACACGTCGGTAAAAAAAGATTTGTGGCCAAGGCCATTGTTCCAACGGCGCCCTTCATTGGCCCTCGCGATGAAGAGAGGCGAAATTAACTTGCGGGGAAGGAATTCACTCTGTGCGTGTGTGTGTGACCTGACTGATATGGCCGCTGGGCGAATGCTCATTACAAACCACCATGGACGGTAGCCGCGCCGGCAGGGCGAAGAAAAAAAAGGGTCCACGTGATGCAGGCTGAGGCGTTCCAGGCGTCTTCTAGCCCCCTAGGTTCATTCCGCACGCCCCCAAGCTTAATCACAATCAATCTCACACACCCCCCTCTCGCTTTTATCTTTGGTCGTCCGTCGGTCGACGATGAGAGAAACAAGAACTGGGGCTCCCTGGCCATTCTTCTGACACATATTACTCCCACCGCCGCGGAGTGGCCCCGGCGTTGTCGGAATCTTGGGGCCACATGGTCGGAATCCTGGTTATCTACGGGTATCTGCGTATACCTTCCCAAAACCCCGAGATTGGGCTCTGCCAGTATGTTTTCTTTGAATCATCTTTGCGGAGTTGACCGGGGTGCCCCCTTTGATGTTGTGTGCCCGTGGCGTAGATAAGGAATACACTTTTGTAATCACACACAGACTCTTGGCCAGGAGACCATGACTGAAGGGAAGGGTGAAGGGTGTGGCGGGTGGTTGCCTGCGAGCAGCAAGGAAAATCATGGGTAATTGGCGATTAACTGGGGAATGGGGAAAAGAATTCAATGTCCGTGGTCACTGGTCACGATGCCTCTTCTATTTTTTTTCTTCCACTTGGCCAAGAATGGGGCAAATGTGTTGCCATGTCCGTTTTCTCCGGCCGGGTCGCCCGTCCGCGCCTCGTTTCGCGCTCGCTCCAAGTCGGCGCCTGCCCAGTCCCGCTCACACCCAGACCACACACCCCCGAACCATCGTGAGTCGTACACCACACTCGTTGAATAATATAAGAAACAGCTGGCCCTCCCCTCCCTCGCCCTTGCTCCCGTCCCTCCTCCTTCTTTCTTCGTCTGCAAGAATACCTTATTTCCAGTTGTGCCTGAGCTAAGATCTTCATCTTGAAATAGCTTGGATCAACCACCAACAGCAAACGCAAACACACTCTTGCCAACACTCCCAAGTCACCGTCGGACCACCCTTCCGCGACCAAAGCACCGAGTCAACTCTTCCACCCATCACCCGAAAAAGGGAAAAAAGTGCTCGCTTGAGTCCATCACCAACTCAAACGAATCGTTTTTTCCAACTTCAACACAAATAAAAGAGTGCAATGCCCTCCGCCCCTGCACGCGGGCTTGCTCACCTGCCCGTGCACCGGGCTATAGTCTCTGCCGTCAGAGTCTCGTCGCCGTCATGCGTTGGTCTTCATGACAAGAGCCGCTTCTCGGCCGCCATCCAGCGCCGCCACATCCACAACTCCGAGCGCATGGCCATCAGCTCCTCGGACCGCCGCACTAACACGGTTGCTGAGCTGCCCACGGTCGACCCTACCACCCAACCACCCAGCACCGAACCCAAGAGCGCTCCTCTGTCGGTTCTGCCCATGACCATGATTGTCCGCTCCCTCCTCACCACCGTGGTCTCTTCTTCTCCCCTCCTCCTCCCTCCCTCGCTTCGCATTATGTCCCTCCTCGCCAACACCCATAACCCGATCCTCAACCCCGACAAGAACCCCCTCCTTCGCTTCTTCCTCAAGAAGACCTTTTACGCCCAGTTCTGCGCCGGCGAGAAGCCCGCCGAGGTTCGGGAAACCATTTCTCGCCTCAAGAACATCGGATTCAGGGGTGTCATTCTCGGTTATGCCAAGGAGGTTGTCCTAACCGAGGATCAGGCCAAGGCTGTCGCTGCTGAGGACCAAGGAAAAGAGACTGATGCGGATATCGCTCACGAGATTGAGCCTTGGGCTAACGGTACCCTCGAGACTGTTGCCCTTGCCGAGCCCGGTGACTATGTCGCCCTCAAGTTCACTGGTGCCGGCCGCCTCGCACTCTATCAGCTCTCTCAGAACAGCGAACCCTCCCCCTACCTGTACAAGTCTATCGACGCCATCTGTGCCCTTGCCCAGCAGCGTGGTGTTCGCCTCCTCTTCGACGCTGAGCAGGATGCTCTTCAGGACGGCATCGACAACTGGACCATGACCTTTGCCCACAAGTATAACACGTCTCCCGAGACTGCCACCGTCTATGGTACCTACCAGGCGTACAAGAAGAAGACCCCCGCTGTCATTTCTAGCCACCTGGCCGAGGCCCAGGAGGGTGGTTTCAGCCTCGGTGTTAAGCTGGTTCGCGGCGCCTACCTCGGATCCGACCCCCGCCAATGCTTCTGGGAGACCCAGGAAGGAACCGATGCCTGCTACAACGGTATTGCTGCCGGTGTCCTCACCCGCCAGTGGGGTCCCATGGTCGAGGGCAAGGGTGAATTCCCCAACGCCCACATGGTTCTTGCCACTCACAACGTCGAGTCTGTCCGCCGCGCCCGTGCCATCTGCGATGCTGGTGGTGCCAAGTCTGGCATTGCTTTTGCCCAACTTCAAGGTATGGCCGATGAGGTCAGTTGCGAGCTTGTCGAGGCCGGCAGCGCCAACAAGGCCTCTGAACTCCCCGTCTTCAAGTACCTTGTCTGGGGAACTACTGGAGAGTGCATGAAGTACCTGCTTCGCCGCGCAAATGAGAACAAGGACGCTGTCGGACGCACACGCAGCGGTCGTGATGCTATGTGGAGTGAGCTCGTTCGCCGATGCAAGACAGCTGTCGGTCTTGCTTAATTGATAACAAAGGGGGCGCAGATTTCCATTTCTTTTGCATACTCTGCGCATTAATGTCTAGTGTCGCACATCATAGCGTTGAATTTTGTTGCTTTCACTATGTTTTTTTTTTTTTGGAGTTTGGTTGGCAATCAGGAATTATCTGGCAAGGAAAATAGATAGAGATTAGCCCACATATATCCCAAGGATAGGAATGATGAATGAAAAAATGAAATAATAATTACTTGTTTCGATGCTTCCAGTGCGTGCGAAGACTCTTTATTCTATACTCCCCTTAAAGCCATGGACCCGAGAATCAAACCTTCTATTTGCTTCTTGCCCTCGGCCTGATCCGGCGTGTTGAGCCAGTTGATGCCGTTGAGCTTGTAGTATTTTCTGACCTTGGCCATGTCTGCGCAGGCCGCAATATTGTCGTCGGAGGCTGGTACGCTGATGCCCTCGACATTCTCTTGCAGGTGCTTGGCTATCGACTCAGTTGGTGCTGGCTGCGGCCGTGCTTCTGTAGGGAATGTGATTTTGACGACCAGGAGGTCCTTGGTAGTGGGGGAGATGCCGAAGCGGCGATAGGCGTCCGCGATCTGCACCGGGTTAGTAGCCGCGAGGGACAAAACCAACAAGGCAGAACAGAAAAACAAGGCCGGGTTCCTCACATTATTGGACGGACTTAGGGAGGCAACTGTCTCGGAGTGGATGTTGGGAGTTTGTAGTGCGCCATTAGCGGCCGCATTGGTAGCTTTGAAGACGGCGGCTAGGAGCTGCATTCTTGAGACGACCTATCTCGAGAGAGCGAAGACGGCCCAGCGGTTAGTTCAAAGTGACGCTCTCAAGGAAATCCGCATGAAGAGGTGCGGGAGGACGGATCATACGACGGAAGCATCGACAAAGGCGTATTCGAAGTCGCTGTTGCGCGCCAGGAGCTGCTGGTGCAGGAATGCGGCGTTTTTCACATCTCGGAAGAGGGCCAGATGCACGGTATAGGAGTCCGGCACGTGCTCGAGCTTGATGACTTCGAGCTCCATGATGAGATTCCGGCTACTGTAGGTGTGCGCTTTTTTGGATGAAGTTGCGTCGTCCTGGTGGTGAAGGAAAATGACTCCGGCTATCGATAGGGTAACTATGTAAGATGAGGGGCAAAAATTCCCCTCCATCCTCGCGGGGCTGTACAGGTGGGGGTAGGTTGCAGTGATCGTCAGCGTTGGAACATAATTCGGGCAAAATACTTGGTTTTCTTTTTCTTTTCTTTTTAAAATAATAGTGAAGATGCTATTTATAGTTAAATGGCACGGGGGATACTTTATTTTTGTGGAACGGCTATGGCTGCCTGCTTTCTGACGAAAAATTGCTGCGGATCGCGTGTATTCTCTGGTGTTCTGCGCGCGCTTTGCGTAGTCTTTCCTCTAGTAGCTCGGTGCGGGAGCGGGACGGCTGGGAGATATTGTTACCCATGGCGCAGATAGAAGAACGACCAAGGAAGATTGACTTTTTTCTGGCTGGCTAATTGATGGATGAAGTGAATAATAATGGTGCTGATTTCTGTTTTCGGCGGGTGGTAGGATACTGGCTGTGTGCCCCCTGTGGGATGTCTTTGGAAGGTTGTCTACGTCATAAAGCTATTAATAGTCTTAGCATTGGTCCATTAGACTTGGTGTTCCCTAGAGATCCAAGGCGTCGCGAGGTGTGAGCCTTGAGAAGCGCCTTCATGTCCCTCTCGTGTCTGTAGTCCCCTTTGCTTGGTGATTTCACAACAGAACAAGGGCGAGGTATCGCGACTCGCCACTCTCGGCCAACACAGGCTAAAGTTTTGGTGTGCCTTTCACACATGTGGCGTTTATTTTCAAGCTGCCCGCTTTTGGTGCCCCTTCTCGACAAGCCAGAATGACGTCTGACAGCGGCTACTTTCCCTGTGCTACCTGCTACGAGAGCTCTTCTTTCCATATTACAACCCATATTTCTGCGAACATTGCAGCTTTGGGCAGAGTATCTTTGAAAGGTATTGTCATAAAAAGTGACTATTGTGATACAGTGCCGCGCGTCTCTCTCAGCCCCGAAGGGTGGTGCAGGAATAAGGTGATGGCTGTCGCTGCATAGACTGAGTGCTGATATGCTCTCAAGTGCGACTTTCGGTCAAGCTCCGAGCTTTGTGATGCTGTAAACCTAAAGATGTTTTCGAAAATATAAATATCTGAGGCCGCCCGGCTTGACTACTTGCCTATGGTGTGCCAACAAGTCTTCTGCTGTTTGCTTCTGCCTTGACTCTGCTTCTCTATCTCTACCCTACACATCTTCTACTCTACACATAGTCCTCTCTGCACATACTCTGCCCTACGCATCCTCTTCTCTAAACATATTCTGCTCTGTCTGTTTTACAGATCTTCAGGTGTTGAGATGGGCGAAGAACATAAAAACTGGTATCTCCTGCCAGAACTTGATTGGGAGAATGAGTTTTTAATCGGAAAACCTTTTCCTACCCATGAAAAGACCAGGTCTCACAAGAATGAGGAAAAACTCAAATTCTACATCCGCTCCACACCAGAAAACGACGAGATCCCAGTGCAAGTCGCAGCCTTGCTAGAGAGACTCCTTAAAGCGACGCCCCCCTCCATCTTACTCTTACTGCCTGGGACAAGGATATCGAAGGGGACTACTGTCAAAGAACGCGGCTAGCACGAAGAAGGTGGAGGGGGAGATGGTAAGGAGGTAGCTGTGAAGTAGCTGTTGTACAGTAGTGACATCGCCAGTAATGACGCTATTGATCACTGGAGGAGGGAAGTCCTCCTCCAGTGGTTCCTCCCTACGAGCCCGCTTCTTTATAGTCGCTTCCTCGCACGTGACTATTTATGGATCGTGACAACTACAAAGAGGCCGTCCGTAGGAGTGCTGAAATGAAGGGATTGTTAGATCACGGCGGCGTTCTAGCGATCGTCACAGGCGTGAGACGGCGCAGATTGCGGCCCAATCCCCCCATTTTCCCGGTTCAACTTCACAAGTTTAAGTTGGAAAAGAAAACTCCTGAAGAATGTGATTTGGCGGGTATGGAACTCCAACACAAGACGAACTCCTGGGAGAACACTCACGAGCTTGTTCCCTGCGATGACGATGCAGTGCCCGGCAGGCCGACAATGGGCTCAAACAATGTCACAGATGATGACAAGGTTGTTACGAACGAGCGCAATGTTGATACGAACGATTGCAATGTTGCTGTGGACGATGGCAAGGTCAGAACGAACGATTGCAATGCAGTTTACTGTGGCTGGCCACGCGATGCTACTATGAAATTGGAATACCATGTTACTTATCTAAGGAACAGTGTTCCTAAATCCCGTCACGTTGTTACCGACTACCGAAACGGTTGTATTTATATCACCGACGAAGACAAAGAAAAAAAAGGGGGGAGGGGGGTACTTAATAAGGTTCGAGTAATCCTGGTTTTTTAATTTACTATTTGTTGAATGTGTAAAGGGAAAGTAAAACTAGACCCCATGTTGAATGTGAGAACATAAACCCTTCCCCCCATTCTCCTCCGCTAATTGAGATGAAATTCGATACTAAATCTGGGATTGATTGTTTTGGGAAGGCTCTTTTTATTATCCTCAGTTATACAGATTGACTTGTTGAAAGTTATGCAAGTAGCCTCGGACAAAACTTGGCAGCTCAGTGCGCGGCTGGCAAGAACTTTGTATCCATGCACTTGATAACCGTATCCCAATTGGAATACGGAGATTTGTGTGCCTCAAGTACGCACTGTTAAACTTTGGTGTGACATTGAGCCTTATCCATCCCATGCTTTCCTTTTGCCGTCTGGGCCAGTGGCGCAAAGCTTGGCCTCCAACTCCTCGAGATTAGGCCTGGCGGCCGATGGGGCTTGCGTCGATGAGATTTGCGCAGGAGCAGGGAGCAGGCGCAGCAGGCTTCGGTGGCGGTGCTGGTTCGTTTAAAAAGTTGAGAGGGAACCTGCCAGCCCAACCAAGCGCAGCGCCGTTCTTCTCCATGAACTCGATGGCGTATTCCTCCAGCGTCTTGTCGCTGTACTTGGCCTATTGCCAGAAGATTGCGCAGAAGCAATTGTGACACCTGTTTCTCCCAAGGCAGTTCTATGTACTGACTGAAAGATCTAACTATCTGAGTTACAATAAACTTATCAAGTCGCTTGCTTTGTATGTCTCTCTGATCTGCAGGGCCGGCCGTTGCTGCAGTCCGCGAGAGCTTTATGCTCCTGCTGAACCCAGGGCATTAAGGCCGCAATAGTAAGCAATGCCGAGTTCCTCACTCGCTCTGACTCGGTATCTATGATTCGATGGACCCTATCCTTTGACTTTGGAGAAGGAGCAAGCTGGCCATGAGACCCACAGGGGTTCAAGACAGAGAGACACCTGGTGACAGCTTGCCAGTAGGTATTGACCGCGATGTCTTGAGGGGAGATTCACGGTAGATGTGGCTAGAAGCTTCGAATTTCAGGGTGATGTAGGCATGAGAGTGACCGATAATTGCCCCGTATTTCACACGTGGCCAGTCTTTACCAGGTCAAGGTAGAATAGAAACCTTCTAGAGACTGTGTTTTGATGTGTATCGAGTTTTAAACGGGAGATTAACTCCTGAGAGAACATCGAGAGGTTTCTCCCTGGGATGAAGATGAAATACTCGGTAGAGTGATAATGTTTTCAGCCGATGTTATCACGTACGATGACGACGCTGTTCCATTCGTGTATGATGCAATGTGCGGCAGAGACATTTCAGTTTCCATTTTTCGACCAGCGAAGATGACCAACCACTCGGGAGCCGGCTGATAACGACCAGGATACGTTTCCCGATGATTCAAAGTTTGAACCGCATGCTGGAATGAGTATAATCTTGTCCTCCCCATGTGCTGCGCTTCTCGACCCACGCTGACAGCTGGTGACGGCTACAAGACAAGTGGTGATGATAGTGGACTTGGCACGATAAGATGTGAAGGATGTTTAAATATTGACTTTGATACTTTTCAAATAGCTCTACTCTCCAAGCTCTCTGCGGTTTCGAGTAGCGCAGGGAGAATGTACCTAGTGTCGACAGGCCCTGCGCGCCAATTGCAAGTAACGCTTCAAGGGCGGTGCTAAGCAGAAGCTAGGAAAAGCCCGCGCCAAGATGTAGATGTCATCACCAACGGAGAAAGTCTAAATGTATGACGCTTGAAAAACATGTGGCGTCAACGATTGTGCTACAGGGCCGGCAATTCCGTGCGGGTTGTCGTCAACGCCTTGCCCACTGCCACGTGTGAACAAGGCTGAGATGCAGGAACAGGGTGCATACGGGAGAAGCAGTTAAATAAATCAGAAGGAAAAACGAACATTTTTTTAGTAGATCGAGGTATTTACCTCTCATGGTTGTTGAGGAACTGTTATACCTGACCTTGCTATTGACTGTGAGCCGCGCTGCTTATGTAGATACTTGTCAGCATCGCCCCCGCTGGTAGCGCTGGGTAGAATCTGGCGAAATCTGAGTGAAGAAGAAAAAAAATTATAAGCATATGTTCTGGAAACTAAACGGTTGTTTTCTGGAATACGGAAGTCCCGTAGCGGCAAACCCCGTTTTAAGCTGCCGCTTTGGAGGGTCCGGGTCGATGGAGACGCCACAGGGGAGACCGGCCGGTCGATCCGCCGCGCGATGATCTTGTTGGATAACTAACGCCAAGTACCTACCTGAGCGAAATTGAGGCCCTGACAAGACGGCGGCTGGCCAACAACAGCATAGCCCGGGGTACGCGCCTGGAAGCAAGACGTCAAGAGCATCATGAAATGGTCCGAGCTGCGATGGCAGGAGATAAGGCCCATCGCTCTCTCCGCGAGGATGATGTCTGGGTTGGACGAGAAATGAGTATTTAAAGAGGGCCTGGGACGGAACAATTGGAGACGTATTCTAGAAGGCCAATTATGATAACGCAGTGTATGGCTGATGAAGTCTGGTACACACAGCCAAAGACAACAAACAATAAGCGTCACAGACAGACACAGCACACAACAAGCGTCACAGACACAGCTTGATCGTTCTTTCAAGACACAAACCCTGGGCTTGTTCGGCTCACAAGCAGTTTTGAAAGCCGTGATTGGGTCGCTTCATTTCAACTTATTATTCATTACCTGTGTCGTTGGGCCGTCATTGGTCACTTTGCCGGTAAGCTTCCGGCGGTTCTTGCGCTATAAGCTTAGTGTGTAGCGCCCTCTGGTGCTTGAGAGCTCCCCCGCAAAAAGAGCCCGCTTCTTGCCGGAGATGGACATGGATTTGGATTTGAGCATCGGCCTAGTCGAGCCGCAGCAGCTTGTTGACCCTCGTTCGTCAGGCGTGGGCCTGAGCGATTCATGCTTTCCAGCACCAGCACCACCAGCGTCAGCTCCAGCACTCCTGCCAAACGGCTGCCATAGCCTCGTCCTTCCCAGCAACAACAACAACAGCAACAACAACAACAACAACAACAGCAATAACAACCACATCCCCAAGAGGACTTCCTCCTCCTCCGTCTCATCTTCTCTCCCCGTCGACGCCGCCGCTGCCTCATCCTTTCTACAGCCCCTCGTCTGGCCAGCCGATCTGAACCCCTTTGCCGTCGCCGATCCCAGTAACCAGCAGCCCGTTGGCGCCGTCGCCGCACCTCCGTCCCATCCACCGGTCGTGCCTCGACCCTGTGCGCCGGCCGGCCTCACCCTCGACGTCAGCGCCGCCGCCCTTCTCCCATCGCCCCCCGACTCCATCGACTCCGCCGTCGCCGTCGCCAGCGCCGCCTCGTCGCACTTTAGCCTAGGGCCTTGCTTCAGCGCCACCAGCTCTGCCCAGACCTCGCCCCCCTCGTCCGCCGACAACGGCGTCTCGCCACGGTCTCGCGGTCGGCCTCCTAAACGCAAGCCGTCTGCCGCCGCCGCCGCCGCCGCCGCCGCCGCCGCTGTCAACATGTCTGGGCAGAAGCGAGCGGTCGAGCGCGGCGGGAGCAGTGGCGATGACAGCCCGGAGCACTCGGCCACCGGGAGCCAGGGCGGCGCCAAGCCAAAGGCCGCTCGCGTAGAGCGCGGCCCGGAGGATTTTTCGTCCGTCGTCAAGAATCGTTTACAGTCTTATACGCGCACTGGCCAAGCCTGCGACAGATGCAAGGTACGCCTCCCTGCTGCAGGGCTGTTTCCCGCATGGCCGAAACGGCCTGCATGCGCATCTTGCATCATCATGTCTTACAAGCTTGCTAACAATTATATTTGTTGCGTGCCTTCTTTTATAGGTTCGAAAGATTCGATGCGATGCTCTTCCCGAAGGCTGCTCCCACTGCATTAATTTAAATCTCGAATGTTACGTCACCGACAGAGTATCCGGGCGCACCGAGCGTCGCGGCTACATGCAGGAGCTCGAACGCGACAAGAATGGCATGGTCTCACACATTCGGCAGCTCGAAAAACTTTTGCTCGAGAATGGAGTCCAGGTCCGACCCTGGCAGGAGGAAAAGTCTAGCCCCGATGCCGATGCCGATGCCGATTCCGCCGAGCCGCCCTCTCCAGCGTCGGAATGGGCGCAGATTGGGTCGCTATGGGTCAAAAACTATACGAAGAGGCCGTCGTATGCTCCACGCTTCCCACGCAGCAAGCTCGAGTCTCGCTCAGATTCTAAGGGAACTGTTGCGGGTCGAACCGTTGCGCCGCTCAACTCTATGCGCGGCACTAAACTGACCTTTCTGGGCACTACCATTGACACGAGCTCCTTCCCCATCCCGGACGTTGATGAGCCCGAAGATCCAAACGATACCACGCCTCTCTACAACAAATCTTCCCATGCCTTCCTTCAAACGACAGCCGGCGTTAACCCGCCCGTCCAGGTCGACCTTCCGTCGCGACAGGAGGCCTTTACGTATGCGGAGTGGTACTTCATGACCATGGGCGCCTTTCTCCCGGTTTTGCATCAGCCTTCCTTCATGGCATTGCTCGCACGAGTTTATGACGAGCCGGAATTTCAACCCACCGCCGCTCAGATTGCCCAGGTACACATGGTCTTTGCCACGATTCTCTTCCAATATGGCGTACGCAACTGGCAGCAAGCAGACCAGCGTTACCACCTCAACGACCTCTCAAATAAGCACTTTCACTTTGCCATATCCAAATGGCACCAGCTACTATTATCAAGAGAATTGGAGGCCGTGCAGGCTTTGGCTCTCATCGTGTCTCACGTCAGGCAATTCCCCAAGCTCGGGTGCGGAGCATTCGTCGCGCATGCGGTGCTGCAACGCGCGATCGACTTTAATCTGCATCGAAATATTCAGCAAGAAGGCGAACAGACCAATCTGACCAACGAGCTGCGGAAAAGACTGTGGTGGAGCATCCTGATGACTGTTGTCGCTATTACTGGACGTCGAGGGTACCCTGTCCCCATTGCTGTCGAAGAAATCGACGCCGAGTTCCCGGAGCCGATTGCAGATGAGCTACTGACGGAGGAAGGCGTCGTCGATTCATCACGTAATCTCCCTTGCCCGTTTGAACCTGCCATTGCCGGCTTCAAGATCACGCCGGTTTTCATGGAAGTCTTTTCGAACATCCACAGCGTTCGAGGTGATCCTCAAAGTTATCTTTCTGTCGTACAAGCGCTAGAGGAGCAACTTGAACAGTGGGAGTTTGAACTACCTGAGTCGCTCAAGCTCTCCGACGATGCGCCGGTTGACATCCAATCCATGGCGCCACTGTTCATGCGCACATATGTGCTGGAGGTTCGTCTGTCGCTGCGTCATCCCGGCGTGGCCATGACAACAGACAAGCAAATCATTGCAGAAAATACTCGCATCTGTGCCGAGACGGGAAGAGAGTTCCTGCAAGTTGCTCAGAAGATTCAGCAACTCAAGTGTTTGGATACGACCTGGTATACAGTGTCCTTTGCCTCGGCTTGCATCTTTGCCATGCTAGTTGCGCAGTGGGAAAAGAGATTTGAAACTACAGAGGAGGAGTTTACCTCTTTGCAGAAGGACATGGCCAGCTGGATGTCTATCCTGGAAGACATCGGTGCAATTCTTGGTACGTATTGGTTAATCTCTACCCTCGAAATATAGCTAATGGTTTTTGTTAGGTTCCAAGCAAAGTATTGCTGATGAGATCCGGAGAATCATGGAACGGACACTCGGCTGGATTCGACATGACATGGACAAGAAAGCGCCTGGCACAATAGAGGCCTCTGGCAAAGGAAAGTCACTTCCCAAGTCTCGGACTAAGGGCCGCCGCCGATCCGACTCTCTTCCGCGCAAGCAATCGCTTAAGCCAGGCCAGCCACAGATCGAAGAGAGTCCACACACGGCACCGCAGGCTGCTCAGCAAGTCCCAACGCAGGCCGTGGCTCAAGCACCAGTTGGCACGCAAGCACCAGCTGGTGCGATTGCCAACTCCACCAGCGCAGATAATAAAGGCTTTTATTCCGGGCAGGCGATGGCGACGCAGCCGACGCAGCAGAATTATCAAACCGTCGGATATGGAGACGCTCACATGCAAACCATGAACCCTACTGGCTACCAGGCTGACGCGCCACCGATGCTGTACAGCAATCCGGCGCCGGCGGATGTCGCGCCCATGGCCGACTCCTCCGTGCAGACCAACCCTTTGATTGCGTTTGCGCCATCGGCGACCCAGCAGCTGCCACCGAGCACCGAGGCAGAGTACATGTGGAACGGCCGCGGCAACACCTGGCAGGACTGGACGGCCGCCATCGCGGACACGAATGACCGCTACGGAGCCAATACCTTGCTAACGCTTGGAGGCGGTGCGATGCCGCAGCAAAGCGCACAGCCGATGGATTCGTCTTTTATTATCAATAGCGGCCCGCTGGGGCAGCAGGGTGGCATTCATCAACCTGCTCCGCCTGGACAGCCGTGGCCGATCATGATGTTCGACAGCAATAACTCTGCGACGACAGGATAGATTCCTGGAGAAGATGAACTTGGTGAGGATGGCGGACCTTTTCTTTGGGATTTCAACGTCACGCATGGTACCTGAATCGCTATGATTGGGGTCTTGACACGTGTTGGTAAATGGAGAGCCGGCGAAATTATATTGGTGTTATTGTTTGGGGATTGTTTGAAGAGGGCGTTTGATTTGGGAACATAACTATAAGACAAGAAGATACCACTACTTTTCAATGCGCAGGGTAATATTATATCAATGGTTTTAGCATCAAAGCGATCAGCTACAATGAATGACAGTGAACTTACTGGTACTTACCCAGTGGTACTCAACAAATCCTCAAGAGGAGAAAATGAGAACCGAGAACATGTCGGCATCAAAATGGCTCATGTCTGCACGCTTTGCAAAAGCTCTGAGACATGCAGGTGTGCCTATACTTCAGCTGCCACTCGGCCAATAAAGCAGTCGCCTTTGGTAATCCAATTTCTCAACCCATGCAGTTCAGCTCAGCTCAGCTGCGTGGCGCCCAGACTACATTGCACCCGGCCCGGTCAATTGGCCCAGACATCGCCAGCCGATCAATCGCGAGCGGTGCGCGGGATGGGCCGTCCAAGATTCTGCCCCAGCTACTGCCGCGCACTAATGCAGGCAAAAGGCCTAGTAGTGAATCATTCCGAAAACTGGTACGAAGTACTCAGTATATGTACTCAATACGAGGGCGGGGAGAGAGAGGAATCGTTGCTGTGCTGGCAGCAGCTACAAACTGTCTCACGGCTGCATACGAAAAATGGCAACACCCTGGCACAGAGGATGCAGGTGTCTGTAGCCCATCCGTCAATATGGGGTGATGGCCCCGTGCTGCACAAGGTAATACCCAGAGGAGGAGCGCGATCCTCTACGAAGCTCCCCCTCTTCTACCACACAAACGTCACGATTGTAGAGACTGCCGCCACCTCCCAAAGCAGACCAACATGGCGCAACCGATCCCTCAGCCCAAGGGCGTGCCGCTACTCGGCAACATCTTCGACATCAAGCCCAGCAACACCTGGACGTCCCTCAAGGCGCTGGCCGAGGAGCACGGCGAGATCTTCCAGGTCAAGATCCTCGGCAAGACCATCGTCTTCGTCGCCTCGGCGGCGCTCGCCGAGGAGGTCTGCGACGAGAAGCGCTTCCGCAAGTTCGTCGGCGGGCCCATCGTCGAGATCCGCGCCGCCGTGCACGACTCCCTCTTCACCGCCTACGCCTCCGAGGAGGCCGTCTGGGGCGTCGCCCACCGCATCCTCGCGCCGCACATGAGCCCCGACGCCATCGCCCGCTGGTGCCACCCGGAGATGCGCGACGCCGCGCAGGAGCTGCTAGATCTATGGACGAAGCGGTGCGACGGTGGGCTGGTCATGGAACCGTTTGAGCAGCTCGCAAGGCTGGAACTGGAGACAATGACGCGGGCGCTCTACGGCCAGAGGCTGGGCGCGCTGACGGGCCCGCGGCACCCGATGCTGCGCGCCATGGAGGAGGCGACCTCGGAGGCCGTGATGCGCCCGGCGCGCCCGGCGCTGGTCAACGCGCTGCTGTACGGGCGCAAGTTTCGCGCCGCGGTGGCGGTGCTGCGGGAGTGGGCGGAGGGGGTGGTGCGGCACAGGAGGGAGAACCCGACGGACCGCGAGGACATGCTGGCGTCGATGCTGGCGGCCAAGGACCCGCAGACGGGCCGCGGGCTGAGCGAGTCGCAGGTGATTGACGAGGTGGTCACGATGCCGGTCGGCAGCAGCACCTCGCCGTGCCTCCTGGCGATGGCGCTGTACCTGCTGCTCGGGAACCAGGGGGCGGTGCGGCGGGCGCGCGAGGAGATTGCCGCGGTGGTGGGTGACGACCGCGGCGCGCCGATCGAGTACGCGCACGTGGGGAAGCTCACGTACGTCGGGGCGATTGTGCACGAGGCGCTGCGGCTGTCCTTTGCCGCGCCAGGCTTCAACATCGAGCCAGTGCCGTCGGCGGACGGGGCGCCGGTGTCTCTGGCGGGCGGCAAGTACGAGGTCGCGCACGACCAGGCCATCATCCTGGTCATGGCGGGCATCAACCGCGACCCGGCAGTGTTTGAGGACCCGGAGGCGTTCCGGCCGGAGCGCATGCTGCCGGAGGAGTTTGCGCGGCTGCCCCCGGGCGTCAAGAAGTGGTTCGGCAACGGCAGGAGGGCGTGCTTCGGCACGGCGTACGCGTGGCACTCGAACGTGCTGGTGCTGGCGATGCTGCTGCGCGCGGTCGACTTCGAGGCCGCGGATGAGGGGTACGTGCTGGAGAGGGACGGGTGGTTTAATTACCGCCCGGTCGGGTTCAAGGTCAAGGTCAAGCCGAGAGCGGATTGAAGCAGCGTTCGCGGGAGGATGAGTACTAAGCGGGTCGTTTGGTGAAGCTACGAGAGACAGGAGCAGCAACCACGGAATATCGGAGTCGTTAATGTATCGAGAGCCCTAGTCGCTTAATTATTTTACTTAACAAGCTCTAATTCAATTGATTTTGTAAAATTGATTTTATCAAACTTTTCCTTCTTCAAAGAGTACATGTTGCTTGCTCACTCACTCCCATTGTCTTGTGCTGCCTGGGCGGTTCAGCCGAGATTCTCCCGCCACACGCTTCAGCACCTAATTTGTCCTTGTCGCGACACAAACCTTCAACCAGTCATCCATCACCCAGAGAAAGCTTGCCGATAGACCGCTTCGCGACTACCTCCGCCGACAAGTCGCGTAGTCTTTCAAGCCCGAACTCATCAATCCACGACCGTATCCCGACAACCACATCCGCGACAATGGGCAAGAAGAGACGCGGCCACCCTGACGTCGAGGAGCTGCTGGCTCGGCCGTGGTGCTACTACTGTACGTGCGCTTTCGACCCGGCGGCGGCTGTGAATTCTCCACGGGCGCGCTGTTGAGGCGAGCCAGATTCGCCGCCTTGAAAAAGATTTCCCCTGTCTCGTCCTTGATGGCAGAAACGCTGACGATTTTGCTACCACCCAGGCGAACGAGACTTTGAAGACCTGAAGCTCCTCATCTCCCATCAAAAAGCCAAGCACTTCAAGTGCGAGCGATGCGGTCGCCGTTTAAACACAGCTGGAGGTTCGTAGCAGACTCCCCTCCCCCACGCCCGTTGCTCTTCGACTTTCCATCCTCGCTCTGTCCCTTCTTGCCAGGGAAAGCTGACAGAAACAACCAGGTCTCTCCGTGCACATGAACCAGGTGCACAAGGAGACGGTGAACCAGGTCGAGAACGCGCTGCCCAACCGGCAAGGCCTCGAGGTCGAGATCTTCGGCATGGAGGGCGTCCCGCAGGAGGTCCTCGAGCAGCACCGCACGCGCATCATCCAGAACTTCTACCAGGCCCAGGAAAGCCGCCGCATCGCGACCGGCAACCCGCTGCCGGGCCAGTCGCTCAGCGGCGGGGCCGGTGCACGCAAGAAGATCCAGTACGAGACGGCCGCGGCCCTCCTGCAGCGCCTCGCGGAGTGGCGCGCGCACAAGAAGGCCGGTACGCTGCCCCCGCAGGTCGCCGACGGTGCTGGCGTTGCTGCCAACAATCAACCTGTACGTTGTCCTTCCGATGCCCCCCACCCCGCGTTTCATTTCTGCTCGATAACTAACGCTTGGGCTTTGCAGGGATATGCGGAGGGCCTGCCGCAGCGCCACGCTGCCTCCGCCGCCTTTGGCGACGAGCTTGACCAGCTGATCCGGTCTGCCGAGCAGCCCGAGAGGACCGTTGTCAAGAAAGAGAAGGACGGCAAGAAGTCGCGCCTCGTATACGACGATCCCGAGGTCAGCCCGGAGGAGCGGATGGCGCAGCTGCCGCGGTACGCCTACCAGCCGACCGTTGCCGCGTAAAGTTGTTGCGCGTGGCAAGCGGTTGGAGAATAGAAGCAGAGCGACGCATATTCAGTCACACAGGTTCAATGTAGCAAAGGTTTCGCTCCATTTTGATGACGAGAGAGGCGGAAAAACGGATACCTTGGGCCGTTGGAGTTTTCATACTTTGGGATAAACAGGACTTCTTTTTTCATGAACAAGGAGCACCATGTACTTTAAAAATACGACAAAAACAATTGTATAAACGCGTCTATCCAACACGAGCACAACTTCACATTGGGATAACAGCATTCAAGGTGATGGGGGCCGCACAACTACACGAACAAGTATATTGACAAATACCCTTTTCATCTTTTTCCAGAGACGTAGCAATATATCCGACAGCCTGGACAGGCACTGCCCGAGACCCATTTTCTAGCAAAACTCAACAGGCTCTTATCATCATCCGACCATCTGCAGTGATGGCGCCGTTGACTAAAATTCCCCGCCTCATTGATTACTTTTCGCCAATTTCTGCGCCGTACAAAGCCTCCCATTGATTTCGTAAGTTTCTTTTGCCTTTTCGTTGCTGTCCCACAACTCCTTCATTACCGGACAGATCCAAAATCTTCCTTGCCCCTTGCTTTCGTAGTTGCTAGTGCGTCGTATACAAAACACAAACCTCTGCTAGGCCGACCCCTGGCTGCTATTGGACGCGCTCAACATCGGTTCGATACATGAACCTCGTTGCCTGGCATCACGGAACCCCATACTGGCAGCAATTACTTGGGCAGAGCATTCTTGCCAGCAGCCTTGCTCTTGGCAAGGGCACCAGAGAGACCACACTGCGAGCCAATGCCGTCGATACGGTGGGTAGCGTTGAGGTTCTTGACAACCAGGATCTGGAAGCAAGTAGCGGAACCCTGTCGGGAGGCGATGACGGACCAGGCGAGGAAGAGCTCCCAGATCTGCGAGAAATTAGCCACAGTAATCAATGGGGAAAATAGACGGGTCGACATACTCTGTACCAACGCTGACCATACTTGGCGACAATCTCATCGTGGTTGCCAACCCAGTTACGGTACCATCTCCAGAGAGTAGCAGAATAGTGAACACCGACAGTGTCAACGCTATAGTTGATTAGCTTTTTGGTTTGGCGGTGAGGGTCAATGATGGCATTAACATACCTTTTGATCTCGAAACCAGCGCGCTCAAGGGATCGGACATAGTTCCAGAGAGGAGTAGAAGCATCGGCGCCACGGAAGATGTACTTGTTGAGGTAGAGACCCCAGATGAGATCCTCATACTGCCAAGCCTGGCGAAGACCAGAGAGCTGAACATACATGGCACCGTCATCCTCGAGCATGTCGTAGCATTGGCGGAAGAAACCAGTGAGCTTGCGGATACCAACGTGCTCACCCATCTCGAGCTGGGAGATCTTGTTGTACTTGACCTTGGGAGCATCACGGTAGTCCATGCAGAGGATGCGGGACTGCTCTTCGGGGATACCGGCCTTGCGCAAAACATCGTTGCCCCAAGCAGCACCGTTCTCGGCAATAGTGATACCGGTGACCTTGGCGCCGTAGTTGAGACTGGCAAACTTGGCAAGGGTACCCCAGCCAGAGCCGATATCAAGCATAGTTTCACCCTCCTTGAGCTCGAGCTTCTCGCAGACGACGGCCATCTTGTTGTCCTGAAGCTCCTCGAGTGTCTCCTCGCGGGTAGGATCGGAGATGACGCCGGAGGTGTAGATCATGCGGGGGCCGAGGAACCAAGCGTAGTGGTCGTTGCCGTTGTCGTAGTTGGGGCGAATCTGCTCCATGTCCTGGTCCTTGGTGTGAAAGAGGACATCGGAGGCAAAAGTGCCGAAGATGAACTTGATGAGATCGAGGGTGAAGCTAAAGTTGGACCAGTCGTGGCGGTACTCGAGGACATCGAGGATGTCACCGTTGACATCGACCTTGCCGTCGACGTACATCTCGGAGAAGGTCTGGATAGGGACCTTGGAGCGACCGCTCCACTTGGCCTTGTGGGCAGCATCCTTGAAGGTGATGTAGGACTCGACGGGACGGCCGGGGAGCTTGGCGTTCTCGTTTATGCGAGGGCTAAAGGCGGACTTGAAGACCCAGTAGGCGATGAGGACGGGCAAGAGGGTGATGAGGCCAAAGAATATTTTGGTCTTGATGCCACCACCAATGAGACGGGCGAGGAACCAGGGGACGCCAACGATCAGACCGAGAAGGACAATGTTGGAGAAGCTGTCGTTTCCAGGACCTTCAGCAGGCAGCGGGGCATTGTGAATCGTGGGGAACTAGAGTTGAGAGAGCGAGATTAGCGGAAGTGCTGGGATGGAGCAATAAATTGCAGAAATCGACTCAATTGAGTTCAAGGCAAGCAGGAGAGAATCAGATTTTCTGGCGCAACGTGCACAGTAACGTGGGCAGGCTGGCAGAGCCGCTGGGAGGGACGAGGGGCCACGAAAAGGCGGCGTTGGATAAATGAGCTCACATCGGTAACGGGAACGCCGCAGTCCTGGGCCTCAAAAGACGAGGGAGGCTGTTTGGGAGTCTTGATGTAGTTGATATTCTCCTCGAGATGAGGAGTTTTGGACGCCATGGTTGCGGATATTGACGAGAGTTGAAGCAAGCAGAGGCAAAGACGTCTGGGGGATTAAAAAGAAGGAAGGACAGGAGGGCAGCAACAAAATTGGGTAGGCGAAGGCAATGCAAGGTACGGAGCCGGGAGAAGGACCGGGCGAGCTTCAGGGGACGTTGTGTACGAGGTAGGGCAAGCTAACTAGGTACCTTGGACTGCAAATTGCTTGCAGTAGGTACTTTGCTCCATGGTACCGATGTCTTGATCTGGCTTTTTCCCACTACCGTTAGATGCAACTCCACCCACACAGCTGCAATGGATGATCTGGGTGCTGTGATATCCAGTCATTTCAGTGCTGGTAGTTAAATTTAACTGCCATTTTCTAACGCCTCGCCTTTCATTAACTAACAGGCCATGAAGCTTCCCGGCTCCCCTAGCGGCCCTCGCCAGTGCCAGATGGTTGACCCGCGGCTCCGCCACAGCTACTGGAACTTGCTCATCGGGAGATGGCTGGATGAGCGAGCATATACACACTGGTACAGTACACACCGCTGCTCGTATTCGCGACCTTGAGATTTCACTACCGTTGAAGAACGAGAAGGAACAAAGAAGAAGTAGTTGGGTTACAAGGAGATTTCGGTGCCCGAGGCTTCCTGGCTATCTTATCTGGGGCACCGCATTATGTAAGGCGGCCATTGATTCGTGAGGCTCGGCTCGTCCTACGCTGCCAACGGTTGGCAACGACTGAAGGTTTACTTAGCCAAACCACCAGGCGCGCGTCAAATGCACCGCTACCCACGTCTGTCTTTGAAAATGTATTCCGACTTCATCCACCGGAAGAGAAATCAAGGTTCGCTATACGCCTGACAGTAGCTAGCACTGTTTGACGGTAGGTATCACTCAAGTCGCCAACGCCCTGGCCGCTGGGCAACGAACCCCCTCCTAGCATCTATCCATGCCCAGGTTGAGCCTCAAATGTGCTTTTGCACTTTCTGTGAATTACCCTGTAGAATAACGATCACAGCTGGGCAGCCCGGGGAGCTGAGGAACCCCGATAGTTGCCGTAGCGCAGCTCGTTATCTCGCTGATCATCACACTGCTTCCTGTCTTCCGGCCACTTTACAGCTATTCGTACCGCAACCAGTGGCATCCTTGGAGACCCTATTTCCGTAGCAAATGGAGCATTCATGGAGGCCTGGCCAACCGCGACGAAGTAACTATCTGGCCCCATTGTGTTGCAAACCCTCCCCTGACTATCGATATCAGCGCAAGGCATTGAAATGACCAACAATAGGTTCGCCACGCTACGGCTGACCGGGCCGTGATATGAGAATAGGGGCTGTCAACAGGCATATGAAAAGAACAACAGTGAGTTGGTATTCTAGTCACCCTTAATTTCCCAGACTTAGTAACCATGTAGGATGTTATAATAGAAAATATAAATAGGTCAACTACTTACTGTGCATTCCCAGCAAGGGCCAGTCGTGCCAAGTTGCACTGTGGACCTGGACCCTGTTGGCGCTGTTGTCCGGACAACAGCAGCCAAGGCGAAACAACAAAGGCAAAGAACGTCACCGAGAGCTCACCTGCATGAATGTGCAGTTATTGTTCATCCAAATTCTACGCGGCCACTGCATCAACTCTTGCTCTGTTTCTTCATTTCGCGATACCCCTTCTTTTGTTTTATCGCCCGTCTTTTACGGCTTTTCCGTCGCGTTTCTCTCTTTCGATGCGCGTACACTCCGGCTTCCTCGACTAGCAAACACTGCACGCAACCATCTACTGCGCACTACTTTCGTTATTCACGGCGTCGATTCGAAAAATCCGTCTCATGATTTTCATAGTTTGAGGTCGCATCCCGATACACCTTATTCAACATCCACCATCGAGCTTTGAATTTGAACAAGCGCACTAGCAAAACAATGCCTGATGCGCAGTCATCTATTACCGTCGCGGGTGAGTTATCGCAGCCTTGAACCACCATGGAACTATCTCAGAATTAACCATCCTGTAGTTCGCGTTCGGCCGTTTACCATTCGAGAGGCAGCACAAGTGTAAATTGATTCATGCCAACCGCGTCGACCGTCTGCTAACCGGCTTACAGTCACCGAGCCGAAGACAACACACTGTTCCTTGGCGATGGCTCTCTTGCAGGGGCTCCCGCGCCAAAGCTACATCAGCGCGGTATTCGAAACGTAATCAAGGTTATGGATGAACGTTGCCTGTAAGTCGCTTTGCCTCCGGTTGCTAACAGCTAACTGACGCGCCGCACCAGCGTCTTTGATCCTCCTGAGGATAGTCCGGTACACAAATTCTCTCGATCAGTCGTTCCCGCCTCCAAAAAGGTCAAGGATCAAATTTTCGCATTCGATCGTGTCTTTGACGAAAATACCACCCAATCAGACGTTTATGAGGGCACAACCAAGAGCCTTCTCGACAGCGTCCTCGATGGCTACAATGCAACCGTCTTCGCTTACGGCGCCACGGGCTGCGGAAAGACACATACAATTACGGGAACACCACAGTCGCCAGGCATCATCTTCTTGACAATGCAAGAACTCTTCGAAAAGATTGAGGAGCGCAGTCAGGACAAAGCAACCGAAGTCAGCCTCAGCTACCTGGAAATTTACAACGAAACTATTCGTGACTTGCTAGTTCCAGGAGGCAGCAAAGCCGGGCTGACTTTGCGCGAAGACAGTAACCAGGCTGTCACTGTTGCTGGCCTGACGAGTCATCACCCCAAGGATGTGCAGGAAGTCATGGATATTATCGTCCAAGGAAACGAATATCGTACCGTGTCTCCAACACAGGCCAATGCGACCTCTTCTCGATCTCACGCCGTTTTGCAAGTCAACATTGCGCAAAAGGACCGCAACGCGGATCTTAACGAACCTCACACGATGGCGACGCTCAGCATTATTGATCTCGCTGGCTCAGAGAGAGCATCAGTCACGAAGAATCGCGGTGAACGCCTCACAGAAGGAGCCAATATCAACAAATCGCTGCTTGCTTTGGGCAGCTGCATCAATGCTCTTTGCGACCGTCGCCAGCGTGCCCACGTTCCGTATCGCAACAGCAAGCTCACGCGACTCCTGAAATTCTCTCTAGGTGGTAACTGCAAAACCGTCATGATTGTTTGCGTATCGCCCTCTAGCGCCCATTTCGACGAGACGCAAAACACCCTTCGTTATGCGAACCGAGCCAAGAACATCCAGACCAAGGTTACTCGAAACGTCTTCAACGTTAATCGCCACGTCAAGGATTTCCTGGTCAAGATCGACGAACAGATGGCGCTCATCACCGAGCTCAAGGCCCAACAAAAAGATGCCGAAAAGATTTTCTTTGCAAAATTCCGCAAACAGTACGACAAGAGAGATTCTGTGGCGAGGGAAGGGGTGCAGCGTCTTCGCACAGCCTACGATAACGCCGCTGCTGACAGACATGAGCGCATCCAAAATATGAAGAGGCTGAAGGGTTTTGAAAGAAGAATTTCGTTGTTGACTGGCTGGGTCACAGCATTTGATGCAGTATGTGAGCAGAGAGGCGAGATTAGCGCCATGCCCGACAATCTATGCGCTGTTCGCAAAACGGCCCAGGGCATCCTGATTGAGTTGGAGCATAGCCGTCAGCACATCCATCAGAAGCTCGAACACTCAACGTGGGAGCGTCACATTGACACTGCACTGGCTCATAGTATTCAGCAGCTGCAGAACACCGAAGGCTCCGACACTGGAGAGGTTAATGACCTCAATCGCGAAGCAGAGCTGATCAAAGCAAACTTTAGCCGTGAAGCTTATCGGGAGGTCTTGGAGCAGGAGAAGGTTGGCGACGCGGCAATGCTGCAGATGCTACTAACGGCCCAATTCGAAATTCTGACTTCGCTCTCTGATATCTTGGCTATGGACGAGCAGAGTGCGGTGGCACATGCAAAGGGGGTCTTTGCAAAACTACTCCAAACTGGATTCACATCAGCATCTCAAGTTGTCAAACCGGATGGTTCTATTGCAATGAGAGATCCTAGTTCGTTTTTGCAAAAGAATTCGGTGAAGAAGAGCTCTCTTTTCGGACAAGCGAAGCTGAGCGAGGCTCCAGTCATGGCCACATCGGCTTTACCGAATGCCCCCATCACCAGCCCCCTAAAGTCTTCACCGAGACGGCGTAAGGTGCTTTCTTCGGCTAAGAAGGCAGTCACTTTTACGCCGGTGAAGAAGAGCAAGAAGAGTGGTGTGAGATGGCGAGATGACGAGACAGAGGAGGGAACCCTAGCGGACTTTGAAAAGACACCTAAGAATCTCAAGAATAGGTCGCCCGAGGGTCTATTGGAAGCTCCCATCATCATTGAGCGGCCCACCGAAAATAATACAAGCATGGGCTGCGATCAGTCTACTGAGGATGAGTCAACATTAATCATTCCGGAGGCGACCAGTCTCACAGCCGCGAAACCTAGTCGGTTCCAGGCGGGGTTTCTCAGCAAGTCGTCTCGATCCTCTATGCTTCCAGCAGGATCGCCACTGCCCCAACCACCTGCCCTCAGTCTAAATCTGTCGTCAAGCTCCCCAGAACTGGAAAACACTTCCCCTCTAAGATCCCTCGATGCCGCCAAGCGCGGCAACATGTCGCCGCCGCCATTGGCGCAGGGAGCCAAAAACAGCCCACAGCACTCTTTGCAGACAATCGTGGATGAAAATTGGCCACCTTCTGCTGCTTCCGGATCCGACTCGGAATCTAGTTTGCTTGACGCGCGTAAGCTTCGCAGCGCGATGCACTCGGCCAAGAAGGAACTGCCTCGTAGAGTGAGCGCCCTCGCCCCTGCAACTGCAACCAGCGCGCGGCGCATTTCATCAGTTGGGATGACTGCGGGAGATCGCGGAGGGGCTCGACCTAGTGTACCAGGCTCCCTTGCGAGCTCAACCAACGGTATTTCACGACACCGGCGAGGAAGCTTGGAGCGGAAGCGGAACCCACCGATGCCGTGCTCGCCAGAGTGGAAAGAGCGCAACCTTACAGCGTCACAAGCTAGACGAATGAATCTCGGTGGTAGTGTTCGTCTAGAGAATAGTTCGAGCCCAAGAGATCAAACTGGCAACCAAACGCGCCGCGTCACTATTAGTGTCGGCGCGCCTGTTCCGGCCCTGCGTCGACAAGAAAGCAAGGGAAGCATGGCTCTTCGATGAAACTTTGGATGAGGTAATTATCATGACTTGGCGTTATTAGTTTGATTTATTTTATTACACTTGTACTTTTCTGCAGCAGACGGGTTCTGGTCATGGAATCCGTTACATACTTGCTGCTGGCGTTTGGAAATTCTATTTGCGACGGAGGTGGTGGAAATAATTATTTCCTGCTTTACCATTGTATACTTTGTAAAAACGAGACTGTTATGAGAATATTAAGAGCATTTTCAATAAGCATCATGTACTTCCTAATTGTGTATGCCTTTGATCTAACACTGGTGGGTGGTGATTACAGTGCAGCCGAACTCAATTCACACGGTGATTCGGATGTGTCCCCACACAAATTTGTACGTGAAACCCACATCATGACAGTGCTTCCGAAAACAACCTGTCCGGCAAACGCCAACACATGCACGCAAAACGCAGCTTACACGCATGGATGAAGCAGCGAGTAGCACATCACCACGCTACATTCGCAGTCGCATTGCCAATGCCTGCGACGGATGCAAAGCGCGCAAAGTGAAATGCGACGGCAAAGTTCCTTGCGGCTACTGCGCAGGGCGGCAACGCGGTGACAGTTGCCATTACTCGGCGCAGCGCCGCCGGAGGAATGCTGCTGCGTCTACTCCCGCGCTGATGCACGGCGCCCAGGGCACGACGACACCGCCCGGCACCACCGGGACAGGCACGGCATCACCAACTCCAGATTTACACCAACGGCCGCTCCCGATTGTGGCGGACCGGCAATTGCGGCATGAAGTTGACGACCAAGTGGCAGTCCGAAGAAGGATCGGACCCGGGTTGCGAAGCCGAGGCCAGCCGCGGGCATCGAGACGCCAAAGTACAGCGACGGAATCTGCCAAGAGAGCTACGACTAAGAGTGATGAGAGGCAGACGAACGGGGCGGCACAGCACCAGCCCACTACCGAAGCTGCGGAGGACGACACGGAGGTGCCGCGGGAAGCAAGACTCTTGCGGGACGCGCATGGCAAGCTCATCTTCATCGGCGACTGCGCGCCACTGTCCTTCTTTCAATCCGTCCGGCAGGTGGTGACGAGCCGTGTGAGCCCGCACGCGTTCGCGCCGCAAACAAGCCGGTATTCGGTGCTCGAGAATGCCCCTGCGCACCTGCCCCGACGCGGCGGCGGCGGCGGCAGCAGCACCACCTCCGGACAGGCCCCCAGCGGCTCGCCACCACCGGTGCACCCCGGGGACTTGCCAGCTGCCGTGTCCGCGTACCTCTCCACGACGACGGGCATGATTGACCTCTTCGACAACTCCACGCTCCTCGACGACCTGCTGCTATGGGCCGACCGGCGACCCGACGATGACGGCGGCGCATCGTCCACTGTCAAGTACCTGGTGCTCGCCATCGGCCTGCTGACTGCCGACGAGGCGCTCGCGCGCGATTACTTTGAGCACGCACGTGCGCGCGCCTGCGCCGACATGAGCGGCGATGACCTGAGCGCCGAGACGGTGCAGGCCTTTGTGCTCCTGACTGTCTACATGCTGTGCGCGTGCCGCATCAACGGCGCATTCCTGTTCTTTGGCGTCGCCGCGCGCGCGGCCTACGCGGTTGGCGTGCACCGCACCGAGGTCAACGCGCGCTTCGGCGAGGCGGGCCGCAGGCGCCGCGACGACCTCTGGAGGAGCCTCCGCGCGCTCGATCTCTTCTTGAGCACATCCATGGGACGCCCGCCGGCAACGTCGGACGTAGACTGCACCGTCTCGTACCGCGCGGCGCTCGACGAGGACGGTGGCGGCGGGGAGGTGCTGGACCTGCTGGAGGCGTCGGTGCAGATACTCCTGATCACGGAGACGGTCGTGGTCGAGGTGTACTCGCGGCGCAAGATTTCGCTCCAGCTCACCGAGGGCATCTCGCGGCAGCTGCGCGGCTGGTCGGGCCGCTGGCTGCAGCAGCTCAAGGACGTCGTCGGAGGCAGCGCCGCCCCCGCCGCCCAGCAGCGACCCGACGACGAGGCACGCTTGATCGGCGCCTGTCAGGTGCTCGCCACCTACTACTACTCCGTCATGCTCGTCGCGCGGCCGTTTCTCATGTACGAGCTGTGCCGGAGGCTCTCCGAAGACCCCTCCTCCTCCTCCTCCTCCGCGTCCTCGCCCAACGCCGCTGCCACCGGTGCGTCCGCCAAGACCAGGCTGGCCGACGCCTGCATCGACGCCGCCAGCCTCATGGTCGAGCCCGTGCTGGACCTCGTCGAGCGGGATGCGCTGCGGCACCGTGCGCCGATGCTCGTCTCGTGGCTGTTCGCGGCGGCGCTGGTGCTCGGCGTCGGCTTGCTGGGCGGCTTCGGGCGCGCGCTGGAGCGGCACGCGCGCGCGGCGATCCGCGCGCTCGACCACCTCGCGGCCGCCGACGACGGCCACGCCGCGCAGTACAGCCTCATCGCGCAGTCGCTGTTGACGACGGCGCTGGAGGACCTGGAGCGGCGGGAGCGGCGGGAGCGCGCGCGCCGCACGGAGAGCTCCAGCCAGCTGTTCGGCCTGGTGCCGCACGATGCCCGGTTGTCGCTCGCCGGCGGTGGTGGCTCTGGGGGCAACGTAACCTCGCCCCGGGATGCGGGTGGGAATTCCGTGGCCGCTGTGCAGAGGACGCCGGCGTCGGCGACGGGACGGGGACGGCCGCCGAGCACGGCGGAGAGTGGCGGCGGCGGTACGTTGCGAGGCCACCACCATCACTACCAACACCACCATCCGGCCGCCTCCTCGCCGATGTCGTGGCCGGCGCACCGTAACAGTGGGCTGCGCCCGGACCGCGACGTCTACTACGGGGGAGCTGCGGGGGCGTCTGCCGGCGGTGCCGTGTCCCCCCACATCGGGGACCTCGACTCGGCGTTCCTGGGCCTCTCCGAGTCAATGCTGCACACCCCGGACACCGACTACTGGAACAGTTCCTTTGGCGTCTACGATGGGGACGGCGGCGGCGGTTCGGCCGTCAACCTGTTCCCGCTGCTGGACGCCGGTGGCGGCATTGACCTCGCGCATTACTTCTGAGGGGCAGCTACACCTCTCTACAGGTTGGGTGTTGTCTACCTGGATGGGGCAGGCATCCGCCCGGGTACAATCGGATCAAAGCGATTGAGATCCTCATTATAAGACCCTTTTTCAAATGCCTCTTGACGTCAGCTCGGGCATGGGGAAGAAGCGAGACGGGGTCATGTGGGCGTGTAAGTGTTTCGAGGGACTGCCGCCATCCGAAGTTCCGAAGCTATTATTCATGCATCCGAAAGTGGAGCACCAGCGACCAAAGCCGAGACCAACCGGTTGAGAAGACGTTCCGACAAGTTCCCTGTTAAGGTGAGATGCTATGCTGTTATCTGTATTATGCATCATGGAAATGGAAGTCTAGCGTTGATTTATACATGAAGAAATTTCAGCACTGCGATCCAGACGTTGAGCAAGGGCCAAAAGCAAGACTCGCGATGATCACTTGTATTAGAATATACTTTTTAACTCCTTTGGTTCATTAACATGGCTGTCTAATGCTACTTTTTGTTCATATACGTAGAAATGCTACAAAGATATTCATGACACATTCGCCCCTACAGCTTCAGCGCGCCGCGCAGAATTTGCATGAACCGCCAGACATCCTCGAAGCGCGAGTACAGCGGCACCGGGGCGACACGGATGACGCCGGGTTTGCGCTTATCGCAGAGGACGCCGTTGAGCTCCAGCGCCGCGGCGACGTCGTCGAGCAGGCCGTCGCGCAGGAGCACGCTGAGTTGCGTGCCGCGCTGCAGGGGATCGCGCGGGGTGATGATGCGGAACAGGGCGTCGTCGCCTTTGCCGTCGGCGAGGATGCCGTCGAGGAGGTGCTCCGCGTAGGCGGTCAGCACGAGGGCCTTGTCGCGCAGGGCCTTCATGCTCGTCTTGTCGAAGACGGAGAGGGCGCCGGCGAGGTTGGCGAGCTCGAGGGCGGATGGATTGGAGGCCTGGTAGCCGGCGGCGCCGGGGGTGGGCACGAAGCGGTTGTCCATGTTGAAGCGGACCGACTTGTCGCCGCCGTACCAGCCGGTGAGGCGCGGGCGGTAGGTCGGGGTGTCGCGGCCGGCCTCCCACTCGACGCGGCCATGGCGTTCGTGCACGAAGGCGCCGGCGATGGCGCCGGGCCCCGCGTTGATGTACTTGTAGGTGCACCAGCAGGCGAAGTCGACGTCCCAGTCGTGCAGGCGGAGCTCGACGTTGCCGGCGGCGTGGGCGAGGTCCCAGCCGACGACGATGCCGCGGGCGCGAGCGTACGCCGTAATGGTGGGCATGTCGAGCAGTTGGCCGGAGTAGTACTGGATGCCGGGTAGTAGCAGCAGGGCGGTGTCGTCGGCGTGGGCGTCGATGGTGGCGAGGATCTTCTCAGTGGAAATGTAGCAGTTCTCGTCGTCGGGTTCGATCTTGACCATGCTCGTGGCCGGGTCGAGGCCGTGCCAGGCGACCTGGCTCTCGAGGGCGTAGTAGTCGCTGGGGAAGGGCCGCCACTCGAGGATGATCTTGTGGCGCTTGAGGGGGTCGGGCTTATAGAAGCTGGCCATCATCATGTGCAGGTTGACGGTGAGGGTGTTCATGACGACGACCTCGGCGGGGGAGGCGCCGACGAGGGCGGCCGACTGGCGCGCGCAGTCCTCTGCCATGTCCTGCCACTGGGAGAGGGGCGAGTTGCCGAGGGTATTGAAGTGGCCGTTGACGCCGATTGATGCCCACGTCTCGAGCTGCGCGTCAATGTAGTGGCGGATGGCCTTGGGCTGCGCGCCAAGCGAGTTGCCGACAAAGTAGATGCCGACGTCGGAGTCCTCCTTGTCCTCTGGTACGTTGCCATTGGTGGCAGTAGCGCCGTTCGTCTTGGCCGTGGCTATTCAACGAATTGGTGGTCAGCGGGTTGTCTGGAGGGGATCTTTAAACCGGGTGAGACGTAGGACGGGTGGGGGGGTAGATGCGAAGTGCGCCAGCGTCTTAACAAAACCTACAAGGAAGTGTGCCGTCTAGGGCTTTCTTCTTGATGGACGTCTTTGTCGGCAGGATGAAATCGTAGCGGAGATGACGCAGCGCGTCCTGCCCGTCCAGCTGCCGGGCAAAGTCGAGCGAATTGGCATCTGCCGGGAACTTGGCCGGGCCGCCGCCGCGGAGGCGCTCGACGTAAGTAGGCAGATCCATGGAAGGGGTAGAGAGGAGGCGACGGGAGAGGGCGGGAGCGGCACCAATGGGTACAGTGTGAGGGGCGAATACAGTACGGAGATATGAGGGAGAGGGTTTAAGACGGTTGAACGTGTAGAGGCAGTATAACATCGCTCAGAGAGCCATGAAGTGATGAGGAGGAGCAACGGCTTTGCAAACACTTTATGCTCTACGACCCCTCTGTGGAAGGTGGGGAGAATAGTTGAGGATGGGGTAAAAGATAGGTCTATAGCAGCTTCCGAAGTCCCGATATCCGAAGTTCCGTGGCAAAGTGCCCATGTTATGCAGTAGCCCCATTTCGCCGCATATCAATTCAATAAATGATGCGAAAAGAAGGCAAAGGGAAAAGGTGGAAAAAGAATAGGAGTTGGGCCAGATCAATCCCGATACTTGTTCTATTCCTGGTAACCTATGGGAATCCTTGCTTATTCTGCAGGTGGCCGTGGTCGGCAGCGGATCAGTGCATTTTCTAGTGCGGTGTACGGATTTCAGCAGCAGGAGGTTGAGTGGCTGCAGGGACTCCCCTGTTGATCACTGCTGGCCACCCACTTGTGTTCGATCTCGGTACTTAAATGCTTACTGGCAAGCTCCAAAGACGCGATTGAGGGGTAACACATACTATCAATTGAGAATATTTTGTCCATAGTTGTATACCAGGGCTCTAGATTCCTTTTTTTCTTGCATATCTCTTTACTCATTCCCACCAATGGCAAGTCGGTCACATCCGAGCGTCGGAGGACCAGTAGACAGGCTCGGTCAGAAGCCGGTGGCTCGGATGCACTCGCGGATGACGGATCATGGCCGCCTTCGGCGACTTGTTCGACCCCGAAAAGCCACTCTATCCGATAACCGGTAAGCATGTCATGACCTAGATGACACAAGCCATACATGCCATGCCCATGCCATTGTTGCCCCGTTCTTTCACTTTTGCTTCTTTGTTTTAAAGCATGTCATGCCCGTTGTAATCTACCCCGTAATTCCCTCCATCTACCGCTATCTTTTCCAAGTATCATTGCTTAAACACCCGTCCGCCTCCTCCTTCACCTGCCGGCCCTCAGCCTAGCCGGAACACACACGGGCTTAACACCCCCCCTTACACACACCCTAATAGACCATGTCGCCGCATGCCGTGCAACCAACCCCCGGGCCACCGCGCCCAGGCCTCGACTTTCACAAATATGCAATCACCAGAAACGCCTTCCTCCCAGACCAGAGCCCCGTCGCCGTCCTGTCGGACCCGTACTACGCGCCGTGGGAGGCCATCGGGCAGAACCTGGCCGAGCTGATCGACACGGACGCCATCCGGGACGCGGTCCGGCGGATGCCGCTCCTCTCCGTCGACAAGCTCGTGTCCGAGCCCGAGTGGCGCCGGGCGTACAGCATGCTGGCCTTTATGACGCACGCGTACGTCTGGGGTGGCGACAAGCCCGAAGAGGTGCGTTCCATGACTCTGTCTCTCTCCCCTGCAAACGAAGCCGGAATCGAAAAATAAAAATAAAAAAAATAGAAAAAGAGATGGCTGACAATTTTCATAGATTCTGCCCCCTCAAATATCAGTCCCCTTCCTGCAAGTCTCCGCACACGTCGAGCTGCCCCCCGTGCTCACCTACGCGGCCGCGAACCTCTGGAACTTCACCTGCCCCTCCGGTTCCTCCTTCTCCGACTCGGAGCAGCTCTCCCTGTGCTTCTCCTTCACCGGCACCGCCTCCGAGTCGCGGTTCCTGCTCCTCAGCGTCGCCATGGTCGCCGCCGGCCTCGACGCCCTCCGCGCCTGCATCGACGGCGTCGCCGCGCTGCTCGACCGCATGCCCGAGCGCTGCGACCCCATGATCTTCTACCACCGCATCCGGCCCTTCCTCGCCGGCAGCCAGAACATGGCCGCCGCGGGCCTGCCCCGCGGCGTCTTCTACGACGAAGGGGACGGCAAGGGGGAGTGGCGGAGGCTGCGCGGGGGTAGTAACGGCCAGAGCTCGCTGATCCAGTTCTTCGATGTGGTGTTGGGCGTGGAGCACGCCGGTCACGGCGGTGCCTCGCACGCGAGCTTCCACGAGGAGGTCCGCGAGTACATGCCGGGCCCGCACCGGCGGTTCCTGGTGCACGTGGCGCGCATGGGCAGCATCCGCGAGTTCGCGATGCTCCCGGAGGACGGCTGCCCGGAGCAGCGGCATCTGCGCGAGGCGTACACGGCGGCGACGACGGCGCTTGCGGCGTTTCGGCAGAGGCACATCGCCATCGTCACGAGATACATCATCATCCCGTCGCGGCAGCCGTGGGAGGGAAAGAGGTGGAGGCAGAACCTCGCGAGCTCGTCGTCGGCGCTGCAGGGCGACGAGAAGCTGACGGGCACCGGGGGCACGGCGCTGGTGCCGTTCCTGAAAAAGGCCCGCGACGAGACGACGGAGGCGGGCAAGCTGCAGCGGAGGCAGTAGAGGATCGTAAAAGAAGCGAGATGTATTTTACGCTTCATCTGCATATATACTGGACCATTTATGACACGCAGCGATTTTCATTCTATAGATGCCCTTTATCTTTTTTCGGGCTTTCTTTTCAGTCGAGATCATGTAGTCTCCTGATTTGATTGCTAGCATAGACAAGAATGTTCCTGGCAGTCTTCCGGAATATAACATTTATACCAGTTTATGTACATTGAATTTATACCGTCAGATATGCATACAAGTGAATCTATAATTCTAGTAGCAGGATATCATCATGCTCTCATTGACATCGCAGCATTACACCTTCCGCGGCTTGCAAGGTGGTCGCGGCGTCTTCCTATCCGTCGTGACCACGCGCGCCTGGAGCTCGTTGGTCAGAGGCGTGTTGGCCTTGACGTAGGCCGCAAAAACGTCCGAGTCGGCGTCGAGGGCCGCAAAATCGGTCCTCGGCTCCAGCAGGTTGTCGCCGCCGCGGGCAACAAAGTCAAGAGTCACCAGGCGGTAGTCGGTGCGGTTCTCGTCTAGCCGCTTACCGCCAATCCTGACGCCAATGAGCTTGCTGCCCACCTCGTTGTCCGGATTGTACTCAATCTTGATGTCCTTGGAGACTTGGAACCACGACGACGTCTTCTTCTTGCTGAACTGGTTCTCGCGCGAGACCCAGCCCTCAATCAGCTTGCGCAGATCCTTGCCAGAGTAGTTGAGCTGCACGACAGCGTTGCCAAAGGGGAAGGAGGTGACGACCTGGCCGCGGGTGATGTTGCCGGCGGCGATGGTGGCGCGGACGCCGCCGGCGTTCATGAAAGCAAAGTCGGCCAGCTCCTCGCCGGCATTCTTGGAGAGGTTGCGGCGGTAGTCGAGCATGGCATCGACCATGACCTGACCGAGAAGGCAATCTCCTTTTTGGCAGGTAGTTTGGTCGAGTTCGTTCTTGGTCGTGCCAATGACTTGGTTGGAAAACTCCTCAAAGGGCTTGCGCCAGGCCTCAACCTTGTCCTGCAGCGACTTTTCGAGCTTGGTCGTGTTGGTCATGTGGATGGGTGCGCCGTGATAGGACAGCGCACGGCCTTCCTTGTCAAAAGTCAGGTCAATGGAGCCGAGGTACTCGCCCCAGCGGTACGAGGTGACGACAAACACCTCCTTGCCGGACTGGTCCTTGATGATGGTAGGATACTTTCCAGCGGCGCCGGGCATGTCGCCGACGAGAGTGTGGCTATGACCGCCAATGATGAGGGAGAGGCCCTCGGTGTTTTGCGCCAGCTTTTGGTCCTCTTCGTAGCCAATGTGGGTGAGGGCGACGATGCGGCGGACGTCGGTCGTGTTGCGGATCTCCCAGATGGCCTTCTGGACCTCGGTGGTGACGTCGAGGAAGTGGGTTCCAGTGCCGACGTTGGAGATGCCCTTGGTCGTCTCGGTCGTGGCACCGATGACAGCGAGCTTGTGCTGGTCAAAGATGTGGTAGTTCTTGACCGTCTTGTTGAGGGCCTCGTACTCAGACCTGACGTTGCAGGACACGATGGGAAAGGTCAGGTTGTTGAGAAACTTGCCGAGCTCCTCATCGCCCTTGTCCCACTCGTGGTTGCCGAGGGTCATGACGTCAAAGTTGAGGTCGTTGACCGTCTCGGCAATCTTCTCGCCGCCGTAGTAGGAGAAGAAGAGGGTGCCCTGGAACTCGTCACCGGCATTGAGGAGCAGGTGGTCGGGGAAGGTCTCGCGGAGCTCCTCGACCTTGGTCTTGATGCGCGCGTAACCACCGTAGCAGCCCCTGGTGGGATCCTTGCAGTCGGAGCCGGAACTGGCGAACTGGTCCAGATGTGCGTGGATATCATTGACGTGGATGAAGGCTGCACAAGTCAATGGTGGTTAGCGGTGCTTCCTTGATTGGTGCTAATGGAGCCTAGGCATACTCATGTTGTAGTTGCCATCATTGTCGATGAAGCGCTTGGAGAGATGGCGTTTGCTGTAGAGAACGTCATCGGCAACAGCGCACGAAGCAACGCCGAGCGTCGCGAGGATGGCGGCCGTCTTCATGATGGGAGGCGCGGGGGGTTGTCTGTGGAGGACCGGGTCGGCAGCACGTAATAAGAAGACACACGAGGAGGCGACGAGAAGACGACAGTGAGCAAGCAGCGGCAGCTCAGCGAGCAGTATTAAATACCAGACACCACAAACTTATCGGCACACACAAAGGTACCCGTAGCCAACCGACCGGGGCGTGGCGGGGGGCGCCGATAAATGCTGCGGCGGAGGCGGACAGGCTGGCTGGAGGGGGAAAAGTCTTGTGGTCTGCCCGGTCTGGTGGAAGGTTGGAAGTTGAAGACGGCCTGCAGATTGCTCAGTCGTCGCTGTGGCTGCTTCGCGTGGCTGCTGTGTGTGGCTGTTGCCAAGATACACGTGGACAATTGCAGAGGGCTCGGAATCTGCACGTGGGGGAAAGCAACCTGGATTTTTGAGAATCAAGAGAGTCGTAGGCAATCATCCCAGTTCTGCACCCTACATAATTGCAGGGCAGGAAACCCCGGGCGGAGACAGGCGATCAGGGTTACAGCCATCTGTGCAGCCACGGCGGATCATCACCGAGACTCAGCGGCCAAAGACAGGCATGGGACAAATGTTGCAGATTTCTGTTTGGCCATTTATCCGTAACTACCTATTCATACGAGTAGCACGGATTGACTAGTTACTCAGCGAGTTCAAATATCCACCACCAAAAGTCCCCAGTAGGTTTCCCCGCGGGCTCACCGAGACTGGGGCTTCTTCTTGGCAGAGGAGAGGCTGGTAATAATACTAGGGTCACTCCGACTATAAAACCTGCCCACTCCTCCTTTATTAAGGTACTTAAAAACTGGGCTGAAAGCTAATATGCTAGTAAGAACCATAGGCAAACAGGTCATGCATGGAAACAATGTTTCTTACATGAGCATGCTGATAATGACGGACAGTAGCCGCTCAACGGGCCGATGACACTCGTTATCAGATGTCCCTGAGAATCACTTCGAATTCATCAGGCACAAAATGGCCCATTGAATGGCGCTTTGTTCATTTCAAAAAGCCTCCTGGCGTCCGCCTCAAGATCCGGCCCGCTGTGGCTGACCCCTAAGATAAGCATATTCGGAAAGGCAATTGCAAACCGAACAATAGCCACGTGGGAGGGAATAGTATGAATGCATTCAAAATGATGATTGAAGCTCACCTAGGACTATCGCAAGAAATTTGACGGCAGTTGGCCACTCCTATTCCTAGCCATCAGGCCCTCAGTGTCTCTGTTTGGTCCGACAATCTCCGGCCGCTTATCCCCGCAGACTGCACTTGAAATACACAATTTCACTCGGCAAATTCGTAGTCAAGTTGTTTCTGTCCAATATTGGCAGCGGTCGCGTCCTTTCCTTACCATCTTGCTCTGCCAGTCGAAATTCATTATGCGCAAACATGGTCACGACCGCGACCATAATCTCCAGGGTAGCAAACTAAGCCGTTAGCATACCTCCCTCCCTGCCTGGTTCACGACGCTGCATATTTACTTACCTTGAGACCTACTATCAGAGTGTTAGCATAGTCAACCGGCCAAGGAAGAGTGCTGATAAGCAACTTACAGCATGGGTGCAGACCGGAGCCCCAACCGAGGAATGCATGAGGCACATCTGCCCCTTCATCTCTGCCAGGGAGGTGTCGAGCCGGCTCCCATTGAAAAGGGCTAGGATAAATCATCTCGTCAAGGTGAACGTCATCGACTGTGTAGAACTGTTTACTGTCAGCACACCTTCAACCAGCGCACTCGCACATCGGGTGGTAGTCACTCACTGCGAAGGCCTTCTTCGGGACGACTAGATTCGTTCCGGGAATAACCAGATCCTCATCGGAAAGATTTTTACGAAGCATAGGGCCGAACAGGTTGAGTCGCAGGGTCTCCCGTAAACAAACGCCGACGACGGGCAGTTGCGTGTCCCAGTCGCTGTAGGGTATGCGCTGCAGGATCTCAAGAACAGACTCGTCCGCGCTCTTGCGATTCTTGGCGACAAAGGTGTCTACTTCATCCTGCACTTTGCGATACCAATCGCCATTCTCGGCAAGGTGGCAAAGCAGCCACGCGGACATGACCCCAGTGTTGAGCAGGCCGGAAAACAAGATGCCGATGATGCACTGCATGATTCCACAGGTGTGAGCTCGCTACCCGGGTGACCAGAAGTAGAAGGTGTCAACATACCTGCACTATCCCGAGGTCAGTTTCTCCCAAACCCATGAGTAGCTGCAGTGCGTCCCTCTCAACACGTCCGTGCCTGCGACGATCATGCATCACGCCAGCGATCACCCGGTGCAGGCGGTAGCCTCCCCATATCTTGGACAGCATCGACGGCAGCGGCCAGCGCGGAAGCATGATCTGCAGGGGCGAGCAGTTCTCTACGCTGGAAAAGTTCTTTAGGGTAGAGTCCAGGAGCGCGTCACTTTCCGCAATCTCGTGGACCCCCCCGGTGCGATGCGTCAGCCTGTAGATGAGGCGGTACACGAGCGAAAAGACGGGCACCGCACTCTCGCTGCGGGACAGCCCACCCAGTGCCGAGTAGGAATCTTTGAGGATGCTTGGTAGCGAGTCAACCAGACGTTTACGGGTCAATATTTTCTTGAATAGATTAACTTGACTTTGAGTTGGGTCGTCAAGGTCTGCCTCAATATGGGGACTGGCCGCGAGCAGGGCTGAGTAGCTGCAGATTCGCAAATTAGCGAGATGGTTCTTAGATTACGGAAGGGTTTGGAGCTTGCATACCCGGCGCGTAGATCCAGCTGTCGTGAAGTAAGGAGCAGCGTTCTGCCAGCTTCGCCCAACAAGCTAACAATAGGGTATTTACCGTAATGGAAGCTAAACGGCCGGCCGCCGCTCCTTTTCTGCTCCCGGTGCAGGAACTCCTGACGTCGGTAATAGAACGCGATCGATCCAAGGAGAGGCCATTCCGGGACAACCTTGGGTGCGTTTCTTGGGAGCTTCGGCCGCTGCCGGACGAGGCTCACGGCGGCCAGCAGGACCGGGGAAAGGGCAAGCACGACTACCGTGGCGAACCATCGGGAGGCAAACCAACCCGCGAAAATAACTATGGTGTTTTCGAAAAGCATATTTGATGTTTTTTGAGTTGAGGGAAACTATGTTGTCTCGCACAAGAGCCTCTGTGCCTGGCTGGGTGGAAATGAGCTTTATGTAGAGCCAGAGCCAACCTTGAGCGGAAGTCGTCCGTCATCTTGTTCACCGACATACCATGGGACTGTATTGGAGCGTCACAGATGACGTTGGAATAGTGAGAATTGCTTGTTATTCAGGTCTTACAGAGCCGCACAAGTCACTCTGCATATCGTGAGACTCGCTCAACGATAGCTTCGCTGTTCGTCCGGCAGTCACAAGCGTCGCACCATTCTCATATTGATCACCTGGCTGTGACTTGTCCGACTTGAAAACTTTGCGATGAATGCCGTGATAGTACTTTTGAGCTTCACGAAAAGATTCCAAGAGGTCTGTGTGGTGAGGCGAACTTGCCGAAGCGCAAGTGCAACAAACCACCCACCCGTCAGAGGGGTATCTACGACCCTTCCCATAGCGTACGGATTCCTTATAACATATTCAAAATGGAAACTGAAAAAAGGACGCTTTTTTAAAAGTGGCTTTAGTAATAAGCTGTGTTTTCTTGTAGCGGTGCAACCTTACGTTGTGTATGGGGCATAATAACTGGTATCGGCCAACAGGTCGGGGTTCCTGCTACAAGGATGAATACTCTCGCCTTGCATTTTTCTTTGTTTTTTTTTTCTTTAAAAAAGAAAGCAAGCAAACACGAAAGTAATAACACATTCCCGTTAGCACTCTATCAAGGCCCAAGCAGAGAGAGCATGGCGCGGCACTGGTTGGCGCACTTTTGCCCATAGTTGGGGAGCTTATTTCTGTTGCACTACAGTCCATGTGTTAGCTTCCTGTCCACATTCACAACAGGTTTTTATTCTCTGGACTCACCTTGCACCCCATGAACCAGTAAATCGGCTCCGCCTTCTTCTTGGGGGCCGTCTTCTTCGCCTTGGCCGTCTCCTGGGCCTGCACGCGCTTCACCGCGGCCGCCAGCTGCTCGCAGTTCTTCAGAATGTCCGCCGCCAGCTTCTGGTCCTCCGGCTGGGAGTTGGCCGTCTTCTCGCACGTGTCCGCGAGCTCCTCTAGGCCCTTGATGCGCTTCTCCTCCAAGGCCTGCTCCTCGCGGCGGGCCTTTTCCTTGGCGGCGGCCTCGGCGCGGAGGCGCTCGTTCCTGTCCCAGTCGGTCTCGAAGCCGAGCTGCAGCGCGCTGCCGATGGCCTTGGTCATCTTGTACTTGAGCTCGTTGCCGTAGATGTCGTCGCGCTGCGGGCCGCCGATGGCCTCCTGCAGGCTGGCCATGGCGTCGTCGAACCACTTGACGCCGTAGCCGATCGGGTTGTCCCACCGCTTGATCGAGTCGAGCGCGTGGTGCGCGTAGGGCGCGACGAGCATGAAGACGGCGGCCTTGCCGGCGGACTTGGGCACGGCGAAGCGGCCGGCCTTGTACGTCACCTTGCCGCCCTTGCCGCCCTTAGCGGGAGCGCCCTTGGTCGGCTTGCTCTCCTTGATGGGCTTGCCGGCGCTGTCGCAGCAGATGTCTCTCTTCTTCAAGCACGGCTTGCACTTCTTGGCCGGCCCGAGGGGCGAACCGGGTATTCTCGTCACGCCGGTCTTGACGTTGGGATCGTATTTCTTGGGAGGCGGCACGGGCGAGCCAGGCATCACCCTCAAAGGAGGCTTGGGGCTCGAAGGCGGCTTGAGCGAGCCGGCCGGTCCCCAGTTGCTGATGCCGGCGACGATTGCGTCGGTGATTTGCTGGCCTGGCGCCCGGGTCGGGGGTGCTCTGTCCACAATGGCTCCATGGGCAGAGCTGAGACCGAGAAGGGCGAAATGAATAATGGAAATCTTCATTTTGTGTGTAGATGCAAGAAACAACGGCCTTTTCTGGACGTGATGAAAAGGAAAGAAAGACTTGTCCAATGGAAAAACGAGGGACTTTTATAGGCTTTGATGGGAAGTGAGTGATCCAAGGCTTATCGAATGGAACTAGGATGGAAGCAAAGCAACGACTTTAAATAATTCAGTAAGGGCCCTATTTTGTTTCCATGGACCAGTGCAAGCCGGGCGGCAGTTGGCTCATGCAATTTATTAGCCGCTGCTTTTACATGAACCATGTTCATGGGCTGTCGCCAGCATTGACCATGCTCGCCTGGTACTGCCTGTTTTGATCACGTTAATTGTGCATCTACAATGCCCATAAATTGCGCCTCTAACTTCAAAACAACGACGTCGGAAGCATTATGCCCGTCGAAGTCCAATGTAGTGCCCAGTTGTGCCGTGAGGACTCACGCCTATGCATAGGCGTCAGACACAGATTACGCGCCAAATTCACGTAGACATGACGTCCGGTTATGCGTTGAGAAAGTCTATTAAAAACGTCGAGTTTACATGAATTTTGTGTATAAAGTGGGTTATTTAGACATGACGAACGCTTGGTTATGCGCCTAAAATCTCTCGATCTGCATCAATCGTAAAGCCAGTTAGTTAGATTTTGGTCGCGCCACCAGCGCCGGCACTTGCTGTAGCCTTTCAGCTGAACAAGTAACTTTATAGCTCCAATGTTATTTTGTTGTGCTATTTAAGGTTCGTTTGCCACGCTCCTATGATTATCAGTTACCCACAAACGGGTCGGCTCGACTCAGGGAAAGTGGTTCTGAGCTCACCTGAAGACCGAAGGTAGCTCCGGCTCCCATAATTAGCTTGGGCTTCCGGGCCGACTGTTATTACATCTGCCGAGATGTAAGATGGCTGATGAAATACCTTCATGACTCAAGCGTTCGCCGGTCTGTAATCTCTCTTTTTAGGGGCATAGCTGACCGCAGTTATGCCTGGATATGAAAAGGCCAACGGCGCTTCCCTGGGCTCTGCCGCGACTCAACGGCATCTATGCACCGTGCCTGGCATAGAATGTTGAACTTCGCTAGCTCTGTTCTCTTTATATAAGATGAGGATCTACCATCTCAGTTTTCGCTGTTCTGATGCCCTCATCCGTCACCCTCCTTCCTGGCTTTCCCATACAGTCTTTCTTTAAATAGCCCTGCTATTGTTAGCATTCTACCACTCAATACCCTTCATCATGAGATACTTTACCATCCTCGCCATCCCCTCCATCTTGGTCGCTGCCAACGACCTTGGTCCCCGTCAGACGGAACAAGATCCGCTCACGACCCTCCGCGCCAACTTCTGCCTCGAGTACCACACGCGGAAGTGCCAGGAGCACATCATCGAATGCAATCACAACAAGAAATACGCATCCATCGAAGAGTGCATGCCAGTCGAGTACCCGGAGTGCATCAAGGACGAGACGTCTCCTTGCGCCCAGGGCATCGTCCAATGCATCACTGAATTTGGCGGGGAGGAAGACGCCGTCCAGGCCGTCGAGGACTGCATTACCGAAAAGGTGATGACTGCGGTCGACGAGGATGACGAGGATGGCGAGGACGAGGAGAAGAAGGCCGCCACTCCCGAGCAAGTTGCCGCGTGCAAGAAGGCGAGCGCCGAGTATGAGGTGACCTCCACCGTGGACAACGACTGCCATGTGGAAACTGAGGAGGACAACAGCGTGGAGAGAAGAGCCGAGTCAGCAGCTTGCAAGGCGGCAGCAGAGGCTTTTGAACAGGCATGGAAAACCAACAACTGTGAGACGGCATTGGGGGCTTAGAAGTGAAGTCGTGAAAATGGTTCAGTTCGCGAGCGCCAATGTGCCAGGCTTAGACTAAAAACAAGTTTTCTTAAAATTTGCAAAGTATTACCCTAGGTAGGCTGCATGATAGTCTGAAAGTGGAAAACTAGGCGTTGACCATGAACCGTCATGCTGTGCCCCTCGTGACAACTTGAAAGCTGGAGGTTTCCTCTAGGCAGATGTCGCATAAGGCATGACAAAAACAGGGGAAAGCAAGCGCACCGACATTGGGTTGGAAATATTGTCAAAGCCAAATTTCGTTCGCTTAAGCAGGTAAAAGAAAGGAAAATGCTTTGAAAATGTACATGCAAATTACTCGCGGTATTGATGGGTTGGCTTCGGGTTGCTTGTTACCCTGGGGCCAGTTAGTGACAGATATGGGCCTATTGCTGCTTGTCGAACTAAATTGCACTTACGAAACAGGCCGATTGATTTCGACGCCGTCTGCATCAGCAGGAGTGACTGGCCGGCGATAGTGTCGAGCAGCCAACCATGGCCTAGTAAAAACGTCGTCCATTTCTTCAATGGAAAGGCCGGAAATTTCTGGAACCAGGAGGTAGACGTAAACTAAGGACAAGCAGCAGCATCCGGAAAAGAAGATGAAGGCTCCCCAGTTGTTCGTCTTTTTTAGGAGGGAGGGTACGGCAAAGCTCATCACGTATATGAATACTCGGTGGCAGAATTGCGAAAAGGCGACGCCAAAGGATCGAATGCGATTCGGCCAGAGCTCGCCGGCGAAAACCCACGGCAAAGTGAGAAGCCCTGCGATTCAAAAGAGTAAATAAAGAGAATTCAACTAGCATGGGACATATTCGCCGCGCTCACCAACCGAGTAACCAAACGCCTGGATGAAAATGGCAGCGAGGGCGCCTTTCGACGCACCCGTCGCCACGGGGCCGTGCTGCGAGTTCTTGACGTATATTGCAACGTACAGATCGGCTAGCATCTGGCACGTAATTCCGACAAAAAGTGACTTGCGACGACCGAGAGCGTCGACGAACAAGAAGGAGGCTATGAGGGCGAAGAAGAACTTGGACAAGGTGTACATGCCGCTCAGAAATAGGTTGCGCTCCGTGCTATTCGTGGAACCGATCATGTTCAAAACAGGAATGAGATAGTAAGAGATGGACGAGGCGCCGGAAAGCTGGGGAAGCAAATACAGGATGACGCTCTGCTGCACGCGGCGGAGATTTGCGGGCACCGTGAACGTCTCCCGAAGGATGCTCCGCAAGCTGGCCGTGCCTTTGCCGCTCGCAAAGAACATCCCCTCCTGAGAGATGGCCTCTTGAATCTCGCGCAGCTCACGCCGCACGCGCGGGTGCTCCAGCGGCAAGCCGCGGATGCGAACCAGCACGTCCGTAGCGTCCTCCTGGCGGTCCACGAGGAACAGCCAGCGCGGCGACTCCTCGCAGACCAAGAAGCTTGCCACGAAGCACAATGTCATAAATGCGATGGGCACGATCCAGACGACCTGGTATTGCAGGCGGGTGCCCTGCAGCCTCTCGTCCAGGTACACGCCGTAGACGCAAAACGAGGACACGCCGTGCGCCAGGCCCATCATGACGGTGTACCACGAGGTCAGGACGCCGCGGGCCTCGGCGGGGGCGAGCTCGGCAATGGCCATCGGGGAGACGACCATGAGCGCGCCGAGGCCGCAGCCGCAGAGCACGCGCGCCGCGTACAGAGCGGCTGCGTTGGGCGCGACGATCTGGAGAACCTGGCCGGCCGTCCACAGGGCGACGTACATGCGGTAGGACCACAGACGGCCGGCGCGGTCGTTGAGGAAGAAGGAGGCGGCGGCGCCGATAAAGTCGCCGATGCTGATGAGGGAGACGAAGTACTTGATCTTGCTGGCGTCGGTGGCAGAGTCGATGCCAAAGTGCTGCCGGAAGCTGGGCAGTGTGGCTATGACGGCGGACGAGCCTTGGTCCCACGCTGGATTGAGGTGTTAGTTCAGCTCCGAGGTGCTGCAAGCACGGTTACTCTAGAAGACATACTCAAGGGCACTGCGGCGCATGCAAAGATAAACGAGGTCAGCAGAAGCCTGCGGTTGTAGAGAACCTCGCGCGGCGCTGAGCGGATGGTGCTGCCATAGCTGCCAAGCTTGGTCCTTGCGAACATGGTCTTGGTGCCCATTTTTGCATCTACTGAAATCTGATGTAGTCTCAACGTGGCGAAGTAGTGGCCGAGTGAGATGCCTCGACGAGATGCCGACCTCTATCATATTTGTTCTGGAGACATTTTTCAGCCATCAACCCGCTAGGATGCGGCAGACAGGATAGATATATGCACGTCGAATGGAAACAAATTATCCGGCAGCCTTATAGGTTTCCAAAGTCCCCCGCACCTTCAATATGTAGTATTTGAGTAATATTCCGGAAGTCCGTGTGGGTGAGGGGTTTGCGGCGCGGGAATCCCGATATGCAGCTGTACCAGGCTGCTGGATGGGGATGTGATCGCCATCATGAAAGAAGCAGGCATCGTGTAATGCTATCGATGGAGTATATTCGTGAGAGCAGGTCTAGTAGTAATGGATGCTCAGTGTCTCGTGGGCTACAGACGTGTAAAGTCTCGCTTCTCTTTCGTTAAACGGTATTCAAAGGCGAATTCTTCAATTGCGAACACATCGTTGCAATAGGCTCCCCAGCCTGCAGTATCAAGGTGCAAGGGCAGCAGAACCGAATGAGCAGCTAACATCAGACACGAAGGCTGATGGACGAGCCGCGGTGTGCGAGGTAGAGAGGAAGATGTGTGGAAGATAGTTTTTGGTTTATGGTCGCTTCCATTTCCTGGGCGTAATCCGGGGGTGGCGCTGGACCCCGCCGCCTTGGAGCACAATGGGGCGGGTTGTGGGGGGGGGGCGCGCGAGCCTGGGCCCCAGTGGTAAGAATATTATACAGAAAATCAAAAAAAAAAGAAAAGAAAAAGAAAAATTCAGGACGATAAGACGTCATCATATCCTTTTTTCCTGTTCACGCTATACGTCGTACATAATGCAACTCAATTTGTAGCAGCAAGGGCAGATACAGCGACGCCAGGGCATGTGACCACTAAATATAATGGCTTCAGGCTGACTTGGCACGAGGCCACGCGCGCGCTGTGGACTGTACAATACTAACTTTGCTGTATTAAGGCTTATAGAGTAAAATCAAAGAAAACTTGGATAAGAAGAATAAATTGCCAACTAATAGCCGGTGTCCAGGGGTTTTCTTTTTGAAACACCTCCTATAGAGTGAAGAAGGTTATTTGAGCATTCCGTCAACTCCACCCCCCCCCTTTTGGAGGCCGCGCTAAGATGCAAGGCACGGCCCGTGACAAGTGCAGCATTGTATTCTGTATTTGCAACTGCTCGACGTAAACTAACACTTGAAATCCAATATCGGCACAAAATTTGAAAGGACATCCTTTCTGAGACAATGCCGCAACTGTGAGACTGCATGCTGCACCCCAGATTATCTCGAGGCTCATGCAAGGCTGACAGCCCATCCCCATCCTATCCCCATCCATCCATCCACATCCACCAGCCCCATCAAGATCGTCACAAAGCTGAAGGTCAAACGACAACAAATGCCAAGTGCAAGTGCCCCCCTCCGCCTCCGCCTCCGCCTCCTTGACCTCCTTCTCCCAGCCGCACTCCTCATGTGACGAGGTCAAGAGTTGGCCTCGCCTCGCGCGAACAGCCTTTCAGCCACATACTTTCGTCCTCCTGCAACTCCTGACCTTCTACTAATACGGCTATCTACTACCTATCTTGCTCTTCTTACGGTCGCCTGTTCCTTCTTAACTTCCACCTGACTCTCGCTGCCTGGCATCGCCCGAGCTTTACGGTGCACTCAGCTCGTCACCCGTCATTACGTTGGAGTCACAACCCTTGGCACGAAAGCGGCTTGTTGCCTCTCTACCCTATTTCAATCGCGCGTGTCTTCGGGACGCGCCCCGTCTCTTGCCCATCATGGACGAAACAAACTCCCACTCCCAGCAGAAGCAACAGCAAGAACCTCTCTTTAGTCCCTCGGCTATTGCTGCCGACATGCAGAGACGAACGCGCAAGCAAAACAACTTTGACCAGGTCGAGGCCGACCTGCCCGACCCCCAGAAACTCGCCGCCGCCAGCGCCGCCGCCGTTACCAGCCTCACCCCCGGCTTCACAACCCGCCTCAGCCTCGCCGGCGCGCTCAGCTTCCTGGGTCGTCTAAACCCTCTCGGACCGCGCCCGGTAGCCCGCGGCGACGTCGTTTGGCTTCTCGACAACACGGCCTACCGGACCGGCAGCAGCCGCTTCTCATCGTCGTGGGAGGCCGAGTTCGTCGCCGCCGTCTTCGAGGAGGAGCCGCGCTCGCACCTGGTCGACGCCGTGGCGGGCGTCGCGCGCGTGCTGGGCATTGCGGACGACGCCGAGGAGCGCAAGACGATCCAGGCGCGCCTGATTCCGTTTGTCTGGGACGTGCGCGCGGCCAAGACGGTGACGGTTGCGCAAAAGGGCTCCGGGCGGAGGACAATCAAGCTAGGTCCCACGGGTTTCAACGGCGTCAGCTCAAACGTGATGCCCGTCGCGAGCCACTCCAAAGGCGCGAGCGTCGAGGCGACCGCTGGTGGGCTGCCCAGCGGCGTGCCGGGCCTGCTTGGCATGCAGACCTACTACGCCGGGCCGACTGGCTGGAGCGTCATCTCAGGTACTATTAGCACGCAACGCTAAAGATTTTTTTTGTTGCTGACCTTTGCTGTAGATATCGACGACACCATCAAAGTCACGACGACCAGCGACCCCATCGGCATCCTTCGGGAGACGTTTGTGGAGGAGCCACGTGCCGTGTCCGGTATGCCAGAACTGTATAAATCCATCGACGGCATACTCAAGACGGACACGCCGTGGTTCTACCTGTCGGCGTCGCCATACAACCTGTACCCGTTCCTGCGCGAATTCCGCGATGCGCACTACCCGCCCGGGACGCTGATCCTGCGCGACACGAGCTGGCGGACGATTGCGGGGCTGCTGGCGGCCCTGACGATGGGCACCGAGGAGTACAAGGTGGACCGGATGAAGAAGATTCACGGCTGGCTGCCCAAACGCAAGATGATTGTCATTGGCGACTCGACGCAGTCGGACCCGGAAGCATATGGAGAAATGTACGTGTGGGAAGTGACTGCAGCCATCCTTTACCCCCAGTGACTGTTCTTCTTTTGGTTTCTTCTTAGTATACAGGTGAATTTGCTAACGCGTATAACGTGATAGATATCGCACGTTTCCGGGCTGGATTCGTCTCATCCTCATCCGCAAGGCGACCGACACGGCCATGTTTGGGCTTGGTGAGAAAAACGAGCCGGCGCGGTTCGAGAAGGCGTTCAAAGACATTCCCAGGGAGGCATGGCACGTATTTGAGGACCCCAACGAGTGCGTTGAGATTGTGCAGGCCAAAGTGAAGCAGGGATAGGTGCCGATGTTGACTGGCGATGCGGGTGTAGTCGTGCTGTTTACACTTGTTACTTTGCAGGCGCTGTGGCGTTTTGTTGTGGCTTTTCAATTTTTCGAATACGTTACCTATAGAGGATAGAGAAACGAATGATAGCGACCTAGTGACCCGATTTTGGCTTTGAGCAAAATTAGTATTAATCATGGTACAAGATTAATCAGGTGTGAAGAACTGCGGGGAGACGGAATGGGCAGAGGCGCGGGTGAGCAATGTGCCGGGAGACCATTTTAAGTTCTGTGTGAACGAGCGGAACAGTAGATTGCTGTCCCAGTTTAAGCGATGAAATTTTAAAAGATATCAAAATTTTAAGACTCAGATTGATAAGCTTTCATAGACCTTTAAACTTGTACCGAAGGCACTTGGTTGTGTCATTGTTGCAGGTGGGGCTCGCACTCTACGCGTCCTCGAAGCCCCGCGACGCGTCTCCCAGCTTCACACTTTCATCCAACACCAGACAGTAACTACCCCTCCAAGATGACACAGACAAAAGTGCATGAAGAACACCAATATCTGGATCTCGTCCGCGAGATTCTAGAAACAGGAGAGCATCGACCAGACCGGTACGTGTAGTGCATCCGCCTCTACCTAGCAAACGCCAGCCAGGCAGCTAACGAGACACTCGCCTCCCACAGCACCGGTACCGGCACACTCTCCATCTTCGCCCCGCGACCGCTTAAGTTCTCACTCAACCACAATGGCACGCCGGTTCTGCCGCTTCTGACGACCAAGCGCGTCTTCACGCGCGCCGTGGTGGCGGAGCTGCTGTGGTTCGTGGCGGGCAGCACCTCGTCGCTGCCGCTGAGCGCGGCCGGCGTCAAGATCTGGGACGGCAACGGATCGCGCGAGTTCCTCGACGGCGCGGGGCTGGGCCATCGCGCGGTCGGCGACCTCGGCCCCGTGTACGGCTTCCAGTGGCGCCACTTTGGCGCCGCCTACGTCGACGCCGAGACTGACTACGCTGGCCAGGGCGTCGACCAGCTCGCCGACGTCGTCGACAAGCTGCGCAACAAGCCGTACGACCGCCGCATCATCCTGTCCGCGTGGAACCCGGCGGACCTCAAGCTCATGGCGCTGCCGCCGTGCCACATGTTTGCGCAGTTTTACGTGTCGTTCCCGCGTGGCGGTGGTGGCGGGGAGGAGGAAGGGGGCGAGGTCAAGGGGCACCTGCACTGTCAGCTGTACCAGCGGTCGTGCGACATGGGCCTCGGCGTGCCGTTCAACATTGCGAGCTACGCGCTGCTGACGCACATGCTCGCGCACGTGTGCGACCTGGTCCCCGGGTCGCTGACGCACGTCATGGGCGACACGCACGTCTACATGGACCACGTCGAGGCGCTCAAGGTGCAGCTCGAGCGCGAGCCGCGAGAGTTTCCGACGCTTGAGATTGCGCGCGAAAAGGGCGGTAGCATCGACGGTTGGAAGGTCGAGGACTTTGTCGTCCAGGGCTACGACCCCCACAAGACGATTGCGATGAAGATGTCCGTCTAGGACGCTGGCGGGACTCGAGGCCCGGGTTGTGTATTATTACTGGCATTTATAGCATCCCATCAACTAGTGCTACACCGTACAAACGATTCACTTACGAAGGCAATTGAATTTTAATACTATGCGTCCTTTGTCTCCCTTTGTAGAGGATGAGGTTCTGCCAGCAAAACTTTAGCCCACTGCTAACCAGCGTTTGACACAGATACACTTCTTCCTACCGCGACACATCCCGAGTCCATATTCATATACTTTATGCTCAACATTGGATTTATACACTAGTCTCGTACCGACTGCGTTTACGAATGCGCGCACCAAACATCCAAAAACACCACGGAATTGGCGCCATGACAAGTGCGACGCAGCCCAGCAGCGTCGTCGACCAGCCCACGCCGAGCGCTTCGTACATTTGTAGTGCGAACAGCGGAAACGCCGCCGAGAGCACATACCGGGTCATCATGGCGGCGCCCGACGCAGACGCCCCGTAGAGCGGGCCGTACGCGTCGAGCATAAACAGGCTCGCACTGCTATAGACGAGGATGGACGTGAACATGATGCAGCCCTGGAAGATGATGGGCACGATCCAATGCACGCGTGCCTCTGCCGTCCACGCAGCGGCAAAAAGGCACAGCGGGAGCAGGAAGCTCCCCGCCAGCGCGCCGATGAGGCGGTGCTCCGACGGCAAGGGCGTGCCGTCCTCGTCGTCGTGCTCGGCCTGCCAGCGAAGCAGCCGCGGCTGGTAGTAGTACACGTCGAGACCGACGAGCGGGATCGACGCCGACAGTGTGCCGACGATGAGGCCGAGGAAGGATAGCGAGGCCAGCGGCTCCGGGAAGCCGTAGTACCGCGTGAAGATCCACGGCACCGCCACGACGAACGTGTACAGCAGCGCGAACAGGAATCCGCAGTACAGGCTGACGAGCGCGACGATCGGCTCCGTGCAGAGCATGTGCAGCGGGCGTTGCACGAGCGTCGTCGCGAAGTGCCGGAACGCGCGCCCGGGTGACGTCCGCTGCGACGCCGAATCCCGCAGACCGAGACGCGCCGCGCGCCGCCGCAGGATGATCTTCTTGTACGTCTCGCGGGTGCACGGCACCGCCAGCAAGTAACACGCGCCCGCGAGCGCCAGCGACGCCCACTGCGTCCAGCGCCAGCCCCCGGCCTGCACCAGGAAGCCGCCGACCAGCGGCCCCAACGAGGCGCCCAGCGACGGCACCGTGTAGTACACGCCGAGCACCGTGCCGCGCCACCGCGGCGGCGTCAGGTCCAGCATCGTCGCCGGCGCGTTGTTGATCAGCGGCGCCGCGAACACGCCCGCGAAGAAGCGGCACGCCGCCAGCCCCGCGATCCCGCCCGCCAGGGCGCCGCCCAGCACGAACAGCATGAACGCCGGCGCGGCGCACAGCACCACCGCGCGCCGCCCGCACAACTCGGACAGCGGCCCGCCGACCAGCGGTCCGCACGCGAGCCCCAGGTTGTGGGTGCCGACCATGGCGAGCAGCGTCAGCGCGGCGCAGAGGCGCGCGCGCGCGGAGGCGGGCAGGTTGCGCGGGTCGTCGGGGTCCGACGGGCCGGTCCAGTCGTACGCGGCGTTGATGGCCGCCACGACGCCTGCCTGCTGCACGGCGTCGTTGCTCGGCGGCCGTGGGCCGTGCGTCGTCGGCTTCTCCTCTAACGCAGTCGGGTGTGGGGGGGGCGTTGTCGTCGTTCGTTTGAGGATGCTCGAGTCGCCTGGCGGTGTCGGTGAGGAGGTGCACTCCGGTTCGGCCGTTGATGTGGATATTGGGATGCCGTATCTCCCGACGGCCGCGACCTTGGTCATTTCGGGCATCTTGGATGGTTGTAGCGCCATCTTTGATGATGCATGGCTTGTTGTGCAAAACTCCAAAAATCCAGCTGCGAAAAGGAAGCGAAAGCAGCGTTAATATGTGCGGTGAGCAGCAAGACGGCTACTTGGCTGTTGGCCGTCTCCGGCGACTTACAGCGTGTACGGCTTGGGCTGGGCTCGGGCAATTGCCCCCCCTCCCACGCCAGCCGCATGCTATCGTAATGCAAGGCGTCGGGTAACCACAGAATGGCTTTTCGAGTAAGACTGCCTGAAAAAAAAAAACTTCTTTCGCAGAGGCCGCGAAAGAGAATTCAACAAAAAAAAAAAATGAACACCAAGGCGCTGAATGAAAATAGGTAGGATGGTGCCGTTGCATTCTAGTGCCAGTTCTAGTGCTCTACAGCCTCATTTAACCCTGCCTAGGTCTGTACCCGCCCCTGCGGCCTTGGCCCGAGAAGAACCAGGGATGTAAAGAATAAATTGAGAACGATAATGAAATCAAATGGGTATGGTTATTTTGTAATAGCTGAATATACTTGAAATAGGAATACATCGATATCATGCTCAGAATCCCAACATTCGTTTCTTTTTCATCAAGAATACTTTTACTCGTGCTCATTGTTGTGCTCCAGATCGACAGCCTTGGTCACGCCAGGCTGGTTATGGCCGATAAACTCGGACTTCTTGATCATGTTCCAGCTGTCTTCATCAGCGTCGAGATGGCGGAAGCAGAACCAGAATGCAATACCTCCGACAAGGGCAATGACGGAGACCGAAGTGTAGTTCCAGACGAGAAGAGGGTCGCCAGACAGAGGAGTAAACGCCTGGCCAATGGCAGCAGAGATGGCGCTCATAAACAGGTTGACGCTCATGACCAACGACTTCATGTTCTCAGGAGCCTTGGAGAAGGCATACTCGTACGAAGTGACGTTGGTGAGGATTTCTGCGATACCAATGAAGATGTAGGGAAGGGACTGAGCCCAGACGTTAATGTCAGCAGGAGGACAGTTGACCTCTTCGCCCTGGGAGTTGATAATGGTGCCGTTGGCGTGCCAGCCGCAAGGGCTCTTTTGGTAGATGTAGTATTGCATGACAGCCGAGGCAACCATGGCTAGGGTAGCCATGAAGAAACCGGCAGTCATTCTCTTGATGGGGGTGAACGGGAGATTGATGCGACGGAGGCCGGGGTAGAGGACATGGTCAAAGATGGGGATCATAATGACAATAGAAATGGGGTTCAGGTTCTGGATAATGTCGTTCGGGACTCCGTGCAGCATCATGGTACTGGCCTGAGTGGTCAAGTTACCAGTCATCTGGTTGTAAGGGAGGAAGAAGACCGGCAGGAAGAGGAAAACCTTGCAGGCCATCAGACCACGGCGGACTTCGTCAACCCAAGCATCGTCATAGGTCATCCAGGCTGGGCGTTCGTTGATTGCAACCTTGGATGGGCGGGCGACATCCCAGTTGAAGTGGCGGATAGATTTGGACCTCTTGCGGACGTAGAACCACATCTTGAGGAACTTCTCGAGCAGAGATCCAGTCGGGGGACTGAGCTTGTAGTTCTTCTTCTGGGACCAAAGGACCAAGGGGGCAAGAAGGAAGAGGGCAGTGGGGATGAGGAAGGCGAGCCAGAACCCAACATACTTCTCAACGTACACCATACCAATCTGGCCGGATAGTGAGCCGATGTTGATACAGAAGTAGAAGTAGAGAAAGATACGTGTGTTGGTGATGGCGGGGTCCACGATGACAAGCTCGCCATTGCGTTCTTCAACTCGCATGCGAGTGTCTTCGTTCTGCTCAGCTAGAAGAGGAGAGACGTTGGCTTTGAAAAAGCCAGTGCCGACGCAGAGACAGAGGAGACCGATGATGAAGGCAGCAAAGGAAGAGTCCTTATGAATGATGACATTGGGGGCAGAAGCAGCAACGAGGACGACGTGGGCAATGATGGCAATGCCTATGGCCAGATGCAGAGTCCAGAAGCGGCCCATGCGAGCATCAGCAATCCAGGCACTGCAAGATGGCGCGTCAGTAGGGATCCACGATGCATGAGTCGGGGTTTGATACGTACCCGAGAAGAGGCATGATGTAGGCAAAGAACTGGTTGAAAAGACTAATACCCTGAGCAGCCTTGGGGCCCATGCCAAGGGCTCCAGCCTGCGGGTGAGGGTCACCAGGGAGAGGAGCACCGGTAGTCGAGCCGTTAGGCAGTTTGTGGTTGACAAAGTTGGTATAGAGAACGGCAGATCCGTAGTAGGAGAAACGCTCGCACAACTCAACAAAGGCAATCGTCCACATAGACCACTTGATCTTGCCAGAGACACGGCGCAGTGTGCGCTGCTGCTCTTCAGTTGGCTTGCCGGGCCAATCGTTATCGTCCGTGGTCACACTGTGCTGATCAACGCTCAAAGCATGTTGGCGCTTCTCCTCAACGAGGTCATCCTGGTGCGGCTCATTCTCAATCTTGTGGATTCCGTGAGTTTCGGGATCCGCGAGACCGGCGCGTGCAACGGCGTCGTTGTCAAGATTGATAGTGGTAGTCATAATCAAGTCCCCTCAGAGTGCTGAGGTTGTCTTGCTCAGTGTCAAGGTAGTGGGGGGCCCTCGAGTTCTGCTTATAACAAGCACAAGCCTGAGTCGACGAAGAGAGGGGGGGGGGATGAAGGAAGCTCTTAAACCAAGGAAGCAAGGGGTCACAAGATGGGGGCTAGGTGCCTCTTATTAAATATGTACGACATGGTAGGGTAGGCAGTCCATTTACTGTTTTAGAGACATGATAAGCGCTCTGGGGAAGAGGGACCAGGTTTTCAGGGCTCAACGAAAATCCTAGATTGTAAGTGAGTTGTCTGAGAAAGCCAAGACTGAAGCGGCGGAGGGGATTCCTATTCGAGACTGGCGGGACGGTGGCTGAACAAAAGAACCTTTAGAAACTTCTCCGTACCGCAAGGCCTGAGAATAGAATGGTTACAAGGGCCGAGAGCAAGTCGGGTGGAGAAGTGCCGAGAGGTTGCAGCGGGGCGTTGAAGGTGATAGATTTGCAAGAAGAAATATGGTTTTGTGGAGGAGGAGATGGTGTGAAGTCAACCGCCGAGTTGTGTCTAGCTTGGCTGAGCTGGGACACGATGGCAGTTGGTGGCGTGGCGTGGCGATGGCTGGGCAGCCACATGTGTTGTTGGTGGTGTGAAATTGTGGTTTGAAAAAAATTTCTTGTTGGTGTGTATTGAGTGGCGGCGTAGCCGTCGGTGACAATATGGAAGCCATCTCGGAAACGCGGCCTGCCAGCGATAATCTCCGTCGGTTGTTTTGGAGGATGGAGGAGAAGAGAGGGGAGAGGGGAGAGGGGAGAGGGAGAGGAGAGAAAGACAGGAAGGGACTTGGTCAGTCAGGCGAGGCGAGAGATGCTGCGGGGCCAGAAAACAAGCAGGCAAGATGGCCAACTGGGGCAGGCCACTGCGTGAACCCACACCCGCGCTGGGGCTGTTGGCTGAATCAAACGAGCAATGTTCCATCGACACAAGCAACCTATTTCGCTCTGTTCCCCGTGCTCATCATCAGTATTTTATCAACTGAACTGAAGTCAATATTGACTACGTGGTTGGCTGACCTGTCGCAGTCTTCCTCCCAATTCTGTCAGCCCGCTCACCATCCCAGGCGTTCAGCTAAGCCATTTACCATAGTTACTTCTCTCTGAGGCGAACATCATGTCTGGTCACCTTCTCCGAGATATGCCATTCAAGTAAATATCTTTCTGTGGTTATTATTAGTTATTAGCGAACAAAATTGCCAGCTTGCTACATCCCTCCTGACTTGGGCACAGGGCTCGTTAACAACATCATCACACCCTCGCGCGCGCTAGCCAAACACATGGCTTGCATTGTAATTCCCCAGACCCACGCCAGAAGTGCTTTCTCCGTGCGTGTCATCAAATGCAAGGAAGTTGAACTGTTCGCAGCCCCGTGATCTCGAACCGGCGACCGCGAGCGCCAAACGGTCGAGTCCAGAGTGGCGATGGATTCTCGCTTTGCCCGAAACAGCGAAATCTCCTTCAGTCGATTTGCCAGTGGCACTTTTTTCCTCCGACAGCCACGGGTTAGTGTTCCTTTGGGGGCGCGATGGATGCAGATTCCATGGCCGACGCCACAATGTTGTCGGTAGCGAGTTATGCGTACAACAGCCAAGTCCAGGTGCGTTCTTCCGTCTGCTAATAAACGCGCAGGTTTCAATTATCTAGTACGGCTGAACCAAGCTCGTATGCGCAACAGGTGTTCGCTAGTCATAATCCAGTCATCCCAAACAAGGCGAGGAGGCTATGCTCCCTCTGCCATGAGTTATTACCATGTTTCCCCCCACTCCGCTAACTTAGACATCTACCTGGTATTCCGACGGTGCCTTGTCCGATGCCCTGCCCCGGCACGTAACACTAAAGGCCCACTGAGCTACTGTGCGCTAAACGCCAAGCTTAAAAGTTAGTTTAGTGATAATTTTAGCCGTGGCTCGCCGTCGCCGTCGCCGTCGCCGCCGCCTCGTCCGCTTGGAGGCTGCCGAGACAACAACAACAACAACACATGTTTCGCGGTCCCACACGCCGATTCAATCTTGTGTTACCACACATTACCATGTGCTACCACCTTTTTATGCAAGGTACAGAGTTGTTGTTGGTCGCGGAACACATCGACTGACATCCTTGATCCTTGACATCGTGGTTGTGAGCTTCCTCTCGCACGCCATCAATTAACTATGGGGCACTGAGAAAACCAGGAGATAAGACCATCAAGAATCATAAAAAAGCTTATGGAAATGCATCCATTTCTCGTTTGATACGGTGTCATTGAACAGTATCTGCCACGGCACTACGTATCACTGGTGGCGTGACATTGCTCTTCCCATTCTGTTGGTTTGATTTCGTTATCGTTCGGCTGTGTTCAGTCGCCTATTGCATATGCCACTCAAGCAGTTGGGCTCGCTTCTTGTTGGCTTCTCAAGCGCCTTCGTTAGCCCGCATCTTCACACTGGAAACGATCTGTTGATCAACCCAAATGCAGCGAAGCCAAGACCCAAGACCGGCAACCGGTCGTGGCCCGACGCGGCATTTCGCAGCCAGCTTGGCAAGTTCATCAGTCTCCAAGAATATCCGCTGTCAACATGTTAAACCCGCCCGACAAATCCGATTGGCCGTGGTAACTTGTGCTCTGCAAATGCGGCCTGCCTGTACATAGCCAAAACGAGACTGCGCGTATGTACCAGAATGCGTCCTTCGACCGCGCCATCATTACCGCGCCGGCCACGGTGTCGGCTTCATGGCCGTCAAATTCAGCTGGGGCGAGGCGGGAGTGAATGTAACCATATGGACCAGTCATTTCGGCCGTGTGTACGGAGCACCCGCGAAACATGCCCATGAGAAATGATAATCAAGATGATGACCTGTCACGCAGCAAGGTTATCTGCCTGACTTCATCTGACATATTTCCATTACTCAATCATTTCCACTAAGCAACACCCCGTTCTTCTTCCACAGTTCTGGGGGCCCATGGGGAAGCCCTCCTGCGACAACTTCAACCCGCTGACTAGCCCTGTTTCACCTCCACGATCTCAGCTAGAACCTGTCCTCGCGTGTTGCAAGCACTCACTAGCTCAACGTTGTTATTAATTCTTCCGCCCCTCCATGAAGAAACGGGCAGCGGCGGATAGAGAAGGAAAAGGCCGCCTCTGCTAGCCTCAGCTGGGTGCGTCGTGGCGCGCCATTGCAAGTCGGCTCGGCATCCGTTGCAGCGATCACCATTTCGCTTGTTAGCAAAAAGAACCACGCATCAAATACGGCTATCAGCCATCAAACAAATGGACGGGTCCAGGACCCAGCCTCGCCAGCCAACTTGCCCACTCGCATGAGTTGTTCCTGTTGCTAACGCCAAGCAAAATAGTCGCCAACGTGATAATGGGTCAACTGTCCATGTAAACATGGCGTTGGGCTAGCGACCAAGGGGGCCTAGTAAAAAGACGCAAGAGATTTGTGTGCTAACTAGCCTGCACCAGGAGATGTTGCATGTTGCCACCAAGTTTTGAAGCACACAAAGTCTATGCTTGTGACCTCTCATATGAGTAGAGGGCATTTCTACTCAATTGGCACGCAGCTTTGCATCGCCTACCAGGTGAGCTGTTAACGTTTCCTAGACCACGCAGCGCACAATTGTCGAGCCTATTTGCAACCTGGTATCGCAGTTTGGAGATGTGAGCCCTGCAACACCACATTTTTAGTCATCGTCTCATCCCATTGTGAAGAGGGAAGAAATGGCCGACAGCCCCCCGGCTTGGCGAACGCAGTTTCTCCACCTCCTGACCATTGGGTAAGGCCTTCGAGGACAAACTCGGCTGTGTGGTTGACGGCTAGCCTAGCACCTAGCTAATGTCTTGGTGGTATCTTGCTTCTACTCGGATTGATGCGCTCTCGTCGGCTCGGAAAGAGTGAGTACGCGATTACTAAGCTGGGCGGCCACGTTTTTGTGTGCTCATTTCAATGCAAAGTATCTGTACAGCTCTGCACAGTAGAGGCGTAACGCCAAGCATTCGCACAGCCTTGCAAACCAACTGCCGCCATCTTTTGCGTAATGACAACTACAAATAGCAAAACAAACGAGAGCAGACCAGGCCTAGGCGAGCTTCACCTCTCTTCACTTTAATCCCCCCTCCTCCGTGGACAGAAATCTTACGCGGACCCCTGTCAGCATGGCCAGAAAGTACGTCGGGCCGTGGTCCTCGGGCACTGGGTCGGCGGTGAGAACCTCGAACCTTTCAAGCAGGCACACAACGCACTTGAGCACAATCATCTCGGCCACCTGCCTCCCGGGACACGTCCGCGACCCCCCGCCCCAGTTGAGACTGTATCGCTCCAGAGCTCGGACGCGTCCCTCGTCAATTTCGGCGCTGCTGCTGCCGCTGACGACCCAGCGGCGAGGGTCAAACGCGTCGGGGTTCGGGCCGCAAATGTCTTGGTTGCGGTGCAGCGCAACGGGGTTGCAACCCACGGTTGTGCCGGGTGGGATGTGAAAGCTATGGAGGTTCAGCCCACTGCCATGACGAGGTACAACGCGCGGCAGGCTCATACCGATGACAGGGTAGAGGCGCATTGCCTCCCGGATGACGGCGCGAGTGTACAACAGCTCCAGGCAATCCGTATAGGCGATGCAGCTGCCAGGCTTTTGTGGTTTTGCCGCCTTTTTGGAGCGAATTTCTCGCCTTGCTTCCTCTTGTACGTCTGGGTGTGCCCCCAGCATGGCCATGACGGCAGTCAGGGTCGAGGCAAGAGTCTCATGCCCAGCGCCAAAGTTGGTGATGGCCATCTTCCGCAGATACATCTCCGTGAACTCGGGCTTGTCCTCGTGCAGCTTAATCAAATCTGCGAGGAGATCTTGCCTCTGGCCGGCGGTTGGGTTCGAGGCGTTCTTAATCCGTCGAGCCACTTTTCTCGAGACTTCCTATTATCTCCCTGATAAGCATGTGTGTTGGCAACTGGCTGGGACGGCAATGAGGCATGTAATTGACGTACAGGGAAGAACGGCTTGAAGCCCTTGGGGGTCTGATATGTGATACCCCAAAGAGTACCAAAGATCCTTCCGATCCATTTATAGTTAACTTCGAGCTTGGTTATTAGGGGGAACAGTCCGAACACGGACTTGCGGCGCCAGCCAAGGTAGCTTTGGTTGCTGGTGTCGCGATCTGTTCCGGCCTTGATCATGCCTGGCGACCAGGACAGGACCACGGCGCCAAGCGATTCCACAGCTATTATGTGCATCCACTCTGTCAAGTCAATCTCTACACCTTTGATGGAGGTAAGCCTACCGACGACATCTCCCAGTGCTCTGTCGAGGGCTTGTTCATGGCGGAGCACATTGGCCGTCCTGTAGACTCGCCCGATGAGGCGGCGCTGTAATCGATAGCGGTGCATGTCCATCTCAGAGAGTAGGTCAAGATTGTCTTCAAAGTCGACTTTGAACCGCCAGTCTATACGCGGTCTCATAAGTGCTGTTGCCACTATCAAAAGTTAGTGGACGTCGCGTCTTGGTGGCCTGGGCTCTTCGGGTCCATACAATAAAAGTCTGACTTTTCATATCCTCGAACTCCCGCGCCTACACACTGTCAGCCTCTTCATTCACATACACTAATGTGTGCATATTTAAAAGGGGTACTTGCTGTATATATGATCATAGGCCTCCTTCGTGTTGAACCACACTTCGTTCGGCCCAACCCTGACGACTGGCCCATACCGTCGATGTAGCTGTTTTGCCATCGCAGCCGTAGTTCCATTTCTTGCATGGAACGCATGCCAGATGTTTGACACAGCTGCCAACTTTGGCCCCGGAATGCGAGAAAGCGGGCTCAAGAACAGGCGGTGGACGACGACGGCAGCGAGGAGCGTCGCGAGCGCCACGGCCGCGGCCCCCAGAGTCTGGCCAAGGAGATGAAGTCCATCAATGGCAACTATGACCAGCTCTCGACCCATTATCATCGGGTTTCTGCACCGCCAGCCATGCGAGTCCTCTTTCGAGTGCCTGTAGCGGCTTCAGGTTTGAGAGACGCGTAGAAAAAAGTCTGTCGTGATCTGATCCTCCCCAGGCTACGGCGGTAATTGTAACTGTGCCCGGCACGGTTTAAAATCTCATTGGAGACTTCCTGCGCTCTTGGTAAGACATGTGATGATGATTTATCTCGCTGAAGAAAATTCCTTCAGTTTGCATGTCGCGCAGTGCCTTCCGTTGCGAGGCAATCCGCCACAGCAGCTCAGAGTTTGTTGAGTGGAAAATGGGGGGCCGGTCAATTAGTGCAGTCGGTACAGTCGTGAGGGCACCTGAGACACGTAATGGTAGAATTTTCGAATAAAAAATTAGAATAGTTATTTCGCTACTACTATGATGGCTTTATGCAGAGTTTTTAACCAAGATCATCTCTATCGACTTGCTTCATATCACATGTCAATGTTCCTTCTTTTGTATCTGCCTCCATCTCATACCCTTGAACGCCAGTAAAGCCAGCGGTGTAAGACAGATGAAGAAGAGGCTTCCCACAATCGAAAACGCCTTTCCGACGCCAATAGCCCTCTCCAGCGGCACAATCGCCGCCGTGGCGCCCGCGCCCACCAGACACCGCGTCAGGTTGTTGGCCGCCGTCGCCGTGCCGGCCTTGCCTGGGTGCATGTCCACCAGCAGCACGTTCATCGAGTTGGTCATGCCGATCAGGCCGATTCCCAAGAAGAACATGATGACGCACAGCACCGCGATGTGCGCGTGGAAGTGCACCGCCCATCCCCAGGCGATGAGGCACGTGCCCGCGAGCAGCATCAGCGGGATGCCGATCTCGAGGCGCGCGCGCTCGATGGGAAAGTCGGACATGTCCATCTGCCGGCTGCGGTCAAAGGTCACACCGGCGAGCGCGCAGTACCGCTTGTAGTTCCAGGTCATGCCGCGGCCGACGACGAGCGCCGCGACGATGGAGCCGCCCGCGATGGGCAGGTACATGAGCCCGACCTGCGTCTCGTCGAGGTGGTAGCGGCTGTGGAAGAGCGCGGGCATGGCGGCGGAGATGCAGTAGAAGCCGGCGAAGATGATGCTGCTGGACCAGAGCAGGAGGCCGGACGAGCGCCGGAAGAGCATCATGACGGCCTCGAGGACGTTGGGCGGCTTGAACTTGAACTTGGCTTCGGTGGCCTCGGATGGTGGTGCTCCGGAGGCTCCCTCCAGGTCGGGTGCTTCCTCCTCAGCCCTGCGGTTCTCCTTGCGCAGGCGGATCACTTGAAGGCCAGATCGGTAGATTGGCGGCGGCGGAACGGACCCGTCTCCGACGATGCGCCGGCACGTTTCCGGGAGGAAGGCGAGGATCAGGACGAGGGCCACGCCGGCGGAGATCGCAAGGAACCAGAAGATCGAGCGCCAGCCGAGATACTGCGACAGCACGCCGCCCAGGACGGGCCCCAGCGAGGGCGCCAATACGGTCGGCAGCACCGTGAAGCCGACGTACTGGCCCCTCTCCGCCGACGTCACCACGTCCGCCACGACGGCCGTGCACAGCGCGACCGTGCTGCTGGACCCGGCCGACTGCAGGCAGCGCAGCGCCAGCACGGCCGCGTAGTTGGGCGCCAGCGCGAGCCCGACGTTGGCCGCGAGGTACACGACGAAGCACGCCACGTACGCGGGCCGGCGGCCGCCCGCGTCCGCCAGCGAGCCGACGAACATGGGCGTGACGCCCTGGAAGACCATGTACGTGGTGATGGTCAGGTTGACCTGGGCGGCGCTGACGCGCAGGCTGTGCGCGATGGGGATCAGCGCCGGCAGGTAGATCTGCGCGGAGATGGGCGAGAAGAGCGCGGTGCAGGCGGCGCCCAGCACGAGCAGCCGCTTCACCGTCTTGGAGTGCACAGAGTACGGGGCGCGCGAGTTGGTGCGTTGGATGGGCAGCTTTTCGTCGTCGTTGGTGGCGGCGGTGGCGGAAGGATGCGGTGGCGACGACGGCGACACGGGGTCGAGCTCTGCCTGCTGCAGCTCATTATCTGAATGAGCCCCGGTCCCCATCTCGCTCTGTGTATAATGTAAATGTTGATGTTAATTGTAATCTGGTATGGTGCGTCTTGACACACGCTTTAGCAACAACTGGTAGACGATTCTGGGAGGAGACGAGGAAACCGAGTCGCTCCAACAGGTACAAATCCCCTTATCTGCGTTGCAAATCGCGAAGATGGTGTTGATATGACGGTGTAGACTCCTATAAATGTGCCTTGTTTTCTTGTCCACCACAATGTGGCGACTGCATAACCTGGATATGAGCCGGATGGCCCTTGTCAGGCGAGTGTCTGCTGGAAGTAGGTGGGAGAGGGTTGGCGAGAAGGGTAGCGATACAAGTACGGCCAAACGCCATGAGAAACATGCGGTACTATATTGAGGTTTTTAAAGGTTGAGGAAAGGAAAGCGTCATATCACGTCGGCGGTGTTGGAAATATTCACTGGAATAAGCGGCATTCCAACAGGTTTAGCGCACCGGTCCAGGGCCCGAATCGGCGCCGAGCTCGGCCGGCAAACGGAGGACTTGCTGCAACACCGCTCTTTTATCACTGGGGCCGCTGCAACTTAATGGAACTATCGGTTTCAAACAGGGCCGTTTGTTTCTCCTTAGTGTGGATATTTAACGGCAATCGGATCAGGCTCGTTGATGGCCGGCGTCTTGATCTTGATCTTCCCATTCGGCTACTTCCTTAATCCCCGTAGATGCTAAGACACTTCGACGCATAGATCTTCAACCATTTGTCTTTTATATACAAAATAATTACGCCGCGAGATTTTGTCTTACTGAAACCAAGTTACCTTGTCAAAGCTCCAACTTCGACGACTGGCGATGTAGTTCCGTTGCATAGCTCATGAGCTATCGGGCGATTGCGGGCGTCGCTGCGTCATTGCTCCGGGCCGCATATCAAAGCGAACGGCAAAAAAAGACCACAGAACGCACCTCTGCTCGTTGAAGTAATATGTCTGTACATTATTTCAACACATCATCTCCCGAAATCATAGACGTTGTGATTGTTCATCCCCCAGCGTGCTCGGATACCTGGTAGCTACTCCAGGCTCCCATTATTCATAGCATGGCTGGTAGATTATTGCAATTATCAACTGTTTCAGGTTCTTAAAGACACTGGATGTCATTTGCCAGAACAAAGTTTATTTTATCAAAGCTGAGCGAAATGCAACAGGTAGTAAAGATGGCTTTTCAAAATTAAACGCCAGTATGCTTCACTTCCCCATGGTTCATACATCGTAATAGCGCTATCCTGCACAACCACAAACTCGACATAGAAATCCAGAAGGGCAAAACAAAGTCAAAAATACAAGGAGTAATCAATTAATTTTTTCAGATACTTAGATTAAGAATCTGTTTTTTTGTGGTAGTTGTAAGTGAGGCGATGACTCGCTAGGGAGGCGGGGCGATAATTTTCCGCGCCGAGATACTGAGGTGGCCTCTCCTTGTGAAGCTGTTGTCGCAAGGTGTGGATGGAACCTTGGATGACTACCCAAAGATCTATCAGTGGCTTATTTCCAACCCCCAGAGAGTACAATGGTAAGTCTGGGTGCCAGACCCGGGAATAAACTTATCTGCTTCACAGTTCTAATCCCTCGCAGAACGTCGTGTACAACGCCGCCCTGCGGCAGAGCAAGTCCATCAACAACGAGCTGTCGACCTTGCAGTCCAAGGGCGAGGCGTCCGCGGCCGAAATCGGCAACGTGTCCGTCTCGCTGGCCACCTTCAGCAAAGCCATCGACGAGTACAACAGCCTCGCGCGGCAGGAAATCGTGCCCAAGAAGCAGGAGGAGGCCTTTGAGCGCGTGCGGCGGTTCCGCGACGACCTCGCCTCCTTCCGTGGGCAGGTCGACAACCTCAAGAAGGCGCGCGAGGAGGCGCAGTACCAGCACAACCGCACCGAGCTCCTCGGCCGGCGACCCTACCACGCCACCTCCACGCCGGAGAACCCCTACGCGAACGCGACAACGAGCACCTCCTCGACGTTTCAACCCCGGCACACCAGCACCAACAGTGGACAGCCGTCGTACATGACGACGGGGGCGCAGGACGAGGCGCGCGAGGCACACGCGTTCCGCGAGCAAAACTTCTTCGCGCACACGAACCAGGCGCTCGACGACTACATCGCGCGCGGGCAGGCGGTGCTGGGCGACCTGGGCCAGCAGCGCGAGATGCTCAAGAACACGCAGAAGCGGCTGTATAGTGTCGCAAACACGCTGGGCGTCAGCGGCGAGACGATCCGCATGGTGGAGAGGCGTGCGCGCGAGGACAAGTGGATCTTTGCGGCGGGCGTCATCATCTTCTTTGGATTCTGCTGGCTGGTGCTGCACTACCTGCGGTGACGGAGAGAAACGCAGGGTCGGGGGAAGGTTTGACTTGGGAATGCGGAGCGTGGCGTACAAGGTTGTAATTTCGGAATCAACATGGCATATACAGATCGCGGAAAGCGTTCAAAGCGTTCATTTATATTTCATTACATCTCTTTCGTATATTTCACTGATATTGCAACGGTGGTCTCGCTGGCCTAAGCCTCAACACTCGTCCTCATTGTCAATCTGTCGAAGAGCCACCGTAAACAGCACGTCCTTTGTTGTCTCAATGTCAACCTGCTTGGTGTCCGGCAGGATGTGGTTGCTCGTGCTGAGGCTGCCGCCAATCTGGCTCAGCCAGTCCGTCACGTCCCACTCGAGCCCCCTTGTCGTGATGCGGCTGGGCTCGCGCAGCGGCAGGATGCCCACGTGCTTGGCGAAGACGTCCTGCTCGCCGTCCTCCTCGCGGACGTGGATGCGGTGGCGGCCGGCCTTGAGCAGGAAGGTCAGGCTGGAGCCGGACAGCAGGAAGATGCGGCCGGCGTCGTAGCCGGGGCCCGGCTGGAAGAGGTACAGGTGGTGCAGCTGGCTGACGCCCTGGTCGACGCGGCCGCCGATGCCGCCGAGGGCGACAATGTCCATCTTGTAGGAGTCGCGAATCCACTTGACGGACTTGCCAAAGTCGCTGCTCTCCTGGTCGCGGTCGTGGATGACCTGGGCGGGCTGTGGCTGCGAGGAGTAAAAGTCGCGGACCGTCGGCGACAGTGAGTCCAGGTCACCAATGATGGCCTGGAGGTTTGACTGTATTGAGCCATGTCAAAATGAATATCCTTTACTTCATTTCCACTTCACTGGAGGAAGGGAAAACTCACAAATTTCCCTTGGAATGAGGACAGCTCATATAAGCGATTTGCACCACCATCGGCAGCGACTCTCACCGCCGCTGTAATGGGGATCATCGTGTTAGCGCAAGCATCATCGCGGGGTAGTTAGGTATCTGTGAGTTGCGCCCGAGAGATGCGACCGCAGGTCGACCTCGCCCCTTTGATCAGAGAAGAAAGAACTCACAGTTATTCCATAGTTTCCGCAGTGTTGTGCCGTTCTTCAACGGCTGGTTGAGCACAAGCAAAGCAAAGTCGTCACCTAGCTCGCTGGCCTGCATGTACCTTGCAGGATGCCACTCAAACGCCGGTGAGGACGCCATTCCTATTGGGCGATAGAGAAGCCAAGCAAGATGCAAAAGCTATAAATCCTCTGGCTTGCGGTTGGCTGTTCGTTCTGCTCTGATGCAAGGTTTTCGAGCTTCCAAAGAGACACCTAATCTTTCAGTTACTTTTTTAATCTGGGCAAGCTTTCAGCTTGCATTAGTTCATCCTGGCTCCGGCTTCTCACCCAATGCAAACAAACTTAGTGGTTAATCTTCGGCGTGGCGCCTTGTGAGACAGAGCCGGGGCTGCCGCGATGGAGGCAGTGGACTTTTCTAGTACGCTGGCTGACCAATCGAACTCGAACTGCTTCCTCGACTTTTTTCTCGAACCCCCCCCCCTCGAATCTCTCATTAATTTCTCTCGCGATCCCGTCTTTCCATTCCACGTTTTTGTACATTTGCTGTGGGTTCAATTCATTCCGCGGCGCTCTTAATTTCTTTTTTTCGTCTCCTTCTTTTCTCAATCGCAATCTAAAAAATGTTTCGCACCGCGCTTCAATCCGGTTCGCGACCGGCCACCTCGGCCCTGCGAACTCAAGCCCTCCGATCCGCTCCGCGCCGCTTCGCATCGACATCCCCCGCCGACAAGTCGCGGTCGTGGAAGGGCTCCGCCGTGCGCTGGACCCTTGCCGGCGGCGCCGTCTACTACTACAGCACCAGCTCCGTCTTTGCCGAAGAGGCGATCCCTGGTACGTCAACAACCCTCGCGCGACCACTCCCTGGCCGCTGACGCAAAATGCACTATGTAGCCAAGCAGTTCTCTACCGCGCCGCCCTCCTTCCCCGAAGCTGCCGAGTCGGTGCAGCTGCCGACCGTCGAGTCTATCGTCGAGGAGCGAAAATCACAGGCCACCGCCAAGGCCACCGCCCAAACGCCCGCCAAATCCGCCGCCGAGCCCACGCCGAGCACGCAAGGCGCCCAGAAGGACCAGACAGCCGCGGATTCCACGGCCGTTGCGGGATCGCCGCTGATGGGCCCCGAGGAGGAGAACGACCAGCAGGCCGCCTTCAACCCCGAGACGGGCGAGATCAACTGGGACTGCCCTTGCCTGGGCGGCATGGCCCACGGCCCTTGCGGCGAGGAGTTCAAGACGGCGTTCAGCTGCTTCGTGTACTCCAACGAAGAGCCCAAGGGCATGGAGTGCATCGACAAATTCCAGTACGTATAGCCACGACGCAAACATTGCCGTCACGAAACGGGGCCACTAACGATTTGCATCTGATAGGGGCATGCAAGAATGCTTCCGTAAATACCCTGAGATCTACGGCGCCGAGCTGGCCGAGGCCGACGACGCGGAGGACCTCCCTGCCGGCGATCTGGAGCTGCCTGCCGGGTCCCAGCCGCCCCGCGGAGACCAAGCCGCCACCGAGTCGCAGGCCCCCCCGCCCAGCGACGACAAGGCGGCTGAGACACCGTCTCGCTCTGACGCGAGCGAGGAGCAGCCCGCCCGCGTCGCCGACGTCGCGGTCTTCCCCACGCAAGAAAAGACGGAGAAGAAGTCTACCGAGTCGGAGCCTGCGGCGGCGGCTGCCATTCCCGAGGCGAGCATCGATAGCACGACCTCCGCGACGACTTCCCAAAGCGGCCCCAAGTGGGAGGATGCCACCGACGCCAATAAGGAAGCCACCAAGCCTAAGGGGGCTTAAAACATTACCGCGGAAAAAGAAAGAAATCAATGGGAGGACGCGAATGGACCATTCGCACATACAGGATACGAATGCCTTGACAGTGAAAATCGGGCAGATATCCCTTGTACTACTCTGATCGCCCATCCTCATTCGGATGGGCTTTGTACGAAACGCAAAAGGAACAGCTGACGATAGCATATAGACAGATTCGGGGAGAAGGCACACGAGGTGGGATATTACTTTGTACAAACAACTCTCCATCTACACACTTAACGTTAGAATCAAAACGATTGAAATAATCCCAATCTTTATCTCTTAGAAACATGATTCATTACTATTGACTGGGAATAATACAAACTTGCTTAAGCAAGTTATACAAAGCGGAGTTTCAACGAAGTGCAATGTTAATCAGAATCCTCCTGCGCCTTACGACCCCCGACACATCTTTTCAGAGCCGCGGCCAAGCCCGACGGCGAGACGCTCTAGTTCTTCTTCCCGCGGTAGAGGTAGCCCCCCACGACCGCGTGGACGGCGCCGACGCCGGCCAGGATGCTGACGCCCAGGCCGACCGTCTTTCCGTCGAGGTTGCCGTTCTGGTACAGGCCCCAGGCCTTGTACCCGAGGTACGAGCCGACGCCAACAAACGTGGCGAGGTTGGCGAGCGCGATGCCGGACGCGGCGCCGTCCGAGAGCTGCGCAGCCTGCTTGGCGAGCCACGAGTCGGCCTTCTTCGCCTTGGCGGCTGCCTCCTTGCGGGTGCGGTCCGCCTTGACGCGGGCGGCGTGGGCCTCGCGGTCGAGGCGGTTGGCTTGGGTCTCGGTCTGCACGTCCTGCTCGAGGAAATCGGACGGCACGGTGTGGACGCTGGGCATGTCGACGTCGATCAGCGACGACGTCGACGCCGACTCGTTGGGGATGATTTCAGGAGGGGGGGGAGCAGCAGCCTAGACGGGAGAGAGGGCGAAGGGTTAGCGGACGGGCCGGGGATGTGGAGGATGCATGGCTGGATAGATGTACCTCTGAGGGGGACTGCTTGGGGCCCTTGGCGGCGGCGCTGGCATATGACACTGGTGAAGCTGTGAGCAAGATTGAAATGGTAAAGATGAATCGCCCGCCAAATTCACAGCATCGAACTTACTGTTGATTGTGGTGAGGCGTAAAGGCACAAGAAAATGAATGGTGTGATGTGCTGAGTCTTCCCCAGATGTGTAAGAGTTTAATGGCGGTGGTTGCTTTGGACGTCGAGAAGGCTCGTGATACGCTGCAGTGGTGAGGTAAAGCTTGGATTTTGATGAAGAAGAGGTGTCGTGCAGCCAGGAACAGACAGCGGATCGAGACGTTTTAAGAAGGGAAGGCTGCAGCAACGTGCCAGGGCTGGAGCTCGAGGAAGCAAGGTGGGCAGAGCTTGGGGGAAAACTTGCAGGTCATGACGTAACGATCGCCCCACGGCCCCTGCTCCGCGGGCGACGACCACTTTATGCGTCAACCTGCTGCAGCCCCTGTGATTGGCCAGATTCGTCAAGGTAGAGTATGACACGATTTGTGAGGGAAATTTCATGGAAAAGCTACAAATTGCATGTGAATGCCTTTTACTGCGACTTAATTCTGATCTGTCGTCGATAGGAATTTGATGGTAAGCGATGCAGTTGGGCCATGGGTGGGTTAGGGAGCGCGCCAGGGTTCGCCGGATCAAAATTAGTGTCCAACGGCCGCCAAGGTAAAGCTTGATTCTAGTGGCGATGGTTGAAGACAGTATTTATTCCATGCTCGAAGGTCCTGGAAGAAGGTCGACACGGGTATTGTCGGAAAAGGGGCCGGCGACATCGCCATGGCGCACAGCACGCTCATCAAAATGTAATACAGAGCCCCGCGGAGCAAATGTTATTATGTAGACCGACTATAGATACTGTATTATACTGCCATTGACTTCCCGTCCATTCTTGAAGTGACGCCGACTTCCATCCTATCATTGCTTCCCCCTTCTTCAACAAGCGCCGATGGTATAGAAAATGGTTATCAACAATAGCGCCATTGAAACCCAGAAAAGAAACAAAATCCCGGCCAAAATAATTACCCAGATTCCGCAGTACTCCCCTTGTTCGTTTGACGCGTAATAAAAAAAAACCAAAAAACACAAAATGACAAAACATGAAAAGGAATTTAACTAAATGTACAAATACACGACGGACGTGGCCGAGAGGGGCTTTACCAGTCCCTCAGCGCAGGGTGCCACGAAGGCTCCGGACCCAGTGCTCACGCACCTGGGGCGGCATCTTGCAGAACACCATGGCTGTATGGTCATTGCCGAGCAGCCTCTGCGGGATTCTCACCTGCAGGTCCAGCTCCTCCGCAGAAAATTCTCTGTAAAAAAGATCAACCGCCTTCTCGCGCCACAGTTCCCCGCTGCCCCGAGCCGCCCCCTGGTATTGTGGCTCCTGCGCGCCGCCATCGCTGAGCTGGTCTCCGTCGGCGTCGAGCGAAGCGTGGTCGGCGCCCCGCGACGTCCGCGATGTCGATAGGTTCGCGGTAGCATCATCAGGCGCGGAGAAGCGGAGGCGCTTTTCCAGCGATACGGTCTGGGAAGATGTGTCGAGCCGCGACGGCGTGTTCGCGGCCGACAGCGACCCGTCCAGGTCGGCGCCGGTAAGGCTTCGCTTTTTGCTCGGCGCTGCTGTGTCCTCCGGGGGCGTCAGGGCGCTTCCCTGTGTGGTGGCCAAGGTTGGCACGGTAGAAGACGGCGTCGTGGCACCGGGCTGAGAGCCGGAGCCTGCGTTGACAGCAGACTGGGTGCCTGGGCTTTCCACGCCTGACTGTTGGCCTGTTACGGCCTGATCAGTCGACAGGATGGACGCGTTCGGCCCAGCTAGCTCAGAATCATCGCCGAGTTGACCATCCCGACGCTTAGGCTTCATGATCCTCTTAGGGGCCCCCCCAGAGCCTATGACATCGGGATACAGCGTCTCCATGTAATCTTCGTGATCGAACGGCCGCCCTCTGAGGGCCCGCGACAACGGTTCTCGCTGCGGAGAAGAAAATAAAGAGTTAGCAAAGGCATGACATAAAATTTTCATGTCGGCATACTTCTATGTGTGCCCGCCAGGCCTCCTCCGTCGCGGTCACGGTCCTCGCCTTTGGGTTATACACAAAATCCGGGTCCTCGCGCAAGCCCCTCCACAACCGGAATCGCTTTCGCGCATTATCGCTCTTGTTGATCAGGTGGTTCTTGGTCGGGGACGCGCCGTGGCTCTCCTGCAGCGCCTGGGCGGCGCGCTCCCAGGCCTCGGCCTTGAAGCTGCTGTTCTCGCGCAAGCCGAGCTGGACGCTCTCGCAGAGGCTCCGGAAGAAGGTGGCCTCGTAGGCCGGCGTCCAGCTAAAGCGCGGCGCGCGGCGATCGCGGTCGACCTTTCCAGGGCCCTGGCCGTCGGCGGCCAGCATGTCGACGTCGTCCTCAGACATGACGGGAGGCAGTTGGGCGCGCTGGCCTCAAACGAGTGTTGGCCTGTCTGTTTTGAAGGGCGGGGACGGTTCTTCGCTGAAGGGGGAGTGGAAGGCGAATGTAGGCCTCCCCCCTCGTTGCGCGCAAGCAGGTACCAAGGGATCTTGGATGGACTGCTGGTTGATAGTCTGCAAATCAACGCCGGAAAGTCAGGATCTCAGTGAGGCTGAGAGTTCCGATAATCCAGCGCAAGTCGCTTTTTTTTCCAGTGGTGGGGCGACGGCAGCGGGACAGGACAGGGCCAGTTCAGTGTGCGATGTCCTGTGCCACTGACGCAGCACTGCAGGTCTTCCAGGCGCCTGACACATCAAGTCGTGGCCCGTTTGGTCTCGTAGTGAGTCACGTGTGCTAATGGCGGTGCCCAAACTGCTGAGGACAAGTTGAACCAAACTCCCCATCTGAATGACGAAGCCTCCGGATGGCGCGGTAACGAGGGCCAGCAAACGAAACGCAGGATCCAGCCAGCTTCAATCTAAATTATGGATCAGGGCTGATGACAAGGCACGTTGCAGGCCATGCAGCCATCTCTTCTTATTACAGAACCTCTCGCTGAATTGCGCAACTTGTTTCAGCACAAAGCTCGTCCATACAAAGCCGGGATGAACGGGAAATCCCTGCCATCTGGACACTTGAAGCATTGTGGACATACTCTGCCTGCCTCCTTGTCTTGTCCGCTGACCGCCTTTTCGTCTAGTTGCCCGTGAAATAGAAGATATTCGTCTCGCAAAATGATGAAGCAACTCGAAGTCGCTTTCCTTGTTCCAGCACTCTCTTATTCGTGTCCATTGTAGGCAACGCATACACTGGCGAAAAGACATGCGACTTATCCAGTAATACCAGCAAGGCGACTCCTGCTTCTCAGAATCCACAGACTCCACTGGGTTGGCCTTTGTCGCTAGAAGTTTGAGCCTTCTCTGGCACGGGTTACAATAGTGTTTCCTGCAACGGCAGATATCAAGCGCGTGATATTGAAGCTGCTTCGCTGTTATGTCGCTGTTGCTTGCTCATGAGCACAGTGGACTGGACGAGATGTGCATCTACGAACAGCTTACTAGGCACAGGACTTTGGAGCGGACCAAATTGCTTTTCCCCAATTTTCAATCGAAAATATCATTCTACCAACCAAGCCAGAGTTTCTACTTCGGCTACCTATCCAGGCGTTAAGCCTTGCATCATCATACATAAGTTCCAACGAGCTCATATTAACGACGTACCTCTGAGAGCGTGACGGCTCAAACGTAGGGGATTTCAACTGCCTTGAACGGACCGGTAGCTAAATCTTCTGCTATTTGGAAAGGGCATACTTTACGCAGCCGCCAATAGACCATCTACAAGGGCAGCGGGCCCCTGTAATCAGACCAGCGGTTGCCGCTGTTCCCGGAGACGTCGACGAAGCCTTGGCCGTTGAAGAAGCTGTCGACGTCAAAGAATCCGTGATAGTTGCGGTGTTGTTAGCAGCCGGGACCGAGGACTATGTCGACGTGGTCGGAGCCGGAGTGTCGGCTGCGACCTCAATGGATGTAGTCGTAGCCAGGGTCGTAGCCGGAGTGTGGGCTGTCGTCTGAACAGAGGGAGTCGCAGACGCTCTCCCAGCAGGAGTACGGGCGTCGGCCTCAATGGAAGCAATCAACTTGCGGCAAAAGGCCTCATTTGCCAGTTTCATCCAGGCTAAGACATGATCAGTATAGGAGTTCATTCTGAAAATGCTCCCTTTTGCAAAGAAAAAAACAAAACGGCAAGACTTCACAGTGTCATTAGCATACCACCAAAAAATTGCGGGTCGCATTCGTTCGCTATGCACTCTCTTGCAGCGTTCATAATAGGAACGAAGTTTTTCGGGATGCAATAGCAGGCCATGTCCTGGACGCACAAGCCCAGACTCTTGGTGGCCTTGCGGACGCACATGGCCGTGCATGGGAGCAAGACCGGTTTCACTCCCAGGGCGGCGACGGAACATATGCAGGAAGCGGCAACGAGGGCGACCGTGGCGAGCTTCATCTTGGGAGTTGAGCACGGAGACGTCTTGGAGTGCTGCGCGGGCAGGAAGAATGAGATGTCCGGAGCCGACGAACTCTGTCAGTAGCTACGGATAGGAATAAATGCCGTCGTCACGGAGGCAGCCTAATAAGCGATTCAGTAGGGCTCGCCAACCTCTTGACGTGACTAAATAGCAACAACTAGTCTGCAGACGGACATCTTGACGAGAGCGATGGTCGTTGGCGCGTGATCGTGATCGTGACACTGAGAACTGAATCCCAGACTATGCTGAAGTGAGGTGCAGCCTGGAACTACAGATTACGGTTCGACGCTACACAAAGAAGCGAGTTGCACCTCAAGGCTTCCGGGGTGACCAAGTCGAACAACAAGGCCCGAGACGGCTCACGCGGCCTGCGACGGCTTCGGTAGTAATGAGTTAGTGCCGAGTTTGCACACTTGACTTTTTTGCTGTTGGTTAACCCACTGATTTAGATTGCAATATTGAAAAAAAACTAATAAACAAGTTAGATAGCTACTTGGTTCGTACGAATTACCCTTGTACGAGTTTGTGTGGTGGATTGTGAGTGCGGCTTACTAACTTATTACTGAGGAGGAGAGGAACGCGCTTCTGAGTGGTCGTGACCTGATAAATTTTTTTATCTGATCATCAGATAAGATACCAGCCCAGCCACCTTCTCGGCAAGAGTTCCATTTCCAAGGCGAACCCCGAGCCGGCCGCGGATCTGACTCCACCAGTGCAACGACTTGTGCGGACCCTTTCCACCTATCATCACGAAGCAACTTGAAGATGGGAGAGACGGGCGTGAGGCTCTTCTCGACATACCGTTATCTAAGCCGCACCGTTTGCACAGATCGGCCGTCTCCGATGCAGCTGCTGCCAGCAAGCTAGCTGTACAGATTGCTAGATGAGGCTCTCTCGTGCTGCCAAGTTTCCTGTTTGCTCCGAACGTGGCAATGGAACGAACCCCTCCCCTCCCGGACCCTTTCTTCTCTCCCGGCTCCTACCCAGAACGGGTGAACATGCATTAGCTTCGTGGAGCTGGGTTCGGTTGCTCGTTCGGAACAAGGCTCGCTTCCACATCTCTATGCCGACAACACGCATATTAAGCTTGGCATGCCTCGCCGATTGAAAATGATCGACAGACGTCTCTACTTGCCCCTCGCCTCCCGACTCTAGGCAGACGCTTAAAGCCCGCAAAGCCTCCCACCGATTGCAGACGCCGTAGTCTTGTCGTTCGTGGCGCTGATCGATCCCCTCGGGTCCCCTGTCCTTATTAGCAGCCAAGACGGTTTTCTACAGCCTGCTGATTGAATCGCGGTGCTGTCTGTCCCCTTTTCTTTCTCGTTGCTTGGTTGCGTAGACACCCTCACGCTGAGAACAAAATGGGCTTCTTCAATAAGAAGTGGTCGGCCACGGAGCCAGATGACGTGGCACGGACACCGGCGCAGGAACCTGCTGCCAATGAGAAGCGTACCGAGATTGAGCGATCTAGCGAGGAAGACTTTGGGGCCACCAAGCAGGCAGGTGTGAGAAAGGTCGAGGCCGCCGCCGAGGCCTGGAGCAAATGGGATCTCGTCGCCGCCTATGGCTTGTGAGTGCTCCCTTCGCCCTGCGCCTGTTTCTGGGTTTGTCGAGAAAAAGAAAAGGGGGACATGAAGATGCTGATATCAAGATACAGGATCTGGCTATACTACTTTGCCACCTCCACGGCCGAGGTCGTCACGCGAACGCTCAACCCCTTCGTGACGAGCTCCTTTAACAAGCACTCGACCAGCGCCGCCGTCAACATCCTGGCCTCCATCATCGGCGGCCTGACCAAGCTGCCGCTAGCCAAGATCCTCGACACCTGGGGTCGTCCCCAGGGCCTCGCGCTGATGCTCCTGATCTGGTGTCTCGGCTACATCATCACCGCGTGCGCCAGGACCATCGAGACCTATGCCGCGGCACTGGTATTTTCTGCTGTCGGGTAAGTGTGCTCCCCCAGACGTCTTCTTTGAACAGGAAGAAGGAGAGGGAAAAAGAAAACAAAGACTGACGTGAAAGCAGAGCCCAGGGCGTCAGCTACTGCGTCACCGTCTTCATCGCCGACACCTCGTCCCTCAAGAACAGAGCGCTGATGCTGGCCTTTGCCACCTCCCCGTACGTCATCACCACCCCGATCAGCGGCTTCGTCGCCAAGCGCATCGTCAAGGACGCCGGCTGGCGCTGGGGCTTCGGTCTCTGGGCGATCGTCATGCCCGTCATCGTGCTCCCGCTGTGCTTCGTCTTCCTCTGGAACCAGCGCAAGGCCAAGCGCCAGGGCCTGCTCGAGTCGCGCGGCACCAAGATCACGGCCCGCTCCGTCTACAACTACCTCGTCGAGGTCGACACCGTCGGCCTCCTGCTGCTCGCCGCCGGCTGGGCCCTGTTCCTGCTGCCCTTCTCGCTGTACTCGTACCAGCCGCAGCGGTGGCGCGCGCCCATCATCATCTGCTTCCTCATCTTCGGCGCCCTCCTGCTCGTCGCGTTCTGCGTGTGGGAGAAGCTCTTCGCGCCCGTTACGTTCATCCCGTACCGGCTGCTCGTGGACCGCACCGTCTTCTTCGGCGGCCTCATGTTCTTCTTCTTCTTCGCCAACTCGGCCATCTGGGGCAGCTACTTCACCTCGATGCTCCAGGTCGTCTGGGATATGGGGGTCGACCAGACGACATGGATCAGGAGCATTTACCGCATCGGCTCCTGCCTCGCGTCCATCTTCCTCGGCATCCTCATGCGCTTCACGGGCCGCTTCAAGTGGGTGGCCTCGCTCTACGGCCTTCCTCTGATGCTTCTCGGCGTCGGACTCTTGATCAAGTTCCGCCAGGCCAACGACAACATCGGCTACGTCATCATGACCCAAATCTTCATCGCCTTTGCGGGCGGTCCGATCGTCGTTGCTGGCGAAATGGCCATGATGGCGCCTTCGGACCACCAACACGTCGCCGTCGTCATCGCCATCCTGGACCTGTTCGCTAGCATCGGGTCTGCCATTGGATCTACAATCTCTGGCGCCATCTGGACCGGTACCTTCAAGAACGAGCTGACAAAGCGCCTGCCCTCTGATGCGCCCGTCAATGCCATTTACGCTTCCCTCGTAAAACAGCTCTCATATGCAAAGGGCACGCCTATTAGAACCGGTATCGCAGATGCGTACTCCGCCTCGCAGCAGTACATGCTGGCCACCAGTGTCTGCTTATTGGCTGTCGCTTGGGGTTGTGTCTGGCTGTGGAGAGATATCAACATTCATACGAAGAAGCAAGTGAAAGGAAATGTTGTTTAAAAGCGAGCTCGGGATTGAAGGGCGTTTAAACGCGATAGCATGATCAGCGTAGCCTAGCTGCTGTTGTATTGTTTGAGTGCGAATTGCAAGAGGACTCGCAAGGTAGGTAGGTAGTTTGAGAGGGCTGGGAGGAATGTCAGGAGAAAATGTACCGGTAGATTGAAAAGTTGAAAAATGCTGGCCCGACCACCCTCAATGGACTGTAATGGAATAATTGACCGCTGCTATTGGAGGATGGGATGCTCTTGCAACCCGTTGGAAGCTCGATTGATTTACTGTTCGTTCTGCACTTCCAGCAATGGCCACTCTACGTGCGGCTGGGCGGTAGCATGAAGCCAATTACCTGGATTATTCAGCGAATACATGATGCATTAAATGTTGCACAAATAAAACTGAAGAATGGATGGTCCGAGCATTAATAAAGGCGGCTGGCCCGTACGTAGGATGCGGCGTAGCGCTGACTGAATGATCCTGGCGTCGACTTACTTCTTTCTACCCCTCCCCTGTCGACGCTGGACCTCTTCGCTAATTTAGAGACAGCAAACAATCTTGACAAGATTCCTTGTTTGGCATGAAGGGCCGAGGTAGAATGCCGCTATCGCCCAAGAGCCGCCGGTCTTCTGGACAGTCGCACAGTGTCACGAGGGTTACGCGACGAACCGAAGGGTAACGAATGGAATGTCCATACTTACGATGACAAAGAGTCAATCTTGCTTCAATATGATACATGGGATGAATGACCCAGCGGGCCGACTTCTGCTGCAGTGCTACACACCACACGGATAAGGCGACAGCCTGATTCGGCCGGCCGGCCCCGTTAGCTTCAACATGAGCTTTTGCAATGACCTCGACTTTGGGAGACAGGTTGATCGGTCCGTTTCGGCTCAACTACGGGATCGGCCCTCCCCTCGGGGGGAGGGGAGGGGCGTCGTTATTCTATCCTGGTCTCGGACATGGTCTTCTCGGCCTGCTGCTTCCACTCGTCACGCCACCTGGTTAGCGGCGGGCGGCCGTTGACGACATCGCCGACGCTCCAGAGCATGCGCCTCTTGTCCGTCTCCTCAGACACGTCGTTGTCCGGGCAGATGACGTAGAACTCGTCCCTCTCCATGTTGCGGTACAAGTAGTCGGCCACCTGCTCGGGCGCCCAGGCGCCGGCGGGCTTGTCCTTGGTCTGCCCGCCGCCGGTCTGTGAGGAATGCTGGGTCAGACAGACTTACGTTGATACGGGGTCAAGCAGTGAAGCTGGCAAAAGGGAAAACGAACCATGCCGGTAAAAGTCCAGCCGGGAACCAAAAGGTGAACGCTGGTTGTGGTTTCGCGGAGGTCCCAGCTCAGATGCTCGGCGAGCGTCTTGACGGCGGCCTTGGAGGCGTTGTACGCGGGATTGCCGGGCGGGTTCGTGATGCCCTGCTTGCTGCCGGTGATGACAATGGCGGTTCGCTTGTTCGCCTTTGCGGCGTCCTGTACGACGGGCAGGAGGGAATTGACGCCGTTGATGACGCCAAAGAGGTTCGTCTCAAGGATCTACAGGCACAACGACAACAAAGTCAGCATTTGTCGCAAAACGAATCCCCCCAACGAAAGGTATGGTAGAAGAGGGGTGTACCCTGCGGAAGTAGTCATGGTCGCCCCATGTTCCTTTACCGCCGACGCCAGCGTTGAGGACCAGGAGTTCGACGGAGCTGAACTGGTCGATGGCAGAGTCCTTGATCTTTGCCCAGTCTTCCGGCAGGCTCACATCAGCGACCGAGGTCACCACGCGCGGCGGTCCGGAGGAGGCGTCGTCCACACCACCACCACCACCACCACCAGCAGCAGTATGCTCGCCGCCCGCAAGCGACAGCCTAGCACGGTCTAGAGCTTCGGCGTTGCGGTCGACGAGCAGCAGGTTCATTCCCTTGGCGTGGCACAGCTTGGCGACCGCAAGGCCGACTCCAGAGGCCCCGCCGGTGATGAGAGCCGTGGAACCGGGGGCAAAGACGGCGGCAGCTCCTGACATGGTGTCTTTTGTCAAGCTTCTTTGTGGTGTGTGTGTCTGTGTGTCTGAGAGCCGCAGATGATACCGGTAAACGGAGAATTCGATTCGGCAAAAAGGTGTTTGTGTAAATTACAGGACTGCTACTCGATGTGAGTGGCTGAAGCAAGATCAAGACAAGGGCGGAGCGCGCGGACTGGGCAGGAGCTAGCTCAAGCTTGTGTGGAGGAGCGGCAGGACCAATGATGACGTTGATGATGGCTTCTGGCGGGGTAAAGTCAGACAGGATGGATTCGGATGGAGTCGCTGCGGCCTCGATGGGTGATCAATCAGAGCGCAGCATTGGGCTGTGGTTGCTTTGTGCGGATGGCAGTGTTGGTATGATCTTCACAGGGGAGGGAGGCCAGCATGGCATTTCGCGGAGGGAGGAGGACATGGGCAAACGGACTCTTAGACATGTCGGACAAAACGGATCAAACGGCCGCTCATACTTGGTAACGATACGTCTACGACAAATATCAGTAGTAAAAAAAAAAAAAAAAAAAAAAAAAAAAAGGCAAATAAAAAAAGACAACACAAATTGGCGTCTAGTTTGCGACACAAAGGTCACCACCACAGACTGTACATCTACACCGAGCAAACAATGGAAGCGGTCCGTTCCGGGCTCGAACCTTGATGCCAGTAACCTAGTTAACTGCGCCCGAGTACCCTCGCCCTCGCCCTCGCCCTCACCCTTGCAATATGCCAAACAAAATGGCCACAACGCCCATGTAACCAGCAAACCTGCAGTTTGTCGGCGCTTTCGGCACCGGTTTTGATTGTCGTTCCTTTCACTGCGACGCAGTCACCCTCTCCCGCCCAGGTTCCGTATTCCGTCCAACTACGGATTATTATCCGTACTGTCGCCCGCATCTTATTGCGACCGCGGAAACCAACCCCAGCAAGAGTCTAGCGCCCGGGCAGAGCTTCTGCATTGAGCGATCAATTCTGGAGTGGCAGATGGATGCTGATGCCCTCTAGCTTAGTAGTCACCCTCGGTGCTCATGCGGTCTGGCCAAAGACTCAGGGTTACATCGAGCGTGGTCAGCGTGCCGGCGTACTACTTGGCGGCGTGGCCTGGTCCTCCTGGTGACAATAACGGCCGGGTGTCTTGGAAATAAAGACTCAATCTGACTTGCTCACGAACTCGCTCGCGGGGAAGAAGCGAAGCAAAGCAAGCCTTTTGACGACACCTGGTAACACGACTTGCAGCATGTAACAGCATGTATGTACGGTACCTGCATGGGGGTGTGTAGCACCGACGAAAATCGTTCGACTTCCTTGGTGGGCCAGTTCGAAAAGAGCGTCTTGATAATCTTCAATACTGACCCGGCCTGGTCCGTCGCGTGTAGATTTTGGCGGTGGCAACCTCGTCTGCCGGGTTGCAATATTGCTCTTGGATCTTGCTGGAATAGAATCGACCTCACCGTTTTCTCTTCCAACGCCTTCCTTTTTTCCTTCCAGCTGGACTGGCATTATCTCCGCCACCTGAGCTGAGAGCCAGCTTCCATACCCGGTCGTGTCACGTTTCCACGATGAGCAGCCGACAATGCATAATCCCACCCCCGTCCCCCTCAAGCGGTGCGGTTGCCGACGCCAACGATGGTAGGCCGCCATGTGTCATTCACTAGTTACTTGGGGTAGTTTGTTAACTAGGTTAGTGCCCTGGCTATGGAGCACGGGATCGATCTAGCCATGCTCAAGAGAAGCATGCAATCCCCCCCCCCTTTGGCATACACTATAAATCAGAACCGCCGAGTGGTTCTCCCCATCCCATCCACTTCCTCCACAGGCGCGAATCCCTGTCAAGTAGTCGCTGTGAGTCCTGGTTGGCTGCTTCATCATCATGGAGGCATCCGAAAGTACCAGTAGAAAGCACGCGTCAAGGCTCGCCTCAGAGTTGGCTCGAAACAAGGTTCAATGGCTTACTGATTAGTAGACGAGTGCACCACACAGGAATATTACAACAATACGGCGTAGTAATAAGAAAAGGGGAATTACCAGAGCGCTTGCGCATCTCGCTGCCAGTACAAATTACAAGGCATTTGCCCCATGTATGTATGCACCTAACTCCTGTATGTACATGTGTATGCACTGTAGCCAGTAGTTAGATAACCTTCGCCGCCACCAAAGCTTGGCCTCTCCGATCCTCCCAATAAGACACGGGAACAACTGGTCCAAGGCAATAGATTATAAACCACCGTGGCTGTTCCCGAGAACAAGGGACGAAACCCCCCCCCCAAGAAATACATGGCGTCAAATAAAACGCCCACGGACGAAACAGCTCCGCCGAAAGAATCCCCGAACCCAAGGCCAACCAAGCCTCTATTTTTTTTTCTTCCTCTCCTTCTTCCCCTCCTTCTTCTCCTCCTTCTCTCGTCTTCTTTTTGTTATTGCGCCCAGGTACCGAGCGAAGCCCCGAGGCGGCCATAAGCAAGCCACATTAACCACTTTCCTACCTGGGCCATCTCCCGTGCGCTTTGTCGACTTTATTGCCAGGGACCCCTTGTTAGTCGGGTTTTTGTGACAGGGTCGGGCGCTTCCTCCGGTGTAATGTGTGCGCTAGCAAGCCTCAACCAAAGAAAAGGCTGAGGCAGGTAGTAGTAGTTGAATGCCTTGTCTAGTCTACTTGGTGATGTAGAAAGGGCATCCTGGAGCCAACAGCAGAACACATCAACCAAAAGCAGGGGATGGATAGACTGGCCTGGCTTGCTGCCTTGAGACTCGAGATACTTGCGACTGCTTCTAAATTTGCACGCCAGGAGAAAAAAACACATTTTGTGTACCGTACCTGGTGAGAACCGCGCAGAGTCACCACCGCACGTGTACTCTGCGACAAGCCCTCGCTGCTAGCTATCGGGCCGTCCATCAGGAGGATGCCCATTAGTTCCTACAACGAGGTAGCATTCGCATTCACCACAAGTCTAGACATCTAACTAGACATGGTCGTTCTTTGACAGCTTCCCCGACCCACATGAGAAACCCAATCTTCATCACACCCCCCGCCCCCCCTTCGGACCCGATACCAGTCATCTGGTTCTGGGTTGCTTGGCGTCTGTTGCTGTCTTTGTCTTTTGTCTTTGTCCGGTTGACCCTACACTACCTACCTACTACTACAACCCTTGCGCGCGCGCGCGGGCTGCCCCGACCCCATGCGACGTTTCGCAACGCCACCACCATGGCGAATAGATTCCCGAGGACGCGACGCACAGCTCACCGCAGCGCAGCACCCCCCCACCCCTCCCCTGGATTCGGTATTGTGGTATTGTGCGTGTGAGAGCTTATTCCATAGAGGAGAGCAAGGGGGGCTCATTCGACGCCTTCCTTTGACCTTCCCAAATGACACCAGCGCGACCGACGAGGCGGGAGGAGGACGGGGTCACGCAAGCGGTTGCAGGGGATGTTTGTAACAAAAAGGTTATATACTGAATGTTATCCTCGTCAAGGCATCAATTCCCTTCTTCTTCTTCTTCTTTCCTCCTTAATATCCCAGAGTTGAGCTCGGAAACCTGTACATAAGATTTGATCTCTTCCCCTTCCACTCCTTTATTCAGCTTGAATCGACTCAACCCCTGCTCAACCGCTCGAATATAACCCTCACAGCCTATATACATACATACATATATATACAAGCCACCTTCGAAGCTCACCCAACATGATCAAGGCCGGTTTCATCTCATCTCTCCTGTCCCTGGCCACCGTCGCCCGCGCCTGGGACGCGCCCAACTACGGCGGCTTCAACCGCGTCTGGCAGGACAACTTTGCCGGCAGCGGCGGCACTTTGCCCAACGAGGGCAACTGGAACATCATCACCGGCTACCTCAACGTCAACAACGAGCTCGAGGTGTACACGCGGGACACGCGCAACGTGCAGCTCAGCGGCGGCACCACCCTCCAGCTCGTGCCCTGGCGCGACGGCTCCTCCTGGACCTCGGGCCGCCTCGAGTCCAAGTACACCTTTACTCCTCCCGGCGGCAAGCTGACGCGCGTCGAGGCGGCGATCCGCTTCGGCGGCAACAGCGTCAACAACAAGCAGGGCATCTGGCCGGCGTGGTGGATGCTGGGCGACTCGATCCGCCACGGCACGCAGTGGCCGGCCTGCGGCGAGCTGGACATCCTGGAGACGGTCAACGGCCAGCTGATCGGCCACGGGACGATGCACTGCGACGTCTTCCCGGGCGGCGTCTGCAACGAGGGGAATGGGATCGGCGCGTCGGTCAACTTCCCGAACCAGGATTGGCATACGTGGCGCGTTGAGATTGACACGCGCGCGGGCAACTGGGTCGACCAGAGCATCGTCTGGTACCTTGACGGCCAGGAGTTTCACCGCATCACGGGAAGCCGCATCAACAACTACAACGTCTGGCGCTCCGTCGCGGGAAGCCCCCTCTTCTTCATCCTCAACGTCGCTGTCGGCGGCAACTGGGTAAGCGAGCTCTCTCTCTCTCTCTCTCCTAACTCTTCTTCTTCTTTCGGCGCGGGAATGGAATAGTACTAATCGTAACGACAGCCCGGTTCGCCCAACGGAAACACCCAGGATGGCTATGGCAGCATGATGGAAGTCGGCTACACTGCTCAATACGTTAGCCAGTAAGCGTTTTCTTGTTTCGCTTTTTCTTTTCCCTTTTTTTCTTTTCCTTTCCAGTCCCGATTCAATCACGCGTTAGACGGGGAGGGCCGAACTGGTTTTGGCAAGCGCGAGGCCAATTTTGCGTTGTACGCCTTCTTTTCTCTTCTCTTCTCTGTCTATATTTACCGAGGCCGTCTCGACGCGCCATTGTCCGTACATACACACACTCGCTGTTGCTTAGCTAGTACATACATGCATGAGAAATACAAACTGTACATATTGTTAGACTTTGTCGTCCTGTGTAAAGAGAGGTCCATTGCGCCTGCATTGTGTCGGAGCTTCTCAAACTTGAAGCTCGTCCATAGACTGAAGGAGCTCTTGGACCTTTTGCTCGGTTTGTTGCCGCCGCTGATCCTGCAACTCGTACATGGTCTGCATCTCCTCTACCATGAAGGGCTTGAGCGGCGCCTTCTTTGCTGCTCGGTAGTCGTACACGGCAATGTCCTCAAAGAACCGCGCGGCTGCCCGTTTGTGCTTGTGCGAGTAGGCGACCGCTTCCATGAGGATTCTGTCGGACGTGCTGCCTGGCTTTGTTACAAGCTTGTGTAGCACAGTGACTTGGTCGGGAAAGGTCATCGGCTGCCAGAAACAAGACGGATGGGATGGACCAGTTAGATAGATGTCTCTTAGACCAGCCAAGGGAAGAGGCATTGTGCCGGAAATGACTTACAAATTTATAGTCGGTTCGTATGCTGGCAAGGATCAGACCTATGCCTCGTGGCGACATGAGGTCTGTGAATTCTCGTCGATTTTCAGGTGCGACGTGAGCAGCCACGTTCATCATCCAGTTGACGCGACCGGATTCAGCAAATCGGTTATACATGACGTTGTTCACGTGGCCTATCAGAGTCAGCTTTGGCAAGTTTCCAGCATGCATCAATGGTATCCATACCCTTGGTGGTGGTTAGCCGGTACCTGCAAATCGACGTCATCCGTGCTGGTGTGTACTCACCATTGAATCCTATTTTGCACACTCCTTGTTAGCGATTGTTTGTCTTTGATCCAAACAAATCCATAGCCATGGCATGTAACATACCATGTCCCCCCATGCAATGTTGTGCTTGTCTAACCCCCGCCATTGAGGCTCAGCGAGGAAGCCTTCGCGGCCGGCAGACAGACTGAGCCAGTGTTGGTCCAGATAGCTCATGTGATGCTTTAGCTGTGCGACAACCTTGGGTTCTTCCGCCCTCTTGGAGATGCCCGTAGACAGTCGATGGCGCATGTCCGAGAGCCATCGTGAATTCGGTGTCGTCTCTGCCGGGGCAGCCGCTCCGTTGTGCCTCCGGACGCAGGTACTGCTCAAGGCGCGTCGCGTGCCAGGAATACCCTGGCTGACGCGGAGGCGTAATAATTGATGCTTGGCGATCATTTCTCAGGATTTCCCAGAGTATATCCGGGTAATCAGCTGTACGGGATGAATTGACGGCTTCGGAGATGCCAATGTCTGAGTTGAAATAGTACAAATAGCACGGACTTCCCGCCGGATAGCGCTTCGTGTCGGCTCAATGACTCTGAGACCCACCAACGTCATCGGCGCCCTTCAGCAGCATCTCCGGTCTCGTTGCTGAGACACGTAGTTGAATATATTGGTGAGATTTACTATTCAATTGGCTGTAGTGTCCCGAAACTTCCACGGGGAATATTATTTCAGAATAACTAATGTATGCGATTTTTAAGAGTCAACGAGTCAGGTACGTCTCTACTAGAGACGCCCGATACGCCGAGGCACAGTGGCCAATACACACGGACAGGCATACAGAGAGACTCCTCCAGGGTTCAAATTGATGCTTTTCATTCCTAGACCGCAGCCAAGACTAGATTTACTTACCCGCAGCCACAGCATCCTTGAGAGCTTCTTCGATTCCAATCTTGCCACGCACAATATCCAACTTCTCAACCCCCGCGGAACCCGGCGCGGCGATGCCGCCTGGCAAGAACGACAAGGACATTTCCACCCAGATCCCCACGAGACTGGGCGGCAGAAACGCGCCGAAGTACTCAGGCATCTTGCTCCTCTCAATCGCCCTGATCGCAACCGGCCTCCCCATCGCCTTGGAAAGGGCGACCTGGGCATCATTCGGCGAGTACTCCCGCGGGCCGTGCAGGGCAAACACGTAAGGCTTGGTCGGCGGCGCATAGCTCGAGAGCAGGCCCGTCGCAAAAGTCGACCCAATGTCCGCGACGGCCACCATAGGCAGCTGGAAGTCGAGCGGCGTGATGGTCGAGTCCACGTACGGCCCGTCGCTACCCTGAAGCGTCTGGGCGCTGAACAGCGCCCAGTTCTCCATAAAGTACCCGCATCGCACGATGAGAATCTCCGGGACATTCGTAGTCCCCAGGATCTTCTCAGCAATGTGGTTCGTCTTGATTTCGCCCTGGTGCGTGATGAGTGCTGAGCTTCACAAATTTGCTTGCATCCTCAGAGTGGGCGGCTTACAACGCCTTCGGCAAACTCGGCGCCTAAGCTGCTGAGCAGCATCAGCCGCTTTACCCCTCCTGCTCTTTCAACGGCATCCTTGACGTTCTGCGACACCTGTTCTGCCTTGGTGAAAGGGTCACCCTCGCTGAAGATTGGCGGCGTGCTCGTCATCACGGCATCTGAGCCGACGAGGTCCAGCGAAGACGCATTCTCAATGTCGCCGCACACGGCGCGGAAGTTGGGATGCGACTTGAACTCTTCGGGGACTTTTCCTAGATTGCGATAGACGCCATATACCTCGACATCACTCGATGTCTTCTTCAGCAACTCCCGAATCGTTGCCGCGGACGTCTTGGGGCCGGCTGGGACAATTGTGATGCGCATTATTGGTAGTGACGACAATATGACAATAATCAGCAGCTTATTTGAGAGACAGGAAGTTGCATTTCAAAAAGAGTCTGGAAAGAGATTTCCTTTTAAAAGCACCGCAAAAATAAAAAACAATCGCCACTCGTTCAACTGCGATCTGCGGTAGCTGTTCAGCTGCTAGCATCCTATCCTACTGCTGCCAAGGTACAGGCTAGATGTGTTAGTAGAGTATCACACACCATCGAGAATGGTTGTCTAGTTTCACGCAAAGGTAATTTCAGCTGAACTTAAAAATGAACAGGTAAGATAATAAATGGCGTTTCCGCAAGAAGAGGTAATCAAGAGAACTAAAAGGTATCATGCAAAATGATGCCAGCCGTCTGAGGCCAGCCACCACCTCCACTACTTTCCCCTCGAAATCATTTCAATATGGCACATTAGCCTCCAAAGTATGGGCATCCTCGACCATCACCACCGCGCAGGAACAAGACCAAACAAATTATTTAGCGTGCAGGTTTGCAACGCTAGGCCGACGGCTTGCGGATGGCGTACCACGGGGAGTTTGGCGAGGGGTGACGCGGCTTTCACCGAAGAAGCGGTGCTGCTGGCTGTATCGTCGCTCAGCTCCTGGTCGCTGGTCGGTGCCAGAGGCCTTTGATGCTGTTGATGGTGTGAGCACGTGTCTACATGAAGAAATGATGTGAGAGAAAATCCAGAGAAATGGCTTACCTCGGCGGCCCTCGTGGATGACGCTGTTGCGACGGCCAGGGTGCTCTTGACGGGCATCGGCGAGTTGCTGGGCAAAGGGGGAGCGATGTCGCAGAACGGGTCCTTTCCAGTAGATGACGTATACCGCAATGACGAGGACGAAGGAGATGCAGAACAGGATGGTGGAGGCGTATTCCAGGTTCTTGCCGCTGGAAGCTCCGATGTTGCTGAAGAAGGGGACGGCAGGGATGGTCAAGACACCAGCCAAGAAGTCACGCTGTCAACAATGTTAGCAACCTGTTTGTTTGGGAAATGATGATGACGAAACTTACAGCCCAGCCATTGCCACCCGTGGCGGAAGCAGAGTAGGGGCCATAGGCGCAGATCATGTAGTCAATCGTCGCCATGTAGATGGCGTAGTTGGCGATGCCGACAATTGCAGCAAACACCATGGAGCCGATCCAGTGGATGGGGGGCCCCTGGATGGTCCAGGCAAATCCGATGAGGCCGATCGGCAGGCACGGCGCCGTGTAGAGCAGGAACCAGAGGCGCGACTCGTACTGGGCGCGCTCGTCGTTGGGCTTGGCCTCGCGCTCCTTGATGTTGCGGCGGATGGCCGGGATGAAGAGCAGCCAGGCGAGCAGGTAGCCGACGCCGATGGGGATGAAGGAGAGGCCGATCTGGACCTTGGAGAAGTGCCACTGGCTGTAGACGAGGCCGAAGGACTGGATGAACATGAAGATGAGCGCGTCGGAGAAGCCGGACAGCAGCGAGAGGACGAGGACGATGGGTTCGGTGAGGAACATGCGGAAGGGGCGTGCCCAGGTGGACAGGATCTCCTTGACGGAGAAGCGGTCGCTGTAGGGGACGAGCTCGTCGGGGCCCCAGATGTTCTCGCCGTTCTTGGTGCGGCGGCGCTTGGCGATGCGGTTCATCATGATGGTGGTGCGCGTCTCGGGGACGGTGAAGAAGTGGACGATCTGGACGAAGCCGCCGAGGATGAGCTGCACCCACATTGCCCATCTAGAAACGGTAGCTGTCAGTTATATGGAGTTCTTTGTGTCTTTCTTGTCCGTGTTCTTACCTCCAGTGAAGATACTGCTCGACGAAGCCGCCGACGATGGGCCCCAGCACCGACCCGCCGACGGACGAGAAGACGACGTAGGCGACGGCGTACTGCTGGTTGTCGGCCTCCCACATGTCCGCGATCATGCCGAGCGTCACCGAGCCGCCGGCCGACGACAGGCCGCCCAGCGCGCGTCCCACCATGACGGTCGCGAAGTTGGGCGCCAGCGCGACCGGCAGCTGCCAGATGTTGACCAGGAAGAGCGAGAGCTGCAGGACCGGCCAGCGGCCAAACTCCTCGGACCAGGGCGCCCACAGCTCGCAGCCAAAGGCGTAGAGCACGAGGAAGATCATGGCGCCGCAGCGCGCGGCCTGCAGGCTGACGCCGAACTCGTGCTTGATGCCCTCGAGACCGTTGGAGTAGAGCGACGTGTTGAAGTTCATCGAGACCTGCACCCAGAAGATGACGGTCAGGATGTACCACTTGCGCCAGGTCGGGAACGAGTAGCCGAGCTCGTCATAGCAGTCGTCCTCGGTGATCTCGTACTTGTCGTGTGTGCCGAGCTTCTCGAGGCGCGTCGTCGTCCCGTTGGCGCTGCCGGTGCCGTTCTCGCCGTCGGCAGAGTCGCTGCCCGCGCCGGCCTTTTCGCCAGCCTTTTCCTTCTCGGCATCGGGGGCATTGCCACTGGGAGGGTGGTTCTTGAGCAGCTGGTTGGCGCGCCTGAGGTCTTCCTGGTTCATGACCTGCGGGGGGTCCTCAGACAAGTGAGCCGTCGGCATCATGATAAAGAAGATCCCAAGGGGACGTTTCGTTTGTGTGGTGTTTTGCTGTTTGATACGGCCCCGCGATGGGTAGGAGACGAGGAAGGGGGACTAGGGCAACTCAATCCTAGGAGAAAAAAACAGCCAGGCACTGGAGGAGGAGAGTTTTAAATAGACAATGGCCAGCAAAGTTTACTCCAATATTATTACTTGTTCCTCTCGACGGACAACAGCCGGCTTTTGTTAGTGTTTGGGGCGGTCCGATTCTCCACCATGTCTCTAGGAAGCGTGTTTGCGAGGTGACATCATGTCTCTCTTTCATCGAAGATTGCTAACACACTTTTCGTCCTAGCACAAACACACAAAAGCCCCGCCGCCTCACCTCAGCAGGACGTGGATAAAGTACATTACGAGATTAATACGACTAGTTGGCATACTAGAACGACTCACCAACTTTCCACCTGGAAAATGAGGAGAAAGCACGAGAGCTAAGGGAGACGGTCACGTAGATAACCCATGGGAAAACGCTTTTATGGTAGAGAACAGAAATTCCTCGCTCCCTCGGCCCCGACGTGGATAAGGAATGCTAGCCCGCGGAGCCATGGCAACTGTAGGTACGGAGTGTCCGGCGCAGTCTCTGTCTTGCGTCTTGTGGTTCTCGACCAACGACGGGTAATTTGTCACTCGAGAACCAAAACACTCTCAATCACTGTGGCTGCTATCCTTCTTGGCGGCTTCACGGAAAGCACGGCTGGCGTCCACTAACAAGGTTTAGCGACCATCGTGGACCGGGTGGCGTTCTGCCGCGAGCCTGTCCGTGGCCTATAGTTACTGTAGGTGCAGGAGAATAGCGCCACTCCATCGACTTGGCGTCAGCGGAGGAAAAGCTAACATGAAATTATGGCCCAGGCCTTTTTTTCCTCGACGGACCTTGGCTTGCGAGTGAAACTTTGGATTTTGACTAGACGGCCCGCATCCATCCATCCGTCGAACCCCCAGAATGCAGCCCAGTCGCTCCGCAGCCAACTAGTTAATAAATTCCCATGCCACGGAGTCAATAATGAACTAGTTTTACCTCCAGGGGAGGAAGAAATTATGGAAACAATGTGTGGGAACTCGCAGTCGGTTCGGGTCCCCCACAACATCGCCCTCGCGCGCTCCAATGAGAAGACACTTTATTCTGCTGCCTGTTTCCAGATGCTCCGTGAAAAACTCGACCTGCCAGGGGAGATGGAGAAGATCATTTTTTTTTTGTTCCTTGGCAGTTGTCGATGTGGCTGACCTGCTGAATGAGTTGAGCTGACATGCTCTGTCTGCCGTGACCAACAAAACCTACTAATAAACAAAGGGGTTCTTTTCGGGAGACCCCCCCAGAAAGTCCAAGTTACATGGTTTGCCATGGACGGCCTTGATAAAGCGGACTGCCTCTGGTCTGGGAGACGAATTCTCAAGCTGAGCCAGGGCATGGGGCAAATCAACCGTGAATAATCGCAGGCTGGGTGAAATGTGGTATTTGCTGGCACCGCAACTCTGGGATTTTGCAGCCTGGCTTATGTATCTACTACCTTCAAGCATGCCGATTCAGACTCAGAAGACGACGTCATGCCACACGATCAAAGCTCCGGGTGGCGTCGGCAAGCCTTGTCTAGAGCAGGGAAGAAAAACGCCACAGATCTCCGCGGCTTATTAACGTCGGACACAGACCTACCAGCACCACCCCTCCCCTAGCACCTATTTACTACTAATTTACTACTTTTAAAACTATTTATAAAGCCTAGTTTATACAATAAAAGTATATAAGAATATATATAATTTAGACTTTTATTTAAATTATTTTCTATTAAGATTTTATTTATTTTTAATAGCTATTTAATTTAATATATATTTTTAAAATTAATAAAAAGACTCTTATTAATAAAGAATACTATAATTAAGAGAAAAATAGTATTAAGTAGTATAATTTTTAAAATCTAAGTCTCCTTTAGAGTAGGAAAAAATAACTTAATAATAGACTAATACTAATAAAAATAAAAAGGTTATTATTTTTATAATAAACTATTAAAAGACTTTGTAGACCTATTAAGGGACTTAGGGGTAGGTCAGAGGCCTGAAAAGGGCTAGGTTTTTATTTAAAGAAAAGGTAAGAAGCTATGTGCGGTACTATATACATCAGCCGGTTGAGACCTCAGCGAAATAAAGTCTTCGACATAAAAGTAGAGGCGACAAAAGATGTACACAACTGTAGGTAAGAAAAAGCTAATAGTCCACCGCAACGACATGGCCATGCTTGGGTCTCCATCCGGGGAAAGATTCCGCATCCGGCTGGCCCATGCCTGGATTTTCTTTTCAATGGATTTTCCTATGCCTGTTTTAATTGGTTTTGCCGCATCAGAGGCTTGCATACCGGTTTGAAGCTCGCCAGTCATTGAGCGTGAGGACTGTGTAAGCAGATCTGCACGCGCTGCGTCATCCTCAACTTTGTTCTCAATTTTTGTCTTACTCCGGTCGGGGGCCATTCTGTAAAAGTAATATGCTGTGCCGATGAAGGAATATGCTGTGTGGAAAACGCTCGCTGCGCGCCAAAGCAGTCGCTCCGTTGTGGATGGAAAGTAAAAGTTCCATGCCGCTATAAAGGCAATACAAAATGGAATCTGCACCACCAAGGCAAGAGGTATAAGCCAGCCTTCAACTTCATACCAGACATCCGCTGGTATTCTATCCCATTGGATCTTAGTAGCCCGGTGAAATAGTGGCAGCTTTGCTTTGAGACTGAGATCGGCATAGTAGGCCCAATGCTTGTCCATGATGAAATCTCGGGAGGAGGCGAAATCGAGAGGGGTCCGATACCACTGCTCTGGCAATTGCGGGTGTGTCTATACTCTGTGAGATCCTGTGACATGTCGGCACCAAATTGGGAAAGACGACTCACGCGGCGCCGAGCAAATTCTCGAACTGATGCCATGCTGCACATATTTATTGTATTCAGGTATGTGATGATTGGTGTTTGTGGCTTGCAGAACCAAAATGCAGATGTCGCGAGCATAACCACAGCAAAAGTAACAGTGGTAAGCTCTAGTGTGGTGATACTGTAGCCCTGCTGTACCCGTGTCATGACTGTCACAGTATACCATAGCAGCTGCCACAATGTAACGATCCTGAGGTTCGTTAGCCGTCACATTAAAAGGCTGCTAGGGATGGTCATACTTAGATAGAGGGTCAAAGTTGCTCATATCATGTATTCTTCGCTTTGTGAGCGAAGGCATATCAACAAAGCGGTGACGAACGAGGTAGTATAGCTGCTCTGCATTGACAGGAAACCCCTCTGGGTAATCGCAGCTTACGACATGAAAGCCGCCCATGTCGGCATAAAATCCCTGTGTTAGTGACCACGAACCAGCCGACATCTCGTTGAATTTCTGACGCAACATTAGTCAGCTAAAGTAGTGACATTGAAGGGTCCAACAGCCGTACCACAACGCTTCTCCTTGCGCTGCTCAACTGGCCCGCGGCTAGTGCCAGTAAAATATCGGGGCCTAGAAGCCCAATGAAGGCCAAGTTCACCTTGTCGGCGAGTTTGTGATACCATAGATCCTTTGGAGCCGGCGCATTTGGATAGGTAGACACCCACACACAAAGAAAAATGGTTACACAGCTTGACCACATGAGATCTGCTGTTCCCCGATTATCAGCTGAGGACATCCAGCCGACCGTCTCATTGTTGGATGGAATCATAGCGCTGGTAAGCTTGTTTTATGATCTGGCGCGCCACAACAGAAAGCACAACATGCGACAAACCACAAACATAAATTCGAGACCGACAAAAGAGCAGTATAATGAAAAGGGAATGCATGAGGCCACATGTCAACGGCGGATAGTATTGCAGTTTTAATAGCCATTAACCGCCCTTGATGCTCTGCTGCATATGCAAGTCTATACATTGTTAAGTTAATTGGAAACCCGCGCTCGCTCCAGCCAGTAGTAAGCAGCCAGGTGAAACTTGGCGGCTGGCTGCAGATTGGTCTTATTCCTGCAGGATCTTTTTTTGGAAAACAGGCTCTCGGTTCAAGTTACTAAAACGAGCTCACGTGAGCTGGTCCATCACAGCGCAATTCATTGTACCCTACCCCCTCTCTTGACCTCCTATTAGCCTCTCGGTCTACATGTTAGCCAGCAAGAGAGGAAGAGAGAGAGAACCAGCGTAATCAAGCAGGTCCGTCTCTTGCTTCCTGCTTCCTTGCTGGCTGTGTCATGGTTTCCTGGCTAGCTGACTGGCTGGTTGGCTGGCTGAGGTACTTATTAGGTACCTAGGTATGGACTTATTATTAGGTCTCTTCTACTGTAGGTACTTGGTTAGGTACGTACCTAGCCAGAAGAAAGGTACTTTACTAGCTAAAAGCAATACGTAGCTAAGAAAACGTATTGTATTTCTGATGGGTTTTCTTTTTTCCTTTTTCCAAGCTAGCAAATGATATACATGTTTTGACATAAGTCGACTGGTAGGACATAATTTGTATTTTGTGAACATGATGTTACGGAAATATGTCGAGGCTCGACATAACTTAGTTAATGTCCACAGCCGCCCGATGAACGCAATATGCACGACGGTGGGTTTTTTGGGTCCAATCACATGTGCACGAGTCGGGGGCTGACAAGCTGGCACAAGTCAAATTTCCCTTGGCTTCCCCTGCATATCGCCACGTCAGTTATCACCATCCATGGCACCAGCACACGAAAGATTTTGAACTTTGTGCTTCAGCTGTGGGTTGTCCAACCTTTTCCATCTCTTCTATCTCTTGATCTCGAGCTTTGGCTGCTTTACTATACCGCCCAATCTGCCTCATTGGTAAGTCACAACCGGCCGGCGCAAGAAATACGCAATAGCAGCACTTTAGCCGCCCACGATTATTAACATGCATGGACAGTGTATACTACCTGCCAAAGGCAACCCCCGACCAGCAAAATGCCTACATCCACACAAACGAGCACGACTGCGCCGAACGAACCCATAATCAACAATAATCCCGCCGTCCAATCGCTGTACGCATCGCTCGAGTCGAGAATTGGCTATCGTCTGGTCCTCGGCGGCACACGCCACTTCGGTTACTGGGAAAAGGACACATGGTGGATGCTACCCGTTAGCGGTCCGCTGCGGCGGATGGAGCAAAAATTGTTCGACCGGTTAGATCTTCCCACCGGCTCCCGTGTTCTCGATGCCGGCTGTGGTGTTGGTCATGTCGCATTGTACATGGCTGGCCGAGGGCTGAAGATGACCGGCATTGACATCATGGACCATCACCTGGAAAAGGCACGTAGGAACATTAGTAAGTCTGGGCCTTTGCAAAGCCAGGTATCGGTGCAGAAGATGGATTATCATCACCTTGAGACGCTGCAGTCCGATTCATTTGACGGAGTCTACACCATGGAGACTCTGGTACACGCGACGGAGCCGGAGCAGGTTGTAGCCGGCTTCCTCCGTATCCTGCGGCCCGGCGGCCATATTGTCCTGCAGGAATATGACTATAATTTCGAGTCGGAAGAGGAAATCGGACCTGTCCTGGCCAAGGCAATGAAGCAGATGAGCGACTTTGGTGCCATGCCAACCTGGGATAGGGCGAAGCGCGGCTACTTTGAGAGGCTCCTCCAAGGTGCCGGGTTCGTGGACATTCAAGTCCAAGATTATTCGGTGAATGTACGCCCGATGCTGCGACTTTTTTGGCTGCTGGCGTTGATTCCTAATCTCCTCGTTCAACTGTTCGGCCTGCAAAAGTACTTTATCAACACAGTAGGCGGAGCTTATGCCTACAACGCACGGGAGCACTGGCGATACGTCTCTATAAGCGCGAGGAAACCAGACGACTCGCCAAAAAGCAGTTAGCAAGCAAAGACTTAAGAGGTGCTTTAGAAAATCATTTGTCCGCTTACGATCAAAAGGCAGACGTGCACGGATGCCAGTGACAAATCGAGACTTGCTAGTATAGATCTTACCCAGTCCAGGCTTGCCGATGGACAAACGCGAGCCAGACATGCGGCATGGCAGGAGTCGTCAAAGGCATTGCTCTATTTTCCTGATATATCCCCCGTCCTCCTCTTCCTCCTCATTGGCCGCCAAGCCTATCATAAGCATGTTTATCTGCTCCTCCCGCCCGCTTTACACCATGCCCTCCCGCTGCCACGTCGAGTTCACCGTCCGTCACCTCGAGCGCCACCCCTTCACCACCTAGACTTTCTCTCCCGTCGCCTTGGCGGCGGCCCTGTACCTCGTCGTCGTCGCGCCTAGCCTCACGCCGAGCGCCGACGACGTACGCAGTCACCAATAACACCAACACACCGGGTCGCGGGCTGCCGAACATTCATCGCATAATATGGGCAATGTGGTAAGATTGGCAATAACTCCTGTATTAAGCTTTTATGAATTGGGGACACGGCCTGAGCCGGCGTATACCACTAATGGCTTGTCCGAGGTACATACGTTGTAACGGAGAACTCACCTACTACCGTGTACGAAGAGGTGCTTGAACACAGCGTGGTTGTTTGCGACTTCATCCCTTGAGTATTGGTCGGCATATGAAACTATATTAGGTTATTTTATGGCTTGCTTTAATATTCATGATTCCTATGTGATCTCTTGTCTATGCGTCGCAATTCCGCTGATGTGGGATACTACGCTTCGAGTTGAATTGTTAGCCTTAAAAATAATATGCGATTAGTAGCATTACCAACCACAGCCAACTACATTCATTTAAGTATTTAAAGAACTCCAAAATGAACAAAATCATATCGAATTGTCGGGTTACCTTAAAAATACACAAAAACAAAACAACACCAGCAGTAACCACACCAGCAGCTTCCATATTTCTACTCTAGGGTAGATTGATCCCACCCCCCAGCTAATGTCGCGTTGAGTGGAGTCTCGAGCTTACGAATAGAGGTTATTCGGCTTAAGGACGCAGATATCGAATTAAATAAAGTCTTTATATACTGTATCTTTATAAAGTAAATAAAATTATATATCTTTTCAATAGTTATATATTAGTTAAGTAGGTATTTTATAAGAGGCTGAACAACTATGTTCTAGTAGTAAATCGGTGCCGGGGGAGGGGTGGTGCTGGCAGGTCTGTGTCTAACGTTAGTTATTGCCTGGCTTTGTCCATGACGAGGAGGGACAATGGTCGTACAAGTTTCCCAGGTCTCACATCTGTAAAAAAGCCGTTGACCTTTGATAGACAATCGTCAAACTAGTGCTGACGGAAGCTGTAGAAACCCACCGCGCTCAATTGTCAAGAGGGTCTGATTCCTGTTGACTCACCTGTTGTTTGAGTTGACTCTGCACTCCTCGTAGTTGTGTTGCACGTCGATCGGCACCTGCGTCATATCTGGCGCACGGGCATTGAAAGGCATCTTGAGATCAACTTTTGGCATTTGCGAAAATATTACCACTAATTTTATTGATAGCTCCTTGTCCCAGATAAAGTCATCCACCCTCATCACTCAAAACTAACGTCCCTGCCCGACTTGGCGCTCTCGAGGATGGCCTCGAGGATGCGCAGCACGTCGCGCGCCTCGGTCGGCTTAACCGGCACGTCCTCCTCCTTGCCGGACTCGACCGCCCTGCCCCACGCGTGGTAAAACGCCGTGTACGTCTCCGGCTTCAGGTCCGGCGCCGGCACCACCGACGACTTGCCCTGCGCGTCCACCACCGTCAGGCGCATGCTCTCCGCCTTGTCCTTGCCGAAGCCCGCCGCCGACGGCTTCTCGCCGGCCTTGAGCTGGTCCTCTTGCGGGTCCAGGCCGAGCTTGCGAAAGCTGCCCTTGTCGCCGCGCACCCAGAAGCGCAGCTGCTCGACCTCGGCGCTGAGCGCGCTGATGCGCACGTGCACGAGCTTGCCGTCCGGGTAGGTGAGCTCCGCGGCGACGGCGTCCGGGTTGAAGAAGTCGGGCGCGCCGGCGCGCTGCGAGAGCACGCGACCGTGCACAGCGCGCGGCAGGCCGAAGAGCACGTACGCCTGGTCGACGAGGTGCGTGCCGAGGTCGAAGAGCGCGCTGCCGCCCTGGGGGATGCCGAGTTCACCCTTCCAGTTGGTCGCGGCCGCGGCCTTGTAACGGTCAAAGTGCGTGTTGAACTCGAGCACGCGCCCGAGCGTGCCCGCGTCCAGCAGGTGGCGCACCGCGAGGAAGTCCGAGTCCCAGCGGCGGTTCTGGTACACGCAGATCAGGCGGCCGCGGGCGCGCGCCGCGGCGATTAGCGCGTCGGCTTCGGCGGACGTCGGCACGAACGGCTTCTCGGTCAGCACGTGCTTGCCGGCGTCGAGCGCGGCCTTGGTCAGCGCGAAGTGGTTGTCGGGCGGCGTGGTGACGACGACGACGTCGACGGCCGGGTCGGCGAGCAGGTCGTTGGCGTCGGTGTAGTGCTTCGCATCGGGGTGGTCGGCCGGCGCCGAGTTGCCGTCCTTGGGGCTGCGCTGGACGATAGCATACAGCTTGAACTGCGGTGTCGTGGTGATGAAGGGGATGTGAAAGATCTTGGCGGACATGCTGGGGGGCGAACGTTAGCCATTGCTGCGGACTGAGGGGATGTAGTGACGCATTTGGCTCGTGTGGTGTAAAGGATGAGACTTGGTGGAGGATTTGATCGGCTGTTGTTGGGGAGGGGGAGGGGGAGGGGGAGGGGTAGCAGACATACCCATATCCAATGACGCCGACGTTGAATGTTTTGGTGGCCATTTTGTGTGTGTAGCGAGGTTGAAAAGGTGTAATTGAGATGATTTGAGGAATGAGGGGGAGTTGGAATACGCCGCTCCTATAAAGGAAGCTTCGGACAGACGACCGGAGAGGGAAAAGCCTGTCGTTAGCTGTGATGGGATGGGCTTAAATAATGTTGAGATGGAGGCGTTTTAGCGGAAACGTCACCGCTGTCGATAGTCGCCGCTGGGAGAGCTTGGGTGGGGCTCGATGTTGAGATCGAATACACAAGGTACCACTCGCATGAATAAACTTCGGTATTGCTAATATCAATCTACAACTGCAGATATAGTAAGTTCATCCTGTACGCCAATCCACAGTAACAGCCTAAGCACGTTCGTTTGCGCAGGATTCTATGTATGTATGTACATACATACATACATAGATCTTGGAGGCTATTGCATGACCCCCCAATGACACCCCCACTTGCAACTATGGTAAGCCCCAGTGCCGTTCAGCGGCCCTTCTCTCTGTACTGCGCTGTAACCTGCCCTGGAAAATCTCCGAAACACCCATAAAGTGGGCAGGAAAACTGGCTCCAGTGGACTCGTCACAGCGGCTTCAGCGCAGAAAAGGCCCGACTCCTTTCTTCTAAAAGACAGCGACAACGGACTTTGTCTACTATTTTGGTGACTTGAACGACGTTGATTTCCAATCCTTGAGCGAATTAACACACGCTTGCCCTGCTTTTCTGCCAAAGCTCCCCAATATTGTGGCGCCTCTTCGATCCTTGAGTCACTCGCCGGCCAGCCAGCGATAAGCGAAATGGACCCGGCCGTTTACCACACGGGACAAACACCGCTCTCCGGGTTGCTTCCTGTTCTGTGCCCTCCGCAGCAACGTCCATCCTGCCGGCGCGGTATTGCTTTCGTCGCCTATCGCCGACGATTGACTGTAGCCAAGTTCTCCAATGGAACGAGTCCCATATTCCGCGCTGGGCAAGCTTCAGTCTGCGGGCCGACCAGTTATATCGGACCGCCGTTTGTGCAGCTGTCGCCAGAACGCAAAAGTAGTTGGGCTCAAAACTTGTGTTTTTTACCTGTAAAACTAGGTCACTCGAAAAGTCTGTGCTATGGGTATCGATGGTAGGATGACTTGACACCATCACCTCGCTCCTTTCGGTCATGGTTGCCGCCCTCCCTTGAGGGACTCATACCAGCCAGTTGGATCAGGTAGACATGCGGACCTGAGCATCGTCGAGTTGCTACTCGGCCCCCCTCTTGCTCTCGTTCTCAAGCTTTCCGCATATTCTTCCGTAACTATCTGTATGACTTCGAGTCGCCCTGAAATATTCTTCCGATAATATTTAGGAGCATTCAAAATCCGGATATGATTATGCTCAGTCTCGGGTTTCGACATGTCTCGAGATAGCTAACCTGTACCACAGCAAGTTATTTCCTCTTTCTGGTGCCCAACATTCGTGATGCGCAACGTAGAACACTCTGGCCCAGTCACATCACCATCATGCACACAAAGGCTGTGGCCCTTCTTAGCCGTGCGTATTTTGCATTGACTCGGCTTGCAGTAATCAGCCCTACGGCACCATACCTAGCCCCAGCCTGAGCCTGAATCTCGACGACCTCCACCGAGCTGAACTTTAAATTGTAGCCATGGCTAGAACGAGGCTGACCGCAGGCTACTCAGCCACTGTTCCTACGACTGAACAACTCGCCTTCTTATCACCGTTTTGGCCCCTTTCCAATATCTTCCAAACTCTCAGGAGGAACATGTGAATCGCTAACCCCCCAGGGCCATGGCGCGCAAGGAAACCCAACCCAGCGACAAGACGCAACACTGCCATACGTGCCGCCGGCGCCGGCTGCGCTGCGACGGCGTTCGTCCGACCTGCAACAAGTGCGTCGTGCGCGGGGTCGACTGCCTCGGCTACGGCGCGCAGGCCCTGCTCTGGGTGCAGCCGCAGTCGTCGAGCGACAGCACCGGGGCCGCACAAAAACAGCAGCGGCCGGAGGAACCAGCGGTGGCGGCGGAGACGGCGGTGGGGGGCCGGAGAAAGGGCCGCCCCAAGCTGGTGCTCATGCCGCGCGCCGCGTCGGAGCTCGCCATGCCGGACGGCGACGGCCTGGAGCTGACGAGGCGGCCGGGCACCGCCAGCCTGGATGCGTACCGAGCCGTCATGCGCATGCGCGGCTTCCGTGAGGAGAACCTGCGGCGGCGCAGCATCGTCCCGAGCCCCGGACTGGACCCGGAGGGCTACCAGCAGCAGCGGCTCCTCATCGACTCCCTCCGCTACTGTATCTATACCGCCCACTACCACCACCACCCTGACACTCGACAAAGACTAACCCTCACAGATGACGACCACGTCTGCTCGGACCTGGTCCTCTTCGACACCCCGAAGAACCCGTTCCGCGTGCTCCTCGAGTTCTGGAGCTACCTGCCGGACGTCGTCGCCGACCCGCTCGTCTCCATCGCCGCCGTGCACCGCATCAGCAAGACGCAGTCGGCGCTCGAGGTCGCCGCCTACGTGCCGGGCTACCGGTATGCGCTGCGCGACGGCGGCGACAGCGGCGGCAGGCTGCTCGCGGTCCGGCACCCGCTCGTGCCCGTCGTCTTCCGCCACCAGCAGCGCATGGCACGCGCGCTGGCCGCCATGGTCGCGGACCCGGACGCGCGCGCGCAGCGCGGCCTGCTCGAGGTCGTCACGACGGTGATGCTCTGCCAGGTGAGTGTGTGGAGCGGCGGCGTGGCCGTTCGTTGTTCGCTGCGGGTGCCGTGTTGGCTGACAACGTTGCGATAGGTCCAGCAATCGCTCTTCGGCGACTGGGACAAGCATCTCCTCGGGGCGCAAGCGGTCATCGCCGCCCGAGGAGGGATAAAGTCTTTTGCGTTGGAAAAATCAACACCCGTCAATTTCGATATATGTACAGTGATGCAGTACGTTTTACTCGGCGCATAGGAGAACTGCCAATGCATCAACTCGAGAAAGCAAATCGCCAGCAGGCATACCAACTAATGTGTGATTTAGAGTCGAGGTGATGCGAGACATCGGGACGCCAGCCTGCCTCCTGCGGCCTCGACAAGCCATGTTCGAGGACTACCTGGAATACGTCATACCCATATACCAGGAGGGATGGCTCTCCGCCTTCCCCTGCACCAACTTCCTGATGAGCTGCCTCATGCGCATCAGCATGGCCCGCTACGACGACCACCAGGACTCCGCCGGCATCGCCGCCAGGCTACCCCTACGGCGGCAGCTCCTGGAGGACATCCTGGCCTTCTCCCCCGCGGACTGGCTCGACTCCCGCGCCGCGCGGCTCGCCGAGGTGTTCGGCCCGCGCGCCAAGGAGGCCGAGGGCGGTCGCACGCGCGCCGCCCTCCTGGACCTCATCCGATCCTTCCACATGTCCACCGTGCTGTACGCCGTCCGCACGCTGCTCCTCGACCGCGGCGTCCACGCACTGACCGGGGTGGGCGACCTGCGGCTAGTGGAGGCGGCGGCGGTCGAGACGCTCGGCGCCTCGCTGCGGCGGGTCTGGGAGACGGAGCGCGCGGCGCCCGACTGGTTCGGCAAGTTCACGATCTGGCCGCTGTTCGTGCTGGGCATGTCCGTCGACCCGGTCGCGGAGGAGCCGCGGGGCGAGGGCACCAAGGACTTCATATGCAAGTCGCTGCTACGGCTCGGCCACCACATAGGGAGCATGGCGTACAAGGACGCCATATGGGCCTTGCAGCACACGTGGGAGCGGGATGGCGGCTTGGAGCGCCCAGGCTGGCTCGAGGCGCTGCCGTTGGACGTCTTGCCAGGTCTGTTCTTCATGTAGAATGCTGCCGCGACGTGGCACCCCGTAGGCACAATAGATTCCTGAAAAACTGTCGTGAAGATAAATGTATTTCGTTGAATGATCTAAGATCTAAAAAGGATATTCCCATGTTCTGATCAAACGCCTCGTTACGCCGCTTCAATGGTTCTTCCCCTGCTGTCGTCCCCGGGTGACACAGGCGCTTGCATCGCGGCATCTCCTGACGCTCAATGCGGTCGGTGGCATTGGGTCACTCGATCATTGGCTTAGCAATCGCCCTCTAACTAAATGCGAATCATAAATGTACAATTGTCGCTGGACGCTGGCATCTTCTATACCATAAAAGACTCGCCACAACCACATTCCTCCTCTGTTCAGTAGTTAGCACACAGTTCCTCAAGGGTGGGTGGTTCGATGACGCGACAGCACGTACTGATGTTGGGATTTCTGAAAACAAATCGCTGGCTGAGCTTGTCTTCGGCCCAGTCCATCTCGCTGCCGATGATGCTGAACAGCGCCTTGCTGTCGATGAGGACGCGGACGCCGTCCTGCTCGACCGTCTCGTCAAAGGCGCCCGGCTTGTCGACGAACTCGAGGTGGTAGGCCAGCCCGCTGCAGCCGCGGTTGCGCACGCCGACCTTGATGAGCTTGGGCTCGGGCTGGTCCAGCAGGTTGCGCAGCTGCTCGACGGCGGCGGGCGTCAGCTTCATGGCCGCCTTACGTGGCCTCAGCTTCGACCGCGGCCGTGTGGGCTTTGCTTTCTGCGGCTGGGTCTCGGCGGCGGCGGCGGCGGCGGGCTTCGGTTGTGGTGTTGACATTGTCGTTGATGATGATGGCGCTGGCGAGGTAGCCTGTGCGGGTGGTTGTGGTGATGGCGCGGGGGCGGGTGACGCTGGCGAGGACGGTGGCGGCCGCGTCTCGTGGACCCGGGGCAGGGCCTCTTCGGGGAAGGCAATCGAGGTCTCGGAGAGCTCATCCCCACGGGTTTTGCCCGATGACTGCGACGGCAAAGAGTAGGGGTGGTAGGCGGCGCACGCGGGCCTCGACGTCGAGAATTGTCGGAGGGCCAGGCGGGAGGCGGCGTGGCGGGCGGCGGCGACACGGCCGATGAAGAGGTGGGCGTTCATGATGTCTGGACCATGGGACGGATGACGGGTCCTGTCGGTGGAATACGAAGGAGACGGGATTTGAAGTTTATGAGCGAGATGGGCGCATGTCGTTGGTTGTCGATTGCAAAAAATATGTTGGTGATGAAACTTGGTTGGGGAAATCGGCAGCTGTCGGGAGAGAGAGCAAAGGGTTAGTAATGAGATTTGGGGCGCTGTCTTTGTAAAGTGGTGCTGTACAGAGGTACCTGCAGACACTGTACGGGCAGTGGCTCAGCGTTGTTTTGTTGCTCGGCTCAGCGGCTTTGGAGCGTGGCCTGACTCTCCATGTCCGTCTTCCGCCGAGCCAATCACATGGCCAGTATTAGTCACAATTGCCTGTTTTTGTGGCGACTTTTGGAAATTGACCACCAGACTTCAGGGTCAGCAGGGCTAAATGCTTCCCGAGTCCAAAGAGGTGTCCATCAATGTTCAGACCTCAATTTAATCAATCGCCAACAACCTTCAAGACAACAAGTCGATTTTGGACCAGCAAATTATAGACTGCGTCATTTGCTCAATTCAAGTTTGGTGTCCGTGCACCAGCTTGAAGCGTGTCCCCACAAAAGCTCACCAAGTTACAACCAACTTTTTAGTGTAGAATCTCCATCTGACGCAACTTTGCCAGCAATTTCAGAACGACTTGGTAGCTCGGCAAATGCTCTATATTTGTAGAAAATTCAATTTTTCAACGCTATTTGCTGTTGTTACAACTACTACCGCTATCAGGGTATCACTCGCTATCACGCTCTATGCTGTTTTCTAATTTTACAGGCGGCGAAACACCTTGCCCATAATCTCCCTCGCCTTTAACAAGTTGACCACGCTCATGCGCTCGTTGCTCAGGTGCGCCGAGTCGCTCGCTCGACCGCATGGCAGGTGCGCCGCCGGCGCCTCGAACTCCTTCTCCAGGAACCGAATGGCCGGGATGGAGCCGCCCTCTCTGATATAGAGGGGCCCGCGGGGTTTGGACGCCGCCTTGCCGCCCTTGGCGCTGCTGCCGGCGGCGTCGAACGAGTCCGGCCAGGCCTCGATGATGGCCTGCTCGAGGATGCGGAAGATGCTGTTGCTGGTGTCGCCGAGCCAGGGCTCGGCCTTGTTGTCTATGCTGATGCTCAGCTGGTTCTGCGACTCGAGCGTGGCAAACTGCTGCTGCAGGAACTGCGTCAGCTCCTCGGCGACCTCGTTGACCTCCTGGCCTGGCACGAGGCGCAGGCTGATGTGCGAGTTGGCGTGACTGCTGACCAGGCTGCCGTCAGGGCCGGAGACCTTGTAGCTGTGCACGGTCAGGTTGGGCTCCCGCCACCGCGCCATCAGCGACCGCTTGAGGGCTTCCTCCGAAATGTTGTCCGAACGAGTACGCTTCAGGATGGACACGATGTCATCGTATCGCGCCTCCTCTGCGGGCGTCAGTGCTGGGATCCCGCTGTAGAAGCCCCGAATCTGCACGCGGTTGCCGGTGCCCTTGAGCTTGGAGACGATGTAGGTCAGGTCCGATAGCGGCTCATTCATCATGAAGGATCCATCTACACCGGAGTGCGTGTCTGGTCGCGGCGAATCAACACAGACAGTTGCATGTAGCACGCCGCGAAGGCCATAGGTAAGGCAAGGCACCTCGTCATCGAGCCAGTAACTATTGGCCAGCAAAATATAGTCAATGTGGCCGATGCGGTCCTTGTTTTGCCGCACGGCTTCTCTAAAGCCTCGTGACCCATACTCTTCCTCGCCCTCGATCAAGAAGATGATGTCGTTCTCTAGCTGCTTTGCCTGCATCAAGTCTGTGACGGCGTATAGCGCCGCCACGACAGGACCTTTGTTGTCGCTCACACCGCGCCCATATATGTAGCCGTTGATGCCTGCAACTGTAAATGGGTCCGTTGCCCATTTGCCCGCCTCATTGTCGGCGGCCACGACATCGTAATGGCCGTAGAATAGAATACGTTTCCGCGTTTTGGCCGACTCCTGCTTGGCCGAGAACTTGGCGTACACGACAGGGTTGTGCCCCTTCTCCGTGCTGAGCATCTCAACATCGCCGCCCAGACGCTTAAACAGAGCACCCAGAAATGTCGCGCCTCTGCGACAATCTTCCCTAAATTCTGGCTTCGATGAGATGGTTTTGTAGGAAACAAAGTCTACCAAAGTAGACAGCAGATGGTCATCTCCGCCCTCCGCAGTTTCCTCGGTGGTTGTATCTGAACCATCAACTTCCCAGACGCGGATGTTGGCGTCGTTGGCTCCGGTAATGTAAAACTGCTGGTTATGGTAGTTAACCACAGCGGAAGCCAAAATCTTGCCCTGATGGGCTTTCCAGCGACCCAGGCACTGGTACTTTTGGGTGATTTTGTCTGTGGGATGTTGGTATTTTCCGTAGTGCACCGTGCTGAATTGCTAGTAATCGGTTAGCAGGTCTATCGCGTGTTGCTGATGACGATGAAGCTTACACTAGCATGGCCATCTATAGACCCGGTCCACAGAAAGCCGCAGGCCATTTGCAGAGACATAATGTCCGACTCGCCCGCCTTGATGACCCTCAACTTCTGCGCAGTATCGAGATCCCAGAGCTCAACAATGCCGTCGAGCTTTCCGGAATACAGAAATGACCCATCAATGGCCAGAGAGAGCACAGATTCCGCATCATCCGTCCCCAGCTTCATGATTTCCTCGATCGTGCCGCGATCGGGCTCGTCCTCGTCCAGGCCCTCACGGGTGCCGCGGCCGAGCGCCCAGAGCTTGATGGTGCCGTCACCGGCGCCGGAGATCAGGACGTCGTCGTCCTCGTCCACGAGCACCGTGGGGCCCTTGGCCACGAGCATGCAGTACACGTAGCCGTAGTGCGCAAAGTTGCAGATCGAGCCGCTGTCGATCTCGAGCACCGTGCTGGCCGGGGGGATCAGCGCCCAGCGGTCCTCGTTGCGGCGCGGGGTGCAGCCGCCGCCGACGGCCTTGGAGTCGAAGAAGCGGTGGTTGCGGCGGTCCGGGTGCTTCTGCGAGCCCGCGGGGACGACCGCGGCCGGGTCGCCGAGCCGCACCCACTGGATCGATGTGTTCTGCGCGCCCAGGTACAGCGTGTCGTGCTGGGGGCTGTACGCGGTGCTGAAGAGGTCGCCGACGTCGTAGGTGCCGTAGATCTCGTGCAGCCGGCGCAGCGTCCGGGCGCACCAGACGTTGACGATGGGGTCGCCCGCGCTGGAGAAGAGCAGCGCGCCGTCGGCGGACAGCGACAGCGAGAGGATGCTGCGCTTGTGGGCCTGGACGTGCAGCAGCTGGTGGAAGGTCGAGAGCGACCAGGTTATGATCTCGCCGTCCTGCGTGCCGGCGTAGATGGTGTCGTGTTCGGGGCTCGCGGCGAGGGCGAGGATGGAGCTGCCGTGCTGCAGGCTGTGGAGGAGCTTCGGCTTGTTCTCGGGTGTGCCGCAGGTACCGGACGGGGGCGGCGCGTCGAGGCACGCGGCATCGACGACGACTGCATCGGGTGTGAGCGACGGCATGCTTGGTGTGTGATTGCGAGAAGAGAGGCCAACTGCACGTTTTGCGGTGGCAAAGGGGGGGGAGGTGACAAAGGCGTGGAGTCGGCGTTTGTCCACGCCTTGGAGTAGCGATGTTTTACAAGAAAGAAAGTGATGTTTTAACAAGAAAGAAAGAAACAAGATGAAGAAAATAGGTAATCAAGGCGGTAGTGAAGTTCGTACAGCAAAAATAAAGAACAGACGGTCCAGGAGCCGATCCCGGATGGTGTGCTGGAATTGTGTCATTGCGATTTTTAGTGGGGATTGCAACTGGCCTCTTTACAGTGCCTGGGATCTGAGTCACAGCCAGCTGCGTGGTTGAAAGTCAAGAAGGCGAATTGGGAAAATAATGAAAATTTTAAAAGAAAGGATTTACTTACGTTTTTTGGGCGCTTCGCTTCGTCGAAGCAGACCCTCTGCTTTGGCAATCTTGACGCATCCATCGCAATTCGACACGGCAAGGCTCACAGCAGCACTGAGCATCGGCTCTGCATCGCTCTGCAGAATTCCAGGCGGGCTCATGATTTCCGTTTTGCTTGCTTCCCAAGGGCCAGGGAATTACGACTTGTTGGTGAGTCAATTTCTGAGAAGGGAGTGAGAGAGCGACGGGCTTTATATAGCCCCAAGTTCGGCACCAACAAAGGAATGGGATGCGCCCTGTGGCTTGCTGGCACCTGAGGTTATATATAAGACATCGGGTCCCTGCAGAAGAGCCTTGCACTGGCCTGCAGCAAGCCTGCATTTGTACACGTATTACAGGAGTGCAGCATAACACAAGCTGAGAGGAAAGATCGGTGAGGGAAGGAGAGGAGCCCCCTTATGCCCGCCTATATTTACTTATTGTGGCTGCGCCGGATGTTACTCGAGCAAGGGGAAACCTGCGTGCGCCCCTGCAAGGCCGCTGTAACACAAGCATGCTTGCGTGATCAGCACGTTATCTCAACACGAATCAGCAGCATTACTACCGAAGACTATCCTGAAAACTACAAACTAAACCAAGAAATAAAAAGGAAAGAGAATCAAGCCATCTCTGGGCAAGACTACCTAATCCAGCAGAACCTCAAAGTCAAACTCCCGGTTCGTGTACAGACAGTACTGCGGGAGCGTCCAGGGGCCGCACGACGCGCCGCCAAGGCCATGGTGCAGCCAGTCGAACCTGGCCACGCAGTCGCTCCTCCTCTTCCGGCGCAGCTCGTACGGGTGCTGCGCGGCGTCGACGTCCATGGTCGCGTAGCGCAGGGCGTTGAAGCTCGCGCCGTCCTGCGCGCCAAAGTTGGCCCGCAGGATCCGCGCGCCGCCCTCGCCGCGCAGCTCGACCTGCCGGACGTCGGTCCGGTTGCCGCCCTCCTGGGGGAACTCGTAGTCCACGAATAGGCCGTCCACGCTCGACGACCAGTTGCCGATTGACTGCGAGAGCTTCTTGTCGCGGTAGGACTCGCCGGGACCGCGTCCCCACCAGCTCGCGTCCGCGACGCCCTTGATCCCGGCCGAGATGCCGTACCGGGCAAAGGTGTCGGGGAGGTCGTTTCCGTGGGCCTTGCCGTGCACGCGCAGGTGCACAAAGTCACCGCGGAACGTGTATGTGAAGACGGTGTCGACGGCCCAGGCGAGCACGGGCGGCGCGATGCGGGCAGTCACCTCGATCTGAGCGCCGCCAGAGATGGGCATCCACTTGACCTGCCGCACATTCATGGTTGTTTGGTGAAGACGGCTGTCACTCCATCTCCGGCCATGGCCATGGCTGTCGTTGTCGGTCTGAGCTCGGTAAAAGTCCATGGTGAAGCCCTCGGTGAGCAGATTCAAGCCGGGCTGGCCCGACCTGCTCCAGCCGTTCAGGGTGCCGTGGACGAGGTCAAAGGTCCATTTCGAGGAGCCACTTGCAGAGGTTATTTGAAGCTCCTTGCCCGATGCCTTGCGAATATGCGCCTTGGCAGAGGTAAGCTGCATGGGCAGTGACTCCGCAATGGAAGCGGGCTTGGAGATTTGGATTTCGCCAAATGCCAGCTGGTGCCCTGCACTTGCCCAGTTCGTATCCTCTCGAAGTCTGAACGAGACGAAAACATAGGACTCAACGCCTAGTTTCTTGACCATCTCGGCATTGTAACCCTCCAGAGTGATGGTCGTTTCACAATGAGGCTCGGCGGCTATACCCTTGTTAGTCCATACCAAGAAATTATTGACAAGGTCAACTTACAAGCCGGGATTACCACCTCACCGACGGCAAGGTTCTTCATTCCATTCGCTCTGACTTCCCAAGTCGCTTCCAGATGCTCCAAGCCAAGGAAGTCGTATCGGTTAATAACAGTGAGGACGTTCCCCTGCAGCGAAACGGTCTGCACAGGTTCAATGGCTTTGGCATACTCGATCAAGTTGGGGCCGCGAACATGGTCCGACCACATCATGCCGTCCATGACAAAGTTCTTATCGTTGGGTTGGTCGCCAAAGTCGCCTCCATAGCCCATGTACTCCTCTCCATCCTTGCTTCGTGTGCGCAACCCCTAAACTGGTCAGTATCTGGTTGAAAAATGCGACTTGATTTAGAAACGTACGTGGTTGTTCCACTCCCATACAAAGCCACCCATGACACGGGGGTGCTTGTAAAACACATCAACATACTCTTTGGCGTTTCCGCAAGAGTTACCCATGGCATGTAAAAACTCGCAGATGACTAGTGGCTTGACCCAATCGCGCTCCTTGGCAAATTCTGCAATCCAGTCGACCCCAGAGTACATGCGGCTAAAGATGTCGACAGTTTTGGCTTGCTGGTCGCCTTCGTAGTGGACAAGGCGTGTCTGGTCGACGCTCTTGATGTAGTCGTACATGGCCTGGTGGTTTCTTCCGTAGAAGGACTCGTTGCCCAGGGACCAAATTACTACAGACGGGTGGTTCTTGTCGCGGCAAACCATCTGTCTTGCGCGGTCGACGTAGGCCTCGGTCCAGTCTGGGCTGTCGGACAGAGCGTTGTCTCTGAGCCGAAACATACCATGGCATTCGAGATCGGCCTCGTTGAGGATCCAGAGTCCGAGCTCATCAGCAACGTCGTAGAGTCTGGGGTCGTTAATTTGGTGAGAGGTGCGAATGGCATTGAGGCTGTGGCGCTTCATGGTGAGCAAGTCCTGCCGCATGAATTCGTAAGGGACAGCTCGGCCATGGTCTGGGTGGTGCTCATGTCTGTTTGTGCCGCGGAACTTGACTGGTTTGCCGTTGACGCAGAAGACGCCGTCAATCAGGCCGGCCACTCTGAACCCGACTCTCTGGGCCAGGGTGCAGCCCTGCCCGTCGAGGAAGTTGAGAACGACGGTGTACAGATACGGTGTCTCGGCGGTCCACTTGTTGGGATCCTTGACGGCCAGAGAGAACTTGTGAGAAGTGTCAACAAGCTTGGTGTCCGACACAACGGATTTCCCCGTATGGTCGAGAAGCTTCAGCTCGACGCGCGTGGCCGCGCTGGTGTCCACCTTGACGTTGAGGGCGGCATCCTTGAACTTGTCGTCTAGATCGGTAGTGACAAACACGTCCGTGGGATGGACCAGGGGAAAGGCATGGAGGTAGACGTCACGGAAGATGCCGCTCAGCCACCACTCGTCCTGGTCCTCGATGTAGCTGCCGTCGCTGCGCTGGTAGACCTCGACGGCCAGCACGTTTTCGCGGCCGAGCTCAATCAGCTTGGTAACGTCAAACTCGCTCGGGTTTCGCGCGCCCTGCGAGTAGCCGACCTCTTCGCCGTTGAGCCAGACAGTGAATGCGGAATCGACGCCTTCGAACCGAAGGCGGAGCTGGTGCTTCTCGAGGTGGTCACCGACGTGGAAACGCGTCACGTAGCGGCCGCACTCATTGTCCTCGTATGGGACGTTGGGGGGGTCGCAGGGCCAAGGATAGTCAAAGTTGGTGTAATGGGGGCCCTTTCCATAGTCCTGGAGCTGCCAATGGCCAGGGACGCTGATGTCGGAGAAGCCATAGGTATCAAAGTGCTTGCTGTGGAAGTTGCGGGGTCCCTCGAATGGCGACTTGGAAATGTGAAACTTCCAAGTACCGGAGAGACACTGGACCTTGGCCTTTGTGATGTCTCGGGTCAAGGCATCCTCTTCCTTATCGTACAGGTAGAAATGGCTTCTTGGATACAGCGTGTTGCGGTGGATGACCTTTTGATTACTCCAGTCTGGGACGCTACCCGGGAATAGGTGAGCTTCCGTCATGGTAGCGGAGGTTGAGCCGAGACGGCAATGGGGATTGAGGTTGGCAGTTTTTTGTGAGGATGAGAATCAAAACTGTGCTGAAACAATGGACATGTGCTGACTTTGAGTGGTAGATGTTGTGGATGTGTTTACAAACGGGGAACCCTAGGTTGTATTTATGTATGCTTGAAGCGATATAGCGTCGTTGGTCCGGTGGTGATGATAGGCACGGGTGACCATGCCCACATCAACCTCCCTGATTTGAAAAACAATCAAGGTTAAAATATGGATAAAAAGAATACGGGCGTCATTTGATGTTGGGTTGCAGCTGCACAATGGTTGAGGTTGTCACCAGACAAGGAGGAGGTTTGGTTCCTACCTTTGGCATCTGGGAGTGTGCTCCTTGGAAATACACTGGGCGAAAGGCGGCGGGGGATTTAGCGGGGACGGGGAAGCGATCACGGGGCCTTGGTGCAGGGGATAGATATAGGGTGCAGGCTCTAGAGGAGAAGGAACGTGCATGTTCTCTATATTCGGTATTGAGCATACGAAACACTATTTTAGGTGAAGTATTAACATGAAAAAAGATTACTACGAGACCTTTGTATTGATAAAGTCATTGCAAGTCGGTCGGAATACATGTACCTGGTGCGAAAGAGCGACCTCTTGCTGTCTGTCTTATCCCGCTGGCGCTAGCGCTGCGGACCAGGGCTTTAGTGGATGGCTGGTGGATGCTTCCTTCCCCGCCACAACGCTCGCCTACCTATGTATGTACTGTATGTACTGTATGTACTGTATGTATGTACATAGTATGTATGTACAAGACTCCCCGCAGCCACTGTAGATCCGCTAGAAGCTCCCCCTCTCGGCTCCCCGCACTCACCCGTCGGGAACAAGCAGCCGACAACTCCCTCCCCACCCGCCTACAGAACGGAACGTCTATGAACATGCATGCATAATTGATTATAGATTTTCTTACATATATGGAATGCTGTCAGCTGCGTGATTGGACGGGGTCAGATGCTCTCTAGCCTTGTTTCTTGTGTATGCCAATATGTAGCCGCTCGCCTCTGAACCCCCCCCCCCACACAGTGACGGATGCCACCTGCACAGCCTTTGCCGGCCGCGCAACTTCAACTTCCCTTTGAAACTTGCCAAGACTTCAAAGCCATCTTGAACTTCCATCTTTGGCACCGCTGAAAAGGGAAAAGAGACTCTGCTCATGACCAATGTTCACGCGGTGCCGTCACGCTCTGTCCACCCTCGTACTTGACCACTATATTTGCTGCAGGCTACGGGGTCCAGAAGCTACACAGCATACCGTATGATCAATATTTATACAAAATTCTGATGAAACTCATCAAGGTAATAAAATATCGGTCGTTATACACCTTGCGTGCAAGGGACAGGTCACCATTCACAACCTTGGCCCATACTAAGTGGTGCCATTCGCAAGGGTTGGCTGAGTAGAGGCCGGCTCCTCCTCGCCTTGTTGCTGCTCTTGAAAGTGCCTATAACGGCTCTCTCTTATACTAAAGACGATGCAAATGGTGATGATCTGGATCGCCGCCTCGAAAAAGAACGGCAGGCCGACCCAGTCCCCGCCAAGGCTCATGCCGACGCGGAGGAGCGACGAGATGATCGGACCGGCGACTATGGCGCCTAGGTTGTTCATAAAGACGACCGCCATGTAGAGGGAGCCGGTCCGGTCCGACTGGATGCTGTCGACGCCCGCCATGGCGGCGATGGTGCTGATGATGGCGGGCATGTAGCAGCTCTCCGTCATGTAGAAGACGAGCGCGGCGATGAATTGCCCGGACGTCCGTGCCAGGCCCACGAAGAGGCTACCCAGGGCGAGTGAGAGGATGCCGGCCCGGGCGATGACGAGATCCTTGCCCATGGCGGAGCGCGTTTTGAGCAGTTTCCGGCTGGCAAGGGGGACGAGAAGGACCATGACGATGAGCGTGGTGGTGGAAGTGACGGAGACCATCAAGCCAGCCTAGCACCCAGCGAGGAAATGTTAAAATCATCACAGAAAATGGCGTTCGTGGCTGTACTGGATTACTGTTTTGAACTCACCTTGGCCCAAGACCAGCCATACCTGTGCGTCGCATATTGCTGCCGAATGCCCGACTGCCTGATGCCAATGGTGGAAATCACGAGGCTGACGAGTAAAAGCCCGAGCTGGCGGTTCTGGCTGAACAGCTTGCCAAAGCCCATGACGCCCTCCCTGGTGCCGCCAAGGCCGCCGACGATGGCTTGCCATGCGGACGCCTCGCTATCGGCCGGCTTCACGGGCACGCCCGAGGCCAGGCCGCGCGGCAGGGTGAACGCCAAGGCAAGCTCCGCGGAGAATATGACGCAGCCGAGAGACTGCGCGAAGACGGGACCGATGCTCATGGCCCAGTAGACGAGGAAGCCGCCGAGAAGCAAGCTGAAGGTGGTGATGGAGGTCATGTAGAAGAAGATTTCGGCTCTGCAATGCAAATTGTCAGCAAGGCTCGGACAAGACACTATTTGGTAAGGCAGGTAGAAGTTCAAACCTATTGTTCTTGGTGGCAATCATGTTGCTGACGGTGTAGAGGACGGCTTGCCAGCCGATATTCCCACCACCGACCACCGAGCCGAGAAAGACACAGCCCCAGACCCAACGCAGGTCAAACACTGTCGGATACTGCGCTTTTCACATCACCCTTCCGTCAGCACGCACCCGCTTCCACCTAGGAAAATCTTCCGTGTTCACTCACTGACGACCAGGTACAGCGTCTGGGTGATGACGCCCCCCAGCGCCACCAGGATCATCATCGCCCGCGGGCCGTACCTGTCCATGAAGACGCCGTAGGGAATCGCCAGCAGCAATCCCGGCGCCAGCGACCACGAGTACTCCCACCCCGCGATCAGCGCCAGCCGGTCCTGCACGTCCAGCGCCTTGCAGACCGGGTCCGCGTAGGGGTCCGTCACGGATCCGGGGTGCAGCTGCAGGCACGCGGCGCCCTCGACGAGCTGGTTGCCGGCCGTGTCCACGAGGATGGAGCTCAGGCTGGAGGCGAGCAGGATGAGCAGCGAGGAGACGATGAGCGGCGGGCGGCGGCGACGGGGTGAGGGCGGCAGGTCGGGGATGATGGAGGAGGGGGAGGGGTTGCTGGGGTGAAGCAGCGGCTGCTGCTCCTCGCTCCGGTCGCCGTCAGAGGCCATTCTCGTGCGTGGAAGGAGGGCAAGGAGGGCGAGATGAACTGGTGTGTTGGTTGGTTGGGCCAAGTTGGGTGCGACGGGAAATTATAGCGCAGGCCAGGCTCTTTACAGGGAGGGGGCTTCCAGCGGCCTGGTAACCTGCAGAGCGACCTCCGGAGCTGCTGACTTGGGTTTGACTTTTGGAACGAAATATTACAGGTATTACATAATAAATGTGGGATTTTCTAATTTATAAAATCAATTTCAGATTTGTGGAATAATCTATTCAGAGGTAAGTATTCTGTGTCTCTTTGATCTTTTTGATCTCTGTGGTCTCTGCGATCTCTGTGATCTCTGTAGTTGGCTGTCTATCGCATGCTATCATGCTTTGCAGTTAAATAGAATATATATGGGATCGACTTTAAATGTGAGCAACCGTGTACATCCCAATGCTCAAATAGATTAAATCGCCGCCATCAATCATTACTGTCGCTGCCATCAATATCCGCAGCTGGGCCCTTACAACGGCCGGTACACCTCTCCCCTCCCACCATCCATACTCAACACTACATCCGCATCCGCAAGCAACGCCTGTCGGTGACTGATGACCACCTTCGTGCACCCTGCAAAGGCCTCCTTCATCAGGTGAAACATGCGCGCCTCCGTCTCCTCGTCCATGCTGGCCGTCACTTCGTCGATCAGGACCAGCCTCGACCTCGTCACCTGTCTGTGCAGCATGGCGCGCGCGAGCTGAAAAAGCTGCTTCTGCCCGACCGAGAACTTCATGGCGCGCATCGACGCCTCGAGGCCGCCGTGTCCGACGACGTGGTCCCAGAGCCCGACGCGCCGCAGGATCCCGGCCAGCGTGTCGTCGGTGGGAAAGTTTCCCGGACGCGACGAGAACTCTAGAGGGTCCATGTTGAACCGGACGGATGCACGCAGCTCGAGACCATCTTGCGTAATGGTGGTGATGTGGTTCCGAAGTGCACTGCGAGGGATGCTTCGCACTTCTCGGCCGTCAATGCGGATGCTGCCGGTATACTCGAGCAAGTGAAGCAAGGCCAGCATCACAGATGTTTTGCCGCTTCCAGTTCGACCTACCAGTCCAACCGTTTGACCGGGCTTGATGCTCACGGTGATATTTTCAAGGGCAACGTGCGGCTTCTCGGTATCCGCCTTGTACACGGCGCCGACACAGTTCAAGTCGAGCCTACCCGATGAGGGCCACTGCTCTGGCACCTCCTCAACGCCTTCATCCCTCTCCTTGGGTGTTGTTCCAGCAAAGTCCCTGATACGAGCAACCGCGCCAAAGGTATTTTCCATGGCGACAAAGAAACGAATTGTCTGGGCAGTAAAGTCGCTAAAGGAGATCAGACCCAGCAGAGCCAGGCCCATTGCCGTGGCCGACGTTGACTTTTTGAAGTTGAGCGCCAGGCTGACGACACAAACAGCCGCCGTAGCCGTAACAAAGTCCATGGCAGATGTAAGCCACTGCTGAATGGCATACAGGAAATACACAGGCTTCTGTGCCTCATCCAGCATGAGGTAGAATTGCCCGACGAAGTCTTCTTCCAGCTGAAGGGCACGGATGTGCTCAACACCGGTTGCGCTCTCGGTCGAGTGCCGCACGAGGTTTTTGGAGCTATCGAGCTCGAGAATTCTAAGTTGTCGAGAAGTGCGCAAGTAAAAGTGCTGGATCAAGAACAAGACTAGAAGGAAGAATGGGATGATGGGGGCGGCGTAGGTAGCCCCGGAAGAAATTATGCTCACATCAATGAACATGGACACGAACCCCCAGACAGTCGGCATTATAGCCATGGGCAGTTCTTGAGTCGCCATGGAAATGTCCTGGCTGAACCTGTTGAGCAAAGCACCGGCATCTTGCTCAGCCAGGAACTCAAAGGTGGCTCCGTTGGTAGAATCCAGAAGAACCCAGTGCAATGAGGGCGCCGACTTGAGGTTGACCAAGTGGAAGAACGCAAAGGCCGCCAGGAAGGACAAGACGGGCGCAACAAGGCCCAGCCCGGCATAGCCAATGTAGTACAAAAGATTATCAGCGTCGCGATCGAGCCACAGGCGCGCATAAATCTGCGGCATCCTCTCGGAAACAGCCGCAATACCGACGGCCACCAGCCAGACCAAGACGCACCAGAAACCGGCTGGTCTGAGGAAGTACTTGTACAGCGTAAAGTCTCCAGAGTTCCTCCTCGAAAGGTTGTCGCGCGCGGAGCTGCTGCTCGCTGCAGGCTTGACTTCGGGGGGCTCAGAGTCCGTCTTGGCTGGGTTTACAGTAGAGCCGCCATCACTGTTGCTTTCGCTGGTCGACCGCTTCAAGTGCGCTCGTGACTGTGGCTCTGCCTCGGACTGGATTTGCTCCAAGGTTCTCTGTTCCACCCGTCCGCGACCCTCCATTCTGTAAATCGTATCTGCATCGACGAGATGCTGTCTCATGCTGGTCGTCATGACGATTGTGGTCATGTTGTTTGCCAGGTAGTCGCTCTCGGAGAAGAGACGGTAGCGAATGGTAGACGACGTTTGGCTGTCTAGAGCGCTGAAAGGGTCATCCAAAATGAGCAGCTCTGCCTGACTGTACAGGGCCCGCGCAAGAGAAATCCTCTGCTTCTGTCCTCCGCTCAGGTTGCTGCCTTCACTACCGCATAGTGTTTGTTCGCGGGCTGATAGGCGAGCTAGATCGTCATTCAAGTCGCAAATATATAAGACCTGTCGATACAGTGTCGCATTATATGGTCGGCCACACAGAATACTGTTTTGGATGGTCATATTCTGTATCCAAGGTACCTGGGCACAGTACGCGATGGAGAGCGACGCGAGTGTTACCTCGCCACATCGAATGGGAGCCTCACCTAGCAGAGTCCTGAGGAGAGTCGACTTGCCGCAGCCGACGGGGCCACAGACCATTGCAACGGTGCCGAAAGAGACATCGAGGGAGACGTCGTCGAGGATAGAGCCTGATGATTCCGTGGCAACTGAAACACGGACCATCTGGAGGGCAAATGGCACAACAGTAGCTGGAACTCTCCGACGACTACGCAGGTTCGATGAGGCCTGCGAGACGGCGCCAGGCAACGGGCTGTTGTCGGTGACCCCCGAAGTCGGCATGGCAAACTGCCGAGTATCCTCCGTTTCTGTCATATTGAGGTACTTTTGTATGCGCGCGAGGCAAGCAAAGCCGGTCGACCATTCGCCGAAACTGTGGACAAATGAGGAGAGAGGATTGGAGATGAGCGTGACAACAGCAAGTGTTGTGAAGAAGCGGGAGACCGAGATGGGCTCGCCCGCTCTTGTCCAGAAGATGGTACCGGCGACAACAAGAACAGGCGTCATGGACTGCGCGAAATCGGAAATTCCGAAAATCGCAGCGAATTGTTGGCGAGTGGCCATGGATACCTTGACCTCGTTTTCGAACTGTTTCTGGAGGCGATCGGCCAAAACGGAATTCAGGCCCAGCATTTTGATATCCTTTATTTGGGCCAGGATGTTTGACGTCTCCGCGACTCGGTCCTGCATATGCTCGTTCCAGTTCTTGCGGGTTGTCATCATGCGACGCGCAACGTGCGCAGAGGCAACACTGGTGATGACGGTGGGAATGATGGTAAAGAGGGTGGCAGCGCCGACAAAAGCAGCCAATATCCCGATACCGAGACCCATCTCGAGTACTCGCGCCCAACTCTCGTATGAGAGCGAAATCAGCTGTCCTACACCAGCAACATCTGCGGTCATGAGAGTGATGGCGGCGGAATCGGCCAGCTCGTCGGCAGGCAGGGTGAGCGACTTGTGATAGATGGCCGAGATGAGAATACCCCTGACGCTGACCATGATTTGGTTTCGCAGGTGAATGTACCAGGATTTGGAGACGGCTTTGCCCACGTAAATGGCTGTCGTGGCGAGGATGAGTCCCCGTACAATATCGATGGGCGTTTCCGAGTCGGACGCAACGGTGGTGACGACATCCTGCAACAGGAATGGCTGTGCAAAGTTAAAGCCGATGAAGAGTAGCCGTGGTAGGATAATGTACAAGAATGGCCAGGGCACGGTGCCAATGCAGGCTTTGACGAGGGCGAATTTGGATACCGTATTGTTAGTCTTGTCCCAGCGGCGTCGAAAGTTTCTGTAGAGTGATCCTGCTTCGAGATGCGGCCCGACGCCTGGAAGAAGGTCCATTGTGATCTCCCGACGGAAGCCAAACGTGAGGAGGGGGTTGACCCAGAACAGCAAAGACCTGTTCCAAAAACCAGCAAAGGCCTCCTGACCCAAAGATGATCGCAGGGCTTCGGGACGGATCAACGATCGCTTGGAGACTTCCTCGAGGCAGATAAGAAGAAGCTTCAGAACAGGGAGAGGGACGTGGAGTCGGGCAATTGTTTCGAGGCTACTTCGATGGAAATATGTCCACGTAGTACAGACATCAAAGATGGCAGTCACAGTCAAAGCCAAGCCAAGGAAGGACGGGGGTCGGAGAAAGAAGCGGTGGCCAACAACAACCATGGTGGCCATGCATACAGTGCTGATACAGGCAATAATCGCGGCAGCCTGGGCGACCTGAGACTCCAGAGAGGGTGACGGCCAAAGAACGGCGTTGGCAACCTGTAGGGCCACCAAGGCGATGGCAGCCGCAAGCTTGATCCATAGCAAGTAGCCAGATCGAACTATGGCGGTGGCGTTGACGAGCGTGTAGATGTATAAAGGCGTCGCGAAGATGACGATGGACCCCGGCAGGATATGGAGCATAGTATGCTCAAAGAGCAGGGTAAAGTCAAAGTGGCCAAGAAGCCGGGGACCGAAAGAGTCGTCGTCCATGGCGGCGCATAACGGCAGCAAAGGTGAGGGAGACCTTGACTTGGAAGGTTCTGAGATAGTAGGAGAGGGGACAAGGGAGGAGGAGGAGGACCAGGTGGTAGAGATAGATGGTCAGTCAGGAGTAGATTGGCGAGGGAAACGAATAACAAGCGCGCGTGCTCCTGCCATCGGAACGGGAAACGAGCAATAGGCGGCCTGAGCCGGTGGATCAAGGATCATTTAGATGAAAGTCGTTGGCAAGCAATACAAGGCTGCAAGGCTTGCTTGTAACTAATGAATGGATGGATGGATGGATAGGCAGTGCAGGAGGGGGGGGCATGCCTTTGAGTGAGAGAGCCCTCAACTGTCACCTTCCCGGTTGGGGGCTGACAGCCGCATCTACCATCTAGTATATGTAAAACTAACGATTAGGTTGATTTTGACAAACAAATAATCGGGGTTACTTATCGCTGGATTTTGGCGGGAATTTCCTGCATCCGAAAAACCATGCAGGCCCCCCCCCCCTCCGGGCGACGCGACGAACGGGTGGAGGAGTGAGGACGGGGAAGCCGGCCCGCGTCTAACTAACTTGACACGAAGCAAGCTAGATCCAAGCAGCAAGTCGGTGTGGTTCTGCTTGTCAAACGGACAAAGAAAGTATTCCCAAGTCTCTTGCTAGGGATTACAGTGGCTGGGACTGCCCACTTCAGCATCCCCCCCCCCTCCGTTCCATCCTGCATGCACTGCAATCCTGGGTGAAAAAGTCTCGGCAAGCCATTCAGTCACAATGTCGTGTTCTTCGACGTTGCAGAACAATGGATAGATTGATTCACCGTTTCAACATGGCGGATCCAGCGAAATACATATGTGAATAATAGCAAAAGTACCAGCAACTTTAGAAATGCAAAGCCATACTTTGTAACAACACCACTGGAATGGTTGGCGGCGAGTCTAGCTACATAGTCTAGTACAGTCATGAAAGATTTTGGAGAGTCAAGCTATGGTGATGCACTCATTCATCACTCCCCCAGCACAGCCTTGCGCGTCGTGTAGTCTTCACTGCTGGCATAGACAAGGTTCGCCAGACCCCCAGCGTGTCCCGACATTCTGCTGCGCATGAGCATGTTGTAGTCGTATCCTTCTGCTGCCGTTGATGGAACTGTAATGAAATTGTCAGTGAAGCCAGAACTCCGGTATCATCCTGGAATACAGGGCAACCAACGAGGCGCTCCTGCCACCGTGGCGACGGCCGAGGCAAGATATACGGCGCAACGAATGAAGTGCATGCTGAGGCTGTGTTCTGCTATTGCAGGGTTGCAGGGCTTGTGAAAGATTATGATGCTGATGACGACTCTGCGATCTTATGAGCGATGCGAGCTAGGTGAGATGGAGCAGATGTATAGTGACAAGGGAGAGCTACGAAAGTTAAATCTTGACACTGGACCTTGCGACATTGAACTCCCCGACACTAGAAGACTGTTCGGTCCGCTGACTCGAGGCAACCTTTGGTCCGGCCGGCCGACGTGGCATAATAGCGTGAGACCGGTCTTTCCAACCCTCCTCATGGCGGCCGGCCGGTATCTTAACTTGACCTGTCAGGACAAACCGCCTCTCCTTCATACCTTGCTTGGTCGGCTGCGTTTTTCGGTGCAAATTTTGCACCACATGTCGCTGCTCCTTGGCCTAGAGGCCGTACCGACGTGTCCCCTGCTGTGTAACTTCCTCGTCGGGCAGGTCTTTGTCTACGGTGCGTATTATTACGTAGTTGTAACCGGTAAGTTTTGATACTGTAAGCGCTAGAAATTAGGTGCTCCGTACGAAAGAGCATCCCCCCCCCCCCTTCCCAATAAAACGCCATTCGCCAAGCCCGCCGCTACTTTTTCTATAGTTGCAGTGTTTATTCCTGTCGTCACGCCATGTATGGATACATGCTGGAACCTTTGGGCGTCTGTGCGGCGAATTTGCCTCACGTACTGTACATGCTGTACTCCGTATGGAGATATATATTCATAGTGCATTTACCCTTGTAATATGTGGCACTGTGCTAACTGAAACTGGTTGCCCTGGTCCCTTGGCTGGTATCCGTCCACCGTTCGTGGCAAGCAAGGGCCTTTTGTCCTTTGTCCGCTTGACAGCTTGACACTTGCGGAGGCTTCCCCCAGACGCTTTTCTGGTTGGTCCAGGGCCCTTCAGGTGACGCTGGTCGCGCTCCGAGACCCCAATCAGACCCCCTGCCCTGTTTCGGAGCTCGCTGGAGGTTGCCGAGGGCCTTTGCAGGGGATGTTGCCGTGGCTCCTGATCACCGTGACTAACTTGCACCCTACTGTCCAAAACACCATGTCCATCGGTCGATTATTTCCAACAATGCTATCCCTATGTCCGCATGTCTTGCCCACGCGCGCCAGCTTCTTCCCTCTGCAGCTACAGAGTAACAGCAGCTCGCAACACCCCGCATCAGCGACACAGCGTTCCGCAAGCCATGGTTGCCAAGCACCAGCCTCATAATAGTAGTTTCTAGCATCAAGCCTAACGCAAGGACGGAGGGTCTGGGGGCCTCGTCGTTATGGCGATTTGTTGCCTTGTATTTAGCGCCATTACCGATACAATCGGGCGAGTTCCTAGTTGGAGCCTGGTCCATGAGAGCAGACCTGTTTTCTTATCATCTACCACCCTTCTCGCCGACGAGGGGGAAACTATCTACTCTCAGGCTGAAGAATAGCTATTGAACATCCCTACACTAGCCGCCCATGATCCACGGGGTCACACTGACAATCCTTGCAGGGTTTGCAACGGTGAATGGAGTTATTATTAGTGAGGGCCACTGTGAGAAGCCACGCCTTCACCTGGACCAGCATACGATAGTTACTAGGAATGTCACTGACGTCCTACTCCCTTTGTGCTGTGCTTGTGTACCACACCAATGTCAAATAACAAGCAGATTTGCTGTTTCGGAATTTGTAGTACTGACATTGCGTTGGATATCGCAATAAAGGGATTAGTAGAAACAGTAATAATTGAATATAGTAATTATAGTAAATAGTTCTCACCAATCGAGTCGAGGCTCGACAACCTCCATCTTGAAGCTGCTCGTAGGGCTACATGGTTGAGCTGTTGCTGAAGACCTGCTCGAAGGCAAAAAAAAAAAAGACAAGAAAAGCAAAGCAATTAAATAAGATTAAATTACATCGGATTTAAGCAGCCCATGCTTTGAATAATCTCGTCATTGGGTTGCTTGTGTGTTGGCTATGTATGAATGCGTCAGCGCTTATTCTTCACGTTGCACACATCATGAGACACGTATATCTCAAGACTTACAGGGTATGTTTCGAGCTGTCGTTACCCAATGACGGTATTCAGTGTAATTTTGAGCATCAGATAATGACGCGTGTGGCTCGTTCTTGAAACAAGGCAACATGTAGATGAAAGAAAATGACGTCTGCGTGGTTAATCGACTTCCAAAATGATTTAAAAGCCCATCTCACCCTTGTCTCTTGGGGCTCTCAAAACTTCTTGACCATTGTATAATCATCAAATAATTCGATTCACCTTTACAATCCAATGAGCCAACCAACAACCGGCGTCGATACCGAAGGCTTCTACGACTCCGACGACTTCGACATCGACGACATTTCCGACCATCTCTACGAGTGGGCAATAAATACCAGAGAATTCAAAGCCTTCACAAACTGGGATGATAAGGGCAAGACGCGTCTACTCAGCATCGATGGACCCCTCGGATACCGTGAAACGATGCGTGAATGGGCCGCCGGCTGTCTGATGGCAGCAAGCACGGGCAAAACGGCGAGACCTGTGTATGTCGCTAGTTACTTCGACGATTACACCGCAAAAAATGCAGTGAACATTGCACCGCTCGTCAAGGGGTTGATCGAGAGCATTGTTCAAGAACAGCCCGATCTCCAAGACCACTGGGGTCACAAGAACGACGAGAAACGCCCTCAGGATGTTGATTCTTTATCGCAAATACTACACAACATGACCCAAGACCAGCGCTTTGTCTCTACCTACTTTATAGTTAACGATGTTGAAGCAATTATAGCACATCGTGATTCTGGACTACTGTTTGAACCGGGCATAGACCCTCTCAAACCTCTCGTCAGGACTCGAAAGCTAACTGAGCTCCAACGCCTCATCAACAAATCCTTGAAAAACTCGCAGAATGTGAAGTGGCTACTCTCATCATGCTTCATGCCGAGGGAAATGACCAGGGAAATCGAGCTACACATCCTAAAAGATGGCCAACAACATTTGAAACTTGATCTACCCAACGATCCGAATGGGCAGTGGTCAGGCCTCACACGCAAGTACGGGTCCCTCAAGATCAGGGAATCGTGCGAAAGGCTACAATACAACCTCAGTGTTTCCGAACAAGAAGAACTGGAAAGCCAGCTCGAACTCCCTACATGCTACTTCCGTGCCATTGACATTGCATTGGCTGTCGCGAGTCACCGCAGTTCAAAAGAACGCTTCGTCTCATCGCTCAAATACCTCCTCTCAAGCAAGAGTTCCATCTATGGAATAGTTCAAAAGAGTTTCAGCCTTCTCGGAGATCTATACCCCGACGAGAAGGACATGATTTTTGCCATTATCAACGCCGTGTTTTCCGCTGCGCGGCCGGTCCCTTTGGGTGACCTGGCCGCCATGACTGCGTGGCCGTATGAGGAGGCCATCTTGCCCAGTTATATCAAACTACATTTGCCCGTTTTGTTGCAGATTCGCGATGACGGTGTCTGGGTCAAGCACGTCAACATTCTTGCGCCAGGCTTCGGCAAATACCTACCTCTCTTCGCGTGCTCTTGCTTAAGCGCCACTTTCAGGCTCCTGAACTGCGACTACAGTGAACCAGGCGACTGGAAAAAGAATTACAGCAACTACAACCCACGAATTGGCCTGGCGACGATTATTTGGATAGATTTTCTGGCTGAACTCAACTGCGGCGATACGGACTCGTTTTACCTCGCAAAACAGTTACTCACAGGCAGGCACAGTCTAATTGCCTGGCTCAGGGAGTTGAACAACAGAGCATTGATGGCAGACGCGTTCCGAGCGATAACCCAATTCAATAACAAGATGGATGGTCAAGTGAGTATCCCCGGAATGACTTGCGCTGCACCGCAAGTTTGCCAAATACATTTGCTGACTTGTTTTTCGTGTTAGGTCCCAGATAAATCCGTTGGCGACATCATGAAGGAGCTCGCAACTTTCACGTCCTGGTTCTTACACAGATCACCCTCAGAAGAGTTTCAAAATAATCTACGAGAGGAGCTGCTGGTCGCGGAGGACCTGCCTTTGCTGAGACAAATGCTACTCCCAGGCATGTTCCCAATGCTCCGGAATGCTCCATTGATCCAGGGAACTTCGGACCCGTGCCTACACTTGCTCATCCGTACCTCCTCGGTTCAGGGTATCTGCTTCTCTCCCGACGGTGGAACCTTTGCAACCGCTTCAGATGATGGCTACGTGCGCGTCTGGAATACCAGAACGGGCAATATGCTCTATCTGCTCCAAGCTTTCCATGGCCCTGCTCTTGGTGTTGTCATTCATGGTGTTCTCGCCGCGTTCGACCGTCGCAGCATTAAGGTGTGGAACTTGATACAAAAAAGTCTCCGCAAAACATTTGCCCTTCCAGAGAACATGGTGGCAATAGACAGTCAAGGCTTTCGCAGCATAGCTATATCGAAGTCGGGTCATGAGCTAGCCGCTGCTGTGGGCGACAAGATAGCAATCTGGCAAATCCATGGCAATGCCAACTCCCCCAGAGTTGTATGTTGCGGCGGCGGTCAGTTGGTGACGAGGGTCCTATACTCCATAACTGGCGGCAGACTTTATGCCGCCGCAGAGATTCCCGGCCTTCCTATCTGTAAGGATCCCGAAATAGTCACCCGGAACGTCGTCGGTGAGGACATCGCCCCGAGCGATTCACCTGGGGAGTCGGAAGGCCCAATTAACAAGAGAGGCCATGAAGTTGGGGAGAGTTCTCAAAGCTCTAAGCGTCAAATGATCACAAGCACGGAATACAAGGCCTGCGAAGAAACGGAACACGTAACCCTTGAAGGTACAGAAAGCAAAGCATGCTACGCTACCTGCGCTGTCACTGTGGTTTTGCCACGTCCCAGGGACAGCGAAGAGCCCAACACACCTTCGCCCAACTCCAAGGACGAGATCAGCGCTATCTCACCAGACTCCAGGTTTCTTGTGAGAAGTTCAGACCATAAGACCGCTCGCGTTTATGACGTGGCTACGCATCAAATGCTGGCTTTTCTACCGCAGCACAGCGAGACGAGCATCACGGATCTTTCCTTCTCCCACGACGGTAGCTGGATTGCCGCAGGATTAACGAACGGTACCATTGCACTGTGGGTGTGGCCAATGTCCTCAGGAGGATGGAAGGACGGATACAAGGTCGGAGAAGCTCCATTTAAGCCAGCCTATCTCCTTGGCAAGCACGACGGTGTTATTCTGTCCGTCTCATTCACGTCAGGTGGGGAGAGAAACCTTTTGGCATCCACCTCTGCTGATGGAACCATGCGTATCTGGGATATGCAAAAGGTCAGGCGAATGATGGCCGCGGGGCAGCCGCCAGACGTTGAGCTCTTTCCCAACGCCGACGCCAAGATTCGCCTCGTGGCAATCTCTCAAAACGGGCGAATGGTTGCGTCGGCAACATATGGCGGAGACGTGTCCCTCTGGGACATTGAGACCGGCTTGCGGAGATGTTCCGAGAAAAATGTCATCGACAAACCGGTTTTCATGAAATTCTCACCAAACAACAAGCTACTAGTAGCACGATCGTCTAACGGCACAGCCATCGTGTGGGCAGTTGCGGTTGCCAAACACACGATGACAATAGAACCGAGATTCACCCTAAAGCACGACCTTGCCTTGGGGGCATCAACAGTTCAGGCTCCTGGTGTCCGGTTCGATCCTCAGGGGAAACTGTTGGCGATGGGGAGTGAAAACAACAAGGTGCATGTGTTTGACGTTTCCAATGCCGAACCCAAAACCGGTTGCGGACATGTTACCAAGTCGCCGAGCTATACCTTTGGAGGCGGCAATGGCCACGTCCGTGGAGTGGCCTTCTCGCCAGACTCCAAACTCCTGGCATCCTGTGGCCAGGACCGCCAGGGCGACGTCAAAGAAGGCAGCGTCAAGATTTGGGAACTGGGTTCAAGTTCGCGAGTGTTGCGCTCAAGTACGCGAGTGTTGCGACCTCTTCACAGATTGACCTCCCAAAAGCAATTTTGCGCCGATGAGCCTTGTCCCGATTATGTTGACGTCGAATTCACGGCGACCGGAGACAAGATAATCTCTGTCGACGCCGGGGGGCGCGCGGCTATTTGGACACCACCCAACGAAACTGGTGGGCAGTATCAGTACCATGTCGTCAACCGAATAATGAGGACAAAACTGATCCGATCGATCCGGATCGATCCGAGATTTCCAAGCTATCTGCTTACAGAGTATGGTGCTCAGAAGTGGCAATTCAGCGGTGAGCAGTCCGGGCGCGAGGATGCGGCTCTCCTTTCCAAGTGGCTTCCGCTCGACATCGACATGGAGCGCGGTCGCATCTTGTGGAAGGGAGACCGCATTCGCTGTGTACAGGCTTCAGATCCGTTGCGTCCTAGTGGTGATATTTATTTGCCGCTCAATCTAACAAGTCCCAGTCCGTTCTCATGGTGGGTTCACGAGAACATGGTCGTGGTAGGATGGGCAAATGGACACGTTTCGGTGTTTAAATTTGGTCAGCCACATCCGTCTGAGCTTTCCTAATTTTCTCCTTTTCTCCTTTCCTTTCTTTTTCTCAACACTTTCTGTTTTCTTTGTCTTCTTCTCCTCCTTTGTTCTCTTTCGTTTGTGTATTTTCCTGCAGTCGATGCAAGTTTGTACGTATGCGCTTGTTACGCTCTCAGTATACGCTTATCGACACGACTGAATAAAAACAATGTGGTCCTAGAAATTTCTATTCCACCTCCTACAATGTTTTGGTATATGCGAAATAGTTCCCACACGGCTGTCATGGGCCTCTAAATCCCACGGCTGTGAATAAGAGCTGGCGCGGTATCGCAAGCAGTCAGTTGTGAGTCAAGCATTGGGACGAAATGAGTAACCAACAAAGCCTATTGCGGCGCTGGATATCGAACGTCCTTTTCCTTTAGCAATCTACAACAAGATCAAGTGAACAAATGAACTGCTCGCAATAACAGCTCAACGTCCTGTTAACCATGTCCACCTCACTCCACTACTTGTACTCGAATGAGCGGCCAGATACGCGGGCCGGGACTGTCTTGTTCGAAACCAGCCGGCTTATTATTCGGCGCTTCCAAATGGCCGATGCCGCAAGCCTCGCCGCCGCAATGAACCACAAAGAGGTAGTCGCCCAGTTGAGCGACCGCTTTCAGTATCCATACACGGTCTCCGATGCCGAGGCCGCCATCTCACAGTCCTTTCCGTCCGAGCAGGACGACGAGTGCACCGCGGCCTACCCTAGATCCGTCGCGGTGTGTATCAAGCCAGGCACGGTCGACAACGCGTCCTCCGAGCCACGACTGATCGGGAGCATGGTCGCGCATGCGGGGAAGGACATGGCGTACCGGACATGGTCGCTGGGGTACGCACTGACGCCGGATGTTTGGGGTCGAGGTTATGCCGCCGAAGCTGTGACGGCCTTCCGAGACTGGCTGTTTGCTACGTGGCCGCGGCTGGCGAGGCTGGAGGCGAGCGTCTTTTCCACGAACCCCGCGAGCGCGAGGGTGCTTCTGAAGGCTGGATTTGATGAGGAAGGGATCCGGAGGGATAGTTTGGAGAAGAATGGTGTTTTGCTTGATGCTCGCCAGTTTGCCGTGCTGAGATGCGGGCGCCGAGTATAACTCGCGCGACGAAACGACGGGCTGCAAATGGTAGCCTGGTAGGGCAAGTGCCAGCAGTTGAGTTAAGATGGAAATAAAATTAGTAAAATAAAGAACAATTAGGTATTTAAAAAGTATGAAATAGACCATGTGCTGAATTCCGTGGTTGGTGCATTGCTTCATCGCCGGTTTGGGTTTCCCCGCCACCTACTTTTCTTCTTCGCCTCCAGCCTGCCTGGTCTTGTCTCGCTCACTGCCTGCCTGTCTGCCAACGCCTGCCTCCAGTCATTTACTAACTAACACTTATTTAGTAACTGCAGTTGGCCAAGCTCTTTTCTACTTCCTCTCTTCCATTCCACCGCCTCCTCTTCACAATAACCTGTCATCAACTTAATCACCAACATAATATTAATAACACACCTCATACGCCCTCGACGCTCACGACAGTACTTTTCTTAACCACACCACAAACTGCCCGACATTGACTCTGCCCTGTGTCGAGTCCTTGCCGCCATGATGGACGACCAGTTTGGCGGCCGCACCGATGACGATCTGTTCTTTGACGACGACTTCGAACCAGTCGATGGCGTAGCCACCATTGTACACCAAGACGTGCCCGTCGAGATATCTTCGCGCTACATTACACATTCCGACTTGGTACCCCATCCCGCAGATATCGAGTCCGCCCTGGCGCCTCTAGCCGCCGCCGCGGCAGCAGCAACCAAAAAAAAAGCGCGCCGACGTCGCAAGGACAAGTCCCCCAAGCAGCCTCCGCCTCCGCCGCCGCCGCGGGGCGGTCTCGCCCAGTCCAGATTCGCAGACAAGCCGACAGAAAAGCCGCCGCAGGTCCAACAACCACAGTCACGCTCAGAACCGCCATCACCCAACCCGACCCCGGCGACCGCGAGCCACGACCAGACGAGCGGCGACGTCAGCTCCAGCACCCCCGCAGCGAACCCCCCCACCGCCACCGGCGCCCACAGAGAACGGCGAAACAATAATGGCAGGAACCAGGGAAAACCAGCCGAGTCGCCGTCCGCCACCGTCGCCGCCTCCACCGATGCGCGTGCGCAGTCTGGTGCGAACCCGCGCCAGAAGCTGACCGAAGAGGAGCTGACGGCCAAGCTGGAGAAGATGAAGGTGCTGTCCGCCGAGAAGGCGCGCAAGTTCGAGAAGGCGGAGAAGGACGAGAAGCAGCACGCCGAGGCGTACGCGCGCGGCATGGAGGAGGCGCGCCGCCAGCGCGCCGAGAACGCCGAGCGCCGGCGGCAGAACGAGGAACAGCGCCGCCGTCTCGAGGAGGAGCGCACAAAGAACCGCGAGCGCAAACTCAAAGCCATTAACATGAACAAGGGTGGCGGCGGCTGGGACGAGGGCAAGGAGGCCATCCTGGCCGAGGAGGAGGCGTCCCGGCGGCGGCCACCAGCGCGGGGTGTCAACGGCGGCGTTCGGGGAACGAAGGGGGGCTCGGGCCTGCGCAGTAGTCGCTTCGCCGCACGCGACTCGAGCGAGGGTGAGAAGGTGGGCACGCCGGATCGCACGACGGATACCGAAAAGTCGCTCGATGAACAACGGCCGCGTCGCGGTGGGGGGCGCGGCCGCGGCGGTAACCGCGGCGGTGGACGGGCAGCACAAGGAGGAGGTCGAGGTGGCGGCCGCGCTTCCGTCGGCAACGAAAACGGTCCTTCTACGTCCTCAGCAGCCGCTACACCTACCCGGGATGACTTCCCGTCACTGCCAGCCAAGCCACCGACATCTCAGGAAGAACAACAGCCCGCGAATGCTGCTGCTACTGCCCCGCCGTCGAAACCGGCTGTCCTCGCGCCGTTGCCTAGGTTCGCACCGGCGATTGGCAAATGGGACGACGAGATGGAGTTTATGGAGGAGCAAAACGCCATTGCGTCCAAGAAATAAATGTATTATGAATCTGGTGTTTTTTTTATGTTTGTGTTACGTGTGGGAGGATGGCAAAATGGTCACACATTCAAGGGAACCTGGCAAACAAGACTGTTATGATGGGAAAGCGGCGTCAATTTTTTTATACGTATTATTTTGCTATCACACGCAAAGGCAGGCTGGCAAGATGCGATGATGCGGCTGCCTCTCTTTTGGAGATAATTACACTCAGCGCATACAGCCAGTTTTAGGACTGCTTGTTGAATCTAAGGCGTTCAAGATTCTTCACACACAATCCGAATCTCAGCGACGAAAGCATGGGGGGTTGCTAAAGGGTATAGCGATTAAATAGCGAAGTCTCAAGCTCCCAAATAACTCCGATAAATGTACAGATGTGATATTTTCCTTCCTAAATCACCCAAACACCAAGGTTCCCATCAACACCAATTTGCATGCGGCTTCTGCCGGTCCAGCACCGCCTCGATATATAGCATAATCTACCACCCGCCGCGATACCCGCGACCTCCCTTCCCTCTGTACCCCCCTCCTCCACCACCTCCACCCCCATGCCCCCTCGGTCCCCTCGGTCCGCCGCCGCCGCCACCGCCGGGCCCGTCATCGTCGTGCGACGGCATCGTCCTTGCACGGGCCTTCATCTCGCGTGGGAAGGCGTCGTACGTCTTGCGCATCTGAGCGAAGCCGAGGTGCATCTTGCCGTAGAAGTGGTCCGCGAGGCGGCGGTCGTTGTCGAGGCGGCTGAGGTAGGCGCCGCAGACGTCGCAAACCTGCAGCTTCTGGTGGCCCGAGGGACCGGAGGTGTCGGCGAGCGCCTTGAGCTCGCGCTCCTTGTCGGCCTTGGCCTGCATGGCCTGCCGCGCGCGGAAGAGCTCCTCCTGCGCGCGCGAGACCTCGGACACGGCGCCGAGGATCTCGACCTCGAGGAGGCCGTTGTGTATGGACGTGTTGAGGTCGGAGATTTCTTTCAGCTACAGAGTTGGCGAGTTAGCAAACGGCATGGTGAGGGGGGGGTTGGTGCAGAGATTGGAAGAAACTCACCATGATATTGGTTTGTCGGATCTCTTCTGGGGTCTTCTTCAACCGCCTTTGGGCAGCCTCGATGCCTCTGTTGCACTCGTCGATGTACTGGTACAAATGCCGAATGTAATCGTATTCAAATCCGAGCTTGCTCCTGTCGCGCTCCGACATGGCGTCGTATTCAGTCTTGAGAGCTTCCGAGTGGATCTTGGGACACGGCCCCAGATCCTGCTTTGTATTTGTGAAGAGTATATGAGGGCAGGTGCCGGCGATGTAGGAGCGGCAGAGCTTGGGGTCTGAAAAGGAAACTTTGGCGGCTTGCGACGTCACGGACGCGCCCATGAGCTGCTCGAGCAGCTTTCGTTGTTCGGCGGCCATGGTCGAGACGCGGTTGTGTTTTGCGCGAGATCGAATGCGCGTTCTAGGAAAACCTTTCTAATTCAACGGTGTAGAGGAAGGTCAAGTGGTGTCAGCAATCAATGCCGATTAAGTGTGTAGTTGCAAATGATGGCAAACCAAAAGCTCTCTTGATCTTGTCCGACGCCAAAACCTCCAAGCAGGCAGCATTCTGCCGCTTCTGACCGCCTGCCATGGCCCCCACGCTGCCGCACCACAGCGCCACGTCGCCTAGAAGTGGCCGAGTATAGCGGGCAAGCTAATGAGGCTTGGAGCTCCGTCTGATGCGTTTGTTCTCCCTCATCAATTGCCAGCCGTTTTATTCAGGCTGAGATGTAATTGCCCGCCGAGCGCGGAACAGTTACACACTCCCTCTGTCACCATGGCGCGGCTGTTGTCACTCCTTCTTTTCCTTGTCTCCGGCATCCTCGCATCCGCTTCCACCGACTACCATGAGCAGCTGAATCTGCGGCCGTTGCCCCTGTCGGGCCTGCTCGCCAGCTTCAACTTTCGCTCCAACATTACCCTCGACGACTTTGAGACGAAGAACTTTCGAATATTTCCCCGGTCGCTCGCGCAGATCTTGCAGTACGCGGGCACGCGCGAGCTGCACCTGCGCTTCGCGTTGGGCCGCTGGGACACGGAGACGTGGGGAGCGCGGCCGTGGGATGGGCGTAAGGAGGGCGGGCAGGGCGTGGAGCTCTGGGCGTGGCTGGACGCGCAGTCGGACGACGAGGCCGACAAGAAGTGGCTTATTTTGACGAATGCGCTGTCGGGGTTGTTCTGCGCGAGTCTCAACTTTATCGACGAGACGAGGACCATCCGACCGGTCATGTCCTTCCAGCCCGAGGGCGACCACTCGGATGCCATACTTGCCAACACGCGGCTGCTACATGGGGTGCTGCCGCATGAGGTTGTCTGCACGGAGAACTTGACGCCATTCTTGAAGCTTCTCCCATGCAAAGGCAAGGCTGGCATTGCGAGCTTGCTGGACGGCCACAAGCTCTTCGACGCCTCCTTTCAAAGCATGGCCATTGATGTCAAACCCATATGCGACGCTGATGGGAAGTGCGTTTTGCAGATGGAGGAGACGATTGACATGGTCCTTGACGTGAACCGATCGAAGCGACCTAGAGGTATGAGCTTCGGGTCTTGCCAAAATTTGTGTTGACAATACACTAATTAACATGCAGACAACCCGATCCCGCGACCGCCAAACGATAACGAGCTCGTCTGCGACACATCCAAGCCATACCATGCCCACGACACCTGCTTCCCCGCCGACCACATGCTCGGTCAGGACTGGACGCTGTCGCAGGTGTTTGGCCGCCCCATGCAGGGTGCCTGCCCGCTGACCGACGACTCCGTGCCGCCTGTCTGCCTGCACGTTCCCCATTCGCGGAGCGTCTACTCATCTGAAGGGTCGCACGAGATCAAAGACACAGCGAAGCCCAGACGTTGCTACAACATCCCCGCCGAGGGCGAGTTCACGCTCGTCCTGGCGCAGCCCGACGTCATCGTGGACGGCAAGGGCCTCGAGGTCAACGAACCCGAGACGCCGATCCTCTTCGCCGAGCGCAGTCTGACCGGCTACGGCCAGGAACACGGCGGCGTGCAGGCCATCCTCACCAACCCCAGCGACGAGGAGGTCGAGTTCGTCTACATGGAGTCCCTGCCATGGTTCATGCGTATATACCTACACACCTTGTCCACACAGATATCCCCGTCCACCACCTCCTCCTCCTCTTCCGCCGCCGGCCACAACGGTAGCGACATCATCAAGGAAATCTACTACCGCCCAGCCCTCGACCGCGCGCGCGGCACGCAACTCGAGCTGCTCGTGCAGATCCCGCCGCGCTGCACCGTCTTCCTTACCTACGACGTCGAAAAGTCGATCCTGCGGTACACCGAGTACCCGCCCGACGCCAACCGCGGCTTCGACGTCGCCGCGGCCGTCATCACCACGCTGCGGCCGCGCGCCATGAGCCTCCGTACCACTGGCCTGCTGCTCTACCTGCCCACCCCGGACTTTAGCATGCCGTACAACGTCATCATCCTGACGTCGACGGCCGTCGCGCTCGCCTTTGGCGGCCTTTACAACATCATCGTGCGTCGCATGGTCGGCGCGAACGAGGTGGCCCCGTCAGCGCTCAAGGTGAAGCTCGGCAAGCTCGTGTCACGTTTAAAAGGGAAACCTGCCGCGGCTTAGAATAGACGTCTCGTGTTACCTTGATTATTTTTGGCTATGTATTAATAGACGACTTTAGTTCTACGATGATGATCTGGACAGCGAGGTGTATCGCCTAAGAATAGACAATGGCCAACTGGCATTTTCGAATGGGATAGAAACAACATGGCTTGAAAGAGGGCTAGAATGGAGCCCGTTGCAATTATACTAGTATCGAATTTCGAATTGCTATATATTGTTGACAAGACTGTCACGTTATTTTAATCTTCTATTAACCTTCCCATCTTCTTTCGTGTTAGCTGACTTGACATTTCTGTGGCTGTCAGCATCTGCAATTTACATGTGTATCCGTTCTTGAGTTGTGATAGCCTCCTTCAATACCCGGACAATAGTATCCAGCTCCTCCTCCGTCACGGTAAACGGCGGCGCCAGCAAGATGTGATCCCCCTTTGTGCCGTCCACCGTCGTCCAGCCCGGATAGATCGCCACGCCTCCCTCGAACGCCGTCTGCTGGACCTTGATGCCGAACGTGACCGCCGGATCGAACGTCTCCTTGGTCTCCCTGTCCCTGACAAACTCGACGGCCCAGAAGAGGCCCCGGCCGCGAACGTCGCCCACCGACGGACACCCCGCGAGCGCCGCGCGCAGCTTCGCCTCGAGAAGCCTGCCCATGGCCGCGCACCGCGCCACGAGGCCGTCCCGGCGCACGATCGTCTGCACAGCGAGCGCGGTCGCGCAGGCGATCGGGTGCGCCTGGTACGTGTGCCCGTGGTTGAATGAGCTGGTGCCCCGGCGGAGCACGTCCACGACGCGCTTGTGGGCGAGCACGGCCGCGATGGAGCAGTAGCCGCCGCCGAGGCCCTTGGCCACCGTCACGAGGTCCGGCGTCACGCCGTCCTCTTGCTCAAAGGCAAAGTACGTCCCGCAGCGGCCGGTGCCGCACATGATCTCGTCCAGGATCAGGAGGATGCCGTACTTGTCGCACAGGGCGCGAACGCCGCGCAGGTATCCCGGCGGCGGCGGCAAGCATCCGGCCGTGGCGCCGCCGACAGGCTCGGCGATGAAGGCGATGACCCTCGACGGCCCGACGGACAAGAATTCGGTCTCGAGCTCTTCCAGAAGACGCGTGGTGAAATCCTCCATAGTTTCCCCGTCTCGCTTATACCGGTATGCGTAGGCGGGCGAGACATGCGAGACGTGTTGGTATCCAAAATCCTGATACGGCACCTTGCGGGCCAGGTTCGAGGAGACGGACAGCGACCCCATCGTGTTCCCGTGGTAGCTCTGCTTCCGGGACACAAAGTGCACGCGCTGCGTCTCGCCCTTTTCGTAAAAGTACTGCCGTGCGAGCTTGAGCGCCGCCTCGACGGCCTCGCTGCCGCTGCACACGAAGAAGGCCTTCTCCAGCCCGTGCGGGCTCCCCTCGAGCAAGAAGTTGGCCAGGTCCTCGGCGGCCGGCGTCGTGTACGACTGCGTGTGCACGTAGCTGACGCGGGCGGCCTGCCGGGCCATGGCCTTGGCGACCTCGTCGTTGCCGTGGCCGATGATGGCCACGGCCGCGCCGCCGCACGCGTCGAGCACGGCGCGCCCGTCGGAGAGGTGCAGTGTGAGTCTCGAGGCGGACTCGACCATGGCCGGCTCGACCTTGAGGGATCGGTGCATCAGGTGCGTGCCCTCGGCGGTCCGGCTCCCCGGCGGCGGCACCGGGGCGGGAGGCGTGGTCGTATCGGCATGGCTGTGCGGGGACATTATGTGAGATGACGACTGTTTATATGAGCGTGCATCAATTATTGCAGATGTTATTGTTCCAACATGTTTAAAGGCCTGTCAAGGGACAGGCCTTCAAGGGACTATATTTATGTCGTTATGCCTTACACGGCAACTTTTTATCGCTTGAGATCCGAAACCCGACAGCGGTATCGGCATCCTCTGAATGACACAGTTTGTCCACCAAAGGGCGCATCAATGACAAAAACTGGATCGCCATATCACAGGAAAAGATAGCTTATTTCTAGCGTATTGTCAATCATCTTGACCGCTTGAGCGGCTCTCGGGTCTAACCTGCGACGGCCCGCTTTGGATAATCCCAAAAAGGCAATTCTCGGGTTTGAATGCGCTTCAGAACCGACAGCCCGGAAAGAGAAGGACATCGAGTCCGAACCATTATAGCGGGCTCCAATATATCCATCTCACAGTCTCTTTTCTATTAGTCTCTTCCTGTTCTTTCTGTATCACTTTTACCAGGGTCAATTTACCATGTCTGACGAGAAGTCTTCGGGGCGGCTAGAGCCGCGCGAAAGCGTATGGCAGCAATCCGACGAAGAGAGTGGCCCCGAGAACAATCACGACTCGACCAAGGAGGACCAGTATCTGGATAGCTGGCAAGGATGGATTGTTGTTACAGCATCGGCATCCTCGCTCTTTGTCTTTATGGGCGTGATTTACTCGTGGGGCATCTTACAGGCTGACCTGGCACACAAGTCCAACATGTCCCTGACGACGTTGACATTTGTCGGTTCGTTAGCTACGTCGTTCATGACTTCTATATGCATATTTGTTGGAAAAGCTGTTCGAATATTTGGCTATCAAGAAACCGCGATTGCCGGCGCCATCTTGCTGGGTTTGGGCGAGTTTGCCTCGAGCTGGGTGACCCATCATCTCGGGGCGCTTTTCGTCACTCATGGTGTCATATTCGGTGTCGGTGGCGGATTGACAATCTTGGTAAGATGCAACTATTGACAAACCCCAGTGTTGTTTTGCTAACTTTATCCACAGCCCTGCTCGACTGCGCCTTTGCAGTGGTTTCGGAAGCGTCGCGGTCTCGCGACAGGCGTCGTCTTCGGTGGTGGCAGCCTCGGCGCCGCAGTCATGGGCGTAGCGACGAATAGCATGATCGGCCGCATCGGTGCGCCTTGGACTTTTCGAGTTTTGGGATTTATGCTGTGGGCAGTTTGTCTCCCGGCAGCCTGTTTGATGAAGCAGCCGGCTTCTACACAGAACGCCGTTCCCAAGTTGCAATGGTAGGTTTGTTCTGCGATTCAAACAAGGCCGCGATGCTAACAGAGCTAGGCATCGGTTCAAAGACGTCGACTTTCTCATCATATTTCTCGGCTCCGCTCTCGCCTGCTTCCCTCTCTTCATCCCCCCCTACTTTATTCCCATCTTTGCTCGCTCAATCAGCCAATCTGGAAACACGGCAATCATTGGCCTGACCATCTGGAACATGGCATCCACGGTGGGACGGGTCTGTGCCGGGTACACTGCCGATTCTCTGTTGGGGCCTTTGAACAGCTTCCTTGTTTCTTTGATTTGCTGCGCAGTGAGCTCGCTGGCTATCTGGCCCTTTGCCTCCAACATGAGGGTTCTTGCCGCATTTGCCGTTATCAACGGCATAGGCTGTGGATCGTTCTTCAGCTTATTTCCTACAGTCCTAGGCTCCGTCTTTGGGCAGGCAAACACTATGGGGGTGTTGCCCATCATGTGGGGAGGATGGTTTTTTGGGTTCTTTTTTGTATGACATACCTTCCATGTCTCCCTTTCCATTATGTCGATACTAACCAGGCACTAACTAGGGAACTCCAATCGCCGCACAACTTTACGCCTTGGCTGGGACGAGAACAGACACGGCTGCATATAGACCTGCGGCGTTCTATGCGGGTGCGATGTCAGCCATCGGTATTGTCTTCTTTTTGATTCTGCGCATTCGGAGGGCGAAGGGACTATTTACGAAAATCTGATTTTCCGGGTAGCATCGGTATTGGGATTGGTAGGTGGGCATAACGCGGGAATGACCATGCATGCGCCAACACACTACATAGAGAACAGAACTATAATGAGAAATCGATAATCGGTGTAAATGGCATGACTCAGAATAGACCAAAAAAAACAATAAGCAGACCGTATTTCCGAGCCGCGTTAGATATTCCCTTCCACACTCGGCTCGTCGCACCAATGCCGAAGACCCACCTGTGGGCTGGCTTCGGAAAAGAAGTGCAAACGCTTTCCCGAGCGTCAGCCATTCATTCCCGAACATCATCTATTACTGGTTCTTGGCGGTTCTACCATGCGAACAAGCCTCTCTTGCGATAATTGTCGGTAAGTGCCACCGATTTTACCGGCAGTTGCACACACTGATCAGGACCAGAGCATCCAAGGTCAAGTGCGTTCATACGGGAGCTTCACCGTGCCAGCGATGCCGCAGGTCCAATCTGGAGGGGTGTGCACTGAGCCTTCCAAAGACTCCAGGGGGGAAATCAAGGCACAAGAGACCTCGACGTGCTCGTGCATCGGCGACACCACCAAATCAAAATGAAGTGACATGGGCCAACACTCCTTTGCAGAGCGAGACGGCTGTTTCGTGTGCTGCCAGCCATGGCAACCAATTTACGAGTCGTGGCCAACAAGGAGATAATTCGGTTGAACCAGGCTATTCGACGAATGCTTACAATAAAGATCTCGTCGAGAGCCACATCTCCAGTCTGCCCCCCGGTATTGTGATGAAGTGTCTCAACGTTTTTGCCAACAAATTTCCAGAGCTGGCCATCCTACACCTGCCCAGCTTCATCGCAGAACTTCGTTCACGCAGCTGCAAGGAAGCCATCTCTCTCTTGAGCGCTGTGCTGGCAGTGACGCGCTCTCAAATCTGTGTTTTGAACGCCTCTTGGGGAGACAATCTCTTGCGCCGAGAGCATTATGCACTCTACGCCAAAGACCTCCTCAAGGATCTCATCTTGCAGCCTCCAAACATCCAGGTTGTCCAAGCTTTGCTCATCATAACGCTGCATGAATGGGGCGGCAGAGACTTTCACAAAGCCTGGATTTACTGTGGTACGCCCATACATGCGCCCTCGGTCGGTGGCAACGATGCTGACCAGCTTTTAGGAATCGCAATTCGAATAATGCAAGCCTTGCATAGCCTAAGAGTCGCGCCCTATCCTCTCGATCAGATCTCGGAGAGGAAAACCGACGCCACCTCGATCGCCATAGAGACCCGCACGTACTGGGCGTGCTTCATCATGGACTGCATGGTCAACTCGGGCACCTACAACCCGCCGATGCTGCCCATGTCGGAGATGATCAAGCTCAAGATCCCGCGTCCCGTCGGCGTCGTCGAGTTTGCCTTCGGTCCAGATCCCTTATCGTCCTCCTCCCGGGCATCGCCGCCGCCGCCGCGTAGCGACGAGTCCTACGCCCACCACACCACTGGCATCCTCGACATCACGCAAGGTTTCGAGATCCTGGTCGCCGGGTTCGACATCTGGACGCAGCTGATGACCTTCATCTTCCAGGACGGCCGCCGCGCGCCAGGCATGTGCGCGCCGCACAACTGTCCGTGGGTTGTGGGATCGCCGTGGCTGGCAACCCGCGACCAGCTGGACAACTGGAGGGCCAACCAGCACCGCAAGCTGTACTACCCGAACAACTCGGTCGCGGTGCACATGACCTTGGGGTACGGTGAGACGTTTGCGTATCTCAATCTGTTGTACTATGTTAGGTGAGTTTCAGTCCCCGCGCTAAACTCGCAATTTCTAGGGACTAATAGCCCTGGGGACAGCACATTGATGCTGCATCGCGAGTACTTCCCATTTCTACCGACGCTCGAGTCGACGCCTCAAGGCCCGGTCGACCATCCTATGCTCGAAGCTACCGCCCCAGACGGGTGGTGGGATGAAAGTGCTCGCATTTTATTCGGGGCGGCAGAGAACATCGCCAAGATTCTCCAAGAATCCTCGGAGTGCGGTGTGCATCTGATGACGCCCTTTGCCGGCTTCTGCGCATTTTCAGCAGGCTACCTAAACCTATACGTCCATCATTTCCCGCGGATGAATTTGGGTCGAAGCCCACAAGCAAAGGCGTGCATGGATATGTGCCTCGACTATCTCAACGAGTTTCGCAAAATCTGGACCATCGCAGATGGATGGGTAAGTTTCTCTTGTCATAGCTACCTACCGCACGCCCGAGTTCTAAGACGCTTTTCTTTTTAGATGAAAACTATCCAGCACGCCTCGCTGCTGTATTCTCGGGCCGTCGAGAATCGCTCGCGCTACCAGGGAAGGACCAGAACCGACTTTGACGTGCTGCACCAGTCGATCCACGAGTTCCGCGGCGTGGACCGGTCGGACCAGCACACGCAGGAGATTGACGGGGCCGACCTGTCCAGACAGGCAGAGGGCCAGAGGCAGCCCATCGACGGAATAGTGCCAGAGGTCGATACGAGTACCCTGCTGACGCAGTTACTCGCGGAAGTGAGCAGCAACTTGGACGAGCAGGGCGCGTGGTCCCAGTGGTGGCCGCCGGTGGATGAGGTGGCTTTGCCAACTACAAGCTAGAGCTATAAATGTTAATAAGAAGCCTCCCCAAGTTGAAATCCTGGTGGCTCAGCGTGCCGACTCACGAAAACATGCAAACAGAGTCAACAGTTCGCCCTACTCGAGAATTGCATCAGCCCTTGGGACACGAAGCTCAATCTGCGGTATATTGGTATATTTAATAAAAGCCAGCCGCTGTTTTCTGCCCGCAGCATAGCGATACTACATAACATCTACCTCGTTAAACATGCCGGACCTCCAAGTTGTCAAACGTCGCCCTCGTCCGGAACGCGCGCACGCCATTTGTTCCATGGCTGTACTTGTCATCCGACACCGTGAAGCTCGTAATCACGTCCCGTCCGTGCGTGACGCTGCAGTCGAACTGGCTACCGACCGCCCGCACCGCGACCGTGTACGCCGTGTTCGTTCGAATCTCCGCCTCGACCGTGCGGATCTCCGTCCACGCACCGTCATCCGCCCTGCCCACCACGATCCTGCCGCGCGCCCCGATGCCCAGGTAGTACCCGCAGTACGCATCCACGCCCTCGCGCAGCCTCGTCGCGCGGAACACCACGCCCGCGTCGCCCTCGCCCTGCGTCGGCACCGCCACGTCCACCGCAAAGTGCTGGTCCGCGAAGTTGAGGTTCAGCACCGCCTTGGGCCCCGCCGCCGCCGCCGCGGTGCTGGTCATCTTGAGCTTGCGCGCGCTCGCGTCCCAGGCGCCGCCGTACGTGGTCCAGCCGAGCAGCCGGCCGTCGCGGAAGTCATCCTGCACGCCCATGACGACGGGCTCGACGGTGCCGTCGTCGCGGAAGACGAGCCGGTCGTAGGCCAGCTGGCGGTCGTTGCCGTCGGCGCTGCCGAGCGGGTGTCGGTGGTACACGATGTAGTGGACGTCCGTTCCGGGCACCGTGATGATGCCGTTGTGCCCGGAGCCCGTCGCCACCGCCAGGTCCTGCTCCAGGATCTTGCCGCGCCGCGGGAACGGCCCGGTCGGGCTGTCCGCGATGCCGTAGGACACGGCGTAGTCGGGGCCCTGCCAGCCGCCCTCGCTCCAGAACAGGTAGTACCGCCCCTTGCGCTTGAGCATCTGCGGGCCCTCGACGTAGTTGTCCGGCGTGATCTCCTTGTACACGTCGCCGTCGGGGAAGGTTCCCAGGCTGACCATGTCGTCGTTGAGGCGCGCGACGTTGGCGTGCCCGTGGCCGCCGTAGTAGATGTACGCCTGGCCGTCGGCGTCGTCGATAAAGACGTCCTGGTCGATGGGCTGCGCGCCGTTGTGGTACCGGTCGATGAGCGGCCCGCCGATCGCGTCCCGGTAGGGCCCCTCGGGGCGGTCCGCCACGCCCACGCCGATGCCGCCGACCTCGTCGTCCGTCTGGATGTCGTTGGCGGCGAAGTAGAGGTAGTACTTGCCGTTGCGGGAGATGGGCGCCGGCGCCCACACGGCGCGCCGCGCCCAGGGGAAGCTCGTCGTGTTGAGGATGTTGGGGTGCTTGGTCCAGTTCACGAGGTCGGGCGAGGAGAAGGCGTCCAGGAAGGTCTGCGCGTCGTACTCGCGCGAGTAGGTCGGGTACACCCAGTACTCCCCGTTGTAGAACTCGTTGTCCGGGTCGGCGTACCAGCCGTCCACGAACGGGTTCCCGGCCGGATTGGTCGGGTAGTCCGGGATGGAGGTGCTGCTTCCAGACGTGGACAGCAGAGCTGCGGCAATGACCCCGGACATCTTCATTTCCGCGACGGTAGTGAGATGGGATGGCGGGTCGCGCGGGGATACCAAATCGACGATGTCAAACGGAGGACTCTCCGCCGAGACAAGTCGCGTCGTCCGCCGCTATGTATATGATGACAGCTCACTGCCAGCTTCACCATGGGACTTTTCTTGGAATGCAAGAGCCGTACCACCTGCCAGATGCACACTAGTTAGCGTAGCTGCAGGAGGATGCACATCGTGCCAATCGTGGGGGAGGTTGTCTCAGAGCTCGACCGCCTTCGCCTGCGCTTGGATCGACGTCGATTGCTTGACTTTGAGGACTTGAAATAACATTGATAAGTTCATGTTATGATAAGTGAAATACCTATGATTGACGGGCCATACACTGACACCGCGAGGCATTGATCGTGACACGTTTCACTCACACACTCTTGACTCGCACAAGTATCAAGTAGTTTTGTGGTGATGCTCTGACTCCGCACCGTAACCGCACCCCGCATCAGCACGATTCTGGCAGCCAAGCCGCCGCCAGCAACGCCGTCTTTGTCTAAACGGGCCTTTTATTCCTCTGCCCGATATTTAGTCTGTTAGATCGGATGGTTTATTGGCCCATTTTCATGATGCTATTACTAAAGTAGACTTTACGTCTTTGGCTCAAACTAGGATGCGCTCACAGTTGTTTGTTAGTTCTTCCTGCCTGTGTGCCGTGTGTGCCATGTAATCCTTCAAGTCGCCGTTGATTAAAATGCTAAATAGGTAAAAGGAAGGAAATGTGCCGATAGACGCCAGAACCATGCAAAACCTTTGTGTCCCGTGCCGAGAGCAACGGTAGACACACCCCTCCACGTCTGCAGAAGAACATTACGAAAAACCGTCGTTTACCAAATGCGCTTATTCACCATATCATAGCGAAAGACGCCATTATAGTCCACGTCCGCCGCCGCCTTCTTATCCTCACCCGCCCTCCGACCCTTGCCGCCTGGCAGGCCCTCCGTCTTGTCTGCGTTTATCCAGCGCCGTCCGTCATCCGACACTTCGACGTCGCCGCGCCCACCCACGCGACGGCCCTTGGTATCATACGACTCTCGCTCCGCCAGCCCGCGGGCGACGAGCTGCTCCTTACGCTTCATGGCGGCGTACCGGCCGCGCGCGTACTTGAGCAGCGCCATCCCGAGGAGGAGCTTGACGATGAGCAGCACGAGGAAGGCGATGAAGAAGACGACCACCATGGTCAGCGCGGCGACGAGGTCGTCCGACGTCCAGGCGTACCAGGGTCGCGCGTGCGCCGCCCCAAACGGCTGCCCGTACGTCGCCCGCCCGAGGGAGTCCCGGATCAGTGTGTCGAACCGGTTCAGCGCCGCCATCATGGCTGGGGAGGACGGCCGCGCCGACTCCTCGGCCAGCGACGTCTGTGTGGACTGCGGAAGCGGCATAGGCAGGTACGTGGCGAGGAACATGTGATACGTCTGGACCGAGGCGCGGATGAAGAGGCACGACAACGGGATTACCGCGAGGCCGAGGCGGCGGGTGAGAGAGGGGCTGGTAAAGGCCTAGGCGTGTGTGCATTAGGCAAAAAGGTCACTGCAAGTTGATGCCAGGAGTTGGGAGCTTACATGTGTATAGTAGTCCTTGCACAGGATATCTAGGGTTCGCGAGTAAAAGTGCGGTTTGATGTTGTTGAACTTGGTGACGTAGGCATGCTTGATAGTGTCCACCAGCATCTCGCTACCGACGACGATCAGAAACGGCGAGAGGACCTCGCCGGACCATAGCCAGGATGGCAGCGCTGTGAAGCTATGCGGCAAGATGGACGGGTGGTGCAGCGGCCCGCTGCTCCCTCCATCCACGTCCAACTCGCCAAAGCCTGCCCCCGGCACCGAGAAGCCGCCGACCTCGACCATGTTGCGCATCGCGATGATAAGCAGCATTATCCAAAGATGGAAGCGTTCCACAACGTCGGCGCACGTCAGCTGGAACAGGTTGTCCTTCTCGAAGCGCTTGAAGACGGTGCTCTTGATCTCGACGAACTGATTCGACAGCAGCAGCGTCAGCAGCGCGTTCGAGTACGAGTTGACGGCCACGTTGAGTGTGATGACCTGGTAGTAGAGCGCTATCGAGTGCAGGCAGTTGTACGCCAGCGCGAGTACGAACATGCCCGCCGGCAGCAGCACCTTGGAGCGTCCGGACGCGGTCCGCGACAGCGTCTCGGCGCTGAAGAGGCACTCGAGGATGTCCTGCCCAATGGCCGACAGCAGCCGGTCGCCCACCTCGAGGATGTTGAAGATGACGTAGAGCTTGATGGCCGACTGCGCGCGGATGAAGTGGTACATGCGGCTGGCGTCGAGTCTCATCAGCGCAAATGAGCTGCACAGGATCACTGCGCCTTGCAGCAGGTCGGCCTTGTTGTAGGTTGATAGGTTGGACGGCATCGACCTTGTCCGACGATGGCGAAAGGTGCCTGACTTGGGGCCGGGGCCGTGCTCGCGGTGCTGCCCCGAGATGTGCCGCTGCGTGACTCCACCGCCAACCGCCGCTTCACCGTGGCCGTCTACGCACACAACACTGGCGGGTTCACTCGCTCGACTGATACTTCGCGACCGGTCTCCGGCCGTGGATTCACTACCCGCGCGGCCTCTAGTCGCGCGTCCTCGCCGCCAGAGCCGGCCGATGCCGTGCCGGACATAGCCGAATAGCCAGCTCGTCTCCTTGCCGACGACGTACGCCCACCAGCGCACTAGCACGCCGATTGCCATGAAGAACCGGATCGGCAGTATCGTGAACGTGTGCAGCCAGGCATCGAGGCAGGCGAGCGCCCCAAAGTATAATGTTCTTTCGAGGTACGCCGGGAGGAGGATAACGTTGCGTAGCCGCTCAAACTTGACGGCGCTCGACTCGTATGGGATGTCGCTGGTGTGAGAGTGGTGGATGTAGAGGGGACTCGGTCGCTGCCCAGCAAGCTCGAGCTGTAGGTGCGTCGGCAGCGACATGGGAGGCAGCGGAATCATGGGCGGCATCGGCGACGGTGCGCGACTGCCTCCAGACCCCTTGATTTCCGCCGCCGCCGCTGGCGGCACCACCGCAGGCAGCCCTGGCTGGATCGCCGGCGAGGGCAGCATGTCATTTGCGCGCTTCTCGGCGCCAGCGCTATCGCCCTCCGCGTGAAAGTTGAGCGGCGGCAGGGTTGGGCGCTGTGGCGGCACCGCGGATCGAGGCATGACCGCCGAGTATGGGGGGAGCTCGAAAATCTTGGAGCGTCCTGTCGGGGGCGTCGAGACGGTGCGTGGGGGCCTGGACCGGGGAGCTTCGGTGCGCGCGTTGCGGGCCTGGGCGCCGCGTCCCTCGTAGATTCCCAGTCCGCCGGTCGGCGGGTGGTTGTGGTGATGGCTGTGGGGATGAAGATGATTTCCGTTGCTGCCGTCTCGCGACGCCCCCAGCTCTGGCTGCGCGAGCAACGATTGGCGGATGGCCTCCTTTTGCTGTGAAAACTTGCCGTGGTCAAAGGACGGGCGGGTGCTGGGCGGCGCTGGGCCGATCGGTAGCCACAGCGGCGACGACATGAGCTCCTGGATCTCCGAGGGCGGTAGTCGCGCGACGTTATCCGCAGAGCCGGCCTTGGTGTTGGAGCTCCCGCGTCGAGACTTGGTTTGCGGCTGCTGAAGATGGGCCTCGCCGCCGGCATCGCCATCGTCGTGAGGCGGCGGCGTGGGCTGCTGTTGGTGGTATCGGTATCGTGGCGGCTCTTGGTCCGGGCGAGGCGTGTCGCTGCGGCCACGGTCGTCTATTCCGTTCGTCGTCAGGCTGCTGCCGCCGCCGTGGAGGAGCTGCTGCTGCTCCGTCCAAGTTCTCACGGGGCTGCTGGCCGTTCGAGAGCGCATTTCCGTGATGGCGCTCGCGCGTGTCTGCAGCTGCGGTCGCTCGGTCGCGCGCATCACGGGGTCGGGGAGCATGGTCGCCACGGCGTCAGTTGAGGAAGGTGATGCGCTGGCTGCCAGCTGGGGCGGCGACAACTGCGGACTGATTGGGTCAGCGGTAACAGCCATGTTTCTTCAGATTCTCGGCAGCATGGTTCTGGAGGACTGCAGTGGCGAACTCGCAGGGCAGAGTTAGATAGAGGGAGGAGGACGTTGGGGGAGGTTCCGGTTGTTCTTGCAAAGTGGCTGGATGATGATGCCAACTGGACGTTTTTTAGCCTGTTAATAAGTTGGCGCAACGGCTTGGGTACAGGTTAGACAACCAGTGTGGGGCAGCAGCAGCCTTGCGAGCTGGTTGAGCCTCGCGAGCTGTCGGGTGAACAGCAATAGAAATAAGTAGCTTTTAAAGATTTAATTTGATTGGTATACGTAGCAACATAATTATTTCTGCCCTCAGTTCTCGCCGTAATTATCACTCCTAAACGGCGAGCTAGCTAATCACAACTTCAAGCCTTCATAGCCTGGCCCCATGCAGTCAGCCCAGGTAGTTGTCGAACCAGGTGACAGCCTGGAGGAAGGCTTGCTCCTTGGCAAACTTTTGCTGCTTGTCGCTGAGGTCGCCGCGGACCGCGAAGCCGTGGGATGTATTCGAGAAGAGGTTGATCTGGTAGGGTTGCTTGGTCTTGGCGAGAATCTCCTCGGACCGGTGACGCTTCTCGGCCGGGAAGATGGAGTCCGTCTCGGCGGCGGAAATGGCAAACGGGCCCGTGATGGCGGCCAGCTCGTCCTCGTCGACAAACGACGGGTGCGCCGAGTAGCCAACCTCGATGCCGTCCTTGTAGTGGCGGACGACGTACTGCGCGTTCATGTCAGTGGATTTTTGCTTTTGCACACTTGGGCGGCGTTGCAAACAAACGTACCTTGGCGCCGAAGCAGTAGCCCACCGCGCCAATGTGCTTCACGCCCATGCCGCGCAGCGCCTCGATGCCCTTGACGACGATGGGGTCCACGGCCTCCTTGGTGTGTGGGTTGTCGCCGGAGCTGCCGTGCGCGAGCCAGGTGCTGAGCTCAAAGCCCTCAGGGCGGTTGACCGGCACGGGGTCGCCGTTGAAGAGGTCGAGCACGACCGTCAGGTAGCCACGCTCAGCGAAGGCGTCGGCCATGAGCTTGCTGTTCTGCCAGATGCCGATGACGTCGGGCAGGTACAGGATGCCGACGTCTTTGCGCTCCGTCTTCTCGGCGGGCGTGGCGACGTAGGCCTCGATGGTGTTGTCGATTTTGATGATTTTACCCTTGGGCTCGCCCCTTACCTCCATGTTAGCTTTCCATCACACACAGTTTGACCGTCTCCCGTCCAAGGGGGACTGCTGGCGCGTTGCGTAGGGTTCCGTGCCCAGCGAGCCCAAGCTATGGCGGGGTAGCTTCCTGTCGCGCGCAGAAGCTTCTCGCCACAAGAGCTGCAGAGACGGGTAAAGAGAATTAAGAAGACTCACTCGTGGAGTGTTCCCAGGGTGCAGCAGCGGGCGGGAGGGTAGGAAGCCATTGTGTGTATAATTTGTTCGTGTTGGTGCGGGTTGCAGGCTGCAGGTTGCAATTTCTTCAGTCCGTCGTGGTCGAAGCCAAGTCTATATAAGTAGCGAAACACCTTGGTTGCGAACGGTGACGTGGGCATTGGAAGTCTTTTATGCGCTCGAACTTTACTAATAGCTATTCTCTAATTGTCTCAGCCACCATCATTTCTCCCCCTCTCCTCCCACCAAGAAACCAATACTACGGCCCGAGGCAGTGGAACCCCAAAACAGCTCGTCGCGGGATGCAATAGGCAAAATTGGTGACGCCAACCGGTGCCCCTCCTGCTAGTGTAAATGGCGAACAAAATGCCGGGGATAACTTGCCTCTGCTTACCTGGACGACTGAATCTTCGGATTCAAGGGTCTAAAGGCCGTATCCATACCGACCAGCTTACCAAAGATTTCAACATAAAAAATCCATTTTGGAATGGAAACGCAGTCACTCGGCCGACTGAGGTGGGGATAATTCGGCGCTGGTTGGTCCGTCGCGGGCAGGCCAGGATCCCACAGGGCAAGGATCGGGAGCGACTCCGGCAATGCAAAGACCCAGGCTTCCTCACAAGCAAACGCGCAACGTCTCGGCATCTTTCATCACTTGCCTACTTGACCGTTTGTTGTTGGACCCCCGTTGCGTGCATTGCGGCGCTTGAATCGTGGCTTAATTCCATTTAGCCCTCTTTTCGCAGCGCTTCCGCCACGGTGTTAACCCTGGTCCCTAGCCGACACATCCGACAGGCCCCAGCGGCTACGGCACCTACGAGCGCCGAAGTCGGCTTGAAAAGTTTCAGAGCTTCATTTTCTCTTTGACCTCGGGGCAGTGCATTAGACCAAACAGAGGCTGGGTAAAAAGAGAGCTGTGCAGACTGTAACTGCGATGAATGTCTGTATTTGGGTATCATGTAAACCAGGCTAATGCCATGCCTCCCAATGCACCAACATGTACATAAAAGCATATCAACAAAATTCGAGGGAAGGGGGACCTATTTCGTTCGTAGTCCCTTTGGCTTCCTCTTTTTAAACACCACCGCGCCTACTTCCGCGCCCGCATCTTCCGACTTGCCTATCGTTTCCGCGATGCCACTGTCGGCCACATCAAGCTCCTCCTTCTTCACAGCAGACTCCGGGCTCCCGTCCTCTCCCTCGCCCTTCTGCAGCTTCACCACGCCATCCTCCGCCGCCGGCTGCTTCTTCGCCAGCGACCCGCTCAGCAGCGCGTCCAGCTCCGCCGCCTCCTCCTCGTCCTCCGGGGCCGCCTTCGAGTCGCGCCCCCACCGCCGGGGCTTCTTGAACAGCCCGCGCACCGCCTCCTCCTCCTCCTTTTCCTCTTCATTCTCCTCGCGCTTGCGCACGCCCGACGCACGCGCCTCCACCGCGGCGCCCTCCCCCTCGCCACCAGCCGCCCGTGGACGCGTCTCGACCACGCGCGTGCTCGTCACCGTCCACTCGCCCGGCATCGCCATCTCCGGCCGGAAGCTGCTCGGTATCGCGACACCCAGCTCGGCGAGCTGCTCCCGCTGTTTCTTGAGCGACGCCTCGGACGCCACCGCCGGCGGTGGCGCGGGTTTGGATGTCGAGGGCGCTGCGTGCGGGCGCGAGGTTGAAGGCGCTGCGGCGGAGGACGCGCTACTCCCGCTGGCGACCACACCGTTGAGGCGCTCAATCTCTCGCTTGGCGCGCTCTTTGTCTCGCTCGTCTCGGTCGTGGCTGCGGTGCAGATCCCGCAGGGAGCGCTTGATGGCGCCCTGGTGCTTGGCCGTCGACTCGTGGTTCGCACGCTCGAGCTTGGTGTCGCGCACGTAGACGGCGCAGTACTTGCACCAGTACCGAGGGGTAGACTTCCAGTATTCCGACATTATTGGCTCGTTAACCCTGCAAGGAGGGCTGTGTAATGGTGTGTTTTGAAAGAGAAATGTGCAGGTTGTTGAAATCTAGGCTTGCATTTGGGGCAACATAACGAACGATTATGTCAGCAGCCCAGGCAGCCAGTCCTGCAGGTTTCCAAGTCCAATTTTTATACACAAGGCAGCGAAACTATTCAAAAAAAAATTCGTTGATCTCCTTTATATTTATACCTTAGACTATGTGTGTTATGTATTAATGCCCAAGCGCCATGCGAGAGCGACCGTCATAAATACGACAGTAAAACAGACGACTTCCGCAACCACATTAGGTCCGTAAGATCCGTGACAAAAAGCAATTCCAACCAAGCAGCAGAGCCACTGAACAAAATTCCTTTCCAAACGCGTGGTAAAATCAAAGACATTACATTCGTGGGTGCAAATAGAAAAACAAAATGCCGCCCGAGAAAACATCAATCGCCAGGTTTACCTCAGCGAGCATGACGACTCGTCGCCTCCTCTGCTAGCAGCCTATACTTTCAAGGCGATTACAGGAAGAGAGCAGCAGCAAGACCAGCAGCGGCAAGGCCAGGAATGACCTTAGCACCGGCAGCGACGGGGACAGTGGAGGTGGCGGTGGGAGCCTGAACCTGGCCGTCGGAGATCTGGGTGACGGGAGATCTGGGTGACGGGAGCACCGTCCGTCCGAGATCTGGGTGACGGGAGCACCGCCGGTAGCAGAGGGAGCCTGGATCTGTCCGTCCGAGATCTGGGTGACAGGAGCACCGCTGGTGGCAGAGGGAGCCTGGACCTGGCCGTCCGAGATCTGAGAAACGGGAGCGCCAGTGGACGCGGGAGCCTGAATCTGACCATCAGAGATCTGGGAAACGGGAGGCAGGTTGCTGGGGGCCTGAATCTGGCCGTCGGAGATCTGGGAGACGGGGGCGCCGGGGGCCTGGTTGCAAGGGGTGCTGTGCGCCTGGACCTGACCATCACCAATCTGGCACATGGGGACGGGAACGGTGGTGGTCACGACCTGGGGCTGACCATCGGAAAGGGCAGCGACGACGGTGGTGACAGCCATACTGGTGGCGACGGGCGACTGCATGGGACTGCCACCGTTGCTCTTCTGAGCGCTGCACGGCATGGCGACAATCTCGATGGCCTCGCACTGCTCAGCCCAGTGGCGGTCGTAGAGGTTGTAGAAGTCACCGGAGCGGCACTGGTAGAAGACGGTAGAGGGGCCGATAGCCAGGGAGCCGTTCTGGCAGGTGGAGAAGCCGGCAGTGTAGATGGCACCAGCCTGGGCGGGAGGGCCATCAAACTGGAACTGGTAGTTGGCGACGATGGAGCCAATGCGTCCCTTGCTGTCGGTTAGGACACCATCCTTGAGGTCGAGGACGAGCGAGTTGTCACCGGAGCAGTCACGCTTCTATACATGGTCGTTAGTATGTGCGTTCACATGGCATTTATGGCGCAAGGGGACCAAAGATTCTTTACATACCTCGATGGAGCGCTTGCTGGCGCCGAGCTTGAAGATGCTGACTTCAAACTTGCCGTTATAGTTGCCAGTGCAGCCCTGGGGAGCAGCGCCATCGGGCTTGAGGCCGGAGGCAGCGCCCTGGGGAACAGCGGCGACGGTGGCAGCAAGGCCAAGGGCGGTAGCGGTCCACTTCATTGTGTCTGGAAGAGGCGTTAGCAAGGCATTCTAGGCGGATTGGGTGCCTGGTGTGCAGCTTGTGAAGGGGGGTTCGACGCGAACATCTGCATTCCAGAATATGCATAGGCATGGGAATGTGAATTGGTGCAGAGAACCACGGAAGAACAAGAGTTGCGAGCAATTGGCAGCAGAAGGAACTGGGCGACGGTAGCGTACCGGTTGTATTAGATTAGGTTGTGAAGCGAAGGAGGAAATCCGAATCAGCGACGGGATAACGAAGGTCGAGATCTTGTTACCAAAACGACGGGTGGAAACAAGAAAGATATCGTCCGAGGAGCGAAAGTAGAGCACTTGCGAAGAAAGAAAGAGCAGGATGTGAAGAGGAAGAGAAACAAAAGGGTGGAGAGGAGGGATCGGCTTGGGTAGATATATTCTCACGCTGCTGGGTCCATGTTGTCTGGTAGCATTGTTCGACCGTTTGGTGGGAAACCTTGAGGGGGGACACGGTCTACGGCACCAGGGGAGGGGGGTGTGAAGAAGACAAGACCACGGACAAAGCAACTACTTTAGTATGGAGCATCTGTTGTTGACAGACTAAACAACTCAGCGAAGAGGCCCGCAGAACTAGAAGAGGGCCCCGGTTTCTGGATAGTCGGACGAATATAGCGGCAGGGCATCAGTGAGACCAGGGTTGTGGGATGCGGGCTTGATCTGGCGGACACGGCGAGGCGAGGCGAGAAGTGAGTGGTTGCTAGAGCAAACAGAGGCGGCTGAAGAAAGAAGACAGTAAAAGCGGCGGGTTGGGTGCGATGTGGGTTGGGAGGGCAAGGGAGGGGAGTGTACAGATGGGTTGACGGGAGAAGCAGAGAATGAATCGGTGTGAGCGAGTGAGCCCTGATGATGGTGGACTGGGACTGGCCAATGCCAGCGGCGGGCCTGCGAGGAGCCGGAAAAAGAAGTTGTTGAACTGTTTAGTGATAGATGGCAGTGCTGGGGCTGGTAGAGGAAGAAATTCGGGTCGCCGCCAGCGTGACGTGGAGCAGTTGATCCTCAAAGTTGATCCTCAAAAGCGATATTCCAGGAGAGAGCAGTTGAGGAGCAGACGGACGGATTGACTGCGAATGGGTCGGCCGCCGGCTTTGAAAATGTGGGGAACCCTGGCTACGGGTGGAACGGTCCACAGCGGCGGTGCAGGGGGGTGGTTGGGGCGCCAGCTGCCTGTTGGGGGCTGGTTGGTGGTTTCCTATGGCGAAGAAGCGAGGAACGAGCGAGCTAATAACGGAGGTAAAGCAGCTGGCAACTCGCAACTTGGCAGCTGGCGGCAGCTGGCAAAACGGAGACGGTAGCGTTAACTGGGAAGCTTGGAACGCTAGCAGAAAACAGTCGGCCGGCCCCATCCCGAGGCATCGTTGCGCAACGCCACCAAAGGACTATTTCCGCCGCTCCCGCAGCCAATCAAGGTTCTGGAAACGGGGCTACTTGTCGAGGCCACAGGGGTAACGCAGTGTGCAACCCATCCAGCCATCACATCACCATGGTACGGACACAAACTGAAAGTACGTAGGTAGAATTGAAAGGAGAGAATCCGCGCTTTTTTTTTTTTTTTGTCGAGTGCCGAGTTAGCCGCCGAGTTGACTCGAGGACCTCACGGCGGTTCTCGTTAAGCCGCGCACAATCACATTCTTCATGTGGTGCGTGCGTGCCCCTGCTGCCCCTGCTGCCCCTGCCGTCCCCTGTCGGTAAGGTACAGCGGCCGCCCTCGGCTGCTCGCTGAGCGATGGGATCGTGCGGGGAGCCCAGCCCAGGACCAGGGCCAGCCAGCAGTCTTGTCTTGGCGCTTGGCGGCGATACGCCCTCGGATACGTCACTGTCACTGGGTGACAAGGAGGAGGACAAAAAAAATTTCACCATGTGATGTTGTCCGCGCCTATGTTGCCAATCGCTTCAGAATGGATGATATCAAGGATAGAATGGCAAAGGGTAAGGAGCCTATCCGTAGGCTACTTTCTATTGCATTCCAGGACAGCGCATCGACCAAACCTTCCTCACCGGGTCGAGCCACAAGTAATAATGGAGAACTTCTCCCCTCTGCCTGAATTCTAGCTCCAGGTAAGCCTGGATGATTCGTTGCTCGTCAACTCCTCTGTCTCCCTCACTCCCTCATCAGTGGAACCTCGCTCATCAATGGCACATCCTTTGGTGGCGCATCTGCGAGGCTAACAACAGGTATAATAAACTTTCCGTCGTCTTATCAACGTACCCAGCTAGTCTCTCGTCCTTCTTGTGCGCCGTTTGGCTCTTTTTTTTTTTCTGTCTTTCTCCCAGCAACGAGGTTGGGATGACCACGCGCCAGGTACGGGACGGGTATTAGCTCAATTGACACTCACTGGCTCCAACTGATACGACCACCAAACACCAGTAAAGATGAGGTTCAAAATAGCACTCCCATTCCAATCCCCCCCCTTGGAATGCTATATGCTTAATTGTTCCCTCCAGCCATTCGCCCATTCGGGGTGTCTCGCTCGCTTCTAGTTCTTTTCATTGTTGCATGATCCAAACGCTCTGCCCAGCGTCTTTCGATATTTCTTTTTCTTCTTCTTCTTCTTCTTCTTCTCCTACCCCAGCAGCTTTCTCGCTTCCGCAGCACAGGAGGCTGGCTGTCGTTATCCTCCACACCACCACGGATAGATGGCTAGACGGCATCAGCAAAGCGTCAAGCCCACTCACACGCAGCCTGACCTGGCAACCTGGCAACTGGTTACATGCGGCAGAGGAGCAGCAGAAGAGGCCGGACAGCGGGGTGTGGGTTTATTGCCAGCGACGATAGTGCCATGCTTGGTCGAGGAATGGCGACTGCTGGCCGGCTCCCTGATTCCGTTCCTACATACATCCTTGGCAGTGAGCAACAGTCTCTTCTTTTGCCTTTGCCTCCAGGTCGGTTATTGTTAAATTTTTCGATTTGTCTCTCCTAATTTTTGGGTATTCTCTTTCGTATTTCTCAGCCCCCACCATCACCACCCACCCGATCGTGATGTAATGGCGACTCATCGGAGCATCTTCTCCCAACAGTTCTGCTCGTGCGTTTTCAACAACCCGGATTCTCCAAACATGACCAGTTCCCACCTTTGTCAAACACGCAGAAACTCAATTCGACTTTTTTTCAACGCACCATCAGAGGCGCTAGCTGGCATGAACCCTCTTTTTCTTTTTTTGGCAGCATCTCTGGATTCATGACAGCTGCCATCCCACACATCCCCCTCCAGGAGAGGACGACGCTCGCAGGATCGTCCATCAACTGCACAGATTAATCTGCAATCCATCATGCACTTACCCCGAGTACATAATCTGTACCGTAGTCAGCAAAGGCAACGTGACAGCTAGTCTCCAATTTGCATCGTTATCATTACCCTGCACAGCGCGCGCGGGAACCAGCCACAAATTACCTCACCACTCACACTTCCCAGCCAGCCATGTTCTCCAGCCCGGCAGCGGTTGCCATGCAGCCCGTGTCGTGGTCCTGTCTTGGCCGCTTCGAGTCGACCCGGCAAGACGGCGCTACTAGTAGACTGTGGCAGGTCGGGTAAGAAAAAGTCGATTTGTCGATTGCACTGCTGGCAGCATGTTGGGTGCTCCTACAGGCGGCACGCCCAAGCCCTCGCGTCGAGGAACCGACTAACAATTTGTCACATCAGTCCCAAATCAACAAAATAAACCGGGCATCAGTGCCTGATCTGGCATCTTACCGTCGCCTTACCTTATTACCTCGTACCTTTGTCCCTGCAGATGTTTGTAGCAAGACAAGACATTGTCGTAGTTGCACGCCATGCCGCCTTCAACATGAGGTCACTGCTGTCAACAAAGCCACTGCACATGCACTCGCTCATCTGCTCTGTGACATTGATGCTCCGGCAACAATTGATACCTGCAAGGCAATATTCTACGCTCCCAGCACATGTGGCCTAGTTGACGTTGGCGCCCGCCATATGCAGTAGTACCACATCGACCCTGCCTGTGCATGTACATATGCATCCCAACTCGTGCGTTGGCTCTATTGCAGGGACCATAACGCTCGGGGAAGCACCATCCATCTCGTTGCCCATCTTGTCATGGTAATTTGATGCCCGAACCCTAATCTCCATAATGTGCAACAATCTCGCAACCTTTGTCCCTCGTGACCTCCATGGTAGTTAGTTACTTCTCAACCAACATCAAAAGAATGCCTCACTTCTCTGATCATGAGGTCATACCCCACCCAGAATTCTAGGAGCCATACGACGTGTGTGTGGGACATAGGGGGGTGTGGCGCCAGTTCAGTACCGCTGGTTGCGCCGGCTGAGGTATCAAACTGGGCGATCAACCAGCACCTGGGAGTTCAACAAGCCCGGCCCAAGCAGTTAATGGCAAGTGCGTTCCCTCGCAATTTGCACTTTCCAGGGTACACAGTACGGCATGTTCATTTCAAATTACTGGCAATCGCGGCACCGCAATCGCGTCTACCTTGCAGGAAACCCTATAGGGTAAGTAACAGGGTAACTAGCAAACAACTGCTAATAAGAAGCCGGACCTGGGCAACCGCGGAAGTTAGAATCCTAGCACGCCAACACACTGGTAGACATATTTCATCAGGTCTATTTTCTTGGCTGCAGCCTCGTCTATGGGCCTCCGAATTAGGCAAAACGAAGTGTCACCATGGATGCTTACTCCCCGGTGGCTCGTCACTTCCGGCGGCCCTACGGTCACTCGACGCCTGATGGATCTCACATATGACCTTGTTCACTCTCGTATCGAAGAAACAAGATTCGCTGCTGCATGCTTGTTCGACTCTGCCAGCTAGGTAACGCTACTCGCGCGCAAAAACCTTTCCAATGCTTCGCCGCTCGTAAACTTTGTCGGGACCGGTCCCCCGACTGCTAGCCCATCTTTACCATTATGAGATAGACTGACGGAAACGTCAAGGCACACCCGTGGCAGTAAACGTGCGAGAGAGAAAGCCATTTCCAGGGAAATTACAGATTGTAGATTCCTACCCGCGAGTTGCTTGTACGACCTCGCATTGATGAAAGCGCACATGACAACTGTGCTGCGATGCACGCGACATTTGTCTACTTCCGGTCGCCAAATACTTGATTCTTTACTTCCCTGTCTCTTTGTCTCTATCGTTGGAGTAGATTCCGACATCGTGGCCATTAATCCGTAACACCATACGCACGCTCGCCAGTCTTTTACAGCAGCGTAACCCGCGCAACCACACTTGGGTATTGGTTACATGTCAGGAGGAATTATTGATTCAAAGCAGTTGGAATCACGCATAGAGTCCAATATCGTAGGTAGATCAGATTTTTTCCATCTCTAGTGCGGATACCACCAAGCTCTACCCCTTAGTAACGTACCCAGCTTCAACCGCTGGGCGGCATCGCCACTAGAGATCATCCTGTGTTGTTGGTTTTCGCTATCTCATTTTCTATCGACTACCATCCGTTTCTCGGAACGGCCTCGTGGGGTCTTGTCAATGTGTACGCCCCCCTCCGGGTCTCACCATGCCGTCATCACCCAAGCCGACAACAGATCGATGCAAGTCACCGTCCATCTCTTCATATCTGGTCAGCCGAGCACCTGTCTCAGAAGTGATGATAATTTCACCTCCGTGGCAATCGCATTTCTGTTTTCGGCGCGTATTGCAATGTGCGAAACATGCAAGCCACTTGGCAATTTGTTGATCTGTTGGTACGTACCCAGTTGAGAGCCTCTCAAGGCCTCTGTCTCCCCATGAACGGACGACGCAGAGCCGCTGTTCTGAACACGAACTTGTGCCACACGTCTGGTAATAGAAAGCATACTCAAGTTAATTTCTGCCTTACTCGCTTCGTTAGTGGTTAGCACCTTTTTATAGAGGTCACATGTCGTCTACAATACTCGCGTACGTACGTGGTATGCATCATGTCTCAGACGGCTGCGCTCCTCAGCCTCTCATAGACCAAACGTTGCCCGTTCTCAAGAAGGCCACTAAATCAAGTAAGGGGCTTAGAAAATACAGTGCAAAGTTTTCGCTTTGCCAAGGTGGGTATTTTTGATAGTGTTCATAATGATAGTGTTGTTGACAACAGGGTATTGCGTCGTGGACGTGCAGCGCTTATTTTCATTTTCAAGGATCGAGCCAATCTTGTGCGTGCCATACAAGGCAAAGTAATCTCACTATTATTCTCATTCCCAAGGTGTACTTTATCCTCAAGCATATTAAACGTACGTTACAATCATCGCTTCATGGTCAAAATCATCGAAACCAAGCCTCCTGCTAATGCTATGTATAATCTTAAATTCGTGACGAAATGTGTTGCCACTCATCTTCCGTTCCTTGGCTCGTTTATCTCGTATTGGCTTATATTCTGGTGCTCTTACTGCAAACCGGCCAGTTGGAGAAGGCCCGGGTGATTGGAAAGGAGGTCGGGCTGGGCTTTGTAGAGGATGCCAACAGCGCGCTGCAGAATCTCGCGGCTGCTAGGCTCAAGTTGCTCCTCGGGAGGTGACAAGACCTTCTCAAAGACGCCAAGAAGCTGGGGAGTAAGCTGCTGGACAGTCTGGTTGGACTGCTCGTACAGAGTGTAGATACACTTGTAGATAGGCTCATTCTCCTCGTAGTCCTCCTCAAGAGGCAGGGCATTGACGACAGCAGGCAGGGCCTCGCTGACGAAACCAGCATCCGGATTCTTCATCATCATGCGGCAGAGAGCGCCAGCAACGTTATCAGTGAGGCGCATCTCACGGACAGCAATAAGAGGCTCAAGCTTTTCCCAGATCTGGGGGTACAAGGGGAAGGTCTTGGCGGTATCGGCAGAAGTGTAGACGAGAAGGCCCATAGCATAAGCAGCATTCGACTTCGCAAGAGAATCAGGGTCCGTGAGACGACGGCCAAGTGCCTGGCCAAGCGACTCAGTGAAAGGGGTCATGGCCTCGCCAGCGTGCTTGAGGACCTCGGCAATAGTGCCGGTAGCAGTGGAGCGGTGAAGGTCCTCAGTAGAGCTGGAAAGCTTGAGAATAGGCTTCTCAAAGATCTTCCAGAGTTCAGCGAAGGAGGGACCGAGGGCAGTGGCAAGGCCGGTGACGACCTCGAGGGCAGTATCAACAACAAGCCAATCATATTCTGACGAGCCAGCATCAATCTCCTGCTCACCCTCCTCATCACCAAGGTCCTGCTGGCAAGGGTGCGAGCGGGTAATGATCAAGGTAATGACAGAGACAATCTCCTGGAGCATCTCCGAGTTCGAGGCGAGAACAGCAGGGCCACAAGCCTTGAGAGCGGCAGCAACATTGCGGTTGATGTCGGTAACGACGCTCCTGATAGTTCACTTGTTAGCATTGGAACAGCAAATGTGATGCTAAAAATGAAGTGATAAAGACAATTGCAAATCAGGAGTAGATAAGGCGTGTTCTCAGCAACCGCATTTTGCGTCTGAGTGAGCTGGGTATAACGCAAGGTATTCATCATGCAATTTGGTAGGATCAAGGATAGAAACGTACCGTTCACTGTCTTCGGCCCAGAGGTTGTTAGTGGCCTGTTGAAGAGCCTGGCCAATGCTGACAATGGACGCAGGTGGGGTGTGCTTAGGAGGCATGCCAGGCTCCCACTTGACACCAGCATTGGTCTCCCAGACCTGGAAGACTCGAGTATAGATTCTCCAGAGGGTGGAGACGGCGGACTTGCGGCAACCTTCGTATGTGTTCTCAGTGAAGGGAGTAATCTTCTCGATTGTCTTTTCAGTGTATGTCTCAAGGTTGCTGCTATCGCAAGAGTTTGCAATGACATCGCCGAGGACATCAAGGGCAATTTCTTGCTCAAGGGCGACGGCGGTGACGGCACCGAAATCCTCAAAGTCTTCGAGGTCAGCCCAGTCATCCTCATCAGCTCCCCCAGTAGCAATAGCAACATCGTCCTCACTCGCGTTGGCCTTGATCTTTATTTTCTTGCCGCCAACGACGATGGAGCCTTCACCAAGTTGGCTGACGTCAACGCCGGGAAGATCAATCTCCTCCTCTTCAAGGTCAAGCGAGGCAAAAAGACCATTGAAAACTCCGTCCAGGAAGTGGCTGAACTGCTCCTGGTAGACCTTGGAAAGGCTGGACCAGAGGATAAAACTTGTCTCCTTGAGTCTGGGGCTGTCAAGATGAAGGGCCTCCTCACTGGCCTTCATGAGGTCCAAAACATAGGGCTGGAAGACCTCGGCACCAACAGCAGTGGCAATGCGTCCCAAGGTGTCACAAGTGGCACTGCGGAGATTCATCTCTTCCTCGCTATCCTTGATCGTGACAAACTGTCCAAGAGCCTTCATCACCTCGTCAAAGTAGGGCTTGAAGTCGCCTTCCATGGAAGTTGAGATGGCACCAAGGGCAGAGGCAGCACCGGCACGAACGCCAAAGTCATCGTGGCTGAGAAGCTTGACCATAGGACCAATAAGGTTGGGGCCATATTGGGCCATGACCTTGTTCTCGATACCATCACCGAAGGTGTCTAGAGCACCGCACGCGCAGCGGATGATGGCAACATTCTTCTTGTCGTTGCCAGCCTGTGAAGCAGCCTCAAGGTTCTTGAGCACAGCGGAGAGAATCTGCTCGTGGTGGGAAGCCATCTCGTCAACCATCTCCTCAGCCAGGTGGATAAGTCCAACAAGGGCAGCGTGGCGGACCTTCAGCTCGTTGTCAAGAAGGAGGTTAACAATGGCAGGCAGGAGCGGCTCAAGCTGGGTAGAGATGAAATCAGGGGCACCGGCGGCAGCGTTTCCCAGAGAAAGCATCGCAGACATTCTGTAGCTAGGATCCTGACTCGTAGCAAATGTGGGAAACTGTTCCAGAAGGGGAACGATGACCTGGCGAGGGGGCAAAGAGTTGGCAAGCTCTTCGACAAGACCAATGGCGGATCTGGCTGGGGACATATCCTCATCGTCGTCGTCGTCGTCAAGCTCGGCGACGATGTGCATGGCACCAACCATCATTCTCGAGGGAACGTCGTTCATAGCTTGCAGCTTGCGAGGGCGGAAGCGAACGGTCTGAATGAGGAAAGCAACGGCCTGCGAGCGAGCGTCCTCCTCAGCCTGCTTGTTGCCAGCCAGGTCCATCATGAACTGAAGGAGGTCCTGGAGGTGAGAGCCAAAGAGGGCAGAGTCGAAAGCAATGAAGCTATGGAAAACGTCGAAAACAACCTTGTAATTCTCCTCATCCTCGGCCTCAACAGTAGCCTTGAGGATGCTGACCATGTTGGGGATGAAGCTGGCGACAGCCTCAACAGATTTGGGGTCCTCCTCAGGGATGATGTTGCTGAGAATAGCGCCGATGCCGCGGACGATGTTGATGCGAACATCCTTGCTTTCCGGGTCCTCGATGCGAGAGTGGAACAACTGGAGAAGCTGATGCGTGTGATCGGTGAAGAGAATGGGGTTGTTCTCAAGCATGGCATAGACGAGGTAAGAGCCAACCTCGCGGGCCACGACGTTATCGTGGTTGTTCAGGGGAATGATCTGCTGGAGGAACTCCTCGCCTTGCTGGTTCTCCATGTCGAGAGTGACGAGGTCAGCAATCAAGCGAGCCAGAGAGTGTCGGGTGGCCGCAGAAGACTCCTTGAGAGAGCCTTCAAGCAGATGGGTGCGGCACATCGACTTCTTATCATCGGGAACATTGTCCCAATGCTTCACAGCTATGCGGGAGGCCTGAACAGAGGCCAGCTGTCGGATGGGAGCGTCGCCATGAGTGAGCGAAATCTCGACGAGGAGCAGCAGGCACTCGGGCTTCGAGTAGTAGTTCTTTTGGAGATCGGCTGTGACGGCCTTGACCTGTTCCGTGTCGGCTGCAAAAAAGTTAGAATCTGTCAAATTGTGCCGCGACGTGAGAAAACATACGAACTTGGCTGGCCTGCAGCAGCTGCACAAGCTTATCCTTGTCCATTTTTACTCTGACTCTTCACTCGTTGGCAAAGCCTTTACGAGAGAAAGGGGGTTTTGGCAAAGTAAAAAGATGTGTGAAGGAAGAAAAATTTTGTTCGAGTGCCAGGGTCGCCAGGAAAAAAATAGAGGGGTCAATTTGCCCCGCCTGGCTTGGGCTGGGTACCTTATTAACAACATGAGACGGCGCGTCTTGCGGTCAGGCCCACAACAGAGCGCCAGCCCAGCCTGCTCATCAGTGATATACATACATTGAGTGGTGTGGCACGACGGATTTGTCCCCATCTCCTCTTGGGTATCTGACCTCTCTTACTGACGTATCTCGCCTGTCTGAGGTATTCCAAGGGATACCGAACAGAGGACAAATACATGTCGGCTTTTGCAGGCACCTCGGCAGTCGCCAGAAAAGAAGGACGTATTCCATAAAATTCGCAAGGCCTTTCGAGTTAAGCCTACGATCGAGTCGTTTGCCCAGTTTCCAGTGTGAGGACCGAACCGCGTATTCTGTCGGAAGAAGCAGTGTATGTCGTTACCCATCAGCAGAGTAGGATCCTTAGTGAGCTTGTCACTCCTCGAGGCAGATCTGCGACCCAACGGGTAGCTTGTCACAATCAAGCTTGGGGTTGAGCGCCAGTACATCGTCGACACTCCCTCCATGAGCCTCTGCAATGTCCCAGCACGTGTCACCATGACGGATGGTATACGGCTCGGCGCCGGTGGGACAAACCAGCGCGCTGCCTTCGTCAGAGCGCGCGGCCACGTGGAGATACCACCAGAGAAGCAGCAGGGCAACACCAATAATGACTCCAAAGTTGAGTAACGGCATGAGTTCGTGCCGCCAAGACACCAGGCGGCCGGCGCTGGCGTTGCCAGGCAAGAATGGCTGCGCGTCGTCGTCCTCTGCGGCGAGCTCATGGCCAACCCGGGTCAGCCGGCCGTATCGCGAGCCAGGAGCGCTCTCCCAGTAAGAGCCATCGGCATCTTGGAATGTGTAGACACCCGTGTCGGCGTCATACCCGACGCGTGTCATACCCTCGGGCAGGCGCTCCTCGTCATCGTCATATCTCGATTGTCGGGGCATTGCGTCGATGAGATGTGAAAAACGGCACCAAATGAAGTTGGCGATGGTGTTATTGATGGATAAAGATGAAATAATACCAAATTTAGTCAGGCAAAAATTATTCAAGGAAGAAGAAGTCTCGAGTTGCCTTGCTGATTTAAATGTTTCAACACCGAGGAGCCTTAGTCATCAGCCCCCTGGCGTGGCTGTGCCACCCTCAGCCTGATTGACAAGAGAGGTCGGCTAACCTTCAACTTAGCAGAGGGCTCCTAATAACGCACAGTTGTACTCTAAATCGTGCGCTCGATCGCTTTCGGCCTCGCGTTCCTTTGCTTGCCGTTTAACACGCCGTTCCTCCCTCTTCACGTCTGCTTCCTGGCGTCGTCGCTGGATCAACTCGGACATGCTTCGTGCAGGCACAATGCTGGCATCGTATTCCAACACCACACACCATACTCCGCCGTCGTCGCAGCCAGCGCCGTCCATGTTACGGACGAAAAGGTAAAGCGCTTCTGAAGAGCTTCGAGGCTCTCTAGACACACCCAGCCGCATGACCTGTGCTTTTTGCCGCCTGCAGCGACAGGCTGGTACATATGAAAGATGTCCAGAAGCTCTTGCGCCGTGCTTGGCTTGCCCATCGTGCGTTTCACTCGGGCAGCATATGGATATAGCTCTTTCGGCTGTGGTCACGAGCCGTCCCAGACGCGTTTTTCATATGCAAACTCGATGGGGCCATCTGTGCATCGTCTTTGGGTTGCTGAGTGCGGGCCAAAGGCTGACAGATAGTTTACTTATCATCGCCCGTTTCGAGTAGGCGTCTGAGGTGAGTCAAACAGCCGCGGCGCGCACTGTATCTGTCGCTGCATTGTGCTGGCCTTGCCGGGTTTGGAGGTCCCTCGGGATATTGTTTCCAAGGCCATATGCCTTCAAAGTATCGCTCAGCCCTGGCCGCTTGGCACCACTTACGGCTGTGGCCAGCTCTTGGATGTCTATCCACAAGTCGAACAGGGTCGTCAACTGTACATATAATGTGGATAACAGACGAAGTTCATACCCGAGATCGAATCCCGTAAATTCCACCGGAGGATCTCCTTGTTCTTTAGGGTAGTGCCTCTTTTGGAGGTCGCGCACAAGGTCTACAATGTGACTCTCTATTTGATCGGCTTTAATAGAGCGCTGGCAGTCAATGCGATGTCGTTCTATGCTTGCTTGAGCTTGTGCGTTCATGTTCCGAAAGAGAGAGACAATGCCGCTCTGACTTGTGTTTACGTACCGCCTCATCCAACGTAGCACATGCTAAGTTGTCTAAGCCTTTTCCGCACGCGTTCGATAGCGCCATGGATGTGATCCCAATCTCGTCAGGCTTCGAGTTATCGCCACCCCAAGGCTCCGCATCGAAAACAACGAATATTGTGCGGCCTCTTTTGATCATTCGGCTAAGGGACGAGGTGTCGGAGATGCATGAGTTTTACAATTGTCGCCAATGGGCGACTTTGAATGCGCGGGGACTATTTTGGTACCGCATATTGCAAGGGGTCGTGGGTGCTGTTGATGGTGTTTAGATTTGAACATAATGCAATCAGAGGTGACGAGGGGAGAGAGGCAAGCCGTATTTATACTAACAGCTAGAAGATTTGAGTTCGAATAATCTTGAGATACTAACTTCTCTCTGGCTCGCTGTGACATTTAGAGCGTTGCCCGCCGACGGTTTGGCCTTCTTAGCGCGAACAGATCGACCAAAGCACACCAATTCCTACAGTACATAACGTCGTACAACTCTTGGGTATTGAAACTTTTGACTGCTAACAGAAAGAATCCAGGTTTTATACAAGACAGTAACCAAATGCCACGCTATATGAAAAACATCACACCCATGGCCACAGCCGCCACAGCCAGCGTGGCAGAGCCACTAAAGGTTCGAGCACCACCACTATCTTTCTTTGAAGCGACGTCAATCGTGGTATTACTCCATAGCTGGGGTGCGTACGAGGCAGCAGGCTTGCTGCTGTCGACCGTGCCATTCCAGCAGTACTTGCTGAAGCAGTCCTTGCACGCGGCCGGGACCGTAGTCTTGGTGCGGTCGAAGCTGCGGGATAGCATGGCGCAGCTGACACACGTCGGCCAGTTGGTGTCGCGGGTACTGTTCATTTGCGTGACGACAGCCCATCCGTTCGAGATCACAGCATCTCGCGTGGTGTCGTTGATGCTCATGGTGAAGGTGGATAGGTTGGAGTGGAAGACATAGGGGTAGTTGGCCATGTAAACGACCAGCGGAGGTATAGGGCCGCTCGAGCTGCTCACGTCGCAGCCGAAGAACGTCGGGCGGGTGTTGAGGCCAAGGTTAATGAACGTGTTGTTGTCGGGGACGACAGGGAAAGACGTGCCGGCGGACGAATTGCTCTTGGTCCGCTGATAAGTCGCAAATGGAGCGGCGCCGTCGGGCCAGTTGCTCGTGTCGGCGCTCGAATCCACGGCAAAGACGACGTCAACCTTTCGCGCATCGACAGTGTGGGGATGAAATGGCACATTCTGGCCATCCTCGCCTCCGTCTACCAGCGTCAAGCTGTCAGAAGTGGCGACATAGTTCTTGCCCGAGTTCCAGTTTTTGAACGGGTTCGGAGTCCAGTCAGCCACGTCGTCGCTTCGGTTGCCCAACGTGGTAAGGAAATCGGTGATGAAGGCGATAACAGTCTTGGGGATGTTTTTGGGTTGGTACTTGTCAGGGTTGCTTTCCATGCGAAGAATGATCTGGTTGAAGAGACTGCTGGACGTTCCCATCACATAGCCAACATTGTCAAAGCCGTTGATGCACTTTTCACTGCTTGGCAGCGTTCCATTGTCGAACTTGGAGCCCGTATACTTGAGCGGCACAAAGCCAGTCATACCGGGATCCGTCGAACCAAGCTCCCAGGGGTTGAACTCGAACAGGACAGACTCGATTGTGGTGTTCTTCTCGCCCGGGGCTCTGCTATCAGCGACTAGAATAGGGAGTGGCGTCCTTCCGGCAGCGAATTCGGTGTCGTTGGCAATGGAGGAGAAAGTGAAGCTGGGGCCGCCGTTCTTGGCATTGACCAGCTGGAATGATAGCATGCGACCCCAGATGTCGGTGATGGAACGGTTGAAGCCGGCGTCGTGCTTGTTATCGAGCTCATCAAGAATAGTGGCGTAGTATTTGACAATTCCAATATCTTTGGGACCTGTAGAAATTTTGTTGGCAAAGACGTATAAAGAGAATAAAAATTTAGGAGACTGACCTTCCAAAATCGATTCGCCAAACTCCCAGATCTTGTTAGTGGCGACGGCATCTTGAACGGTAGTGAAGTTGTTGGTGAAAATACTGCCTACAAGCCAGCCGCCGCCGGAAAGGCCGGAAAGGTAAGTAGCACTCTGCAGCAAACCACCCAAGTTGCCCTTATCAGTACTACCGGTTGAGCGGCTATCAAATGCCTTGATGGCGCCCGCGCCGTTGAGCATGGCACGGTAGCCGCCACCGGAGATGGCGATGCCAATGTTGGGTAGCGCCGATGAATTGGAGTTGACATTCTGCAAATACGCATCGCTATCAAAGTTGGGGATGGCGGCACGCTTCAGGAAATCTTTTATGTGCGTGATAGTTTCGTTGCGGCGCATTGGAAGCCATGCCGTCTCTTCCGGACTCAGGACAGTACTCGAGCTGTCGCGAATAAACGGCCTCGTGCTGGGGCAGGTAACTTCGGACGGCGCATATCCGTCCGGAGCCTGCGCTGTGGCTCGGCGAATGAGAAACTCAATATCTTCGGGGGTTAAGTCTGCATTTCGCAAAGCTAAATGCTCTGTTAGGTGATGTGGTGAAAGCCTTCAAGCTCAGGACATCGTACCTAGCGCGTTGGTTTCTGCGACACCAGCTATAGACGGGCAGGCCAGCGCCAAAGCCGCGGCGACAAGAATCTGTGGTTGACGCATGGTATAGGATGAGATGGACGCCGATTCCGTCAGGATTATCCGCGCGTCTTCTATTCTCGCTCACTTGGCCAGGTTATGGTTTGATACATGAGCGCAGGGGGCCACAGGGGACAAGACGGATAATATAGTTCAGTTCATCACACCTGCGGCATGTAACATGGGTGGGCTGTGCTCGTTGAACAGAACACAAGGCCCATTTCGCCCCATCAATGGCCTAATGCGGGCTCTTCACGACAACTGATTACTTTTCTTTTTCCCACAGGGCCACAGCCCGGTAAGCCAAGCCCGAATAGGGCCGCAACGGTATCGAAACAGACGGGGGGGCTCTTCTCAGCCTTGACGTTATTACCCAGAAACTGCACCAAAATGACCATAAGCAGCTAGTTAGTGGGCGCTGAGTTGGCGCCGAGCCCGCCGCTGTCTCGCGCAAACTTTGGGCGGCCCCAGCGAAGTTGCCGAGGATTCCGGGGATGCGGTAGACGCCACCAACGGGGAACACGCTGGCCATGTAACTTTGATGATCTGCTGCGAGCCCGTCGCTGGGCTGGGGTAAAGTCTCGTGCCGTATGGCTTTTGACAGCTGATGTTCTGATATTCGTTCGTGGACGAGTGAATTGCATACGGCCTCCGCGGGAACAGCACCGTCCACCGCCGGAATGACATGGGCCTTGTTGCTGCAGTAAGACAAAAAGGGAGCCTGAAGAAGAGGTGACATGACACCATGCAGTGAAGACCCTGAAACTCGGCGGAGCTCCAATGGGCGTCTTCACTTACTGTAGCTCGATCGGGAGGGTCGGAGCTTCAGGGCCACGTACGCTCCTGGCGATGCCGACGGGCGTCGACGAACCCACAGCCTTGGTGCAGGCTGAAGCAGCCTCAAGGCTCAATCATAGCGTAGTTGGCAGTAGTTGGACGAAGGGGGTTTGTACCCAACCGGGATTGCGGCAGGGCCCGGCCACCCGAACGCCGATAGGAGACCAACAATGCCACGCCGAAGGGGGCAATGTCGTTCAGCACCCAATAATATTAAAAGATCCCCATTTCTCATTTCTTTCCGTCACTGTTGTCGGGCAACTCCATCTTCCCTAGAGACTAGGGCCGTCCAATCACCGGCCCCGGTACGAGCACAGCCTTGTTCCTCGCAAACATGGTACACGCAGGCATGCTATGCGACCCAAGTGGTGACGACTCCTCTCTGGCATTGAGGCGAAGCACAAAAATTTTCGTGCCTGAACTCGATTATCGTCAACAGCCTTGACCGATTTGGAGATAAGAATCGCTTCACCTGTTTTGGAGAATTTCTTCGAAATTGAACCAGGAGCCAGTCGTAGCGGAGGTTGTCACGTGCGAAGTCGATGTCGTCGTCAACACCGCCTGTAGTCAAGAATGTCACGAATTTGCCCTTCGACACGAATTGACCAAACCCCCAATTGCGGCGTAGAAGCACTACAACGCATCGAAGCGCATCGAAAAGTATACCATATGCCTGCAAGCCTGTTTTCCTCGTCGCGCGCCGGCGCTGCTGCCTATATTCTTGAGCGATAGCCTTGGTCAAACGAGTCGTAGACGCGAAATGCCTCCTAGATTATACCATCGAAAATCTAAAACAGGCTGTCAATTATGTCGCCACAGACGCGTCAAGGTAAAATCTATCCACCATAAATACTAGGCGTGCGGCTGACAATATCCAGTGCGATGAAGCTCGCCCGGTCTGCGTAAGACAATGCGACTTCCGTCCGTCGCCGTACCTAGCTGACATGAATACATTCTAGAGTAAATGCAAAACTCATAACCAGCAATGCATCTATGACCGGTCACCGCAAAGCGCACAACCGGCCAGGGTCAAGCTCAGCCCACACTCCGTGGCCTCGCCAGTGCCATCAACCGCCCCCGACTCGCCTTTGGTGCACGCAGCATCGGAGACAAAGGAACGACGAATCTTGGAGCTGCAGCTGCTGCATTACTTTTGTGTCAACGTGTCCTTGTCAATGCCCGGGACGAAGCACTTCCCCGAAATTCGCGACATCTGGACCGTTGCTGTCCCCAGACTTGCGACCAACTATGACACCCTCCTCAACGCCATTATGACGCTCGCTCTGCGGCACATGCTCTGCACAGGCTTCGAAGATATCGCGCCCCGGGACAAAATCGAACTCCACCACGCGCAGTATCTCGAAGCGACCTTGCAGGAGTACCGTAGTGGCGTTGGCACCCTGACTCCCGCCGTTGCGGACGCAGCAACCTTCACGTCGATCGTGCTGTCTCTGCATGCCTTGGCCAGTCTGCGCGATCGTGACCTCAGCGAGTACACCGCACCGGTGCAATGGCTTCAACTATGCAAAGGCGTCACACACGTGTTCAAGGTGACGCGACTTCTCTTGCAGGGCGACGCCGAGGCCTACAGCAACAAGATGGTCGCAATCGGCGGTCCGATTGTCGAGCCGTCCAACATCCTGCGTGAGGAGAATCGCAACCAGTTCCCGAAGCTGCTCGCGCGGCGACCGGAGGATTCGGACGCGGACGACGCAGCATATGTCGAAACAGCCACCTACATCGGCGCCATACAAACTGCTATCCAGGCGAACGACCATGTCGACTTCATTACACGTCGCCTCATCATTTACCCTTTGCTCATTCCGCAGCGTTTTGTCGAATTGGTGAGCGAGCATCGGCCGCGTGCGCTAGTGATTCTGGCGCACTTTTTCGCGCTCGCGGCACACTGCCAGACATCAGCCTGGGTCGGAGACGTTCCCAAGAAGGAGATTCTTGCATTGGAACAATACCTGGGGCCGCAGTACCAGCAGGAGCTTGCGTGGCCTTTGAGCGTTGTAGGACCGCCCAACGGATGAGATCACCAGCGCAGGCAACTCGACTCTGTCGCCAGTCTAAATACAAAAACAGGTAGAAAAGAATGTACAAGATTATTAAGTCTCGCATTCATCTACCCATAGCTACAGTTTCATCATCATGTAAGCACACTTTCGGGCGAACTGTTTTGTATCCTTGGTCGGTATCGATTTTACTGCAAAAGATGAGCCCTTGTCAGCACCAGATGAGACGAAACTTGCCTACTTAAACATACACAGTACGCTAATCTATGCAGATTCCAGAGTATCATCGCTTATTATGGCATGAACATCAGAGCGTCGCCATCGGGCTCGCTGTCGGTATCGTTCAAGACCCACATTATAAGAGGGCTGAGCTCGATGGCTACACAAGATTCCGTGGCGAGCCACAGAGTATAAGTACCAGAGGGTAGATTAACGAATTGTTGAAAATCTTTTCCTTTGAAAAGCTCAGCAAGTCTCAATTGATTCAGTTGTCTTTTACTCGGCAGTCAATACATTCGACCGATCGCCTAAAAGCCCCGCCGCCAATATGAACTCCGTCACAACAGCCCAGATGGCAATTTATGCCGTCTTGATCATCCCAGTGTTTTACTTGTTGCTAAAACATGGCAAAGTTGGCGTTTTGGGGTGGTTGTACTTCACTGCATTCTGTATGCTACGAATTCTCGGAGGTGCCCTCGGGCTGAGCGGAAGCAAGACTGCCACCATCATCGCCAATATTGGCCTGTCACCACTGCTGCTGGCCGCCTCTGGCATTCTGCACGAGTCGTGAGTCCGCCTTCCTTCTTGATCGTACGTCTCTGTCAAATAGAGTTGCACAATGCTGACCATTTCCTGGCAGAAACTCTTTGCGAAAAGTGGGCGATGCGAAACTCGAGTGGACTGTCGTACTGGCCTTTCACATCCTCATTGCCGGTGCGACAGCCATCCTCGCAGTCGGCGCCTCTGCCTTGCAAAGCTCATCGCCGCTGCCATCCGACCTGACAAAGGTCAAGGTTGGTATCACGCTTTTGGCCATCGGCTGGATCGTCCTCGTGGGGTGGGCTGCACAGTCATGGTTCCGACAGAGTACTATGGAAGACCCAAAGTCCCGCGCCGGGCGCAAGGTAAAGCAACTTTGGGACCAATACTCATCTATGAAAGCTAACCTACTCTTAGCTTCTCAAAGGTGTTGCCCTGGCCTCGATATTTATTGGTGTCCGCGTGTGGTATACGCTGGCTGCTTTCGTCTCCCAGAAGAAGTCTCTGAGCCCGGCCACGGGCACCATTGCCGTCCGCGTGGTGCTCATTCTCCTGCCGGAGCTAGCTGCGTCTCTCATTCTCCTCGCCTACGGATGGACTACCCGGGATGCTACCAGAGGCAAGGTAATCGACGGAGAAGCTGCAGGCATGCGTCTCAGTACCAAGCAGAGCAGTGCCTAGCATATAGGCGGGGGTTCATACCAGAAATCCTAAGCCCCGTGTCATACTAGAACAAGTCCACGTCTTTGTTTATTCCCCTTTTCAATAATTTTCCAAGTTATACAAGAGCTTTGCGTGACTCAGTTTGGGGTCATAGAACAACTAAACATCGATTCTGTCTAAACTAGAGAATAATTCCGGTCAAATATACTCGCAACGCAAACAGTGAACACAATAAGTCGTCCTACCCCCGACAATGTCAGGCCTCTAAACTCAATTCCTCTTGGCTTTGGCTGCAGTAATCTTGGCGGTCATCTTGGCAATCTTGAAAGTCCTCGCCGCGAAGCGCTCGCCCAGCGACCGCGTCAAGAACGCCTGCACGAACCAGACCAAGGTGCTCAGCCCGCCCGCCCAGAACCAGTCCGGCGTGCCCCCAAACAAACCCCCAAACCAGCCCTCGCCCTTGACCGCGGCGGCCACCAGCTTCTTCGCGTACACGTCCGCGGCCCAGGTGCCGCTGCGCTGGCTGAACTGGATGCGCTCGTCGTACATGTCGCGGACCGGCTGGTAGATGGAGTCGGCGGGCAGCTGGCGGACGAGGTGGGAGGTAATGTTGGACTTGATGGTGCCGGTCATGGCGACCATGACGCGCACGCCGAACGGCTTCATCTCGAGGCGCAGCGTGCGCGAGTAGCCGTCGAGCGCGGCCTTGGTGCTGCTGTACACGGAGGCGAAGAGGTAGGGGGTGACGGAGGAGAGCGAGGAGATGTTGACGATGAGCCCGCGCGCGGGGACGAGGAGTGGGATGCAGGCCTGGCACATGAGCATGACGCCGAAGACGTTGGTATCAAAGGTGCGCTTGACGTCGTCAATGTCGATGTCGGTGGCGGGGATGGTGTGGTTGACGCCGCTGGCCAGGTACGCTCAGTCAGCCGTCACAAGAACCGCTTTGGGGTCAAGTACATGGAGAGATGCTTACGCGTTGTTGACGAGGATGTCGAGCCTGCCGCCGGTGATCCGGGAGACTTCTTCCGTGCACTTCTGGACGCTGGCCTTGTCGCTGACGTCCAGCGCGACGACGCTCATGCCCGTCGTTCGCAGCTCCTCGAGCACTTCGGCTCTACGTGCCGTCGCAATGACATGGTATCCTACATTTGTCGCCATCAGCATGCAAGCTCTCACACTACCTGAACAGCATCCACGAGCGCACCTTTGCTCTGAAATTCAGTGGCAATCGCGTGGCCAATTCCACCGGGAGAGCACCTAAAGGAAGCAGTTAAGTTAGCTTAGCTGCTGGACGGAGGCGCTGTCGACGCGGAAAGCTCACCCAGTGATGAGGACGTATTTCTTGCTCCCAGCCATTTTCTCAAATAAGTAGAGCAGTATGATCTTCGTATAGCGACTTAATTCAACGCCTTGAATCCAAAGATGCGAGGTTGTATTTAAGCGTTGTATGCTCGATCCCCTAAAGTCCGGGGGTTGTGGAGCCGGCGTTTGTCCTGGGGAGGCTAAATCTCCGTGCGGAGCCGCGGCTCATCTCGAAATGGGCGACTTATCGTGATCACTATATACATCGTACGCCAAGGCCCGGACGTTGCGGCTTCTAAAATCCGAAAAAAAGAACAAAAGGCAAACGCCTACGGAAATTCCCATTAAGCGCCGTGTATTACAAATTAACAACTTGATAAGGAGAGGAATGTTCCAGCATTGCTTAGACGAAAGGCCAGATTGCCAGCGGAGCACTGCCTCACGAAATTACCCTGTAGCTTCTGAGTTTGCGGAAAGAAAACACCACCATATCGGAGGAGGCAAATATCACAAAAGTTTATCGGTCTTCTTCAAAGATAAGTTGTTGGCATTGATAAACATTGTTTAGTAGGGAGCAATTGGGGATACGACGTGATAACTACACCGATTTCTCGGGGTCGCCACGACTGATGACGCCTTGAATCCATTCTTAACCATGCCCAATGACCTACACACACATGGCCACGTCGACTAATTTCTACTTATGCAGGCTACTTTGAGCTATACGACGGCCCAGAAGCTTGCGACGGGCTCGAAAACCCACCCGTGTGGTAGTACGCGCGATCCTGATGAACCGACGTCCGCACCACCTCCACCGTCTTGGAGATCCCCCGCATGACCGCCGGCGTCTTGCCGTCCGCCTCGCTGTCGCTGTCCCTCGACACGTCGAAGAAGAAGTGCGGCGGGTGCTGCTCCTCGCTGCGCCGGCCCGCCGGCGTCCCGGGCCCGCTGATGACGACGCTCTGCTGCGCCAGGTTGGAGCCGCACCAGAGGCCGCCGCCATCCGCCTGGCTCGTGGAGAGGTCCGACAGCGCGAAGCCCTTTTCCATGTCGCCCCGCGGCTTCCGGAACGCGGCGTGCGCGTGGGGTGAGGAGGGCCCGAAGAGGCGTGGTAGCAGGATGCCGAGCGGCTGGCGCAGGATGACGAGGCAGGGGATGATGATGCCCAGGTTGGCCTCGATCAGCGTCCAGATGCCGCGCGGGATGAAGTTGAATGTAATGTCCGCTCTGTTCGTCAACGAGTATTGGACAGATGTGGTTCGGAGTATGGAGGTTATGGTTACGCTGTGAGAGGTTAGACTGGATACTGAGTTGTTCGTTGGCGACGGGGTCTGCCTACAAGCCTCCAAGAAGGAAAAGACCGTATAGCATGGCCTTGTCACGCCTGCCGAGGCTTAGATTCTTGATCACCGGAATCGGTAGAAGGAGCACCATGACATCGGTCAGAATGTTCATGACCGCATATGCCACCCAGAACTGGCCCGAGTTGATGCACCGGGCCTCGATGGAGTGATTCCAAGCGCCAGCGACAGGGACGCACTGAAAAATGGTCGCGCATATTGACCCGATACTCGCTGCTATGATGATGGCCAGTGTTGCAAATGCTGCGGCCCGGAATCGCGGGGAGGGGAAGAGCCGCAAGTATAGCAAGACGGTGGCCACCTTGTTCAAGCACACGGTGACTTTGTATGGTGTCTGGGCTATGAAGAAGTACTTCAAGGCCATGTGCAGCTCATCTTTGGACAGGTCGGCCTTGTGCATGCCGTATCCGTGGGAGATGGCTAATTGAATGGCGACCGATAGCAGGACTGAGCAGGACTGCGAAGCGTATCACGTTAGTACTTGCCATCTCCATCGCCTAACATCCGGTTTCAAAGGGAGCATACCAGTGAAGCCACAATCGTTGCATCGTCCCAGCCAAACTTGCGGAACCAAAGCCGCGTTGAGCATCGTAGAATGACAAAGATGCCAGCGCTGATGAGCATGACGAGTGATGTTATGTATAGCTTCCAGCCATTATCGTCGTATTGGTCGGTGGGAAACCCTAGACCCCGGTTTCCGGTTGTCATGGTTCGAGCATACTGCTGTGCCATTCTCGACAGACAAACATTGCACGTCCTGTCAGCGACGGCACTGCCGTGAATCTCTCAAGGGCTAGTGGTGATGATGATGCTGTTGGCCGCCCTCATGTCGATGCTTTCTCGGACGTGGAAGTGACAATAATAAATAGACAAGGCGGTATGAAGGCCCTTATCATAGCTTTTTCTTCCACTCTCTTTTCTCCGCACTTGACACGGGAGGTCGGTAGGCTTTTAAAGAAGGGCAAGACCCAAGACACCACCATGAACAACAAGCTTTTCAACAACATACTCGGGCTTCGGAGGAGTTACCAAAAAGTCTACTAGTCTGGTTCTTTTGCAGCAGAGACCTAATACAGACTTTTCCCTCGAAGGGGCATTGATGTGCTGGTCAAACAAGACTAGCCCTTGGTCTGGGTGTCACCGTGTGGCCACTAACCTGTTGCGAAGCCCAAGATGCCCGCATTCATTCATGGTTACTGCCCGTCCAGTTTTACCCCGTGGCGTACGCCACTCATCAGCAAGCTGGACAAATAAGCTTCCGGGGATGATGTCTTTGAGATCGCAGGGCTCGTCCGGAGTGGCCGCGCCTGGCTTGGGAGGGGTAATCAGGCTGCCAGAGCTGACAGGGAAGCTTTTTTTTTTTTTTTTTTTTTTAGGCTCTTGGTTCTAATTCTTCTGGAACGAGATTTCCCCCTGACTTTGGAGCCTAATGTGCCTGATGTTTGCCTGGCACAAGAATTATTAGAGCCCATCTGTTGCGGTGCTGTCCAGTTTGACTGAAGGTCGTGCCAGCCTGTTAGTGCACACCACCCAACCAGTGCCGCTTCTTCAGCCATTTCCACTACAATAATGACCGGTACGAAAGAATGAGGCTTGTCTCAGCGTATTGCAACGCAACTCGATAACTCGGTCCAAGACTAAAATGGTGTCGCGTGGCTTCGGAGACTTTGCGCCGCGCCGCGACCGCTCGAAGCGAAGGCTGGGCCGCAGATGGCTGTTACTTGGGAATGCGTGCTCATCTTGCAGAGATTCATCAGGGACGGCATAAATCAAATCTGCGGGTCGTAAATCTAAATCTACACCAATCCGCCAATCGAGAATCCTTGTAAATCCTCGTCATGGTCAAGACACACAGGTCCAGGGCAGAATTACCGTTGGGAAGCACCCTGATTCGCTCCCTTCCTTGTCCGCTGAAGATTAAAAAAAAACATGTGGTTTTCGCGCCTTCTCCTTCTGGAACCTGGCCCGCCAAGGCTTCATTCTCAGCCTTGATGTTGCGCCCTCTGTCCATCCAATGAACCCTACTAGCTAGCGTAGCCGACCAAGTTCCCCTTGGCTTGGGCTTACAATAGACGACTGAAATGCTCCTTTCCCCTTCTGATCTCCCACTAGGCCTCCTCTCGAGGCTCGCTCCTTGCCCTGCTCCTGCGGCGCAGAATGCTTCTCTACGTCAAATAGGTGCTGTAGTTAGCGGCTGCTGTTCCTTGGAGGCTATTACGGAGCGGGACCAGCGAGTACAAGACTGCATATTGGTACTAACAATGCGTGCTGTGGGCATAACTACTAGTTACTCATTATTAGCATGTCTTGAACATCACAGCTTGGTATGCTGAACCGTTGCAGCACGCGCCAAAGTCCCCTCTTCCGAGCGTAGCTGGTGAATTGTGTGCGACCCTCCCGTCTCAGATCCTATGAATCTCATCACAATGCGATCCAAGGCCGTGTCACCCCTCTTCCTCGCCCTGGCGGCTTGTGCCGTCAAAGCGGAGAGGGCCTCCCCCTCCCGCGGCGGAGGCGATGACGCCCAGTCCCTGCCCGTGTACCTCACAGTCCAGACGACCAACGGCCCCATCACGGGCCATCCCGCGAGCAACTCACCCAGCGTGCTCGAATACCTGGGAATACCGTACGCCAAGCCTCCGGTCGGGGACCTGCGCTTCGCCCCCCCGGAGCGCTTCACCGATGGCAAGCCGTACGAGGCGGCGCATTTTGGATACGACTGTCCGCTGACGGCCTCGCCGCCTGTCGACTACCCCGGACTCACGCCGCAGGCACCGCGGATCCTGTCGTACTTTGCCTCGGGCGCGGGCACCAACAAGAGCGAGGACTGCTTGACGCTCAATATTTGGACCAAGCCAACGGCCGCTTCCTACAAGTCTCGGAAGCCTGTGATTGTATTTTTCTACGGTGGGCGTAAGTGTCACCATCCAACTGTATAATAGACACTGCCACAGCAAGACAGACTCATTGTGAATGTGTTTAGGGTTTGCTATTGGAAACACGAATAGCCCGTTTTACAATGGCAAGTACTTTGCCGACGCGCAAGACGCCATCTTCGTCACGGTGAATTATCGCATCAATATATTTGGCTTCCCCGGCTTCCCTGGCAAGCCGCAGAATGCTGGGCTGCGCGATCAACGTGCCGCGGTTGAGTGGCTGCATGAGAACATCCATGCATTCGGAGGCGACCCCGACAGGATCACCATCGCTGGCCAGTCGTCCGGTGGTGTCTCGGTCGACTACTGGACGTACGCGTACCAAGAGAAGCCTCTCATCAGCGGCGTGATTGCCACTTCCGGCAACGCATTCAGCTTTCCGGTGCAGCCCGCCGGCGTCCCGTTGGCAAACTTCAAGCAGGTCGCCAGGCAACTCGGATGCTGCAGCAAAAGAGACGTCTACGAGTGCGTGAAGCGCGCCGACTGGCGCAAGCTGGAAGCCGCGGCCGCCTCGGTCCCGCCGGGCAAGAGCAGCAGCCCGCTGCGCTCCGTGCCGCCCTTCTACCCCATCCCGGACGAGGAGGTCGTCTTCTCCGACTACGTCAACCGCACCCAGGAGGGCCGCTTCGCCCGGGTGCCCCTCTTCTCCGGCAACAACGACAACGAGGCTGGCTACTACAAGATCCCCGCCTACGCCAAGGGCGTCGTGCCCACGCAGGCGCAGGTCGACGCCTTCCACCTCGAAAGCTTCACCTGCCCGGTCGCGCACCAGGCGCGCGCGCGCGAGCACCACGGCGTGCCGGCCTGGACGTGGCGGTACCTCGGCGACTGGGACAACACGCGCCTGTACCCGACGAGCGGCGCGTACCACGGCACGGACCTGCACATGGTCCTTGGCGCGTCGGGGGACGTCAGCGGCATAAAGCCGAAGGCGGAGCAGCAGGCGCTGACTGAGGTCGTGCAGCGGGCTTGGTATGCCTTCAGTAATGATCCGTGGCACGGGCTGACGGAGGAGATGGGCTGGCCGCGATACGCCGAGGGCACGGAGAGTCTGGTTGTGTATGGAGAGAACAATAGCGCAAAGCCGGTGCTTGTGAAGCCGTCAGAGTACGATGCCCCGTGTTCGACAATCATCTTGGGCGCACTGAGCACACAAACTTGAAGCTGGCCACCATGCTGGTTGAGCTTGAGACATGATGGATAATTTTGGTAATTTTTTTTGATTATCTAATTATCTGCCACACACCCCCTTCATCTTTTCATTTTCTTGCGTTTGTATCCTGTGCTTGTATCCTGGATATTAAAACTGATCTTTTTTCGCCGATGAAATCAATCCGACTTTTGCCAAATACGGACGGCCCGAGTAACCAGCACAAACAAAGTAGATTTCTTCGGGGCAAGTCAGCCTTATTATTCGTAAACTTCAACGTAAATCCGAAATACGACAATAAACGAGATTGAGACGTGGGGCATGATCGGCTCCTTTGTTGCTGGGAAGGCTCAGCCTGGTCGGCTCCTTCCTTCCTGTGTAACGGGGACCGGGGTCTGCAGTTAAAACAGGCTGCAGGTCTCGCGACAATTTGGGGAATCAAGTAAAAATATCCGTACAAATACCTACTTCCTCTCCTCACCCGCCTGAAGATCGCCGTCAGTTGGGCTTTCGTTACATTTTGCAAACCTTCAAAGCCGCACATCCCAGCTGCCCTCGGCCATGCGTCTACGGGATTCAAAATGGCTGACTCCCCAGCGACGAAGGTTTTGGGCTATCCTCCTCACCGCTGCCATCTGCGTTGTCATGATTGTGACACTGAGCTGGCACTTTTCCGATCGAAGAGATTCGCCTCGCCGTCCACAGAAAGACTCAGGCAACTCAGGGGGACAAGAAGAAGACGACCTGATTTGGCGAAGACTGCCATGGAATAATCCCTTGGAAAAGCCTCGGCCGCTACCGACCCAGGGTACCAAGCCCCTGCCTGCGGTGCAGTTCAAGTTTGGGGATGAGACCGAAGACGACAAGAAGACACGCCTTGGTCGTCGCGAGGCAGTCAAGACGACATTCCAGCGTTGTTGGGCCTCCTACATAGATCAGGCATGGCTCCACGACGAGCTCAAGCCCGTCAGTGGCGGATCCAAAGATACATTCGGCGGTTGGGCGGCAACCTTGGTTGACGCCCTTGACACCATGTGGATTATGGGCATGTACAACGAGTTCAATGAAGCCGTTGGCGCTGTGGATAAGAATATCTCCTTCGCCAGCTCTTCGTCTGGTGATGTCATTAGCTTGTTCGAAACCAACATCCGCTACCTGGGTGGTCTGGTTGCCGCTTACGATTTGAGTGGCGAGGATCGACTAAAGAAGAAAGCGACCGATGCTGGAGACATGATACTCAAGGCGTTTGACACGCCCAACCACATGCCCGTCGGCCGCTGGAACATCAAGGAAGCTGCCGAAAACAAGAACCAGACGGCGCCGCCCTCGACGAGCCTGGCCGAGATTGGTACCATGGTTCTCGAGTTCACGCGACTGAGTTTAATTACCGGCGATGCACGATACTACGATGTCACGCAACATATAACCGATCTTCTCGACGCCTCACAGATGACAACGAAACTTCCCGGTCTGTGGTCCGGTTCAGTCGATCCCAGCGCCGCACGCTTCGACACCGGCTCGATATACTCGATGGGTGGCGGCTCCGACAGCGCATATGAATACTTTCCCAAGATGATGGCCCTACTTGATCACCTCGATCCCATGTACGAGCGACTGTACAAGCGCAGTATGGCCGCCACGCACAAGCACCTCATCTACCGCCCAATGGTCCCCGGTGACGCTGACATCCTGATGACGGGCGATGCAACCACCAGGGACGCCCCCGAAGGCCAGCCAAACCTATCAGCCGTGACTGAACATTTGACGTGCTTTGCGGGCGGCATGTATGCCCTTGGTGGGCGACTCACGTCCAACGACTCTGACGTTGAGATTGGCCGACGCCTGACTGACGGCTGCGTATGGGCGTACAATGCCACCAAGTCCGGAGTCATGCCTGAGCGACTCATGGGCGTGCCCTGTTATGACAAGACGCACTGCACGTGGAACGAGACGGCCTGGCGCGCGGCCGTCGGCGACAGCGTTCGGGACGACGAGCTGCCTCCCAAAGGCATCGCCAAAATCGTGTCCAAGGAGTACATCCTACGACCCGAGGCAATTGAGAGTGTCTTCATCATGTACCGCATCACCGGTGACAAAATGTGGCAGGAAAAGGCGTGGATCATGTGGCAGGCCGTCGACGGCCTCACAAAGACGGACCTGGCCAACAGCGCTGTGGCCAATGTGGACACTGATGATGCCAGGAAGCTGGACTCCATGGAGAGCTTCTGGCTGGCAGAAACGCTCAAGTACTTTTATCTGGTGTTTTCCGAGCCGTCGCTGATTAGCCTCGACGAGTGGGTGCTGAATACAGAGGCGCATCCTTTCAAGCGTCTTGGGACCAAGTCGTAAATTTAAAGCATTGCTCCGGGATGGCTTGGTAGGAGTTCGAAACGGTTGCATAACATACCTACCTCATTGTTAGTGTTTTATTGGTTTAAATATGGAGTTAGCTTGTATACCTTGTAGAATACTTATGAATCTTGCCAAATCTCCTGTTCGCTGGCAATACGTGCCGGGTTATGAGATGGTAGATGCAAACAACTTATTGTAATGATATGATTGCTAAGGCTTCGCTAGATGCAGGTAAAAGAGCGTCCTAGATATATTTTTCCAAACGTCATTATGGTTGCTGCGCGCAACATCCCGAACATAAGGAACAAGTCCATTGGCAAAGTTCAAGTAAAGTCAGGAACAAGGCCCCAAGTTTCCATACCCAACTCATATAACCCCTCTTTCTACTCCTGCTGTGGCCTGCATCACTGAGGCATGTACGGTCTGTAGTCTCTCGGCGGACCCGGCTGCTGCGCAATCGGCTGCCAACCCGACTGGTGGTACTGTTGGTACCCCTGCTGTGGAACGGCGACGACCGACCCCCCCGAGTCGAGCTCGAAGATGCCGCCCGGCGGCTTCGACTGCGGCGGCGGTGGGCCGCCGGCGGCATGCTGATGCGCGTTGTCGTCGACGACGTTGGGGCCGGGGCTGTCCCTGTACGGCGCGCCGGTCGGCAGCGTCCACGCGCCGAGGAAGTTGGGCTGCTCCTGCTGCTTGTGGGAGGGAGGAACCTGGCTCATGGCCGGCATCTCCGCCACGTTTTGCGGCTGCGGCTGCAGCGGTGCCGGCGGCGGCGGCGGCGGCGAGGCGCTAAAAGTCGATGCGGAGTAGTGCGAGCGGCGGATGAGGAGGAAGGCGAGGCCGGCCAGGGCGGAGAGGCCGGCGACGGAGGCGCCGACCGCGATGCCGACAGTGGTCCCGGTGGAGAGCGTGTCCTTGTTGTCGTCGCCGGTGGCGCTTGCCGGACCGGGCGAGGAGGATGCCGTGGCAGACGCGGTGGAGGAGGCTCCGGGTGAGGCGGACGTGGCCAAGGTAGTAGAGGCTGTGGCTCCAGACGCGGCGGACGACGAGGATGTCGACGTTGACGAGGACGACGCCGATTCGGTCACCGTGATCTTGCTGCGGATGGTGCTGGTCTTTACTACTGTTGACGTCGTGGAAGAGGAGGAGGCGGCCTTGGCAGCCTCGTCGGCGGCCCAGGCCATGAACTCGGTCTTTGTGTACCGGACGGGCGTGAGGGTCGGGCCGCAGCTGACCTTCATCTGGTCGTAGACGTCGCCGACCACGCTGGCGGAGACCGTCGGACCGAGGCACAGGGCGGTGCCGTACACGAAGCCGTTTCCGCCGGACACGGGGGCGCCGCCGCTGCAGAGGCACGCGTTGAGTTCCTCAACGGTGTCTCCGGAGCACTGGGACCCCTTGGCCGCGGCGTAGAGGCACGGTTGGGCCTCTTTTGGGTAGACTTCAAAGGTCGGGTCGACGGCGAGGGCGGGGAGGAGGAGGAGGAGGAGGAGCAGAAGAGGGAGGAGGGGGGTGTTGGCGAGGCCGTGTCGTCTCGCCATGATTATAGCTTTGGGGGGAGGAAGGGGATGCTGTTTGTGAGTTGGTGTTGCTGGGATCGACGGCTCGTTGTTGGTTTGCGGTGATGGTTGGGAGGGAGGCGTGTACGTGGGCGCGAGAGAGAGGCGGGGGTCGGGAGGATGAACGGAAGGGGACAAGATGTCGAGTAATTGAGGTCGAATCGAAACGCGTGAATCAAGGGTTGCAGTGTGAATTTCTTCCCAAGGAGAAGCTTGGGACTGGGGTTTGTGACAAGGGACGAGGTGCAAACGGAGGCCGATGGAAGTCAGTCAGTCAGTCAGTCAGGCAGAGAGAGCACCCCAACAACACCAAGTCACTTGGCAAAGTTGCAGCCACCCAAAGACCCGAGCAAAAAAAAACTGAAGAGCCAGCCAGAGAAGAAGGGGAAGAAGGGGAAAAGGGGGGAAACAACGGAATCAGTGCCTGTTGGGCGCTCATCCGGGTTTTTGTACACCATTCCGGCGCTTCTCCTCTCCACCCATGGCTGGCAAAGCAGGCAGAGTAGAGTGCAGAGTGCAGAGTGCAGAAGAGGTGCAGATTTGTGGCTGGCTCGGCCACACAAACATCACATCTCTCCTTTTCTCTTTTCCCATTCTTTTTTTTTCCACCCATATTGTTAGCCGAGCCAAGCAACATCTGCAGCCTCCCGCGCCGCCGCCTTTCGGATAAGGTACTACTACGCGTCAAAAAAAAAAAAAAAAAAAAAAAAAAAAAAAAAAAAACCTGCACCCATCTATTTTAAGGTTGATATTCTGCACGGAGCAGACCTTCTTTTGCCCAATGTCTTGCTCCTTGCTTGCCGTTTCCTCTCACCGGCGTCGCTTACTATCTTGGGAACTAACCGACTGATAGCTGAGGCAAACAACGACATCTCCAAATCACCAACAACGGCCTGCTGCAGGCCCTGGGACGAACAGGGCGGATGATACTACCCAAGTGAGAATATTAATTTAGGCTCTGATCACGGCAAGAGGGAAGAAAATGAGCGTCACTGCACTGCACCAAAATTAGCAACTTGGAACCCCCCATGCCCCCCCATGCAGCTGCAGCCGCGCCCACCCATCCATCCATCATCCATGGACACATTCATGGGCCCATGAGGGAGGGAACAGGAGGGCGGACAAAGAATGGCCGCAGAGCAAGTCGTCTTTTCTTTGCTACCCAGCTTGGTCCAATACCTTGCCATCCAGTCCTTGTTCAGCTGCTACTCCCTGGAAACTGCAGACAAGGCTCTCAACATCCGGCCATCATCGTCCATCGTACGGATTCCGCACATGTTGGCCAAATATCCCCCCTCTCATCGGCCTGCCTTTTGTTGGCTGACAACTGAACTGGATAATTTGATGCGCAGGTAATCACGTTGAAGCGCACAAATCTGAGCACAAAAAAAAACAGAGTGATTTCCAGATTTCCGGGCAAAGAACGTGGCAGGACAACCCGCCTTCCCCTCTTGCACAGCCGCCCCCAGCTCAGCCTTGTCTCGCCCGCCGACGCACATACCACTGCACTGTGAAATAACAGTTCTTGCCAGCCAGGCCATGGATGAAGCCCGCCTCTGTTTGCTCTAGTTTGTGTTCCAAGATCGAGCTAGGCCTTGTCCGGCGCACCATAGATCAACCCGTCGGATCAGATCCCACGACACGAGGCGCACCGAAACCGGCATATTGCATATATACGGTGCGCAGGATGCATAAATATCAGAATTATGAAAATGCCACCTCCAATTCATAGCCCAATCATCAGCATGCTTGCTCCAAAAATATATATACATAATAAACATACGGCATAACAACAAGTGTAACAGGAGAAATATTCACAGCAACACCAACAACAACACTCAACAACAACACTCAACAACAACACTCAACAACACCCAACACCACCAACACCACCAACACCATCAACAACACCTACAGCGTCACAGTCGGAATATGTGACATGTGCACCTTGGCCGCCCCGTACGGAATCAGCCGGTATGTCTTCCTCTCCGAGATACACTTTCGATCCTTCGGCACTCGATCCGGCAGCACGCCCATCTTCAGATCCCACTTGATCTGGCACCCGTCCACCGTCATGAAGTTGGCCGGCGCGTCGTGTTCAAAGATGGGGTTCGCCATCTTGTCCGTGGCTCCGACGCCGCTGTACTTGATCGTCGACGGGTCAATCGCGACGTTCCACTCCTTGGTGCTGTTGATAAACTCGTCCCGCAGCTCCTTAAACGGCAGGCCGCTGAGACCTGGCCCTCGAGGGTCAAAGTATGCGTGCGGGAGGCTAGTCGTCTTGGTATAGCCGACGTCGAGCGCATAAAGCAGGTTGCCGTAGTAGATGGCTACAGTGTCGTCGACGAGCTGCTCGACTCGCGGGCCGATGCCGAGGCTGTAGCTGACTGTCGTGGTTCCCTTGGAGATTGAAATCTGCTGCATGCCTGTGCTATCGTCGCTTGCGTGGACGTCAATCGCAGCAGTAGTCGCGCCCTTATCACCGTCCGCTGCTTGAGCCACAGAGAGCGAGGAAGACTTCAAGTTCATCCACTCGGGCACACGGAGATACAGGTCAAAGTCCTTCGAGGCAGTAATGCTGTAGGACAGCGAGTTGGTAAATGGATAATTGGTGGTGCACTCAATGGACACGTCGCCGCCGTTGACCTTGGTCGAGACCTTGGTAGGGCCGAGAAGAGCGTGTCCGAGACCCTTGGAGCCAACCGCTACCCAGCTGTTGGAGACAAACTTGGGATAGCCCTGGGGGTGGTTGACCGTGCAGCACGGATACAAGGGTTCCATGCCGTACGTCGTGGCGACACCGCTGTTGGCCGTGGTGAAGATGGGCGGCACGGTGCCGTCGGGCTGGATTGTGCTGACGGCAAACGGCATGTTGGGAGACGACATGTACTGATGCGCCCACTTGTCGCCCGTCATCATGACTGGCATGGCGTTGAACACGGTTGTCTCGGCGCGATCGGCAAAGTTGTTGTCTCCGAGGACCTGGTACATGTATGCCAGGGAGTAGGAAGTCTCTACGGCGGTGCAAAGCTCACTGCCAATGTATTGCGAGTCGTCGCGCTGCCACTCATCGGCGAGGATGGAGCCAGAGGCACTGCCGTGGTACTTGAAGGTCAAGTCTACGGCGTCCCTGCTGCGCTGACGGAAGTAATTATCGCCCTTGAAGCGCCACACGACACTCGAGGCTTTGAGACCTGCAAGAGGGTGTTAGTCATAGCTGCGCACTTGTGGGTGGGATTAACCTGCCTTGGCCAACATTTACACCGTGGATGTACTGGGTGATGTTCTTGTCGTCGGGGTTGACAACCTTGCGGTATGTGGCAGGATCGTACCAATTATCCCACTTGTAGTCTGTTTGGTCGTAAAACATGCGCATGGTGTCCCAGAGCTGGTCAACGTTGAGGGGATGCTTCTCCAGCAGCCACTGGATGGTGATGATCATGTCGGCGACGCGCACCCTGCCCCACGTGCAGTCGACGTCTCCGGAGCAGCGGTTGAAGCCTTGGCTGTCGTTGTGCAGCATCTTGTTGCCGAGCTGGAAGAACTTGTGCAGTGCCTTGACGATGCGGTCCTCCCACTGCTTATCCGCCTCGGCGAGCTGGATGAGACCGAGGAAGAAAGGGGCGCGGGCCCAGAAATTGCGCTTGTCGCCCGTCTCGGGGCCGATCCAGCCGTCGTCGGTCTGAAAGCCGAGGACCGTGTCGGCGACGTCGTGGACTTGGCCCTTGAGCCGGGCGTCGTCGAGCTGGTAGGCGGTGGGCACGAGGCCGTTGAACCAATACGGGAGGGCCTCGTTGAGGCTGCTGTACTCGGAGCCGCCGGCACCGGGCTTGTTCAGCCAGGAGGACTGGTTCACGAAGATGTAAAAGTCATGCTCGTGGCCGGGCAGACCAGTAGCCATGGCTTGCATCTCGCCGAGCAGCCACCCGGTCGGCTTGACGTCGCCGACAGGCAGGGGAGAAAAGGTCCATGGCTGCACTGTGTTGGTTTGCAGCAGCAAGTCAGCTGCAGGTCATACACATGCAGGGTTGTTCTCATCTTATGTGTGGCAACGTACGTTTTTGGGCAGCCGAGGCCAGCCCCAGCACCGTCTGCGCAACTAGAGCGTGGTATGTTAGATTCATGACTGACGAGGAAGCAGCATCGCCTGGCAAGGCAGAGAGAAGGAGGTAGAGTGGTAGGGAAGAAGCCATGTATTTATAAACGGCTCGCGCCGTTGACAAACAAGCAATATAATGATAATCAGTAAGACAAAAGACAAGGGCCACATGCAGTAGGCAGGCTGGTGGGTTCAGATTCACACGGGGGGGTAAGGGAAGACAAGCACAGGGCAGGAGCACAACGAACGGCAGGTAGAGGGAGGTACCTGCGAGAGACCTTACTTTTATCTTGGAACCACATGATTTGATATTATTGAGCCCTTTGATGCAAGACGCATGAGAGGGTTGTCAATTTGCAATGCAAAGCGGTTGCGCGACGGAAATCTACGAACCGACCGACCGAAGGCCCATGGGAGGCGAGCAGAGGAGAAGGTGAGGAGTGACGAGGCAATCAAAGAGGGCCGGCCGGACAATGCGAGGCGGGCAGGGGGGGTCTCGAATAGGCGATGTCACCGAATGATCATGGCAGGTTCGTGGGTTAGAAGAGTACCTGGTGGGTAGAGAGGTGAGGTAGGTAGATGAAATGGTGATTGACTTGGCGCTTCAAAGAGTCTCGTGAGGTGAAACTGCTCCCTCCCACCTCCCGGTTTCCACTTCCCCTTCTTCTTGGCTTGGCCCTTGTTCGCTGGTTGGCACCTGGCTGTTCGCCGCTATACCGCTTTACCGTTTTAGCGGTTACTTCTTCCCCGCTGCCGCCACTTTTTTAGGGCCGTCTCGGTTTCTCCATTCCAAAATTGCCCTTTTCTGAGCCATTGTTAGGAATGATTCGATTGGTTCCTCTCTCCCTCTTTAGCCTTTCCGTAACTAATTAGCCTGTCTGCATTTTAACATGCGGGAGTGGCACGGGGGGGTTTGCAGCAAGCCTCTCCCTTTTCGATCCCCGATTTCCCCCCCCCCCCCCCCCCCTTCTCCTTACGGCATGTACAAGAAACACCACGGCCAGCTTCTTCTTTGATCGTCCGTCTAATAACAGTATGCGGCTTGCCCATCTCCGTCATTGGTCGCCGCGTGGCGTTGCGGGGGAGTGACACGGGCTTGGACGAGAAAAGTAAAAGAGCAGCGCGTTGACGTCTGCTTGGGCAAACGTGCAAGAATAAAAAGGTAAAGAACAACGAAACAGACGTCTGCTCATCTTAAAAGAATTGCTAGTCGCAGTAGTTCATGCAGGTTTGATGTTTTATAAGTCGTTCGGCCATACAACACCATCCATCCATCCATCCATCGACCATCGGAGCATCATACGGCATTTAGGGCTAGCCCAGCCAAACTAACCATTTGTTGCAACTTAAACACCATGTATTATACCTGCCAATTTCTCACCGACAGACAGACGTTGAAACCTCCTTCTGGCGACTTCTTCATCTCTCTTCGCCATGCCGAGGAGGATCCATCCATCTTACTAGATGCCAGCGGTACACACCCACCACACCACCCCTCCTCCACACTCAAATCCTCCAGTGCCTTCTCATCTCCGACCTACATGGTGAGTCGTGACAATGTATTTCGCATAATCATCCGCCTGCTTGCTTCGGTGTAAGTGGTCCCACAATCACGCCCATCCGTCGGCCTCTTCGGCGACGCGCAACGCCACCCCCATGCCGTCATGTGCGTACATTTCGCGCTTGGCCGCCGACCTCACCTCCTCGTTCCAGTAATTTTTTTTTTGTTCCGGTGCCAAGTATGTTTCGTCTAATCTCCCCCAGAGAAAAAAAAAGGGCCAACGTGTCGGACCGAATACAGAACAAGACAAACGCTTTGCCGGCTTTGCTTTCAGTCCTCTGGGTTGCTGCTTCATTTGCCCAGTCGCCCAGCGAATAAGGTGGCCCGTCGTCCAGCGTCACATGGTCGCAGTGTTGCACTGCGCAAACCGTGCAGCGTCGTCTTTCTCTTCTTCACCATGGCACGCGATCCATTCAAGACTTGCCGGTTGTGCGACTCCGGGAGTTGAGCATTGTGTGGTCCGAGATTCGCCTGTGCGCACCCTCAACGTCCTCGTATCCTCTGGCATTGTTACTGATTTGCTACGAGCTCGGACTTCGCAAGGATCGTCAGTTGCATCATCACCCCCGACACTATGATCGCCATAATAAAAGACGGGCGCACCTTCGTCTTGGGAACCTTTCACACGCGAGCTGTTCTACGTCAGTGTAAACGCGCTACTTCAGTAGTAAGTAACAGAAAACCATTTTCATTTGACCAAGCAAAGCACAACACTATGAACGCCTTCCCCAAGTCTATGGTCATTGCTTTCATGTATCCTCTAACCACCGCCATCGTAGCGGTAGTAATAATGTTTCTGGTTGTTGTTGTTCTCCCCGTACTTAAGGCTTCGCTTCTTTGTTTGGAAGTTCTCCAGCTTGCGCGCCCGCTTCTCATCCTTGCGCACTTCCTTCTTGGCATCGTCAGACGCCCCCATAAGACCGGCAGCTCCTCTCGGCACCACCGCGCGGCCGCGGCTGCGGTCCCGGCGGGCCACGCGGCGGTCGCCTTCGTCGTCAGACCCGGGACGCTCAGAGCCCTCAATCGCCAGGCGCTCCGTACGCTCCTCGGCAGTGGGGTAGTTGGTCAGGTTCTGGCGGAAGTACTTGTTAAGCGAACGGTGTCCGACAGACTTGCCAGATGGCAGGTGGAGCTCATAATCGTCATAAAATACGGCATGCGTATGCTTGTGCGCCCGCGAGTGCCAGCCATCAGCCTGGTGTCTGGGCCGCGGGTCATCGTGCGCATGGTGCGGGTGCTTGCTGAGTCTATCGTATTGGTGGAAGTGGCCCTCTGCCGGTACGGCTGTGAGGTCTTCCGAATCAAGTGACGATACGGAGCTGTCAGTCTCCCACCCGTCGCCATCCTCGTCCTCCTTCTCTCCGTCTCGGTCGGCCTTGGCCTTGTATACGCGGGCACCACCAGCGTCGCCCTCAGCCATCTCCTCATCACTATCCGAGCCTTCCGGGTCCGAGTAAGTCGAACGGAAGTCGTAGAAGTCACCAATGTCAAGCTGCTCCTCCTCAGTGCTGTAGGGGATCTTGCAGTGTCCTGTATCGCGCATATGGGTTTGTACAGCATATACCGAGTTCTTGATCTTGTCGCAGAACAGACAGGCGTGACCCTGACCGATCTTGGATTGAAGCTGCTGCAACAGGCCATCCAAGTCTGTCAGATAGGGCTTTTCGGGGATGAACATGCCGTGGAACTTTTCCATGTGCTGGGCATTGAGCGGCACGCTGGGCGACTCGTAGTTGCAGAAAAGGCAAGACTTGAGAGTCCATACCGGTTCCTGGGGGTTGCCGGTGGCGGTTCCATTCTCAGTCGCAGCATCGTCAGCATCCTCGCTCGCTGCGTCGGCGGCCGGGCGAGGGTTGTGGGGGCGCTTCACGGGCGAGGGGCGTTGCTGGGACAGTTTGGCCTTTTGGAGGCCCTTGATCACCTGGTTGAACTCATCCTCGGCGTCCGAGTCGACTTCGCCATTGTTGGCAGCGGGGACGGACTCGCCGAGAGAGAACGTCGAGCTGATCACGGACTTGGTTTCCTCCTCATTGCGGGGTCCGGCAGCCGCCTCGTTCTGCTTATGTTTCTGGCTCAGAACATGGTTCTGGTAGGCGTTTTCGCTGTAGTATGTCTTGTTGCATGCGGTGCAGGATTTTTCGAAGTAGGCCTTGTCGGTCTCAGCGGTGTTGACGGCGCGCGCCTGAAGGACTTTTTCCGTGAAGACTTCGGCAGAGATGGGTGGTAGGGTGGCGACACGGCGCTTAAGGTTATATCGGCTGCGTATGGTCAGAAATGCGCTTTTCGGTTTCACCCCCCGGGATCGTCACACTTACTGCCAGTCACTCTTCATATGTGCTTTTTGGAGGTCGATATTTCTGTACGCAACCTGGCAGGTGTTGCACGTGTACGGGTGAGACGAGGGCGCAGCCCCGGCGCCCGCCGCAGGCTGAGTGCTCGCCATATTGTGATGCCAGAGAACGCAACTTGCGAAGAGTTTTTGCCTTTATGATGGGATGAGATTGTGCGTTCCACGCCAAGTGTATTGGAGAAGAAAAAGAGACAAGGACGCGGGGCACAATTATTCAGCCGCTTGCAACTTGTGGCGATAGGTTTTTTTTTGGTGGCGGGGTCACTTATCCTCCTCTTACCGCTTGCGAAGGGCCTAAAAAGCGGAGCCAAATGCCTGGGTGTCCGCTTATGACGAATGTGCTTGATCAGCAGAACGACACAACTAACGGGTGACAGGATATACCAGCTTCGCAGAAGAATTCAAGGGAAGTGTCATGAATTAAATCTAAATGGTCTAATAGTACCCAAATACTCTCCGGTTTCTCCGACAAACTAGTCACCGAGTTGGCAGGATGGGTGTTGGACCACATGAACTATCCAGACCAAAAACGCTTCCAGTAGTAGTCCCAACTAACCCACAGGCACAAGACGGCGTCCTCCCATGATGACGGCTTAGAAGCCATCACTTATAACCAGGATGCAGAATATTTCACATGCCCCTTTACAGGTTCCATTGCCTTCTGGGCAGTACATGTCATGACTGTGTTAACGTATTTCTCTCCTGCCGGATATGTGTAGCTCTTGTATTTGTTGGCAGTTTACACGTGCTAAGGGTAACTACCAATGCCATACACATGCTTGCTCTCATTGTGACCTCGAATTATTTACTACTTTGATGATTCCCTTTCTCGTCTTCTCCAAGGCTGACATATCGTCTCATCAAGCAACTTGACACTGCTACTGTAGGCGCAGGCTGCTAATTTAAATTCTTACGCCCGCGTTCAACCTGCTGAGCCACCCAGTAAGCCACTCCGCCACCCCAGCTAAAACCGCTGCACCTTTCTCCAACCGGCACTGTGCAACTACTTGTACTGTACGGATACCCGCGTCTCGATCATAATCGCCTCGTTCGCATCCCTCCGTTCAACCATCCATAATTACACCACCTCCCCATCAACAGCGTTTGCTTCTTATTTGTTAGGCTACCACCATTTTTACCTCTGCTGGGAAATACAGCCTCCACCAACACCCCCTGATGAGCCGCCAGCTGCCACCACCATGAGTGCCCAGGCACCTCGGCAGCCCCAGCCCCAGCCCAACCACTCGCACCGTCGCCATCACGTCCCCAACAACGACGAGTATGACAGTCGATATGACCTTTTTGCCGGCCTATGGCAGGAGGCTCCCTTCGTTAGACTCCCTTCCGATGCGCCCCCCGAGCTGATCCCCTTTGTCCGCAACATCGAAAACCCTCGTAGGGTCTACGCCATCCATCGCGCCAGCCGTCGCCACGACTTCCAGCTCCTTGTCCAACTTTACATTCATCAGCTGCGCGACGGGTGCGGCAACGCCACCTGTACTACATCAACATGCTTCACCTGCCGGAAACGCCTCGCTGGCAAAGCGCCGATCCGACGATACAATCCTACGAGCGCCAGGACCCTGGCTGTCCATCTGGCCAGCCAAGATAATCCAGAAAGGGGTATTTGCCCATCACTCCATCGGCCGAGGGGCACTACCCCAGCAGTTAACAACTTGGTCTTCTCAAAATGCCCTACCCCAAAGCCTGGCAGCCAGAAGCCGACCGATGGCGATACCCCAAATACCATCAGTAGGGCCAGCGACGCCCAGTCCAACAGCCGCTCCCTTTCCGGGTCGCAGGATGGCGAGATACGAGATGAAGAAATCTATGGTGCGACTCCACAACTTGACCTCTCTGAAGAGTCGACAAAGATCTGCATTTCAGAGCGACCCGTCACTCGAGACTACAGGTCTTTCGCTGCTACGACGTTTGGCACTGTCGCATTCAAGATGATTGAGTGGTTGACTCCAAATTCGCTGGACGTTCTGTCTCAGAAAGTAGTCGATCTGAATTCTTCTGCACAACCAACACGGAAATCAACTCCCACGCCCTCAGCCGACCCTCAGTCGCTTCCGGCTAATGACGCACGCGACAACGACGAGGAACCTCACGGGTTGTCAGCCAATCCCCATAATCCGTCGCCCAATCACGATACTCATGCCGCTACAAAGTCTCGTAGTAAGAAAGAGCAGTCTACTCCTAAGCGGAACTCGAAGTCGTCTTTCCGATCCAAGCCGACAGTCGACATGACGCGTCGAAAGTCTATCGAACCTGTCTGCGTTACAGCCGAGGCCGACAATACCAGCCTTCACCGGCCGACCCGTGTGACCGGATTCCACCCTGATAAGCTATCGCAAAGAACGAAATCCCCGACTACGATAACATTCAAGCCAGCGTTTTTCGAGAATGTGCCTCTTCCACCCTCCGTCGCAGATGAGCTCACTGTCGCTTCATCAGACGGCGAGGAGAGTACCAGGGAAGAGAAGTCCACTCCAGCGCGATCCGCCAGTAATCATGAGCACAGACAGAAACCACAGTCAGCCGGCCAAAGAAAAGAAGAGGACCTCGAAGACGCAACCGCCATAAATTGCCCCTTGCCGCAAGCTTTATCACGGCTTAACGTTGACATCGTCGACTTCATCTACAGCGTGTATCTTGAAGATGGAACGTCAGAAACCGACCCTCATCTCATATCAGAGGCTGAATGCAAATCCTCGACATCCTCGATGAGCCTTCAGAGTCAAATGTGTCTACAACGGACGTCTCAGAAAAGGGATATGGTGTGCAAAAAATCATGGAAGGATTTCCACGAGCAAAGCCTCTTCAGCGTTCTCAGTGATCCCATTTCATTGATTGCGTCTTTCTCTGACCCTGAATATTTGTTTGATTCGCAACGCATGTGGTACTGCATGGTTCGTCTCATGCGAATTTCGCCCAGCCTTGTTCTTCACAGCCTCTGGTTGTCGGCAGCTAGTCTATTTGTACTTCCAGAAGATGGCAATCGGAAAGAAGAGAGCAAATCACGAGCTTTATCGCCATATCAAGCTGAATGCGTCATCACGATATGCCTTCACGCGTTAGCTGCATTCGTTCCGGCCGTGACGGACACCACAACAATGCTCAAACTCTCTCTTCTTCGCTCCAAAGGCATCGCGTTCGCTGCTGCTGCAGAAGACCAATGCGCATCTGATCATTGCTTGCAATATGACGATGTCTTTTCGAACAGTCTTGCCTTACGGTTAGCGCGTCGCATTTTTCTCGCCTTCACCATTCGCCGGAAGCATGGCGAGTTTGCAATGGGCCTTTTATTGAGCCAACTTGATGCAGGAAATCACGGCCGAAAGAGCGCCTTGCGTGACGCAAGAGCCCCGGCTTTACTGCTTGACTGGGCTCGTGCCGTGTTGCTGCACGAATGGGATGGCAATGCTCACTTCTGCAAGGATAGCGCCTTTTATGGCGCTCTGTTATTCATCGAAGCTTCCTGTAAGTCTTGTAACGGGGTGATCGGAAGTAAAGTGTTACTAATTGCGAGAAGATCTAGACCAAGAAAACATTCTTCTTACCGGAGGGTCTGCATTCCAAGTGCAATACTTCTCCAAATGCCTGGATATTATGCGTGTGCCGGTACAATGGGTGACCACAGACTCAACAGACGACGTGGGCAACATTCTCGATCATCCTTTCCTGTTCAACAGCAAAGACCTCGTCACATACTTTCGATCCATTAACTTTTCGTCTATGAGTCGCTCATTCGAGGAGGCTAGTTCTCTGAAACGGCGCATGAGCGCGATTGTTGATCCTGGCAGCCTTATAACAAATCCGCACCATAAAGTTGTATTAAAGGACATGCTCCGGACAGCAGCTTCAAGGTACCTAGTTCTGGATATTGGCCGAGCAACTGTTCTCCGCGATGCATTTGATCAGCTATGGAGACGTCAGAGGCGAGAGCTACTCCGTCCTCTCAAAATTCACCTCGGCGAGGATACTGGCGAGCAAGGCTTTGACTCTGGTGGGGTGCAGCAGGAATTCTTCCGCCTTGCTATCGCAGAGTGCCTGGATCCCGTATACGGAGCTTTTACGGTGGATGACAGGAGTCACATGGCATGGTTCAAGCCTCAGTCTACTGTCGAGGACTGGAAGTTTGAATTGATGGGCGTGCTGCTGTCGCTTGCCGTGTACAACGGTGTGACACTGCCTGTAAACTTTCCCACAGCATTTTATCGAAGGTTGCTTAAGGAGCCAGTGGATGAAATCAAGCACATTGAGGACGGGTGGCCGGCACTCGCAAGCGGCCTCACTCAACTGTTGGAGTGGGATGAGTCCAAAGGACTAATCATGGATATCTTTGCGAGAACCTATGAATTCACCATGCCGGGAATAGGCAAAGAACTTACCATACACATGCTCGATGACAAGCAGAAGGAGGAGCCCGGCTCCCCCATCAGCATCGATGCAGATGTGCCCGAAGCGGAGTACGTCACGGTCGAAAATCGGGACGATTACGTCAAAGACTACATTTCCTACCTCACCGACGTTTCTGTGCGCCCGCAGCTTGAGAGCTTTCGCCGAGGCTTCTTGGCCTGTTTGTCGGAGAAGGCGCTGACGCTGTTGACGCCGGAGCTCCTGCAGTCCATTGTGGAGGGCGAGCGGAACATTGACATCGCAGGCTTGCGGCGATGCACACGCTACGTTGGCTGGGACGCGTCACACCAGACCATACGCGACTTTTGGTCCATTGTTAAACGCTACGACAACCAGATGAAGCGCAAGCTGCTCCAATTCGTCACAGCCTCGGATCGGGTCCCGGTCAGCGGTATCGAGAATATTCAGTTCACCATCCAGAAGAACGGCGAAAGTGCCAAAGACGGCCGCCTGCCAACAGCATATACCTGCTACGGCAATCTCCTGCTCCCCGAGTTTCAAGACAAGGAGGTGTTGCGCGAGCGGCTCGCCATGGCACTAGAGAATGCGCAGGGCTTTGGCTTCGCGTAGGGGAGGGCGGACTATAAAGAGGCGGGATGTTTTGCGATGGGGGGGGGGTTTCTTTCTTTTTTTTTCGAGCGAAACAAAATAGTCTTGCCCAAAAGCATACAGCGGAGTCTTGGTTGGCAAGACTCAGTTACATTGTTCCTCATGAGCGAGCTTTTGTTATTTTCGACCCAGCAGATCTCAGACGATACGTATTCAATAGACACGATGTACTCTACCATTAGCAAAGGCTCTCATTTCGTCATCATTTATGCATTATTCTTCTCGTACATATCCCGAGTACCGGTGCATGTTTTATTCCCGCACCTGTCTCACGTTGAGGTTTACCCTCTTGCTCTTCATCCAACCCTCCCAGGCCGCGAACTGCCCGTCCTCGCGCGCCGGCCAGCTCTCCAGGTACGACGGGCACGTACCCGGGATGATCTTGGGCACACCGTGCCACGCGAATCGCGACTCCTGCGTCATGTAGATGGCGTCGCCCGACCGCAGGCGCAGCAGCAGGTAGTCCTCCTCGTCACCGTCCGCCCTTCCCTCGCTCCCCGCCGCCGATGGCGTGTTCGGCGCGATCATGAAGAGCCCGTCGCAGCCGAAGCTCAGGCTCACCAGCCCGCGGTCCGTGAACTCGCTGACGTCCCGATGCATCATCATCGTGTCCCCCGGACTGTACAGGTTGACGATGGCCGCCTGCGCGTCCGTCGCCGGGAACAGCGCGGCCAGGAACCGCGCAATGTCCGTCGGGAACGCCGGCAGCCGCTGAGCCGCCTGCTCTTCTTCGGGGTACACGCGGCTCGTCCAGTCGTACTGCCCGCCGAGGGTTACCCAGTGCAGCCGCCGCGTGAGGACCTGCCGCGCAGTCAGCGGCTTGTGCACGGACGGGTCCTTGGGGAGGAAGGGCGCGGCGCCGGAGGTGGGAGAGAGGGCGAAGAGGGAGCGCTCGGAGACGGGGGTGGTGGCGCCGTCGCCGTCGCCGTGATGAGGGTACGGCAGGTCGTAGTGCAGGTGCAGGTTCGTCTGGTGCGTGGGGTTGCAGAGGTCCCGGTGCAGCATCCGCTCGAGCGCGGCGACCTGCACGGCGGGCGGCACGAGTGACGGGACGACCAACAGGCCTAAACATCATGTATGGCGTTAGAGACAGTGGCATATAATTCCAGGTAGGGTGAGTCAGTCGTACCTGGTAGGAGCGGATGGTGTAGGACGGGGACGTCGTCCTTGGCCTCGTCGGCAAATTCCTCGACAAATTGTGAAAACGCGTCTCGTCTCTGCTCTTTGGTGATGGTGCCCGTCTGGGTGAAGCCGCTCTCTACCGGTGGTTTGCGCGGGTCGTCGATTCTTGGGTGATTCATAACTTCTTTTGCGTCCATCCGCGACCACGACTTCCACTTTGCCCGCAGCTCCGCCGTTGGTTGCTCATGAGCGTCTAGTTCCGTTATTGTCGGCATCTTTTAGCACGCCGAGTAGTGCAGTTAAGTATTATATTGGACGCATCAAATAAGTTGAAGCAGAAAAATCGACTTGGAAAACAAGCACGGTGACTCGGCGTTTGCTTTGAGATGCCTGAAAAAGGTCTTCTCTGAAAATGTATGGTGCCACAGTGGATGCTAGAGGGGACCAGGCTGCTAGTACAGCCACACAAACGCTATAGAAACACTAACAGAGAGGGCTTCGATGGTAATGTTGTGCGTACTTGATATAGAAGGAGAATTCAGTGTGGCTATTGGATGTAAAGTCTAAAAGAAGATTGCTAATTTCAAATACTTCTACTCAGTGTGCTTAAAAGCTGCTTCGCTTGTGGTGCAGCCGAGTGTGTCACTGATGAAGAAAAAAAAATTAGTAATGCTGTATGAGACGTTTGACTTCACATGAATCCATCCTGCTCAACCTGTCGTCCACTCACAACCCTCAACACCACAGCTTCTTCTCATATCTCTCGCGTTTCTGATGCCTATCTCATAAATCTCATACAATTATACCACTTATGACGCAATAATCTCACACTTCGCCCTCCCCCAATGCCACAACTCAGACTCTCGCTGGTCCAGCGACAAACGCCCCTGGCAGCAGCACACGCAGCATCAGTCGCCACGCGCAGTTTCCTGTCCCAAAGACCGACCCGTCCTCCTCTTCCTTCGCCACAGAATTCCCCCAGAGTATCAGCAGCCGAATCCCCCGCACCGGCGCCGCTCGACTCACCCGCCGCCTACACCAGCATCATCTCCCACGCCGCCTCACCCGCGACCCTCACCACCGCCGTCGACCGCACCGCCCAGGCGCATCTCACCCACGCCGCCGCCTTCTTCGAGAAAGATGCGCGCTTCCTGTACTCCGCCGCGCGGCCGCGGGACCACCCGCACAACCCACACGTGCCCGAGGTCGTCATCCTCGGCGCCTCCAACGTCGGCAAGTCGACGCTGCTCAACGCGCTGATCGGGCGGCGCGGCATCGCCCGCACCAGCGCCCGCCCAGGGCACACGACGCTGATGAACGCGTACGGGCTCGGTCCGCCTGCGCCGCTACCCCCTCGGCCCGAGGAGGAGTCCCGCAGCACCCCGCCGCCGCCGCCGCCGCCGCCGCGACATGGCTTGGTGGTGGTTGACACGCCCGGCTACGGCTACCGCAGCCAGTCAACGTGGGGCGACTCCGTGGTGCGGTACCTCGGCGCGCGCACCGCCCTGCGCGGCGCCGTCGTCTTGCTGGCCGCGGAGAAGCGCCTGACCGCCGAGGATCGCTGGCTGCTGGCCGCGCTGGCCGACGCCGACGTGCGCACCCTGGCGGTCCTGACCAAGGCGGACAAGGTGGCGGGAGGAGAATGGGCAGCGCGGTGCGCGGACAAGGCGGAGGAGGTCCGGCGGGAGCTAAGGAAGGCGGAGCGCGGCGGGCGCAGCATGGGATGGCGCGAGGGCGAGGGCTGGTCGTCGGACGTGCTGGTGACGGCGGCGGGGCTGGCGCGCATGGGCAAGGCGAGCAATGCGGCGGGCATGGGCGCGGTGCGCGCTGCCATCTTGGACATGGCGGGCGTGGCGCCGCTTGAGGAGCTCGCGGATGAGCAGAAGCCGGAGAACATTTCGTACACGGGCAAGGTGGTGTCCTTTGACGACATCGTGTGGAAGTCCTGAGCCAGGAAGGAAGGAAGAAATGTACGAATAGAGTCTTGTTGTAACCTGGGGCGGAAATGTACGATATATCAATGTTTATGCACACGAACATCGATTGCATGGGAGTTTTAAGATGGGAGTGAAGACGAGTTTCAAGTTCACAGGGTCTCATTAGACAAAAGTAACACGCTATGTAAAAAACTACAATACAGTATACTACATTGTTATTGTTTTGTTGGTGTTGCCAGCTTGGTTGACTGCGGCGTGGCTGGCCGCTTGGACTTGCGGCTTGACTTCGTATCAAACAAGCTCTTGACCTTGCGAAGGCGAGCCCACCTCTCTTTGTCCTTGGCATCGCGGTCCGCCTCATCAAACTCGGGCGCTGTCGTCTTTGCCGACACGTTGGACATCGGTTCCATTAAGGCCGGCACTGCTTTTTCAGGCGTTGAGGGGTCCTTGTTTTCCTTTTCTGTTGAGGGTGCCACCGCGACAGACTTGGTCTTGTGGCGTCCTTCGTAGATGCTGCGTAGGCTCGACTCATTCTTCAGCATCTGCAGGAGGGTCACCCATGCGGCGGCTTGCGCCTCCTCTCCGGTCGCGCCTATGCGGTTTTGAGCCTGCGGGTTCTTCCACGGGCAGAAGAACCGGTGCTCGCGTATGGGGTCTAGATGGTCCATGGCCGCCGGTACTAATATTTGACCATTCTCATCGACCTCTTTGCTCTTGAACATCCATAGACCGAGGCGCCGTTGGCAGGTGTGGCACGAGGCAGTGTTGGGGACCGCGCCGATGCGCGCGTTGGACAGTCCTTGCCACCCTGTGAGAGCTAGGGCGAGGGCTGCGCGGTTTGGAGAGGGTCCGGAAGTAGCTGCCGTGCCGGAGGCGGGAGGGGGCCGGGTGAAGAAATCGTCCGGGAGTTGGTCAAGCACTCGGTCAATGGAGAGGTCATCGGGAAGGCGGAGGTTGAATTCATAGGGGAGGAAGGATTGGCGGGAGCCCAGTTCATCATAACGCTGCCGTAAGCTCTCAAGTGTGCCGCTGGAGTTTGAAAAGAATATCCGCAGAAGCGTGTCTAGAAAGCGTCAATATGCGAGACCAGGGATTCCTGAGACTTGTAAGCTGGAACGTACCATCGCATCCGCGCTTCTTCCAGAGACACTCTGGTTGATGTGAAGAAACAATGAGGTCTACGTACTTGTCCACGAGCGCTTCCTCTTTTCTTCATGTTAGCCGTTGCAACTTATACATGCATGTCATCCCGGGCAGCATACCGATTTCCGAGGCGACCAGGACAGACACCTCCTTTCCGTCCTGCTCCTTGCGGTTGAGCTTGACCACCAGCTCCTTGTGGCAGAGTGCGCAGCGCACGCGCTCCTTCCCATGGCAGACCCAGCCGCGCTTCGCCCACTCAACCTCGCTGACTCGATCGGGCTTCGGGGTCCAGTTGGTGATTTCCTGAAACGAGGCGAGCCGGCGCAGCAGCTGCTCCCTGTCGCCCGGGCAGTACCTGGCGGCGACCTCGGGCGGCGGCGCGGCAGGCGGCGGCGTCTGTAGCGGCCTGCGCAGCGACGATATGGACGCCAGGGACAGGGATGACGACGATGCGTCGGCTGCGGTGGCGGCGACACCCATACGGCGCTTCTTTTGCGCCGTGACGCCTGACAGAGGAGATGACAGCGGCGCGGTTCCGGCGGCAATGTCGGCCGTTTTTCTGCGCGCCGTCGGCGTCGTTTGGTCGGAGGAGGAGGAGGAGGATGGCCTAGGACTGTTGAGGCCCTGGAGAAGAGCGTTGAACTTGCGCTTGGTTGCGTTCATCTTGGATGGGACGGCGGCGGCGGAGATTGGGCGCCCAAGGGGTCAGGTAGTGTAACAACGGCGCAGGGCTGGAAATGAGCCCGCTGACCTGATGAATCAGCACCAAAGCCTCAAGGGTACCAGGCGCTTAGTTTGAAGCTAGACGTTGGTGTTGCGCGACGTCGGAGGATCGAAAGCGTTGAAACGGGAGATGGTTTGTGTCTGGGTCAAAGGTCTCGTCGTTTGTTCCATGTTTGGTTGCTGGGCGCATGGTTGCCTAGTAGCTTCAGCACGTACAGTGGAGCAGAGCGTGTGCCACCTTGTGGCGCGAGAGCCACCCTCACAGTACTAACAGCTAAACCTCAGAAGCCAATGTCGGGCATGTGCAACTGTGATTGCGGCAAACACGTTGCTTCTGTTCAACTTGCGGCCCAATATTCAATTACCAAAGGCGTGCGGCCCAGGATACGCAAATTCGTAGCAGGTGAGTCCGTTAAAGCCTAGCTGTTGCCTCAACCATTGTTAAGACTTAGACTAAAGGTTTCTCCTTAAATAAACGTCATACTGGAGAGCGTGAGAGCTAGTAATTGCGTCGTGTATAAGAATAAATCAGACAGTGCAGAGCCGCATCATGTATGAAAGCTTCCGTTTCCATCAGATACATCCGTCGGTGTTCCTACGTAGCTACCTGTCAACCAATTCTTCACAAACCGTGATAGAGGTCACTCTCTGATCAAAATGGTAGAGCTTGCTTTCAATCTAAATCAATGGGGGTTTAGGACAAGGCTACTGACTAGCCCTCTAGCTTATGAATGAGTTTCTTGATCTTCTATCTAAGATCAGAACGACTTGACAGTTTCACGATGCCGAGCTACGATAAAAGCCGATAAGAGACCCTGAGCCCCACCTGCGAATTGGCGGTCACCGTTTTTTTTTTTTCTGCCACACGCCGCCTTTTTTTCTTCACTTTCCTAGTTGGGAACTTTTTTGGCATTGCTTTTCGCGCGCCTCACTTTTCACCTTTTCTGCCTCGCCTTGCTTTTTGAGCCCGTTGCTCCTCCCATACATTGCAGTTGACCGACTTACTGCCCATACTGCCATTCGAAACCTCCCTCATATGTCGGCGCCGCCCCCTTGGCTCTTCTCCAACAACAACACCATCGCTGCACCTCCCAGACCGACCCCAGACCGCCGTCCTCCGGCCACCACCCAAACAGCCATGGCTAAACAGAGTATCAGCGCAGCCCCGGCTCCGCTGATGGACGTCGTGGAGAAGTTTCTCAAGGACCACGCTTTTGTCGCCGCGCACAAGGCGTTCCGCGAGCAGCGCAAGGCCAAGGGCCTGGCCGCCAAGGATAAGGACGCCGTCACCAGCGCGCCGGCGCTCGTCGACGTCTTTGAGGCGTGGCAGAAGGCTTCGACCAAGAGCGATGACGACGAAGATGACGACTCCGAGAGCTCAGAGAGTTCAGACAGCAGCGACAGCTCCGATGACGACGACAGCAGCAGCAGCAGTGACGAGTCGGAGGCGGAGGAGGCTCCGAAGAAGGAGGAGCCGGCCAAGTCGCTGAAGCGCAAGGCACCGGAGAGCGACAGCTCAGACAGCGAGTCGTCTGATTCTGATTCGAGCTCAGACTCGAGTGACAGCGACTCCGATGACGAGGACGACAAGAAGAAGCCCCAGGCCAAGAAGCAAAAGACTGCGACGGCACAGAAGCATGCTTCGGATGACAAGATGGACGTCGACTCGGACAGCGACAGCGACAGCAGTAGCGGATCATCCGGCTCCGACTCCAGCTCCGACTCCAGCTCCGACTCCGACAGTGACTCGGATAGCGACAGCGACAGTGATAGCGATGCCGCCTCTGAGGTTGCCAAGGCCGCCGCCGTCGCCCTCCCCGAAAGTGACTCCTCCTCCGACTCCGACTCGTCCTCCAGCTCTGACGAGGACGAAAAGCCCAAGAGCAAACCCAAGACCAAGGCGACCGCAAAGGACTCGTCCGACTCGTCCGTGACGCTCGACCGCGCCTCCCCCGTCGCCGCCGCCGAGCCTCCCCTGCCCCCCGCGCCGACCGACAAGACCAAGCGCAAGCACAACGAGCCCTTCTCCCGCATCTCCAAGGACATCAAGGTCGACCCGCGCTTTGCCTCTAACGAGTGGGTGCCCATGGACTACTCGCAGCGCGCGCACGAGGACCTCATCATCACCAAGGGCAAGGGCTTCACGAAGGCCAAGAACAAGATGAAAAAGGGCTGCTTCCGCGGCGGCATGATCGACATCACCGAGAAGAAGGCCGTCTACTTTGACGACTAAACGGAGAGTGGCCGGTATTGGTCATTAATCAGCTCTTCTTTCTCATTGGTCGACAGGGTTTCCTTTGTTTCCTTTAGCTTAGATCAGGCGTCCTGGGAGGGTTGAATTGGTGTTGTCATATTTATTCTTTGGTTTACCGTTACATGATTCATTTCGCTTTTCATTTCCATTCGCGACTGCAGGCGACGTTAGAGCCCGTCAGTCCATATTCTGTTTGTATTCGCTTTCGGAATAGAAGTACACATCGTTGCCAACGGCACAACAAAAGTTGGGAAAAGAGTTTTGAGTTTGCGATTTAACATCTTGGGCGGAGGGCGTTGGGATGCCATTACGCACAGGCATGTGCTAGCGACAACTATCTACAGTTGAAGAAGTTGAAGAAGAAATATTCAAAATTCATATGAACTCTATCATAGGTTTACCTGGCCCCCCTTGTACGCCCAACGTCCGTCCATCGTGATGTAAAGAGCAAGCGCTGAAACCGCCCAAAGTGAACTACAAGAAAAAGTTAGAAGTATGTTTTGCTGGCTCTACTCGGAGCGTACGTTTCCACAACCCATTGCAGAAACTCATCCCACATGCGCTCCCACTGCTGCAGCACCGCGGCACGCTCGTCGTCGTCGAGGCAGGCGTGCTCGATGCTCCAGAGCGCGAGTTGCTTCCAGCCGTAGAGGCCCATGTCGGCCTTGCCGATCATGACTTGATAAAAGTCGTGCGACAGCGATGATCTGATTGTTTCCCCATCGTCAGTGTGGGTACGCGACACAGGGGGGGAGATTACGCACCGAAACAAGGCGCCGTTGTCCGAACTCACGGCGCAGTGCACATTGTTTGCCAGCAGGGCGTACATAGCGTGCCCGTTGACGCGCGGCGTCAGCCCGAGGATCTCATTGGAGATGGGGCAGAGCTCGACGCAGACGCCCCGCGCGCGCATGCGCTGCAGCACGAGTGGGTGCTTGGGCAGCGCGAAGCCGTGCCCGATACGCCGCGCGCCGAGGAGCAGCGCGTCCAGCAGGTTGCCGTCGGTCGACGAGCCCGTATCCAGAGTCTCGCCGCAGTGGAAGAGGAAGGGGATGTCGATGGCAAGTTGGCGGCACTGCGCCTGGAACGCGAGGAGCTCGGGGACAAACTCGCTCAGCGGCCGGCCGCGTGCTTCCTCGCCGACGAGATCAAAGCCTGACAAGTAGAGTGTGTTAGGGATGCCTGGAAGTTAGGAGGAGGGAGGCGGGCAGTCGACGTACCTGCGATCCATTTCGGCCAGCGCTGCTTAAACTCGAGACACTCGTCCAGCGCCGCCTTGACGCCCGCGCGGTCCAGCGAGCGGGGTGTGCAGTAGATGACCTTGATGCCGCCAAAATATCGGCCTTGTGCCGTTATTTCTCGCTGAAACTCGGTGACTTCGTCTATGATTATGTTCATGATACCTTGGTTATCAATAGGCCCCGTGCCGTCGTCGTGGTACAGTTGGTTGCTCCTCATAAAGTTGGGCCGAATCTCGGCGTATTGGATATTATCGCGCAAAAAGTCCTCGAGGCAGAGCCGCGTATACTTGCGATACGCCGTCTCATAGTTGAAAAGACCCTTCATCATTCTTGTGCGTCCATTGAACTTTTCCCAGGCGCTAGACGATGTTGATATGTCAGTGACTGTGCAGTATTGAATGATGCTGGCGGGGCTGATCACTTACCCAGCTGCGGTTTGCAGCACTCCATGGGCTTCCTTCTCTGAAAAGACTAGTTTGTTCACAAGCCACTCTTCCGCGTCCACGCCCGGGTAATGTTGTGAGAACAGCTCCAGAAACGCCGCAAACTTCATCGTCTGCCGCGGCTTATACCCTGCGCTAAAGAGGTTCCCCGGCGCGTCGTCCTCCTTGTCCACGCTCAGGAGCGAAAATTGGATCTCGCACTTGGAGTAGTTTTCGCGCCCGTTATCTTTCACCAGCGGCAAGTCACTTGTGATAAACATGCGGTCCATGCCCTTGGCGATGCCGAGCAGCACGGCCGGCGGCAGACACGCGTTGAAGTGGATGTGCAGGTGGGCGCCCTTGGGCAAGCGGTGGGCGACGTCAAGCAGTCGCGTGTTCTCTATAAGGTCAAGATTGCCAAGGAAGTGGTCGCCGGGGAAGCGCGGGTGGCGCTGCCCACCGTGGCCACACCGAGGTTCCGCGGCGTCGTAGACGCACTCGCGGTCGAGCCGGCGCAGGCGGTGCAGGATACCGTCGACGGCCTGCTCGAGCGGCGTGGCGCGGGCGCGGCAGCGGTAGTCAAATGCGATGGACGTCTCGGCCTCGTATAGCTGGCGGCGGGCTTGCAGGTACGCATCGACGTCAAGCTCCGCGCTGGGTTGGCCGTGGTCTCTGGCAGCGGTGGTGGCCGTGGCCGAGCGAGACGAGCGTTGTCTCTTGAGGGGGGCGCGGGGTGGACTGGAGGAGTGCGTCGCCTCGAGGATCGCGAGGGCAGCCTCGGCGTCCTGGGCCGAGTCCTGTCGCAGCTGGTGCTGAAGCTGCAAGGTGGTGTCGGAGGTCATTGTTGCGTTGGGGACTGTGTGGCCAGTCTTAGCATTTTGCATTTGTGAGTGCCTCATGTCATTGTCTTGTGATGTATAATGGGGAAGCAAATAGCCAAAGGTCTAGTGCGGCTGATTGCATATATATACATGTAAATGTATTCAAACTAGACGGTTGAATGAGGGCGCCTGGTGCCGCGGCGCTGTCACGTTAGACGGAGTGGTCGGTGCAACGACTCTGTGCATCATTATCCAGGCGCGCGCGAAGGTTGGGCGAGTAACGTCTCAATGGAGCTGGCTGTGAGACTTTCAAGGGTGCTCAGCCATCCAACTAGGTGTCCAATTGGAAATCGAGATGACAGCAAGCTCGGGCGAGGGGAGTTATCGTGACCAACGTCCCATGCGCCGTTTGCTGGCTAGAGCAGCCGCCAATAGGTTGCGATGAGCCCAATGTGGAAAAAAAGGACCGTAGGATGGAATACAAGGACAATTCCAGAACGAGATGGCAGAGAGCGTGTCAGCCCTATAGAGTCAGAAGGACGATCATGTCGTGACAGTGGGCACGCGACGGAACGCCTGGAGGGTTACTAAAGTAGCTTTTGGAAGTCGAGGGCCGAAGGCGAGGCCAGGCGAGGCGAATTCATGGGCTGTCTTCACGGCAGGCCGGCTAGCTGCCCGGAATGAGCGAATGCAAAAGCGGCGGCCCGCCAGGCTAGTAAGTTCGCTGGTTTGAGTGAGAAAACGGACGCCGCTTTTAGGTATTTCCTGGGCTTTCTCACTGGCTGGGTATTAGCGCATCGAGTGTTGCCCTATTCATTTACTTATTGAATTTGTTAGTTGGGCTATCTATAACAACCCCCAGAGGTAGGAAAGGCTGGATATGCCTCTCTCGAACCCCCCCCCACCCCCCCAACGTCAAATGTATGAGAGCCTGCTTCAAAACATGTTCAAGTCTACAAGTATAATAAGAATAGTCCGTCATTCGCACTCTCTCCCATCTGGTATAACTGTACCCGGCCGCATCAGTAAAATCTTACTGCACGCCAAGAACTGCCTATTGGGGCTGTGCACCACAGCCTTGACATGCTGTTTTCATGTGCTATCTAGTTATCCAGCCTGTTGGGACCGGAAGTGCGGCTGCTTGCTGTCAAAGTTTATTTACTATTACGGGATTTCCATAGACTACACCACGGCAGGCAAAAAGGCTCATTTGCTTTGGCACTGCGCCTCCGCAGTAGTTCTACTTTCTGTCCGCCGCCAGTTTGTTAGCTTAGAGCCGCAAACCAACCAACCAACTTAGCTTGTACCATCGTGTTGTCACAATCACAATGTCTCTGGCACCTACACCTCTCCAGGGGCCAGCACTAGCCCTACTGCTTTAATCAACATATAATGCATCGTTTATTGGCTGGGAAGTCTCTTTCTATTGTGTGTGCAGTGTGCCACACTCTCATCCAACATACGTACTGCTAACCAGCCGGGCAGTTGCTCATACACAGCCCAGTCGTCATTACCCAAATGCTTGTAGCAACTCCTTCATCTAAGCAAAATAACTCTTCCACAAGACACCCTCCAAGTCTTCCAATTGCTCAGAGGTAAAGTACTATTATCAACCATGTTAGTGACCCATTGCTTCAGCCTCCCCTAGACATTCATCACATACCTTCTGGTCCACATTCCAGCTGTCTTGTCGGGTCTTTTTGAACTCGCTCAGAATCCCCTTTGTTGCTTTGCCCACTACTCCAGGGTCACCTGCCGCACGACGGGCCAGTGTGGCCAAAACTTCGGGCATCCACTTCGGTGGTGGCGTGGCGTATGGAAAGGCTTCGATCAACGCACCCAACCCAAGCACCGCTGCATGTCTCCGCGTAATCTGCTTCTGCACATCCACGGGCGTGTCGGTTCCAGCGGCCTTGGGCCCACGCTTCGGCATCGGATTCTGCTCTAGCTCCCTCTCGAATCTACTCTTGAGGTGTTCAATCATCGGGTCCCGGACCCTTCGAGGTGAGCAGCGAATCATGCCCGCCAGCGTAGTAGAGGCGAGAACCCGCACCTCGAGCTGCGAGTCACTGAGCATGTCTGAAACCGTGGTGAAGAGCAGATCCCTCAGACTCTTCCCCGTCAGAAAGATGCGTCGATAGTAGATAACCTGCATGTTTACAAGCGCTCGCAGGCGCTGATGCCAGCTGGTGGCATTGCGCCCTATGCGGACCAGGCCTTTGATAAAGTCTGCATCTTCACCATCCCGGAACGGAACGTTAGGCAGGTGACGATATACGTGGTATGCAGTTCGCATCAGTTCGGGATCCTCCTTCACGTCCATCATGTGAAGCAGCTCATCCATAAACGGCGTCGAAAAGAATGGCACAAGCTGTGTACACTCGTGCGATGACAAGGCGCAGTCCAGCCACATAAGCACTGTCTTGCTGCCTGCCGTATACGAAGATTGCTCCTGCTGTCCTGGCGTACGCTCGTGCCTCCACTTCTGCAACCGCGAAAACACGTCGTTGATCACCACGCTAAAGTCTTCTTCTGGCTTGTATGGTCGAATGCCAATGGACGAGTCTGCCTTGTTCTCCTCTAGCAGTTTTCTCACACTCTCAAAGGACTCGTGATACTTCGACTTAAAAATGACTGCAATCACACGACCCATGGATTCACGCACTGCTTTGTATGGATGATCCAAGTGTGCCAGGAAGTCATCCAAAATCGGCTCCGCATCGCGGAAGTGCCACCCACCATCAGCAATGGCAAACTCAACCAGCTGAATTTTGGCAGACTCCTTGAATGCAGCGTTGGAGTTCATATCCAGGCGGAAAGTGCGTAGTGCGTCCACAAGCTCATGGCATCGGCGGGGGTCTTTGGAATCTAGAATGAAGTGCAGGCAAGTCATCCAGTATGTCAAGTTGTCGGGAGTGAGCCCGTCTGCAAAAATCTCCAGAATCTTGGGCGCGGCAAACTCCCACACTCGCTCCCGGATGGCCGGCGGATCATCGCTGGATCCTGACAGCAATGCTCCCAGGATTTCCGCTGTCGCGCGGTGCTGATGCTTGTCGCTACCATCACCATACACATCCGTCATCAGCTCCTTAATCTCGTCCAAGGTAACAGCAGTGCACTCATAGTGCATCAGATCAAACACGTGCATCAGAAGATAGACGTTGCTCATGCGGAATCTGTCTGCCGAGCTGTCCCGTGGTTCTTGTTTCAAATATTCAAAGCACTGACGAAACCAGTCTTTGTTCAGGATCTTGCCAATTTGGGAACGCACAGCGCGTTCCACATCATCGTATGCATCGAATGGCATCGGTCGGGCTCGGAAGGCAGAGAAAGACTTACCCCAGACGAGCCACCCGGGGTGATCCGCATCCACCATAAACTCTGCATTGCTTGGATCGTTAAACGCCTCGAGGAACTTTCGGGTGTACTCGGCGTCGCCCTTTTTCACCTCGACGGTAATCTTGTTGCGATCTTTACTCTCTTTTTCGAGTAAGTAGTTGCGATAATCATGATCATAAACGGCTCGGAGATCAATGGCGTTGAAGACGGATGTAAAGGCATTCAAATAATAGCCTCGGAGTCCCGGGTGCGGGTCATTGGTGCCGTTCGCAACCAGCTCAACGAACTCGGCCGGTGCGATCTTGTCAAAGCGGAGACACAAGTTAGCTGCAAAGATGGCGCATCTGGTTGCGACTTTCCAATGCGCATCCTTGGCTTTTCTCGTGAGCTCAAGACCAAGGGCCGCCTTGGACTCTTCAACTCTCGTGCGCCGTTGGAGAATGAACTGATGTCGTGAGTTGATCACGGAGGTCGCATCTTCCTGTGGACGTATCGTGCTTACGACCTCATCGTCCACAATTATAGCTCTCTCAAACGGTTTGCCGAACTCAATAAGTGAATAAAGTGCTGATGAACCAAGGGACTGAATGGACGGCTTGTCAATACCCGCAGTTTCGATATACAATCTCATCGCCTCTGGCGCAAACCTCCAATCTTTCAATAATGTTTTCAGCAGCGACGTGAAGAGGAGCGAGTACATGCCACCCTTGATACGATCGTGGTCGTTTTGCTGAAGAGCCTTCTTGAGTCCCTGTAGAAGCGGAGGAATCACAATTGGCTTGCTGCCCACCAAGACCTTGAGCGATGAGTCTTGAGCGCTCTGGGCGACGCGGCGAACATCGGCGTAAGAAGATAGACAAGACTCGGTAAGATCGAGAAGAAGCTGCTTGTCTAGCTCGCTCTTTTGCCTCGATGCGGCATTGTGCTTTAGGCGGAGAAGCAAGTAGGCCTCGGCTCTCTTAATCAAAAGAGGGCGAGGGTAAACTTTTCGTAGTCCCTTAACCTTGAAAGCTGCAATATCAGCCTTATAAAGTCGCAAGTGACGCTCGAGAGGGTGTGCAGAGCGCTCGATACCAACATCCGTGGTCCAGGTCCGGTACGCACTGCACAGCGCGGTGAAGCAGCTGACATCGTCTTCTTGATGCTTGACCAAGAAGGCATGTGCATTTGTTAATGTCTGACCGAGCTCCTCACGGAGAACGTGAATGCGCTCGTAAGCCGGATCATCACGCTTAAGTGGATATCCCGCACGGTAGCGGAACTGAGGCCTCAGCTCCTCATCATCGGCGACCTCAGCGAGAGGATCGTCGTCATCGACCATCATTTCGTCCTCGTCAGCGTCGACAACAAGATCGTCTTCCGTCTCTACATCCGTGGGTCCAGATGCACGCTTAGGATCAAACATGACGGACATTCCCGACGTCACCAGGCGGATCTGTTGCATAAGCCGTGAGATTTCATCGGACCATTCCTTGTTCTTGCCTTTGCGACTGACGGGGGGGTTGTCGCTGAGGAGGAGAGCCAGTTGTTGTGAGATAGACTTGGTCTGGGTTGCAAACAACTCCACTGCAAAATCAACCTCGGGGGGCGAGGGCTGATGCCACTTGATGGTAAGCTCAGCTGGCGTTGTAGTCTTGCCCCAATCACTGATGTCCAGACCCCGCTTGATGACATCTGGCTCATACAGGGCATGGTCAATGGGATAAGTGTGTGTGAGGTTAAGGAGCAGGTGGTGGATGTAGTTGGAAACCAAGATGGTTGGCAGGCCGCGACACTTTTCTTGCATGTAACCAGCGATGCCGAGAAGCTCGTCCTTGTGACTCAGAACCTCGCGTCCGACGTGAACTACCACCATGGCTAGCATTGTGATGTGCCAGACAAGGGCTCTATCTCGAGGCAGGTAGTCTGTTCCAGATGTTCGATCAGATGCGGCGTGGTTATGGTCAATCTCGTTTCGAATGTTGATAACGAGCATGGGAACGAAAATTTTGAGCGTCTTTTCCGGGTTGACCTTGCATAGTGCATTTAGGATCCAAGCCATGGCATCTCGCGCTTGATGCACAACATGAGACGATACAAATGCGGCAAGCCTCTCAACAGCCATGTCAAACAAGTCTGGCGACAACGACGCAAACAATGGAGACAGTGCAGCAGGCAGCGCGTTGATAACGTTGTCTTCCGGCGTTCCACCACGCGCCTGGTTAGCATCAGGCAGGTTCTCGAGAAGAGTAAAGACCTTGCCGAGAAGAGCGATAACAAATTCGCCGAAGCCTGCTGTTGAAGATCGTAGAATGTTGGCCTCGATTTCGTCAGTCAGTTCCGAATTGTAATCAATAACGACATTCTGGCCATCTCGCTCCATGCGATCCATTTCGCCTTGGACCCATTGCATGGCCAAGCTTGTGTCGTGAATATGGCTATCTTCTTTGATCATTGACGCAAAGGGAATGCTGTATGCGACGCTCTGGATGAAGTTGAGCGTGTACTGAGTCTTGCTCAGATCATTAGCATCGATGCCAGGAAGAGCCAGCGCCAGCAAAGCAGTGATATGGCAGCGGTAACCTTTCAGCTTAGACATGATATTGGCGATCATCTGCAAACTATTCAAACTTGAAGTGGTTCGATGGACTTCATCCAAGCCTTGGAGACTGGGATAGAACCTTTGCAATGCACCTGGCAGGACAAGATCAGGCTCTAGATAGGCAAGTCCTTGCAAAGCATTGTAATAGCAATGGGATACTCGGGTGCTCTTAGAGAAGAGGCCCATGAATGTTACTTCCTTAAGCGATTCAACGAATCGCCGTTTCAATTCCTTGTCGATTTTGCGCTCTTGGGGTATTTCGAGCTCGCCGCTCTGCTCTCGATTCCAGCGTGAAACGAAGGCATCCGTGAGAAAGAGTACCAATTGGCCCAGGAGAGATCCCCACGAGCCTTGGTTAGACGGGTGGAAGAACGTGTCAATCGACTCCATGAGGCCCTCCAATGTGGACATGACGGAGTCTTTCTCGCCCGCGCATGCTGGCGAGAGCGAGTTAACTATCAAACGGGCCATCATGTATGCAACAGGATACTTTTTCTTATCTTTCTCCATATACATGCCGGCGCCGGAAAGAAAGTCGAGCGGCGAGTATGGCGAGTTGGATTGGCCAACGGGAATCTGTGTCAATCGCAGAATCGTCGTAAATATGTGATCGCACTGCTCTTTAGTGAAGATGCCATGTTCGCCAAAGGGTACGTGAGCGCAATGCAAATGGTCCCGCGCCATCCTCGAGAACATGTCAATAAAGAAGATGTCCACCACCTTTGATCTGTTCATGATGGACCAAAGATGGAAGAGGGTAGGGAAGAAAGCATCAGGCTGGGCATCGACGGCAGCTCGGGGTGCAGGGTGGCTGGGCAGCAGTGTGTTGAGCACGCCCGTGACAATGAAGGCATTGGGCAACTCGTGGACACTGAAGAATGGTAGAAACTCCTGTAACATCTCTGGTCGCTCCTGAGGGTCAAAGTATGTGTGGACATGGGTGCAAAGCTTGAGAAGCTGCTTGGACGATCGTCGGCGGCTGCTCTGGTGGGCGGGCACCTCGCTGGGCAGCACCCAGGTTTTGACCTCTTTCCATAGCGGTCTCCAATCGAGGGTCAAGTCTTCGCCCGGCTTCAGGTAGTGGTTCTTTCTATTGACGGAGAACGAGGCGACATTAGCATCAGTAATGACCTTTATAAATGGGAGCGCGGGCGTTGCATGGGGTGTCTTACCTCGTTAGCGTAACAACCATGCGCAGAAAACGGTCGGCGGCGACGGAGTCGAGGCCTGGCGCCAGGGCGAGAGAATAATAGAGCTTAGCGAGTTTAGCCCTGAGTTCGCGCGTTATCTCAAACTTGAGGTTGAGCCATCCCTGGAGCTCCCTGGTCCAGTGAAGAGCGCCAGGGGAAAAGTCCTCGGCGCGGATGGCGATGTAGAGCTGCTTGAGGATGCCCTGCAGTGCGACGTCGCGCTGCTCCTCCTCCTCGACGAGGAAGGGCAGCTGATTGAAGTAGGCGAATGTGCGCGGCCGATATCGCTTCTTGTCATCTTCATCCGACTTGGAGCAGGGGATGCCGGGGGTAGTGGCTCGGGAGATGGGTTCGTACGACGCAAAGTTGGAAAAGGGTTGCGCCGCGGCCGACGCAGAGAGGCCACCGATGGTGCCCTGGTGGTGCGGGCCTGGGTTCTCGTCCATGACAGACGGAAAGGCGGAGTATTGGATCGAACAGCAGTAGGGGGATGCGGTTCAGCGGTCCGGGGAGACCGTCTGCTTTGGTAATGCTCGTTTCGGATAGGAGCAATGGAAAATCGAGTTGGCAGCAGCGTTGCCAACGGCGATGTTTGCTGCCCGCGTGTGGCGTAGCGTGGTGCGCGATGCTGCAGCGAGACTCGTCACTAACGGTGGTTATGTTGATGCAATTATAGAACAAAATGCAAAAAAGATGAAGTCGAAGTGTATGATCCCATTGGGAGGGGGGGCAATCGGGAGGAACGGAGACCGGCCAGATGAAGGTTAGGCGGCAAAGGATGTCGTAACGGCCAAGGGATAGAAACTCGGCGAAGATGGTGTGGGAGCTGCGATGACGGCGGCGACTCGGTGCCTAACGAGACGGAAGAGGCACAGTAAGACGTAGTGGGTGTGGTGGTGTATCTGGGAGGGTGCGCGTCGTTTGTCGGGCGAATAAATCTCTCAGGTGAGGGTGGTGAGAGAGCAGACGTACAATGGCGATGGGATGCAGATGACAGATATATATGTATATATGTATAAAGACGTGGTATGCGTTGTTGCAGCACAAGACGATGGATGAGCTATTCGTCGTGGTCGGGGAGTTCAAAGAGCAAGCTTGCTCTGAATGGCTGGACCGGCGCAAGACGATGGTGTACCTGTAAAGAGCCAAGCTTCCCACCTAAAATAAGCTGGGAACTTCCAGGTTGCTGGCTTCAAGGGGGCGGCGCTGGCTGCACTGCAGTAAAGCTAGCGACGCCACCACAACGTCAGACTGGGGGGGACAGAGCGAGCGCTGATTCAACGGGACACGAAATCCTGATGATGAATGGCCTGTAATGTTACCTTATTAAAGTTGATTTCCCATGCAAAGCATTTTTTTCTGGCCATGCAAGTGCGGGAGCTGTTGGGCGGCCCCACCGTACATATATATATTTCCTCTACAAGGGTCGGTTAACAGTAAAGCACTCGCCGGTGTCCATCACCCACCCGCCCGTGAGCACTATCTCGATCAGTACGATGGTCACAATTCTTTGTGTAATAGTGAATAGCCTCCTGCCAAAGCTAGCACGCCTTATTCCGAGCCTTTTGTCTGCGGAAAATCCCAGCTTCTATGTTGCCACTTCATAGGTTGCCGCGCGCCCGCAACAACACTTGTCGCCCCCTTCCACAGCCAGGTCTCGGTCCCCCCTCCAACAGAGCCAACAAGGTTACACAGCTCCGCACAAGCGTCGACTTGACCAGTCTTTCAATCTCGTCAGCTGCTTCTTCAATTGCTGCATGATTTTTCAAAAAGTGGCACTGCAGCTCTCGGAGCGCCGTGTCAAGAACAGAAGACTGCTACTGTTGCCGCTCCGTATCAGCCGCTGCGGCCCATAGCGATCCGGCGTCTGCACCATGCCCCTCAGCTGCATCTACAGCGATGCGAAGTCCGATTATTACCCCAGGCTGCCACTTGCCACCTCAACGATAGCGCCAACCACGCTGCAGCATTAAGGAATCACGGAAACAGCCACACCAAGAAGGCTGAATCTGAGAACGTTAACGAAACAGAAACACGTGCACAGGCAGTCCGCCTTTCTTTCCTACTCACCAATCTACGAAGTACTCTAGCGTTGTACCTATGTAGCAGGCAGGACGCTACCGTGCATGTCTCTTGCTTGCTTCATTGCATGTCCAGTGCTACATCAGTGAAACGTCGTCACCACCAAGGCTCCGAGCCGTCTCATCACTTACCTAGGTACAGATTTATCTAGGTTGCCCATCTTTTATGAAAAATGTCTTGGATTCATTCACCACTCCAAACATCACCCATTCTATCCTATATAATACAGGCCGAACCGTGGCGGGTATCTAAATGCTTTCTGCTATGCTACTAGTGTACATGTATCTCTCCTTGCCACCTCCCATTGTTTGCTATATTTCAGGTATTACGCTTTTCTTGTGCGCTTCCCTCCCCACCAAAGCAATGACGCACCCACGAAGCCAATTTCGTCATGGCTCCTCTGCGTGCCATCGGCTTGTCCACGCTCTCGGGCGTATTTCGCCCGTCAACGGACCCAGCCTGCGATGACGGATCTTGCCGCCGCTGTTGTTGTTGCTTTCTCATAAAGTGACTAGCCGCCGATAGTGTTCGAACAGGTGGCTGAGGATGCACCGTAGATCCTGCCGATTTCCTGCGATGGTGGCTGATCCCATCCTGAGGCTTGAATTCCCCAGAGCTCTCTCGCGAATCAGACAGCGAGCCTTTCACATGGTCGCTCTGCGAACTGCAGTACTGTGACAATGAGCGCGCCATCTTTGGATTCGCTGTCGCCGGCCACCCGGCCTGGCAAAGGCTGATCCACGTCGCTGAGGCCATCATCAGCATTTTTCTGTCTTCAGAGACGGCCACAGTCTTTCGCTCCTCTCCGGCTGAGGACGCAGGCTGGCTGTGTTGATCCTCATGTGGCACCCCAATCGCACTTCCAAAAGGCCTCGTGGGCGGGTAACGATTGCTTGAGGAAGACATGGTATTATAGTTGTCGTATATCTCCAGAGACGCTGATGTGAGCACCCCCATAATGGGATGTCGGCGCGCATCCGGGTCCAAGATGCTAAACGTCCACTTGTCTTGCATGGATTGCGCGATTCCAGCGATGCCAGCATCCATACTATTCGTCCGCAAAGGCGTCAGGCGCCGAACCCATCTCCCCGTAATCGGGGAAGCAAAACCGTCAGACTTCTTCATCTCATAGGATCCATTCGCGATAGCCTCAATGACCCACGTAGAGCCATCACGAAACGTCAGTTCAGCGTGATCGGTGCCTTCGTGGGGATGTACAGAGACAACGGCCAAAACGTCTCGTTCCCCCATTGCTTCGGTTGAATCATTCGTACCCGGAATGGCCGGCGTCGATATGTTGTAATTTTCGCTGCGCACAAGCAGCAAGTCATTCTGACCAAGATCAGGCTTGGCTCGGAACATTCGAGGAAATCGTCTGGCGAGAGCAGGGATGATGAAGGTTCCGGCAATTTGGCTGGACGGAACAATGTCGAATGCTGGAACAGCGCGCTTCTCGCCCAATTCCTGCAGTTGGAGGACCACCTTGGGTCGAAACTGAACGAGACGACGTTGTTTTGTGCGGAGCCCAGGAGCCGGATGTGCCAGAGCAAATTTTGTCGATTTCCGCGGGAGGCGTTGCTTGCGTCGTCGTCGGCTAGAGATGTCACTCTCTGCAGTCATTTCTGACCCGGCAATGGATTCCTCGTCCTCGCTGTGTACAGGCGTCGCAAAATGGGTGACTTGCGGTTCATCGCGAAACCGAACGGAATGGTCCCGGTGTCTTGCACTCTCGGACACGGATCTAGCTTGTACTGGAAGCGATGTTGGGCGCGTGTTTGGCGGCGCTAGAGGGCTTTGTATCCGGCCATTGCGAGGTTCTATACTTGCAACCGGCGTGGAGAAGCGGCGAGTATCTTCTGCGAGAGTTTGACGCATGCTGGATCGCAAAAATATTTGTTTTCTGTGTACTAATTCTGAAGATCGGCGCTCGGTAGTATATTCGTGGCCATGTAGGCCAGCACCAGAATGTAGAAGCATACCAACCTGCGCCGTATATGCAGGAGGCTAGCGTGGCTGCTCCAGATGACGGTAATTCATACGGACGCCCAATTTGTTAAACGTAGAACGATGTGCGCAGTATCCAACCGGGTAGGATGCTCGATATAACGTTGAGAAGAGGGTGTCACTTTAGCATAACGCGTGATGGCCGATCTTTAGGTTGTTTTCGAGCGTTGATTGCCTTATTCTAGATGAATAAAGTGGTGGGGATAGGTCGTACGCGAGTACGTATCAATCGATGGAGGCGGAAGTCACGGCGGTGTTGGGGGCGGAAAGAGACAAGAATAGGTAGGACGTTGGAAGATTGGAAGGGGAAGCAGCAACGAGGGGGGACTGGGAATACCAAGAGTGAGGTTGGAACAAGAGGAGGAGGGAAGGGATGAGGGTAAGCCAGGAACTCGGGAGACGGTGGCTATTCATACTATTACGGTGGGATGGTCAAAGTTAGCGAGCGTTACGAACAATTGCCAAACACCTTTTGTCGGGCTGTCAGGCTGTCCGAGGGGGCTACAAGAGGTTAGCGCTAGGACGAGGACCCAGTGACTTGGAGGGGAGGAGAAGAAGAAAACGAGCGGGAAAATGGAAAAAAGGCTCCCAAGTGTCAGTCTAGTTTGTGGCATCCCTGCGTGCTTTCCGGCAGAGCCGCGCCCGATCGGATACCATCAGTGGAGCGGCGCGCGTGAAGCAGCATCAAGACGGACCAGTCACTGATTCAGTTGCCACGACAAAGTACCTATGTACCTTCTTGTCCGTGGTTGAGGAGGGCTGCTTGATCAAGGACGGGATTTGGAAAACGTCAAGCACAACTACACATTACCTGTATCTAGCATTTTTCCTCAATACCTATCTTCATTATCATTACTATCAACACTGTCGTCGCCTTTCATCACTATCATCACTATCATCACTACCTAGGTACCTTGTTAACAACGCGCTCATGGGGGGGTACGGAGTAAAGTACCTCTTGCCCGAGTTCAGTGGGTTTTACCCGTGAAACGGATAAACCGGTACATTCAGCCACAGCACCCACAACACCCTGGTTCGTAGGTACCGTGACCCTGACATTTGCCCCAGCTCTCATCCAGCGGACATTTTTAGCATCCGAGCTTGATGGATGGATGGTTGGCAAAATTCAAATGGCAAGCCACAGACACAGCTGCGAACATTCACTAATAAACCAAGTTACTAATGAACAAGGCAAATGTATTGCCGTGACTACCGTGACTGCCGTGACCACCTACACGGTAGGGCCAGACAAAATGAGGTTTCTAATCAAGAAAAACTTTATTATCAACGGCCGTTCGACCAAAACGGTACACTACCTTTCCACTGATGAATCCACTACAGCGAAAAAGTTATTCTCCGCTCCCGGCATCGTTGACAGAAGCGAAAGTTAGTACTTCGGGAAATCTTTAATCTTCCAGTCAGTATTCACATTGTTTTCTTTTGTCCTGTTTTTCATTTTCTTGTTTCGTGGGATGACATTCCAGAACTACGTCCAGTGCATTATTTACCTACCTATGTATGTACGTAGGTACCTACCTCCTACCTACCAAGTTACTCGTATTCGCTACCACCGCCAGTTTGTGTTATTTAACCCTGTAACCACACCCTTGCACGCGCCCCTTCCCCCCCGAGGCACGCACTGTAACCTAACACTACAGCCACAAAGCTGGAACGCAATCCGCGTATTCGTTTTCCTCAATCTCAGCATCGCAATGCTTCTCCCTGCACCGCCTGATAATACTGATAATGCCACTATCCTCTGCGGCGTTCCAGTCAAGTTGCATCTTCGCCTCAGTCCTTGATCAAATGAGCATCATGTCGCGTGCTCGTTCTGGAAATGAGCCTTGTTCCCCTCGCCAATCAGCCGATTCTTGACGTAAACTACACGCGCTTTGCCTCTCCACCAAGTTTGACTTGATATGTCATTATACACGTATCACCACGCCCTGCGAGGTAACAGTAGGAAATACGAACAGTCCACAAAACTCATGCGAAAGTCCGTCGCGTAGTCGCCCGTCAGGAACACTGCTCTAATGAAACAGTCAAATCCAGCCCTATATTCCCAACACAACGGCACCTGCTAACTACTAGGTAGTTTTCTCCGCTACGCGTATGGAATCCAAGGCCTGTAGATCACCGTTGCCCACCACCTCGAGGGCATGTGGCTAACCACAACTCGGAGACTAAAACGTCGCTTCATACCCGAAACGGCCTCTGCACGCTCCCGGCACCGACTTGCTCCACGGAGCGTCGGGGGTCGGCGTGCGACCCTTACGATCAATCTCCGCCGTTGGCGACGGACATGTCTGGAGACTATGGTACGTCTCCGAGCCATCCGACGCGGTGGGTAAGGATGGGGGAAGTTAATCGCCGTTCTCCATGTTGACCTGTGTGCTTTTTCTGGCTACGGAATAAGGCCGTGTAAGTTAGAAAAAAACTGACCCTTGTGTTATAACCTTGAATTATTCCATAATCCTGAGTGGAGGTTTTTCCCAGACAAGTAAATCATTTTACCGAGTCCGAATCTACTTCGGATTTTCCAACCCCCGAGCATGGCCAACGCCTATTTGCACCAGAGGTTAGAGTTGTTTAGGGTGCTAGAGTTCTGGGGGCTTCACTACAATTGGGGAAAAAAAAAATTTCATGGCCATACAGCGTTATTTGTGGGTATGTTTATCTATCGATCCTTACGGATTACAGGCTGAAGCTTGATTGCAGGGTAGAGTGGGGCTGTAAGGCAATTCCAACCTCCAGTTATCCAACGGCGAAAAAGTCACCAACCGTCAGCAACCTCACAACCGTGCGATCGAATACCATATTTGTGATAATAAGGAACCGCCGGCAGTGAATAAACTGCATAAATGTATTTCACAAATCTATTACGACACTCGCCGTTATAGCCTGACGCGAGCATGGCGCGAGCGCACTTCATCCCAGCACGCGACTCCCGACATCGCGCAGCTGTCGTCGCTTTATATCGGGCGCTGGCCAAGACGGCAAGCAAGGTCGCCCTGCCGGAACAGATCAGTGCGACACCTTCGGACGGGAAACGTATCCAATCGATACTCCGCCGCCGGTTCGACAAGAATTCAAAAGACACTAGTCCCAGGCTCGTTTTCGCTGCGCTGACGGCTGGCTACAAGGTGTGGCCTAACTATCAAAATTCCACTGATGTCCACATTTTCTAACAGAGATAGTTTCTATCACTCCTCAAGAAATCCCAAGATGTCAAATCGGACGAACATCAACAAATCGTGTGGCATCTCTCGAAAATGAAATTTCCAGCAACACCAGCTACAAGCCTTCCAACCCAACAGGCCACCGAAACAAGAGAACCTCTGTTGATAAAGCTATCCGAACCTGGAGAAACGCCAAAATATAAATCAAATATATACCCTCGACCGCTGAACTCCCTGGCTCGGCCTCGGCGCGTGCCGATGCTGGCAACCACCGCCGAAGGGCTGCCCTTCCTGCGGACGTCGCCCTCGCAACCTCACCACATGTCACGGATGATTGGACGCAAAAACAAAATCTACCAGTCCAAGATTTTCAAAATCACCGAGATCCAGGACGAGCTCATGCCGGCCGCCGAGGCGGAGGACCGGTGGGAGCGCATCGTCACGCGGCAGCTGCGTGAGGAGGGGCTGCCGCCTCGGGAAGCGCCTTCGGGCGACGCGGAGGAGACCTACGCGTGGAGCCTGTACCTATCCCGCCTGTGGATTGAGTGGAAGATTGAGGCGACGTGGCAGGACTGGATCGCGCGGGGCGAGGCGCTGCAGCGCATCGTGGACGCGGAGCAGGACCTGGCGGATCAGGAAGCGGGACGGACGCGGAGGCCCGAACCGACGACTGGGGAGCATGCGCGGCCGATGGCAACGGTCAACGTCTCAGGGAGCAAGTACAACTTCTTGACTCCTCTTGAGCTCCAGGGGAAACCGATTCAAATGGACGGTCATGACGTCTTTGCCTCGGAGACTTGGGCCGCGGTTGTCAGGTCACGGCACGGCATGCTGCGATCCTGGGCCGACAAGGCACAGACAGCTCAAAGAAGCACTGTATAATACGTGTATATATAGAGAGATTTCACAAATATCATGTAAAAGTATGCATCAATGCCTCGGACATGCGTCTCATATTCGTCAAAGTGTCGTATTTAAGTGTCTGGGCCCTAGCCGGCGTCAGTTAGAGCTTTTCCCCAGATAATTACGTAAGAGCCACTCTCATTTATCCAGGTACCCATAATGAGTACACCACGATTTCCCCAGCTTTGATAGGGGAAATACCATCATGTCGGATATTTAGGCGCTTCTGCCCACATATTCGCTGGGCCATCGCTGCCCCACTGATGATCGACCTGGCCCTGCCGAAGGCAGTGATGACACTGATAGACTACCAATGTGTTGACAGGGAAAAGGTATAATTACTGAGACTAAGTAGCAACTGCTTAAAACAATAACAATTGTAAATAAGAGAAAATTTATATAAACTTAAATTCACGAGGACTATCCAAGAAAATGAGCCTGGTAGTCGTCTCATCGGGAGGACTTTTTCAATTCCAAATAGACAGCAGATGACTAGGTAGTTCATCAGCATCACCACTACCCATCCATTCTCGAGTGTGCACTACGGGAATTCGACTTGTTCGAGATGTACCATCTTGTCTCAAGGGATATTCCGTCCTGTCGGAATGACCTTGGCTTCGACTCGATCGTCGATGTAGTATGTACTGTATGCATTTAATGGCCTTTACCGTCTCCGCCTGGCTTTTGATTAGCGCGATGGCTAGCCGATGTTGAGGTAAAACCACCAATAAGAAGAAGTATTTCACTGGATACGCGCCTCCACCCCGTGATCCTGGCTGCACACTGAGCTCCTTTTGCCCGCCCCCTCTGCGGCTGCTCGCATTCTCTCCGATCTGCCAGCGACGCCTCCAAAATCGGCATCTTGTCCTTCGGGAGGCCAAGAAATTGAGCTTTCAATTAAGCAATCCCCAGCGAGGCATCCGAAGGAAAGTGGGCAAACTCAGATACTACGCCTCCCGACAGTTCTCGGAGCTCCCGACAGGAAACCCAGTGCTCCACAATCGAAGCGCCTTACCTACTACCTGCGGACAGAGCCGTGGACAGAGGAATAGACGTCGTCGACATCAAGCGGCCACGACGCCACCCTCCTCAACCTACCAACTACTACAGAGCATCCATGTTGCAGGATCGTTGCCATCGCTGTCATGAAGACGGAACCGCCAGTTCTTGATACGACCCCAGGCCAGGCGTTTGCGCCGACTTTTGCAGGGGGCGCTACCGAGCCGGTCACGGGCAAAAGGAAACCATCGCCGGGCGAGGAGAAGATTGCCGGCGAAACGGAAGAGCAGAACCAGAAGCGCGCGCGCGGCCGCCCGCGATTAGATACCAAAGACGAGACCGCCGCTGATGTAAGTGCTGCAAGACCCGACCGTCCGCGCCGTTTGTCACACCTATGTCTAACGCGAAAATAGCGACGGAGAACGCAGATTCGCCTCGCGCAAAGGGCGTACAGGCATCGCAAGGACAATGCCATTACGAATCTGGAGGAGAGGGTCAAGGAGCTGAAAAAGAACAATGCTGATATGAGTCGCGAGTTTCACAAGTTTCATGATCTCGTGCTCACGAACGGCTTGTTGGATAGCTCGCCAGAGGTTGCCTCCCGGCTCAAGGCCATCACGGACAACTTTCTCAGACTCAGTGGCATGAACGCCGGGGAGACGGGCTACATCTCTCCAGAGGATGAACGCACGACAGTCGCCGACGGCTTCCGAGGCCCAGGAGAGGCGAGCTCCGGCTCGTCAGCGGGAATCCAAAGCCCTCAAAAATCTATCCCGGGCACAATAGAATACAACCAGCAGATTCCGTCGCCTGCGCAGGCGACGGTAGCAGACTCGATTGCCTCTTACGAAATCGTCGCTCAGGCCACACCGGACAACGCCTCGTTTCCGCTCTACACAGCCCTGGATGTCGTACCCAACCTCGCCGGGTTTGCACCTGCCAGCTCGCCGTTTGCGACATTGCCTTTTGCCAACTCTTTCTCTTACCACGAGATCACCTTTGGCCGACGGTTGCAGAGACGGACAACAGAGCGTGGTCTCTACTTGGCGTCGTTGGCGAACCCGCCGCCCGAGAGATACGCCGCCGTCTTTGGCTTTTCTCTTCTGTTTGAATCTCGCGAATCGATTGCGCAGCGGCTCACACAGCAGTTAGCTAACCTGGTCATGCCGTTCCAGGACCAAACCAACCCGCAAAAGGGTCCCTTCGAAGAGAAGATGCAGCAGCGCATCAGACTGACGTTTGGGTTTGAAAAAGAGTTTTTGAATACCGAGGAGATCGAGATGTATCTTTGCCAGCTGGGAATCGTCATTCCACAGCAAGTCGAATTCGTGGATGCGGAGGTGGATGTCAATGAACTCACCGATGTGGTGCCTCCTGTATTGGGTGGGCATGGGTCCTTTTCATCCCTATCTTCTGGATTCGAGAACCAGAATCCACAGGCCCCTGTTCCAATACCGATGAACATGGATACCAACCATGCCATGATCAACCAAACACAAATGCCGCCACCCGGCGCTGTTCCCTCTGCTGGCCTGCTACCTTACATGTATCCGCCAGGCATGGGCAATGCGTGGGGCGCAAATGCCTGGCAGAAGCCAAAATTGACCATCAGCGTGGGCGTCTTAGTAGAAGGTGAGTACCATAAGACAACTGAAAAACGATGAACTGCACTAACCTTCAGCTAGAACTGGCCTGCCGGGCTGTCTGCATGGGAAAACATCCAGGTGTCCGAATCAAGGATGTCAATAATGCCATCAAGCTGGCCGCTGGCCTGGTACAATGAACGCTTGCTACTCCTTATACTTCTACATATATCTTCTCGTTGCTTTTTCCTCGGTGGGATATCATCTCGGCGCACTGGAAGGGGCCAGTATTACTTGGCAGTTCTGAACATATTGATATCCGGCTAATTGTGGCTAAGGAATGGGCGTTCTGAAGGGATTTTGCTTTTGGATGTTTTGGAATAATTCCCGATTTTGGAGATGTCTAGGAAAAGCCCTGACAGAGCAAATTGGGTGTATAATAATCTGGATGGGCGGACGGCTGGCGTTGGCGGGATCCAATTCTTCGCGATGGCTCGCCTTTCCCTTTTATAAGTGCACATCTAGCGCGAAATCGCGCATCAAATATGACTTTTAATACAAACTACCGCTTCGTCGTGCTTTAACTATCTGTACACTTTACTCTGCCAGATGGCTCTGTGTGGTGCGCTTAGCCGGGTAGCCTGGCCGACGCCGGATGGCGGCTTTACATAATACCTTCGGTCAGGGTACCGGAGCCGGAGCATCACCAACTTGTTCGCCTCTACATCACTTTCTTAAGCTGGCTGACTCCTCACAGCAACATACGACCAATTTTAGGCCGACTGTCTACGTCTATGCTGAAGAAAATTATTAAAGACAGCAGATAGCCAGCATGTATTCTGAGAAGCGAACTCCAAGGGCTGGCAGCACGCCGCGACTCGTCATCCACGGCGGTGCGGGCAACATTGTCCGCCATGGCTTCCCCGTCGAAAAGTACGAGCAGTACAGAACAGCCTTGCTCAAGATTGTACGTTTATCTTTTCTTCTATTCTCTTATGCGCAGCTGAGCTGCGACCGCAGGGCGCGTCTGACGACTAATGACGCGCGGATGCAGATCGCAAACACGCAGGCGTACATGACCACCCCCGTCCGCAGTGACGACGCCAAGGACAGCTCGCCACCAGCCATGGGCCCCCAACGCCGGCGCCGCCTCCCCTCCGCGCTCGAGGTAGCCACCCACGCCGTGGCGCAGCTCGAGGACGAGCCGCTGTTCAACAGCGGCCACGGCGCCGTCTTCACGCGCGACGGCGTCAACGAGCTCGAGGCGTCCGTCATGGTCTCGCGCGGCTTCCGCAAGCGTGGCGTCGGCGTCATGGGCCTGCGGCGGGTGCGCAACCCGGTGCTGCTGGCCCGCGCCATGCTCGAGCACGGCGAGCAAGACCTCGTCGGCCCCGGCGGCGGGAACCGGCCGTCAACCATGTCAGGGCTGGACGTCCCGTCGGCGCAAGGCCACACACAGATCTACGGCGAGGCGGCGGAACAGCTCGCGCGCGCGTACGGCTGCGCGATGGTCGAGCCGGCGTACTTTTACACGAGGCAGCGCTGGGACGAGCACGTGCGCGCGCTGGAGCGGGAGGGGGAGGGGACGGCGACTACGGCGACGTGGGCGGCGGACGAGTTCCTCCCGCAGGGCACGTGTGGTGCGGTCGCGATGGACGAGGACGGCGTGGTGTGCGCGGCGACGAGCACGGGTGGCATGACGAACAAGCTGACGGGCCGCGTGGGCGACACGCCCGTGCCGGGTGCGGGCTTCTGGGCCGAGGAGTGGACGGAGTGGACGGAGGCGACGGCGACGGCGACGGCGACGACGCCGTGGGAGCGGCTGGTGAGCTCGGCGCGCGCGCCCATCGAGCTCACCGGCTCTCTGCGGGGGCTCCTCGCCGACTGCCTGCCGACGCCTTTCCTGTACTCTCCCGTCGTCGAGTCGACGCCGACGACGCGGTGCCTAGCCGTCTCGAGCACTGGCAACGGCGACTCCTTCCTGCGGGTCAACGCGGCGCGTACTGTCGCGGCCATGGCGCGGTGGAAGCCGCAGACGGGAGCGGCGGCCTTGCGCGCGGTGGCGGGACCGGGCGGCGAGTTGCAGCGCAGCGCGGGGGAGCGCTGGGGCGCGGCGGGCGAGGGCGAGGGCGGCATGATTGGCATCGAGGCGGTGGTGACGCGCGAGGGTGAAGGGGGGGCGGTGACGGCGCGAGGGGAGATTTTGATGACGTATAACTGCGGTGGCCTGTACCGCGCGTGGATCGACAATGACGGTAAGCCGGTGATGAGTATATGGTCGAACACGACGTGGGATGAGTTGCCGGATGGGGATCACTTTGAGTGATGAGGGGAAATACGGCATGGATAGAGACTGATAGATTTTCGCGGTTGCAGGTAGACCGAGTGTTCAAGGGAACATTGCTCGCGGAGCTTTATATGAAATTGCCTGTTATTATCATACTCTCAAGCATCGTCACATAGAACTACTATAGCAGTACCCTAGATCTGAGAAGCCTCTATTGACCCTCATTCTATCCAAGCCACAAGTTTTTTTTCCGTTTTGTTTTCTTATTTTATGCGTTGAACACTCGTTATTTGCTGGACGATTGTCTTCTCTTTCTTATTATATTTCCTGCTGTAGCTCATGTATGGCAGAGTAAGGGCAAGGTTGCCGACTAGTTTGACTGTATCTAGTTAATCGAGGTGGGCATAAAAGCAAGAGCTAGCCGTGCCACTTATATAGCACTCGACGTTTATTCAAGCAACCATAACAACGACTGCTGAATCAGTAAGAAAGCCACTGTGATTATCTGCAAAATAGAAAAGAAGTTGCGTTGATAGGCAGCCCAAGCCCGTCCAATAATAGCGGCACCAGTGACTAGCCGCATCAAGCACGCCGATGAATGGAAACATGGAGAAGGCTGGGCGGGACACGTCGGCGAGGCTAGTATATAAGTTTGTCCATGCTTTCAATTCTTCTCAATGATTTCCAAAGAACGGTTTCCCCCCCCCCCCTTCTCCTACGTTCAGCCTCATACGAAGCTGACTGCCTGTCTGACCGCCCCCGTCCGACAACTTGAACCAAGAGCCAGCCAGAGCCATGGGTCTCCAAGTAAAGTCCGCTGGCGAGCAAGACGCCGCGCGATCCGTGGTGATTGAAAAGGTAGCATACGGCCGGGGCTCCATTAGCGACATCATCTTCCCCGGCCCCGCGAGCGAGGACGCGGACGGCGCGCGGGAGGCGCAGATGCTCAAGTCCCTCCGCGAGGACCCAGCGTCTTGCCTGTGGCTGCAGGTCGTCGACGAGGACCGGGTCGGGACCGGGCAGCACGGGATGGTGTGCTTCTCGATGGGCTACCTCTGGCTGTCAACGCCGCCGCCGCCGACGACGACGACGAGAAGGGTCTGGGGCCCCGGGTCGAACCCGGAGGCGTGCGAGCGGTTCTTTGGCGGCATGACGAGCAAGTGGGCGGAGCGGATGGGCAACAAGCCGCATTTCTGTAAGTTGGCCACAAACGGCCGTACTGTCTAGGGTAGGGGCGCTGTAGCTGATGATTGGCAACCACTTTTAGACTTGAAGCTGCTTCATACGGACCCGACGTATCAGAGGCGTGGAGCGGCATCGATGCTGCTGAAGCGGTGGGCGGAGCGGGCCGACGAGCACGGGCTGGAGTCATACCTAGAGGCTACCGAGGAGGGACGGCCTCTGTACGAAAAGTTTGGCTACGAGACGGTGGACGTGTTGGTGACGGACTTTAGCAAATGGGGTGGCCCGGACAAGTTTGAGACTTGCTTAATGCTGCGAAAGCCCAAGACGGGCAGCGCTTGATGGTATGACGGGGGATTCGGGTTAATAGTGAGGGAGGACGAGGGCCATGATGTTGATACGTATGTATGTATGTATGTATGTATGTATGTATGTATGTATGTATGTATGTATGTATGTATGTATGTATGTATGTATGTATGTATGTATGTATGTATGTATGTATGTATGTATGTATGTATGTATGTATGTATGTATGTATGTATGTATGTATGTATGTATGTATGTATGTATGTATGTATGTATGTATGTATGTATGTATGTATGTATGTATGTATGTATGTATGTATGTATGTATGTATGTATGTATGTATGTATGTATGTATGTATGTATGTATGTATGTATGTATGTATGTATGTATGTATGTATGTATGTATGTATGTATGTATGTATGTATGTATGTATGTATGTATGTATGTATGTATGTATGTATGTATGTATGTATGTATGTATGTATGTATGTATGTATGTATGTATGTATGTATGTATGTATGTATGTATGTATGTATGTATGTATGTATGTATGTATGTATGTATGTATGTATGTATGTATGTATGTATGTATGTATGTATGTATGTATGTATGTATGTATGTATGTATGTATGTATGTATGTATGTATGTATGTATGTATGTATGTATGTATGTATGTATGTATGTATGTATGTATGTATGTATGTATGTATGTATGTATGTATGTATGTATGTATGTATGTATGTATGTATGTATGTATGTATGTATGTATGTATGTATGTATGTATGTATGTATGTATGTATGTATGTATGTATGTATGTATGTATGTATGTATGTATGTATGTATGTATGTATGTATGTATGTATGTATGTATGTATGTATGTATGTATGTATGTATGTATGTATGTATGTATGTATGTATGTATGTATGTATGTATGTATGTATGTAAATGCGGTGTTTGGTCATTGTATGTATGTACTAGTTAGGGATGGATGACAGGGCTGCAAGGCTACACTACTTATGTATGTACAGTACTACAGGGGCCTCCGACACGAGGCAGACCAGGGCATTTCAGCCACCGCGTCGAGGATGACGCGGCGGTTTCTTAGGGGAAGGAATTAAACGAGAAACTAAAGAAAAAAAAATGAGATGGAATGTAGTTGGATGGCCTGTATAATGAAATTGAACATTTGTCAGTTTAATTCTTTATTTCGTTACTGTTCATAGTTTCCTGGCTCGTACGGTGCCAGGGAGGATCTTGACATGTGAGAGCAAGCGAGTACGCCCCTATGATACGATAACATCACAGCACAACAACCCAACTAACGCCAATTGGTCTCCATGTCGCGAGTAGCTTCGGACGGGATGTTTTGACTAACTAGAAAAAAAGCTTAACGCAGCGGGAGCTGGGCTGGATGCAATGCATTGCGGACGGGTGCTGACGCAAAAATAGGTGAGCGGGTCAGCCTGCGCCACCTTTATAGGTCCATACATACAGACATTCATACATACAAACATACATATGTAGGTAGCGAACTTACAGGGGACTTTTTCTATCCACTAGAACTGCTATAACCGGGGCTGGAGCCACTATAACCAGGCAGCGGCGAACAACCCAGAGGCACCACTCAGCTCACCGACGATCAAACATCTTTATCCCGACAACTTTGTCAGTTTTTCCCTTGTTTCTCTCACTCTCTCTCTCCCTTGACTCCCTCACGATTGACAACGATATTACGACCCCTGACGATACAAGACGTTTTTCCTTTTCTCGCACTCAACTAGGTACACACACCACCAACACCAATGGAAAAGGTGCAGCTTGCCCGCGCACATGCTGCCCGCGCCGAGGCTGAGGGTGCCGCTCGACTACAGCTTCAGCAAGCCCAGCAACAGCAGCAGCCGCCGCCGCCGCCGCCGCAGGAACAACAACGTCAACGAGCACATTCACAATCCCAGTCGCCCTCGCCGCCCACACAGACGCCCCGCGTCCAGCGCAGTCACGTCGATCTCCGTCACCACCACCACCACCACTCAGCGTCTCGTCCCCAGACACCCCCGCCGTACTCCGGCCCGTCCGACCCGTCCTCCTCGGCCGCGCTCGAGACCAGCGCCGACGATTCCTACCCTCACAACGGCTCGGGAGGCTCATCCGGCAAGGGCTTCCCGCGGTACCCGGGCCTGCCCAAGATCGACTACCGCATCTACTCGCCGCCGCTCTTCAAGCTCTCGTCGGACCTGATGACGCTGACCTCCAAGGCCGAGTACCTGTCGACCAACGCGGCCGCGCTCGTCACCCTCGTGCGCACGCAGGCGCAGGTGCCGCCCAAGCCGTACATCGTCGTCAAGGGCTCGCGCGGCCGCAAGGTCGACTTCGAGGTCAAGCTGAACCTGATGGCGCTGCTGATCCCCGAGGGCAACGGCGGCGCGCGCATGGACTACATCCGGTGCGTCGGCCACGACGAGGTCGCCTACCGCGGGGGCGCCCGCCCGGACGTGCTGCCCGAGGTCGGCGACGGCGGGCTCGACGAGTGGTGCCGCCGCTTCGTCGAGGATCCCGCCGGCATCAAGACGTTCACGCTGGAGCGCGTCGTGGCCAACCTCGACGTCGGCTGGATCGACGGCCAGATGCGCAGCCTGCTCGCCAGCCTCAAGTACAAGGGCAACGTCGACGTCACCTTTGTGGTCACCCACTCCAAGATCACCGTCCAGAACCCGGACAAGGTCAACCAGTTCTTCACGTCGGTCACCAGCCTCTTCGCGGGCAAGAACAGGTACGAGGTTGTCAAGTCCGTCTGGCCCTTTGCCTCGGCACGCCCCGGCGAGCCCGGCCGCCGCTGCGCCGTGCAGACCGAGGAGACTTGGTGGCGCGAGTGGCGCGGGCCGATCGGCTACGCGATCGCGCAGAAGCGCCAGGGCTGGGTCACGGTCGAGGACAAGCTCGAGGCTGTCATGGAGGGCAAGGGCAGCAACATGGCCCCCGTCGACTGGGGTCCCGAGTTCCATGCGTAGGGGGATTAAGTGTAGGTGTGAGTGTGTGTATTCGTTTTGTGGTGTGACTTGGCATGGCACCGGTGTTTTGGGCCTTTTTTCTCTTCTTCTTATTCTTTGGGGGGCGCAAATGTGTATGTATACAAATATATCTCAGAGCACAACAAACTACTTCGGAATCTACCACCTCCTTCTTCCCCTCACAGCACGTCATCGGCCGGCACCACGCCGCTGCCAAAGACCCTGTCCACGCGCGTCCTGCGCTCCCAGACGACGCGCCCGTCGCTGCGGCGCTTAAAGTAGAGGATGCGGTGCTGCGGGATGAACTCCTCGTCCGTCTGCTCCGTCTTCCACTGCGCGAGCGGCTTCTCCTGCGCGCCCGCGAACCGGTCCTCGAAGCCGACGATGAAGTCGGCCGCGTCCAGCGCGCGGTCCCAGCGCAGCCGGTGGAGCACGTCCGATGCCGGCCGGAACCGGCCCATGCCCTCGGGCTTGGCGTCGGTCGGCACGTTGAGCTTGACAGGTCCGCCGGCGGAGCGCTTGGCGGCGGCGCGCGAGGAGGAGCTGGTGGTTGGCTCTTCGTAACCGGGCTGGCCTTCTTCATCTTCGCCGTCGCCGTCGTCCTCCTCCTCGTCGCTATCGTCCTCGTCTTCGAAGTCGTCGAAGTTGGCATCAAGGCCGTCTAGGTAACCGGGGTCGAGAACGGCCGAGGCAACGTCGCCGGCGTTGACGACACTGGCGGCCATCCAGCACGAAGAGGCGTCGTAGTATCGTGTGTCGCTACGTATCTTGGTCTCGAAGTCACGCAGGAGGCTGTCGAGGGCAACCTTGGTAGCCTTAGCATCGTCCTTGGCGCGATCGCTCTCAACACTGTCCCAGGCTAGGCCGATCAGATAAGATCCCTGGTACTCTGAGCCCGTCGCCGAATCCTCCATAGGAGCGTCGACGAATCGCCCAGGCCACATACGTGGTAGGAGGGCCGGCGCTTTTCTGTTCATATCTACGAAATTGAGTTAGCACAACCGAGTTATAGCTTAGATGTGAATACCAAAGTCCTTACCAACTAGAACGGCAACGCAACGTGACTCCAGCCAACCCAGGAACTTGCGGCCGCCGGAGGGTGAGGCTCCCCAATATCGAGCATCAATTTGGACGTAGCTCTTGAAGCCCTGGAGAAAGTCCTGAACTCCAGAGGCTGTAGCGCCGGTTGGGCCGAGGAAGTCATCCCAGCTCGCCCCCGCTTGAGATAGAAGAGAGTTTGCCTTGCAAAGCTCAGACGCTATCGTCTTGACAGTCGGCACCGACGCGGCCATGGCGGTGTTGAGGGCCGGCGCATGCCATCCCAAGAGACAGAAGGGCTCTCGGGAGGTGCGGTGATAGCGCAGCTCTTTGTGAAAGAACGGATCCAGCACGACCTGCATCTCCCAGTCGAAGTCGGCGTAGTGACGGAAGAATGTCGTGATGATGTCCGTCGTGGATACCGTCTTGGACAGTGTGGCTAGCTGCTTGCAGATGGGAGTGAGAAGGACGGTGATGTGGATGCCGCCCAGGAGACCGAAACGCGCGCCGTAGATGCCTCGCGACTTAGCCCAAGCCTTGATCAGAAGGAACGCAACCCGGAACTTGGCGAGGTCGGGGATGGAGCGCAATAGATAGTACATGTCCCGGGCCGGCTTCAGCTTGGCCAAGGTTTGCACTGGAAGCGCGAATTGCGGATGGGTAGGGGGCAAATTCATAACGCCTGGGAATCTGAGAGCAGTTAGTGAATGAAAAGAAGACAGAGACTGTACGAATAGAACCAACCTTTCCACGATGGAAGTAGCAGCACAGTAATGGAGATCAAAGGTAATGTCTAGGATCTGAAGCTCCAGGCTCGTGCCAGTGCTGGCCAATACCTTTCGCAACACACAGATCCTTGGATCAGCAGCCTTCTTCAGACGCTGCAGAGCTACGCGGAAGAATACTCTGGAGCTGATGGTTCCGATGCAGAGGCAGTCGACGTCAGAGGAGCTCATCCAAACACCAAGCCCAAATGATCCTACCGGGACAAGGACGAGGCCAACAGGTGTGCGTCCCTCTTGGTCCGGCTTGTCTTGATCGTTGCCCGACAAGACACCTTCCAAAAGGGATATTGCTTGTCTTCTCCGAGATTCGTCGTCTTCGGTGGGCAGGCAGCCATGAGACAGCAACGTCTGCTTCACATCCTCGAGCCGGCCCAGGGACGGCGCGGCCTCGGTCAGCTCGATGGGCTTCACGCGGCCAAATATACCGCTGGGAGAGACGCCAGGGTGAGCGCCCTGGCTAAAGAGACAGCGGATGCCCCAGTGGTCGCTGGCATGGACCCGGCTGTCGTCGGCCAGCTGCGTCAGCAGGTCCTTGCCGAACATGTTGAAGGCGACAGGGCGCAGGGGCAGCTGCGCGGTGAAGAGAATGCGGTCGTAGCGCTGAGGTCGCTTGTCGGCGCCGCCGCCTACGAGCTTCGCGGCGAGCTTGTTCTCGAGCGGGTTGAAGGTGGCGCCCTGCTCGCCCTCGTAGACGTGCATGACGGCCTCGTTGGCCAGGGCCAGCTCGGACGACTCGCCGGCCGAGATCTTGGTTGCCAGCCAGACGTCGTGGAACTCGGCATTGGCCAGCAAGTCTTGGATGTCGCTCAGGCACTGTCTGCCGTTGGTGGAGAGGGACTGCGCCATGTCGATGGCGTACGAGGAGGTCGTCACGTTGAAGTCGCCGGCGATCACGCACGGGTGCGTGCCGTACCGCTCGGAGAGATGTCGCTGGAGGCGCAGGACCTCGACCTTCTTGGACGAGAGGGCGCCGTCTGTCAGGCCCTGGCTCAAGTGGCAGCCAGCAACCACTAGCGGTTTAGTGCGGGAGTCGGTTAGAGGATCGTGAAACGAGACGCCGGGAAAGGTCGCGACGGCAGCGCCCTTGTGCCGGCGCTGAAGAGGGAGATACTCCCACGAAAAGGGAAACCTGCTCAGGATAGCAATGTTGAGAAGGCTAGGAAGAGGGCCGATCTCAGGTTGGTCGGGCGGGCCGTGGGTGCTGTAGGGATACTTGGCGCAAACGTGGTGATCCTTGAGGAGGTCCGGGAGGAAGTGGTCCGAGACTTCCTCAAGGACGAGGATGTCGGCCTCGGCACGCCGGGACAGGATGTTTTGAATAAGAGCCGAGTTTCTCGACCGATCCGGCGGCCATGAAAACTCGGAGAGAACATTGTAGGAAGCAACGATGAGGTCTGTCGTAACATCCGAACTCGGCGCTAAATATGAGGTGTCCAAAGCCTCCCAGTCTTCTGATTCTGGATTGAAGCGGTAGGTAGGCTGAGGGTATGCCTTGACAGTTTGCGAGTGATCACTCTTATCGACCACCAAGACCTCATCTTGAGGAAGAGTACGCTCGACCAGGCGTTTTGACTCGACGTCGAGTAGCCTCCAGAGCTTCATTCTTCGAAGGCCATCCGCAGGACCGGGGGTAGTATCCCGCACCATAATGGCGAGATGGGCCCCCTCCCACGAGATCGGCGTCAGCAGACGGGCTTTGTGAAGGAGAAACTTGTGTGTATCTGAATCTGCATCCTCGGTCTGACCAACAGTTAAATGAGGAGTATAGCCGCCCTGTGCTTTCCAACCAAGCGCAGAGCGCACATGATTAACGAGCTTCCTCAGGTCGGCGGCGGCGGCGGCGTCGGGCTTCAGGTACAGAGTGTTGTACTTGTCGTGGACGAAGGCATCCGCGTGTGTGATGGAAACCTTGGACGGCAGGTGGCTGGACAGGTCGAGCTGGAGGAGAGTGTCGGCGGCGTCGGCGACAAGCTCCGGATGCACAAAGGGATAGACGAGGTTGATATGGGGAGGCCATTTCGCATACGCCTTGTCGTTGAGACTGCGCAGCCGGTTGATGGCGGGCCAGAGGCTTTGAGGAGGGATTATGCACAGCGCAGTGTCGTGTGATGGTGCGCGGAATCTTGATTGCGAGGTTGGGTCTGGGGTGAGCGCCATGATGAGATCAGTTTTGTTCTCTGCAGACTTATGGAGACGTAGAGGGGGAAAAGGTTATGGGGGAGATGGAAATTGGCGATGATGAAGTGGTGATGAAGAGCTGTGATCGGACGTCGGTTGAAGTGAGGGGGAAATGCAAGGATGCTCGCCAAGAGTCCAGCGCCGGATATGCAAAATAGATGCGCCAAGTAATGTGACATGCTCTAGTATCTCGAAGGAAGTGAGGATGGGCGCAAGTCTTAAATGGTTGCATACACACAAGATGAAGCCCGCAGTAAGCCTATTGAGTAAGGCGGATTCAGACCTCTCTCATGACAACCCACCAGATGGTGAGTCACGCCTTGGAGCACTGACCGCATTACTTGGGGAAAAAAAGACAATTTTGGCTCAATCAAATGTTGCTAATGTTAGAAGAGGGCTGTTTTGACTCATATCATAATTAACCATACCTTTAAGTCGAGACTGGAAGATCAGCCTTTGTGCGGTGCTGACAGGTGGCCGCGAGGGTGTGAGGTATGAGATGGGAGGGTAACCTTGCTTCCACTTACATCAACGTACAGCCCCGGCATCATACAAATAATAGAGTCATTCCTAAGCCTCATACTGCGGGGGTGGTTGTTCACTGATAATAGAGCACACAAGGCGGCGCACGAGGTCATAACAAAATCAAGTAACTAGATGCAGGCAATCTACTTACTTGTAAGTTGCCATATCATGCTAGTTACAGCTTGCGTAGCATGTAAAGCAACCATGAAAAACAAAGGTATCAATCGTCATTGTCATGAAAATCCACCTCCCTGGCGCAGCCCGGAGCAAACACCGTCATTCTATCCTGCTATATCATACAACGCATCTTGCCACGAGACGCCTTTATGAAGCGAGGCTAACAAAAACGGCAGCAATAGCCGTCTTGTCCCACTTCACGTGCTTGCCCTTGCCCTTATCAATCTCGTGGTAGCGGTCCCAGAAGCGATCGTACAGCGGCTGCAGCTTTTGGCGGATGTCCTGCGCAAACATGACGCGTACCTCCCGCTCCATGCTATACGCCTTGTGCTTGCCGACCATCTCCTCAAAGGCGGCGTTAAACGAGTGGAACTTGTCCTTGATCTTGTCCTTGTCCTTGCTGCTCAGCGCCTTTACGACTGTGGCCGAGTCGATCGGTCCGCCTGACTGTGGCCGCGCGCGCTGCGACGTGTGGATGGCGTCGAAGAGGTGCGCCGACAGGTCTCTGCACACGTCCGTGTAGCTCATGGTCGCTTTCTTGCGCCACGGGTCGAGCACGTCAAGACGCGGCTGCAGGAGTGGCTCCAAATCCGAGTTGCCGATGGAGCGCTCAATGATCACGACACTGTTGGCAAGGAAGACGCCCTGCGTCGACTTGTTACGGATCAACAGGCGCATCTTGGAATCTAGCGCCGTGAGAAGTGCTTCAATTGTATCGATGCAGTAGTGCGTAAAGATTTGCTGGCCGTCGGCAGTGACATCGAATGAAGCCAGGCTGGGAATGGCGTCTGCGCCACGAGCAGACGCGCCATTCTTCCACCCGCCATCTCCAAGCGAAATCATAATGCTAGCTATAGGGCGGAGAAACTCCATCATAGCCTGGAGACGTTGCATAGTCTCTGTCACAATAGGCAGGGCTGCACCGTCGTTGGGTAATGTTTGTACAGAACCAATCTTGCGCTTTGTGTCTTCAAGAAGTTCTGCTAGCGACGACTTGGCCGTTTCCCTCACGGGCTTCAGAGCCGCTGCAAGTTGTGGCTTGAGTTCACCGGTTCTGGTCTCCAGGTTTCCGGACAGCGTAGACAGGATCTCTACCACTTCGTATGCGAGATAGCAATCAGTCGGCAAGTGCAGCTTGATATGGGCGTTGAGTTCGCGCAAAGTTCTGGCGAGCTCGGCAAGGGGAGCTTGGCACGCAGCCTGGAACACAGGGCCCCAGTCCTCGCGAGCAAAAATGCTGCAGACATTCTCATACTCTGCGACGAAGATTCCATCCATCGCTTGGGCGTACGTTCCGATACCATTGGTGCCGGATCTGTATATTGCTCCAGGATTCTTCTTCTTGGCTGTATTCACGCTGGCGGCTGCGAGGTTGACCAAGGACGCCGACAAGTACGGTCCACGGATCTCGCTATATATTTTTGCAATTGGCGATTCATATCCAGCCCCTTTCTGATTGCTTCCAAGGTGTGAGTATATCAGACCCAATCGTGTAATGGCCTCCTGAGGCAGAACAGGGAACTCTTTGTCTTTTGTGATAAAATGGAGCGGCTCGAGGGATCGCGGTGTCTCGTTGCGAAGCAGCTTGTCAAAGAAAGCTTCGAGTTGGGCGTTTCCGGTTTTCATTAGACGGGTCATATCCGCCATGGTATTTTGGTTGGCCCGCAAGTTGGACGCCTGCATATCGGCATGCGACCTGTTCATGCGCTTCATCGATGCGAGGTAGGCAGACAAGCCGGCTTTCTCGGGACCAGCCCGAATAATCTGCTCTTCGTCATCTTTACTGTCGGCAGGTTGTCGAAGACGATCGATTGCGGAGATGACGGAGTCAACATCTGTTCATGTTAGCGACGAGCGGGGGCGCCAGTCGCGGAGGAAGCTCACTTGATCCCAGAACCTGCAATCGCCGAGTCTCGCCATTCAAAGGCCCTGCTACCTCGCGCACACTTTTTCCCGTAGCCTCAAGTCTGCCGAGGCATGCTTGGATCTTCTTGGTGAGCTGGGTCGTCTTGTCCAGACGTGAGTTCAGGACATCAACTTCGGCCCGCGCCTCTTCGTCCAGGGCGTTGAGCGAGACGTTTGCCGCCAAACCGACGGCCATGTTTCAGATTCAGATGCTGATTTCAATGATGCATATAGAGATCTTTGGTCTCATAGTATGCGGTGTGCTTGTGATGACGACTCGCCTTTATTGAATTGTTAGTCTCGTTGAAGGTCCTGAGACGAGACATGGTGATCGAGCAGATGCTCTGAGGTGGGGCACCAGGTGCCTCCTGCTTAACTTGTTCGGGCGACGGTACTCGTACAGCAGCAACAATATTCCGCGCTGTTAACGAGAATTATTTAGATGATAATCTAAAAAAATAAGAGAAAATCGAAAAGAATAAAGTACCCAACATGCGCAAGCATCGCTTCCGACGAGCCATCCCCGTACTCGTCCTCCCCTCACATCATTGGTCTTGCTTAGTAACCCGGCTTCTTGAGCCCAAGTAACCCCTGTAGCCACTTTACGCGAAGTCGCGTCTCGACGCGTTTTCGTGTGTCTACCCACCACAAAGTCCCTGCCACACATCACCCTTCATCCCAAATTGTACCTCTTCGCCTTCCAGTTTTCCCATTCACAAAGTTGCGGCTGCTCAACATATTTGCCCATCATGGATCAATATATGCTTCAGGATGAGGCCGTTATTGATCGTATCCGTCAGGCGGAGGAGTTCCTGGATCCCAGTACGCTACCCCTCATAGACCCCCAACGGCGCAAATCAGCAACCAGCAAGCAATGCTAACCACCGCTCTTAGGTGACTCCCATGCGCGCAGCTACAGGTCCGATATTATTCTTATGCTACAGAAGAACCAACGACGTTTGACCGTAAACCTCGACCATGTTCGCGATCATAATGAGAAGCTCGCCAAGGGCATCCTTGAGGAACCCTTCGATTTCAGTCTGGCCTTCAACCACGCCCTCAAGCAAATTATCGCTGCACTCCAGCCATCCCAGGCCCGCCCTGACCAACAGGCTGCCGATACTGTCTACTACTGTGCGTGGGCTGGCAGTTTTGGCCTGAACGCTTGCAATCCCCGCACAATCTCGTCCAATCATCTCAACCGCATGGTTTCGCTCGAAGGCATTGTTACGCGATGCTCTCTGATCCGACCCAAAGTTGTACGCAGTGTCCACTGGAATGAAAAGAAGGAAAAATTCCACTTCCGCGAATATCAAGACCAGACTATGACGAATGGTGTCACAACATCAAGTGTTTACCCGCGTGAAGACGAAGATGGAAATCCCCTACTCACTGAATATGGCTTCTGCACCTACCGCGATCATCAATCTATTTCCATTCAGGAAATGCCTGAGCGCGCGCCTGCTGGTCAGCTACCTCGTGGTGTGGACGTCATTCTGGACGACGACTTGGTGGACAAGGTGAAGCCTGGCGACAGAGTTCAGCTTGTTGGGATTTTCAGGACACTTGGTAACCGCAATACCAACCATAACAGCGCCTTGTTCAAGGCTGTTATCCTTGCCAACAACATTGTGTTGCTCTCTTCAAAGTCTGGCGGCGGTGTTGCGCAGGCCACGATCACCGATACCGATATTCGAAACATTAATAAAATTGCCAAGAGGAAGAACCTGCTCGAGCTCCTATCTCAATCTTTGGCCCCTAGTATCTATGGCCACCATCATATCAAGAAGGCTATTCTTCTCATGCTTCTCGGCGGTATGGAGAAAAATCTCGAAAACGGTACTCATTTGAGAGGAGACATCAATATTCTCATGGTTGGTGACCCATCTACCGCGAAGTCGCAACTTTTGCGATTCGTACTGAATACGGCCCCTCTCTCTATTGCCACTACTGGTCGCGGTTCGTCTGGTGTGGGTTTGACTGCCGCCGTCACCTCAGACAAGGAAACTGGTGAACGTCGTCTTGAAGCTGGTGCAATGGTCATGGCCGACCGTGGCGTCGTCTGTATCGATGAGTTCGATAAGATGTCCGACAATGACCGTGTTGCTATTCACGAAGTCATGGAACAACAAACTGTCACGATTGCGAAAGCCGGTATTCACACGTCTCTGAATGCCCGATGCTCCGTTGTTGCCGCCGCCAACCCCATCTACGGCCAGTATGATCCCCACAAGGATCCTCACAAGAACATTGCTCTACCCGACTCTCTGCTGTCCCGTTTTGACTTGTTGTTTGTTGTGACCGACGACATCGAGGACACGCGCGACCGTCAGGTCTCAGAGCACGTTCTTCGCATGCACATGTATCGTCAGCCAGGGACGGAAGCAGGAGCACCTGTTCGAGAACAAGCCTCTCAATTCCTTGGCGTGTCGGCCGATACACAGGCGGGGACTCAGCGCCCAACTGAGGTGTTTGAGAAATTTGATGCTATGCTGCACGCCGGTGTTGCGCACAATGCAGGCCGAGGCTCCAACAAGAAGCCAGAGATTCTCAGCATTCCGTTCATGAAGAAGTACATCCAATATGCCAAGACTCGTATCAAGCCTGTCTTGACCCAGGAAGCATCCGACCGCATTGCGGACATCTACGTTGGTCTTCGAAACGACGAGATGGAGGGCAACCAGCGCCGCACCTCTCCCTTGACCGTGCGTACGCTCGAAACCCTCATCCGTCTTGCCACTGCCCACGCCAAATCTCGCCTGTCCAACCGGGTGGAAGAACGCGACGCCGCTGCTGCCGAGGCTATTCTGCGTTTTGCACTCTTCAAGGAGGTCGTGGAAGAGTCCCGAAAGAAGCGCAGAAGGACTGCCGCCGTTGACTTCGCCTCTAGTAGCGACGAGGACGACGATGACGATGACGACGATGAGGGCGATGGTACCGACGGTGCTTTCCGGGGCGCAAGATCGACACAAACGACCATGCGCACAACACGATCAAGGGGTACGGTCCCCGCTACAAATGGTGCCAGCAGGAGCAATGATCAAGAAGAGGATGACGATGACGATGGAGCAGAAGAGGAGCAAGCTGAATCCTCAGCCGCACCCCGACGCTCCGGAAGAACTGCCCGGTCGAACGGCGCCGCGTCAGAATCTCAGACGTCATTTGTTTCGTCCATGCCCGCCTCGCAGCTACCCAGCCAAACACAAGAAGATCAGGATCTGGCTAGCGGTGCTGCCTCTCTCACGATCGACGACACTCCGATTGCTGCACCCCGTCTGGCTGCATTCAGAACCGCGCTTGGTCAGCTGCTCAACACGCCTCTGTTCGAGGATGACTCGGCCGGTCTGGATGCCGTCATTGGGGCTGTCAACCAAAAGATTGGAAACCGCAGCGGCGGTGCCTTTGACCGTGAAGAGGCCGTCAAGGCCCTCAAGAAGCTTGAGGAGGCCAACCACATCATGTAAGTTTTTTCTGTAACCTTGTTCCAAGAATTTCTCACTAACAAATACGCAGGTTCGCGGACGGCGAGCTCGTCTATAAAATTTAAGTTTTTGCTTTGGTTGTTTTCTTTTCTGTGCATAAATATCATGGCGTCCCGGGTTTCGGTCTGAATGCGATGATTTGATGAAATGGTAGCAATGTTGAATGGGATGGTAAACAAATGTTGTATTAAAGCTTTCTAAGTGAATGCCGACTATGATCTATCGAATGACTTTTATAACCTATTTTGTTTTTCCTGACATGACTGCGTTTCCAACACTGGGGAATTGGACATGAGGCTCTCGAAAATCTAGCTCCCCTCATAACACGCCATCACAGGCGCTCTTGAAACTCGTGCAATCGGACGAGCGGATTGACGCCGTTCCAGGTCTCCTCAGCGTCGTCGCTCTTGCCGATGGTCGGGGGCCCGACCTGCTCGATGGCGAAGCTCGCCGCGACGGTGCCCCAGACGGCGGCCGTCTCAACGTCCTCCTCGCGCGCCAGGGCGACAGCGAGCCCTCCGAGGAAGGTGTTGCCGCCGCCGGTCGGGTCGACGACGTTGGCGGCGTCCTGGTGGTAGGCTGGAATCCAGCGCTGGACGCCCGGGTCGACCTCGATCTCCTCGGCGTCGACGGCGCCGTCGTCGCCCTGCAGCAGGCCGGCGAGGAGCGACTCCATGTCGGTGTCGGGCTGCAGGGAGCCGTGGATGAGGGCCTTGCGGCGCGCGGGCTTGACGTCGGTGTCGCGGCGGCGTCGGGGCGGGCGGCGTCGGCCGCCGTTGCGCGCGACGTAGCAGCCGCGCTCGCCGGCGCGTACGACGAGCGCGTACGACTGCAGGGGCATGCTGGCGAGCAGCTGCTCGCAGGCCTGCTCGACGGCGTCCGGGTCGATGGCGCCCGTCGCCGGGTCGAGCCCGTCGGTGCCGAGGAAGGCGGCCAGCTCCGCGTGGTTGGGGCTGCAGACGTCGACGAGCGGCAGGCAGTTGGTGCAGTTGAGCAGCTCGTCCGGGTGGCAGCGGTCCGGCACGGGCTCCCAGATGAAGATGGGCTTGGTGTACGTCTCCCCGGGCATCACGGCGCGCCGCCGAGAGGTGATGTCGCGCACGAGCTCCTGGCAGCGCAGCGGCGAGCAGATGAGGTGGAAGGAGCGGGCGCGCAGCAGCGCCGGGTCGAGATCGGCGCCGGTGAGGCGGCGCTTGGGCGTGGTGTATCGAAAGGCGCGGTGCTGGTCCAAGGCGGAGTCGTAGCCGTTCCAGCCGCGCGTGGTCAGGCGCTCGGCGTCGAGGCGGTGCACGGCGTGCGTCCCCCACGTGTCGATGAGGGCGCCGAGGGCGGGCGGGAAGTCGGAGCCCTGGTCGACTACCCAGCCGACGGAGCCGGACAGAGGTGGCGGCGACAACAGACGCGCACCGAGCGCGGAGTACGTGCCTGCGCCGCCAAGGACATCCTTGGCTGGAGGCGTGGGCGGGAGGAAGTCAATGTCATCTGGGATAGTAGGTGAGCGCGGGCGTTTGTTGGAGGGTTAGAGTTGGAGGGGTTGGTGACAGAGCGGGGGAAGTTGAGAGGGGGGCTGTAGAGATGTGGTGTAGCCTGAATCCGTACCTATGATAAACATTCCAAGTGTGACAAAGTCTATAGATGGCGTCGGGGGATCATTGTCGCCGCTGTCCGTGGCATCTGAGTGAGGCGCCATCTTGTTTGGCGCGCGTGTTGTTGGGCCGGTTGGTAGCGCAATTGTTTATGTAGCCAGCCGAGCCGCCTGCGCGATGCAACGGCGCGCCTGCAGGTTCAGGCCAGGCTGAAGGAGGCAAACTGAGTGCAAGGATGGGCGAGGCGGTCCCAGATGAGCCAGTCGACGGTTTTGATGCAAGCGTAAAAAGCTTGGGCCTGGTTATCGGTCGGAGCGGCGGTGAACGAGGGCGAACAAGCGTGCTTGCATTGGTGGGAGCCACCGACCCGGCCAGTATAAGGCAGGTCGCAATAGATTGCACGCGGACGGGGTCTCTTTTATTTTATCCCTCTATTTCGACTCTGCAGCGGATAAATATGCAGGGCTCTTTTTGGTCCGGTTTCACCTTAATCTTGGAGTGAGATTCGGAAAGTCGGATTGCTGTCCGATTGTATGCTATCGGTCCTCTCAGTGGGCCACGCCAGGTTGGGTACATAAGCCTGGTTAGGCATCTATCAACTCTTTAGATAGACTCGGAGACTCTCCTGGTGCTTCTAGGTTATGATAACAGTGTATCTACTCATGTGTGAGACGATACCAGTAGAATATGCTAGACTAGATACCGTGGGCGACCATTTAGGGTAGGGACATTTGCGATCGAGCACGGATTTGCGAGGTCAGTGACCAAGGCTAGCACGCGGCAAATGGTCTACAGATTGAGTATTTCGCAGATAACTGCCCATCTTCCACTTGATACGTGAAGGTTTACCACATTTTATATACCTATAGGTATATCAGCCGGCTGTTAGAACGCATCAGCGCAAGCCTGCAGGGACCAGAGGCTCGCCGCGATCTACTGATTATAAAACAGGCTGCTATATGCTAACTGAAGAAGAGAAGATGGAAAAATAAACGATATGCCTCATTGCTTGAATAGTTCAAACAGCTGCCTTCTCTTTAAACGGCAGCCTGGCCTTCTGTTATTCGGTATGCATACATAGCCAACTGTACATAGGTAGTTAGTTCCTTGTAACAGCCTAGAACTGGAACCCCTGACGCCAGCGTTCTAGGCGAAGTAGCCCACTGTAAAATGCCAGGCACCAGCGTTTTTTTAGCGGTTGGTCGGCCACTCTGCGCGGGGCCACTTCGTCATGTCGCAGCTGCCCGCACCTGCAAGTGCTTCGTCATCCCCAAAGAAGCTGTCTCTCCCATCTAAAACATCAGCCCATTGCTCTCTCAACACCAACCTGTGGCCTCATCTCCTGCCTGGCCCTCTACCCTTCCTCCCTAGGCTCCGTCGCCAAATCAGTATTGTTACTTTCTAGACGCTTCCTTACCCCCCCCAAGTCGGCCGACGAGACTGCTCGCTCGCACCTTACCCGACTGCCCCTGGACTGCGCTCCCCGTCGACCAAAGCGTGGCCAAGACGACCGCGACAACCCACACCATCATGGCCGCCGCAAACCAGATGCATAACCTCACGACGCTGATCAAGCGGTACGCACACACCTCTCGGAGACCCAATTGCAGCAAACCCGTTGGCTAGCAACCCTCCATGTAGCCGTGTCACTAACCAACTGCCCTCTCTTTTAGACTCGAAGCTGCCACCTCGCGCCTCGAAGACATTGCCACGTCGACCGAGCTCCCCAAGGACGCCGCCCTAGCCCTTCCCGGCGCTTCTTCCTCGCCCACCGACGCCTCCGCTGCTGCCACGCCCCGATCTGCGCCGCAGCCCCCCGCAGCAGCGGCAGCCGCCGTGCCCGAGGAGCTGCCCGAGTCCATCGAGGACTTTGACGCCTTTGTGGACTCGGCCGTCGCTGACTACGTCAAGCGCAGCAACGATGTCGGCGGCCTCGTCGCTCTCCAGGCCGCCGACGTCCTCGCTGGCTTCCGCGCCCAGCGCAAGTTCCTCCTCATCACTACTCGCTCCGTCCGCCCCGACCTCCAGGGCGCCGACATGGCTCTCTACCAGGACCTCCTCAAGCCCATCAACGATGCCCTCATGGCCGTTACCGAGCTTAAGGAGGCCAACCGCTCTGACCCCATGTACACCCAGCTCAGCGCCGTTGCCGACGGCATCATGGTCCTCGCCTGGGTCACGGTCAGCCACAAGCCCTTTACCCACGTCGAGGAGTTTCTTGGCTCCGCTCAGTTCTTTGGCAACCGCGTCATCAAGGAATACAAGGACAAGTAGGCCTCATGAAGCTCTGTATTCATCCAATAATCCATGCTAATACATGCGCCCAGGGATACCAAGCAAGTCGAATGGATTCAGTCCTTTTACCAAATATTCAAGCAACTTCGCGACTACGTCAAGCAGTACTTTGCGAACGGCATTCCATGGAACCCCAAGGGCGAGCCGGCCGCCGTGGTAGTGAAGGCCCTGGACTCGGCTTCCGGCAACGCCGCCCCTGCACCGCCAGCTCCCTCTGCCGGCGGTCCGCCGCCGCCTCCGCCGCCTCCTGGGCCTCCTCCAGTCCTTGATGTCAAGACCGAAGATGCTGCACCAGCCGCACCAGCCACAGCTGGTGGCCTTGGGGCCGTTTTTTCGGAGTTAAACAAGGGTGACGCCGTCACAAAGGGCCTGCGCAAGGTCGACAAGTCTCAGATGACACACAAGAACCCCGCGCTCCGCGCGAACACTACCGTTCCGAGCGGCAGCGATCGCCCTAGGAGCCCTGCCCCGGGAAAGAAGCCCAAGCCCGAGAGTATGCGGATGAAGAAGCCTCCTAAGAAGGAGCTCGAAGGCAACAAGTGGACCATTGTAAGTAAATTTCTCCGCCGATGACTAGAATCATCCTGACAGCGACCCTAGGAAAACTACGATAAGGAACCTCAGCCCATTGAGATCCACGCCGAGCTGAGCCACTCGGTTCTCATTAGCCGCTGCAACAACACTACCATCATCGTCCGCGGCAAAGCCAACCAGGTGACGGTGGAAAATTCGAGCCGCCTTTCCCTTGTCGTCGAAACCCTGGTGTCAACGGTCGACGTAGTCAAGGCGCAGAACTTTGCCTTGCAGGTTCTTGGTACTATCCCAACCGTCCTGATGGACCAGGTAGACAGTGCGCAAATCTACTTCAGCAAGCAGAGCACCGGTACGAAAATCTTCCACAGTAAGTCAGACGGCATCAACCTCAACGTCATTTCCGGGCCCGACGACGACTACAGGGAGGTGCCCCTGCCGTCGCAGATGTGCACGTACTACGACACCCGCAAGGGCGACCTCGTCAATGAGATTGTGGCCCACGCTGGTTGAGGGGAACAAGATGTGTCTGGAAGTTTGGATTGTGTAAGAGTATGTAGATAGCTGGATAAGTGTTGGGGTGGACAGCATGAAGGCGAAGCATCCTACAACAGGCATTGAATTTGAAGATTTCCTTTTAAATATTACAAGAATCATAGGCACGACTAGGAGAAGACAACTTTTGTTTATCATGGTTTTTCCCTTTCTTTCTATCGAATGAATTTAGAGTACAGCGAACTTGTCGTCGTCCTTTCGGGCTACCTATATGTCTATCCAAAAAAAAGTCTGCGCCAGAAATGGACTCAACAAGCCGCTTGCTCCTGCTTTTCTCCTCTCTCTTCTCCGTCTAGTAAGCTTTCGCACAGCAACGAGCGTAGGGGGGCCAACCAAAGATACAACATAACTGAAACGATAAATGAACACGGCCTCTCCACACTCTGAAATCATGATGCAAAAAAATGTTTTATGCTTGGAGAAGAAGACGAGGGGCAACTCTCCATAACCCCAGGGGTACAACAAAAAAAAAGAAGGTCGAGAAATTCGGCCCGAGATACAGAAATATTGACGCGCGTTGTGATGGTGTGGTTTTACAGCTTGGCCTTGGGAGCCTCGAGGGTCGGGGTGAGCAGCTCGCGCATGTCGGAGGCGGCCTCGTTGAGGTAGAAGCTCATGCGGTCGCTGCCGAGGCCCTTGGAGACGATGTTGAAGTTGATGCTATCGTTCTTGTTAGCGTTTGATACCGAGACCGGGGGAGTTCAAGAAAGCGGGCCAAAAAAAGAGGAAACTCACCTATCCTCGTTAATCATGTACGCGATGCCGAAGCCGCCGTCAATGACCTGGCTCCATCCGTATCCGTTAAAGTACTCGGAGCTCAACTGCGACGAGGAAATGTACCAGGAGCTCGAGTACGCGTACGCGGCATCCTTGTAGAGCGCGGGCAGCTCCTGGCCGGGTTCGAGGAGCTTCTTGAGGCCGAACAGGTGGCGGTCGACGCCCTTGCCGTCCGACGCGGCGGTGATGTACTCGAGGTGGCCCTTGATGGCCTTGTGGAAGAGGTCCACCTTGGTCTTGTCGTCGAGCGACGCGTCCGCCATGGCCTTGCACCAGTTGGCCGAGTCCTCGGACAGCGTGCGGCACGTCTCGGTGCGGCCGAGCTGGAAGCGGCGCGTGGCGGCCGACTCGTACGTCGGGCGGTTCTTGCCGTACATTTTGAAGTAGGCGAGCTGGATGAGCATCTGCACGTAGGCGTCGGGCGAGCACTTGAACTTCTTGATGAGGCCCTTGCCGTAGCCCTGGAAGGCCTGGACGGCGAGCTGGTGCTCGCCGATGACGCGGCGGAAGTCGGCGACGGCGCGGTCAATCTCGGCCTGCACAGCCGGGGTGACCTCGAAGCGGATGACCTGCGGTTCCGGGAGGTTGGAGCGGACGGGCGCGTCGGCGAGGTCAATCTTGTTGTTGAAGATGAGGTCGCCGACGTAGTCGTTGAGGCGGTGCGTTGGGGTACCGTCCATCATGGAGTGCTCGCCCATGAAGCCAGACGTGCCGTTGTCGTTGACGATGAACTGCAGCGGCTTGTCGTACCAGCGGTTGGCGCCGTCGCCGTGCCAGTAGGCGTGCGCGCGCTCCTCGAGCGTCACGGGCGCGGCGTCGTCGAGGCAGACGACAAACGAGGCGGCTTCGATGGCCTCGAGCGCGGCCTTGTTCTTGGGGCTGGCTTCGAGGAGGACGGCGCGCGCGTCGGTCCAGACGTCGCGGTTCTCCGAGGTCAGCGCGCCGACGGGGGACACGTGCTGCGCCGTTTCATAGACGCGGCGGAACTGGTGCTCGAGCTCCGAGGCGTTGAGGGGCTTGCCGTCGACCTCGTGCAGGACCTTGAAGAACTGGTTCTTGCGGACGACGACGATGTGCTTGTTGGCGTCAGCCGGGTACTTTTGCGGGTAGTCGGCGGGCCGGGCGGCGACGCGCGAGCAGTTGAACATCCACTTGTAGCTGTCCATGCAGATGGGCAGCTTCTTCATGTACTCGGGCTCGAGGGAGCCCCCGTCGACCATCTTCTTGAACTCAAGAACGGCGGCGCTGATGGCGGCGGCGCGCTTGGCCGGGTCGCGGCGCTTGCGGTCATCGCGGTGCGAGTAGAAGTAGCTGACGTAGGGGACGACCGGGTCGCGGTAGGTGAGGTAGGCCGCCTCGTTCCACCACTCGTAGATCCAGTTCTTGGTCTTGGGGTCGGCGGCCTTGGCCTGCAGCTTTTCTTGGAGCTTGGCGCCGACGCCGCCGGGCTTGACGAACTCCTGGACGGCTGCCTCGGTGTTCTTGAGCTCGGCGGGCGTGAGCAGTGGGCGCAGGCTCTTGAGGTATCGGGCGGCCGTCTCGTCGAGAGTCGGCACGGGCAGGCGGGGCAGCGAGTCCTGGAAGCGCAGCGTGGCGCCCTTGGAGGCGTCCTCGACGTAGCCTGCAGGAGACGCGTGTAAGCATGTTGGACGAATGCGAGAGGTTCCAGTGAGGAATTGGACATACCTTGGGGCAGGGAATGCTTTCCTCGGGCCATTGTGAGAGTCTGTTTCGAGGAAGAGTAAGACGACGGTCAGCGGCTGACGAAGATGTTGGTTATGGAGAGGGAGGACTGTATTCGATTGCGGTTTGAGATCACAGCGGCTCTTGCGAGTCGAATCTTTTCAAACGCGCGCCGGAATGAAGGTAACGAATGGCCAGGCAAATAGCCGAGCGTCTAGCAGAGGCAGAGGGAAGCAAATGTACGAACCGTGGGTGTGGTGGTGGTGGCTAGTCTGCGGAAGCTGTTCCTCAATCCTTGAGTGCGGATAGAAGTCAACATGACCAATGGCTTTCACGTGTTTGCAAAAGGAAAGAAAACAGAAGGACGGTGGGAAGAGAAAGAAGAGCGGCCTGGGCGCTTTCGGGGGAGGGATGGAGGGATTTGAATCTCGGTGCTTCTGAGAGCGAGAAGTGAGTGGTCGGCCTTGTCGCGTTTGACCTGTGACGGAGAGTCTGAGCTTATGGGACCGCCTAAAACTCTCCCACAGCACCCTTGGTACTTGGTTTTAGCGGTCGGTTGGCCCGTGGCTGCCGGGGAGACCCATTTCTTTTAGCCAGGCCAACGCCGGCCAGCTCCATGACAGCCGAGGTCAACCTGTTTCCGAGTCGTCAGGGTACCTGGCCTTGTGGTACAGTTCCGCCGCAGACCCGTTGTACCTGGCAGACTGGGTCCTTACCACCGAGGCACACAACAGTGAGGGTCCCAGCAGCAGCAGCGCCCGTTGGCGACCTCACCAGGGCATTTCCAGTCTGCAGCCCACCAAACTCCCCCCGGAAATCCCCCATAAACTCCCCCGTAGGCCCCCGGCGTGCTCCGCATCATGCCCACTTCCTCTCACCCGAACAACCGCAATCGACCTCCCACACCATCTTCCCTCCACCACACAGCCGCCATGTTTGATGTTCCAGAAAACACCTCAAAGAACACACAAAGACACTCATCTCCACTCATAAACACGACCCTTCCGATCCTTCTTAATGCTATTACCTTATATTAAATGCGCTCTGCCGAATCCGCTCCTTCGGCCACCCTCCACCTGTCCCATCTCGCGCTAGCCTCCATCCCCGTCACCATCCCACATCACCGAACCAGCTACGGACTTTTACCCCCGGACCCCATCCCCCCGGCCGGACCTCCACGGCTTGCTTGTATTATGCATGCCACGATATAGCCCGGCGTCGCAACCGTCATTTCACATCCTGGGTTCGTAATACTGACACATTCTGGCTCATAAAAGAGTCGCTGGCTGCCTCATCCTCCTCCATCCTCATCTATCGCCTATACAGCATCATACAGACATGCAATAAAGAACCTATTCGCAAGCTTCTAGCATATCCGAAATTCAATTCATCGAGCCCAGAAAACTCCAGTACCAGTACTACTACACGTAAAATAAACAAGCGAGCACACCCTCATGGCACACTCTCGGCCAATTCTACCCTGCCTCATCTTCAGCACAGCAGCATTATCCTGTTGCTGCACTCATTCTGTACCAATCTTCCCTTTTAAAATCGAACTCCCCTGGCAAAGGCCACTCTCTTCCTCTCAAATACCCTGTGAATCCAGACGCCGCTCCTTGGTATTATTTTGGATTGTCATAACTATTACGCCTCGAATGACTTAACTGCGCCCTCCGCACTCGGCGGCTGCATGCCGGCTCCGGCCGCCACCGCCTGGAACCCAAGCGAATCGCCGTCCCGCATAGCCTCATGCGCCTGGCGCACCGCCTGCTCACCACCGGCCTCCGCCGCCGCCTTGAGGCCGTCCTGCACCTCCCGCACACGCTTGCGGAATGCCAGGCGGTCCAGGAACAATTGTTGGCGACCCCGCTCAAGCTCACGACGCTCTTCCCGGAGCACAGCCTCAAGCTCGCTAAAGTACTTGAGCTTCAGCTCGAGCTTCTGCAGCATCACGTTTGTCGCCGCCGACACTAGGCGAGTCATCTCCCTCTCCTCGTGAGAAGCAAATGCCGCGGCACGAGCACCCATCGAAGCCAGGGGAATAGAGGCCAGCTCAGCGCTCTTGGACTGCTTGGATCCGTGCTCCTCCTTACGGACATCCAGATCCATTGAGTCGCCCTTCTCCTGTTCGTCTCCAGCCTCGGCACTGCTGCCGTTAGTCGTAGACTTGCTGCCATCCAGCTGTTTGCGCAGGTTGCGTTTCAGGGCCTCGGCAGACTTGTTCGCAGCAGCAGCCGTGCTGGCCGGATCAGCCAGGCTGGCAAGGAATCCAACCACCGACATGACTGGGTTGTCGACTTGACTGAAGGGCAGCTGACCACCCTGAGTGCCCAGAAGAGACAGTCCGGCCGGTGCGTTGACATGTGACTCCGCGTCGAGGTACTTCTCCTCAATATCAAGCTGGAGGAACTGCAGCACGCACTCTTCGCGTGTTCGAGTGCCAACGTGCTCGGCAATCTCGCCCCAGTCATCATCGAACCGCTCAAGTCCTTCCAGAAGTCTCAGAATTTCGGCGTCGGTCCACGGGGCATCGCGATCAATCGTTGCAGTGTACGTAGGGTTCTCCACCTTGGCATACATGCTGGCAGTATGGTTGGCGGGTAGTCGGCCCTCGGTGAAGCAGTTGGGGCACAGATCGAATTTGCCCTTTGTGCTGGCGTCCGTCTGGTTACTGTGGTAGTAGACACGAGTGCAATCGTTACCACACTGGTGACAGTTGACTTTGGCAATTGGTGTCTTAGTGAGATCGGGCGAGCCGCTTACACCATTTGTGGCAGCAGATTCGCCGTTGGCGCCGGTCTCGGTCTTGCTAACTGCGACCCCCTTAGCATTGGCCTCGTAGATGTTGCGTCCGATTTCCAGGTTAAGGTCTCCCTTGGTAGGTGCCGCCGCGTTGGCCTTGCTCTCAGTGTCGGCGTTCTTCTTGCCCTCGAGGACAATTGGGTCAGCAGACGGCTGCCAGGGCTGCAGACCGCGAGGTGTATCGCAGATGATTTTGAAGTGGCCGGTGAAGGGAGGGCCAACAGGCGATGGGCGCTGCTCGGCGTCGACCTAATAATTCCATCAGAAATTGCTCGCATACCATAATACAAACAGCGAGCCTTACCTGATAATTGATTAAGCCCCATTGCTCGAGGAAGGCATGCACGCGCATGATGGCGCAGACATCGCCTGCCAGGTTTCGGCGGCAGGCCGTGACGGTGAGATATTCGACAGGGTTCAGGCGGTAGGTATTGATCATGAAATCGCGGTAATCTTTATACACAGCCGGCGTTTTGCTTCGGTTGCGGTTGTTGAAGAACTCGGCCATGGCCTTGCGCTCGATGTCGTGGACAGCGTTCATGTCGAACCACGTCGAGTAGCTAGGGAGAACAATGGCATGCGCTTGCGAGATGAGGTGGTCGCGAGCCGCCGACTCAATTGCTTCCTTCGTCTTCGCCTCCTGTCCTTCAGTCTCAGCAGCACCGGCCTCGCCGCCCTCCTTGGGCTCTGCTGGCGCGTCGCCCATCTCTTCGTCGGGCTGTGCAGTGTTGGGCCCCTGGGCAGCAGGCGCGTCGAGCGGATTCCCGGTTGTGGCAGCAGGATTCGGCGTGGAGCTGTCCTGCTTGATGTTGGCGTCCTGCACGCCGGTTTCTGACATCTGCACATCTACCAGGATGGAAAACGGACGTTAGTTTGACGCGAGTTGAGTACACATGGGTTTCCACGGAGACACGGTACCTTGACCAGCATTTGCAGAGTTCTCTCCTTCCAGCGGAGGCTGCGCTAGAATGGCGTTGCCGTTGGGGGAGTCCCCATTACTGGGCGATCCAAACGCCGCGGCGCCTTCCATGGTCGTTTGATGAAAGACGGTTTGTCGCAAGGAGCTACTGTTGCGGGTCGGGGAGAGAAGGTGCGAGTGGCAGGAAACGTCGCGTCGCGTAGCGTCGGATTTATCAGGAGAATTATCAGTAGGGCCAGGTGAGTACAGCCGCGATGCCAATTCGACGTAGAATTGCGATTGGCGCTGCGAAACTGATGAGATGCGCTGCTTAGCGTCGCGTCGAGATGGGAAATTTTGGCGCGACAGGATCGTGGTGCATGGCGACGACCATACAAGCTGGTGGATGCTGGCTGCAAAGCAGGGGGAGATTTCGTCACGTGGTTTGTCTGATGCGACATGTCACGTGAGTACTGCCTTTGGTCGCTGGCGGAAGGACTCGGGACATGATAGCCGCACGTGACTCGCCGTTCTCTCCGCCGGGTGCGGTAGCTGCAGCCCCAGGCTTGATTGCTCGGCCCGCTGCCAGCCGGGCGGCCGTTCCAACTTAAGCAGCTTGGGTGACGGCTTGCGCGCTGCATCCCCAGGACACAAACACGCCCCGAAAACACATTTGCAATGTTTTCCGCCGCCCGACGAGCCGTGGCCAGGCCTGCTACGGCAGCCATTGGCCGAGTTACGCTCAATGCCTATGCCCACCAGCGGTTGCTGTCTGCTCTCGCAATCTTGGAGCAGCGTCAGGGTCAACTGAGTGCCGGTTCTTTGAGCGCTGTTACCGCAGCCAAGGCCATTGGCGGCACCGTCCACGGCTTTTTGGCCGGCGCCAGCGTCAAGGGTGCCGCTGAGGAAGCTGCCAAGGTTGACGGCATTGATAAGGTTATTACTGTCGACAATGCGGCGTACGAAAAGGTATGTCCCTTTCCCTGTCAATGGGTATTTGCGGGTTGGCGTTGGCTAACACTTCCGATGACAGGGCCTCCCCGAGAACTACGCTCCTCTGCTCGTCGAGAATATCAAGAAGGGAGGATACACACACGTTATCGCCGCCAACTCGGCCTTTGCCAAGGGCGTCCTGCCCCGCGTCTCTGCGCTGCTGGACTCGCAACAAATCTCCGACGTCACCTCCATCCAGGACGACAAGACCTTTGTCCGACCCATCTACGCCGGCAACGCCATTGCCACCGTCGAGTCTGCCGACGCCATCAAGATCCTGACTGTCCGAGGCACGGCCTTTGCCGCTGCCGCCCCCGGCTCCGGCTCTGCCGCCATTGAGGAGGGCGCTGATCCCAAGGCCGAAGCTACCTCCGAATGGGTATCCGAGGACCTCGCCAAGTCCGACCGTCCTGACCTTGCCACGGCCACCAAGGTCGTCTCCGGCGGTCGCGGTCTCAAGTCCAAGGAAGAGTTTGACAAGATCATGCTGCCCCTCGCCGACGCTCTCGGCGCTGCCGTTGGTGCTTCACGCGCTGCGGTTGACAGTGGCTACGCCGACAACAGTCTCCAGGTTGGCCAGACTGGCAAGGTCGTCGCCCCCGAGATGTATCTCGCCGTCGGCATCTCTGGTGCCATCCAGCACCTTGCTGGTATGAAGGACAGCAAGGTCATTGCCGCGATTAACAAGGATGCCGATGCCCCCATCTTCCAGGTTGCCGATGTTGGTCTGGTAGGAGACTTGTTCGAGAAGGTGCCGGAGCTTACTGAGAAGGTAAAGAGTTCGTAGATCTATATGATACAGCAATGTAAAGGCGTTTTATGATGCAATAAGTTTTCCTCCTCGTTCAGCTGATGACGGACAGCATCTGTGTCGTATCTGTGAACTTTTCTCTCTCCTTGCCCTTGGCGCTACCTTTTTCCTTTTCAAGCTTGTCTATTTGTCGCCAGTTATCCCAACTGATTGCTTTGTCCCCGTTGACAGTGCCGCCTTCGCCGCGAATGCCATCCCACCCAGGAGCAGTGCCTCCAGATTGTAGGAACGCCGCACCACCGAGCCAGTCATAAACAATGGCATCGCCAGTCGCGAATGCATCATTCATGGTGGATGCAATGACTCCTGTCGGGCCAAGCTTCACCCAGCCAGCACAATAGAGGCCTGGCACCTGCTGTGTGGAGGCGCCGGCATGACCGTCCGAGACAAGGCGCGTGACACGGCCGAGACCGTCGTTGTCAACCACACCACGGCGTTCGTCAAACTGGACGCCCGCTTCCGCAAAGCCACGCAACGCCGATGACTTATAGCCGACAGAGCGAAACACCACATCTGAGGGCAGAATGAGAGTTTTGCCAGTTGGCTGGACTCGGGATTTGGGATCAAATGCAGAGTCGAGCTGCGTGATGTCGAACTCGGTGCTGGCAACTCGTGTGGCGTCTTCAGCGTTGGCCAAAAAATGTCTTGGAGATAAACAGCTGTCGAGTGACCAAGATAGCGGCGTATCATTGGGGCTACTGGCGGTGCCTTTGACAACAACTTCCATAAGTCGCTTCTGAGCGCGGGGGAGTGATTTCAGATCTTCTGGTATAAGCGCTCTGTTCACGGGATGGAAGGCAACCTTCGGTAGCTTCATGAGCTCGCGAACTTCTTTGATTGTAAATGCTGCCTGTTCAAGGTGTTAGTTGTGGCGATGCAGCGTGTTTAGATCCTCTAGACCAACCTGCATAGGGCCGCGACGCCCGACAACGCGTACTCTCCGAATCTTGCTTTGCGCAAGCTGTTCGAGGGCGTGCTCCGCGATGTCAGTTTTCCGAAGCACATCGATATCTTCCAGAAGCATTCGTGCCACGTCAAGAGCCACGTTGCCTTGGCCAATGACAACGGCCTCCTCGCCCCTGAGGTCTGGCTCAAGGCCAGCGGAGTCGGGCAGGCCGTTATACCACCCGACGAATTGCCTGGCAGAGTAGATGCCCTTGAGCGTGGACTCGCCTGGGATTCCCAGTTTCTTGTCCTCCGAAGCGCCGTAAGCGAGTAGTACGGAGTCATAATTGTGCAAGAGCTGCTGCAGCTCGACGCGACACTGGTCTGGGGAGAACGGTTCTGAGCTTGACCCTACGGACACATTGCCGAGGAATCTGAAATTTGGAGAAGAAGCAACTTCTTCAAATTTGTCTTGGCAATTCTGTAGATGCATGTAAGAATACCGTCCATATGCACCGTATCCATTGAACTGGCGGCACTCACCTTGACTTCCGGATGATCTGGGGCGACGCCATGGCGAACCAGGCCAAATGGCACAGGCAACGCCTCGTACATGTCAACCTGGACATTAGGTACCCTATTCATGACCCGATAGGCAGTGTAAAACCCAGCTGGGCCGGATCCCACTACGGCGAGCCGAAAGGGAGCATCGGCCGACCTGGGTGCCAGGCCGGAGACCTGACGTTGGGAGACACAGCGGCGATATCCCAGGCGCGCCGGGCGCCATATCTGCCTCGCGTGCATCATAGTGAGCTTACAATTGCAGGCTTCATAATTGGAAGGTGAGATCCTATTTTAATCGGACGACTGAAGATTGAACCGGCTTGCGCCGAGGGCAGCGGAGCAAGCGCCGAGCTCTGCGTGCATTATGTAAGCCAGAGTGTGCTGGGAAGCACTGGACTAGGTAGTCAAGCAGACAGCAACGTAAACCGATTGCATACTATTACTAGTAGGGAAAAAAATACAATGAACAAATTAAGACGGTATGTTTGAATTGAGAAAGTTGAAGCTCTTTAGTTCGTACTATTATCCCCACGACATACCTATCTATTAACCCACCTAGCGGACAAATATGATCATCAAGCTGGCTGGCCTTCATCGCGAAGTCCGCAAGGTACCGGGTGGAGCACAGGTTTCTGGCCAATCGGGCGACATGGAGGCTTACCAACAGCAGCCTAGTGTCAGCTATGCGCTATTCTTGTTTAGTTCGTTGCTCTGGTTGCTGGGGTTATACGATCTGTAGTGAGCAAACAGGCTGGCTGGGCCGATTTTGTTGACTACAGTCTGGAGGTGCCCAGAGAGCCAAGAGCATTCCAGCTCAAGAAACGAAAACATTCCAACTGCTACCGTCCCGTCCGCCACCTCCAATTCCCAACACTTGGGGATTCTGACATTCCAGGAAATCAACCAAACTACTCAAACAAAGCCATTGATTCAACTGGCTTTGTTTCTTGTGCCCTGAGAATGGCGCCCAGCCCGCCCTACATGTACTCGGCGACGGCCAGCGACGACTCCCGCTTCCCGACCTCGACCTTCGATCCCAAGGCCATCACCCGGGCCAGTTGGGAGCCCAAGCCGAAGCGCAAGCCTCAGACCGGGCCATTGCTTTCCTTCAATGCCCATCCCGAGTATGTCCACTTGAATAGATTGTCCCCGTCCATTATATGTCACGATGCTAACATATAGTATAGTACCCACGAGGCCCTACAGCAGCGATCCGCCTACAAGCAACTGGGCAAGAAGACTGAGAAAGCTATCAAATGGGTTCGTGGCTGGCAGCTTCTATGCCGCCTGCTGGAGTTCAATGGTGCTCTCGGCATCTTGGTTCTCATGATTCTGCTGACCCGTGTCAATGGCATCACCGCCTGGATTATGCGCATTGTCGTACGTCATATCATCCCCTCACGAATCAATTAGACATGTACTGACGATATCACAGTCCGGAGTCACAGCCCTACACTGTCTGTACGGAATTGTCCACCACTCTCGCTCCGCGACGACTAGAACTCCCGGATCGACGGCGGCATACCAGCTCTTTGCAGGCATCTTTGATCTTACCGCTGCCTCCTTCTACGCATATGGAGCTTTCGTGACACATCGCGACTCCGCCTCATGGGCAACCCTCCTTAAGGACCAGAGTCTTCTCGACTACCTTGTACCTGCAGTATACTACACCATTATCGGTGCCGGTGGACTGCACCTTGTTTCATTTCTCACGTCTCTCTGGCTCGCCATCACCTTCCAGCGGATCAGCGACATGCCACCCGATATGAACCCATTGGAATCCCACTTGACGGCCCGTCCTTCGTTTCACAAGCGCAACAAGTCTTCCGTCACTACATACAGCTCTGAAAATGAGAAGAGGTTGTCCACGGCCCAGAGCTCCAAGCACCGGTCGGAAGCCTCGTGGGAGAGCTTCTCATACCCTCGCACCGTTCCCTTCATGCACACCCGCACCCAGTCGCAGGATACTCTTGTCAACAATGAGCCGCGCCTCAATCTCCCACAGAGGCAGTACCAGATCCCGACCAGAAACTCGGTCGCTTATTCTGCCGCGTCCATGATTAGCAGCCACGCGACTGCGCCGCGTTCTTCTAGAGGAAGCTATGCGGAGCTTGCGCTCGGCGATGCCAGTCCAACTCGCCCGCAGTATGTTGCCAACAATGGCAATGCCAGCAATTCTCGGGCGCCCAAGTTCACCGAGACCTGGATGCCAACCGACTCGCTCATCTCCCGCACAAACCACCGCAACCGCGAGATGGCTGCCGCCAACACTTCCCGACAGGCCCGTGGCTCGCAGTCGTACTCTGCGCTAGACCAGCGCTACAACGCCGACCTTGACGACTCTGGATCCGACTACGGTGATGACGAGAATGCCGATATCAGCAGCGCCCGCCGGAGGGGAGCCAACGGCAACCAACACCCCCACCCTCTCGGTTCGCACCCTACGACGCCTCCCCGCCCACAGACCCGCGCTGGCGGCTCGTCGCCTCGCCCGACGACTCCATGGACCGCCTCCCGGCTCTCCGCCAAGAGTGCTCTCTCTGAGATTAGCAGCAACGAGCGATTGGGAGAGGCTACCCGCGGGCTAGGCATCCGTTCGCCGTTGACCAACAAGCCCGACCTGCGCCCGCCGCCCGCCATCACCAGCGACGAGTTTTATGCGCGCTCCTACGGCGAGCTGCGCCCGGCCACGCCCCCCGTCATGGTCGGGGACACGAGGAAGATCTCCTCGGGCAACGACTACCACGCGCTGGCCATGGCGGCTGAGCGTCGTCGCGTGAGCGGCAAGGTGGCCGAGGAGGGCCTCGCCGGTGGCCGGTTCACGGTCGGCTACGCCAGTTAGACGTTTGCTTAGCCTTGCCCTAGTCTGTCTTCTTTGACAGAAGAGGAACAACGTAAAAGGGCCTGGTGGTTGCAGAAGCCTTGGCAAGTGTCGCGTGAACTTTGGTTGAAACGGAACGAAATGATGACGAGACCAGGTCAGGCTTCTCACAGGAACGTGGTTATGGGTAAGGATGTGGTTGGTTATTTCATGGCGCAAAATGTCTGGTTTTGTTGTTTTTCCTGCATTGTTGCATTTGGTTTTTCATGGTTTCGTTTGATGCATTTACTGGGTCGGGTCAAACATGTTGGAATGTATATACGGTAGTACACGTTGATTTTGTAGTGTAGTCGGTCAACACATTGACCCTCTCGCGAGGGGCTCTCAGTTCAAGCTGGGCGCTTACACATAACATAGAAGTCGGATGGCGAAAATACAAAAAATGTCTCAATTTCCGGCTTCACACTTTTCCCTTCTCCCGTCGGCCGCCTCGTTCACTAGTCTTCCTCTTGCAAGAACGACTGCCACCTCGCGCTCGAGGTCGGCACCACATCGCCCTTCCAGCACTGCTCGTCCCAGGCCCGCAGCCGGCACAGGTGCCGCATGGTCGGCCGGCCGTGCGGGCAGTTCCAAGGCTTATCGAGCTCGCCCATGTGTCGCACCAGGCCGTACATCTGACCCCCCGTCAGCGCCTTGCCGATCATGACGCTGCTACGGCACGCGCGCATGGCGAACATCTTGCGCACCTTGGCAGGCCGCGGGATCTGCGCATCACCACCGCCGCTGCTGCAGGGCGCATGGTCACTGAGCAGCGCGATGAGCTCTTCCAGGTCCTCCAGGCCAAAGGCCGTCTCGCGGCTCAGCGGGAGCGCTGTGAGCGCGCAGCGCGCACCGACGGGGCTGTCGCCCGAGGCATCGACGAGGATCTGGAAGCCGTTGGCCTCGACGGCGGCGAGGTTCTCCATGACGACCTCCTCCTCGAGCGCGGTGAGGTCGAGCGTCTTGGGGCGCACGAGGCGTTGCGACTGCACGACGGTGTCGCGCTGCAGCCGCTCAAAGTTGTACTTTTCGTCGGACGCGTGCTGGTCGATGATGAAGAGCTCGTCGCCGTCGCCGTCGTCGTCACCGTCGGCAGCGGCATTGTTGGGGTCCCGAGGCCGGACGGCGATGATGAATCCGAGGTTGAACTGCCCGACGACGCGCATCCGGCCAAAGTCACCCTTGGAGATGATGAGTTGCAGCCTCGACTCGGCATCGACGGCGCTGATGTCTTGTACGGAATCCACATTTGCGCTTGCGGTTGAGGTTTTCAGAGCGTTGGTCTTGTAGCTGCTGGTATGGGTACGGAGGAGCTCCGGGCTCATCCTCAGTCCATGTATCAACGTCAGGGTACTATCCTTCCGGCGAGCAGTTGGCTGAGGTAAAGTAGTTCGTTTCGAGTCTGCGACAGGGAGCTCCTGCTCTGGATTGTCATCACTCTCCTCATCATCGTTGGCTGTCTCTGCTTCGGCAAGGTCGCCTTCGGAGCTCTCATCTTCAGCGTCAGACGGTGCGGAAGCTTTCCCATCTTCTTTGGACAGCTGTTCTGCCTCATCCTTTTCTTCCTCAAGTTCCAGCTGAGATGTAACTCTCGACTCAAATTCAAGCTCGTGGCGGTCTTCGTTCTCTTGACTACATTGTGATTGTAAGGGCTCTCCGCGCTGCCTTTGTGGTGATGCAGTTTGGCGTGCATCCTGGTCATCGGACAGCATACCTTCGTCGTCATCATCCTCGCTTGCTATGCTTTCTCCTTTTCGCCTTTTAGAGGGAGAGATGATGATGTTCTTTCGTGGTGAATCACCAATGGTGACAGAAATCGTTTCCGTAATGTCCCGCTTAAGGCTTCGTGGAGTTCTCGTCCGTGGTGTATCATTCACTAGTCTCATCGGCTGTATGGCAGGTATCGGGCGATCCAGAGAGATGTCCGGAGAAACAGAGCGCGATTGTCTAGGACTTTCGTCCTCGTCAAACGGAATAGCGGCAGTCGCTTCGTGCGGTGCATGTTCTGCGAGTCTTTTATTGAAATCTCGCACACGAATAGCTTTAGCAACATCTGACACTTCGTCACTCTGTCTACCAAATCTAGCGCTGATGCCTGTTTGCGGAGTTGCGACCTGAATCTTCGCTGCAGGCGAGCTTGTCGAATTAGATGCCCAGCGGCTTATCAAAGCTTGTGTCGAGGCGACAGGTGTTTTCGTGGTCTTGACTATTTCTACCTCATCGGCAGACGATTGGGATTGTTCATCTTCAGATGATACCTCAGACACACCTAACTTTTCTGGCCGCTTCTGTTGTTTAGAGAGGGGCATGGGTGTGGATGCGGGAGAAGGGTCGGCAGGTGTCGTAGATTTCGATGCGGATCTTCCGAGAGTGGGAAACGCTTGCGCAACTGGTACTGTATAGTCGTGTTGATCGAACAGTTCAGCGAGAGCGGAGCGCAGGCTTTCCAAAAGGTGATTCTGGTCGTGAAGTAGGATGCTGCGTTTGTCGGGGCTGACGTTTACATCGTACATGTTTGTATCCAAACGGATATCGGCGAATATAAAAGGCGACTGAGAATAATTGTAGGACTTGTAGACCTCGTTAAAAGTCTTTGCAAACTGAGGGAGTCCGCAAGGACGCCCATTGACAAAGAACATTTGCCTGTCAGGAGTCTGTCTTCCTTCGCCATGAACCGGTCTGGAAACATGGCCGAGGACGCGAATTTCTTTGGACGCAGAAGCTTCAGCTGTGGTCAACTGGGATGTAGAAGTAGTAGGTACAACTTCTAGCTTCAGGTCCAATGCCACAAGAGCTGTCATTGTCTTGGCGCCGAATATGTTGATGATGTTGTCTTTCGTGGTCTGGTTTCCCTTGGTGGAAAAGAGAAGTATCCGCTTGCCCTTGGTTGGCTGCTGTGAGACGGAGAATTTTAGCTGCGTCAGAATGCAGGCATACTGGTTGAGCAGTGCGATGACTTTGTGCCATTCTCGCTTGATATTGCGTTCCAGTTCTCGTCGGCGAACTGGCAGGTTATGAAACAGTTGTTCGACGGCAACAGTCGTCCCTCTTTGGGCGGCAACGATAGAGGTAGACTTGAGCTTTCCGGACGCCTCAAAGGTAAGCTTAGTGCCTTTGGGTGCATCTTGGGCAAGACAAGTGGTTATGGTGACTGTGGACAGAGCGCATAATGACGCCAGCGCTTCTCCGCGAAAGCCGAAGGTGTGGAGGCTGGCGATATCAGAGTAGGTTGATAGCTTTGAGGTGTGATGCTTCAGTGCCACAGAATCATAGTTGGCTGGCGCAATTCCAGAACCATTGTCCTGGATTTCTATGGAATCCAGACCCTGGTTCTTGAACCTGACATCTGCATACCTTTAGTCAGCTCTGGCTCAGGCCGAGAAGATGGAAGACAAGTACCGATAGTGGTGGCGCCAGCATCGACGCTATTTTCGACCAGCTCTTTTACAACAGAGCACAGGTCGACGATGACCTGGCCAGATTGGATTTGATGGATCTGTGTGCCAAGGTCAGTGGCTGAGGTAAGAGGACGGATGCAAAGCAGTAAGCTGGCATACACTTCGACCATCGATCTGCTTGATGGTGGCCATAATCAGATATGAAGCATGGCCAAGGCGGGCTGTTGCAGCACCTGGTGCACTGCAAGTTACAGTGTTGGGGCGGAGTGGTGACAATGATGCGTCTAAACTAGTGAGGTCGTATTCGCTAGACACAGCCTGCTTTACTGCAGCCACTGCTACAGTGGCTGTTCGTGGACGCGTCACAGCCATTTGCTAGACGCGTTGATTGACGCATTACTCAGCAGTGGCGGGGGGGGGGGGGGGGCCAAAAAGTGGCTCTTCGTCCCAGCAACAGCCTGCCAACACGTTTGAGGCAGCGTCATATTAGCCAGTAGTTACCTTTTTGTTTGATTTCTATATTGGGTTGTGTTGTTTAAGCTTTTTATGCAACGGGCCAGATGCAGCTATTCAAAAACAGCTGCCAATCTAGACTGCTTGTGGCCTAACTGCACTGCCAAAACCGGCGTAGCAGCAAAGATGAATGGTGACGCTGAGTATCAAATCCTCGCAACCGGATTACTTCCGCATTGGGGTTTCCCGCATGTGAGAGCTGTCCCTATGTATGTACGGGTAATTTTTGGTTGATGAATTATCTGTCGTATTAAGAGGGCCCCGTATTTGCTGATGGCGGTGCTGCTCCCTCTCGTTAGTAGGGGGCATTGCAGTGGCATCGCTCCGCCACTGCGCTAGAAAGCTCAGGCCTGTTCCGCCTAAACTCAGTGAAGAGCCGCTGGCGTCCACTGGAGCCCACTGGAATCCAACAGGGAGTTGTTCTGCCCCAAGCTTGAAGAAGAAGGGGAGGGTTCCTCAGCACCGTTCCCGGCCATTCAATTATCCCCAAACCAATTCCCCCAAATTCCCCCACCATATCCCGAAGGTGTTGGGTCAATACCACTCGTGATTGCGCCATTGAAGGTGTATTGTTACTGATAACTTTTTGAACAGCGGCTCTAATAGAAAGAACATCAAGGAAACAAATGATATTAATGATAGTCTTGACAGCAATGACACTGACGACAGTAACTGTGTTGTAGTTACACCCCCCCCCCCCCCTGAAACTGGCCGCATCCAATCATTTGTCCCCTCTTCGCACACCATCCCTCTAACCACTTTTGGTCGTCCACACCTGTGGGTCAAATCGCGATAGTCCTACGACTGTATCAAAGAGCCAATTTCCCATTTTACCGCTGTTCCTCCAGCTCCGTTCGTTCCCCCATCCTGTCTTTCGCCGGCATACCGACCTTGACGGCATGTGTCGCCTTCGTTCGTGCGACAGTTTGTGCTTTTGATACGCGTCATCTCCGTCTCCAGTGCTCTGGCTTTGGGCCTTGTTGCTGCGACCGTCGCCAATTTTTACCCTGCGCCTGGTCCAGCAGCTCGCTACGCCTACGCCTAGGCCTGCACCCACGCCATTTCCCGCATTGCGACTGCGCCGACCTCTGGGCACCTGCCTACGTACCTTGGCTTCTGAGCACCGCGATCCTGTGATACTCCTCTTCCTTCCCGCTTGTCTCCTTCTCCGGGGAGCCCTCGAGCTTTCCCCATGACAAGACGCTCTTCTGGCTCGACCGACGACGGTGATGAATCCTCCCCCATCGACCCCGATGTCCTCGCTGGCGAGGCCGACAACCGCCCCTCGGGCCTTAAGTCTCGTCCTCTCTCGACCCGAGCAGCTCGTCGGCCTAGCAATCTCGATTGGAACCACGCTGTATCCTCCAATGGCAATGGTCACACTTCCGCAAAGCCTGTGACGCCCTCGTCTCCCCCTCTCTCGCAGTCTTCGCCAACCCTGCCAGCGACCTCTTCCGGCATGGGCCATCCCGCTCGCCACCGAAGCCATGCCCGCCGCTTCGGCGTTGGTACTTGGTCGATATCCATATTCGCGCTGGTCACCGCCGCGCTGGGTCTGTTTTTGCTCGGTGGTATCCTTCATTCCTTGATGATGGGGACGAGCCAGCAAGACGCCAAGGGTTGCCGCATGTCATATATGCGGCCGTCATATATTCACTATCGCGAGTTCGATACTGAGCACACTCGTTTCGCCACCAAATACTCTCTTCACCTCTATCGTGAACAGGGACTTGACGATGAGGTCAAGCTTCGCGGCGTCCCAGTCCTGTTTATCCCTGGCAATGCTGGCAGCTACAAGCAAGTCCGACCGATCGCCGCCGAGGCAGCCAGCTACTTTTATGAACGTCTTCAACACGATGGCAGCTCCCTCAATGCCGGCATACGCAACCTTGACTTCTTCACCGTGGACTTCAACGAAGATATCACAGCCTTTCATGGCCAAACCTTGCTGGACCAAGCCGAATACTTAAATGAAGCTATCCGCTATATTCTCTCCTTATATTCTGACCCCAGCAAAGTTCTCCGCGACCCGGACTTGCCCGATCCAACTTCTGTCATCATCATTGGTCACTCTATGGGCGGTGTTGTTGCTCGCGCAATGCTCGTGCAGTCGAACTACCAAGCCAACTCAATCAACACCATTATCACAATGTCTGCGCCGCATGCTCGCCCACCAGTTACTTTTGATGGCCAAATCGTTCAAATTTACGACGAGATCAACGAGTATTGGAGGAGAGCATATACTCAAAAATGGGCCAGCAGCAACCCGCTCTGGCATGTCACTTTGATTTCGATTGCTGGCGGAAGCCTTGATACCGTGGTGCCTTCTGATTACGCTGACATTGACTCGCTTGTGCCTGAGACACATGGCTTCACTGTATACACTACTGGTGTACCAACAGTGTGGACGAGTGCTGACCATCAAGCCATCATGTGGTGCGATCAATTCCGCAAAGTCGTCAGCCAGGCTTTATTCGATGTTGTTGATGTCCACCGGGCGAGCCAGACCAAGCCTCGAGCTGACCGCATGACTACTTTCAGGAAGCGATTCTTGAGCGGACTCGAGCCCAACGCACAAAGGACAATTAGCAATGGTCACGCTACTACCCTTCTCATGATTGATGAGAACATGAAGCATCTTGTGCCGACAGACCAGCGCCTAGTTCTGAGGCAGCTCGGCACTGAGTCGCCCCCACGAGTGCACCTGCTGCCTGTTCCACCGGCAGCTGACCCAGTCAGCAAGCGATTCTCACTCATATCTAATAGCCCGCTCAGTGATGTGGCAGGATCTAGTCCCCTCGAGGTACTCTTTTGTACCGTATTAACATCACCCGCCGCCAGTATTCCTTTCGTCGCGACAATGGACTTCACGCAAAGCACCAAAGTTGGAATGAAGCTGTCATGCAAAAACGCAGCGGGTGATGTGGCCGTCCTACCTGCTTCGACCAGGCACACCGCTAACCCCTTCTACCGCGACGGCGAACCGGAGCTCGTGCCCTTCTCCCACTTGAGATATGATGCCCAGCATTTTTCAGAATATCACTTCGTCGCCATCATCGACCAAGCAGACTCACCCCTCGACAACTTCGTCATTGCTGAGTTCCGTGACGCGCTAGACTTTGACCAAGAACACAACATCGCGCTTGGTAAACTGCTTACCCTTGGTCTTTCCTTCACTCTTCCAGCGACGCGACCCACCGTCGTTGAAGCAAAGATTCCTGCCATTGAATCCAGTCTTTTAGCGTATAGACTGCAAGTGGATCGTGGAGCTTGCGAGCAGAATGGTGCCCTATTTGCGCCAATGCTGCGCCAGTCTTTACAGAGCCCATATGAGTCGCGGTACTTCGTCAACATATCGCAGGCCGGCATCAGTCTGCACGGCGTGGCGCCTTACATGCCTCCGACTATGGCTCACAGGGCCACCAAGGGTGTCGGCCTCGAGTTTTTCTCAGACCCGACGTGTAAAGCTCCTATCAAGGTTACCGTCACTTTCGACGCCCTGGGGAGTTTGGGCAAACTGTACATGCGCTATCGCACAGTCTTTGCAGCGTTCCCGCTCCTCATTGTTACCCTGGTGCTTCGGAAGCAATTCCGTGTCTATGACGAGACCGGTGTCTTCATCTCATTCTCAGAGAGTCTGGACCTATCGCTTCGCCAATCAATTCCGCTGCTGCTTCTCTCCTTGACACTCCTGGCAACTTCTATCGGCGTCGCGCCGCAGATCGATACCAGCAGGCGCGGCTGCTCGTTATTGGACACGATATCAGCTATTGACTTCCACCGCAACGATCTCTTGATCGGTACCGATGATCCATTCTTCACCTTCATGGTGCCACTGATTGGTATTGTTTGTATCGGGGTCTGCACAGCGTTGCACTATATCATCTTGCTTCTCACGCAGTTGTTTAGTTTTGTGTTTATCCTATTTCGGCCCCGTGGAAGCACCGACGCTGCTAACGGCAGCGCCGGCGTTGCTTCTCCCATCTTTGCACCATCGACCCCCCGACGACGCATGATTTCAACGGCAATTCTCCTGTTATTGGTGTCAACCTTTATCCCCTATCAGTTTGCCTATCTGGTTGCTTGTCTGGTGCAACTTTTCACGTCTGTCAGAGCTCGCCGCATCGGCACTGTTACCCCATCCACATCGAATGTCAACTACTATCACTATACACATTCGATTCTGCTGTTGATGATGTGGGTTCTGCCTATTAACCTACCCATTTTGGCCGTATGGGTGCGGAATCTGGCAGTACACTGGCTTACGCCATTTTCTTCGCACCATAACGTGGTTTCCATCACGCCCTTCATCCTCTTAGTCGAGAACATGACGACTGGTCGCATGGTGCCTCAAATATCAAGCTGGTTGCGGCATGTCACAAGCATTCTCTTGTTCGCTACTGCGCTGTGTGCCGCCATATACGGTGTTTCTCACGCTTACTTGTTGCATTATCTTGTCAACATTATCGCGGCCTGGCTTGTGATTCTGCACGCCACTTCTACATCGTGGGCCAGCATCGGTGCCATGTTTGAGGGGAATGCCGATAAAAGTAGGACGGATGGGAAATCTTCATGAAGGCTTCAATGGCCTTTATGTTCACTGCAGATAAGGAGTGCGAAATCGCTTACCTGCGTCGCGCTCCTATCTGCATCCTCCTCCCGTCTTTGCACTTATCCGCCGCCGCCACTATCATCGCCGCCACTGGTATCGCTACTGCCACCATCATCGCCATTGTTACCGCCATTGATTCTTTGATTTTCACTTGCGTTTCTCGTTTCCGTAAAACGAGCGGCATGTACTGAGCATCACCGAACGACGAAAGACTTTGATTTTTGTTCTAATATCTAATACCTTGTTGTCCTTGTCTCTGGCGAGAGGAGGAGCTGGGGTGGAGTGGTGGCTAGGTTGGTTTTGCGCGGTGACTGCGGGTATTCTTCGTCTTTTTTTCAGCCTCCGTGGGTTTATAATCTTGTTTCTTGTTTAATGATCATTGTCAAGGCGTTTCTTTTTTACATTTAGGGAACGGGGAGAAGGACCAGCGGGAGGAGCGTCTGCTTTTTTCTTCAGCTGTCTAAGCGCAAAGGAAGGAGGACGACGTCGACACTCACGGACAGAGATATACATATTACATAGTTGTCGGCGTGGAAGGTGGGATATACCTTCCGAATTCTTTGAATAAATAAATAATTCTATAGACGAATACTTGATCTTTGCAGCTGTTTCATACGAAGTTTTGGGGTAAATACTGGAAGGGAACAATGGCACGGACGTCATGACCTTGAGCAATGTGGCACATAATGTGTAAAATTTGAATACAAATGAGGAATCCAGACGCCAGTCGCTATAAAGCGCTATAGGAATAGAATAGAATACGGAAAACACAACGCCTCCGACAGATCCAGGTTAGGTGGAAAACAATGAGAATGTACACGTAAAATGCTCGTCAGTCTAGGAAAAGTCGAACCGCTCGGGGAGGACGACGGGGGCGACGAGGCTCCAGATGTAGATGCCGTGGCACAGCCAGGCGCTGACAATCTTGATCCAGCTGGCAGCGTACGTGCGGCCGACGCTAGCAAAGTCGCTATTGGGCTCGACAGCCGTCTCGTGGCTGAGGGTGAGGAGGAGGGAGACCCAGGTGGTGGCGAGGAAGAAGATGATGTGAAACATGGAGTAGTTATATTGGGTGCGGGAGCGCTCGTCGTCGTGGGCGGTGTTGCTGCCGGCCTCGGCGTCGTCGTCGTCAGAGAGGAGGGCGTCAGCGGGCAAACTGCCCTCTTCCACGGCACGGCGGAGGGCCTCGGCGCGCATCTCGCGCCTGCTTCCGGGCTGCTGGGTGACGAGGTCGTGCTCGTCGTCTTCAGGCAGGCGAATACCGCCGTTGCCGCTGCCGCCGAGGCCAAAGTTCTGGGTAGCGGCGCGGGTCGTGGTGTAGGCAATAGTGAGCATGGTGACGATAGCGCCGATGACGACCGAGGTGCGGCGGGTGGAGCGGCCACGGAGCAGAGGGTTGCACTGCTTGTCGTCGGGTTCCATGGAGACGGCGGACATGGTGAGATAAGTGCAGTAGACGGCGACCATGGCGGCCTGGGCAAGGCCGGCCTTGGGGTTGTGCTCCTGGATGGTGGGGTTGACGGAGATGACGGAGATGATGAGCCAGAAAAGGAGGTTAATTGTGATGACGGCCTGGTTCATGGAGCAACCGGAGCCGGCGAAGAAGATGTACTGGACGATCGTCATGGCGAGGGAGGCGGCGTACATGCCGAGCGTGGAGCCGATAAGGACGGTGCGCCAGAGGCGCGAGTCGGTCTCCTCGATCTGTGCGAGGCAGTACTCGGCCCATCCATGGGCGAGGTCGACGAGGAGGATGAGGCCGAGGAGTAGGAACAGCATGGCGCCGATAAGCGCGATGTAATTGCCCCAGAACATGAAGAACTCATCAGGGATGAGGAAGGACATGACGACGAAGGCGATCCAGGCAATGACCTTGGGGCCCCAGTAGCCGTTTTGAATCGCAGCGCGGGGCTCTTTGGAGGACGCGACGCCGAAAAGCAGGCCGGCAAGAAGTAGGTGGAAGATGCCGAGGGCGAAGTTGATGCGGTGGACGGCGAGCCAGCCGTAGCATTCGCCATTGGGGCAGTTGATCTTGACGTAGTCGAGCATGAGGTGCTGCAGCTTCTCAATGGCCCACGGAGTGAGCATGATCCAGGCGACGATGGAGTTGACGAGGAGGATGAGGGCGTATGCGATACGGGTAGCAACACTGGGAGGAGGGACCATAAGAGTTAGCACGAATGGTTTCTGCATTGCCAAAGGTGTAGTCGCGGGGGCGGGGAGACAAACCTGTTGCCGCATTTGCCGCAGGCGCTGCAGACCATGGAGCATGTTGCCGCTCCGCAGCAACTGGCGCCAAAGGAAAGTAGCTATAAAAATTCGGTACATGTCAGTCGCGGGGCTGCTGATGGCAGTACATGGGCGTCGTTGTCCTTACCGTGGCCATGCTCGGCACCGCCATGAGCGGAAGGGAAAGCAGCGCACCCATCGTGAGGGCTGGCGATTGGTTCAGGGCGCGCAGCCGGAGGAGAAGTTTGTAGATCAAGAAACGGCGAGGATTTTTTTTTTCGATAGTTAAAGAACAGATGCTTTCCAACGCGTCGAGGTTGGTGCTGGCTGCTTAGTTTGCTAGGTGGTTGTTTGACGAGAAGAGGATGACGACGAGCTGGAATGACGACGGATCAGGTGCTCACAAGCGCCAAGGATGTTGGCTGGACTGGGCAGTTGGCAGTTGAAGGCTTTACGTAAGCGACTGTGTCGGAAACCGCTGAAACCCGCTAGAACAACCCGCTAAAAGCACCCGCAGAGGGAGATCGAATGTGCTGTAACGTCAGCGTCTCCAGCGGGTTTAAGAGCAGCGACAGCGCACGTTACAGCGGCTCTTGCTGCTAATTTTGGGGGCGGATGAGGGACCGCTTCTCCCAGTAGTAGGCCCTCTTCCCCCGGGCCGAACACGGACCAGGTCACTCGCTATCTCATGCCAAGCAAGATCCGGGACACCCACCCGAAGCCATCCATTCCCTTCTTGTCTTCTCGCATCATCATTTGACCTTTTCGGCTTCACTCTCTTGCATTTTCTTATTTTCCTCCTTCTCCTTTCTTCCCTCATAGCTGCTGCCAACGACGGCGACTCCATCTCGATGAGATTGTGTTGCTAGCACGCCATCTCTCCCTCTTATCGGTCTCAGCCGCCAGTCGCTACATCATACCCTCATCATCCCTATCGCGAGACGATACCCAAGGCCTATCCGCCATGCAATCAGACGACATGCATCGCAGGAGAATCCTCGCCAGCGTCGCGGCCACCGTCATCTCCCTGGCCTGCGGCACAAATGTACGTTCAATGTGTCCTCCAATTCGCCCCTGCCCATGTATGTGACACACGTTGAAACACTCAGCCGCTGACCTGCCCACAGTATGTCTACTCGGCCTGGGCGCCGCAGTTTGCTGAGCGGTTGAAGCTCACGGCGACGCAGAGCAACCTGGTCGGCCTCTTCGGCAACCTAGGCATGTACTCGCTCGGCCCGCTCGTCGGCATGTTCGTCGATCACCCGGCCATCGGCTGCCGCCCCGCCGTCCTGCTTGGCGCCGCACTGCTCGGCGTCGGCTACTTTCCGCTGCACCGCGCTTACGACGCCGCCGATGCTTCTGCTGCCGCCGGCAGCGGCAGCGCCTCCGTCCCGACGCTCTGCTTCTTCTCTTACCTCACCGGCATGGGCAGCTGCCTCGCCTTCTTCGCCGCCGTCAAGGTCTCGGCGATCAACTGGCCGCAACACCGCGGTACCGCCACCGCCTTCCCGCTCGCCGCGTTCGGGCTCAGCGCCTTCTTCTTCTCCTTCATCGGCTCCATCCTCTTCCCCGGCGACCCGAGCTCGTTCCTGGAGCTGCTGGCCTGGGGTACCGTCGTGCTCACCGTCGGCGGCTTCGTCTTCCTCCGCGCTTACCCCCACGCGTCAACGGCCTCGTCGTCCTCGTACCAGGCCGTGCCGGGCGCGGAGCCGGGCACGGCGGGTGGCAGCGTGCGCGGGCAGCGCTTGCGCCGAACCTCATCGTCGGGGCGCAACCACGCCACGCTTGATGATGAACCCGGTACGTCTAACAACTTCACTGCTGCCACAGCCGCACAAGTCACGGCGGAGCAAGCCGGCCCCGCGCTCGCCGCTACCCCTGTCCGGGTGGCGGACGATGGCGCAGATGCTGAAGACGCTGTACCGGACGAGTCGTCGTCCCTCATGTCGGCATCGTCGGCGTCGAATCGCGAGGGGAGTGCACGTATTGATCGAGATCCGTCCCATCATGTAGATATTCGCGGCTTTCAGCTCTTGACTTGCCTTGACTTTTGGCAGCTGTTCGCCATCATGACGATTCTGGCCGGTGCTGGACTCATGACCATCAAGTAAGTGCAACGCGTTGCTAGTTCCGGGGGAGTGTTCCAAAAGCTGATCAAGCATAGCAACATTGGAAATGATGCAAACGTGTTGTGGAAACACTACGACAGCTCAAAAGGTGAAGAGTTTCTCGTCCATCGACAACAGATGCATGTTTCGATCCTTTCCATCGGTAGCTTCGTTGGACGTCTTCTCAGCGGTACGTGAAACCCACCTTGCCCCCCTACCCTCCCCCTTCTACCCTTCCTCCACACACACTTGATTCGTGTCCGTCATGTGTACCCAAGCTAAATCTTGTCCTCCCCAGGCATCGGCTCCGACTTCCTCGTCAAGAAACTTGGGGCCAGCCGGGTGTGGTGCCTCGTCGCCTCCGGCCTCATCTTCACCGTGGCCCAGCTGTGCGGCCTGACCGTCTCCACGCCCATCTACCTCTTCCTGCTCTCCGGCCTCTCGGGCATCGCGTACGGCCTGTTGTTCGGCGTCTTCCCATCCATCGTCGCCGAGACGTTTGGCATCCACGGCCTCAGCCAGAACTGGGGCTTCATGACGCTCGCGCCCGTCTTCTCGTCCAACATCTTCAACCTCATCTACGGCTCCATCCTCGACCACCACAGCGTCTTCGACCCCAGCGGCGAGCGCTCCTGCCACGAGGGCCTCGAGTGCTACCGCGCCGCATACGGCATCACGTTTGCGTCGTGCCTCGTCGGCGTGGCCATCACGATATGGGTCATCCGCCACCAGTACGTGGACAAAGTAAAGGCCATGGGAAAAGCCAACCTAGAGGACTAGTCCAGCGGTTTTCCAGTACCTAGTCCCTTCGACCGCTCCGACCCAATTTTGAACTCTTCTTGTATATACGCAGGGTCATCACTTTAGACGGGGGATGGTGTACACGTCATATGAAAGTCTTCGCCAGGCTGTTCTTCATTAAAATCTATAGCGAAAATAAACTGATCGGAATATTCCAACAAGCATATCATCAATGTTGTACAGTTCTCAAAATACTGTAGCGTCAGCCGTGGGTGAACATTGTCATAGCAAAATCATGCAAAGCGGCGTGGTGTTTGTACATGTGTGTTCCGTATGTTCCGCATGCCATCAGGGGCATAGCCAGTCTAGATTAGTCTTGCTCCTCCACGACTAGCTCGTCAACGTCTTCATATTCGTCACTCTGAGTGCTGCCGCTCGTCTTGCTCTGCCCCTTGCGCTTGCCGCCGGCCTTGCGTAGAGCGCCACTGCCTAGCGGCAGTTGGCCGCCGCGGTTGCCAAAGAAGTCATCTGTCCGGATGCCGCGAAAATGCGATGCGTCGACCTGGGGCATGGGCTGGCCGGGCCTGCGGTTCAAGCGCATGAACTCGCGGACGGGTGCCATGGCGGCGTCGCGGCAGGCTTCCTTGATGTCACTCCCGGACATGCCGGCCGTGAGCTTGGCCAGCTGGTCGAGGCTGAAGTGCTCCGGATCGGTCTTGGTGCCTTGCAGGACGAGTTGGAGGATGCGGAGGCGTTGCTCTTGGCCGGGAAGCGGGACGGGGAACTTCTTAGGCATTCGCCGCAGAATCGCCTCGTCAATGTCGTGGATACGGTTCGTAGCGCCGAGTACAACAATTTGGGCGGGCATGCCGGAGGAGTTGGCAGAAGTAAGACCGTCCCACAGTGTCATGAATCTGCGAGAGGGTGTTAGCACTCGTGGTCGAATGGATCAGCATTTCCCACATTTACGTACTCAGCCTTAACCATGCCACTAGCTTCGTGCTCGCCACTGCGTCGTGTGCCGAGCACGGCATCAATCTCGTCGATAAAAATGATGGCAGGCTGCATCTTGCGAGCCAGGGAGAAGACGGCCTTGACGATCTTGTTGGAGTCGCCATACCACTTTTCCGTCATGGTGGAAATGTGAAGGTTGATGAAGGAAGCACCACTCTCGTGAGCGAGCGCCTTAGCAAGCATGGTCTTTCCACAGCCAGGCGGACCGAAGAGGAGGACGCCGGACGGGGCGGACAGGAGCGGCGCGGCATGCGAGTACAGGTGTGGCATGGTGAGGGGGTAGATGACGGACTCCTTGAGCTCTTCGATAATCATTTCCAGACCTCCGATATCTATCACGAACATTAGTGCCACGGCAGAGGCTAGCGGTTTTTATAGGAGCGTCCAACTCACCATCAAAGCCAACATGGATATCTTCGGGCGCTACCATCTCCAGCGCAATGAGGTTCTCAAACTCGTTGAGGACTAAGTCCTCCACATGCGGGTGGTCTTGGAAGTCGTCACTTCCTTGGCCGGCATTCGCCTCGGTTTGGCGTCGTCGATTTATGCGTTCGAGGTGGGCTTTAGCTTTTTGTCTGGCTTGGTCGTGCTTCTCCTTGTCGGGATCGGCGAGGTTGCTGAGGATCGGGTTCAGAAAGTTGCGCGCAATATACAGGCCAGCTGTCATCTGTTGGGTCGCTGCGTATTAGTCTTCCTTTCGTCTTTTTCAGGCAACACCACGAGGAGCGGAAACATACCATGCCGGCAAAGAGGACGAGGTCCATGGCGACATCGCCCAGTTTGCGACGTTCGCCCATTCCGACGACCCAGCGTAGCCAAGACGCTGACTGGTCGGGCATGAGATTCGCAGAGGCAAAGAAGAAGGGAAGGCAGAATGGCCTTTGCAAGACTTCACCAGCGATGGGATAACGCGCGGAGGGCGAGATGTGTGTGCAAAGAGAAAGTGATGCGGCCAGCGACCACTGGTTGATGCATGGCGTTGTGTCTGTGGCTGGAGGTTGTATCGATAGGTACCTTACGCCCAAAGTGGGCTTTCACATGAAGTGGTGGCGACTTGCGGTCTACGGTGAAGCTGGGCCAATCAGGAATTTTATCACAGTTCAGTATGGTCACAGTTAAATCGCTCAGACTTCTTTTCAATCTGGTTCTTAAAGTTTCAGCATTACGAAAGTATTGGCGCATCAAGCCACAGCTCGGGATCATTCAATTCCAAGGATGCACATCACAGATACCTAACGGTACATTGCTAGCCTCGGCTTAGATGCACGTCACCCTGCTGGGTGAGAAAAAGGTGGGCGAATTACAGGCACAAGCGATTTTGGCTGCTGACTAAGAATTCTTCATGGTGAAGGACCCGCCACAGCATTTTGTTTACATCGAACCAAAACAGGAAATCTAGCTGGATTCCCGCGACGCTACATATTATTTTGTGACAGTCGCATTCTATTTCCTACCCACAATACTCAATCGATGTCCCTGTACACCACGAATTCATACACTTGGTACCTATTTACACGACATTTTTAACTTGCCCGCTCCAACCAAACGACGCAACAGCGCCATGGCGACCCGGGTACGCACTGCCGGGCGGTTCGCAAACCTGGTAGGATCCGATTCAGATTCGGACCTGGGAGGCATGGAGAGCCTCCCTCGCAAGAGGCAGAGCTCGGTCACCAGAGGCGCAGCATCTAATCGAATTTCGAAGCCCTCGTCAAAACTGGCGGGATCAATCGACAAGAAGGCCCCGCGCCGACTATCACCGGGACGACCGGTGCTGCTGGACAAGAGCAATCTCAATGCGACACGTCCGTCATACAAGAGCAGAGATGAGAAGCCGAGTCGCGCGACCCACGATGAGGTCTTTGAGGAGGACAGCATGCTGAAATCGCACCCATCAAGCGAGTCTCGCAAGAAGCAGCGGCTCGAAGATTCGCGACCTGTTAAGCAAAGTTTCGCGACGACAAAGCGATATGTATCTTCACCACAGCGCGCAGCCGATCGCTACCCGAGAAAATATGCGGCAGAGGTAGAAGACGATGCTGAGGTGGACATGGTAGACGTGATCGAACAGGAAGAGGAGGAGGTTCCGAGGCCCGCGAGCCGGCCAACGACAGTCGCGCCGGTTTTATCCCGCGCGCGTCCGATAAGTCAACCACAGAAGTCACAAGGAGATAGCTCCATGTTGGAGCGCTGCTTACGCGAGATGACGAGGAAATACGAGAATCTCGAGGGCCGGTACACTGAGCTTCGGGAGGTTGGCGTCGCGGCCGCCGAGCGCAACTATGAGAAGCTGCGCAAGCAGGCCGATGAGAATGCAGCGAGTAAGTATTCAGCAGCGCATCAATACAGGCAAGGACAACGCGCACTAACAGGAGCATTAGCCGCAAGCAAGCTGATCGCGAAGCTCAAGGAGGAGCTAGCCGCGCAACGGCAAGCCTCCGGTGACACTGAATCGCTGCGCCGGCAGCTACAAGACAGCCAAAGCAATGCACAGGACCTCTCCGATAGGGTCGCGGAGCTCACAAACTCGCTTGCCGAGTCCGAACGCCAGATCAAGGCCCTCAACGCCAAACTTGCCGCCAGTCGAGCCGCTCCCGGAAACGCCATTCCCAGCAGCGCGGTCAAGGGCAATGCTGCAAAGGCTTGGACAGGCCAATCGGAGCTAGTCCACGCCGCGCATGCCAAGGAGGACTTGTACGCGGACCTGACAGGTCTCATCATCCAAGGGGTGAAGCAGGACGGCAACCAGGACATTTTCGACTGCATCCAGACTGGCCGCAATGGCAGTAAGTACCAACCTGTGAAGAAGATTTTAGAGGAGCGTTCTAACACGATGATAGCGCTACACTTCAAGCTCGGTGTCGCCGGGAGCAGCTCCACGGCCAGCTACGAAGAGTCCATGGTCCTGTACAGCCCGCAGTTGAAGGCTGATCGAGATGCCGACTTGATCGGCCGCTTGCCGAAATATCTTCGCGACGAGATTGGGTTCAAACGACCGCAAGCAGCTAACTTTTACAGCAAAGTGGTCAGGGCATTAAGGGAGAGGCAATCGAGGGGCGAGGAGTAAGAAGCCATGGCAACGGGCTACTGGGCAATGCATTTACTGTGGCGTTGTGAGTGTTTTTGGGAATTGATACCCTATAGTATTTGATTTGGGTCAGTTATTTTCTGGGCATTGGCATAGAAGGCCCTATACTCTTCACTTTTCATGACTATGTAAAGACGACAATTGAGCATCTGTTATGATAGGTGCATTTTGCTGGTGATTGGTGGCTTTATATGGTGTGTATGAACTACTGCTTCGTGGCACGTCTGACCATATCATGATGGCCTCGGATATCTGCAGCCACTTCTGCCTGCTGTAGCTTATTACTGTCTGACCTGTTCATCTAGGTTGTTGTTTCGTACATACTTACGCTCACTGTGGACATCATGTTGCCGTCCTCTTGAAGTGTAGCCTACCCTATGTAGACCTAGTTCGGATGGGGACTTTTGGTGCGATAGATGACTGGCAGGTAGCTGTATTGAATCGCTTTTCTTCACGCGTGGCCGCTTATTGAATCGCTTTCTTAGCTTGTTGAGATAATACGTTCCCAACACACCTCAATGGCTGTAGTCCTGTTGGAGGATGTTCATTGATCATCATATTTCACACTGGCAGACTAGTGGAGTTCAATCGCTGCGTGGTTGACCCCCTTGCGCAACACTTATATATCCTTTCTTGTTTTCATGGGCTCTAAAATATGGCCAGTGCTGGGGTTGAAAACCACCTGACTGTGTAAATGACGACGGGCCAAAAGTGATTGAAGACGTGATAACGTGGCGAAGTAGGCCGATAGTCATTGGTGTTGATTTTGGGGTGAAGGAGGTTGGCAATGTACATAAGTCTGCCTCCTGAGCTACATAGATACCTTGGTAAATAGCACTTGTCAGTCTGTCGCCAAATTTACTCGCCTTCTTACGCTGTTTCCATGAATCAGTTGAATTACGCGCATTGTAGTATCTGCGTCGGAACGACATCTCTCTTGGCAAGCTACTTGTTTAGGCGATTATAAGGGAGCTTGCTGGTCTTGAAGCTCTCTTCAGGCTGTCCCGCTCCGGCCCTTCCGCTGTGGAGCACCTAAAAAGGAACCCCTTTAGAAGAGTGAGCCCCTGAAGCGAGCCAGTCGCCACCGCTGTATTTGTTAAGTTAACGCCAGGCACTGACAGGACAGGAGAAAGGCCTAAAAGCTGCTAATGCCAATATGGAAGTCCGCCACTTTCACTTCGCGAACTCGCGCCGCGCTCCTTTCGAGCCGCCATCTGGCCCCAAAGCTTCACCTCGACGTCGCATCACGAATTGTTGCGCCGACCATCAACCTCCTGCCATGGTGGCCGTGTAGTCTATTTTTATTATTCCCCCCAATTTTGCGGCTTTCAGCTTTCCTTCTTGTCTCCTTTTCGCCCAGCCATTCCTTTGCAGCCGCCCCTCCCGCAATATCAAAAGCCAACTAGCCCGTCGAGTTTATCAAGGTGCTTTCTCCCGAGTCCAGCAAAACGTCCACCTCTGTTCAGGCCACGACGCGAATCATTCCCACACAAACACATACACTCGTTCTTCGATTCTGTCAAATAGCACGTCGCTGCCTCCAAAATGGCGGCCTTTTCTCGCTTCGGCTTCCTGGCCGTGGCCATCATCTTCCACCTCGTCTACATCTACTCCATCTTTGACATTTACTTTGTCAGCCCAATCGTCACAGGCATGCGCCTCCACGGCGTCGAGCGCGCCCCTTCAGTCAAAGCCCCTGCTGATAGATTGGTGCTGTTTGTTGGTACGACATCTTCGCCTTCCCCCTCCTCTTCGCGACGCAATCGCAAAACTAACCACCGCCTTGTTCCTGAGTAGGTGACGGTCTACGCGCCGACAAGGCCTTCCAGTCCTTCCCCGAGCCATTCCCTGAGACCGAAGCTGATCTCGTCCCCCGACCACTCACGCCATTTATTCGCTCCAAGGTCCTCAACGAAGGCACATTCGGCGTCTCTCATACCCGCGTGCCCACCGAGTCTCGCCCCGGCCACGTCGCCATGATCGCCGGCCTTTACGAGGACGTCTCAGCCGTCGCGACCGGCTGGAAGATGAACCCCGTCCACTTCGACAGCGTCTTCAACCGCAGCCGCCACACCTGGAGCTGGGGCAGCCCGGACATTGTCCCGATGTTCGAGGCCGGCGCCGTCCCCGGCCGCGTCGACGCCTTTGCCTACGAGGCCGAGCTCGAGGACTTTTCCAAGGACGCCACCATCCTAGACGAATGGGTGTTTGACCACGTCCGCGACTTCTTCGCCGAGGCTGCGACCAACAAGGACCTCGACAAGGCGCTGCGCCAGGACAAGGTCGTCTTCTTCCTCCACCTCCTCGGCATCGACACCACAGGACACTCGTACCGTCCCTACTCCAAAGAGTACCTCCACAACATCCAAGTTGTCGATCGGGGCGTCAAGGAAATGACGGAGCTCTTCGACAAGTTCTACGGCGACGACAGGACGGCCTACATCTTCACCGCCGACCACGGTATGAGCGACTGGGGCAGCCACGGCGACGGCCACCCGGACAACACCCGGACGCCTCTGGTGGCCTGGGGCTCCGGCGTCGCACGCCCGGAGAAGCACACCAATGCCATCGCGCCCGGGCACGACGACTTCTCTGCCGACTGGGGCTTCGACCACATCCGCCGCCACGACGTCGCCCAGGCCGACATTGCTGCGCTCATGGCCTACCTCACCGGCCTGGACTTTCCCGCCAACTCGGTCGGCGAGCTGCCGCTTTCCTACCTCGCCGGGACCAACACGGAGAAGGCCCGCGCGTCGCTCGTCAATGCCGAGGGCATCCTTGAGATGTACCGCGTCAAGGAGGCCAAAAAGCGCGCGACCGAGCTGCGCTTTCGCCATTACAGCTCCTTCAACGAGGAGAATGCCAGCCCAGACGACCGCATCGCCGCCATCAAGGCCCTGATCGAAGGCAAAAAGTACGAAGAGGCCATCGAGGAGACGGACGCCCTGATCAAGGTGACCCTTCAGGGCCTGCGCTACCTACAGACGTACGACTGGCTGTTTCTGCGCGCACTCATCACCATCGGATACCTCGGCTGGATGGCATACGCCCTCACCACCGTCGTCGACCTCTTCGTCGTCGGCCAAAAGTTCAAGCCGCAGCGCTCCGCCGCCGGCCTCGCCGTCTCCTCTGCCATGCTTGTCGCCCTGTACGCCTCCTTTGTCGTCTCCCAGTCGCCTCCCACGTACTACCTCTACGCCGTCTTCCCCGTCATCTTCTGGGAGGAGGTGTTTGCCTGTCGGCGGAGCCTCACCGAGGGCCGCCGGATCCTCTTTGCCCACATCAAGTCCGCGAGCGCCACGCTCAGTCTCGGCCTGTCTGCCGTCGTCTACGTGGCCGTCATCCAGGGCCTCGCGCTCGGCTACATCCACCGCGAGGTCTTCACCGGCCTCTACGTGCTCGGCGCCGCGTGGCCGGCGCTGCGCGGGCTCGCGTTCGTTCGTGGCCACGCCTCGCTCTGCGCCACCTGGGTCCTCGCGTGTCTCGTCATGAGCACATTCACGCTGCTGCCCGCCAACAAGACGGACAACATCCCGCTGATCCTGGCCGGGGGCGTCGCCATGGTCCTGATTGGACTGCTGTACCTGGCATTTGAGGACGCCGTGCTGTCTGACTTTAGCGCGCCGCCCGCCAACGGCAAGAGCCTGAGCAACCCGCTCAGCCGTGCCCTGATGGGCGCCCAGATCGGCCTCACCGTGCTGGCCATGATTGTGACGCGGTCGAGCGCGCTCTCGCTCGCGGCCAAGACGGGCCTCCCGCTCGGCAACCAGGTCGTCGGGTGGACCGTCCTGGTGCTCTCGCTCCTGATGCCGTTCGCGCACCGCCTGCGGCCGGTGGGCAACTACATGCACCGCCTGATGCTCATCTTCCTCACCTGCTCGCCCGCCTTTGTCATCCTGACCATTTCCTACGAGGGTCTGTTCTACGTCGCCTTCTGTATCACCCTGGTCGCCTGGGTCCGGCTCGAGTATGCCGTCGAGGTGTCCGGACGCTCCTCCCCCTCAACAACACAAGCAAAGAACCACGACGACGCCACGATAGAGCTTGACGGCGGCGTGCGGTTCCGCGCGCTGCGGCTATCCGACGCGCGCATCGCCCTCTTCTTCCTCGTCCTGCTGCAGTCCGCCTTCTTCAGCACCGGCAACATCGCCTCCATCTCCTCCTTCAGCCTCGACAGCGTCAACCGGCTCCTGCCCGTCTTCGACCCCTTCTCGCAGGGCGCGCTGCTCATCTTCAAGATCATGGTCCCCTTCGCCCTCATATCGGCCAACCTCGGCGTGCTCAACGTGCGCCTCGGGGTCGCGCCCTCGGCGCTCTTCATGGTCGTCATCGCCGTCAGCGACGTCCTCACCCTCTACTTCTTCTGGGTCGTCAGGGACGAGGGCTCCTGGCTCGAGATCGGCGCCACCATTAGCCACTTCGCTATTGCGAGCCTGCTGTGCGTCTTCGTCGCGGCGCTCGAGGGCGTGAGCGCGCTGTTCGTCGCGGGCGTGCAGGTTGGCGACGACCACGTGCAGCAGCGGCACAATGGTGACGCCGCAGCACCGGGGCCGAAGAGCGCGGCGACGAATGGGCATGCGTCTAGTAAGAAGAGCAGTAAGAGGAGCAACTAATAATAGAAGCAACAAGGCAAATATTAAAAAGAAAAGGAGGGTTGACCATGATGTGTTTGGGTTTAATGGGATCAGGGGACGTGGGTTCCCCTTGCAATCGAGATTTACAATGTAGCATACAATATCATGTGAAATTATCAAAATATGCGAATATTGCCACATGTGTCTGTATGAGACCGGGATACTCTTCTGGTGCCTGTGAACATGAAACGGTTTAGGATATTAACAGTGGTCGCAAGAATGATCTGCGGGTTTGTCCACGGCCCTGCGCTTCGTTCAAGGGACCAGGAAAAAAGCACGGATGCGCGATCGTGATCGAGCGCTGGTATGAGCGCATGCCGCTGATGATATGAGTAACTACTTGATTTCGTGCAGCAAAAGGCTTGGGAAGCATCGCGGGTTCACCTCACCTCTGCGCTGCACGTCGTTGCGGCAGAAAACAAAACTCGGTATGTCTTTGGCGACGCGCGTTGGACGTTTGGATGTCGACTCAAAATCCAATACGGTTGAAGCAATGTGCCAGGAGGTCGTTGCATTGGGATGACAGGGGAACGTCGATCACTTTACCCTTGTTGGGGTGACTGGGTGACAAATTCGCGTCGCCGCCCTAACTCACCGAAGAACCCCTGGGTAGCGTTATTTGGAAAAACACCAAAAAAAAAGGGAATCGAGAGATTGAGGAACGCAATAGCGTGTGTTTGGCGAGATGCGTGAGACATGGTTGGATGCGCACGGAGATCACCGTCCACTGGCGACATGGCGACTTTGCTCCGGGCTCGATGACACTGCAGGTTATGAGGGTTGGGAAAGTTTGTTAGTTTGATCTAGAAGACATAAGAAATTGTCCGTATTCGTGAAATTGGCCGATGAAGAAACTGAATGCAGGTTTGAGACAAGTTGTGGCGCATAGATTAAAGCGAGACTAAATGAAGGCCGAGAAGCATGTGAAGTTGGTTATACTTGGTGCCTGACCGGCATGCCACCACCAGCCCCCGATGGCGGCTCTTGATGACTAGAAAGGGAGAGATGCTGACTTCTTCGGCCCCGAATTGTAAAGAGAACAAGGCCGACGTCGCAGTCGCTGCCCGCTGAATGATTCGGTGTGGCTGGCTCGTTGGCCATCTACTTCCAGAATAAGGAGGTTGTTTGCGACATTCTCCGCCCCTTGCAAGTGTCTTTTCTTTTTCTTGTTCATCATCGAATTGACTCAGAATGACAATATGTCAACACATAATCCGTACCGACGTTATGTATGCGATGCACAGTTGGGCCCCTCCCCCTTACAATGGGTAAGGTTAGGGGAACGCACCAGTCGACGGTGGAATGTACCATGGACTCGAATTTTTGTGCTGGATGTTTGAGAGTTAATAGTCGAGCCCCCAGTCCCGTTTATCATCAGCCTCCAGGAAAGATTAAAAATTTGGGGAACAGTGAAAGGGAATGGCGGCTCCCCACTAACATGTGGATGTTCTGCGATGGCTCCTGTCGAGTAATAATGGGCAATGAGTGGGTGAGGAGGAACTGTGACCCTGATCGTGCGACTAGGTGCAGATTCGCGAGTCCCTGACCATCAACGTTGTATGTATAATATAATAATGCGCAGCTGTGTTATTGGTTGAGGTGCGTAGTGATAAGTCATCGCTCGCCTCAACTGTACATGCTCGGATCTCGCCAAAGCTTGGAGGGACGTGCTCGACAAGATACAAAGACGTACCTATCGTGACCTGGAGAGCCTCACAGGTTCACAATCAGGAGTTTCGGTGCTATAATCTCGCCAACGGCCCCGTTCCGCTACAGCTCGAGTCTGGGGTGTGGCAGTCCTTGCTTCCCCTAGTCTGGCACACAAGCGTGGGGTGGCGGTGGCCTGAAATAGGCTTGGCCAGCCTGGCTTGGTCCTGACAAGCCTCGTCGCTTGCATCGACAACTTGAGTGGGTTTGCTGCGCAGGGGTTGCGTGTTGTTGTTCTATGTACAGGACACCGCGTGGGCCAAAGCGGATGTTCAGGGAAGCGACCGAATAGGAAGCTGGCATGAGTGGCTACTATTAGTGAGATGTAACCACGAGAAAGAATCAATCAAGGTGAATGGAAAAGGAAGTAGGAGACCTCTTCATCAACCTGGAGAAAGGGTCCTGTGATGCCTGCCGCAAAGGGTGGCAGGGGTTTGCGCCTCGTCGGGAGCTTCTTCTTCTTGCTCGTGCGTCAGGCACCTTGGCTTGGTTAAAGGGAAAAGGAGGCAGTGGCGCCATTCTCAGCTTGGCCGCTCCCCCGGATTTTGCTCGACGGCGGCGAGTCGCAGGTCGCGGGCACACGCAGAACACCACACACACCCTCAGATCCTCGCTCCCCCATCCCGTTTTCCCCAAAACTAGCCCGTTGATGGTGTTGTCCCTGTCTCCATTCTCCGCAGTCCAAGACCACGCGAAAGCTGGGGGTATCGGGTGACTTCGGCCGGGGATGGTGGATTGGCTTCCTGCGCTGCCCGGCCATTGTTCGTCACGACCTTGCAAGCCTGTTTGGAGCTATGGATGGTTACGGTCGAATGGACGAAGGTTTGTTGGTGAAGGCGATGCCGCCGTCGTAGAAGTATATGTAAAGACTAGGCCCCAGTCGACCTCGGCCGTTTGATGGATTCCCTTTCTGCCGCTTTCTTTCCCTCACTGTTTCTGCTTTGTTGCTGTTTCGTTGTTTTTCCCTGTGTGGTTTTTCTCGGAGCTTCTTGTGCGTTGGTTTACAACCAAGCAGCTTTCCAGTACGGACAGCTTGGCCGCATTCTCCCCGGATTTACTGCTGGCGATTCACCGTGCGTTGATTATTAACAACGTTGCAGGGGAAGCAAAGAAATATCGCCTGCGAATTGGAACTCGGTGCCGCTTTAATTCCTGGGGTTCTTAGTGTGCAAACGCCGTGGCTGCCGAAACTGACTGCCTGCCCGCCTACCCGTCTCCTCTCCGCCGGTCCTTCGCCAATTTCTTTAATTGCAAACGGACAACAATAACCTCGATTCAACATAACCAGCTTATCCAAATCATCCTCTCTATCGCCAACTCTTTGACGCGCTCGTCTCGACACCCTCGCGGCATTATCGAACGATACAAATTTACATTACCCATTAGCACCTTCCAAGGCTGCCACCCCACGATTGCGGAACCTCGTCCACGAGCCCAGTATCCACCCCGTCAAGTCAGCAGCCTGGACACCGGCGCCTTCGAAGATCCGGCAGTGTTGGCATCCGGACCTTGCTCTTCTGCTCATCGCCGGCTTTCAAATAACGGCTTCCTGTTTCTTCGTTACTTGCCTTGATCCCCGCACCTCAAATTTATTCCGCGACACCAATCAAGGCAGCTTCTGTCCCGGACTCCCAAAATATTACTTCCGGGTGCCTCGCCGTTTGGCAGCCCTCTCTTTTTGGACCTTCTCCCCCCGCAGCGCTAGAGCCAGTTGTCGTCTGTGGCTTGACCTGCTCCGCACGCGGTCGTCGCGCATTTGCCCCCAGGCGCATCCCCCCCGCCCTCGAAAGCGTCAGCTGTGCTCGTCCTGTCGAGATTCTCGTTTGCCTGCACGCGCTCTCCTTTTTATCGAACAATCCCAACAGAAACGCCCGACTCTGCGTCAAATTTTTGCATAATAATTGTCGCCCGCTCCTAAGCGCAGGCATGGACGTTGAAATGTCGGGCGACGGTGGCCAGAATGACCAGTCTCCCACAAAATCGTCACCTGGTGGCAATCCTAACTCAGCTGCCAACGCGGCCGCCAATGCTGCCGTGAGTTTTAGAAGGTAAGAATCGCTCCTTTTGAATACCATCACGGCATCTTACTGATCGGCCCTACCCGATATAGACAACGCGCATCGCGTGCATGTGAGGTATGTGCCTGGAGCTCCAACGTTCCCCCATCTCCGCTGCCCGTGCTGCAACAGCTCCTCGTGCCGAGGCATCTCTCTCTGGGCCCGCGCGGTCACTACGCGTTATCACGCTGCACCACTCTCTCATATGCTTGACTGCTAACACCTTCCTCCTGTTATCCTGCCAATAGACTTGCCATGCAAGAAAAGTACGCTGATGCTCCCCCTGCCCCAACTGTCACAGGCACCCCATACTAAACATGCTTACTTTAGGTTCGATGTGATGCCGCCAGCCTTGGTGTGCCTTGCACCAACTGTGTCGCATTTCAGATCGAATGCCGTATTCCTACGCCGAAGCGAAAGAAGGCACAGAGTAACGCTGGCCAAACCAGCAAAGATTCAGACAGGTGACTCTACCTCGACCACCACCCCTCTTGCTGCGTGACCTAACCCGGTCTAGTGATCGAGGCGAAGGAGATGAACGATCTCAAACCGGAACATCCATCAGCTCTGCCACATACCCCCAACCTCCGACGGTATCGCACTCGATAGAAGGCACGCCTTTGACCCTCCTGACAGAGGCACAGTCCCGCAAAGAGGATATCGATACTGGCACGTACCTGAACATGGTGATGAAGCCCAAGTTTACCCGTGCACCCATCACTGAAGCTGGTCGTGTTGCCTACCTGGGCGAGTCATCCAACCTCACCCTACTCGTTCATGATCGACAAGGTTCTGCGGATGTTGTGCACTATCCTCTCCCTGAAAATGTCCGGGGCTCTCGCGCCCGACTGACCGAGCTCGATAACGTCGAGATTGACATCCTACACCAAAGGGGAGCCTTTCTGCTCCCACCCAGATCTCTATGCGATGAGCTCATTGATTCGTACTTCAAATGGGTACATCCCATTGTCCCCGTCGTCAACAGGGCTCGTTTCATGAAGCAGTATCGTGACCCGAAGAACCCCCCTTCGCTGTTGCTCTTGCAAGCTGTCTTACTCGCAGGCACTCGTGTCTGCAGCAACCAGCAGCTCATGGATGCCAACGGATCTACTACTCCAGCCGCCTTGACGTTCTACAAGCGCGCCAAGGCTCTGTATGATGCCAACTACGAAGACGACCGTGTTACGATCGTGCAGTCTGTTCTCCTAATGGGCTGGTACTGGGAAGGTCCCGAAGACGTCACCAAGAATGTCTTCTACTGGAGCCGCGTTGCCACTATTGTTGCGCAAGGATCCGGTATGCATCGCTCAGTTGAACAGTCTCAGCTGAGCAAATCCGACAAGCGCCTATGGAAGCGAATTTGGTGGACGTTGTTCACCCGTGATCGCTCAGTAGCAGTCGCTCTCGGCCGGCCAGTTGGTATCAATCTGGATGATTCGGATGTTGAAATGTTGACAGAGGACGACTTCATCGAAGACGAGTCTGGCAACAACCCCGAATTCGCGCCTGATCAGATCCACGTGCAGTTCTTTTTGCAATACGTTAAGCTGTGTGAGATCATGGGCTTGGTCTTGTCACAACAGTACTCGGTCGCATCGAAAGGTCGTCAGCGAAACGCCATTGATCTCACGCACAGCGACATGGCTTTGGCAGATTGGTTACAAAATTGCCCCAAGATCGTCTACTGGGAGATGCCCCGACACCACTTTTGGTCTGCCTTGCTGCACTCCAACTATTACACAACTCTTTGCCTTCTGCATAGGGCACACATGCCTCCCAACGGTGGACTGAGGTCCCTGGATGATTCACCCTATCCGTCAAGAAACATTGCCTTTCAGGCCGCAGCCATGATTACTTCAATTGTCGAGAATCTTGCTGCCCATGACCAGCTACGATATTGTCCTGCCTTTATCGTGTACAGCCTATTCTCTGCGCTGATCATGCACGTCTATCAAATGCGGTCACCAGTCCCATCGATACAACAGGTAACTCATGACCGACTACGTAGCTGCATGCAAGCAATGAAGGAGGTCTCCAGAGTTTGGCTGGTAGGCAAGATGGTGTATACACTCTTTGAGTCTATCATCGGCAACAAGGTACTCGAAGAGCGCTTACAAAAGGCTGCGGGTAAACGCCATCGGAAAATGCAGCAAAGCATGTCTCAACTGGATCAGCATAGCAAGGCGCAGCAACAGCAGCAGCAACAACAGCCACAACCACCGCAACAGCAGCAAGATCAGAGCAAGCGAAAATTTGATGACATGGCCATGGACTTTACAGCAAATGCTCCGACGCCACAGGAATCATACGAACGATCCCGTCCGCAAACGCCGAGTGCTGGCAAGATTGACGGCGGTCCTACTGGCAACCAGGCGAATGTATCGCCTACACAACGACCAGCAAACGATACGTTTATGGGAGGTACCAGCTCGCGACCACAGACAAGACCAGCAACTCCCTTTAACCCATCATTCTCCGTACCAGCCACGCCCCCCGACCTGTATTTGGTTACTCGAAACTCGCCCAATATCTCACAGTCGCTTTGGGAGAACTTCCAGCCGGATCAACTGTTCCCTGACAGTACTGGAATCCCTAACGTCTCGCCATCGCAGACGCATCAAAGTATTGACCCTAGCGGATTGGGACATGTGCCAAGCGGAGTACCCCCAGCACAGTTCCAGCATCGTGGGAATGCTCAAGGCAATAGCAATGGCAACGGAAATGGTATAATGCCAGTCCCAGGCTTTGCCACACATGCAACTATGTGGCAGGGTAATTTCGACGGCGCTGGGCAGGATGGGCAAAGTCCGGATAGTTGGAGCACAGGATCAGCTGCAGGACAGCCAGTGCCGACGACGCTAAACGTTGAAGATTGGTACGTTTATCAGTTTACTTGGACAAGCATACGTAGAGCTAACAAGGCCTCAGGTTCCAATTCTTTGGCATTCAGGGTGACCCAAGTCAGCTGAACTTGGATGCCTTAAGCGGAGGTGTGCCGCCAAACATGGCTAACGCAACTACTAATAGCAACGAGAGGATGTAGTAGGTCATGTTCTAGGATAACTGAGAGTCGAAAATGCTTTTCCATATTTCGCGAAATTGCAGTTGAGCTATCGCATGTATTTGTAGTGATACATGTCGGGCGTTTATGAGGGAACAAAATGGTGCAGCATCTTGAAAAGAAGCGAATTAGTGGGGATCATGGTTCATGAAGTAGTCACAGTACCTTCAGTGGTCTTTCTTGTTATTGATAGGTTCGTCACCCGCGCAAACAATGAAAGGGGTTGAGCTCCACATGAGTGCATTGCCATTGGTGATATTGTTAGGCCTTGTTTGATACGATTGATCTTGATCACTGCTTAGCAGTTGATCAACACAATCGTAATGCGGCCTATCGTGGAAGACTTTGGCTTTTCGGCCGGGGAGGAAGAGATTGACAAGTGAGAACTATGTTCTCGGAAAATATGGTACAAGCACATATAATAGCAATTCGAGGTCGTCTTCTTCTGGTGCTTGGCAATCCCACCTCCATTAAAATATCAATAACCTGTCAGAGCGCCAAGCTGGCGGGTTCCTCTCTGGCGCCGTGACTGAGCCCACTGAAACCTAGAGAGGCTTGGAGGCGCGAGGTGTCCTGTTCGACTCATCACGGAGCCAGGAAGTGCCAGGTACTCTGATAAATCAATAGTAGGGAAGTCTCAGGCAGTTGAACCTACCGCAGTACTCCTAAAACACTCAACTCTCTCTCTCTCTCTCTCTCTCTCTCTCCCCCCCTCTCTCAAAAACACAAACAGCCATTTTTAAACTCTCATTCGCTGGTAAAGAACCGTTGGCCTGGAGGTTTACCTTGGGGCTGCTCCGCCTGTGCCAGCCAGCCTGGGCTTGTGGGACAAACAGGCTGAGCAGTTGAAACCCCCTTCATCGGGTCAACACCACAACTACCTTGTTCCCGCAGCGACCGATCTTTTCCTTCATCATCTTTGTACTTCGTAATTCGAACGACCAGCATCGTGGTACGACATCAACGAACACCCTCTTGCTTAGGGCGTGCTTGGAGAAGAAGCCCGGCGCAGCGCTAGCCCACTTGGTGACCAACCTGTACGTCACTACAAACAACGCCAGGTAGCTTGTCAGCCGCCAACGAAGCTCTCTTCCCATGACAAAGCCAGAAGGCGTCCACGTATTCCCCTCGATCTCGCGTTACGGCATACACCCCCCCTCTAGATTCTACCCGCCATTCACGGATGCACAACTACCGGCTGAGCCGCGAGCCGCCGCCGTCGACACGTTCGCGGTTAGCATGACTGGCCGACCAGGCTATGCAGCGAGGCCGTCGTCAGGGCTAGCCGCCGGGCCGGCTGCTGCTGGCGACGCCGTTCGGCCGCGGAATCGCCGCCTCATCAGACTCGACGACGACAAAACTACCGACAACGACGACCGGGCACGGTCGACAAACGGCGGCGGCTTGCTCTCGGCCTTTGAAGCGTCGGTTGCGCAACCGCCCCAATCGCAGTACGGACGCGGCGGCAGCCGTCCCACCGACACCGCCGCGGGTGGTAGCACCGCCAACATTGGTCAATTCCTCGGCGAATCGCTGACGCAGAGCTGGTCTTCTGTCCAGGGATTTGCCACCTCCATCCTGTCCGGGCCCAAGGACAGGAGGGGCGTGGCGGGCCCGCACGACTCGCGATCACCAAACGGACGAGTACCTGCCGCCGCCACCCAAGCACGCAGACGAACCAGTAGTATTAGAGGACCGAAGTCTTGGGGCCCAGCGGCCGCACCAAGCCTGGCAGACGTGGCTGCAGGCTCGCTTGCGGAGCGAGACGCAGCGCTGAGAGCGGCCAAGACCGCGAGCGTTTTGGAGAGCCACGAAGGTGTCAATGGTGGCCTGGATGCGAGTGGGCGACACAAGCGACGCAACTCAGACGATGTTTCCACGACTGAACAACCGCCCGATGACTACTTGGTCTACATTCACCATGTGCTGCCAAACGATACGTATGCGGGAATCATCTTGCGATACCAATGCCGAGAGGACGTCTTCCGGAAAGCCAACGGACTATGGTCGCGCGATAGCATCCAAACACGGAAATGGCTCACCTTACCGGTTGATGCTTGTGAAATCCGGGGCTGTCCATGCGACCCTCCAGCTCCTGCATGCGCGGAGCAAACAGACCTACTGGCACCGTCGCCGGCACCATCAAATAACTTGAAACCCGAGCACGATGATTATTTCAGCTCACTATCAGACATCGATGAGAGTGATGCGCAGCAGAGTGAACGAGACAACAAGCCGTGGAGCCATGTTCGCTGGGTCCGAATAGAATCCTTTCAGACACCTGTAGAGATTGGGCGAGTCTCTCGCCAATCAATGGGCTACTTCCCTCCTCGTCGGAAGAAAAGTATCTTGTCGGTATTGTCAACACCGCGCCAAAGCTCAGACTTTTCTGTTGGCATGCCCGGGCCCTCTGAAAACCATCCGACACGACGGCAGAGCTCGCTGAGCAATCAACCACAATCATCATTGACACCAGTGTCATCGCGAAGCAGAGGGGGCAGCGAGGCAGCAGAGCACAGGCCAGCTTGGATGCGAAGGCCCGGAGGAGTCGGAACCATGGGCCGCAACGTTCGAGCCCCGGGACCGGACAAGGACTCGCTGAATGCCTGGGCAAACAAGCACTTTCCGGGGCTCAACATTGACCAGCTGCCGTCCATGTCCGTCATGGGCTCCGAGATTGCGCAGTTTGGATTCCGGGGCAGCGGAAACACCCCCATCGTTGAGGGTTCCTTTAAAAATGGCGGTGGCCGCGGGGATGCCGCCGCGCTCAGTGGCAACCACGGCACGGGGCTGGATAGGGCGGCCGCGGCCGTGGAGACTTGGCTGCGCGGAGCGCTTGCGAAGCGGCCGATGACGCCGCTCCTGCGGCCTCGGTCCAAGAATGGCGTCGCTGGAGTCGGTAACCCGGACGGCGGCGGCGACTTGATTGAGCTGACGGATACGGGCAGCGACGACGGCCGGCTACTCCACCATGAGCCCCTCAGCAGTCTTCTCGAGCCGTTGGCGATTAGCAGCACGAGCAGCCATAGCCACGGAACAGGAACCGCCACGATTAGGAGCAGTACTGGCGGCGCGGGCAAAGGGAAGAAGGCGGAGTAGATAGTCTGACAACTGGCATTGACAACAGGGTTTGCTCGAGCGTGAGCGGAGATGATACCCAAGATTCCTCTTGTTCACCACCAAGGAGGGGACCTCACACACATTTCTTTTTTCGTTCGTTGCGTCTCATTTTCTATATAAATCGGCTTACTCAAACTTTTCTTCTGTTTGAATTTTTTTATCTCTTCGACACGGCGTTTTGATGGCAAGATGGCATACTTATGAAGGCATTATTCGCCTAGTACGCGCACGTATAGTGTAGCGCTTACGCGACGCAACGGGCATCTGTTATGTATTTCGTTTTATTAAAGATTCAAATCATTTATTAAATGTACTTGTAATAAGTGAACAGCCAACTAGCATATTTGTATAAAAGGTGGCAAGTCTGAGCAAGAGAGTCGTTGCTGACTAACCTGAACTACCTATGTATGTATGTTATGCTAGCATACCTCCCTACCTAGAAGAACTCTGAGCTTGAGGACTTGCAACGACGAATCTCTCGTCACCAACCCGTCGACGGGCCGGTAGACGCGACCCAAAAGGGCGGAAGACAACGACACGACGCTATAAATGGGAGAAAGAAACGACCAAAATTAATCAGCCATGCCGATCTGTATCGAGTGCCGGCACCCGGTCAAGACGCTATGGACGCAGTACTCGGGCGCGGGCGACAAGGCGAGCGGCCACAACATCCGGCTGACGGTCTGTCGCAAGTGCGGGCGCTTCTGTGACAAGTATGTCGAGCACGACTTTGTCGTTCTCTTCATCGACCTGGTCCTCATCAAGCCACAGGTACGCGCGCGAGGGAGAGCAGTCGCGGCACTCGCCGCAGTCGCAGCAGCCACAGACAAATGCGTGACGGACAAGGGCTGACGGGAAGAACTTCCTTGCAGGTCTACCGACACTTACTACATAATACGCTAATGCGCGATGGCGACCGATTCGATGTATGTTTGTGAAGGACATGCTTCTAGGAGAGAAGAGATTGGAAGCAAAAATGCTAACAGGCACGGCGCATGCCATGACAGCCTTCAATCGTTCGGCTCGGCGTCTTACTGCTACTGTTTGATGTCTACCTCACATGGGCGCGCATAGAGAACCAAGGACTGCCCGGCGGGACGCCAGGCGAGAGCCCCTTGGGCCAGCTCGCGCAGCAACCCATTGTGATTCAATACTTCTTCTTTTGTAAGAGCCTCCCGGTTTCCCTCCTCGGCTGTTCTCAAAAGGCGAAGAGTAAAACCAGCCCCGCTAACCCCTTGAACTAGTGATGCTATGCACGCTTTCGACTGTCGCCTTCCACGTCGTGATCCGGTTCCTCGTCGCGTCGTCGCTGTCGCCGCTCGTCGCCCTCGGGGTACTGCCGCGGTACGGGCGGCCCAACTCGGTGTCGACGGCGCTGCTCGTGTCTTCGTCGACGAAGCTGTTTCCGATCCTGCTCGTCATCTGGGACTACGATGTGCCCGCGGCCGCGACGTCGCTCGGCTGGGCCGTCGTCGCCAACAACGTCGAGGCGCTGCGCATCCTGCTAGACTGCCGCTACTACGTCGCCTGCCTGCTGGCGCTGGTCGGCGCCGCGGCGCGCTGGTCGGTCGCGCGGCTCGTGCTCGTCGCGGTATTGGGGCTGCGCGGCGCCCATGACAACCCCATCTCCATCGACGCGGGCATGGCGGCGGACGCCAGGGCGCTCTGGGGCGCGATCACGTACGTCACGAATTGGGCGGGACGGCTGGCTGTCGGGTGACGATGAAAACAAACAGACGCGCGCATGTAATTTATAAACACATAATAACTGGAAATGTATATTATATTCTTGGTGAACCCATGCATACGAGTGTTTCTGGCTTGCACAGCCAGTTCTCTTGCTCCCTTCACTCTGTGCTTGCTTTGAAAATATACACAAAGTTTATAAAACGCCCATGACAAAAATAAAGAAGCTCTTTCAATGATTTGCATTTGTAGTCATACACGGGCGGCCACTCTTGGTTGGCCGCCTTTTCCCTTCGTCCCAAATCGTTCTCTCGGTCGTTCGCTCCTCCCACTTAGTGCTCTAGGAACTGTTCTCGCAGGTCGTGTCGCTTCGGCCGGATCAGGGGATGCAGCTGCGCCAGGAACGTGATCGCCCACATGAGGTAGCAGCTGACGATGGCGAGGATGAGCGACGAGCGCCAGAGTCTAGGAGGCAGCAGGTTAGCAGGGGGGTTGGACGGGCGGGCGGCTGTCGAGAGGAGGGGAGGGGAGTGGCTGCATACACTTGGTTCTCGCCCTTGGGGGAGAGGAACCATGCGGCGGCGCACATGGCGACGATGACGAAGAGGCCGATGAAGACGGAGTACCTGCGGGAGAGACAGCGTTAGCACGAGGTGGGAACAGAGTGTCGGCGGGGGAGAGGCGGCGAGCTTTGGTGGTGTCAATGGGCTTACCCTTGCGCCATTTTTATGTGTGTATTCGAGCTGCCTTTTTGTGAGGTCTGGCCGTGTAGAAGTGCTGCCGCTCGAAGGGTTGGGGATTTGGTGATGCTGCCTGCTGGTGTTGCTGGCAGCAGCTACGTAGACGCTGGCCGTGGGTTGCTAGTGACGGAGCTTCAAAGCTTAGTCATCACGAATTCTTGCCGCCTTCCAAGAACAACCATTCAGGGATGACGGGTATTGATTGGAAATACTACTTTGGTGTATGATTTCTGCGAAAAAGTGAATAAAATAATCGGCTTTAAGTTGCGGATATTGCGGAACGTGGTGCACGTCCGAGACGGCTTCGCGCCTCGCCTTTGGCTACCGATGATGGATGCATGCAATTAAGTGGGCTAGAGAGCCAGCCGATGGTCGTAACGCCGGGAACTATCGTGTGCTATGAAATCACTGACAAATCGCTTTGGCACACAACTTGCCGTCCTGTCCCGAGGCTGGCAGATGTACTTAATATTCTGCTCCCTCACGACTTTTACAAAATCCAAAAGGGCTTTTCTGCATCAGCTTCCAGAAGCTCAGTCCACATCTACGATCTACACATTGCACAGTCAACGGCAAGCACACATATCACAGCAACGATGGCGCCAACATTGCTCTGGATCGGGCTCGGCAACATGGGCCGTGTACGTTATTGACATTCCCTTGAGCCGCTGTGTATCCTGCCGCTAACAGCCAAGACTGTAGGCCATGTGCAAAAACATTGTCGAAAAGGGCAATCTTGACTCGCCGCTGCTCATCTATAACCGCTCCAAGCAGCGAGCTGTCGACTTGAGCCAGAAGCTGCCCGCCGGCAAGACGGAGGTCGTCGACTCGCTCGTTGACGCCGTCGCCAAGGCCGATGTCATCTTCAGCTGCGTCGCCAACGACGATGCCGTCAGCGAGACCGTCTCCACGGCCCTGCAAACTGACGTCCACGGCAAGCTCTTCGTTGAATGCTCCACGATCCACCCGGACGCGACGCAGGCGACACGCTGAGGCCGGACAGCTCATCGCCGTGCTCGCCGGCCCCGCGGCGAGCGTGGACCGCGCGCGGCCCTGGTTCGTGGGCGTGACGGCGCGCGCGGACGTCGACATGTCCGACCTGCCGTACGGCCGCGCGACGACGCTCAAGGTGATCGGCAACACCTTCGTGCTCAACATGGTCGAGCAGCTCGCCGAGGCGCACGTGCTGGCGGAAAAGTCCGGGCTGGGCACGCGGCCGCTGCACGACCTCGTCGGCGCGCTGTTCCCGGGCCCGCACGCGGCGTATAGCGAGCGCATGCTCTCGGGCGACTACCACCGCCGCAGCGAGCCGCTCTGGGCGGTCGACCTCGCGCGCAAGGACGCCCGCCACGCGAGGGCGCTCGCGGAGGCGGCGGGCACGACGCTGGCAAACGTGGAGACGGCGGACAGGCACCTGGCGAGTTTGAAAGAGCATTCCGGCCCGTCGGGGGATATCGCGGCCATCTATGGTGTGGTGCGCATGGAGGCTGGCCTCAAGTTTGAGAATGATGCTTAAGAAGGGAAGTTGGAGGAAGAACAGATGAAGTGACGAGATAGTTTGAAACGAAAAATGGGCCTCGGCAGCCTGTCAGCCAATAGGAGACCAGAGGCTATGAGCTTGGAACGGCGAAAAGAAATACGTACGTTTCATTTACTAATAGAAAACACGATGTATATTGGAATATTGCTCCTTGGAGTCAGCATACGGAGTACATGTTAGTGACTGCAACCAGCTGCGACGTGGGATTGGCTCCTAGGCCTCCTGCATATATGCCTCAGCTACATTGATTACGTGCGCCACGGCATATTTGGGTATCTATATGTATGTATGTGTATATATTCAAGCCGACCTATCTCATATATTTTGCAGACCCTCCTTGTTTAATTAATCAAAACCACATGTTTCCATATTACATCTTCGGAGCTAGATCGGCACGCCTCGGCAGTGACCGTCTTCTCCGGTTGGTTCAGGGCGTTGGATAGCAAAAAGTCCACTAAAGTCCACAGAAGAAGCCACTGAAGCGCTCTCTGACCGCTGCACAGATTAGCGGCCCGCCTTGACTCACCCACCCAACTTACACCAAAAAACCTTTGGCTTTGCGCTCCTGCCCAAACCAAACTCACTCTTACCCCAACAATTAATATGCCTGGCGTTTTCTTGAAAAGCGAAACCGCATGAGAGACGACAAACGGTGGGTGTCCTAAGAAAGCTGGCCGCAGCCAAGCGTGTGCCCGTCGTCCTCGCGCCAACGAGATAAGGCCAAAAAATACTGTGTTTCCCAAAGTTAAGTCCCGTCTCACCTCTGACTGGAAAACCCCCCGGTCACCGCCTCACAACAACACCATGGCCTGGGGAACTGCTGGGAAAAAGGTAGCTTTGGGCTGCGGCTCCGGCATCTCGGCGGCGAGCGCACGCTCCGTGGGAGAGAAGAGGCGTCTCGCGCACAGCATGGCCAAACAGACAACCATCAAACCACTCGCAGCGGCTACAACGACTACGACGACCGTGGGCAGCGCTGACGCAGGGAGGCCCATGTCATCATCCTCCGTGGCTAGAGTCAAGAAACAAGCCCTAGAACGAGTATTTCTACCGCTCTCGCATGCTTTGCTGCCACATAGCACTGACCAATATCTAGGATGTCATTGTCTCGGTGCTGGAGTCCTCGGCTACGAGAAGGGATGCCAAAGGCTATCTGCAAAAGTACGCCGCCAATCAACCAAGTAAACCGGAATCGGACAAGACTACGGGCCTTCAGAACTCCATCAGTGCCCCTGCCGTGTCAGAGCCCATCAATATCGCCGTCATGATGCTTCGCGATCCGCAGCATCTCGTCCAGAGCACACTCGATGGCATTGCCAGGACCATTGCGCAGCTGCGGGCGCTGGGCCTTCTCAGCGCTGTTGTCATCGAGTGCACTGGAGACAGTAGCCGGCAGCTCTTTGACGACGAGGCGCTTCGGCTCTGCGAAGCCATCGACAATTTTGGCAAGCCCGGGGCCAAACTTATCAGCGACATCTTCCTCGGCAAGACCTCGGACGCGCACCAGCAGCTTTCAGCATACTCCAACCCCATCAAGGTCAGCGATCGCGGCCTGCTGAAGCACGCATTTCAGCACGAGCTTATTCCCGTCGTCACGTCCGTGTCTGCACGCGACGAACTCCACGCGGCGGAACCTGCCAGCGCGGAGCAGACGGTGCTGGCGTTGACAGCGTTCCTGTCTGGCCTTCAGTTCGGGAGGCCCCCTCTTCCGGATGCGAGCGGCAACAGCAAGAACATCTGGCGGCCGGAAAAGATTGCTTCGGTGGAGCGTGTCATTTTACTTGATGCGCTGGGCGGCACGCCGACCTCTGGTCGTGGTGTCGGCGTCTGCCATCGCTTTATCAATCTTGAGCAAGAATACGACAGGCTTCGTGACCAGCTCCTAGGGCCAGAGGGGTCACCAGCGACGGGAAGCCCCAGCGGCAAGCCGACTACGAACAACCACGTCTCAAATCTGACCCTGGCCAAAGAAACGCTGACCATCTTGCCGCCGTCATCCTCGGCCCTTATCACCACGCCTTTGGCGGCCGCAAACACGAGTCCGAGCTACTCGGAGCCCCGGTCAATAAAGATGGAGGAGAGTCAATTAGGATTCGATGGCATGGTGACTACACGCAAGAAGCACAACCCGATTCTTCACAACCTCTTGACGGACAAGCCAATGTATTCGTCATCGCTGCCGCTCCAGCGCATCCAAGACGGCGGCTACAGAGTAGACCCGAGGGACTCTACGGCGGCTACGTTGGTCAAGAGGGGCATGCCATTAACCATCTATCCAGATCCGCGGGAGAACCCTTGGCGGCCACCTCAGCCCGGCGCACCGCGCTGCCGGCTGACAGACAAGAACGTTGACCTGCCGCGGCTGGTGCACCTCATCGACGACTCCTTCGGGCGCAAGCTGGACGTCCAGCACTACATGGACCGCGTCAAAGACAACCTCGCGGGCATTATAATCGCCGGCGAGTACGAGGGCGGCGCGATCCTAACGTGGGAGAAGCCCGAGGGCGTGACGGACCAGGAGGCATATGAGCGTGGGCTCTGGGTGCCGTACCTCGACAAGTTCGCGGTGCTCCGGTCGCGGCAGGGCAGCGGCGGCGTGGCGGACATTGTATTCAACGCCATGGTGCGGGACTGCTTCCCCGAGGGCGTCTGCTGGCGCAGCCGCAAGAACAACCCGGTGAACAAGTGGTACTTTGAGCGCTCAGTCGGCACCATCAAGCTCTCCGACTCCAACTGGGCCATGTTCTGGACGACGCTGGGTTTGTGCGGGCGGCAGCCGAAGCTGCAGCATTACGAATCCGTGTGTCGTAGTGTGCAGCCGAGCTGGGCAGACAATAATCATATTGTAGACTAGAGAGGAGGCATGGGGTGGTTCATTGGGTGGCGTTTTGAGGTGCACGGTGAATTTTTTCATCACTTAATTTTCTAATTTTACCCAATCTTTTGGATTGAGTCTTGGGAGCCTGGAGTTTCTCATCTATGAATCCATTTACTCAGTATTTACTGGCAACAAACAGCCTGGAGTGAGATCCTACCTCCAAGTATCCGTCATTGGGAACGCCACGAGTCGCCACGGTCCGTGTTATCGTGCATGGCAGCCGTTATCATTGCTTCTGTCATGTAACATGTCCAGAAACGGACGTCATTGCATCACGTGCAGGTGACGAAAGCTACTGTAGCAGAAAGCTTGGCTCGCTTTTTAGGCGGCCCGTCAGCGCTGTTATCGGGGCTGCCTGCTGTCGCTGTGGCCACTGTGGAAACCCCTGGGTGGATCACCCTCTGCGCGCCATTTCGCTTGTGACGCTGTTCCTTCATCGAAACGTTAGTAGTAGCAACTGAGCAGTACAACTTTGCCAAATACGACCCCTCTGCGCATTTTCCGATTCGCCTTCTATACCCTTTTATCCAGTTTCAGTTGGTCATTCTTCTTCATTCAAGATGGACTTCTCCAAGTTTGGCAAGAATCTCTCGTATGTCTCCGAAGCTGTCGCTATCGCTTGGTTGCGCAAGCTTCCCTCCCCCCACGTTGGCAATCAGGGTCAAGCTCTAGCTAACACGATGCCGCGTTTGCGCTCCGGCAGCAACTTTGGCGCGCAGATCACGCCGTTTGCGTCGCGCACCTTCCAGTACACCAAGGAACAGTTTGGTCAGACCGAGGACAAGGTGGGGGGTGCACGCCTGGATAACTCGCCTGCAGCCAGCCGTTAACCGTTGGCGCATTACAGACTCAGCTGCCCGCCGACTACATCGACCTCGAGAAGAAGGTCGACGCCCTCAAGCAGGCTCACCAGAAGATGCTCAATGTTACGTGAGTGATATTCTCGCAGCGAATGCTTCGCGACTCGCTACAGTCGTGTCTCTTTCTTCCGCTAACGGCAAGCTCGCCTCTCGTCCCCGGCCGCAGCCAGCAATACTCCAACGAAGCGTACGACTACCCCCCGAACGTGAAGGAAACATTCCAGGATCTCGGACGCACCGTCAGCGAGAAGGTCTCCCTCCTGTCTTCTGCGACTAGCACCGCCGAAGCTCAGGCTGCCCTCGTCGCTCCCCCATCGGCCAAGCCCCAGCCGAAGACCTTTAGCCATGCCATTGCCCGCGCCAGTCTCGCCTCCAGCCAGACCCTGCACCAGAACCACACCGGTGCTGGCGAGGACCCTCTGGCCACCGCTCTCGAGAAGTACGCTCTCTCCATGGAGCGCGTCGGCGAGGCTCGTCTGGCCCAGGACTCTCAGATCCAGAGCCGCTTCCTCGCCGGCTGGAACACCACCCTCAACACCAACATCATGTTCGCGACTCGCGCCAGAAAGAACGTTGAAAACTCCAGACTCTCCCTGGATGCAGTCAAGGCTCGCGTCAAGGGTACCACTTTCAAGCTTGGCCAGGGCTCTTCTGCTGCTGCTCACGAGGAGCCCGAGCTCAGCCCCGAGGCCCAGGAGGAGATTGAGAAGGCCGAGGACGAGTTTGTCACGCAGACCGAGGAGGCTGTCGGTGTCATGAAGAACGTGAGTTAAGTGAAAGGTGCAGTTGTACCCCCGGAAGCTAACGATTTAGGTTCTTGACACTCCTGAGCCGCTGCGCAACCTGTCCGAACTCATCAATGCCCAGATTGAGTACCACAAGAAGGCTGCTGAGATTCTCGGCGAGCTTGCCCCCATTATCGACCAGCTGCAGACTGAGCAAGAGGTATGAACTGCATTTTAATGTGGCTCACTCTTCGGTGCGGCTAATCAACCATATAGGCGAACTATCGCAAGGGTCGCGAAGATGCTGCCTAAGTGTGAGAGGTTTGTATGAAGGGCGGATATACGACGGCAGGTCTACCAGTAGACTTGCCCCCGAAAATTTATATTTTCTTTGTTTTTTCTTGTTAACTAGGCATCAAAGGCTTGCCTATACAAAGTGGCCAGCTATGACATGGCTCTGTTCCACCACAGTGGACACTTGTAACTCGATCACAGTATTGTAGCAGTGTCGCTTGAATAGGCGCTGCATGGAGCGACAATGTAAAGTTCAATTCCATTACATCAAATAAATGCAAAACCAAGAGCATTACTTGCCTTCAGCCTTTTCATGCTGTTCACATTTGCAAGAATGGTTCACCTCCATTGACAGTGAGGACAGCACGTGATCCTGCACGTGATGCACGCTTGGTAATTGCTCAACCTCATTGGAGGCTAGGCTAAGGCAATGAGCATAATCTCTGTGCAGACCGTTCGAAAGCCGATCCTCAACACAACGGCGACAGATTTTGCCAATTGCACTCGCCCAGCATGCGGCCAACATTTCGAGCGCTCGCGCGCTACCTTGAACCCGGCACGCCCACGGGGCTGACGGGCCTGTGGACGCACGCCACCCCCCGATCGACGCTCCTCTTCCTCTACGGCAGCACCCTCGAGAAGCTGCAGTCGCTGCCGGCGACCTCCCTATACCGCCAGTCCGTGGAGGCGGTGACGAAGCACCGCCTGGCGCTCGTCGAGCAGTTCACGCCCCCGGGCCACGAGGAGTGGGCGGCCAAGGCGCGGGAGCTGGTGCGGGAGGGCGGCGCGGCGGGCGCGTCTTCGTGGTCGGCTCCAAGCACCTGCCCGGCGACGAGCGCGTCGAGGAGTGGGACGGCGAGGAGAACGAGGGCGGCGAGCTCGAGGGCATCCGCACCCCGGCGGAGCGCGCGGACCAGGCCGTCTGGTCGGAGCGCAAGGCGCTGGAGGACCACGACAAGATCGAGTGGGCGGACGAGCCGCAGCTGACGGCGGACCAGTGAGTCTTGACCTGCTGACCGGTGCTGCGGATGGGAAACTGATGACGTTTGTAGGATCCACGAACTCGAGCAAAAGATTGGTGCTGGCCTCATCGAGGAGGTCATTGAGGTTGCCGAGGGCGAGCTGAAGATTATCGAGGCCATGGAAAAGGCCAAGGTGTAAGTTTCGTCCCGAGGACGAGCTCCGGCATGATCTGCTTTGCTAACGTTTTTGTGCAGCTGGGAAGATCTCGAGGAGAAGCCCGTCGAGGGCCAGTGGACATACTTCGACCGAACCTGAACACAATAACCTGGCTGCTGGCGTTTCCTTTTAATGTCGTTTGTAAAGTAGATGGAACGAGCTGTACATCAACGGTGGAATACGTTGGCTCAATAGACGAAAAATCATATTACACTTTGTGCGTTGCTGTCTGATGGGCTTGCACCAAGACCAGATGTAGATCTATTTTGCTGTTATGTGATTTTGCTCTGGCAATCCGCTGCTACGGTGGTCGCCTTCATCTGTACGTAGATGCCTACTAACGCTACTTTTTTGGCCAAGTTCATCTCGCCTGAACAAGGTACTTCACCACTAATACCAAAATAATTAAGCCGTTTACTTAAATCTTTCCTTCTTAGCTTAAATACCGGATTTTCCAGGCATCCGCGGAGTGTGACCAACCCTGTGTTGCCAGACTGTGCGAATCATATCTACTAGGCCGCAGCTGCCAAAATTCAGATCCAGTTTCCACTCTTCAACTTCACATTCACATTCACCGCCATGAGCTGAACAAACGCCCAGTCGCACATCGCACATCGTCAAGGCGTATTTGAATCCATCAAATGACCCATCAGAATGGCAGGGAAGCGTAAACGCGATAGGGACCTCAGCCTCCCTCCGCCCTCGGCGCAGGCCATCAATCCACACAGCTACCCGCCAGCAAAGCTTGCACAGTTTGCCGTGGCAGGCCTCTCAGACACCGACGAAGACCCTGCCAAGGAGATAAAGGACTTTCCGCACCGTGGATTCAAGTACCAGCCCTCCGAACCGGCCTTGGAGTCCGATTACGATATAGGCCCCGAGGATGAGGGTGACGACGAGCCGGCCCCGGAGACGAAACCAAAGAGAGTGCCAGACGCGCATCAGCGGCACCTGGCTGTCCTCACCAAATCTATACACCAGCTTCTCGGCCAGGGCCATGTGGCAAAGGCGGCCCGCGCTTTCGGACTGGCGCTGCAGCTACGGCCGAGCTCGCGCCCTCTGGACCTTCGTCACGACAACCTGTGGGCCCTTGGAGCAGAGATAATCATGCGCGAAGGCGAGGAGTATCTCGAAGAAGCTCGGAGGAACAAGGATAGCCAGGATAAACAGGAATATGGGGGCACCCTTGGCACGGGAGACGGATTTCAAGTTCCTCCACCACGTTGGGGCTCAGCAGCCAACATGAACAAGTTGAGAGCATACCTCGAGACGCTGATCCGACAGCACCCATACGACCACAGGGCCCCCAAGAAGATCTCGGCGCTGCAATTCAACATTAGTCTGTACAGCTCCGAGGTTTACAACATCTACGCTGAGTACGCGGCCGGTCTCGCGGGGGCGGGGACGCAGACGGAGGACGAACCTCCAGTCGATGAAAGCCCGGTGCACGACTACGTCAACATGTCGCTGGAGACGCTGGATGAGGACCGGAGCTTCCACTTTACCGAGCCGCGCCGCCTGAAAGAACTTTCTTTGACCCCCCAGGACAAGATCCGGACGCAGACCCTAGGCGCTATCAAGACCGTGGCGGCACGCATGGACGCGCTCATGCGCGAGCTGCCGTACAGCAAGAACCATGAGATGCTCCGGTTGCGCGCCGCAGCGTCGCTGTTTATGGCTGATCTTGTGGTCCCAGCAGCTGGCGGTGCGGCGGCTGAGGATCCGCAAGTCGTCGACGATCAGCGTCGCCGGGACATCGAGGCGGCGAGGCAGGTGCTGCGGACGGTCCTGGGGAGCGGAGGGATCCTTGACGACGCGTCGCGGGCGCTGGTCGAGGCGGACGAAGCCGAAGAGAGCTTGCGCCTGGAGGCTCAGATTTACTCTGCCACACCTACCCGCGAGACTTGAGGTACGGAAGTGTCAGAAATTACACCTGAGTTGAAGCGCTGCGGTTTTCGTAATGCCACAGCTTGCCCATTCAACAACAATCAGTCTGCAAAAAGTGGTTGCAGTTTTCGCGGCACCTTCAATCATCGCATGCAGAAATGCTTGCCAAATAATAGAAACCCGGACGGCGGGCTCTTCTGCATGGTTGCTGGCGCTGAAGAGCTGGCGATGGGTCCGAACAGAGCGCCAGGCTAATCCAGGCCTTTAGTTGACAGCCTTGTTTGCATATACGGCTGCCGCCACTACGCTATTTCCAGAAGGAAGCAAGAGGTGTTCCCCGTTCCTGCGTGGACGAATTCTCGGGGATTGTCGTTTACGGCATAGGATTACGACGACGCCTCGCGGCTGATGATGACAGCCTCAAGGCGAACGTCCCCCTCAGCTAACCCCCCCAGCTGCCTCATTCGGCCGTTTAGCCTCGTTTATCCCCCTTTGAACGAGTTGCACGGGGCTTATATATTGCTCATGGCCCCCTTTCTCCCCGAGGTTGCTCTTTGCTACTGGGTCACGGTAGCTGGACGATCATATACTTCTTACACGGCACCAACAGCCACGTCACCCAACCAACCAACCCACAAAATGTCTATTGACTTTTCATCCGTCTTCAGTTCGGAGCGGCTCATCTACGAGCCCTTCGACAATGCCGACGAGGACACCAAAAAGTTCCTCTACCACCAGATGGCCATGAATCCGGAGATCAAGGGCCTCGACAGCATTCAGGCCTTCACCCCACTGTCCAAGACTAGCTACTACGAGTCACTGGGCCACTGGAAAAACAACTTGATGAACGTCATCTTCTGCCTAAAGCCCGACGGCTGGGACGAGCTCTCGCGCGACTACACCCGCGAGGAGCACGCTAAGGGTGGCCTGCGCGGCGTGCCTGTTGGCATGATGTGCCTTGCAGCGCTTCCTGCGTCGCTCGCGCACCACCGCCGTGCGGGTGTAGGCATGTCGGTCAGCGCGGCGCATCAGGGCCGCGGCTACGGCACCGAGGCGCTGCGGTGGATCGCGGGCTGGACGTTTGACTACGGAAACATGCACAGCCTCTTCCTGCAGACCAGCAGCCTGAACGAGAAGGCAATTCACGTCTACAAAAAGGTTGGCTTCGTGGAGGATGGCCGGGAGCGCGAAGCACTGTACCTGGCGGGAAGGTGGTTTGATACTGTGCACATGTCGATCCTGGAGCAGGATTGGAGAGCGAATCAGGGAGGCGAGAAGAGTTATTCGGAAGTTTGATCTGTTAGTTATAGAAGTATGGTCACAATTTCATGACGAGAAGCATAAGCAAGCTTTCGAAGGCCGTCATGTTGAGGTCTTGCATCCAACTACGCGCCATAGGAAGGGGTTACAGCGGAGTTAGCAGCATTGAATGCATGTATTATCAAGCCAGACTAAAATCGATAGAAACTATGAAATTTTTTAACAACATTTTGACGTGAGTTGCAAGACACGATGCAGCTTCAATCGAAATGAGCGAAGGGCGACCGTCCAACATGGCGTGTAATATCAACCCGCAAGTAGCAAGCAATTGAAACCCCCGACACGCCTTTCTCTTCAATCATACAAGATCAACTTTGCCAAGATCGGCGCAGGCGTACTTGGCAGCAGCCGCCACGGTATCCTTCCAGACATGAAACTCGGCGTCGTTCCGGGGTGCATAAAACAGCGTGTATCCCCAGCCCAGCAGGGTGCCGCTGAGGCGGTGGCGCTGGCCCCAACCGGCCTCGATGAGGCGGCGCGAGTCGGCCAGCGAGAGCACGAGGTGCGTGCTGCCGTCCGGGGGGTGCACGTGCGCGACCTCGCCGCGGGTCCGCTGCAGGTGCCTGGGCCGGACGGCCTCGCGGTCCTTGTGCAGCTGGAGCGCCGGCACGGGGCCCTCGAGCTTGGACAGCTCGAGCTGCAGCAGCGTCGGGTTGGTGTGGGCGAGCGCCTCGAGGTGGCCGGCCATGCGTGCCTTCATGGCGGCCGACGCGGCGTCGCTGACCTGGCGCTGCGGCGCGGTGAAGCCGGGGATGGAGGGCCGGTGGCCGGCGCGGGCGGGGAGCGGCGCGGCAGGGAGGAAGGACTCGGCGGCGTGGGGGCCGGTGCGGGCAGCCTCGATGGCGAGGTCGTAAGGTGCTGGTACGAGAGTGTCCTTGCGGCTCTTGCGGGTGAGCTTGAGCTGCGTGCACCACCCGCTGAAGTTGCCGGGCAGGCCGTGGTCGCCGAGGGCGCAGTAGGCCCGGTAGTCGCGATAGGCAACAACGAGGAGGGTAGAGAGGGCGACGGCCGCGCCGGCCACTGCATATTGTGTCGTGGACATTGTGGTCAAGACTGGTTGGTATGCGTCGATGATGAAGAATTTATTATGCGGTGTAAGTGAAGGTGAATGAGGCGGAAGGAGGTGATGGCATGGCTGAAGAGGAGAAATACGAAAAGACGCGGCGTATCTCGAGTTAATATACTTTTTAAAAAATTCTTGTTAAAATAAAAGCAAAACCAAGACGCGTAATCAACACCGTAGGGCATGATATCACGACGACGTTGTTGCTTGGTCGGATATGCAGATTGCCTAATTGGGAATATTTTGAAGCTCGTATGTCCGAGGCGAGCGACGACCCGATAAGGCACGGCGTGGCAACGGGAGTGTTGCACGGAACCTAAGCCGGCCAAGTTTGGAGAAGTGGCTATTTTTAGGGCAATTAGAAATGAATCATACATGGTTCGACGGATCTATTCGAAAATCGAGGCAAGTCCATTATGTGTCAAAGGGTCGCAAGAACGTTGTAGGTCCTCGGGAATATGCTCGCTCAACAACTTACCAGCTGATGAACATGTGGTAGACCATGGCGTGAATTTTCGCGACTGTTCTGAGCACTTCAGTCGTCATTGAACTAAGAGGCTTCCTCAGTTACGGAGGGTGGCATCCCGTCAGTCGGTCATCTACACATAGCCCGGTTGGTGGGTTGTTGGCTGGAGACCGATGCTGAACTCGATCATCTCACTTCGCTGCCTGGATAGCTACTTTCTGCTGCTTTAGTTTTGTAATTGGTACTATGCATGCATTCTCATAACGATTTTCATTTTACCCCACCCACTCTTGTTTGTACACTGTACCATAACTCACACTATGGAGGAGAGCAAGAGCAGTATACGTACATACGAACCCGTCACGGATACGCCAGGCCGATGATGACGATTTTTGTTCCCTTTTGTTTTTTCTTTCTACTTGAATGAATTAATTAGTTAATTAATTTTTTCTTTTACCTTTTTGCGACACATGCTTCTGCTTCTTCTTCTTCTGCGTGGTGTATTGGTTTGTTGAGTACGGCCGTTCCGGATTGTCGCACCGGACCGTCGCGGATATTTAACGGGTACATGCTGTACATAAAGACGTTAATAATAAGTAGTCCTTATTATAGCCCAATTTTATTTCGAATAACAATTAGCTAACTGGTGGTCGTGTCGGCGGATCTGCTGGGCCATCAGTCACCCGTTCCATTTCTCATTTTGCGAGGCCGGAGCTCAGAAACCGAACCCCGATCACGTCATTCAGGGCTACCCCACAAACAGTAGGTACAATGTACAAGGCGATCGTGCCAGCAGAGAGAGTCGCTGTTTTGGCTGTCGTGTGAAGCTGCTGTAAATATTGAGAAAAATGGAATAAAATTTCAGCTGTAAATCGTCTCTGCTCTCTTATAGCTAATGCAGCAGATGTCTGTAAAAGAAATCTTTTTTTTTTTCCCCTGTTGGTACCTATCAATGGCCAGCATCCATCCCCAGCTCCGCTCCGCGGCCGACAGCGGGCGGTGACCCTGGCTGCTGGCGATTGCGTGCCAGCAACCTTGACTAACGGGTATACTTATTGAAAGCACCGTGGGCCACCAAACTCTGAGGTACCTACTGCTGCGACGCCTGTGGATTCCTGTGTGACTGAGACTGAGACCGACTGCCGTCTCTGTACTCAACACCACCACATTTTTTTCTTCACAGCTCAACATTTCCTACGTCTTTCTACTCCTACCATACCCATCCCTTATCATCTTCATTCAAACCTCGCATCTGTCCTGCGCCTGCTGCCATCTCGACCATCGGCATTGACTTGCGCTGGACGCACAATCCCAACCTACAAAACACACATCCGCACCCGCACGCTCACCCCTCCCGCCTCACATCCTTAACCCCGCCATGTCGTCCAACCCGCCTCCGGCTCCCACCCCCGGCGCCGGCGCCGCCGATGCCGTCAGCAAGATCACAGTCGCAGAGACTCTCAACCTGCCGCCCTCGCCCGCACCCTCGAGCCCGCGCAACGGCCGCCGCCGGTACGCCCTCGCCACCGAGCTTGTCTACACCGAGGGCAAGGATCAGTACGGCGCCTCGAGCATCCCAATCTACCAGTCAGCCACCTTTAAGCAGACCTCAGCCGCCGGCGGCCAGCAGGAGTACGACTACACGCGCTCCGGCAACCCGACCCGCACTCACCTTGAGCGCCACCTCGCCAAGATCATGGGCGCCCACCGCGCCCTCGCCGTCTCCTCGGGCATGGGCGCCCTGGACGTCATCACCCGTGTGCTTCGGCCCGGCGACGAGGTCATCACCGGCGACGACCTCTACGGCGGCACCCACCGCCTGCTGACCTACCTCGCCGCCCACTCCGGCATCGTCGTCCACCACGTCGACACCACAAAGGTCGCCGCCGTCGCCGCCCGCCTCTCCCCGCGCACCACCATGGTCCTCCTCGAGACGCCGACCAACCCTCTCATCAAGATCGTCGACATCCCCTCCATCGCCACCGCTGCCCGCGCCGCCAACCCGCGCGCCCTAATCGTCGTCGACAACACCATGCTCTCGCCCATGCTCTGCAGCCCGCTCGACCTGGGCGCCGACATCGTCTACGAGTCCGGCACAAAGTACCTCTCCGGCCACCACGACATCATGGCCGGTGTCGTCGCCTGCAACGACCCGGCCCTCGCCGACCGCCTCTTCTTCACCGTAAACTCCACCGGCTGCGGTCTCTCTCCTAACGACTCCTTCCTCCTCATGCGCGGCGTCAAGACCCTCGCGATCCGCATGGACAAGCAGCAGGCCAACGCCCAGGCCATCGCCGAGTTCCTCGAGCAGCGTGGCTTCCGCGTCCGCTACCCGGGCCTCCGCTCCCACCCCCAGTACGACCTCCACTGGTCCATCGCCCGCGGCGCCGGCGCCGTTCTCGCCTTCGAGACCGGCGACCCTGCCGTCTCCCAGCGCATCGTCGAGGCCGCCCGCCTCTGGGCCATTAGCGTTAGCTTCGGCTGCGTCAACAGCCTCATTAGCATGCCCTGCCAGATGAGCCATGCCAGCATCGACGCCAAGACTAGAGCCGAGCGCCAGATGCCCGAGGATATCATCCGTCTCTGCGTCGGTATCGAGGATGTCAACGACCTCATTGACGACCTGTCTCGTGCTGTAGGTTTCCCTTCCCTTTCGCCTCCGCTTAGGGCTGTGTCTAACAAATCTTCATCTAGCTGGTGCAAGCCGGTGCCGTCACTGTCACTCTAGATGGATTCCACGCCACTGGTGAAGCGGAAAAGCTTGGACAAACACCCCTGACTGCCGAATAAACGCTTCCTTTTCTGGCAACGACTGTCAAGTCATCACCCATGTAGAATTTTTCATGACACTGCAATTCGGCTCAGGCGGAGGTTCATCTCTTTGTTTATTTCCCTTTTATTGCGTTTAACCATCACTGGCGTTGACTTACTGGAGCAATTGGCACCCAAAATATACATATACCGTTCAAGAAATAGATGACTCTTCATGACCTTTTTTTTCCATTCAAGTGCCCAGTGAACTCTGATGCTTCTACTTCTTCTTAATGCTGTCTCTTTTGAGTTTTCATTCTGCCTCCTACCGCAGTCTCTCCCTTTCTCCCTTACTTCGCCCACCGCTGCAGAACTAATGCCGTGTTGGAGCTGCCCACCACGACGCACCACTCGCCACCGGGACTCCACGCCGCTTGCCGCCCGACAAACGTCGACGCCGACGACTCGGTGCGGTGGGCGCTGATGGGCTCGTGTGGATCCTCCGTGCTGTACTTGGCCGCCCAGGATTCGAGCGTCTCCGCGCTCAGTCCCGGCGTCGCTTTCGCCGCACCGCTGGCCGGTCCCGGCTCACCGTGGCCGCCCCGCGACGACGACGTCGTGCTGACCGACGCGGCCCCGGCGGCACCCGCGCGCTTCTCCTTGACGCCTTTGATGCGGCCGTACATGTCGGCGCGCTGCCGGGGGATGATGGGCTTCAGCCAGCTGGGCAGCACCGGCGGCTGCGCGGTGCGCTCGCGGTCCCGCAGCGCGCTCATGACCTCGCGGTAGGCGACGAGGCGGTGCAGGTCCCAGAAGAGGATGTTGCCCCCGGCGTTGCAAAAGGCCAGCACCGGATTCTGGCCAGGCACGTGGTGCAGGCCGAAGCGCATGAAGAACTGGGGGCCGCAGTTGGGCGTGTGCAGCTCCAGCAGCCGCACGTACTGCACTGGGGACTCGGGCGTCAGCGTCGGCTGGAAGAAGGACCGTGTCAGGCGTGATTGGTCGTCTGGGCCGGCCAGTACGGCCGCCTGGACGGTAGGTGCGTCGGTCTGTGGCGGCAGCGGGTCGTCGGGCGCGAATCCCACGATGCGCCAGAGCACAATGACGTTGTCGTGGCATGCTCGGGACAGAATTTCGTCGCCGAAAAAGGCGACGCTAGGGGGTGATTATTAGTGTTTGGCTGGAAAATGTGAATTGGCAACGGGGCAGACGCACCAGTCTACGATGCCGCTGTGGACGGCGGATGTGGAAAAGTGAGGGTAGTGTACTTGGAACGGCGTGATGACGGGCTTTGTTGGGAGATCCGGTACGGTCCACTGTTCGAACTGTCAGCGTATCGTTAGGAAGTAGCATTTATGATGAAGAATTACGAGGTTGATAATTTGGTCGTGACCACCCGAGAGAAGATAGCGTCCAGTGTGATGGAATGACTGCGAGCGTTGTCAGCACAAGACCTGAAACGGAGCGATGTTGCCTTGCTCGGAGGTGCTTACCAAGCTGAGCAAATTCCCATAATGTCCTTCTCCAGCGAGAATGCACAAACATGGATTTGATCTAAACCTTTCCTCGACGCTCCAGATTCGAATGCTCGTGTCGTTGGACGCCGAGGCGATGATTGAGGAGTCTACCGGCGAAGTCGCAAGATCATTGACGTCCTATTCGGGGTTAGAGTAATGGTGACTCTCCAGGCAAATCAAACGTACACCTCCGTGGCCAGAGAAAGACTGTTAGACGTCAGTTTAGTCGGAGGTGTGAAAATGGATTGCTGAGTGGCCACTCACGTCTACTAGTGTGCCATTTCGAACATCGTAGATTTTCACCTTGGCATCTCCGCCACCTATGCAAATGAACGGGGCTCCAGTGATGGGGTCCTTCGTCCACGTACAGCAGCAGCCTGACGCATCCTCCTAAAGAGTGCAATTAGTGAATCGTGTATGTTTGGTATCCGAGAGGATTCCACATACGTCATCATCTCTTATGATGGATAGGACCGAGCATGGATTTGCATCTCCACTGTCAGAAGAAAGCTTGCAAATCAGAACCTATTGCTGGTAAGCTTGAAAACACACTTTCTGGGTCGATGTGTGCCTGTGAACTTGCGTGTTTCTTGCTCACGGCTGCAAATACAGGATCGCAGTTAAGTGGCTGGTATGGACAGAATTTGACGTCAAAAAACTCTGCGAGGCTTGAGTTAGCCAATAATTTAACCCAATGTGCAAGCAAGGTGACAATACCGGCAACGTCGTCGTCGTTATTTAGGAATCTGGTATCATCCTGTGCCAATGTCAACATGAGCATCGGCGCGCGGGTTTACTGTGAGACGAGCCTCGAAGCCAAATGAGACGCGCAACTTAGGCAGATGGAACGCAGAGTCGTCAGTCGACGCCGTCATATTGACAATCTTCGGCCTTTTATGGCCTCATTTGGTGAAGGACTATAAACGGAGTGGATGGCAGGGAGAGATTTGGCGCGTCTAGAGTCTCATGTAAACTAAATATGGTAGTCTGAGCTAGTATGCTTGCACAGAAAATTTAGAAAAAAAAAAGTCCAAAAATACTCATGATTCTGGGACAATGGTCATACCTGAAAATATGTGCTTTGTGTAAAACAGTGACGGATTGAGAAGGGCGTGGTGATGTTTTGAAGGCGTTTGTTCATAAGCGCATGCCTAGATTATGGAGGGGCGCTTCTCGGCGAGATTAGTTGGAGGTACGTACCTTGGGCGTTGAGAACCTGGAAGCTTGGACCACCCGCAAGCTGGCCATTTCACGAGGAACCACACCACACCACGTCAGCTAGTTATCGGTGGCATCGTCCTGTTGACGTCGGCTTGCCTGCAATTGCATCGCAGTCTTGGGTTGTTGTGAAATTAGGTTATCTCGATTCGAAATCTCGACACATACGACCTAATTCTATATACGAGCGTTTTAACGCCTCGTCGGCTGCCTGCCCGCCCACCGTCGCCATGTCTACTACCAAGGGGCATTATACGAACCCGACCATCGACGACGACGAGTTGATTGATCCCGATGATGGTATGCCCAGCGTGCATATCGCGTTCATGTCCGGAACACTATAGATCAGCAATGCTAAACTGTGCCGCAGCTGACCTCAACGACTTTGACGACCCCCTCGCGCCCTCGAGTTCCCGCGCGCCGCTGACTGGCAACATCGGCTCCTCCTCGCGGCCCCTCGACCAAAGCTACCTGACGGCGCGCATCCCCGGTGAGGACCGGAGCGCTTCGCAGAACACCATCGACGAGACCGTCTGGGAGACGGTGCGCCGTGACCTGCTGGCTGTCTGGGCCAAGCTGCGTGAGGTGCTCTACCCACGTTACCTCCTCGGCGGTACCATGTTCGACGGCGAGGGCGGCTTCCGCGGCGCCTACTCCAACATTCGCGGCGCAGGCATCACGGGCACGCGCGAGGAGCTCGCGGGCCTGGCCGGCCGCGTCATGGACCCCGAGGCGCTGCTGGGCAGCTCGCTGAGCCCCGGCCTGCGCGACTGGGATCTCTGGGGGCCGCTCATCTTTTGCCTGCTCTTGAGTCTTCTACTGAGTTTCTCCGCTCGCCCGGAGCAGAAGGACGCCGTGTTCAGCGGCGTCTTTGCTATGATTTGGCTCGGCGAGGCGGTTGTGACTCTACAGATTAGGCTGCTCGGTGGGAGCATGTAAGTCCACTGCATTCTAGTCTCCCGTTTCCCAAACCAAAAAAATTCTGACCACTGTGATAATAGTTCTTTTGCGCAAAGCGTGTGCATTATCGGTTATACATTATTCCCGCTTGTGATTGCGGCGCTTCTGTCTGCGGTGCACCTGCACTGGATTCCTCGCATTCCCATCTTCATCTTCCTCATTCTCTGGTCCTTGGCGGCTGGTGTCAGCATTTTGGGAGGAAGCGGTGTCGTTCAGAACCGCCTGGCTATTGCCCTGTACCCCCTCTTCATCTTTTATGTCGGGCTGGGCGCGCTGTGCTTCATGAGTTAGGCATCGCCGCAAGTCGGTTGGGCCTGGAGCCCCGTGGGTTACCTCGGGAGGAGGCGTTCACGCGAGACTGTTTCCGGCCCTTCTCGTTGTGCGATTTGAGTGTACTGTAATATTCGTGTTTAGCCGTGCAACATTAACAAGGTGCATTGATTGTGTAATGGGTTCTCGCAATGTGAGACGAGGCGGGTGATTTGACTGGTTGGGAAGGGAGCAGAACGCTGCCTTGCACAACGCTAACGAGATTGGAAGGACGCGTCCATGACAGCGTGCCCTCGGCAGGCTGGCCAGGTACCTTAGTGGTTCACTACTACTAAGGTGCCTGCGGTGTGACGCGCTGGTCGTTGAGAGAGCCTGTAAGCCAGTGGCCTCACGCTGAGTTGTTGTAGCTTCCAGCGCCCGGCTAGCGCAGTTTGCCCTTTGCGGCAGCGGGTGGGCGCCAAACTTCCACGTTGTAGCGGTCTTTGTAGCGGGAGCAGGCCCTCTCCATTTTCGGCGGTGAGGGGTTCTCTCATTTGCTTTGCAGCCTCTGCCGCCTGGAACCTGCAGGCAACATCTTGATTGGATGACCGTTGCGCTCTTCTATCAATGCAGCCAGAAGGAGTCTCCCACCCAACTCAAACAATACTCGCGCAGACCTCTCTTTCCTTTGACAGACACTACATTTCCAACAGCGATTCCGCACACCAACTGAGCTTTCGCGCGCGTTACCCTTGCCTCTCCATCGCTCGGATCTAGCCTGACCAGTGCGGACAACCTCGACCACCTTCGTTTTCTGCACGTGGACAAACCGAGCCAAGCGCAAGGAGAACCCCGAAGTTGCTCAACCTCGCTGCCATGGCCGAAGAGATAAAAGCCGTCAGTCCCAAGGATTATTCGGCTCAAATAAGCGCCGCTGAGGACGCTGACACCCGCGCCGCGCGTCGCGAGCTGAAACAACACTCCATTTCGGATCCCGTCGGCGACGGCTCCCCAGCTGATACTGACCGTCCGGAAACACCTGCCGAAGACGATGTCACCGACAAACGCAATGACGAGCTGAAGGAGCAGGTTTCCTCGCCCAAGAAGAAGCGCGCTCACGACCAGCTGGACCCCGCCAAGGACGACGAGCAAAATGACGCCGACAGTGTCGCCTCTGCAGACTCGGCCAAGGATAGAGCCTCACGATCAGAGCCTGAGAAGAAGCGACACCGCGATACAGATGGTGATGCTGACGGCGACGATGAGGTGAAATTTTCATCGCATGATAATGACCTGAGCCGCAGGCTGACGAATCTCGTGCAGACAAACCCGGATATGGACGAACCGAAGACGGAGCCCGAGCCGGAACCCAAGACTGGGACTGCAGAAGAAAAAACCGAGCCAGCAAATAAGCAGCCCTCCCAAACATCAGCCAGTGCGTTCGCGGCGTCCGGCTTTGGCAAACTTGCCTCTGGGACCTCCCCGTTCGCTGGCTTGGGAGGCGCCACCGGTAGCGGCTTTGGCTCAGCTGCAAAGCCACTGACATCTTTTGCATCGTCGCCGAAGAAGACAGAGGCACAGACACTGGCAAAGGCGCCAACACTGAGCTTCGCTAGCGGCGCCACCACTGCCTCTCCCTTCGCGACCGGTTTGTCGGGCACCAACGGTTTTGGAAGCGGCCTCAGTGGAAGTGGCTTTGCTTCAGCCTCTGGTGCCAAGCCGCTTTCCAGTTTCGCCTCTGGAAAGCCAAAACCTCTTCAGACCCAAAAGAGTGCCAAGCCATTCGGTGCTCCGGATAGCGACTCTGAAGATAACGAGGATGAAGAGAACGGCGAAAGGGAAGAAGGCAACAGCTTCGCGGATAAGGACCGCGATGCTACGTCGGAGAAGGAGGAGGATAAGCTTAAAGTGAAGCTACATAGAGGTTGGTATACTGTTGTCACTGCACCTATTCGTACCGTGCTAATGCTGTATTAGTCGACGTTGATGATGGCGAGGCTGGAGACGCCACTGTTCTATCTGTCAGGGCGAAAATGTTCGTCCATGAAAATGCCGCTTGGAAAGAGCGCGGGGCTGGCATGCTCAAAATCAACGCACCCAAATCGTGTGTCGAGACTGACGACAATAATGTTGTCGTTCCCGGATCTTTTGACGCGTCAGGACTGGATGACGAAGGCGGTGAGGAAACCTCAGCGAAGGTTGTTCGTCTATTGATGCGCCAAGACCAGACGCATCGAGTGATTTTGAACACTGCCATCATCTCGGCTATGAAGTTTCAAGAAAAGACGTCACTCAAGCATACTTCAGTGCAGTTTACAGCATTTGTCGGCCCCAACGCAACGCCGCTTATGGTCACCATGAGAGTAAGCCGCTCGTTCTATTACCAATAGAACAAAACGTAGCTAACAGACAACAGATGTCAGCTGCCAACGCCAAACTATTCATTACCGAGGTGCAGAACATTCAACGTGAACTTCAAAGTCGGTAGAAATTGAACGGCAAACTGCGTGATGCACGAACAACTATTATCAAAGCATCGCTGCGAAAGATGACAAAGTAGACGGAGGGAGGGGATTCGGATTAAAAGTTGGCGCAAATACAGGATTTCTGCAACGGATGCATTCTAACTAGGTAGCCTTTTGGCGGACTGGAGTTTTACACGCAATGGCGGACGGCTTGTTTAAAGACGGATGAATTTATTGTATATTACCTTTCATTTTTCAATCCTAGAGCCTGCGATTAAATGGACATGAAATTTGGTAAATTAAAAGTACAGAAGGGTTAGTTTCTACAGGCCAAATAGTCCCTCGGTCTTGATCTTCGTCAGTTCCAGTGGTAATCGAGCATTCACAACACCACACGTGATTTGGCGCCATAGACGTGAACCTCCGAGTCGCCAAGGCGCGCTCCATTGCCACCTTGAGCATCTCCAGCCTGGCAAGACACCATGGAGGCTTTTGTTCTTCAATCAACTTGTGTATCGTGATGGTATTGATCCCTTGTCTGAGCAGTTTTTGCATCTACCATGCCCGATCAGGTCACTTCTCTACCGGCGGTGTCTGGGACCAAACGCAAACGACCATCCGGGGGAGAGTCTTTGGATCCCGAGCTAAGCGACTTGAGCGTGAACAGAAGCGACTCTACTGCAGACTCAGAGACTAAGACGCTGTCTGCCAAAGATCGTCGCCAAGGGAAGGCCAAGAAGGGGCAGAAAGAGGACGAAGAAGCCCCGTATTGGCCACCGCTCTTTACATCGCTAGACAAGACTCACCGGGCTCTGAATCTAGTTTTTACTTTCTGCTCTACGAGAAAATATTTCGCCACAACATTCGAAGCCATAAAACCCGCGGTTGAGTCTCACATAAAGCGGAAGCTATCGGTTGCAGAAGTGGCGCAAATTGTCGCTGTGCGTCCGGAAGGAATCAACTTCAGCTACGTGGACAAATCTACGCTTGAGCTAGACATCAAAGCGTCAGAGCGCAAAGATGATTTTTTCAAGCTGTTTGGCAATAGAAAAGCGCAGCAGCTTGCTCCTGATGCGTCTGTTGGGGGCTGGACTGGCGCCAACTCTATGGACCCCAGGTCGGGAGATTATGAAGTCTTGTTCTTCGAGTTTATCGACGGCGACCTGAAGAGACAAGTGCCAGACAAGAAAACAGGTGAGCCGACCAACCCGCAGCGGAGATTGAGGGATGAGAAGCTGCAGATGCCGATCTTCGGCCAGGGCCAGATGACGAAGCTCATTGAGCGCCGAAACCAGCGTTTCTCGAGCGCCATCAACACGTTTCTGCGAAATTGCGAAGACGAAAAGATTGATCCCTGCCTTGCTTTGGAGAGCCTGGCGGAATCATACGTGCCCAAGCCCAGCGAGCGTGATGACGACGGCGATATTGTGGTCAGCACAATCCCTGCCACCATCCCAAAGGAACGCAAGTCCATACCGGAAATTGTGAAGGAAATTAGGGAAAGCCCATGGTATACTGGCCAAATTGTGCCGGATGGCCACAGGGTTTTCGATCCGCAGGAGCCCGTGCATGGGGACTTGGAGTTTCTCCTCACACAGAACCTGGTCAATGCCATGTACAATGCCAAAGGCATCACGTCCTTTTATGCTCACCAGGCTGAGGCGCTGAATGCTCTACAAGAAGGCAAGAATGTGGTTGTCGCAACCTCGACGAGCTCTGGCAAGTCGCTGATCTACCAGCTTCCGGTGCTATACGCTTTGGAGCAGGACTTTGAGTCGCGCGCCATGTACATCTTTCCCACGAAAGCGTTGGCGCAGGACCAGCGACGCAGCTTGAAGGACATGATGGCTTATATGCCAGGTCTCGAGGGTACTATTGTAGAAACATTCGACGGGGACACGCCGTTCAGTACGAGGAATGCCATCCGCGAACAAGCGAGAATCATCTTCACCAACCCTGACATGATGCATGTCACCATCTTACCTCAGGAAGAGAAATGGAGGTCCTTCTTGAAGAACTTGAAATACGTTGTCGGTGAGTAGATACCCCCGAGGACCTTTCAGTACTGAGGCTGACTGCTTCTAGTTGATGAACTGCATTACTACAATGGACAGTTCGGTTCCCATGTCGCCTTTGTTATGCGACGGTTAAGGCGCATCTGTGCTGCCATTGGCAATCGAACTGTTCAATTCATCTCTTGCTCTGCTACCGTTGCGAACCCGACCGAGCACTTCAAGGCCATCTTTGGCATTGATAATGTCAAGCTGATTGACTTCGACGGGTCTCCTTCTGGCAGGAAAGAGTTTTTGTGCTGGAACACGCCGTACAAAGACCCAGGAGATCCTGCGAGCGGCAGGGGCAGCGCAAAGTTTGAATGCGCACGGTTGTTCTGCGAGCTGCTGCTCCGGGGTGTGCGCATCATTGCCTTTTGCCGAGTTCGCAATCAATGTGAAATTTTGGTCAACGCTATACGGCAGGAGCTGGAGAACAGAGGCCGAGGCGATTGCGTGAATCTGGTCATGGGATATCGAGGGGGATACACGGCAGAAGATAGGCGCAAGATCGAGTCGGAAATGTTTGCGGGACGACTGTTGGGGATTGTCTCGACCACGGCACTGGAACTCGGCATCGACATCGGAACACTGGACTGTGTCTTGACGTGGGGCTTCCCTTATACCATTGCTAACCTGCGCCAGCAAAGCGGACGCGCTGGACGAAGAAACAAAGACTCGCTTTCTGTCTTGCTTGGGGACAGTTTCGCTACAGACCAGCATTATATGCAGAATCCAGAAGAGCTCTTCTCCAAACCTACGGCAGAGTTACAGCTGGATCTGGACAACATGCTTGTACGCGAAGGACATATACAATGCGCGGCTTACGAGATGCCGATTCGGCCAGAGTATGACACAAAGTACTTTGGTCAGGATCTGCCTAAGATCTGCGAGGAACGACTTGTTGCTGACGACATGGGCTACTATCATTGCCACGATCGGTTCCGACCTAAACCGTCCAAATACGTTGCAATTCGAGATACCGAGGATGAGCATTTTGCCGTCATCGACATCACACATGGCAGAAATGTCGTGCTGGAAGAACTGGAGGCATCGAGGGCAACCTTTACGATCTACGACGGCGGGATATTCCTTCACCAGGGTCGGACCTATCTCGTCCGCGACTTTTTGCCTGACAGACGAATGGCGAAAGTGGAACGAGTCAAAGTGGATTGGTTGACCTCGCAGCGTGATTTCACCGATATTGACCCCGTGGAAACGGAGGCTATTCGTGACATTGGCTCGTCCGGAATTTCGGCGTACCATGGCACCATTAAGATTCTGCAAAAGGTATTTGGCTTTTTCAAAGTAGATTCAAAAGGGCGAGTCCTGGATGCCGTTCACGTAGACAACCCTCCCATCATCCGATACACTAAGGGGATGTGGCTCGACATTCCCAAGTCCGCGCTGGACATCCTCAACAGCAACCGGATCAACGCCGCGGCCTCGATCCACGCCGCGCAGCACTGTGTCATGAGTCTGCTGCCGACGTTCGTCATCAGCTCACCCGAGGACGTGCGGACCGAGTGCAAGGTTGCGCTCAAGGAGTTTGCAAAGGAGGAGACGGCGCGAAAGCGGCCCGGCCGTCTGACCTTTTACGATGCCAAGGGTGGCGCCAATGGCTCGGGTATCAGCACCAAGGCCTTTGAGCACATTGACCACCTGCTGCGGCTCGCCCTGCAGCGTGTTGAGTCGTGCCCGTGCCCGCACGGGTGCGTTGAGTGCGTGGCGTCGGAGCTGTGCAAGGACTCTGGCGAGGTGATGAGCAAAGCAGGCTCGCGCGTCATCCTCCAGGCCTTGCTAGGGATTGAGATTGATGTTGACGCCCTGGGGGAGCTAGGCGAGCAGGAACGTGTTCCCGCGGGCGTCGAGACCGTCATCGTGGCGCAGCCGGTGCCGATGAGACGACGTAGAGACAGCAGGGATGAGACGCATCAGCAAGAGCAGGAAAGAAGGCGGAGGGAGAGTAACGAGAGGCACATGGGTGGCTTTGAGCGAAGTTAACATCCAGCCGCGCGCAAACCACAGCATGGCTGTGTGGTTTTTCGTAAAGGGAGGGCTTCGGTGAAGCAAACAAGCCGAGCCTGCTGAGTGCGTCCCAGCCTCGTTACTGCAAAGAGAAACAGGTGCATTGCAGCAAGAGACTTGACTGGACAGCGGCACAGCCTTATCTTAAAGCTATCTTCGCCTTACCTTTGCCCTGCCGCGGGGTAGTCAATCACGGTGCATAGCCGCCATGAGTTCTTGGCCGACCACTGGATGCCAAAGGCAATCCTTTCTCGTCGTCGCGAGGTTTCTGGTATCGCAGCTGTACACGGAACAAGCACAGGCAGGCAGGCCTACGGCTGGTTTCTGTCCTACGAGAGAAAACGAAAGGGCTAAGGAATCAGAAGGCATGAATCCCCAAGGTCAAAAATAGAGTTACCACAGACTTGAAATCAGGCTGCTGTCACTATCTACGACCCAGAATTCAGCTCCGTCGGCATGTCTCAGAGACCCCTGCTACTTGGACAAGTCCGAATGTGACTGCTGGCATCAGAGCAAGTATGCAGTGATGAAGTGAGATTTTTTTTCTATTTCTGTTTCTTCATCAGGCTGATGTTTGATACTTTTCAAGCTGCCCAATGTTCAAGATGACTGGCTTTGCAGAGTGACTACTGCAGCCGGCCGGTCTCAAGGTCCCTTCCAGAGAGGGTGTCGCGGTTGCCTCCAAGTTTGGGCAGTTGCAGTAAGCGAGAACCACGACGGCCTCATCCGTCCTTTACTTGCTAGGTTTTCCGTACATATAGGCTGCGTCTTTCCCAATGTTTCCATTCGCCATACAGTTTTACTTTGAAGACACTTCAGCTCGAACGACCTGGCATACACGTACGATTACATGATACCCCTCCAACTCAGTTACGAACGATTCTAAAACACCTAGTCCATTACCGCACTTTACAATCATAACAAACACAACATTACAATCCATAATGAGCAACGACGCAGCTGAAATGGACCACGGACCGGGTCTACCCACGCCGTCTACCCACAGCGACGACCGGGAAAAGGGCCAGATGCTCAGGGTCAAGCCCCAGGGCGAGAGCGGTCGCAGCGGCGTGCATCCGTGGCATTTTATTCGCATCTCCTTCAAGTCTGCCTGCAAGGCCAGTACCCTATGCAGCGTACTCTGGCCTGTCGTCCCCGCGGCGCTGGCTGTGCGTTGTAAGTCGCACCCTACCTGTGTTGGACCTACATCATTGACGTATGACATCTGGTAGATGCCCTGAGCAATCACCACATACTGATATTCGTCCTTTCCTACATTGCCATTGTTCCCTGTGCCAGTCTCATCGGCTTCGCCAGCCAGGAGTTTGCCCGCAAGGTGCCACATGTCGCGGGCATCATCGTCGACGCGACATGCGGCTCTGTCGTTGAACTCGTCTTGTTTCTCGTCTTTCTGCAGAGCGACAACCCAAACAACTTTTACATCATCAAGGCAGCCATCATGGGCTCCATATTGGCAACTATGCTGCTATGTCTAGGCGTCGTCTTCCTTGCCGGTGGCCTAAAGCGCGAGGAACAGACATTCAGTGACGCCATTAGCGAAGCTGGCAGCGGTCTCCTGCTCATGGCGTGAGTCGAATCCGCTCAGCCTTCATCAGTCGGAGAATACTGACCTGAATAGTGGCGTCGTTCTCTCTGTCCCAACCGTGTTCCGACAAGGCCTGGCCGGCATGGGCATCCCCACGGATCAGCTCGAGTCGGCCACCCTCCACATTTCGCATATCATCTCCGTGCTCCTCATCATCGCCTACCTCATCTACACCTACTTCCAGGCCCGTACACATCACGGCATCTACGACGCTATCTTCGAAGACGACGAGCAACGCGAGGCCTCTTCCCGCCGCAAGCCCAACGCCGAGGACATGCTTACCATGACGGAGTGCCTCATCGCGCTGGCCATCTCCATCTCCCTCGTCACTCTCCTCACCATCGGTCTCGTCGGTCAGATTGAGCACGTCATTGAGGATACGCACGTCTCGGATGCTTTCATGGGCCTCATTCTCGTCCCGCTTGTAGAAAAGTTTGCCGAGCATATCACGGCAGTAGACGAAGCCCGAGGCGATCGGATGAACTTTGCCCTGTCTCACGTTCTCGGCTCCACGTTGCAGACGGCACTTTTTACCGCACCCCTCACGGTCGTCGTCGGCTGGGCGCTACAAAAACCCATGGATCTCATTTTTGACATCTTTCCTGTCGTCATGCTCATCCTCTCCATCTTGACCGTCGGCAAGGTCCTGCAGGATCAGAAGAGCAACTACCTCGAGGGTATGCTCCTACTCATCTTGTACCTCTCCATTGCTGTGTCGGCGTTCTACTACCCCTTTACCGGTCCTGTTCATGGGAAGGCCGGCGGCGAAGCCGGCGGCGAGCCTCATCGGGCATAGAGTCGAATGGATGGAAGACACTGCTAGCATTCATACCCTGGGCTGACTTGGATGGGTGAGCGTAATTCTGGTTTGGTTTCATGATTTATGACGATAATTGTTACTGTAGGAAGCAAGGGCTTTCATGATTTACGACGTACTCGTTACTGTGCGAAGCAGGATTAACTGGCAATCATTTTATATTTAAATACTAATTCATGTCTTTCAGAATGCTATTCGCTGAGTCCATCTACTCCCATAGTCATATATAAATCATGCTAAAAGAAAAGCATATCTTCTGGCTTCCACGCCATCTCACCCAGTACCTTGCGCACCGTCTCCTCCAGCGCCGGCGGCCCGCACACCAGCACCATCTCCTCGCCATCCGCTCTTCTAAACGCGCCTATGTGCTCCTTGAGGAACGTCTCGTCCATGCGGCCCCTCAGCCCCTGCCACGAGTCCGCCGGCCGTGAGAGCGTGTGCAGGAGCGTTGTCCGCTCCGGCGCGCGCTTCACCATGTCGTCGAGCTCCACGCGGCAGAGTATGTCCTCCTCGCCGCGGTTGCCGTCCAGCACCAGACACGCCGTCTCGTCGTCGTCGGTCGCGGTGACGGCGCGCAGCACCTGAAAGATCGGCGTGACGCCCGAGCCCGCGCATACCATGACGAACCTGCGCACGCGGCGCGGCGCTCCCGCCACCTCGCACCGGCCGCCCCCGAGGTAGGTGAACTTGCCGACGGGGCCCTTGAAGCCGACCGTGTCGCCGAGGGGCACCGCGTCGAGGGCGCGGGTCATCCGGCCGTCCGGGTAGATCTTGACGAGCACGTCGAGGCGGCCGCGGGCGTGCGTCTCGGACAGCGGGGTGTAGGCGCGGATGACGGCCTCGCCGGCGCGGGCGGCGTCGCGCAGCCGCATGAGCAGGTGCTGGCCGGTGGGCAGGCCGATGGACTGGTCAGCGTGGTCGAGGCGGAAGGAGAAGATCTTGCTGTCGGAGGAGACGGTCGTCTTGGCCTCAAGAACGGCTTTGCTCCACGTCTTGGGCTGCAGGAACACTGCGCGCGTCGGGTCGCTGGCCATTTCCTCGTCGGCGCCGCCTTGGAGGGCCTTGCGGGCGGCGTCGTCGAGGATGCCGATGTGGTATTGCGGCATCATGGCCTTGGCGTTTTCGCTATCTGCATGTTCGCTATTAGTCGGTCGCTTTGTCGATGAAGACGCGGTTAGTTGGGGACGTGAAACTTACGGATAGTCATGAATTCTTCGGTTGCGTCTTGGGCGGCGGCGTTGATGATGGACGTCGCGCCGCCGGGGTGGTCGTTCAGGTACGGCGTGCCATCGTACACGTGCCCGTTGACGACGAACCACGGCTCGGTCTCTCCCTCGTGCGCCTTGAGCTCCTCCAAGGAGATGACGCGATCTACCTTGGGATTCGTCATGCAAATCTCCTTCTCCGGCTCCGCGGCGACCGGCGCCTCCTCGCCGGACTTGCGCTCGCCCCAGAAGCCGTTGGTGAGGTCGCCGCCGCCGGCCTTGACGCGCTCCATCCATCCGCCGGGCATCAGCGCCGGCTGCGTTGGGTGCTCGAAGCGGAGGGTGCCGTCCACCTCGTCTCGATGGATGACGACGCGGAACCACGGGTTGTTCATCATGCCGAGCACGCTCCAGTACATGTCCCGCGGCTGGACCATCATGCCCTCGTCCATGGCGCGGATCATGACGTCGTCGGCGGCGGCGAGGTCGGCCACGGCCACGTCCGCCTCCCAGAAGCACCAGCAGAAGCACGCCTCGCGCCACCACATGTCGGTGCTGCCCCCGTACAGCGTGTCGCCGTCCGGGGCGCCCCGGTAGTCGTCCTCGGGGTAGTGGATGTCCGCGAGCTGCCAGGACTTGCCCTTGTTCAGCGTGACCTCAACGCGTGTGATGCGCTTCCCGCCGCCGCCGTAGGCATATCCGCGAACCTTGTACGTCTCTGGAGCCGTCTTCAGGGCGAGTTTTTCGTCATGTCGAGGATAACAAATAGCGCTGTTCACATTCAGGTCGTAGATGGCGTACTTTTCGTCTTTCCAAACGTCCGGCAGATTTGCGCTCGCGTCTGGCGATATTGTGGTGGGAAGCACTCTGTTATCGTAAACGTGGTACCAATTGTCGCTGGGCTCTGATGTAATGGTGATCTTTTTGAGCCACTTGACGCTGCGGCCACCAATCTGCCCGGGTATTATAATACGTACAGGCTTGCCGTGGTCTGGATGCAAGGCTTGGCCGTTCATCTTGTGGGCTACCATGATGCCTCGGTTCTCATCCATGCACCAGTTAAGCTTGACAGACGTGCCATAGTAGCCGTTGGGCAGTTTATCCGCTCCTTCAAAGCATACATATCTGGCATTTCTCTTAGTCTTCGCCATCCGCAGGAGCGCTCCGATAGGGACACCAGTCCATAGAGCTGTTGAAAGACCGGCTGCTCCCCAGGAGAAGCCCTTGGACTTGCGAACCACATTTTGTTCTTTTCGACGATTACCAGCACACACAAGAGTAACTGGATATGTTAACTGCTCGTATGTCTGGATAAGATCGCGGACTGTTATCGTGAAAGGCTTTTCCACAAGTCCATCGACAGTGAAAGTCCAGTCCAGGGACTCATCATCGGGGCAGTGCGGTACTGCGCCATGGTTGCGCACGTAATGGAGATTTTCACTGGTCAGAAAGCCCTCGTCGTATAAGTCGGTCAAGGGTGGTTCGACATTGAAGGGATGGACACCAGTTAGTCGTATTAGCCGTGTATCGCGGTTGACGCGGTTGTCCGGGGTTTTCAAGTCCTCTGGCAGGACTTGCGTCGGAGTATTCTGTGGCGGGAGAGTATATGGCTTCAATAGTTGACCAAGTCTCTCTGCTGGAGGAGTTGGCGGTGTATAGTCTGCGTCTTCTATCTCATCGTCGCTGCCGGCATGGGAGTTACCGACTGTCCGGGGAGGGCTAGGAGGAAAGGTGTTGGTTGCATGAGCTGCACCGACAAGGCTTTTGACTGCCATTATAGCGGTATTATAGAAGAAGAAATATTCGAGGTTTAATGATATCAGAAAGAATCAAGCCGCCAATCGTAAAGTGCGTGGTGTGATGAGTGTTATAAGCCAGCCCGTGTTACAATTGACAAGCGTCGGCGTTTGACCACACGTAAAAGCCTGGGGAAAGGTGCTTTCTTGAGACAGGCCAGATTCCTGGAAATAGTAAAATCGAATTGCAGTGCAGGTTACGTACGATCCATAGGATGCGAGCGGTGGCAAGGCCGGGCATATAAATCCGGGGCATGGTGCAACTCACTACGGCACATGTCTGCCGCGTGTGGGCCACGGCCTTCAAGTGTTGTGTGAGACTTCATCACAAATGGTATGCGCAGCATTTTGGGTGCTCTGATAGATACAAGGTTTCGAGGTATTTCCGCGGAGGGCCTTTATTCTTCGTTTTATCGAGTCGACGATTGGTTGTTAGGGGGAAATGCGGCTGGTCGGTATCTCTGTGGCGCTCTCCGATAACCTTAGTTCTCAACCCACACCACAGTAGATAAACGCACCATTCTCTCACACAAAGCTATTGGCGATTGGCGATCATTTTATCAGTTGTGGAAACTCCCTATAACAGCCCGCCAAGTCATCTGGCCGGAGTTGTGACGGAAGCCCTCGTTTCGAGAACAAGGCCTAGCTAGACTGGGTGCTTTCAGTCCCGTAGCAACGACCAACTTCCCAGTCGCGACATTGTAATAATTCCAAACTATTGCTGGTTAGCTGCGCAAGTAGACAGGCAGGTATGCTAATAGGGTGCATCCTCCGGAAAGACGGCATCCACGCAGTAGCGAACGTCTAGCAGTTGGTAACATGCTCGCGACACCCGGCCCTAGATCCCTAGTGACGCGGCACCCAGACCATCTCCTACGGTTGAAATTGCGGCCGCTGCGAAAGAGGCTGGATCAGGGTTCGCTCAGGCCGTCGACGAGGTCAGGGGCGCGGGGGCTCGCTCTTATCTTTGCTGGATGGTGTGGAATGAGCATCTCCGGGGGAGGCATCTCCGGGGGAGGCATCTCCAGAGCGGGAGCGGCTGCAACTAATCAAGCGAAGGAGGACTGCTGGAGGCCCGAGGATTTGGAAAAGCCTCGACCTCGCGGGTACTCTAGCTGGTTTGGGGGCCGGGCGGACAAAGCCAAAATGTTGGTGTGTTGGACGAGTCAATGATACGGTAACACCCGGCATTGTGGTGCCGGGTGTTTGGGGCTCTGCGGCACCGAGGCCAGTTCCTGCTGAGGTAACCCTTTTTACGGAGGGAGGCTGCGGTAACATTGATCCGTTTCTGCTGCCTGACAACAAACGGCGAGAACGAGGCAGGCTGCGGCATGGCATTAAAAAAGAATCGGGAAAAAGACAAGATAATATTCAAGAGAGAACTCAGGTATTTCCATCTCCTGGAGCAAAAAACACACCCACAGTAACCGTGCCCGGCTCGCCCACCAAAGCCGCACTTTATCGTTAAGCTACAGTGGTCTAAAGCAAAACGCTGAAGCGCTGTGCCTACATTCAGCGGGTGGCGACATGTATCATATATCGTGTTCGGTGCCCATACCAGCTAAAATACCTAAGAGAGGTAGGACTCTCCATCATAAAGAGTGGTGAGATACCCCAAAGAGTTGATATGCCTGAAATGGGACAAAGAGTGCTGCACATGCTGCCACCCACAGTCCTGTCCTAGGGCTTACTTTGGAGGGAGGGGTACAGTAAAGGAACTCGTAGTTGCAGCGGCTACCAACGTCGGCTACCAAGGTACAGTAGCTTCAGCCACATATTCAGGAATTTTTTTGAGCAAATACAAACAGAAAGTACATATGAATTGGCACACATCTATTTTTATCCCATTAAAGTATATTATTTGTTCTTCCTTACTGCGTGTCTACATGCGTAGCTTACGACTAAGTAATTGTCGCTTATTGGATGCTTCGCCTGTCATCGCTCCTGCTCCCTAACACGCTAAACCAACACGGGCATCTCCCCTCCAGAAAAAACCCACTCCAAAATTGCCCATGCATCGTAGTCCCCAAGTCCGGCGGCAGATCCAACGTAAACGCCAGCTTGACCTTGATATCCAGGCATCACCAACATTCCTTCCGCTACTGCGCTTCCGCTGGCTGCTGTCAGCTTCGCCCCTTTTGCACGCACCGATGCCGACGATTATTGCCCGGTTGCTGCACCCTTTGTCGGCGCAGCTTATCCCCTAGCGCTCCCGGCGCCCGGATGTAGCCATTCACCAATTTTGTTGCTCTTAATACTACTGATTCAAGCCGCCATCCCAAATGGATCGCGCAAGGAAGCGTACGTATTATTCTGCCACTCCTTGGAGCCCAGTCATGAATCTCTGGTGGCTAACCGTTGCGCAGGCCAACTGCGCGCTACAAACGAGCGAGTATGGGCTGGCGAGACAAATCTCTTCGAGGTAAACAGCTCTCTCGACTCGTCTCTCAAGAAAAACACAGCATTCATTAAGCGACTTCGAACCGCAATCACCGCTGCTACTCTAGCGACCTTCCTTCAGGAGATCCGCACTCTCAGCCTGCACAAGTACCTCTCCGAAATCATATCTGCCTTTTACGAAGGCCTTTGCAAACTCAAGACCCCCGCTGAGGTCGATGCCGGCGCCGAGATTGCCAGTGCTCTACACCAGCGCTTCGGCCCTGCCGAGTTCACCGAACAGCTCAGCTGGCTTCTCGGTCGGGGCATGGCCACCCCCGAGAAGAGTGCTCTCAAGGCTCTCTCGCCAGAACTCCGCGAAAAGGAAGAAAAGGACCGTCTCACCAGGCAAAGATCACTTCTGCGAGTTGTCACCGAGCTTTGGCTACTCGGCGTCCTACGAACCCTAGACGATGCTGTCAAGCCCGACGACGTCACCAAATCAGTGGCTACGAAAGCGACCGAAATAAAACCCCGCGCGAGCGCAAAGAATGGTGCATCTGCCGAGCCATTTCCGTTGGAGGTTCTAAAAGATCTCCTCGGCTATGATCGCGAACACATCAACCTTCCTCTGCTCGTCATCTTCGTCAAGGCCTTTAGCTGGGATGTGCTTGGTGTCAAACCCAGCAATGCCGAGGGCAGAAAAACAATTGAAGAAGACGGAGCCGCCGCGGAACCTGTACACACGGCGACGGACACTGAAGACGGCGGATCCGACCAGCCATTTACGCCTCCAGAACTATCAGAAAAATTCAAGAGCATTCTTAAAAAATATTTTGAAGACGTCAAAAATCACATTGTTCGCGATCAAAAGACAATTCACTCGCAAGCTCGCCGAAATGCTGAGGCATATGTCAAAAGTGGCGAAGTTTTCGAAGACCGGCAGGCAAATTACGAAAAACAGGTCAAGGCCCAAGATCGCCTGGTCTCGAATGCTCAAGTCATCGCTGACGCCATTGGAGCCGATATCCCCGACTTGAAGGCCTCAGACGACTCACTAGGCGCCTCCGGTTCTGGGATCGGTCTTGTCAAGACCGGGGAGTATCTGCGCTCTTCCGCTGATGGATCCGGTATCTGGGATGACGATGAGGAAAGACGCTTCTATGAGAATCTGGTTGACTTGAGGGGCAAAGTTCCATCCATGTTGCTAGAAGATGGTAAAAAGAAGAAAGCGGATGGCGATGATCAAGTTGGCAAGAAGGCTGGTGAATCTGAAGCCCCGGCCCCTGCGGATCCGGCTGAAGACCAATCCATGGCGATTGCAAACAAGACGATTGGTGCCCAAGTCGACGCGTTGCTCGCACGGCTACCAGACCTGACAAGTAAAGATACCATCGACCAGATGGCAATCGACTTTTGCTATCTCAACTCCAAAGCCTCGCGTAATCGACTCGTCAAGGCGCTCACCGAGGTGCCAAAGGGTAGAGGAGACTTGCTCCCGTCCTGGTCCCGCCTTGTTGCTACGCTAGGCCGCTATATGCCGGATGTTCCCAAGGGCCTCGTCGACTATCTAGATGCGGAATTTCGCAGCCTGCAGCGGAGGAAGGAAAAGGACTTTCTCGGCCAAGTTCGTCTTGGTAACATCCGTTATCTTGCTGAGCTCACAAAATTTGGTATGGTGCCGGAGCATGTCGTCTTTCACTGCCTCAAAGTCAGCCTCGACGACTTCTCTCGCATGAACATCGAAATCCTCTGCAATCTCTTGGAGAATTGTGGTAGATATCTGCTCAAGACACCAGATACTGCTCCGCGGATGGTGAGCTTCCTAGAAACACTTCAGCGCAAAAAGTCAGTTCAACATATTGGTCAGCCGGAACGAATGCTGATCGATAACGCTGTTTATTATGTCGACCCGCCCGAGCGACCTGCTATCGAACAGAAAGAGCGAACACCTATGGATCTCTTTATTCGAAAGCTGGTCTATAATGACATGACCAAGAGGAATTATAGCAAAATCCTGAAGCAGATTCGGCGCCTGCATTGGGAAGAAAGCGACGTTGTTGCCATGCTTGAAAAGGTCTTCTCCAAGCCTGGCAAAGTTAAGTACGGAAACGTCCACTTGCTCGCCATTCTGCTGAGCGCACTCTATCGCTATCACCCTGCCTTCGTTGTCAAGGCTATTGACAATGTCATCGAGTCGATTAATTTTGGCCTAGAGCAGAACGACTTCAGAACATTCCAGCGCAGAGTGGCCGAAGTCAAGTATCTGAGTGAGCTCTACAATTACCGCATGTTAGAGCACCCTGTCATCTTTGATACCATGTACAAAATCCTCACATTTGGTTATGGCGGCCCCCCCGTGCCCGGTCGTTTCAATTCATTCGATCCACCTGATGATTTCTTTCGTATACGCCTCGTCTCAACCATGTTGGAGACCTGTGGCGTGTACTTCAATCGTGGTGCTGCTGGCAAGAAGCTGGACTTTTTTCTTTCCTTCTTTCAGTATTACGTTCACACAAAGGTCGCACTCCCGATGGACATTGACTTCATCGTTCAAGACACTTTTGGACTGACTCGCCCGCAATGGAAGTTTGCTGCTAACTTGGAGGAGGCCACCAAAGCTTTTCACGAGGCCGTGGCCCTGGATCAGAAGTCTAGCGGCGCAGACAAGACAAACGATGTCGACGCAGACGCAGACGCAGACGATGCGACTAGTGGCGCTTCGTCTGATGACGAGCACGGGGATCTAGACGAGATTGAGGGTGACGCAGATGTAGATGAAGACGACGACAGTCTTTCTGAGGACGAGGAGGAGATGAACGAAGTTGCTGAAGATTCGGATGCCGACAGTGAAGATTATGACGAGGCCATTGTCGTCACGAGACAAGAAGAAGCTATCGACCCGGAAGACGAAGCCGACTTTGAGCGAGAATACGCCAAGATGATGGCTGAGAGCCTCGAATCGCGGAAATTTGAGCGCAAGCAACAGTTCGATGTCCCGCTTCCCGTTCGCCCCAAGGTCCGTGATCTGGGTGCTGGTGAAGGACAGGAGCTGCCGGAAAGCTCAGCTGCGCCAACGAGCAAGATGGCATTTTCCCTCCTGACGAAGAAGGGGAATCGCCAGCAGGTTGGTTCATGTGTTGCCTTGGATCTCGCTCCTTACTAATTACCTGTAGACACGGACGGTTGAATTGCCATCCAATTCCACCTTTGCCCTTGCCATGAAATCGTCACAGCAGGCTGAGCGGGAAGAGCAGCAGCGCATCAAGAACTTGGTTTTAAACTACGACTTGCAACAAAGCGACGACCAGGACAGTAAGTCTATGCTAATGATGACTACTTGGCGGGGTAGTAGCTGACAACTGTAGGCGGCGAGAAGCCACCGGCATTTTATCACAATCGAATCGAGCGCTCCGGCAAAGACCGAGGTCAGAGAGTGCGAAAACTGCAACTAAGCGATGTGGACTGGTAGAACAAAGGTCACTCGTGAGGCAAACCAATCAGAGTATACTTACTACTCGAAAAAGCTGCAGAGAGCCAAATAACGCGCAGCAGTACCAGGTACAGCAGAGTCGGCGTAGTGAAATGCACCACATGGGTTGCTACCCGAGGCGGGCGCACCGGCTCATTCGCTGATGCCGAGATTGCAGGCGCTGAGCAGAGCAAATGTGCCCATCCACGGGTTGCATTCTTGCTGCAGCGATACGAATCGGGTTTTGTGCCCAACCGCAGCGCTGAGACATGGACTGCATTGCTGATTGCAAGGCTCGCTCTACAACGCATCTAGGAGTCGGATTTTGACGCGGTATTGCTTACGTATAGAAGAGTAATATTAAGACGCAAAGACGCCATTTTGTGGCCTTGGCACGTGTAAACAAAGAGCTGATTGGGTTCGTTTTCGATGCTGTGAAACCCGAGATTGCTAAAATAGCAGCAGCAAACACGACGGGTGGCCCCTGCCATCTGTAGCCGCCGTGCAGGCAGGCACAGGCAGTGAGAAGGTGTGCGCACACAAGTAAAAAGTGGCAACACGGCCGACCGCATGAGCTGGTGTCACGTACAGTTGGGCTTTCTTTCGGCCATGTCTGGAGTTTCCGTCTCCTTCGTCAGCTAGCATCGACAGATGGCGATTGCGAGGCGGCAAGCGAGGCGAATCCAACGTTGGCGAAGTTCCTGCATATCGATTCCTACTGCGCTCCGCCACGGCCGCGATGGCTTCGATATCTACAACATGGCCGATCAAAGACGTAAGTAGGCAGCTAGACTTCCTTCTCGAATCGAAATGGATGACGGAATAGCTCGATGCCGTGGCGATGGACACAGGCTAATCAAGCCGACGCTTAGATTGTCTATACCTCCGTCGTTGGCGTCGTCATGTTGATGGCGCTTTTGGAGTGGTTTCTTTGGCTGGCAGCATTTCTCTATTGCATTTTCAAGGCGTTCAAAAAAGCAGAGCATTGGTCTATCAATGTGCTCTGCGTTGTCGTGGGAGTTGCCTTTGTGTTGATGAGGTAGGTTTCGCGCCCATCGATCCTGTACGTCGTGTTTGTTAACCGCGCTTCAGGCTGGTCTTCCTGCCCGTCATGGTCGTAACGCTCCCACTACCGCGCAACATCACCCAATACTGGCCGGAAAATGCAGCCGAGGCTCTGCAGTCTTTTGCCTTTTGGAGCTTTGCCATACTGCTGACTGTGCCGTGGCTGTTCTGCATCTACCAACTCGTCACGAACCAACTCGGCCGGACGAAGCGAATAAAACTGGTACTGGACGATGTGACGGCGCCCAAGGTGGTGATCGTCATGCCTTGTTACCGAGAAGAGCCAGACGTGCTCGTCACTGCAATCAACTCGGTGGTAGACTGCGACTATCCAGCGGCGTGCATCCACGTATTCCTTTCATTCGATGGTGACCAGCAAGACGAGCTCTACTTGAATACGATTTCAAAACTTGGTGTCCCGGAGACATTAGGCTCCTATCCCCGCAGCATCGATGTCATGTACAAATCGTCAAGGGTGACGGTCTCCCGATTTCCTCATGGCGGAAAGCGACACTGCCAAAAGATGACTTTCCGATTGATTGACAAGGTCTATGAGCGCTACTTGAAGCGCAACGACAACTTGTTTATTCTTTTTATTGACTCAGATTGCATCTTGGATCGGGTGTGTCTGCAGAATTTTGTCTATGACATGGAGCTCAGTCCGGGTAACACAAAGGACATGCTGGCGATGACTGGTGTCATCACTTCAACAACAAAGAAGCACAGCATCATCACGCTCTTGCAGGACATTGAGTACATACATGGCCAACTGTTTGAGCGGACAGTAGAGTCCGGATGTGGCTCTGTGACGTGTCTTCCAGGTGCCTTGACAATGCTTCGGTTGTCGGCGTTTCGACGCATGGCAAAGTACTACTTTGCGGACAAGGCGGAACAGTGCGAGGACTTGTTCGACTTTGCCAAGTGTCATCTAGGCGAAGACAGATGGCTTACGCATCTGTTCATGATCGGAGCCAAGAAGAAGTACCAGATTCAAATGTGTACCTCTGCATTTTGTAAAACAGAAGCCGTTCAGACATATCGATCACTCGTTAAGCAGCGACGTCGATGGTTCCTGGGCTTTATGACGAATGAGGTGTGCATGTTGACAGACTGGAGATTGTGGAAGCGGTATCCTATTCTGGTGCTGGTTCGATTTATGCAGAATACGATCCGGACGACGTCGCTTCTATTCTTCATCATGGTGATTGCGCTGATGTCTACAGTGGCCACGGTTCGCGACCTTCCGGTGGGCTTCATCGGGGTGTCGCTGGGACTGAACTGGGCCCTGATGCTCTACTTTGGGCTCAAACTTCGGCGCTTCAAGGCTTGGTTGTACCCACTCATGTTCATTCTGAACCCATTCTTCAACTGGTATTACATTGTGTATGGGATTTTTACTGCTGGACAGAGGACTTGGGGTGGGCCGAGGGCCGATGCGGCTGCGGCAGACACAACTACCACGGCACGAGAAGCAGCGGAAAAGGCGGAGGAGCAGGGAGATGAGCTGAATGTCGTTCCAGAGACATTCATTCCGGCTCGAGAGGCGAGATTGCTGCAGTCTCCAGGGGCATCGGCAGGGCAACAGCCAGGACTGGGAAGGACAAGGAGCACGGTTCGACCGCCGGACAAGGTGGATGGCATCTTCTCGGCCAGGCAGCGGACAAAAGAAGGTACTTATGAGCACGTCGACGATTCCATGGCAGCTGTAGGGGGGTCGGTGCTGCCTCAATGGGCAAGGCATAGGGCTCAAGACTCTATAGAAAGCGTCTCGACCGATGGCGAGCCGACGCAGGGAGGCAACAATGTCCTGCAGAGCCGGTTTATGGAGAGTTTTATGAGTGCGGAAGACAAGAGAAAATACATGGCAGCGCAGCGTGCCAAGGAGGTGAGGCTTGGCCATGAGGGAGGCGAGCGTAGCGAAGGGAGTGGCAGTGGCAGTGGTCTAGGAAAGGGAGGGAATGATGGTAATGGCAGTGGTGCTGGAACGTCAAAGTAATAAGGGCGCAGCAACTTGGCGGTGACATGTAGCAGATAATTTGCTAGACAAGATGATTCGATGTTGAATTTTCATGTTGAATTTTCATGTTGAATTTTCATGTTGAATTTTCATGTTGAATTTTCATGTTGAATTTTCATGTTGAATTTTCATGTTGAATTTTCATGTTGAATTTTCATGTTGAATTTTCATGTTGAATTTTCATGTTGAATTTTCATGTTGAATTTTCATGTTGAATTTTCATGTTGAATTTTCATGTTGAATTTTCATGTTGAATTTTCATGTTAAATTTTCAAGTCATGTGCTGGGAAGAATGTTTGATGATATTGGAAGGCGTTGTCTTGGCGAGCAGGCTTGATATAGGGTCAGCCGGGTATAAGCAAGGACGGTCCGGAGGATGGTAGTGGGCTGTGTGAGGCGGGGGACAAGCCGGGGCAGGCAGGGGAGTGAGGGATGGTTGTAGTCATTGAGCAATACCGAGCAATAAGATAAGTTAGATTTAGTGAGTTGGATTGAGGACGTGTTGTTGTTTGTCTTGCTGCTCTAAAGGAGAACCAATCCCAAAGGCAAGCTGTGCTACAACATGGCGATGATGTGGGTGGCGGACATTGGGCGGGAAGCACCGTGGCTGAGCAGGCAGCAGTCACTGATATTATTCGCCGGGTCAAGTACAGATTGTTAGGTAGTTGGGCATGCCAACCACAGGATTTAATTTTTGCAGCTGGGTATTCCAGTCATGTTACGGACAGAATGTGAGTTAGTACCTGGACGGACAGAGACAAGTCTGGAAAATTCTTCGAGCTTCTACTGGAGCACTGGCTCCCGTCTTGGCAGAAGGCCGAGGAAGAGTTACATATGCCCATGATGGCGGGGCAGCCGACAAGATGTACCGGTGTAGGCGGAACAGCGTGGCGGAGGTACCGGGCAGGGGAGAGCCCCGCGCTAGCGCAAGATGTACCATTTTTGTTTTGCGCCTTAGTGCAAGTAAGGCAGCAACCAGGACACCTACATACACCTAAATAACTGGGAACGGAGGCCAGGAAAGCCATTGGCCTGCCGCTGTGAGGAAAGCGATTGCAGTGTTTGGACCAGCTGTAACCTCTCACCGAGGGGAAAAAAAAAAAAAAAAAAAAGCTCGTCACTCCAGGGCAGCATCACCTACCTATGTACCTACCTCTGTACCTATAAATATAGGTACCTACTTCCACTCTGCTGTGCAACTCTGCGTCGACATCATCGTTATAAATAAAAGAGAGAAAAAAGTGATAAATACCGTCCCGCACCGCTATACCGGCTCTTTAAACTTTCCAACAACAAAATTCTAGTAAAAGCACCTTCTGCCAGACCGTCGTCAACTACCTAGCTACCTAGGCGCTGGGTTCAAAAACCCGTCCAACTTGCCCCGCCTCACCTCACCAACCAAGCCAAACCAAATCTTTCATCCCACCGTCTTATCCCCTCCTCCCACCTCGATCCTCGAACCTCCAAACAAACCAACCCAACCTACCTCCCCATATAGACTTCAGCGTCTTGATTTTGTGCATTAAATCGCGGCTGATTGGGGAAGATCTCTTTTTAACCTCCTTTTTTCCCCTTCCTTCACACACATTCACATTCATCACGCAGCAGCCATGAGTGTCGTCGGTAAGTCTCTTTTTTTCGCCGAACCTCTCAATCACCCACCGCTTTGCCCAGAGAGCCCCCAGATGGCAACAACCTTGGAATCGCAACATGTACTCTTGGCTGCTTTTGCCCTTGCTCCCTTCCTCAGTCTCATAGCATATCGCTGACTCTTCTCGCCCTCTACAGGTGTCGATTTCGGTACCCTCAAGACGGTCATTGCCGTCGCCAGAAACCGCGGTGTCGATGTGGTACGTTTTCCCCAAGCCGACCCAGCTTCTCCCTGCCACGGCCGATTTTTCGCAACATGCCCTCCTGCTGACCACGCATCGCCCATACAGGTTACCAACGAGGTCTCCAACCGCTCTACTCCGTACGTACCGCCCGATCGACACTCAAGAGCACCCCTCCCACCGCAAGCCGTCAATCACCTCGCTAACTAGCTGCCGCTCTCCAGTTCCCTCGTCGGATTCGGCCCCAAGTCCCGTTATCTTGGCGAGACGGCCAAGACCCAAGAAATCTCCAACCTCAAGAACACCGTCAACTGCCTCAAGCGCCTTGCCGGTCGCGCCTTCAACGACCCCGATGTCCAGATTGAGCAGCAGTTCATCACTGCTCCCCTTGTTGACATCAACGGCCAGGTCGGCGCCGAGGTCAGCTACCTGGGCAAGCAGGAGAGGTTTACCGCCACTCAGCTCGTCGGCATGTACCTCAGCAAAATCAAGCAGACTGCCGCCAACGAGCTCAAGCTCCCCGTCTCCGACCTCTGCATGAGCGTCCCGCCTTGGTTCACCGACGCCCAGCGCCGCGCCCTCCTCGACGCCTCCGAGCTCGCCGGCCTCAAGCTCCTCCGCCTCATCAACGACAACACCGCCGCCGCCCTCGGCTGGGGCATCACCAAGCTCGACCTCCCCGGCCCCGAGGAGACCCCCAAGCGCGTTTTCTTCGTCGACATTGGCCACTCCAACTACACCTGCTCCATTGTCGAGTTCAAGAAGGGCGAGCTCGCCGTCAAGGCCACCGCTTGGGACCGCAACTTTGGTGGCCGCGACTTTGACAAGGCCCTCGTCGACTATCTCGCCAAGGAGTTCAAGACCAAGTACAACGCCGACATCTACACCCATGGTCGCGCCATGGCCCGCACCATTGCCGCCGCCGAGAAGTGCAAGAAGGTCCTCTCCGCCAACCAGCAGTCCGCCGTCAACATCGAGTCTCTCATGAACGACATTGACGTTTCTGCCATGGTTACCCGCCAGGACTTTGAGGAGATGATCCAGCCGCTCCTTAGTCGCACCTTTGAGCCCCTTGAGTCCGCACTCGCCCAGGCCAAGCTCACGAAGGAAGACATTGACATTGTCGAGATTGTCGGCGGTGGCTCTCGTGTTCCCGCTCTCAAGGAGCGCCTCCAGTCCTTCTTTGGCAAACCCCTCTCTTACACCATGAACGCTGACGAGGCCATCGCTCGCGGCTGCGCCTTTAGCTGCGCCATCCTCTCTCCCGTGTTCCGCGTCCGTGACTTTGCCGTTCAGGACATTGTCAGCTACCCCATCGAGTTCACCTGGGAGAAGGCCGCCGACATCCCCGACGAGGATACCAGCCTTACCGTCTTTAACAAGGGCGGTCTTCTGCCCTCGACCAAGATTCTGACCTTCTACCGCAAGCAGCCCTATGACCTCGAGGCCCGCTACGCCAAGCCCGAGGACCTCCCCGGAAAGCAGAACCCCTGGATCGGTCGCTTCTCCGTCAAGGGTGTCAAGCCTACCGAGACGGACGACTTCATGGTCTGCCGCCTCAAGACCCGTGTCAACATTCACGGCATCCTGAACGTTGAGACTGGCTACCACGTTGTCGATCAAGAAGTTGAGGAGGAGGTCAAGGAGGATGGCGACCCCGATGTAAGATCTACCTGCCCACGTTTCTCCTTGAATTCTACTAATACTTTCCCTAGGCTATGGACACCGACAAGAAGGACGACGCCCCCAAGAAGACCCGCAAGGTCAAGAAGCAGGTTCGCGCCGGTGACCTGCCCATATCCAGCGGTACCTCGTCTCTCGACGATGCCACCCGCATCGCTCTCGCCGAGAAGGAGGCTGCTATGGTCATGGAGGACAAGCTCGTTGCCGACACCGACGAGAAGAAGAACGAGCTCGAGGCTTACATCTACGACCTCCGTGCCAAGCTGGAGGAGCAGTACGCTGACCTCGCCAGTGAAGAGGAGAAGGAGAAGATCCGCGCCAAGCTCGAGGCTTCCGAGGTATGCTTCCTTTTCGACTACATCAAACACAGAAACTTGACCGCTAACCCCGTCTACAGGACTGGCTCTACGATGAGGGCGAGGACGCCTCAAAGGGTGTCTACGTCGCCAAGATTGACGAGATCCGCGCCATGGCCGGCCCCGTCGTCCAGCGCCACTTCGAGAAGGTCGAGGCTGAGCGCCAGGCTGTTCAAGAGCGCGCCGAAGCCGAGCAGGCTACCAAAAGAGCCGCTGAGGAAGAGGCTCGCAAGGCTGCTGAGGCTGAGAAGGCCGCCGAGGGCGGCGCCGACGCCGAGATGAAGGACGCCGATGGCGCCCCGGCCGAAGATGCCGCTGCCGATCCCAAATAGATATCACGAGTTATGAAGCAGGGGAAGTAGGCAGGCAGGCACGCTGGCTGATGTTTTGTTCGAAATGACATGTTTTTCTCACGAAAGGTCCGAAGAAGGAAGGAAAGGCAGAAAGAGAAAAGCAAACAAGAGACTTTTTTTTGATTTACGAAGAAGGCTCTGTTTTTTTTTATTGGGATGCAATATAAACAAAAGAAGGCATGAGGAAAATGGGATATTCTGTTCCCTCTTTTTATAATGTTTTAGAAATGACAAATAAAACGCTGTATAGAATGCGTCTTGTTTGGGGAGTGTTGAACAGGCCCAGTGACATTTAGCTTGCTTACAACACACGACCCATGCATGCATTTGAACCGCACGTCGTCCTTTTGACCAGACCAGACATTTCACCAACTTTATAATAAGTCGTTGCGGGATCTCGGAGACGCATGAAATGAGGTCGTTTCGACAGTGCAGGATACTATACATAAAGTATGTAGACCGTCTGGAAGGAGGCGAATGATTTTAAGAATATCGTATTTTTATATGTTGACCTTTTATTGTAAACTAAGAAAAGGAAGAATAACAATGATAAAGCACTGAGTAAAATCAAGACCAGTCCATCATGCCTCTTTTGTAAAATGCCCACCGATTGTTGTTGTTTTTTGTTCTATTCCACGAGGAAAAAGGAAACGATTGCCGTAAAAATTTCGCCCGTCTCGTCATTACAGTCTTTTCATACTCGTGCAACATTTTGTTCCTACAAAGGGGTCCGTGAATCAGCTCTCCCTCTGCCGCCCCCGCCACCGTCACCGTCATCATATTTGCATATTCTCTTTTTCTTTTCTTTTTTTTCCCTTATTTTATGTTTTACTGAATATCCATCAAGGGCTTGAGCTTGACAATTAGATTCCACTCCGGGTTGGTCACCTCGTCGCGGTAAAACTCCTTAAGGCAGTTGATGCTCGCGCGGGAGATTTGGCTATACAGCTGGTCCGATTCCTCGAGCTGCCGGCCGTACGTGGGCTGCGAGCCGCCCATTTCAATCTTAATCGCCACCGATGGCTGACCCTTCTTGCACACCGGGATCTGCTTGTGCTCGCGCTCAATAGACGTGACGCGGCCGAGCTTGATAATCTCCTTGACGTTGGTGACGGGATTCGTCTTGACGGCGGCGATGGGGGTGTTAATCTTAAGCTGGCCGTCGACGACATCGACACCAATGACGATGGGGCCCGTCTTGTTGAAGACAGCGACAGTCTTCAGCACGCAGGGGAAGACGGCGAGAAGCTTGGACTCCTCGCGCTTGCGTTCGAGCGTCTCCTTCATGTGGGCGTTGAAGGCGTCAAACAGGTGGTAGATGATGTCGGCGGTGAAGATGCGGATGCCCTGCTCGTCGGCGTATTGCTGCGCTTCCTTGTCCACCTTGACGTCGAAGCACATCATGATGGCCAGGTCTGGCGCCTTCTCCAGCATGATGCCGCACTGCATCACATCGCGCTTGTATACGGGGCCAATGCCCACGTTGGCCACCGGGATCTTGCAGTCCTTGAGGAAGTCGAGCAGCGCCTCGAGCGAGCCAAGTGTCGATGCTTGGACGCTGACACCTCGGCCCGATTTCTCCACACGGCTCAGCAGGTTGTCAAGGTCAGAGAGGACCTCATCCTCAATGTCATCCTCATCATCGTCAGGGCCAACGACCATCAGGCGCGAACCGGCAATGGCACCCTCCAGCCCGGGCGCGCTAATCTTGATACCGAGAGCGGCCTTGACTTCCTTGTTATGTACGTATTGCGACTTAAGACGCAGCTCCTTTAGGGGTGCTGGTGTGAGCAGCGCTCTGATGTTTGTCTTGATGGCACCTTCTGTGCCACATACAACGATGCGGTCACCCTCCTTCAGGATACCGTTGGAGAGGATGACGTCAATAGTCATGCCGAAACCTTCAATAGCCTTGACTTCGAGAACGGTGGCCTGGACCTCGGACAGGTACATGAGGGCATTGGTCATGCGCTCCTGCGTGAGCTGAATGATGAGCTTCAGCATATCGGGGATACCCTCGCCAGTGTGGGCGGAAGTGGGCACCAGCGAGACGTTCTTGGACATGGACGGATTTTCGTAGTAAAGCTCAGCGTTGAAACCCTGCTCGGCAAAGGCGAGCTTGGTCTCGGACAGGCGCTTCTCGAACTCGTTGTTGACGGCCTTGTTCTGCAGCGCCAAGCTCTCCTGGAAGCCGTTGTTGTCAATCTTCTTCCAGCCGAAGAGTCTGTCAATCTTGTTGAGGGCAACAATGAAGGGCGTCTTGCGCTCGCGCAGAAGGCGCATCGACTCGAGCGTCTGGGGCTCGAGGCCGTGCATAATGTCAACTACCAAAATGGCAATGTTGCAGAGCGACGAGCCACGCGATCGGAGATTCGAGAAGGACTCGTGGCCAGGCGTATCGATAACTAGAAGACCAGGCACCTTGAACTCGAAGGAGCCGTCCTTGTTGATGACCTGTGTCTTTTGCTTGATAGCCTCCACGGGAAAGTACGTAGCACCAATCTGTTGCGTGATACCGCCGGCTTCGCCTTCTTGGACGTTTGTCTGTCTGACCTTGTCCAGAAGCTTCGTTTTGCCGGTATCGACATGACCCAGGATACAGCAAATCGGGGAGCGAAGGTTGTCTTTGGAGCGCGCATCCATAGCAGCCTTGTGGGCGGCAGCACGACGCTCGGCAGCTTCCTTCTTGCGCTGCGCCTCGGCAGCCTTTGCTCTGGAGATTGCTTCGTCATCTTCGCTGTCGTCATCAGAGTCATCATCAGAGTCCTCGTCAGACTCTTGCTCCTCTCCAGCCTTCTTTGGTCGAGAGACTAGCGCTGCCTTGGCAGCGGCCTTCTTCTCGGCCTCCTCGTCGCTATCGGCATCCCAGCTGTCCTTGACGTCGTCGTCTTCGTCTGCGGCCGCCTCCCAGTCATCGTCAACGTCGCTGCCCTCAGCAGCCTTCTTGGCCGCCTCCTCCACCTCCTTGGCTTTTCTTTCCTCTTCAGCCTTCTTCAGAGCCTCTTCGGCCTGTATCCTGGCTCTCTCAGCGGCGGCAGCAAGGGCAGCCTCTTCTTCAGCTTTTTGCTCCATCTTACCCTTGCGCTTCTTCTCAGGGGCTGCCTTCTTCCTAGGAGCGGGCTCTTCGTCCGCAGGGCCAACCTTGATACCGGCCGCCAGCATCTGCTGGAGCTTGCGCTCATTGCGGGCCTTCTCCTCTTTCTGGGCTTTGGTCAGGAACTTTCCTTCCTTCTTGAGCTGCTCGATGCGCTCCTTCTCCTTTTGCTTTTTCAGGACCTTGGCCTCTTCTCTGCGCTTCTCTTCCTCTTCGGCAAGACGATCAGCTTCGGCTTCCTTGGCTGCGAGCTCAGCCCTGGCGCGATCCTCTTCCTCCTTTTTGCGTCGAAGCTCTTCCTGTTGTTGCTGGATTTTGGCAATGTGGGCAGGGAGCTTCTTTTTCTTGCCGCCAGTCTCGGCGGCGGGAGCGGGAGCCAGGGTTTCGGGGGCGGCGGCGGCTGTCTCTTTAGCGGCAGGCTTCGCAGTCTCGGCCTTTGTGGGGGCAGTCGGCTTTTTCTTGGCCGCCTGTTCCTTTTTTCTTTGCTTCTCGCGCTCCTTCTTGAGCTTTTCCTTCTCTGCCTTTGTCAGGATACGGCCGTCGCCGTCGTCTTCGGCACCGGCAGCAGGCTTGGCAGGCTCGGGCTTCGCCTTGCCACCCTTGCCCTTCTTGGCGGGAAGAGCGAACTCGTCGTCCATGGCGGCCTCCTCGGGGGCCTTGTCGACATCGTGCGCGGGAGTGATGGCACCGGGAGCATCTTCGCCATCAACGAAGTCATTGTCCTGGCCCCCTTTCTTCTTGCGCTTCTCTTTGTTTTTACGCAGCTGTGCCATCAGACCGCCGCCGCCTCCGGAAGCGGCCTCGTCATCGCCGTTGGCATTGGCATTGGCGTCGTCCGGGTTGGGTTGGCCATTGGCATCCTGCGGGGCAATGGTCTCGCCTAGGTCGGCCTCCCAGTCGTCCTGGCCCTTCTTGTTTCCCTTCTTCTTGGGTGCCATGTTGCGTTGGGCTAAGTGAAAGAAAAAGTGCCGTTATGGGAGCTGCAGGCGCTGGCCTTTTTCTAGGTTTAAAATCCTCCCGCGGTTCGACGTTGTTGCGGGGGCTGCTGGGGATGGAGGGGAAGGGTTTTTGTCAAGAGCAAGCCCTGCAGACGGACATAATAATGGCCTGTCATTTTTTTTTTTTTTTGCCTCTGGACGAGCTTCTGGCCAAGGGGGCGCGTTTGGCTGTGGGGTTGAACCACAATGGCTCAGGCTCACTGCCTAATAACGGCAAGTGCCTACCATAGGTACATAGGTACCTACTGTACATACATACATACATATGTAAGTACGTAAGGTTGCTACCGGGTAACTATGTATGTACCTCGTACCTACAGTGGGTGGCAACATGTATTGGTCCCCTCCAAGTATCTGACCTATCCCTATGACGGTTGAGATAGTTGAGTATGTGAGATACTAAAGATATCTAAAATGCTTTATATGTGTAAAATATCTACGGTACAAGAGATACCTAAGATATATAAAATACCTAGAATATCTAAAATGCCTAAGATGCCTAAGAGAGGTGAGATACCTAAGAGGGGACAAATACATGGTGCCACCCACTGTACATAGCACCTGTGACGCTGAGCACCTGAATTTGGCGCTACCAATAAAGGACAATCTCCATTCCCTCGTCTCGCTGGATACTAATAACGTGCCTAGATGTGGTACATTTTAATAAATCTATGTTCCTGCCTACGTACCTACATCGCTGCTATTTACATACATAGGTACCTACTACCTAGGTAGGCATCTGTCTCGCCGCTCAGTGAGCTACCACGCGCCTTATCAGCCTATCGCAGCCTGTGCGCGGGGCCATGGATGGTGGGGCTTTCTGCCCCGCCACCATCGTTCCTGATTTGGAGTCACTCCTCATTCAAGGAGACAATGTGAATGACACAAACTCCTGTCTGCAAGCCAACGCCACCTTCCCACCAATACGCTCGATTCTTTAATTCCATATTCTTCGAATATTCAACATTGTTGTATCATTTCTCACCCTTTGCTTCGCGGCCTGATTTCCTTGACTCATCCTTCGCCCTGACTCATCCTCAGCCTCGACAATACACCAGGGATTAGTCCAACCACACATTGCGTCCCGGAAACAACTGTTTTCATCTGTTAAGTTATTCTAATTAAATTTCACTAGAATACTTGTGTCATGTGTTTTTGTGAAAACTCCAAATTATTCCTCCTAGCCATAGCCCCAACGCAACGTTCGCGGGTCAACATCATCCTCAATACCTAATCATATAACTGGCGCCAAGAGATATTCTAAAATCTCGTATGCCTCTTCAAAGTATTGGCTGTATCGCGAGTCTTCCTCCATGCTGTCCCTAAAGCTGCTCGTGCACAGCCCACCCTCTATACCATCAAGGTATTCGCAGAATAGGTCGAGCCCGTCTCCGTCACCCACTAACTGCTCCAATAATCGTCCTTCCATACACTTCTCCAAAATATCTCCGTCAATGTGCATCAACCTGGGGTGCACTTGCGACTCTAGCTCTGCATCGTCGTCGCCACAGTCGCTGCTTATCGCCGGATTGTATAGCGGATACAAAAGCTGGCTACGGTGCGCCAGCTTCTGGATCAAGCACAAAAGTCGCCATAGTTCCTCCTCAATCAATGTAAACTGATACAGGGCGCCGTCTAATGCCACCCCCAATAGCTCTGCCCCATCTTGACTGCTACGCAACGCGCCATACCGTGCGCGTCGGTTCGCAGCCACCCATGGTGGCCGGCTCCAGCTTCTGAAAAAGCGACGCACCGAGCTGGGTAGGAGACCCTCAACCACTGCCTGCAGCTCCCGATTGTCTTGCCCTTTGGGAATCCATACGCCCGCGAAGCCATTCTTGTAGTCTGCCAGCAGCGTAATAGGTCCTGCTTCTGAGCCTTCAACGTTGCCGCCAATATCTAACATGTGAATTGTTCGCCTCGCCACCTGATCCGTGTGAACGAGGGCCATGGCAGTGCCCGTGCCTGCGCGGTGATCGATGATTTCCAGCGAGTTTGTCAACGTCAAAGCATAAACTTTGCCATCGACAATCTTCAACTGCACCGCTGGAGAGTCCAGCTGATATTCTTTCATCGGCTTCAGTTTCTTTTCGGCGAGATCCAAAACTTCCCAATGCAGCGTGCGATCTACGCAAAACACGAGACCATCGGCATCGCCTATGATGGAACTGACAGGTCCAGAGACCCATTTTTTGTATCGTGTCCAGTATTTGAGACGTCGTACCGGTCCTTCTTCCGTCATTACCTCACACTCTTTCAATGACACTATCAAGAGGCGGCCATCCTTCGTCGTAACAAGAATAAAGGAAAACGTCCGGCCATCTTTGACGTAGAGCCACTCGTATAAGCCATAAATTCGATCTCCCTCGTGGCCCAGCCCGGAGATAAATTCGGAAGAATTCTTTTCCCTGTCTGACGGGTCAGAGATTATGGCGCCTGTTTCGGGATCCAAAAATTCCAACGTTGGTCGGTCATTCTTGAGCAGAGCAACAATGAGGCACTTCCATGTTCGCGAATAAATGACTCTCGAGGGTGATCCTTCAAGCGTCATCGATCGAGGCACAAGTCCTACCCGCGGCCAGATGTCTGTCATCAAAACTCTGGACCCAGCTAGCATTAGCAGTGTCATGTGTCCAGCGTTATTGGAAAGATTTTCGTCAAGGCTGAAAATGGAGTGGATTGGTGGTGCAGGCATTGCCGTATTATTTGAATCAGTCGGTACCACAACGCTTTTGGTACAGAATGATCTTTTGCGGGCGGAATAATTAGAAAGCATTATCAAATTGCCATCGCAGCTTGCAAATGCCAACTGTCGGGAGTCCAGGGATCGTGGTGCAGAAAAAATCTCTACCGGAGATATTCCCAGAGTCTCGGTCGTCCAAATGAGTTGCTCGCCGTCGGAGATGGGCATTGTTATCAGGTGGCCACATCGGGTACCAAGCACAAGTATGGGTGCGTTTGACTCGTTTTCCACTGCACAGATGCTCGTCACAGCCTCAAGACCGATAGAATCCGCCGTGTTTCCACCATCGAGAAGGGTTTCAGCAGTACGCTGGCCGTCTAAGGAATAGAGAGAGAAGCTCAGTCGGCCTTCGTTGGTAGATGCAATACCTGCCAGGTGTTCTCCTAGGACACTTAGAAGGGTCACGGCGGTAACTTCACCCTCCATCTTCCATGAATTGAGTAAGCTGAAATTGTCATTTTGCTGCTTCACGACGAATATCTCGGCTCGATCTCTCTCTTGCGAGGACAGAATGATGGTGTTTGCTCGACCATGGGCTTTGTCGATCCGAACGTGAGGTCTATCAAGTAGCTCTTCTAGAGAAATTCGTATTCTATCAGGGCCGTTAGTGATTCCGAAAGACACCTCTGACGGCAAAAAATACACACCTTGCAGCGCTGCCAGTCGTGCAGATAAATGCCTCGGTTATCTGGAGAATGGCTTCGCCGGTTTTCCGAGCCGCGAAAAGAGTACGGTTCGAGAGATCCAGGCAAGTATCTCCGTCCTCTATCTCTTGGACTTGACTGAAATCTTTGGCGAATTGAAGGACCTGGGTGGAATGCGGTAGGGTAAGAATTCCGAAAAGGGAGGAACTTCCCTGTTCATTAACGGGAAAAACCCAAGCCTGCTTGTTTGGTTGGCCCGATTCAATGTCAAGTCCAATCTTTGCTTCAATTCCTGAGCGCCATTGCGTTACACTTCCCTTGCATCCTCTCCCTGATGCCGTGAAGATGCTGTCGGGCTTTCGGCCAACGATAGTATGCCCGTTTCTCTGTCGTGTCCCAGGATCTTTTGCCATCGCGGGCTCGTACGTTGTTGCGACATCAACTACAGGTGACCAGTTTGGTATGATGTTGATTTGGTTGAGGTCAGTCCGAGGCGCCAACTAACAGAGAAATTAGTTTATCAGTTCTGCTCATGTTTTAAACGATTTGTCATTGCGTACCTTCCATACACCTCCTGGGCCCGAATCCCCGCCAACAATCAAGACGTCAGAGAATAGATCGTACGATATTGCAAAAGCAGCGTTTATGTTTGTTTCCAAGCAGCCGACATTTATAACGGAGGGTACCATTTCTTTCTGGTCGATATCCACAAAGATAAAGGCACCGTCCTCACGAGCGAGAAAAATGATATCAGTTGTCTGGAAATACATCTGGGTTCGGGCTGGGCGAGTCCACGCCGTCCATAAAGGCTCGCCCTTGCCGTTGTGAAACTTCGTTTGCTTTGGCATGTCGCTGCCCAGTCGTTCGTATTCCGGGGAGCCAGATAGAGCATTTTTGACAACACCGATACCATACTTGGAGACGGCGAAGAAGGCCGTCTTGAATTTGAGAGGTATCAAAAGTATTGGCATCCTGTGCTCAGCTGGCAAACGGTTTCCGGTCTTTTCCTCTTGAAAAACTGTCTTGATGTCGTCGCCGAGTTCCCAATCGTATGTCAGCATTCTTGAAACGGGCTCCGCATTAGCTCTCTCCCTGCGAATGACTATAAGTAACAATATGATGAGGTAATCGTCCTCTGGGCGCGGAAAGAGGAAATCCATGTTGTGGATGAGACCCTGGACGGTGCGAAAATGGATCCGGCGGATGGGAGAAAAGGTGCCGTCTTTTACATATCGTGAATTGAGATCGTGCCAAGACAGCAGCTCGTATACAATCAGTATACCCTCGGGGGAGGAGGCAGTCATGTATCGAGAGGATGGGTCTACGGCTAAATGATAGCCAATGTAGGGAATCAGTCTCGGCAGCTTGTGCTTGCTGACGACAAACTCAAGTGTCGAGTCAGGACGTGTCCGTAGAAACAGAAAGACAGCGTCGCCATTCTCCAGTATTAGAACCAGCACTTGGGGAGGCAGACCGGCATGGGATGTCGAGGAGTCATGCCACTGGGCAGCGGGTTGGCGTGATTGGCGAAGACCACTGTGCTCAGACTTGACATCAACTGCCACGGCACCATTCATTATGCCAGAGTCTGAATAAACGCCAAGAACGGCAGCATTTCGAATTCTCGGCCCGAAGCCATTCTTTCGAAGGACTTGGTGAATTTGGCCATCATTGCCGAGCTCACTGATCTGGACAAAATGATCCTGTCTCGCGAAAGGCAAGATTAGTACCGAGGCTTTGAGATAGGTCAGGTAGCAAGGCGGGTGCATGGCAGACGGCAGCAACGTACCCCGATGAAAGCAATATCCTGATGCTTGGAGGAGCGGATCGATAGTGGGAGAATCCATCTAGTGACGGGGCTTTCGACGACGGTTCGTGTAATGAGCCCTAGAGTAGGCGCTTCTGGGAGGCTCGGGTCAGATCGAGGTTTGTCGGAAGAAGACGCCCCGAGGGCATCCTGCAGATTAACCGTCTCGGTCACCCACTGGCCGTTACGAAGCACATTGGTCTGAAAGGCCATGGCCTCGGCGTCATTGCCGTGCGGGCAAACAACGAGTCAAGAGGCAGGTGACCGCGGGGCGAAGGTGTTGAGGTTACAGCAAGGATGTTTGCTGCTGAGGGCTGTCAAGCAAATTAAACGTTATACAGCTGTCAACGAGAACAAAAAGGACAAGACAAAAAGCAGCTGCATCTTCCGCCTGGAGCAGATGGGATAGAGCCAGAGGGAACAACAAAAGGTCTGAAGGAAAGAATGAAAATTCAGTATGGAAATTATTATGGTGGCGAGTAGGCGAATGGCAAGTCTCCGTCGTTGGCTTCGCCGAGGAAGGTACACAGCTGCCAGGTTGAGGCAAGGCAAGGTAAGGCGAGGCGAGGCGAGGCGAGACAAAGGTGCGTGTGTTGTATGTAACGGCGACGGGCAGCGGGATGTCTGCTGTCGGAAGCAAGGCAGCAGGGATGAATGGAGTAGGACAACAAAAGCCGGACTCTAATAAGTGGCTGACCAACGTCGCACCAGACGAAGCTCTGGAAGGATGTCGGAGAGAAGAGGAAGAAGATGGGCAAGAGTGGAAGACGGCAAGATGAGGTAAGGAAGCAAGATGGTAATAGGTAGGTAATAACGTTGTGGTGGCGGCCGAGGGGAATGCAAATGGGAGCTCCAGGCGGCGCGCCTACCACCAAGAGCCCTGAGGTGATGGAGAATGGAGTCCACTAAATTCAGGCGCGCCCGGTGGAAGCTGCCCTGGCCACTGTCACTGCTGTAACCTGTGGCGGCGAGCACAGATATCTCGGTGCGCCCATGCAGCCATAGACGGACCTCATCATGCAATGCAACCAGAGTCGCAGACGATAAACGATGGATAGGATGCAATGGCTGCCATTATGCTGTCCTTTCAGTAACTAGGACTTTGCTCAGCCAGGTACCAATAGGTTATTCACAGTTGCAACTACCAAGATACATCCATCGCAAGCCAGTGACCACTCCTTGCCCATGTAAGAAACGAAGCCTTTCTAATCAAGTATCTATCTACAGGGTCTATAATGCACTTTCCATTTGCTACGATTATTTTCTTGCCTCTATCTGTCGGGCTTGTCGTGGTCAGTGAGGTACCAACAAAGTAGGGTAGGTGCTTAGCTGTTGGGTACCTACACGCAACGGGCCGGCGTAAGGTAAGTACGACACCGTTGGCCCGCCCTGCCGCATGTAGCACTGCAGTGGAAATCTCCTTACTTCTCCTCACTTATCAAGAGGCCCGATCACGGGTATCCTGCACAATTTCGATTTACAGGATATTGTGCTTCACGAGGTAGCACTCGGCGGCGTGCAGATGACGACCACTAGTGAGGGAATGGGGACGAGGAGATTCATAGCGCATTCGAGAAAACGCGCTCCACCAAAGCAAGATGCGGGCTGCCGAGCGGGGGCTGATGCTACCAGGACAGGGGCCGGGCTCAACTAAATGTGCATCCTCTTCAGCGGCCTTGAAACCCTTTTTCAGCACGGCCCAGCGCCTCGCACAGCATCTCCGGAGCCTTCCATTCAGTGGCCCTCGCGTTTCTAGCGGAAACTACTGGTGAAGCTCTGTTAATAATTACCTGGTAATCTGCCCATGGGATTGAAGGGTGAGCCAGCTTGCCAGGCAACTGACGTCCACGGGAGCTGCACGACTTGAATGATAGCCTAGCCGAGTGGAAACATTGGATGAGAGCCTCCTAGACCAAGGTAGGCACGGCAGCATCTAGTTGTAGTGTGTAGATCTGTTAGCTTTAACTTTGTTTCTCTTTTCCGACACCCAAATTTATAACCTACACTTTGGAACCCGCTTCCAGCTTCATCACAGTCTCCTCAAGGGAGTACATATGGATACTCGGGTAACATGGGAACACACCCTGACATTGATGGATATTGATGAACCCCCTGGCAGCGCCTTGTAGGTACCTACAAGCTAGGGCCGTGACCTGTCCTGTTCGTTTGCCCTCGCTTGTGGACCCGGCCAGACCTTCCTTCATCATGCTTACAAAACTCCTGAGAACAGACAGCCATCCTTTTCCCGCCTCTGAATGATCCCGCAAGTTAAAGCCCAAGACCCAACGCTCAGAGCTTGGGTGGCCCTCTAGCATTCACAATTATAAACTGATTTAATCCCTCTCAAATAGCCGTACAGACTGATACTTCGGCTTCTCGGGTCCGTCAACAAACGACAGCAGCTTCCCCTACTCCGACATCACTGGAGACAACTGGCCCAGTAATGCAGCAATCCGTAAACGAGCAAGCTATCGACTACATCCCAGCCAGGTGGCTTTTCGTTAATAAATGATGGGTCTGCAACAGAGTCCTTGTCGCCCTCAATTGCCAACAATGGGATGGGCAGCAGCGCCTCGCCTGAGCCGACGGCAACCTCGCCCCCTTGCTTGTGCCATCCTCCTCTCGTTTCCTCTGCCAAGATGATGACCACAGGGATAGTCCGTACATTGCCACTCTCCGACACAAGGCCTTGATAATTTTCTCCAATATTGTCACGGATCAAGTGATGATGGAAGAGTAATAGGTACCCAGAAATACGTCCAAGGACAAGAACCACTCTTGACAACAATCAAACTACTATACTGGTTCATTGGGGGTCAAGCTGGCCCTTCTGCGGCCCTTCTTCCCAGGCACAAGATTACTTCTCAGCAACGGTCCGAGGGTGTCACAAGTTTTCGCCCTTTTCTGTTTTGTTTCTGCGCTATCCTCGCGGATAAGGCTGCCAGCAAATCTTGGGGTTCACATCTTCCTTGTTAGATCATATCGATAAACCCCGGCCCCTACCATGTAACAATACGGACAATCATATCTGTTACGCGACCAGAATGTCTCGTCAACAAGTGAAAGCCTCTAGGCTACACGACTTCAGGCGGAGGGCGGTGGGCATGACCGTGTGTCTCTCCACTCACACACATTCACAGCTGGCGGCATTTTCAGGCATTCGACGTGAGGAAGAACATTCGGTGATTCTCTGCCATTCTACTGGTTCCGTCATTGCCACAAAAGAGCATCAGTATACTACACTCTTGTGCTGGTTTACCCCTGTTGCCCCCTTCTGACCTCATGGAGGTGCAGTTTGCCATATCCTCATGAAAACGGCTAGGAATAACGACCGGCTGTCATTGTCGAGCTTTTCTTGTGGTACAATTTGTTGCCGCAATGCAGGAGTCGGTGTTGAGAGCCGAAAAGTGGTAACTAACCTGTACACGGACAGGAGTTGTCGAAGCCGCACCAGTCGCTCTCTGCAGATGAACTAAACACGCAGGAATGCATAGCTTTCGGCAGTCATTAAGAATGCGCTTGGTGCGACATAGGCTTGTCCAGGCATCAAGCTACTGCAACTTGCTCTTGTTAGCTATTGCTGACAGCTTGTGAGCAGCGGAGTCGAGTAAACTTCCTTGACCAATCATCAGAGAACTTAAGGAAGCTAGCCATAATATGAAGTTGCCCGACTTTTTGGTTGGGAATAAGAATTTGAAACCGCTGTCTTGCCCAGTCACGTCCGTGGTTGTGCGAAGGCTAGTACGGACTCCAGAGTGGACGGTAAGCCACACCCTGGCTCCTAGAAGCATAACGTTCGAGAATTTTGTTTTGTTTTTCTACAGAGCATTATGTGAGCCGGCTCTGGGGGTTATTAATGAGCCATTTCGTCTGATGTTCCGATAATTCCCATGGGAGAGTCCTCGTCGGACGGCAAGAGTCACCTTGGCGACCCCCAAAATATCTAAGACAGTGCCCAGAACTGTGAAGCCACTTGGGCTTGCTGGGGTCGCCTACCCACTGCCTGCTAGGTAACTATCTATTTCATCTGTTCGCGCAAACTAGAATATGCAGAAACTTCTCCCATGTTGTTTCTCCCTCGTCCGATGCGGGCACCAGAGCTTGCGCTACATCACAGTGCAGCCCTCTGCACGGCGGTGCGGATTGACGTGGCGGTCTGCGCGGAGAGAACCACATTGATCGATGGTAGGATTTCCGTCCTGTCAGAGGGATCGGTTTGGCAGCTTGCAAGGACCAGGGCTGAACTGTCCAATCCCTGATAATATGCCAGACCATGGTTGGAGTTGGGTTGGTGTAAGGCTAGTATCCGTACTACGAGCTGTGGGCCGGAGAATCGCAGGCTCGTGCACGGACTTGGTCGTATTCTCGGTCAATGGTCGCATCAGGCCGTTATAGATTCGGGAGGTAGAAGCGAACTCGGGCGACGGAGCAGCCGGCATTCCAGGAGGCAGTTCGGTCGGGCTGGAATACCTGACGTTGGAGCCATGTGTTTTTGTTGCAGTTCGGCTATCGTCGTTGACGAGGTCCCTGCCTCGATAAAGTCGGATGTTACAAGCCTAGTCCCGTGGCTAGACGCCAGTTCCGCACGAACTACTGTCGCTCTTTAACTTGTTTTGGTGCATGTTGAAGCCGTGGAGGTGACATGTCATAATTCCAGGCGATGGCGCGGCGCAAATCCCCAGAGCCACAGGGATGCTGGCGGGATAATCAATCCGCTGACTAGGTATATGAGATGGAGACGCAAACTAGGTTACCGCCTGTAGGGCGCGTGCCTTGCTTTTTACAATCAATAACTGACTGCTGTTGGTGCGGAAATAGAGGCGACATTCAGTGACAGTCTACAACCGAGAACACACTGCCCGGTTCGGTCTTGGCAAAGGAGGGTTGGCTCGCACTACTAAAAGATGGCAATCCGCAGGAGACTTTCTCTTATCTTGTCATCCTTCCTCAAGCTCCGTGCCTACTGTATGTAATCCTATAACTACTAGCCAAGTTGAAATCATCGGCCAACGGCAAAATGAGTTACCAACTTACCAAACGGGGTACTCTACAGAGTAGGCACAACGCAGATAGCGGCATAACTGTTCTAATTCCTTGCCATAGTTTCTCGTTGCTGGATGTTTAACCGGTTCAGGGTGAGCTGACTTATCGTGTACAGAGGGAGTAGTGCTCTTACCCGCTCGCTCGGTCCACAGAGCCGAGGTACGGAACTGTCACCATGAGCAAATTATCGTGTAAAAATGTCTTGCATCAAGTAATTGAATAGGATCTGCCCCAGCTTAATAATACAGCCCTGCTGTGTGTAGTCGTCCCACATGGAGCAGATGTGCCCCCAATAAGCCGCTGAAACGTGCCATTGAACCGTTTGACAGGTGACGTTTCTGCGCCCCACAAGAATAAGCTTCCGTGAAACTGCGACTGTCCAAAATTTTCATGTGAATAATAAAGAAGATCAGTATATTCGTAAGAAACAGCCAAGCGGGAAAGACGAAAGCCAAACGTCCAATCATCTTCGCGATATTCCGCCCGGGACGAACGTCATTGTCCTAGTTAGCCATTCCGGTTCATCTCCTCCCTCATCTCCTCCCTCTCTAGCAAGGGCTCTTGCTTCCAGGCCGCTTTCATGCCCGCTCAAAGGATAAAAAGATTGAATACATGACAGATATGATAATCGCTCAGAAATTTGCAACATAAACCCAATGCCAGTGCTACCCTGTTGCTCTTCGTCCGCCTCTTTCAAATTCCATCGTCATGGTTTAATCACCGTCTTGGTATGCCGTCTTAAGTTCCTCAAAGTGCCGTTGGTGCTCGTCCGCGAGCTTCCCTGTCGTATCACTGATGATGGTCAGAATTAGGGAGTAATTATTGTACATGAAGCGCGCCGTCTTGCGCTTATCGGCTCCAAAGGAGTTGCCGAAGCGCGTCAAGAACGCCTCGACGTCGGTGCGGAGGCGCTGCAAGCTGGCCGCCACGGGCTCGTCGTCCCCTGCCTCGACACTGAGAGACAGGAAACCGTGCAGCAGCTGCCCAAACCGCTGTGTTACTTGGTGTGGTGCCGCAGAGATTTTTGCCTGCTCTGCCGTCGACTTGCTCGCTTTTGCCGGCGTTGAGTTAGTCAGTTGCCGGACACATTCGCAGTGCCGATCTATGATGACCTGCAGCCGCGGCCACAATAGCATGTTGGTGGCGTTGATGTAGCTGTCCACAGCTGGCACGCGCCGACGCTGTAGCTCAAAAGCGAAATGCTGATTCAATCGGATGCAGAGAAGAACGCCCAGTGCGTCATATGTGTCCCCAATGAGTGTCTTGGATAGCGTTTTTCCAAGCTCAAAGGTAGGCTCGAAAATATAGTTGAAATTCTTTGAAATATGAGAAAACGATAACGACGGTGAAAAGTACGTGGCGAGAAACGTGTACTCCACTGCTGCATTGTCTATTAGAGCGAGATTGAAGCTGCGGAATGGCACTTCTAGGTAGTGTGTGGCTTTGTCTTCCTCTGCCAAGAATGACGAGAGCGCGGGTTGATCGCCTGCTTTGATGATATCGACACGACGTCCAATATTAAAGGCATCGTGCGGTGGTCCAGTAATCCGCCCAGCTGACAATACGCTAGCCATCCGAGTCGTTTCTTCAGGGTTCAAAGTGTCGTTTTTGTCGAGAATATGGAGCTTGATTTTCCCCAAAGCCTTTTCATATCGCGTAAACTGAGTATGATAGTACCAACGCATGGTATTCATATACGCTAGGGCGATTTCTTCGGCAAGTTTGGAGTGGTGCTTGTAGAGAAACGTGTAGAGTTCCTTGAATTTGAGGAAATTTTGTTGTTGGATAATTTGGGCATTGATGTTGGGTGAGCGCAAGGCCTTGATCTGGGCAACAATAACGTCTCGGATACGTTCAACAGCCTGTAGAGGTCGTATTAGAGCACTGTTATTGCAGATCGCAGTATACACGGAGCGCACCTTTTGAACCAGCTTCTCCAGCAGCGGGCCGAGGTCAGAAGTCGCCTTGCTTTGCTGGGTTTCCTTGAATTTCTTCTTATGCGCTGTAGCTCGTCGGTCAAGCTCTGTGAGCATCTTGGGCCATGTTTCGTCAATAATTCCGGTAGTAATCTTTGTAATCACTTCGGGGGATACACTGAGCTCTTCGACGAGGGGGTTGAGAGCTTTTTCAACCTCTTTCCTATTATCAAGTCTCTTGTTCAGGGCAGTTGAGCGGTCTTGCAATGATTCGATGTCTGCAGCCACGGATGCCAAGTCGTTACGGAAGCTCGTAAGGTTCGTCTCGACAGAGTTGAGTATATCGTCACAGGCAGTGATTGAACGGTGTAAGTCCTCGAACTTGGCCTGGTCACTTTCATCTGCATCCACGTTAGCCACAAAAAAGTCGTAATGGGTGGCTCGAAACATACAATCACAAGGTTTCTGGGATTTTCGATTCGGAGGGGGCGCATCTACGTCCATTTGCGACGCCGCGAGCTCTTTTAAAGACAAGCCACCGAAGTCGAAGTCCAGATCGAAGTCAGGGTCGAGAATTTCAGTATCACCAGCCGTCGTTGAGCTCGGTGCTTTTCCAAGGAGCTTCTCCAATGTTTCAATCGAATTTGTGGGATGCGCAACGGGCGCTGAGGATTGCTTCAAGCTTGATCCATTCGGTCGACGCGAGGATGTCAGTAATGAGGCGGAGGACTCGGAAGAGATGAGCGACAGTGAGGAGCCCCTAGGCGATTGGCCCTGGCGCTGTGACGTAACATATGGACTGAGATTGCTTGAAGTTCGTCGTGGCAGCGGCGAGTAGGATCGAGAGACGGATTGGGGCGTGGATGAGCCGGAGCCGCTGGCCTGGCCAGCGAGCCGGTCAAGCCACATTGCGGTTTAGAAGGGGATGGAAGGTCGCGAAGATATCATGGAGGCCGCGCACGATCGAGGGCAGGTGGGAGATGTGGGTGATATTGAGTTTGTAGGTGGTTTCCAATCGCAGGTATTTCTTTGGACGCGACTGGCAGCGAATAGAGCAACTGTGGCAGATAGGCACGAGACGACGTTTGCATGTAGGTGATGATATGGCGTACATGTAGTAGATGGAGCTGCGCATTGAGAGGTACGTCGACTAACGACAGCACATCTTGCCGAGCTTGGGCAAGGAGAGCCTGGAGAGTGACTTTACCTAAACGGGGATGGTGCTTAAAGCCCCGCAAGACCAGAGAAGTGTAACAGGCCAAAGTGCTACAGGGCATGCAGGGCATCTCTGGCAGTGAGTTCCTCAGGCCGGAGGGCGAGCAGTGCTTGTGCATAACCTTGCTTGCTGTAGGTACCTTAGGATTGGGTAGAGCTGCGAGTAACTAAGCAGATGGTTTGAAAGCGTCACCTCCATGTTGCCGCAGACCTGATGACCTCAAAGTAGGGTACCTACAGGGAAGATAAATGGGTCAGGTACTTGTGCTGCATGCCATTATTGCAGAGACAGATAGGTACTTTATTTCAGTCTGCTGCAGGCAGGTACATTTGTGTAGGGCCAGGCTGCGGGGCTTCAGTCTGCTCCAGTGTGGACTGGACTGCCAAATTCACACATTCCACCCAATCACACAGGCCAGGAAAAAAAATCCAGACGCTTTTTTTTCGTCGCGCCACCAAACTCGCTCCCTCCTCCCACCTCTCCCACCAAACTCCCACCACCTCTAACCTGCTATTATTGTACCCTGAACTGTTTTTTTCCTCCACCTAGCTCCTCCACCTTCCTCTCCTTCTGGTCACAACAACTTTCTTTCCCATCAATTTTTCGCTTCTCCTGTCTTTACGCCCTCTTCTCGCGCAATCAATCATCATGTCTGCTGAGGAGGTAAGCCACTGCTCTTTACCCGCCTCGCGAGCTCCCAGTCGTGCGCGCTGTCGCAACCACTCATTCGCATCACCCCGCACCTCGCCTCGTGCCCCTCGCCTCACCTGTCGTCGCCCTCAACACCACTCCTATCCGCCTCAACCCAAACATGTCGCCCTTCGCGCACTGCCTTGTCTTGAATTTCCTCCATTCTTCCCATCGCTAACTCCATTTTCCTTCTCAGCACGATGTTACCTTCGAGTCCGCCGATGCCGGCGCGTCTCTCACCTTCCCTATGCAGTGCTCTGCTCTGCGTAAGAACGGTTTCGTCGTGATCAAGGGCCGCCCTTGCAAGATTATCGACATGTCCACCTCCAAGACCGGCAAGCACGGTCACGCCAAGGTCCACCTTGTCGCTACCGATATCTTCACTGGCAAGAAGTACGAAGATCTCTCCCCCTCTACCCACAACATGGACGTCCCCAACGTCTCTCGTCGTGAGTACCAGCTCGTAAGTCGATTTGCCTCCGCCTCCGCCTCGGTCTTCAACGCCGCTGACGCCATATGCTAGCTTGATATCTCCGACGACGGTTTCCTCTCCCTCATGAACGACGACGGCGACACCAAGGATGATGTTCGTATGCCCGACGGTGAGATCGGTGACAAGATCAAGAAGCTTTTCACTGAGGATGAGAAGGACACCAGTAAGTTCTCAATTGCTCCACAATTGGTATCGCATACACATCTAACCTTTTACCACCTAGACGTCATCATTCTTACCTCCATGGGCGAGCAGGCTGCTGTTGAGGCCAAGGAGGCTCCCAAGGGTGCTTAAGCGCCTCGCTTCGGTTCTGACGCACTGCCGCCGGCTGCTCGAGGGCTTCAAACTCCCTCTACATTGATGAGGACTGTTTCATGAATAGCGTTGTTAGTTGCTGTTTGCCTGGCGGCTGCTCCGGGCGCTGTGCTGGGCTCGTTGCGTTGCAAAACTTTCCGTCGGGATTTGATTCATGCTGCAAGGTTTTAAATTTCCGCATTTATAAACCTGAAGACTATCGGGTTTGCATCTCTGTTTCTGATACCGGCATGACTATGACTTCTCTAGAGCTGTTCATAGATGGAAAGTGAAACAAAAAACAATACTGCCATAAATGCTCAACTGTATCGTACATTTGACTTCTCACAATTCACGCTTTGGCGAATTTGCCCGCTCCCATAATTCCGTAATCACTTACACTGATCTACATGGATCTTATTTTTCCTCTTTCGATGTAAAGCAAGCCTTTTATCGCCTGGCGTACTTTTGTCTCAGACTTGCTGGCGATTATTGTGCTGAGAGTTTGCGCCTCGAAGTCCCGCTATCCGCCAAACCCCGCCCTACCTAACTGACTGGCGGGCGGGAACCTGCAACTTGCACCTCCATGCATCTGCCAGCAAACACCTACATCAGTCTACAGATAGGGCCCAGCGGCCTTGGCAGCGGCATTCATGGCCTGGATACTTATTTTCTATACTGAGTTAATGGACCGACGACTGCTCTCACAGCCACTACAGAGAGGTCGTCGCGTTTGGCCAGTCAAGCACACCTTGGCATTCATATCATCAATATGAGCAACTCTCGGGATTTGCGGCGTATGCCGCGAGGTGAAAAATGCCCAGAATGCGGAAGTCGGAGTACTTATGACCAGGACGGCATGCGGTATTGCGCCCACGGTCACCAAGTTGCAGTATGACTAAATATTTTCAATCTCACTATCCTGTCATAACTAACGATGCTGGGGATTTAGGGTTTCATCCAATTTGACCTTGGCGAAGAAGCAGAGGCTGGTATGATGGGAACAGTCTCCAAAAAGCAAAAGGTGATCAAGGAAAAGGAAATACGACAGCTCAAAGGCACAGCTGGGAAACTGCTGTACCTCGAAGCTCTCCAACTGCTGCTGCGCAAGCAAATCGAATGGCTTGTGAAGGAAAGGGGATATAGGGAAGAGCTGGAGACCGTCGTCCGAGATTTGTGGGATTTGCGTATCCGTGGCGCGACAGCGCTGGGACAAGGGCCTGAATCAGGCGTGTCGGCTTCTGAAGACGCCCCGGAACTCTACAATTCTCAGCCGGAGGTTGTCGAGCCCACGCGCCTGTGGACTTTGCCATCAAAAGGTCAAGACTGGAGCGCCGACCGCGGGCTTAGCTGGCCGCTACCAAACATGGGTGACACGCTGGCGTTGTGCTACCTGGGCTGCTATCTACTGATGATACCAACACGCTTGGGCGAGATAATCAAGTGGGCAAATTCTTTCCAGCTCCCGTACCGGAACGCTGTAGGTTTCACATACACGGACGAGAATGGAAGATTTTAAGGCGATGGCTAATAAGGCGATTAGTTTCAGCAATTGCCCACTGAGATGCAGGAGCGCATGCCGTCTACCTATATCAAACTTTTGAAGGCGCCAATACGATCGCCGATAGAAGGTGTCAGGGCATACTCGGCTGTCATGGATTTGGCCTGTTCCTATCATTTCAACTACAGCATGATATTCCCCGATCTAAATTATATGCCGCTGTTGGTACAATATACCAAGCTGCTGGCACTGCCAGGTTTGTTCTTCCTACTGCTGCTTGAAACATCTACTTACTAGTGGTAGTGGAATCCATGGTTACTGTCCGAAGGATCTGCGATATCCTTGGCTACCGATTCCATTTACCAGTACAAAGTACTCGGGTTTATCCTCTTCAAATTCCAGAGATTCGACTCGTCGCCCTGCTCATTGTTGCCACAAAACTGTGTTTTCCATTCACTGGCGGAAGCCCACTTACACAATCGGATCAGGGCCTGACTCTACCATCATTTGACTGGCGCAGCTGGCAATCTGCCAAAAGCGAGCCGAGTCAAGACATGTCTCGAACATTTGATGATGTAACACCCAGTGACGTTGCTGGAATGGCAGACGACGACCTCGATGCTTACTTTCGTCACATTACAAGTTTTCTGGAAAAGAAGAGTAAGTCATTCTCTTATGGATGTAGACCAGCCACTTATGGTCTCCCAGATGCAAACCAAGTCACGGAATTCTTTCCTTCAGAGCCGAAAGTCGTGAAAGATCCTATGCATGAGGAACCAACACCAGGAGAAATAGATGAGATGGCACGCACAGTGCTCCAAAACGCTATGGGAATGCCCAGCACAGAGGTGCCAGGTAATTTCACCTACGAAGCATATCGAAAGGTCGAGGATCTCCCGCCCGCAGCCAAATCTTTCTACAACGCTTTAAGTGAGTACCTCAATATTTCTCCCCAAAGGTACCCCTCTCAACTAAGAGAATAACTGACGATCGGTATCCAGGCTCCGTGGCTGAAATCCCGCTCGAGACTACGGCGCGGGCAGTGTACATGCTTGAGCAGGCGATTGTAGCGTGGCAAAAGGCTCAAGGCAAGAAATGAAAGCTTCTGTTTGTAAATCCGTATTCATAGTTCGAGATACCCTGTGGTTAATAATAATCATCGTCACAATGTTGTAAACATCTACCTATAGCAAGGACGGTGAAGGTACTTACACTGGGGGAAGCTTGCTGGCCGCTAGCAAAGCTAGCAATTCCGCTCGCGCAACGAATCTCGTCTCAATCGGGTGGCCCTTGCAGAAGATACGATACTAGAGGCGGAGGCAAAGATGTGGGGAGTGCACATTTTGCAGTTCGGTAAAGGAAATTGAAAATTATCACGTGAGGCCTGGGCTAACCTAGGGTTTCCCAAGTCCTCTGCCTGTGCGCCCCACCAAATACACGCGCAGTTCTGAGCCTCCGAAACTTCAAACATCGTCAGAGTCACAGAAATCCGTCAAGAGTGAGTAAAGTGCTTTGCTATTGCAATTGGAATAGAGCTATACGCGATGCTAACAACCTCATAGTGCAGATGTAAGCCTTGGTCCCCCCTCCGATCGCCCGCCGCGCAGCGCCGTTCGAACCGAAAGCCTCGAGACGCAACGCCGAACCGACGAGTACTTTTCGATGATGGAAATGCTGACTAGAGTCCCGACTGCAGTTTCGTGAAGACCCTGACGGGCAAGACTATCACCCTCGAGGTTGAGTCCTCGGACACGATCGACAATGTCAAGTCCAAGATCCAGGACAAGGAGGGCATCCCGCCTGACCAGCAGCGCCTGATCTTTGCTGGCAAGCAGCTCGAGGATGGCCGCACCCTTTCCGACTACAACATCCAGAAGGTTCGTGATTTTTCGCCCAGTCACCGACTCTTAACTCCGACAAAAAAACCCCTCGAATATCGAATTATCGACGATTGATTTTTGGAGGGGGAACGAAACGCCTCATGTGGCAAAAGTGATCTCTGGCTGACTGAATGTGTTCAATAGGAGTCTACCCTCCACCTGGTCCTCCGCCTTCGTGGTGGTATCATTGAGCCCTCCCTGAAGGCTCTCGCTTCCAAGTTCAACTGCGAGAAGATGATCTGCCGCAAGTGCTATGTACGTCGAAATACCCGAGCTCAACACAACCCCCGACAGAAGGCCATAGCTTCCCACGAACACGCATACTAACCAGCAACCGCTCACAGGCTCGCCTCCCTCCCCGTGCTACCAACTGCCGCAAGCGCAAGTGCGGCCACACCAACCAGCTCCGCCCCAAGAAGAAGCTCAAATAGACGATACGTTTGCGCGCAAGTTTTTGTGTGGATGTTGGCGTCTGGGTGGTTTCTGGCATTCTGACGACGAATCTGGCAAGGATAAGAGTTGCTTTCCCGGGTTCACGAAAACTACATTTTTTTCCTTGTTGTTTCTACGGTAGCATCCTTTGGTCAGGCAGTGCATTCAAGACGGTGCCAATGAACTAAAAAAGAATAAAACATACTTGAAAAAAAGGAATTACACGTGGATATGCGATACAGCCGACGCTAGTGAACGATGTTGTGCAGCGGACAGGATACGAAACGAACGATCCTCTACCAACCACCTCGGTAGAGTTTACATATGTGATTAGAACTGGGGGACTGAGCCGAGTCAATACCAGACCTGACGTCAAAGCAGCTATTGGCCTCTGGCGCCATACCTTTATTACAAGCCGGGTATCGCGCGATGCCAGCCCTCGAGATACTCCTTTCTGATATAAGAGACGACTTGTATCAAATATGCCGCTGAAATTTCTTTCGAGAACTGCGCAGATGTTGGTGGATTTTCATATCTAGCCCTGATATCTTGCTCAAATATAGTTTAACCTGACAGCACGGCCTTGACATTGGCATGACGGAGTGGCGTGATGCTAATAGAATCCTCCCATACAACAGGGCCGTGTACGAATCATGGAAACTCACGGGGCTCATTCTACTCGAGTACAGGAATCTTGCTCTGCGCAAGCTCAAACATTTCCTTGGAGAAGCTGTCCGTCACCGGCGTACCGACCAACGTCGTCATGTTCCTGTTCTTGAAGGCATCCGACCCGAACCCGCCAAAGGTGTTGACGGCCACAATCGCGCCGTTGCCAGTGCTTGGGTCGTAGTCCTCCATGATCGGGCCGCCGCTGGCGCCGCCGCCCATGTAGCACGCAACCTGGAGCATGCTGGGGTCCGGGCCCCAGAACGTGGGCGTCCCGCTGCACGCCGCCAGCCGGCGACCGGTAAACGCGGGCGTACCGTAGCGGAGGGCGTCCCTGGCGCCGTCCGTGTTGTCACGCGGGTAGCCGAACAGCCAGCGAGGCTTGTACGGCTTCTCCGGCGCGGCGTCGCGGAACCTGATACTCTGCCCGACGCTCTCGGCGTGGCTCGACGACGACGCCGGGCCAGGGTTCAGCAGGAGGAACGCCCGGTCGTAGATCTCCGTGTCGAAGCCGGGGTCGGCCACCCACAGGCTCGAGGCGTAGGCGCTGTGTACGGTGAAGTTGGCGACGCCGGCGCCGTCGCGGAAGGCGGGCACGAAGAGCACGTTGCTCATCCAGGCGCCTCCGTGGCCGGTCGGCGCGCCGAAGATGCAGTGGCCGGCCGTCACGACGACGGCCGCGCCGTCAGGGCTCCTGGTACTCAGCAGCGTGCCCGTGCAGCTGCCGTCGAGCGCGGTGCCGTTGGATAGCCGGCCGGTGCTCAGGATGCGGCCGACGGTGGGCACGATGGTGTTTTGGCTGGCAAACTCGGCGCCGTACGGCTGCTCGTCGGCGGGGATCGGCGGCGGTTCGGCGTGCAGCACCGGGTTGCCGGGGATGGCGGCGACGCGCTCGGGGGTCCAGTAGCTGCGGACGCGCTCGTCCTCGGCGGCGGTCGTGACGTAGGGATGCTCCGTGATGGTTTCGGTGGCTGCGGGTGCAGTTGTCGCAATCGCCGCGGCGAATAGGCAGGCGACGAGTTTATACATGGTGTAAGATGAGTTTGGAGTGTAAGTTATGCGAAAGGAAGTACGAATGAAGGGGCTGGCAAGATATGAGTGAAGGCCATTGATGATTGTCGAAAGGCTCTTTATATAGACATTTTCGAAACTATGCAGCCATGAACGTTGTATGGCCAGATCACATCGAGACTCTGTTGTATAGTGACGTATCAGAAGAAACCATACCTCGTATCTTCGTAGGCTATGCCATGACTTGACGCAATATTGGACACAAGCCAGAAGTATGTTTCTGGCGATGGTAATTCGTTTTCCCTAGGTTGGCTTGAGCGCAATCGCGCAGATACGAACGTACGAGGTGCATGAGTTACGCTGTGTGAGGCAACGGACCAATCCAGGGGCACTTCAACGTTCCTATGAGATGTGGGATGTAGGGCGTGGGCTTGGCAATCTAGAACTGATGAATATATGGTTGGAATTATGGTTCAATGCCATCATTGTATTCGCTGGGTTAGCATACCATGCAATGGGGAATACGAGCAGGAGAGCGGGTAGGCGGATAGCAACGACTTCGCCGCGGCTAACTACGATGCGCTTTCTAACGCCGCCTTTCTCATTTGCCATGGGAAATAAAGGACTTATAATCTGCTTCATCTTCTATGCAGAATTGAAGTTGCTAAAAATTTAGTGTAATTCATTGCCCTTTCTGTCTATGAAGTGAGAGTTGCAGCGAGCGACTCTTGCATGGCCAAGCAACCCACAGGGTTGTCCGGTTGCAACTAGTTTCCGCAACAGGATACGAGAAGAACCCTGTTGAAGTCTTCGAAGTTTCCGCCACTGCAATTCTGCCTCTAATTGCTTGCTTATTGGTCAATCATGCTAACGAGTGTGCCTGAGTGCATCGTCGCCGGCGCCATTGCTTGAACGGGAACACGGCTTGGGTGCGAAGTTGACCGACCCCTGGACATCGGCAAAGATTGGTGGCACTCACTACTTATGCGATCCTGAAGTCTATAGAATCGGTACTTTAAGAAGTCCCATCATGTTTATTTATTTGTCTGCTACATTGGAGACGAGCAGTGGCCAAGCCTGGCTCCTGATGTACTAACGCTGGGAGGCCGGCTCTATTGACGTGTTCAACTTGTCTCATTATTTCTTCACGCGCGATTTCCATTACACTCATCCGCTCCTCTATCATGCATTCTTTGAAGTCTCGCCGGTGTACTTGCTTGGGCTTATTGCATTGCCTTCTTTCCACGCCGAAGGCATGGCTTCACTATGCTTTGTACGCGCGTACTCACCTTCTACAGGCCATAGAGAGAGTATTAAAAATCATAAACTTATCAAAACATCTCTATTCTCTGACTCTTACTAAGCTACTTCTATTAAAAAAAATTCTACTTCTTTTTATTGAGAAACCAGTCACGGTAAGTCACCCCTATGTACTACATATTAGGGTTAGCCAGGGCATCTCCAAGGTTAGCCTACGGCGACAGCTGTCCCGATTAAGCTCAACAGCTTTCCACCCTGCAAACCCGCCGCCAGCGACGTTTCCATCACGTCAGCCAACAATTTGCCTTCGTACGGCCCCAAAACAGAATCGAAATAAGGACGTTTCAGAGCGTGGATTTATCATATTCTTTACGGAAATATTGCAAAATGTCTGGCTCCGGGTATGACGCCGTGGTCGACGTGGACGACGAGGTACGTGTCGCGATGCGCAGGAGGGGGGGGTGTCCACCAGCAATGCTGAATATGCCTGTCTTGCGGGTGGGATACATTCTGCTCTGCTTCCCCCGATGACCCCTTCTCCTTCTCCCTCCTCTTCTTTTTCTTCTTCTTCCTTCCTTTGATGCCTTGCTAACTCGCGCTCCCGGCAACCCCCCGAACAGGGTGACCTCGGCCACACGGACCTGCAAGAAGACGGCCTCGAATTCCACAACTCGACGTTCCAAGAGGGCACGCGCGGCGGGCGCAAGGGCGGCGGCGGCGGCGGCGGCGGCTCCTCCTCGGCGGGCCTACCACCCCCCGTAACGGCATCGTCGTCGCAGAAGCGCTTCCTCTGGTCCATGTCCTTCTACGCCCAGTTCTTCGACGTGGACACGTCGGCGGTGATGTCACGCTGCTGGGCCGCGCTCTTCCCGCGCGCCAACTTCCTCGACGTCCTCGACGGCAACCCTGACCTGTACGGGCCGTTCTGGATCGCCACCACCGTGGTGCTCATCCTGTTCCTCGGCGGCAGCATCAGCCAGTGGCTGGCCACGCGCGGCACCGTCCCCTTTGCCTACGACTTTCGCCTGCTCAGCGGTATGTCATCCCCCCTCTCCTTCTCCCCCCGGCGTCTTTCTCGGAATCGGCCCCTCACTAACGTATGCCTGTCCGTTGATTCCTGCAGGCGCCGCCGGTCTCGTCTATGGTTACACCCTCTTCATCCCCATCGCCCTCTTCCTCGCGCTGCGCTACTTTGGCAGCGACTCGGCCAACCTGCTCGAGTGCTGGGCCCTCTACGGCTACTCTAACCTAATCTGGGTCCCCGTCGCCTGCATCAGCTGGTCGCCGCTCTCGATCCTCAACTGGACTTTTGTCGCCGTCGGCTTCGGCGTCTCCGGCGCCTTCCTGCTGCGCAACCTGTACCCGGTCCTCAGCGCCACCGACCGCCAGACGAGCAAGGTCCTGCTCGTCGTCGTCGTCGCCCTCCACTTTGGCCTCGCCCTCGCCATCAAGATCCTCTTCTTCGCGCATGGCAGCCCCGTCGCCAAGAAGCCGGCCGAGGGAGGCGGCGAGGATGCGGGCGGTGGTGCAAAGTTCCTGATGTTTTAGGAGGAGCATGTGTAAATCAGAGGATGCTCAAGAGCATGCGAGATTGTTATAGTTTGTCTGCGTAGTTTCTGATTGAATGTACTTTTTATGAACGTGTCTTATAAATTGTCGTAGAACGTGCGTAAGGGCTATTCTCTAATATACAGCTTGGGTGCTTGCTTCTCTGCCCCTTCTTCCCACAACACACCTCCATCACTTGCCGCCGTCTACCTTTTCCACCGGCCCGCCGTGCTCGGCCCAGTCCAGCCAGGAGCCCCTGTACTCGCCGACGCTCTTCCACCCGGCGTGCAGCGCCAGCCCCGCCGCCGCCTTGGCCCGGACGCCCGCCTTGCAGTAGAAGACGAGCGTCTTGTCCTTGGCCGGCCGCGGGTACCCGAACGCGTCCTCGAAGTCCTCCTCGGGCACGTGGAAGCTCTGCACCGCCGTCGTCACGGGAATGTTGACCGCGCCGGGGATCTTGCCCGTCTCGCGGAGCTCGGCCGGTTCGCGGACGTCTTTCAAAGTCTTTGTCAGCTGGAAAGGACTGGAGGGTCGTCGGGAGGAGAGAAGAACCTACCGACCAGGACTATGTTCTTGTCCTCGTTGGTCTGCAGCTGCCTCTGGATGTCGGCAAAGGTCCAGAGCTTGGTCGGCGGGTCGGCGGCGGCCGAGTACCGGCGCGAGACGGCGGTGCTCCGCGGGAGCGGCACCGGCACGCTGCGTCGCGGCGCGGACGCAGCGCGAGCGGGGGGACCGACAGCAGCAGCAGCGGTGGTGGTGAGTGTGCGAGCGGCAGGCGAAAGGACGATGACGCATCGCCGGACCGAGGCCGCCGCGGCGCGCCTGCAGGTCGCGGGACGAGCGAAGGCGACGGCGGAGGCGACGGCACTTCTGCTTGCCATTGTGGTAATGTGGTAGGAAGTGAGTGCGTGTGTGGGTTTGGTATCGGCGACTCGGATCGTTGGTCGTCAATTCGGTAGGGTGGCTTGCGCGTTGGAGTAAGGGTTGATGTTGCGAGATGGAAGTGAGGGTCCCGTCGGTGCTTGGGACGAGCTTAGGGAAGCCAGCTCCTCAAAGCTCCAATATTACTACGCCACTGTCTATTGGCCACCCAAGTCAGCACAAGAATACATTCATGCGTTGGAATCCGTCATGCTTACTTGCTATTTTTTCTAACCTTTCTAACTTCATAGTTGTTTCACATTATTAGAGAATTCCGTTCCAGTTCTGGATCCCTTGGCCGGGGCCTTGAATTTCAATAAGCTATGTACAAGGAAGGCTTGAAATCATTAAGTAACCCTCTGCAGGTCATTCGCGGCAATTGTCAGTCATTACCGCCTCCTCTGCAACCGCATTCCTTTCCGAAAAGAAATCAAAGGCATCTGGCATCATTAATCGCGTCTCATCCTCCATCAGTATTACCATAGAAACATGTCTATTTCGCAGGCCATGGTCTATCCTGCCAGGTTGTTTCCCTACCCCAGATCAAATCACTAAAAAAAAACACAAACGCCAAATCCCAATTGAAAAAATGCTTTTTACTGTCGCTTCTCAAAGGTAAGAGGGCAGTCGTCCTGCCATTACGTTAGTACACGGCATTTATTTACACAGAAATAGACACGAAGCATACCTTGGGGAAGATGGTTGCAAAGACTTTAATCTCCTCGGAGACGGGGGTGGGGTGGTGAGTCCAGTTCAACTGAACAGACGCCTTTCCGACCATCAGGGCAAGGTTGAGCTGAGCATAGACCTGGCCGAGGCAGTAGTGAGGACCAGTGCCGAAAACAAGATAGTTCTTGGCGCCCTTTTCCTCAGCGTCACCAAGGTAGTAGCGGTCAGGGTCGAATTGGTCGGGGTTCTCATACACGTCGGGGTCGTGTAGAGCCAGGTACGTGGTGGGAATCAACATAGAACCCTTGGGGACAGTGTAGCTATCGGTGATTGGGAAAGCTTTCTTGACGAGGTAGGGTACCATAAGCACGGGGGGGCGGTAACGAAGGAGCTCACGAACGACAGCGCGGGTATAAGTGAGAGATTCAAGCTGATCCATGGTAAGCTCGGCGTCGGGGTCACCGTTGCGAACCTTGAGGTTCTCCTCACGGATACGATCAAGAACATCAGGTCGCTGAGCGGTAATCTGGAACAGCCAGGTGGCGGCACTGCTGGTAGCATCCTGAGAGGCAAAGAGGAAGGTGAAGATGGTCTGGGAGATTTCATAGTCGCCAAACATGCGGAGAATGGGAGACGGCTTCTCGCCAGCATCCTCGCCCTTCTCCTGAGCCTCGCGCCAGCGGTCCGACTTGATCATCTGAATAATCCAGGCATCCATGATACAAGTGACATCACCACCGGCAGCCATGCGGACCTTGCTTTTGGCAGCGCACTTTGCGAACTCAGCGAGCACCATATCGGCAGCCTTTTTGCCGTACCAAGTCTTAGTGTAGGGAATGATAATGGGGAAGTTGACAAGCTCGAGGGCGGCGGTGATGAGATAGTAGTCGTCGGCAATCTTCTTGACAGCCTCATCGCTGATGTAATGACCGACGAAAGTGCGGCAGGAGACAGCGCACATGAGCTCGCGGAACTCGGGCATGAAGGGAACGGGCTTGCCGTTGGCCTCTTTGGTAACGTTGAGGAAGCGCCCAAAGTACGTCTTGTAGACTTCTTCCTGGCCGGGCAGGTAGAGTTCGAGAGCCTTGCGGGTGAAGAGACCGTTGAGGCCCTTGCGGAAGTCGACGTGGGCCTTGCCATCGAGGAAAACCCAGTTGTCGTGTCCGAGGAGCTTGTGCGCGACATCGACTACGCAGGGCTTGACGTAGGCGGGAGAGTTGAGGACCTTGCGGGCTAGATCTCTGGTAGAGGCAATAACGACGAACCTAAGTAATAAGTTGTTAGGAGATCTGTGGCGAGACACGGTAGGAGCATGAGGCAAGTTTACTTGTGGAAGACAGATACACAGCTGAGAGGGCCGCTGAGCCACTTTGCATGGTACTCTTCAAACTTGGGGTCCATGGACTCGAGGAAGGGACCGATGAAGGGCGTCTTGAACAGGGGACCGGCGATACTGCCTTTGTTGAGGAAGTACGAGACTATCAAGGCGCGTTAGAGGGCAATTGGTTGTCATGGCGCCGAGGCGTCGCAAACACACATACTCTGGTCGTAGACGACGCACATGGCAAAGAACGTCAGAAGTAGAGTCCAGGGACTAGCCGATGTGATTGTGTCAATGACATAGTCAATTTGGGGGGGAAGACTAGCAGTCGTGAACTTGGTGGTTCCAAGAACAGAGCTCAAGGTCGACGAAACGTTGACGGCGGCAGCCATTGTGTCGAGGGGGTGGCCAGGAGAGCCAGCGAGTGTATATCGAGCAACAATGAAGACAGACGGTGAATTCAGTTGCGACTCGGTTGAATGCGCAATCTGGGCGACGACGGGGGCCAGAAGTCGGGGGAGTCGGAGGATGTTTGATAAAGGAGGAGAGGAAGGGAAGGAGCGAAGAAGAAAATGGACCAGGTAGGTATGTAGGAGGTATGGGTCGTGGGGGTGGGTGGTGACAATTGGTTGGGGTGTTTTTTTTGTTTTCGCAGGGGATTTGGGGGGAACCTGGCACCTCGGGGGGTTCGGTTCCGGTAGGTAGCCTGATGAAGAGGGTCCTAATTTATTGGGAGGCTCAAGGCGCAGACCTTGTCAGTGTACCACGGAGACGGCGGAGAGACAACAGACCAAAGACAGAGCAGGCAATGCAATTTGCAATTATCAAAAAAAAAAAATCAAAGGGGAATTTCTGGGTCATCACCTGCAGGTAGGGAACAGGGCGGAGACTAGGTACAAGCCGGAGACTAATAGGATTAAGGTCAAGCGCCCTGTGGCGTGAACTAATGGCGATGTGCGCAACCACCGGATATCCCACTGGCGTGAAGCCAGTTTGTTGACGCCAGTTAGATATTGAATAATAAATTTAGTAACAATTTCCTATTTCCTTCATCGAGGGCGCATTTTGCGGCAGCATCATGAGATTTCCTGCCTGCAATGGGCTCATTGTACGCGCCAGGTCTGAGGCTGCTCTGTTCGTGCTCTTTCAAGTCTGGCTCAGATAAAACATAACAACGACTTGATTGGTTGGATCTGCTATCTGGCGGAGTTCAGGTACCGCGTGTCGTACTCGTAAGGTGGAGTGGGGTTCCCACATGCGAATACGCGAGGCAAGTGTTGGGGTCAAATCGACAGGTACAGAATTGAACGAGCACAGCGCTTGGGGCAGCGCTTACAAATCACCAACTAACCGCAGCACCAGGTTTATGAATTAAAGGGATGCTGTCGGAATATCAGTCAACAAGGGCAAAGATGTGTTGTAACAGCTGGCCAGCAGCAGCCTACCCGCAACACACGACGAAACTCTGAACATCTGAGCCAGAGTAACAGGAACGTAGCGTGGTACTGTCCAAGCTGCATCCTGCACAATAGAAAACACGCGCACAAGAATACAAGGTTTTCCTCCTTACTAGGTAGGCTTTCCCCAATACTAATCAACTATAGAAGTTAAAATAAGGGAAGCTTTACTGAAATAGTTGCACCAAAAAATAAACAAATAAAGGCGTGACCTAAAGTGGCCACAAGTTCTGGTCAAGCGCCGAATGAACACACAAATGCCTCCATCTTTAACGTCCAAATCTCATCTTATCTCTTTTAAAATAACCTGGACCGCCCCATCTCCAAAATAAACCGAGAATCAAATCCCAGGTGCTGGCTGTCTGCAAACAGTCCTTCATGCTACAGGGTAGCAGTTCGCAGCGTCCGACAGCCGTACATACCTTCCCACATGTGTGTGATTCATCGCGGTACCGAAGCCAGGAAATGCGGACAACGCTAGCCAAGGAACCATGATTTCAAGACGCCATACTTGCCATAGTGAGTCAAATGGAAACAAATAACCAAGGCACGCGTGCACCACACCAGGTGGCTGACATTCAAGTTTGAACCATGGCTCCAGGCTGGAGACCTAGGCTGAGGCCCACGTCATACCCCTCCCCCGCCTTCATCATCGCCGCTCGACCCATTGCTTCCTCCTACCAACATCAATTGCGCCCATCAACATATCACGCCGTTAAGATGCCTACCTATATTGTAAGTTAATTTTCCACGCCAGAATCTATTTGCAGCTGCATCTGATTCATCTTTGCTGACTTTCTCCCCTCAAGGTTACCCTCAAGGACGACGCCACGCCGGAGCAGGTCAAGGAGTAAGTAGCACGCCATACCTTGAGAGCATACTTTTTCAAGTTCATTTTTCTCACAATATCCTCCTCAGGACCAAGGCCAAGTGCGTCGAGCAAGGCGGCAAGATTATCCACGAGTACGACATCATCAAGGGCTTCTCGTACGTGTTTCTCCCTACTACAGATCAACCCCCAACCCTGATGGACGCCGGGAGTTGTACCCTCGATCACTCACGACGAGCATATTCAGTTTGCTAACAACATCTCCCTCCTCACGCGCAGTGTCAGCTATCCCGAGGACTCCATCACCGCCCTCGAGTCTCACCCCTACGTCAAGGCTGTTGAGGCCGACGGTATCGCCACTACCCAGTAGAGCGAGCGACGAGCACGAGGCACGCAGGTCATGTCGATGCACAGCGAGCTTGGCAGCATACTCCTTGCGATATAGAATGACATACAAGACAAGCACACAGATAATTGTATCATCATTCTTGCCCGATTCTAGCCGCGTGAATGCAGGGATTGTTTGGCGGGCCTGGTACTGCGATTAGTTGGCGTATCGATGGGCATCCGTCTACTATGTAGCTAGCCTAGTTGGAGGTTGAACCGTGTTCTAGAAAGTCAAATCGACTCAAAAGACGACATGAAATAGAAGGCAAGCCCAAATGGATCGAGTTGTTCTACATTGAATACCTCGGTGGCAGAGTCAGGTCCGCCTGCATATTGCTGTGACAGAGGGAGGGCCATGGAGGGGTAGCGGCTGGCAGCGGCCCTACTAATTATAAGCCCGTGCGAGGCGAGGCCTCGTGCCTTTCCGAACATGGCGGACCCCAGATATTGTAGCATGTCAGCGACTCATCCTCGACATCACTGCCCACACCCATCGCAACCACACCGTTTTCTGCTTTGCATTCCACACTCTGTATCATTCATTGTCGCATTGCATCTTATCGCCCGACGAGTACAATTACCCTGCGAGTTACTGTCTGCGACGACCAGCGTCTTTCCTCCAATTCCTGACACTTGTCATCGTCCGACACCGCCCACCTCCCGCCCTCAAGATTAGCTTCGCAAACGCTTCGTAACTGTCACATTGCCAAGCACCGAGACCTCCCCCAAGCACGCGCCATGTTGCCATGGCGGCACGAATAAATACACCCACAAGGCTCGCGTGCCGCCGGACCGCTGCGTCGTGCCTTCGGCGGCCGCGCTTCTTTTCCACTGCCGGCGCGTCAGTCGATCAGGTCACCGACGTCGATATTGCCACACTGGCCCGGCAGACGCAACATCCTCTGAGTTTGGCCGATCTCGTCAAGTAAGAATCGAATTAGTTCCCAGCTGCTTCCAAGACGAACCGGAATATATTGTCTAATCATATTGCTCCACGCAGACACGGCCGCCCACCACTCTCGGAACGCTCCCTTCTTTCCTCAGCTAACTTCACCCTCTCACTGCTCCCAATCCGCCTCGCGCACCGCATCCAGGCGCTGCGCAACCTACCCTTCATCGTTGTCTCCAATCCCAACATTGCGCGCATCTACAGCAACTACCTGCACTCACTGTCGATCTTGCTGCCCTACTGGAAGGCCGCCGCCGCTGGCCGCGCCATCACCACATCGGACGACGAGGTCCGCTTCACCCACGTCCTCGCCGAGCTCGTCGCCACCCACACTGACACCATACCCGTCCTCGCCCGCGGCTTCCTCGAGTGCCGCCGCTACATTGCCCCCGCAGACGTCACCCGCTTCCTCGACAGCCACCTCCGCGCCCGCATCGGCACCCGCCTCGTTGCCGAGCAGCACATTGCACTGCACTTCAGCAGCCACGCGCACCATGACCCTTCCGCCAGCCCGACCCCGTGCCCGGATGACCCTTCCTACATTGGCGTTATTGACACCGCCCTCCGTCCGGCCGCTACCGTCGAGGCCTGCGCCGGCTTCGTTGCCGACATCTGCGAGCTCCGCTACGGCGTCCGCCCCGAGCTCGTCATTGACGGCGAGCCGGACGCTACCCTCGCCTTCGTCCCCATGCATCTCGAGTATATCGTCACCGAGCTGCTCAAGAATGCCTTCCGCGCCACTGTGGAGAGCAAGACCCGCGAGCCCATCGTCGTGACCATAGCCCCCGAACCCGCCTTCAAGCACCAGTCCCCCGACGCCGCCCCTAACATTCCTGTGCCGCCGCCGTCATCGCAGCCCGAGGACGGCGGCTCCCGCACCGGTGCACCCGCCATTCTGCCCCTCGACGACAACACCCCTGGCGTCACCATCCGCATCCGCGACCGCGGCGGCGGCATCCCCACCGACGTCCTCCCGGACATCTGGTCCTACTCCTTCACCACCTTCTCGGAGGACCAGGAGTACGCCAGCCCCGTCGGCGGCGACGGCCTCTCCGCCATCGCCTCCGCCAGCTCCGGCGGTAGCTCCATCGCCGGCCTCGGCTACGGCCTGCCCCTCAGTCGCGCCTACGCAGAGTACTTTGGCGGCGGCATCGCCCTCCAGAGCCTTTACGGCTGGGGCACCGACGTCTACCTGCGCTTGAAGGGCGTCGGCAAGATTGACAAGTAAGGTGTGTGGGGTCTACGCTGAGGGCGCAAAGCGACATGAAATAAATAGAGTACTACGTTATATAAAATTACAATTAAATTATGAATGAAACAAGCAAGTAGATACATGTCCGGCTAGTACTACATATGATGAGAATGAAAATGGCTTGATGGGAGTGAGGCTCCTACAACACGATGCGCCATTCACGGAGGAAGAACCAAAGTCTTAGTCAACGACAGCGCTTTTTTATTAAGTATAAAAAGAAATGAGGCGGCTCCAGCTCATAGATCATGAGTCAAATATAACTAGTAAAAATAAGGTAAAAATGACTGTAATGGGCTTGCATTGCAGCAAGCTTTGCTGTGTTCAGTTCCTCTCCAAAAACGTCCCGTGATAAAATGACAAAAATTCTTCAGGATACAAAACAAGAAACCAAACAAGACAAGTCTGAAAAGGCAAAAAGTAGTCCCTCTCAAACATTATTAAGCAAAAAAAGAAATATGATGAAACCAAAATATGCCAAAAAGAGGCCGAAAACAAAAATGGCAGACTCATTGTGCCCCTATATCCAGTTCTCGCTTCTTTTGCATAAGCATTTCTTGTGCACAATCTTTACATGCTCTCCAGTTCGCGATCAATTTGTCGGTCGAGGAACGTCCGACGCTCGCCCACCAGCTCAGTCTGCAGACGCTGCTCTACGAGAGCACGCACCTGCTTCTTGGTGACGGTATCCAGATCAACATCACGTAGGACGGCCTGAATGGACTCGATGATCGAGGCGTCAGATGTCGCGCCGCTATTTTGTCTGAAGTCAATGTTGACATTGTGTAGAGAGGTGTCGCTCGCCATTGGAGGACGTTGCGAGAAGCCAATTGCGGATGAGGATCGGTTACCTCCGCCGAACTGAGAAGAGAGGTTGGATTGGCTGCGAATGTTCATCATGCTAGGTCGCGCCTGTGGAAAATCTTGGTAGGGAGATTGACGACCATGAAGATCTGCGACAGAAGGTTGCCCTCTGGCTTGCAGCATGGGATCCTGCTGATGGATCATGGTGGAGCTGCGATTGGGAGTACCCATGAAGGCAGGAGATTGCGGAGTCATGTAAGGGTTGTTGCCGGGCATGCCGGAGAGAACAGTTCCTTGGGGTGCGGCAGAATAGACAGATTTCATCTCGTCCATCTCGTATTGGTCCATGTAGGGCGAGTCTTCCTTCTCCTGGTAACCACCACGGCGGCCAGGCAGGTTGTTGACATAGGCATAGTCGTCCCAACGCTGCATGGGAATCGAGCGAGGGTCGAATATTTCATCCTCCACAGCGATAACTTGTTTGTTGCCCTTTTCTCCAATGACAATGCGAGTGTTGCCCCAGCTGAAGTTGTCCTGGTTCCAAAACGAGTAGATGGGGAGAATGAAGGCGTAAATGGGGAACGCAAGGATATATATAATCATCCATCCGATGTGTTGCCACTGCCGCTTAAGAATGAAAACCAAGGCTTGAAGGCCATAAACGGCGGCCAACATTGCAATCGAAATGACAGGGAATGGGCCAGTTTTGCTCGCCAGTAGGTAGACGAGATAGCCCAGGTAAACGCAGGTAGCAGGTAGAATGATTGTGCTGAAGAGATCAATGAAGACGACGAAGCGCATAGAGAAACAGCAGAAACCGCACATGTCGCCGAGACGCAGCAGCTCAACCAAGTTGTGAATAGTGGAGTTGATCCAGCGACGACGCTGAGAAATCAAAACACCAAACGATTCTGGAGCCGCAGTCTTACATTGGGCATCCTGAACGAACTTGTAGTGCATAGATGGAAAATGCTTCGTCATAAGAGTGGTCAGGAATCTGTCTTCACCCAGAGACAAAAGGTTCTTCTGATGCAAGGTGTCGACGTTGCAAATGCTGTACTCTTTGATGACGGCATCCGAAATGATGAGAGGCTTGCCCTTGTCGACTGTTCGTAATCTGTACATGGAGAAACTGTAGGGTTGGATGGTCAGCTTGAGAAATTACGAAAATTATTCGGGGAACATACCATCCGGGCAAACACGTAACACTTCCAAAGAGTGACTCAAAGGCCTTGGCAAGGTGGTGAGAAATGAAGTATTCATACACCTGGATCATGGTCCACCATGACTTTTCATCGTTCTGTAGGCTGGTTTCACCGCAGATACCGGCAATCTTGGCGTTGTGTGCGCAGGCAGATACTAAACGATTGAGGGAGTCTTCTTCGACTGCAGTATCGGCATCGACCATGAGGAGATACTCATACAGCTCAGGGTCAACGCCGATGATATTGTTGATCTGATGGAACATCTCCAACTCGAGTGGGTTCATAGGAGATCGATGGTGGACTCGGTTGAGGAAACTCAGAAGCAGAATCTGCGAGTCGCGCTTACCACGGTTACCAGGCTTCGCACCAGTCTGCTCTGATTCCTTGCCAACCTTAACAACAACAATGTAAGGAACAACATTGCCTTCAAACTCGTAAAGGCCGGAGTAGACTTTGCCGAAATTCAGCTGCTCACTGCCTGCGCCAACTGACTTGAAGGCCAAGGCCGGTGGGTCGAGTTTGGGGTCAACGCCGAGAATATCGAGAACAATCTTAGGTGTTGGCCGGTCGTTGCCCTGGCCAGTAATGACACCATCACAAACCACAAAGATCAGCTTGCGCTTGTTGTCGTATTGCAGTGCCGTAAGCGAATCAAGCGCCTTGCGGAGCGATTCTTCGCCCTCGGTGTAAGCAGGTACCTGGCAGATAACAAACTTATCCTGGGGTGATGGGCGGCGCTTGGAAGAAAAGCGAATGGCCGCCACGAACTTGACCAGAATAATGGCACAAATGATAATGGTAAAGGCCAACATGATCCAGTTATTGACGGTGCATCGAGGCCCTTCTCTGAAATCAGTTTTCCCAACGTAAAAGGTCCTCTGGATACAGCTCCACGAGTTGGCCATGTTGTTGTAATTGTCGGTATCGCCACTGGTCTTGGCAGCGTCGAGCGCTGCATCGAGCTGCTTTTTGATGTCCTGGCCTGGGTTGTTCTTCCAGAGATCAGAGATACCCTTGTTCATAAACTGGTAGATACTATTGCCATTATTCGTTTCGACGGTGTAGAAGTAATCGGTAAGATCGTAGATTTGATCACCATACATGGCCCACATATGCTGATTGTCTGCACCATCGGACTTAACAGACTTTGTACTCCAGACAAGGTCGCCGTGGTAGAAAGTCTTGATCTTTGGGAGGAAAGTTTCGTAGTACCAGTTTTCGTTGTGCAATTTGCTGTTGGGGTAGCGTGCACCGGAGCCGGAGGTGTGGACGGCGGTTTGATACTCGGGGGTGGTGTTGAGCAAAAGCTTTGTGGTGTCTGTTATTCCCAGCCCGCCACAAGAAAGATATAGAGGCGGCACAAAGTAGCTGTCCATGATCAGCCCATTGAGGGGCTGCATGAGATCGCTTGTCGTTTTGACTTGGGGAACATCGCTATGTTGCTGCCTCCACCAATCGGAGATGTCGAAGACTTGACCATGTATAGCTACCCAGAAGGAGTCGCTTCCTTGGTGGCTTGCCACTTCACTCTTGTTCCAAGCCTTGTTAAAGTTCGGGCAGAGCAACTTCCCAAAGAAGATGATCCAGAAGACGATCATTGCATTCAACAAGAAGATAATGAAGACCAGAACAAGCTTTTCACGCCAGGCCATGCGAACATCAGGTCGGCGCATGCGGCCAACGTACCTGAGCAAGGGGGAAGGAATCCAGAAAGTGAGAGCCCAGACGACGGCAACCCAAGCACGGCGACCGGCAGTGGTGTGGTTCGTTTCCAGGTGCTTATTCTTGGCGAGCTCGGGGTCCAGCTCACCATTGTAGTCACCAGCTTCGACATACTCGTCCCCCTTGTAGGTGTCACCCTTGGTTCCCAGTCCGTAGTCGCCTTTGCTCACATTCCGTGTGCCGGTCATAGAAGTGGGTGCAATAGAGGGAGCAACGTTCATGGCCTGAGGAAACCCAGCCTGGCTGCCATTAGCCTGACTGACACTGCGAGAGTGTACTCCCATGAGGTCATCGCGACTACCACCGTAGGCCTGGTCCATCGGCTGGGGTGGGAAGAAGCCACTACCGTTGTTTGAGTATGATGTGTCGAACCCACTGCTGAACGGGTTGGTGTTCAAAGCTGGGATGTCAGTGCCTTGCTTCATGTCAAGCATTGACTCTGCATCCCACCAAGCAGACTCGCGAATCCAAACGCGCTCCTTGCCGACGAATATCTCGCCGTTGCTCCAGCCACGTTCGAGCATCCAGCTTTCAATGCCATCCTTACCATCTGAGCAGCCGAGAGGACCATACCGAGTCACAAACTCCTCAACGTCAAAATCGGCTGTGTAGTCAAGGTGGCGGTTACGGCGGTTTGCCCACTCAGGTAGGCGCCAAGAACGAAGCTGTCGGGAAACAGTGCCGGCGGACCAAGCCGAGGTAATGGAGGGAAGGGCCGCTAGGCTAGCCGGGCCATCATCCGTGGGGTGCAAGGATAGGTGATACCAAGCACGACTGGAAGCGAGCGTTTGAGGGAGGTCAAATCGACCAGCCCGACCCAGGTTAATACCCTCCCCTTGAATGGGGAACAGAAGCTTCTTGATGAAGCCACCATCTTCAGCGGCGTGAGCAACTCTCTCGAGAACAACTTCTCTCTGCTCCAACTCGCGCTGGCGTTCGCGTCCTTCGGGGCCGGTCATGATGCCTAGGTCTGGGGCAACGTCGGCGACGGCCTGTTGCACTTCTCTCATGACGGAAGAGCCAGCCGGAGATACCTCAACTCCGTCTTGAATCATCTCAGCGTTTATACCGCAAGAGTCATCAAAAATCGATCGCATGCAAACAGCTTTTCCAAGAGTAGGGTCGGGTATTTCAACGACGGTGAGGCTGACAGTATCCCCATTATCCTCCTCCGACGTAGGGGTGCGAGCACCGCGGCCATCTGCAGATTCTTCGCCATCACGAATCCGGGTCATTTGCGAGGAAATGGCAGCGTTGGCCTTGGAAATAACCCAGTCCACGAGTGATTCGTAAAGACCGCTGACAAGGATGCGTCGGTCTTCGGTGCTGCACTTGGTGGTGAGAACAGCGGGTTCGAGGCCAAGTAGGCCGCTAGCCTCTTCACAGAGCTCTTCAAGGGAGTCGGATTCAAGTTCATAGTCAAGGGTGTTTCCAAGCTTCAGAAGACCGGCCAGCGTAGAAATGAAGTTTCGGTGAGCAGAGCCCTTGATTCCAATGTCTTTGAGAGCCTGGCGGAAGTCGTCGGCCGAGGCAGAATCATCAGCTGTGGGGAGATATGCAGGCGGGGTATAGGTGGATGATCGAGCAAGCAGAGCATAGGTCGAAGGAGCCTGTAGACCAAGAAACTCGCGTTCCGCGGGTGTGGATGCGGACGTGAGTAAATAGTAGAAGACGTCAAAAGCACGGTATCCAGCATCGGCGGGGATATTGAAAAGGCCATTCTCGGTATCGATTCCGCCCTGAGACAAAGCAAGAGTAGCGGCAGTAAGATTACCGGTAAGGTTGAGGGTGAAGGAAGCGCTCAGGGCAGCCTGTCGAGGGAAAGACGGGTTGTAAGGTGTGACGCAGCGAAGGAAGGGCTGCACAGAGTCTAGAGCTTTGAAGATGGAATTCGGAATCGTGAACGGCATAGACGAAAGAAACGGCACGAGGACGGACGGTGTGGAAGAGTGTAGCGATCTAAAGGGAATGAGCGGTTAGAAGCCCGAAGAGAAAGGGTCAAATGCCAGCCATGAGGACTTACCCAAGCACGATTAACCCATCCTCAGCGCGACGACGAGCGTGCTCCCAAGCCCGAGTAGCTAGAGCAGCATCGACAGTCGGACCGCCTTGGGCGGCGGTGAGCCACGTGTTGACAACAAGGCTAGTACTCGAGTCCAATTGATGAGGCTGGCTGGCGAGATAGATGTTGTGTACAGTGTTGAGCAGAGTGGTGGTGGAGACCTGAGCAGTCTGAGGACCACGATTATTCCCCATGCCTTCAGAGGCGACCGAGAACATGGACATTCGGTTCGCCATGGTCACGGCGGGCTGGAGAGAGCAGAGTCCCAGGGGACGCGAGAGGCGTTTGAAAGTTAGACCAGGTCGAGATAACGTCGGCAACGGTTATGGCTGTCTAGCCTAACGGGGGGCAGCAACGGGCGAAACTTTGTGTCTTGTTCAAAGCTTCATGGAATAGACTCCTAGCAACGGCCACCGAAGCTTGAAGACAAGGGTAATCAAGAACTGACGGCGCCGTACCCGTGAAAGGAGCACGATGTTTAAGGTCGAAGCGAGCGTCGAAGGGCAAGTCGAATCGTTTTTTTCAAGGACACGAGGCAACGTCCTGCGGAGAGGGTATGCGGACGCGGGAATAGCGAATGGACTGCAGAGATTAAACTGGGAAAAAAGTCGGTGACTACCAAAGCGAGTGAGGCAGTGTGATGCTCGATAAGGAGCAAGAAACGCTGCAAAACACTGAAACGGCCCGAAAAAAGTGTCAGAGAAAAGAAGTTGGCGAGGAATCACTGAGATGGAGGTAAAGATACAGGTAGGTACTGGCACAGAGGTGGGCAGGGTTTGCTGGGCGTGGCGCGGGCATGGGCGTGGCAGAAGTACTGGGACGAGAGGTGGGCTGCCGGGTTACAAGGTGCAGACGATTCACTGGGCAGAGGGAATACGGGGGCTGTAACATGCTATAAACATGGTAAACACAATGCCCAGAGCATAGTTTGGTTGTCAACAAGCTGGAGCTGGCAGGCCCAGGCGCCTTGTCAGAGGTACACATACCTAGGCACAGCGCCCAGCCAGCAAGTCAGTGACAAAAAAAAAAAAAAAAAAAAAGGCTGTACTGTACTAAATTAGACACATAGTAAATCTGGTCGCAGCCGACGAACTAACAAAACAAAAGCAAAATGAACAGCAAGGGGAAGATAATAAATAATTGTTACGGCTGGCGGTTCATGCCAATGGCGCAGTGGCTGTGGCTTCAGGGGGTAGACGATTACCAACCCGGGCGCATTTAACGGCCCACCAGAACGCTAGCTTCAGGGCCCGGTGTACTGGGCGGGGAGGCAGTTTTGAGGTTACATAGGTACCATACCAGTTGACAGGAGACAAACATGGCCAGCGCACAAGTGCTCAGGTGAATTGTCTGTCATAAAACAATGGCTGTGGTAAGCATCAATGATAGGAGCGCTGCTCGTCACTCTGCATACGAGTGTTTACACGTGCATGTACGCTGTCTCGGTTGCTGTTGCAGCTCTCGCACGTACATAGCAGTACATGAACAAATGGTGCCAAGCGAGATGAACAGCTGAAGAGGGCCCGCCAGCGGTGGTGCCACGCAGAAGGTACTGGTACCACTGCGGAACAGCCAGGTTTGTACTAAAGTAATCATCGCACTGGCCTTTTCGTAAAGAACAGCCAACCAGTAAAGAGTTCGCGTTCTTTATTAGTTGGTGGCAACAAATGATTGTGGTCAAAGACAGTCTATAAAAAAGTCGGTAAATGTGCACACGCCAAGCTCTGGCGGGCTTGATGCCTTCTGGACGAATAAAATACAATAATACGAGGCTGTAGGTGGTTGTTGTTGTGTGCCAGGACCCTTTCCAACCTCAGTCATCACAGCAAAGCAGACCCAAAGGGTGCATGCGTGGGCGTCAGTGCAGGGCGCATTATGCCAATATGCGTGGCGAAACACCATCTCCTACTTCTCGTATTATGCCCACCACAAAAATCTCGCTCCATTTTATGCCACGCCACACGTCGTATCCTTTGTCTGGCTGTGCAGATCTGGCAACTCTATATCGGGATACGCGACCATTTTCCGGGTCTCCCGACCACAAGGCCTCCCAGCAGTATGGAGAACCAGTCTCCAGCTCATGACTGAGGCATGAACAGTTGTCTAGCTGATACACTTTCGGTAATAGGCTCAGTTCTGCGGACAATGCCGTGCAGGCTTCCGTCCCAAGTGAGGCAAAGATTAATAACAATAATAAGGTGTTCCAACTTGCCGCCTCGGAATGTTCTTTGCCTGCTCGTCCCACACTCTCGAGTCTCGACGGAATCCGCCACTGCGGACAGGCAATAATTGGTGACTATCCATCCGGATGGACACTGGGCTAGCCTTGTTAGAACCCCCCCTTCGTGCCCGCAAAAGCCAGCGCGATGCCTTGGCTGACCCCTAAAAATACCATTTAAATCTCTATGGTGGCACGACATGGGGAATACCCCTGACTGGTGCATCTCCTATCACTTGAACAGTAGGTAGCCGCAAGAAAAGATCTTTGCGCCACTTCAATTGATAAGTGTTTGAAGCCGATTGTCACGATGCACATCATTCTCGAGCTAAGATTGCCGCCATTACCCGATGGCACATGTATTACACGATTACATGCAGACTCAATTACTCTGGGGTTGTCAAAGACTCGACGTCCAGGGTAGCCTGGTCAAGAGCAAGCAAATTAGTCGTCCGACAAGCTGGTACCTATCCGTGGAAAGCATGGCAGAAAAGAATCAGTCTCATGTCTTGTCTCACGGCGAGGTCCACCACGGCGCCGACTAGCGAGTCGGTAGACGGTCCCGTGTGAAATTGATGCTGCGAAACCGAAATTCAGCTGGCCGACAGCAATCGCCGTACCAGTTCAATACGGAGATGCTGCCGCACTAGCATCGCGGCGGAAATTGTGCTGGCTCCGGATACAGTAACGCGTCCATGGTTCAGCTTGACATTGGTAGAAGGACGAGATGGATGTGGCATGACTTTCAGGGGGCGGGACTGCGTAATAAAGTAGAACTGACAGTTCTCTGATGAACATGACATGTAATACAGTATTTACTACAGATGATGCAAGTTGTAGTGTAGCAGTTGTGCGAGAGTGTCACGCTGCTCATGGTCCATGGGACAGTGTTCGTCTGGCTACACACAGTTGACGGACCTGTCTCTCGCGGCCCATACCAGACGGGTTGTCGAAGTCTCAGTCCAATTACGGCTCAACACGAACTGTCTTGGCTATGACTTCGGCAACACAGGTTCTGATTCTATACTCTGCATGGGGAGTCGAGAATCGATCTTATGAACCGCGGAGGGCATGAGTTTCAACAACCAGAATCTACGGGGTCACAGGTAAAAGGATTATTTCGAAAAACCAAAAAAATCCCCAGACACAAAACCATAACGAATGCCACGAAAGCTTGATGAGAGGTAGAATAAAGGGGAGAAAAAGAAAGAAAGTTGGGTCAAAGCACCAACAGAGATCATCTCTCCCTTGCTAACGTTGGTCTGGTGGAATGCGGGCCGCGCGGAGAATACACGCAGTACAGAGTCTGGGGGTGTATCGAGAATCGGGAGATGAATTCATTCCGTAGCACTCGCGTTGACGAAGGGAATGAATTGATGATTGGGACGAGACAAGAGATGGGGTGTTGTGCATGACATTGGCAGATATCTTGTGCGCAGTGTTTTCAGTGCTTCTACGGATACATAGTTTACGGATGCTTGGTGCAAGTGATTTTTTTCCACTGCTAGTGTGCAGCTGCAGGGCCTGAAGTGGCCAATGCTGGCACATGCAGATGGGATTACGTCGAAATTCCAGCGCTGTGGGAAGCTTTTTTCAGTGGTTCAAAGCGCGCTCATCCAGCATCATATCAACCTGCGCTCTTGGCAGCTTGCGCCAGCCGGACCCGGGCTGTTCCGCTGGTGGCATGTAACCAAAAATACGCCCCCCGTTTCCACTCACACCCTCCCCCTGGCCTGGCAAGGCCCCTAGCGCAAGCTAACACGAGGTCAAGCCTCGTCGCCTGTCTGTCTCTCTTTCTGGCTGCCTGTTGCCCGTTGTTTGGCTGCTCTGCTGGTCAGGCTGTCCCAGCTACCAGTAAGGTTGTGCTACACTCAGGACCTTGTCCTGCTGGCTGTGCTTAATTTGGCACCTCCAAGCTGATGTATCAGTACCTTTCTTACCTCCACAGCGGTTGAGCGGGTACCATCTGTTCCCTCAACTGCTCGGGGTCAACTCAACTGACTGTCCCTGGCTGCTGGCAAAGCCGGCCCCCCGTCAGTCTTCCCATTCGGCTGGTCTCGTCTGCACAAAACCTAGAATCGCTTTTTTTTTATTATTTTCTTTTGCTTTGCTCATCACAAACACCACGCCTCTCGATTCCCACCTGCCTGCGTGCATTGCTACAATCCCTTCCGCGGGGCAGTTTTGCTTTCGCTGCTCCCTTTTCCTTCTACACCTTCGTTTCCTGCCCGGCCCTGTCAAGGCTGTCTGCTGTCTCCTGTCGCATCTTCTCTCGCTCTGCACAGGCCTGGTCTTGCTTGGGCTTCCTCTCGCTTTTTCTACACGCCCACGCCTAGCAGCACTCTTGTTTCAGACACAAACAGGTCCTCGTCGTACAGCACACGCCCTAGAACACGAAACTGGCCGTCATCCGCATTCTATTTCTTCCTTTCCTTCTACACTCTTCAGCAAAGTAACCCACCAGGCTCATCAAATCCTCGACAGCCTCGTCTAGTCCCCTCGAGAGCCAATTCCTGGCTGCTCGCCCAATATGGCTTCCAACATGCTGAATCTCGGCGGAGGCGCGCACACGCAGGACTCCTTGCCCTCCCTGCCGACTCATCTTCAGTCCGACACGCACATTACTGCTCATCTTGCCAGTCGCTTCCATGTCGCTCACCCCACCGCTCGACTATCGTCACACGGCCTCGTCTGCCTCAATACCTACACTTCGTCATCCAAGGGCCCCGATGGTGGCAAGGAGGGAAGTGCCATGGCTGGTGCCGAGGATATGGCTGACCGTGCCTGGCTGAGACTCGGCCACCGTTCAGAAAACCAAGCCGTCGTATTCCTGTATGCCATGTCCCTGTCATTCTAGAATCATGGATGATGAAGATACTAACCGACTCGTCTGTAGTGGTGAATCCGGCTCGGGCAAGTCTACTATCCGCTCACACCTCCTTACTGCCCTCCTCAACAAGTCCTCAACTCCGCTCTCCAGCAAGCTGTCTCTCGCCGCTTATGTCTTCGACACCCTTACCACGACAAAGACTGCCACTACCCCAACGGCTTCCAAGTCGGGTCTCTTTTACGAGCTGCAATACGACACGTCTTCCACAACAAACCCCATTCTAATTGGTGGTAAGATCCTTGACCACAGACTGGAACGAAGCCGAATCACCGATGTTCCCACCGGTGAACGCAATTTCCACGCACTCTACTATCTTCTTGCTGGAACAAGTGCCGCTGAGAAGACTCATCTGGGTCTTGACGACTCGCCCGTTGCCGGAGCCACCCGTTGGAAGTACCTCGGCCACCCTACGCAGCTCAAGGTTGGTATCAATGATGCCGACGGCTTCCAGCTTTTCAAGACCGCCCTCAAGAAGCTCGAGTTTCCTCGCAACGACATTGCCGAGATCTGTCAGATGCTTGCTGCCATCCTCCACATTGGTCAGCTTGAATTCGAGAGCGCAAACGATACCAGTGTCACTGGTGGTGACAGCGGTGGCTTCTCCCACGAAGGTGGCAATGCCTTTACCGCAGTCAAGAACAAGGATGTTCTCGCCATTGTTGCTGCATTCCTCGGCATCAACGCCAATGACCTGCAAACTACTCTTGGTTACAAGACCAAGATGATACAAAAGGAGCGCGTCACTGTCATGCTTGATCCTGCCGGCGCTCGTGCCCATGCCAATGAGCTCGCCAGGACTCTCTATGCTCTGCTCGTTGCCTGGATCATGGAATCGGCCAACCAGCGTCTTTGTGCTGCCGAGGAGTCCATCGCCAACACAATCTCCATTGTCGACTTCCCTGGTTTTGTCCAGCAGAGCTCTACCCGATCTGTTCTTGACCAGCTTCTGAACAACGCCGCCACCGAAGCCCTCTACAATGTCACTCTTCACAATTTTTTTGACCGCAAAGCCGAGATGCTCGAGTCTGAGGAAGTCAGCGTTGCTCCCACATCATACTTTGACAACTCTGATGCCGTCAAAGGCCTTCTCAAGTCCGGTAACGGCCTTCTGAGCATTCTTGATGACCAGACCCGCCGAAACCGAACCGATATGCAGCTCCTCGAGAGTTTCCGCAAGCGCTTCGAAGGCAAAAACGCGGCCATTGAGATCGGTTCCGCCACTGCCAAGCTCCCAGGAAGCAACTTCATGACCGAAAACACAGCCGCTACCTTCACAGTCAAGCACTTTGCCGGTGAAGTGGACTATCCTGTCAAAGGTCTCATTGAAGAGAATGGTGAGCTCATTTCTGGTGATCTGCTCAATATGGTGAACACAACCAAGAGCGAGTTTGTCGCTCGTCTCTTTGGACAGGATGCCCTCCAAACTGTGACCCATCCCAATGAGAGAACCACTGTCATGCAGGCCTCGGTCAGCTCTAAGCCTACTCGTGCTCCTAGCGTCATGTCCCGTAAGGGCACTAGAGCTCGCGCGCCAGGCTCACGCCGCCAACAGCAGCAGGACGCCCTTGAGCGTCTCGAGCAACTTGGCGACTCTCGCGAAAAGGACTCTCGTCGCACCGCGACCCTCACTGGCATTGAACAGGGTGCTTCGGGCCAATTCCTGTCATCGCTGGACAATGTTCAAAAGGCCGTCACGGATCCCGGTACCAACGTCTACTTTGTCTTCTGCTTAAAGCCCAACGACCGTCGCATTGCCAACCAGTTCGACAGCAAGTGTGTCAGGACTCAGGTACAGACCTTTGGTATCGCCGAGATCAGCCAGCGTCTGCGCTCCGCTGATTTCAGTCTATTCTTGCCCTTTGGCGAGCTCCTTGGTCTCATTGATTCAGAGACCATACTCGTTGGCAGTGAACGTGAGCGTGCTGAAATTGTTATTGAAGAGAAACGCTGGCCGGGCAATGAGGTGCAGATTGGCTCCACCGGCGTCTTCCTTAGCGAACGATGCTGGATGGAGGTTGCTCAATTCTCCGCCAGTGGTCCTACTCGCGCAGGTGTCTCTGCTGATGGCGAAAGCTATGCTGTCTCTGAGCGTAATCCCTTTATCGCCTCCAAAGAGCAGCTCGTCTCTGGTGGCAACACTCCCCTCATGTACGCCGGCGAGAAGACGAAGGCCGGGTATTTTGCCGCGGGCGATGACACTCGATCTGAGGCTGGTGTCTCTGCTATTGGTGGTGGCGATATGTTCAAGAACTTCGACACGCGTGAGCAGATGGCAGAGCGAGGCAATGAGAAAGACCTGGTTGAAGTCGAGGAGTACAAGGACAGCGCTAGCCGCAAGCGTTGGGTATTCACTGTCTACTTGCTGACCTGGTTCGTCCCGGATTTTCTCATCCGCTGGATTGGCCGCATGCCCCGCAAAGATGTCCGCATGGCGTGGCGTGAAAAGCTCGCCATCAACCTGCTTATCTGGCTCCTCTGTCTCGTCGCCGCTTTCTTCATTGTCGTTTTCCCCCTTCTCATCTGTCCCAGGCAACATGTGTACAGCCCAGCGGAACTGTCTTCATACAATGGCAAGTCGGGAAGTAAGGGGGCCCTAGTCTCTGTTCGTGGAAACGTCTTCGATTTGGCTTCCTATGCTCCTAGACACTACCCGCCTTACCTCCAGCCGAAGCTGCTGCTCAACTATGCTGGCCTGGACATCAGCTCTCTCTTCCCAATTCAAGTCAGCGCTCTCTGCCAGGGGAAAGATGGCAGCATTAATCCTGAAGTCACACTCGACTACAAGAACACAAACTTCACTGGCATTTCCCCTGCGCTTATCAGCAGTCAGGATATCAACGCCAAATACCATGACTTCCGCTACTTTACCAACGATACCCGTCCGGACTGGTATTATGAGCAGATGACAATGCTGCGGGCTCTTTTCAAGAAAGGCAATGTCGGCTACACGCCGCAGTATGTAAAGAAGCTCAGCGAGAAGCAACAAACGATTGGAATTATCAGTGGCCGTGTCTACGATCTCACCACCTACATGGCTGGTGGCCGTCGACTTCGCGCTAAACCTGGCGAGTCGCCTCCTGATGACGCATCCCTGGCAAACTTCATGGCCGACGACGTCACTCAAATGTTTCAAATACAGTCTGGCTCAGATATGACCAAATACTGGAACTCCTTGGCCATGGATGCAGCGCTGCGCCAGAGAATGAAGACTTGTCTCGACAACCTCTTCTATGTTGGTGACGTTGATACTCGAAACTCAACTCGCTGTCAGCTGGCCACATATCTGGTCCTTGCTGTCACTATTGTGCTGGTTTCCGTCATTGCCTTCAAATTCCTTGCTGCCTTGCAGTTCGGTGGCAAGAGCATGCCCGAGAACCTTGACAAATTTGTCATTTGCCAAATTCCTGCCTATACCGAGGACGAAGACTCACTACGTCGCGCTATCGACTCGGCTGCTAGAATGAAATACGATGACAAGCGCAAACTGCTCGTCGTTGTTTGTGACGGTATGATTATTGGTCAAGGAAACGATCGCCCCACGCCTCGCATTGTGCTCGACATTCTTGGAGTTGCCGATACCGTGGACCCCGAGCCTTTGAGCTTCGAATCTCTTGGCGAGGGTCTGAAGCAACACAACATGGGCAAGGTCTACTCCGGCCTCTACGAAGTCCAGGGTCACATTGTTCCCTTCATGGTCATTGTCAAGGTTGGTAAGCCTTCCGAGGTCGGCCGCCCCGGTAACCGTGGCAAGCGTGATTCTCAAATGATTGTTATGCGTTTCCTCAACCGCGTTCACTACAACCTTCCCATGAGCCCTATGGAACTCGAAATGTACCACCAGATTCGGAACATCATCGGTGTTAATCCCACATTTTACGAGTTTATGCTACAAATTGACGCTGATACTGTCGTTGCGGCCGACTCTGCTAGTCGCATGGTGTCTGCCTTCATCGACGACACGCGTCTGATCGCTGTTTGTGGCGAGACGGCCCTGACCAACGCCAAGTCCTCTTTCATCACGATGATTCAGGTCTACGAATACTACATTTCGCACAATCTTTCCAAGGCATTCGAGTCCCTCTTCGGTTCCGTCACTTGTTTGCCTGGCTGTTTCTCCATGTACAGAATTCGTGCAGCGGAGACTGGCAAGCCTCTGTTTGTCAGCCGCGAGATCGTGGAAGATTACTCTACGATCCGTGTTGACACCCTGCACATGAAGAACCTGCTGCACCTTGGCGAGGATCGTTACCTTACGACACTCCTCCTCAAATACCACAACAAGTACAAGACTAAGTATATCTTCACTGCTCATGCCTGGACTATTGCGCCTGATTCCTGGAAGGTGTTCCTCTCGCAGCGTCGTCGCTGGATCAACTCTACCGTCCATAACCTCGTCGAGCTGATTCCCATGGCCCAGCTCTGTGGCTTCTGCTGTTTCAGTATGCGCTTTGTTGTCTTTATCGACTTGCTCAGCACCATCGTTCAACCTGTCACCCTCGCCTACATCGTCTACCTGATTGTCCTCGTCATCGAAAATACAAGCGTCGTACCAGTGACCGCGTTCATCCTTCTAGGTGTCATCTATGGTCTGCAGGCTATCATTTTCATCTTGCGCCGCAAGTGGGAAATGGTTGGATGGATGATTCTGTACATCCTTGCTATTCCCGTCTTCAGCTTTGGTCTTCCCTTGTACGCTTTCTGGAACATGGATGACTTTGCCTGGGGTAACACTCGTGTCGTGGCCGGCGAGAAGGGCAAGAAGGTCGTCGTTTCCGACGAGGGCAAGTTCGACCCAAGCTCAATTCCTCGCAAGAGGTGGGAAGACTACCAGGCCGAGCTCTGGGAGACTCAGACCTCGCGCGACGACTCGCGTTCCGAAGTCTCTGGCTACAGCTACGCCACCAAGGCGCACCCTCATGTGTCCGAGTACGGCTACGTTAGCCGTCCAGGCTCAACGACTGGGCTGGTACCTGGCATGCCTCATGTGTCCCACGATCCTCGCAGCATGTCTCGCATGTCGTTGGTCCACTCTGAGATGGGCGGCGCCAACCGCATGAGCACGTACGGCGGCTCCCAATTCTTTTCTCCCGACGACATGGTTGGCCTGCCCAGTGACGACGCGCTCTTGGCTGAGATACGAGAGATTCTTAAGACGGCAGATCTTATGACCGTCACTAAGAAGGGCATCAAGCAAGAGCTCGAGCGACGCTTCGATGTACCCCTCGATGCCAAGAGGCAGTATATCAACAGCGCCACTGAAGCTCTTCTCTCTGGCCAACTGTGATGAGGACATGAAGACGCATTTGCATTTCTCATGGCTTTCATGATGTCTTGGACCAAAATCAAACAAATACTTTCATTTGGAATACCCCCGTGTTATATATGGTACCGCATGTCGATACACAGCAGAAGCGACACCAACTTTTCTTATTATACAAATAATCTTTTTAACTTGAGGGGAGGAGGAGGAGGAGGGGGTAAGAGCCACTCGCTGCGTGTTGTCATCTGATCTAGCTGTTTCCCCTCACCAGATCAATCACTTTTTGACCTTGTTTTTGCGATTCATTTTTGCTGGTATTTATGCATAATTTTATCTCTGGGTTGCTGTTAGGATAGTATTACTCTGACTTGGAGGAGAACAAAAGGAGTTTTATCTTTGTTCATTTCCCCCTCTTTTTTTATCTTGAGACGTTTGATCCGCATTTAGTATCTTCGACTTGTCTATCCAAGTTTGCTCTTTTTTGGAAATTGCATCTGTCAAGATTTAGAGAATAGTCCATCCACTACGGAGGCACATACTTAATACATGTTGGGTACAATGAAAGACCTTGTCTGTGATTTTGTCCGAGTCGTTTCGTTCTATGGATATCTCGTCGGCTAAGCTACATAAGTCCGCGCTCACGCTCACCTACAGATGCATCGAGGTTCTTAGCTCATGAGGCCAGGAGGCAAGCACAGGGTTAAGGAGTGTCTGCATTGTCCGTACGTGTTGCGCCAAGATGAGACTTTTGTGTGGTTTACTTTTCTAATGCGGTTTGGAAGTCTATATTTCGTTGATTACACGCCCGTGCTCACCAGATGTACATAAAGAAGATGAAGTCCAAACATTAACAAATGCACCAGAAACGCCAGCCACCGCAGCATGCTTTCAACCCAGGACCGTCTCCAGGAGCTTTTGCACGCCACCCTTGCTCCACGCCGTCACGCGCGCCTGGTCGCACGTCTCCCAGACGCGGCGCATGAGCGCTACGTAGACGGCCGCGTCCTCGGGGGAGTCGGCGGCGGCGCGCCGGCCGTCGAGCCAGCTCATGACGCCGAAGCGCGTGACGAGGGTCGTGCTGCCGCCGTCGATGCACGTGGCCCGGTAGACGATGCGGAGCACGCGGGCGCGCAGGTTGGCGCGCAGGTAGGGATTGGCCGCGAGGGCGAGCACCTTTTCGAGCCAGCGCTTGCGGTGGAAGACGCCAAGGTCGGAGGGCGTGCGCAGGCTGTCGAGCAGGTGCGCGAGCAGCCAGGCCAGCTCGGTGTAGTAGCGGTCGTCCTCGCCGGGCGCGCCGTGCAGGACGTCGTGTGCCATCGGCAGCTTTTCGGCCGGCCACGCGGGCGAACGCGTCAGGAAGGCGTTGACCTTGGCGTACAGCGGGTGCAGTGGGCTGCGCAGGACGTCAAGGGCGTGCGTGGCAAAGGAGACAAAGGAGGACGGGACGGGCCCGGCATCGACGAGTGGCCGGCTCGACTCGGCGAGCTCGGAGAGCAGCAGCCAGACTTGCATCTTCTCCTCGTACGAGGACTCCTTGATCTTGGCGGCCATCTTCAGGATGTTGGTGAGGGCTTCCTTGCGGATGTTGATGTGGGGGGAGGCGAGCAGCTTGATAAGCCCAGCTGCTAGGCCGTCTTCGACCAGATCTTCGACATTCTTCGTGGACCATTTGACGAGCGCACTGTTGTCATCTTCGAGCTTAAAAGGCTGATGAAGCATCTCCTCTAGGCGAGCTTCATCGACCATGACGCCAGGCTGGGCGCTGGTCTCGGTCACTTTGCTCGACTCCGGCTCCTCAATGTTGATGCGCTGCAGGGCCTTCTTCTCTGACTTGTCGCCTAGGCTGGGCATCTTGGAAGCCTTTGTCGCCAAAATTTGCTCGGTAATCTTGGAATAGCATTCTTCGAGGTGCGACTTGCTCTCTCCTGCGAGGTTCAGGGCGTTAAAGTACAGAGACATAAAGCTTCCAATCTCAGTAGCCTTCGTCTTGTTAGCACCGTCCAGAGCAAAAGACAGTTGCTCCTGAAGAACAATATTTAGCAGACTGAACTGTGCATTCTCAGGCAGAGTCGTCATCTGCTCGAGATATTTGATGGGCGAGCCAGCGCATCTCGTGATGCAGTTGTCCAAGTACACCCAAGGAATGTTCGCAGCCTTTGAGCCAGAGCTCGCGCATCGCAAGGCACGGAGTAGTGCTACTAATCTCGTCTTCTTGGCCACGACCTGATTCTCAATTGCCACATCAGAAAGAACGGACTGCAGCTGAGCTAAAGGGGCGGTGTCATCACTGTCGCACAATATTTGCAGTAGTGATGTGAAGGCAGAGTAACCCTTTCCGCCATTGCTGCTGTCAGTCTTGGCAAACCATCGCATGCCGGGAGAGTAGCTTGCGATTGAAACCAAGCTTCTCAATTCCATGATGGCAAATGACGCAGTTGTTGGGTCGTCGCTCTGGTTTTGTTGGATGCTCCCTAGTACTTCCACGAAGAAGGGCGAAACGTCAAAGTTGGCAGCAAGCGCTATACGAGGCACGATTTCGTAGTAGAGTCGTAGTAAACGACTTGCTAGTGTCTTATGCAAGGCGTTCTCGGCGGGAATGGACTTGTAGCACCGCACTACTTCTTTCATGTCTGGTATTCTCTGACAGAATGAGTCTATTAATCGCCTTGACGCATCTGTCCATGTTTGATTTTGTTTTCTGCCTCCGTCCTCGTGCATCTTTAGAGCAACGGTAAGCTTCTCAAGTGCTTGGACGAGGATCCTCGTGGCAAAGAAGGAAGTGAGGTTGGATTTTGAAGTGAAGCACCGGTTGAGGACCTTTTGATTTATGGGTAGGGGAATTATGTTGTCGAGGAGAATGGAAGTAGGCGGAGGTGTATTTGCGTATAGGGAAGTGTCGCCGAAAGCCGGAGGTAGAGGTATCGTCATGGTGTTGAAGAGAAACGCCGCATAGCCAATCCAAGTCATGGACAATTTTGGTTCAAAGGTAAACGATCTGTGATTGAAGAAGTAGTCGGCAATAAGTTCAGGTGCTGCCTGGAATATGGCAATGAGGAGCTCATTGTGCTTGAGATTCGACCATGGGCGAAGTTTGCTGGCGAATTCGGAAAGGACAAAATTGTAGACGGGGACGCCATCACGGAATTTGTCAGCCCAGAGATTGCCATCGGCTTTTGCTTGACTAGCGTTTCGCGGCACCGAGGACTCCTCGTCGGCCTCTTTTGGATAGAGGCCCTTGGATGGGTAGAGGACGCCGGCTGTCGAATTTGTGCATAAGTACACGAGAAACTGGTGTGCTTTTTCTATGACTTGGTCAACGTCGTCTTGGGAGGCGAAGGTATTGCTGTATGCGTATAGGCCGAGAAAGCGCATAAGGGATCTGGTGTTGAAACTCTTGAATTTTCTATCACGCGCAATCTTGGTGTCCATGAGAACGTTGGTCTTGAGCGAGGTGATTATATCCATGACCAATGCAGGCGGGTCGTTCTTCATCAGAAATGTTACATGCGACAACAGGTCTTTTTGGGCGAGAAGTTCCTCTCTCCCATCCGAGTTGAGAAATTTGAGGCAGGTCAAGAAGAACCGGACAGCATTGGTTCGAACAGAAGCTTTGCGAACGTCTTCTGGACCATCGCCTAGGTATACAATCTGGAGGTTTCGGCCGAGCGATGCGAATGTAGATGCTCGGGCTCGGAAGATGCGCTTGGCATAGGCACCACCGTCTAGGCAGACCGCTTCGCACAGTAGTCGGAGTGTTGGGCAAATGATGAAGGCCTTGCCCTTGTCGGCGGAAAGGTTGCGCGAGACTGACTTGAGCTGACGTTCCTGCAGAAGCGTCTGGCAGATGCCGAGTCCGTAAGGTACCAGATCGAGGTTATCGGAGATGACCTGCAGCAAGAGAGATAATACAATGGCGACGGATGACATGACACCATCATCGTTGACCTGGGAGGCAAACGACCACATCTCCATGACATCGTTAAGGAAGACGGCGTCCTCGCCTGTCTCTCGGGGCTGGACCGACTTGAGGTAACCACGGATGATGGCAACCCCAGGTTGGCGGTCGGCGTCTGTAGATTTGGCATTGGCTTTGTCAAGGAGCTTTTTGAAAGACTGAAGACCGTGCTGCGCAGTTCGCATGTTCTGGTCAAAGGCGAGCAGCCTTCTCAGCTGGTCGCTGTCGTGGACTTGTTCGCCGGTCGGGACATCGTGATACGTCTTTTGGCGTTTATTGTAAGCAGCAGCGCCGTCGCTGGTCCCTGAAGCCCGTTTACCCATGGTGACAGGGTATATAGTTGTCGACAGGAGGGTCGGCGCAGATGTCGAGAGTATGGTCAAAAGTTTGAGATCATCCAGGAATTTTGGATACTGCCTGAAGCCACCGCCGTCCCACCTGCCAGGACAGGGCAAGGCGGGAGGCGCTAAAAGATAGTGGATAGTGGGTGCCTGTTGGTGGATAGCCTCCCCTAACTACAGGAACGTTGTGGATGGATGTATATATGTACATGCGTATTCAGGGTGCTGCGCATCGCTTGGACTCGGATGCTTGATACCTTTCTTTCCGTTTTTTTTTTCTTTTAAATTTTCCTTTCAACAAGGGCTTGAAATGTGTTGAAACAGAAGACGGACTCGGCAACATATTTTCTCTGCCGTCGTGACCCCCGTTTACGCCCCGCTACGCGGGCTCGGCCATCTGTTTGTTATTTGCAACCTCGACGGACCATGAATCACGAGAGCGACGACGACGCTGCGGTATCGACGCATCCCGAAAAGATCACTGCGAGTGCGGGTGCCGATGCCGGTGCCGTCAAAACGGATCGCGTCAACCAGGCGAAGCAGGATGACATCCGTGCTGCCTGCGTCGATGTGGATATCCCGGAGCTTCAGCGCCTCGCAGAGTCGCCGGGCGGTTTCCTGACAGACGGTCTGCGCCGGCTCGCCTGTACGACCTTTCCCCTCTCCGTACTTTGGACTTGACTTGAGACATGATTGCTGATAACGGGGCGAACAACTTGTAGGGCCGATACTGCTAGGCCTACCTGTGCTAAGCACAAACGACGAGCCGCTCTCCGCGTCCGAGCATGGCGATGATACTCACGATGATAACGATTATGGCGGCTGGAAGGAGCTACCACGCCACCGCGAGGAGGATCAGGTGCAGCTGGATGTAAACCGCTCTTTTGTCTACTACCCTACGAACCTCTCCGAGAGCGCCCTCTCGCGGCGCCGTGCGCAGCTTTCCGCGCTCATCTGCTCCGTACTCCGCGCACATCCCTACCTGTGCTACTTTCAAGGCTACCACGACATATGTCAAGTGCTGCTTCTCGTCCTGCGGCCGACCACCACGGCTACAGAGTGCCTCGCGCGCCTCTCGCTGCTGCGGATCCGCGACTTCATGCTGCCCAACCTCGGGCCCACGACCGCGCAACTGCGTCTTCTCCCTGACCTCCTCGAGCGCGTTGCCGACCCGGCCCTCCGACGGCACCGCATCGCCGCCCTCGACCCCTTTTACGCGCTCGCCGGCACCCTCACCATGTACTCGCACAACATCGAGGGCTACCGTGACATTGCGCGCCTCTTTGACGCGCTGCTCGCCCGCGAACCCGTCTTTAGCGTGTATCTCTTTGCCCAGATCATCCTTGACCGCCGCGACGAGCTCCTCGCCGTCGCCGCCGATGATGAAGATGGCTGTTCTGACATGCTGCACGTCGTGCTGGCGCGCGTGCCCGCAGAGATGGACATTGACGGGCTTGTACGCCGCGCTGCCGCGGTGTTTAAGCAGCACCCCCCGGAGACGCTGCCGGCGTGGCGCCGCATCTCGCCCGCCAGCGCGCTCAAGACGGCGCGTGACCACCCGCGGCGCGCGGCGGCGCAGAGCCTCGCGGACGGCGAGGCCTTCTTCGACAGGCAGGCCCGTGAACTGCGCTGGCTGGACCGACGCAACGCGCTTCTCAAAGTCGCCTGGGCCTACCGACGCCCGGCCAGGGCGGTCGGCGTAGCCGTGGCCGTGGGCCTCGTCGCCTTTTACATGCGTCGCAACCCAGCTCTCATAAACCATGTCTTGTCTTTTCTCGCTAGGTGAAAAGGGAAGGCTAACAGGGGGGCTGTGGTAGTATCAGCAATTTTTAGACGTTCTTCCCACAGTAGGCGCCGTTTCTTTTTTTTCTGGAATTAGAAAGGAAATATAGCCCTCCAGGATCTAGGGCATGGAACATAGATCATGTGTATTATTGACGACAGAGATGCTGACGCTGCGAGACTATGGGCAAGGCTTGCTTTTGCAGGAAAGGATGAGATTGGAGGGGATGTGATACAAGCTTTCTAGCACCGTCATCAATTTCTAATGGGACACAGGACACAGGACACAGGGTGTGGGGAGAGAGTTGTTAAGCGAGAACGTCATGTTAGAATCGACGCTGTGACCAAGCAGACGATTGCTCTATGGTGTGTAGATAATATCCTTCTCTCTAGAATCCTGACCCTCTCTATTTCTCACCCGGCGGTTATGTGCTACATATATGCCAACCTGAAAAGCAGCAAAAAATATGCCGACGACAATCATGATGATGACAGTGCGTAGGCCGTTGTGGTAGCTGTAGTATGTGTAGTCAGTCAGCTTCAGCGTATTGCCACGCAATAATCAATACCGCAACTCGTCCAGCAACTTACAAAGGAAGGTCATTTGCCTGGAAGTACTGCGTACCAACCATCATGCCACTAATCGAGAACATAACCCACATTCTGGAAGAAAACGCGAACCCAAGTTAGCTTCAGTCGAAGAGTCAAGCCAGCTCTCCATCTCATCAACAGGCAGACAGCACTTACGCGATGCCGATGCTGCGCTCTCGCCTATCACGGCAATTCAGCTGCAGCCACGTATTCGACACGGGATGGTAGCCGACCGCGAAGGCGTTGACCGCCGTCCACAGACCCCAGCGCGACCACCGGCCGACAAAGGGATGAGCCTGCCGCGCGACGACGACGCAGATGAGGAAGCAGACCTGCGCGGAAATGACGGTGGCCCCGCGAAGATTCGTCTTGTCGCTGACGTAGGCGAAGAAGAAGACCACGACCAGGGCCAGGAAGGCGCCGACGGCCGCGAGGGCATTCGCCTCGGTGCGCTCAAACCCCAGAGCCCTATATGATCATGGCTGTCGTGAGCATGTCATGACTCTGTCTATGCAAGTGTTCTGGTTTGGGCTTACATGATGATGGATGGCGTATAGGTCGTCAGAGGGGACCAGGTGGAAAAGACGCAGAATGAGGATATCAACGTCGGCCAGCGTCGATAATGTGAGATGACACTCCAGACGAGCTTCCAGTCAATTGACTTTTCGTCGTCTTGCTCGGAACCCTTCTCCGCAGCGAGACGCTCGTGAAGAAGTTCTTTTTCTCGGTCAGAAAGTCGCAGGGTACCCGGTCCTACGAGCGGCGACGGCCTGCTCACACTGTGCGGCAGACAGAGCACGAAAATACACGCCACCAAGATTGTGAACAATCCCTCAACTATCAAGGCGTGTTAGTCAGAGAGCCCAAGCTGAACGCAACGGGAGAGCGTTGTCGACGTACGTAGAAACAGCCACTGCCAGCCACGAAGTCCCCGCAGGCCGTCCATGCGAAGGATGCCAGAGGCGAGGAGCGGACTGACGGCGTTTCCGCCAAACATGCCAAAGAAGAAGATGGCCACCTTCTTGGCGCGCTCGCTCGGGGTGTACCACGTAGAGAGCGTGTAGATGGAGCCGGGAATATAGCCAGCCTCGGAGAAGCCGAGCAACAGGCGCGCCGCGAGAAAGCCAGCCCTGTTCTTGACGAATATCTGCATCGTCGCGGTGAGACCAAAGGCAAATACCTGGCCTGCAATCCACTTTCTCGGCCCTAGCTGGAGATGGCATGTCAATTCTGCATCAGACAGGTGCGGTCTTAGTGATGCCTTCTTACTCGTTGGAGAACCATGTTGCAGGGAATCTCAAACACCACGATGCCCATAAACATCAGCTGGTTGCCGAGGTTGATGGTGCTCTGATCTATGGAGATGTCCTTTGCAAAGCCGCCTGTCAGCGCGCTGGCGAGGTTCATGCGGTCAAGCTGGAAGACCAGAAGGCCGAGGAAGAGGATCAGCAAGACCGAAAGGTCGACTCTGTGTCACAACGTGTCAGTGACCGTGGATCAAGTATATATCTGTTCAGTGTTGTAATTACTTGCGACGAGCTGCCCTTTCCAAGCCCGCGTCATGTTCAATTGATGAAGAGGGATCGCCGATGTGCCGTTCCTCGACTTCCGATTTCGGAAGCTCCCAAATACCAGATGAGTCGCTTTGCTCGGCGCTGGCGACGCCTTTTTCGTTGTGCATTTTGTCTCAAGAGTAATCAAGCGTTCTCAACTGCGCAATTCAGAGGCTTGTAAGAAAACAAGATGCTTCACAAATCTTTGCTGAGTAGCAATGCTGAGATTAAAAAAGCGTAGCTAACATTAAGGTTATCGAGATTATTTCTTTGAATTTCTAATTTTAGTTAGCAAGAATATTTTAGCCGATGGCGAGGACATATATGTACTCGCTTGCTTTGTTTCAGCATGCCCTCAACCTGGATGGGTAACCTGGATGAGTAGATTGCGTGATCATTGACTCAGTTGACGCCGCACACCTTGACCGCTATATGAAGCTCTTTAAACGCGGAGCGAGAGATCTTCTTCAGAGCAAAACCTCAAGCCACTCATTTACACATGTCTATGCTGTTTGGTCAAGATGTTCTTGGCAGCCTAGAGGCGGCGTAGACGAGTCGATTGCGTGATCCGATATTTGGCTGACGTGCGCTCAGGCCACCGTATAAAAGCGAATTGGCAGAAGAGATGGCATTGAACAAGCGAATAAGGTTGTTGGCATATTTATCAACTATATAGTGTCCGGTCTCGGCACTTGCCCGCCCTCCCCCGCGATTCTCTGGTCGCGCGACGCAGCAATGCCTCCAACCACGGTAAAGCGAGTGGCCGTTATTGGCGTCGGCCCTGCCGGTGCCATCACAATAGACGCATTGGCTCGCGAAAAGGCGTTCGATATTATCCGGGTGTTTGAGCGTCGCGAAGGGCCGGGAGGATGCTGGTGTGTATACAACGGCCCCCATCTACGAGCGGGATGACGGCTTACAAGCGGGAACTCAAGGATAGGTGATGCCACGACACCGCCCGCAGAAACAAACCTGGAAGACCTCGCAAAGCGCAATGTCGACTTACCGCTCTCGATACCGGAGCAGCTCCCGGCATTGACTCCCAAGTCTGACCAGCCGCGCTTCACCGAGTCGTCCGTGTACCCGTACCTGGAGACCAATATTGATTCGCTGCCGATGGAATTCAGCCAGGAGCCGATACCACCGGAGAAAAGCCAAGGGTCGATAGAGCTTCATGGGAAGGATACGCCATTTAGACACTGGCGCGTCATGCGCGACTACATTGCGCGTCTCGTGGATAGAAATGGCTATCAAGACTACGTATCGTACAACACCACGGTCGAACGCGCAGAGAAGGTAGACGGGGAGTGGAAGCTCACTCTTCGGAGAGATGGAGCGGCGCAGGATTATTGGTGGAATGAATACTTTGACGCGGTGATTGTCGCCACAGGGCATTACTCTGTCCCTTATATTCCATCCATTCCCGGGTTGGAACAGCTACAGAAACTGCGTCCTGGAAGTGTTGTGCATAGCAAGCACTTTCGAGGCAGACATTCCTACAAGGGCAAGGTAAGTCATGAGCTAGTTGATTTTTTATTTTTAAAAAGAATATTCGAAATCGCGTTAATGCCACCAACAGCGGATCGTGGTCGTCGGCGCATCCGTCTCGGCCGCCGATCTTGCCTTTGACCTGGCTGAAGTCGCCGAAGCCCCCGTCCACGCCGTCACCATCGGCCACACCCCCAACGGCTACTTCGGCTCCGACGCCTTTCAACATCCCCTCATCCGGCAGCACCCGTCCATCGACCGCGTCGACGGCCGCACCGTCCACTTCGCCGACGGCAGCTCCGTCCCCGACGTCGACCACGTCCTCTTCGGCACCGGCTACACCTGGACGCTGCCGTTCCTGCCCGTCGTGCCGGTCCGCGGCGGCAACCGCGTGCCCGGCCTCTACCAGCACGTCGTCTGGCAGGCGGACCCGACGCTGCTCTTCGTCGGCGCGGTCAACGCCGGGCTGACCTTCAAGGTGTTTGAGTGGCAGGCCGTGTTCGCGGCGCGGCTGCTGGCGGGACGCGCGCGGGCGCTGCCGCCGGTGCAAGAGATGCGCCGCTGGGAGGAGGAGCGCGTGGCGGCGAGGGGAGATGGCGCCAAGTTTGCGCTCGTGTACCCGGACTTTGAGGACTACTTTGAGACGCTGAGGGGACTGGCTGGCGAGGGGGAGGGGGAGGGGGGCGTGGGGAGGAGGCTGCCGCCGTTCAGGAGGGAGTGGTTCCGGGCATTTCTCGAGGGCCATGAGCGTCGAAAGAGGATGTGGCGACGGATCAATGCCGAGTATCGGGAGATTGAAGAGAAGCGGTTGAAGAAAGCTGGGGAACCCAAACCCCGGCTTTGACGAGCAAGCACTTACACCGTTGCGAGTGTCTTTCTGTCTTGGACCGGGGACTCCCATACTAGAAAACAGCAATTAGATGCAAAGCCCATTTCAAATAGAACTACCAAAGCACGATTATTGCAAAAACGATTTACATCATTCATGGTAAAGGTTTTTGACGTTGAATACCTATGATAGATATACAGACAGTGGCTAGCAGAGCAACGAGGTTGCCATGAGTTTGCCATGGGAGCGGCCCAAGTCCCAGCTGCTGGTCACAGCCCCTATTGATAGGCATAGATGTCAAGAGTAACGTTTGATTTTATTGAATTCATCATCACTGGAGGGAGAAAAAAATCATCGCGAGGCGGACAGACGTAATCTGGCATGTGAATCCATCGTGTCGAGGCTGTGCTGTTACTTATCCGGACATGCCCTTCAACCGCTTGGCATATACCTTCTAGATTGGGTTATTAATAGCGATCTCCTTTAACAGTTGTGCCCGAATTCTTGGCAATTCTTCCAAAATCCTTCTCGACCCGTGATGCTGCCCTCCATCGGCAGCTGTTTTGCTGGTGACTTACAGCCCCCCTCTACCGCCCCCTCCACTAGTTAGCTTCCCCCCAACGCTAAAAAAGCTGCTCTTCGCCCTCACAACCACCACACTTGCTCTCGGCCTCTCTCGTAAACTGAGACAAGCAGCGAGGCGTTGACCCTATCATCGTCGTCCGTTGGTGGAAAGCGCTCCTTCACATGCTCGTGGGCTCAACAGGACGGCCCCTTTGTTGCACAGTCTCTTATGCCCGAACTATTCTTTTGGCCCGAGACATCTCTACAACGTGGCATCCCCAGGAATCTGACGGCAAACGCGATGCATCATCACCACACCCTCGCACAACGGTTTGTAAAGTATAGAGCGGCCGCTCGGCATGTATCAACTAGATATTCTTGGAAGCACCCACGGGGCTGACTGGGGACAATCCGCACGCACCACTTTTCCTTACTGATGAGTTGCATCATTTTCGTCGTATTCTTGGTGCTAACATCTCCGGGGGCGCCGAAACGCATCGGTCCAGTTCCGCTCGTCAGGGACGAACCGCGCGTGCTCGTAGCTTGACAGCTGTCGTATACCTGGGGATCGGGCGGCCAAAAAATCCTCCTCGAGCGCTGCCAAGACCCATGTTCACGCAAGCTGACGCGAGCGAGAAGAGGCAAAACATGGCTATGGACAAAAGCGGAAATACAAAGTTTTTTAAAAAAAAAACAGCAGCGTCAGGCCCGGCGCGTTCCTGACTCGAGGCGACAGACTGCGAGCTGGCAGCCATCAATCTGCCTGCTGAACATGGAATGGGGCTTGACAAGGAGGGCTTCATCGCGGAGCCTTCAGAATCGTCTACCACATCCCCTGCCCACGCGACCAGCCACCTCGCCCGCGAACGTGCCGACCAAGAATTAAAGATGGAGCCGTTGGGTCGCAAGCGTCGAAGACAATCTGCAATGCAAGTCATCGATTCGCTCTGCAACAATGACCGTCTGACCAGCACCAGTGGGTCACGACATTCTAGTGTGGCGGCGCCGTCCTCGACCGAGCCCGAAGCCCAGCCAAGCCAGCCTGTTCTGCTTGCTGGGCCAGTCGTCGCGAGTCGTTGCCGCTGGGCACCAATTGGTGCCGGATTCCCTAAGCAGCCGTCCGACTGGTTCGCGACATCCTCCTCGACGACCTATCACCGTCTCTCCTTTCAACTTCCTTTGTCATGTCTCTGCTCAGCCGCCACCAATCGTCGTGACCGCCTTCGCTGCGGATGACACCAAGATGGATCCCTTCATTAGACTCAAATGACGACCTTTTATTTTCTTCTCGCTGTATTGTTATTCTTACTGGGTCATGCACTTTTTTTTTCGCCCCAATAGACCCGATCGCTGGTTCTTCATTATGGCGCCCTCGCCAGATTGCTGTAGCCTCCTTCGCCCTCATCCACTTACATACAATCGCAACAAAGGCCCTTGCTGAGTAGCGGATGGCGACAGTATATACTTTGGCTAAATCCGCTCACCGGTGCAACTTGGATTTTTGTTGACAAAGTATGACGCTAAGAGATCAGATTGTAGCATGAGGGAATCGCCCGGTGCTCATTTTACAGGATCGCCGTCCTGGTTGTCGTGGTGTTGTATCCCACTTACATTCCATAGGCAACCCCAGAGTCACAGTACGTTGACTGAACGTTTTATTCCAAAGACCCCTCCCTTCAATTCATCTTATCATCACTGCAACTGTTCTCACCCCATTTCGCCGCGAACATCATATTAATAAATGGTCAAGTCCAAGAGAAGATGCCTGCCCCCATCATCGCCGACCAGCCGGAACCGCAGGCGCGTCTTATCTTCGGCCGGTCCTCAACAGAATCGTCTTTGAGGCTTTCCAGAACCACGTCGACGGCAAAGGCCCAATCGCCAAAATTCGGATTTTTCGGAAGACAACGCAATCACTCGGATGCTTCTTCGCAAAAGATGTTGATATCCGCTCCGACCCATTTCCGACACTTGACATCGGGATCTCAGCACGCGTTTCCCGCCAGACCGCTGAACATGCACACGCAAGAGGCCCGCCACACACCACAGGCACGAGATGTCTCCCAGGTTTCCCGCCCGGCAGCATCGACGCGCGATTGGGAACTGGAATCCCGACGCGAGAGCCTCCCACCTTTGGAGCCACTGGAGCTCAGTATCTACACGAGGCGGAGTCGTCTTTCGCCTTTGCTGCCCCAGTTTGAGCTCCCATATATGATGAACCCATCACCGCCGCCTGCATATGCCAGAGAAGAAGCAGAGCGCAGCCATGTTTTGCGGTCCCAGAGAAGCATGCCCTCCCTGTCCCGCGGCCCATCGTGTTCACCTGGTGTGAGCGATGGGACCTCGACTCCCGAGTCGCTCACATGTACAACTACGACGTCGAAGCAGACGGCGCGGTCAAGGTCACACACTTCACCTGATGTCGAGGCTATACGAACCAGAGTTGCCAATGCAATGCAGGAAGTAGAGAGGTTGCAGAAGAAAATTGACGATGTTGTCGAGAGGCAGAGCCTGTACACGCCAAGCCGTCCGTCGAGCGCGCATTCTGCCCACTCTGCTGGTCGAACCTTGCATGGTAAATAAACCTGACAACTGAGAAGTCGTGGCCTGACCATGTTTTAATTAATCTTCAAACAGATCTCGAACCCATGCCATCAATCCCGGCTCTGCCTCCATCGGCCCCGTCGTTTGCGGAGCGACTCCACGGTGAGGCTGATGGATTGCCCACAGCACCAGCGACTGTCGTGAGACAGCCATGTACAACAGACGAGGAAGCTGGAAGCCGACGACGACGACCTCCACCTCCATTGCATTGCGATGAACATGCGGATACCGTTCTGCCCCCACTGCCACTGGTTCTACGACCGCCTTTGCGTAAGAAGAAGCCATTCAGAGAGTCATTATCCGGCTTCGTGTTCCCAGTGCCACCTCGAAAGAGCAGCCTGGACAGTGTCACGAATAAGCCTCGTCCTATCAAGGAGACTGAGGGCTTTTATCAGTGCGTGCCGGTCAACGGAGCTCACATGAGCTACGAGTCGCTACACTCGCTGTCAAGTAGCAACGACGGGGATGATAACGGCGAGGAAGGGGGCGCGCGCTCACCATACTCGCCCGCGACACCTTGCGAATTGCCCATTGAGCGGTGCGCGACGTTTGGCAAGGATGCCAGCGGATTACCCTTGAGCGTTGGCATAGCTCTTTGAGTACGAGTTTTGTGGACAAGTTTGAAACATACGTTCGGGAGGAAATGGAAAACGAACTGGACATTATACCCCATACATTTCTGGCAAAGAATGGACATGATAGAAGGGAAAGGTCGTGTACAATGGAAGGATACATTTATACGTGCATTCAGGAAATGCACTGCCCGATTTATTATATTAGCATTGGTATTTTTCGGGAGAAATCGCAACTTTTTGGGGGGGCAGTACCACTGCGAATTAGTTAGTTAGATAGCGATCTTGTCCTCGAACAGGTAATCAGGACTGGTCGGACACTGTTAGTTTTATAGTAGCATGAATTATCAATCAGTATTATTTCGGAATTGTGCTCGGGGTGCCAACGGTTCACTGCGCAGAGGCAGAGGCAATACGAGGAAGGACTGGGCCCGAATAGGTGGCAAGTCGATGTCTGAGCTGCCACAACGTGGACAAGATCTGAGGTCCAAGGTGGTCAGCCACAAGCCCGCCAATTGTTTGATGTTGGGTGCGGACAGCATTGCAGATGAGGCGGCAAGTAGCTGCACAGCTAACAAGCCGCAAGGTCGGAGTCCCGACGAGCCTGTTTACTGGAGCCCAAGTCTCAGCGCCACCCACGCCCTTGAAGCCCCTGTGCCGTCTCGCATCAGAACCACTGTTGATCATCCCGCGTTCTTCAATTTCTCCCCCAACATTTTTGTGACACATACACTAGAAAAAACCCGCTCGCAATCTTCTTCTTCTTTCTTTTTTTTTTCTTTCTGGTTCTCGTCAAGTTACCTGCCTATTTTGCTCTTTTCTTTCCCTCCTCAGTCACCGAAGCCCGGCAGGTACTCGCGAGGCCTGCACACATCCACATACGCATCCAACCCGACCTGCATATCGACGCACGTGTGGAAACCGACGCTGGCTGTTGGTTTTCGGCACCCGTGCAGCGGAGATCATGGATAGTAAGCGCAGCAGAGACTACAAGTACTCGACCGTCAACCACGACGAGCCGGGCGATGTGCGGATCGAAGCCCTCGGCGATTCCACGACAAACAGACGTCCCACGAAGACGCTTCTCACGGTTGCGATGGGCTCAACACTAATCGCAGCGGCCCTCTTCCTTGCCATTGGGTATGCTCCCCGCATCAGCGTCTGAAAGAAACCCCCTCAAAATTTCGAGCACCCAACTTGAATCTGCCGTGCTAATTATGTCACCGAACTAGGGGCCGCGCTTCCAAATGCTGCACCGAAAAGGCGACCTGCTCAGGTTCGCTCGGCACCTGGGGACAATATTCACCCTGGGCCCCTGCGCCGTCCAAGGTCGACCCCGCGATCCCGCCCGAATGCAAGGTCACGTTTGCTCAGGTGCTGTCGCGACACGGCTCCCGCGGACCGACGGCTGACAAGGGAGCCAAGTATGCAGCCTTCGTCGAGGAGCTGCAGGACTCCATCACCGAATACGCGGAGGGATTCAAATTCTTGAAGGACTACAAGTATGACCTCACTACCGATGATTTGTCGCCGTATGGCGAGAATGAAATGGTTGAGTCGGGCAAGCTCTTCTACAGCCGCTACAAGAACTTGGCCGCCAAGACGGAGCCCTTTGTCCGAGCTTCTGGGTCTGGCCGCGTCATAATGTCGGCGCAAAACTTTACTCAAGGCTACTACGGCGCGCAGGGCCGCAACGGCGACGACTTTGCCGCGCGCATCCTGGTGATCCCTGAGGAAGAAGGGTACAACAACACGCTGGAGCACGGCAGCTGCAAGCTGTTCGAGGAGGGCCCCGGCAAGAAGGAGGGCAGCGCGAAGCAGAAGAAGTGGAAGGAAATCTGGGTGCCGCCCGTGCAGAAGCGGCTAAGCGAGAAGCTCCCCGGCGCCGAGTTTGACATTGAAAGCACCGTGTACTTTATGGAGCTCTGCCCGTTCGAGACGGTCGCCTCCCCGTCGCTGGCACTGTCGCCCTTTTGCCGGGCCTTCTCAGTGGACGAGTGGCGCAGCTACGACTACCACCAGTCGCTCGAAAAGTGGTACGTGTACGGTCCCGGGCGCGACCTCGCGTCGTCGCAGGGCGTCGGGTTCGTCAACGAGCTGCTCGCGCGGCTGACGGGCCAGCCCGTGCGCGACCACACGTCGACCAACTCGACGCTGGACGGGTCGCCGGCGACGTTCCCGCTGGACCGCGCGCTGTACGCCGACTTCAGCCACGACAACGGCATGATGACTGTGTTCACGGCGCTGCGGCTGTTCGAGGGCACGGAGGACCTGCCGACGACGCGGCGGGCGTCGCCGGAGCAGCTGGGCGGGTACTCGGCGTCGTGGGCGGTGCCATTTGGGGCGCGCATGTACGTGGAGAAGTTGCAGTGCGGTGGTGGTGACGAGGAGCTGGTGCGGATCTTACTTAATGACCGCGTGGTGCCGCTGCACGGGTGCGACGCGGATGAGCTGGGTCGCTGCAGGCTGGACAAGTTTGTCGAGTCGATGAAGTTTGCGACGAGCGGTGGTGAATGGAGTCGCTGCGGATGAGAATGGTAGCTATGTGGACGTCTGACCGGATATGCATTCTCATACGCATACATTCCCCCTGAAGGGAGGGGGCTTATTAGTAGATTTAGGCATCAATAAATAGAACATTGCACCACAGCCTCCCCAAAATCAGCGGGAGTGCATGTCAATATGGCGATGATCAGCTGTGTCGTCTTGATGGGGCTGGTTGTTATACTGGAGCCTAAACCGCTGCGTAAGCCTTTTTGGCCGCAGCAGGCGGGTAACGGGCTTTTGATGATGTTTGAATTAGTCGATGACTGAAGAATAGTGGCCAACTTTGAAATTAGCTTGGAAAGCAAATAATACGGGGAGAGATTGGAAAAGCACCTGGCGGAAGCAAACAAACGCTGTGCTGCCTCTTCCTGCTGGAGTCCGGGACGGGGACTTCAATGGCAGCTGACAGCCTGGCAAGGCTGTCGTATGTACGTACATACAGTACATACCTAGTACATAGTTAGCTGGAGACTTTTATTAGTGGCCTCTGTATCCGGAATAAGAGGCCCCATGCTACCTAGTAGTGTCAACTTGGATGTAGTGAGTACCAGACCATCTCAGTAGCTATTGCTAATGAGTCGAACGTTTCCAGCATATCGAGGTAATAAAATATATTTATTCATGTTTTTAGGGTTTTTATAGCGCCAGCCCAGAGAAGAACTCAAAAATCTGCCTCAATGATAAGAGGCCAGACTGAAGGTTAACAGTATATTGAGGTAACTACAACTTGGGCCACGCTACGTCAGCCCACTGGGCAGAAGCTTGATATTCCAGTTCTATTTTAGCCTTGCCTGCACGCCACGCCCGACTCTCTTCGTTCTGCCTCATCCCCCTGCATCTTTTCAAACGAAACGTAAACGACAACCAACGCCGAACCTGCAACTCGCCAACCCGCAGAAAAAATATTCAAAAGGACGTCGACGATTATGCCCCCCCCCCAGCGCGGCCAATACACACACACACGCAGGCGCGCGCATTTCCATCACACTGTGAACCCCCGGCCTTGGCTTGTGGCCAAGCGATCCGACGTAACCAGGCCGCTCGCACGAACCAGGAGCCCAGTTGGGGCGAAACTGCGCGACGCTCACTGTTGTTCAAAACCGACTCGTCGCCATTCACATCTGCTTTCCTAGAGATATCGACCGCCCGATCAATAACCTTTGTTAATACCTCCATCTGCCATCTGCGGCAAAAATGGTGTCAGCGGCAGGCGGCATCATCATCGCCATTGTCGTGCTCGCCCTGGTGGCGGCAGTGGCATGGATTGTCTTTACGCAGTACCGCGCACGCAGACTCGGCGTAAGTCCCCTTCACTCGCCCCCATGCCGCGCAGTGCGTACCCGCGCCGCTCCTGCGGCGCTCTGTCGGAGAATACGTTCCCCGTTGCACCAAGCCTGACGTTTTGTGTGTTGCCACGGATTGGCTAACCCGCACGCCCTTCTAGCTCCCCACCCCGAGCCTCTCGTCATACCTTCCCTGGAAGAAGCGCGATAGTCCCTACGGACCGCCCCAGCCCGCGCCCGGCGGCGTCGCGGGCTGGTTCAACGACCAGGTCCGCAAGTTCAAGAACCGCAACAACCGGTCCGCCGCCGGCGCGTACGAGCCCTCCAACCGCGGCGTCGGCGTCGGCGTCGGCGGCGCCCGGGGCGCGTTCGACCCGGACGAGGCCTGGGACACGCGCGTCGGCAACGAGGCCGACCACTACGGCTACTACGAGGAGGAGCTGACGGCCCGCGGTGGCGGTGCCGTCGCTGCGGGTGCTGGTCGCCGCATCAGCACCGAGTACCACGGCGGCAGCTCGTACAACATGAACCTGGCGGCCACGCCCGGCCGCGAGCGTGACGAGGACGACGTCGACCTGGAGAGGGGCCGGCAGCCCTCGCGGAGCCCCGGCGCGGGACCGCGCGGCAACAACCCGTTTGACGACGATCACGCGGCCGAGAGCCTGCGTGGCGTCAGCCCGCGACCGATGGAGCACGGGCACAAGAGCAGCGCCAGTCCCTCGCGTCACTCGGTGTTTAAAGAGAATGTATAGCGTTGTCGATTGTACGTCGGGAAAGCGTGACGGAGGAGGAAAAGCTGGGCTCTACTTGGAGTGTGCATTGTGTAATTGGTTCTTGCAAGTCGTCTTTTTTATGCGCTGGTTTCTACCTGTGGCCTTGGATCTGGATTTCTTTAGCAAGATGTTTTAGGCGGCGATATGCTGATTCGGGGGCGATCAATCAATGGAAAGGACACTTTTACGAATGAATGGCTGCGTTTGTGATGATGCGACGTCGGGATGCAGCTGGTGGGAAGAAGTAGTCAATGGGAGCGTGTCCTTGACCTTGGTATACATCAGCAATTCGACAAAAAGTCCTCCATGTGAAGCGAGAAATGCGTTACTATAGCTGAATCGGTGCTTTGGTAGAGACTTTGACCAACACTGACAGGTGGTATCTTCATCCGTACTCTGAGACGTCGTGGGGTCGAGTTGACGTCAGTTCTTCGGACGAAGAGCCAAGGCATGTATTCTTGATGCATTACTTTGCCGAAAAAATAGATCTGGAAGTAATTTGATAAATGTAAAAGTAAAGCATCTAATTCCTTACTGTTGTGTTTACACTATTACAATGGACTGACCATCTGCAGAGAACAATCGCCAAGTCTTGCTTGGCGGCTACCCCAGCCCATCATTCATTCACCCACGATGGCGGGGCACCCAACCTTGACGACAACAACCTCCCAAGCTGCCGAGTTTCTTCATCCCACCCCCTTCCAGCACCCCCCCTTTGGCATCATTCACGAGCCAATTTGCGACCAAGTAAGGACAAGGAACAGAAAATGACGGACCTCAACCTTGAGCAGGTCCGCGACACCATGGTCGCCGTCGCCCACGAGGCGGGGCGCATGATGCTGGCCGCCAACCCGGCCGATATTCCCTCAGACACCAAGCTCAACGCCGTCGACATCGTCACCGAGGCCGACCAGGCCATCGAGCGCATGGTCGCCGCCAAGCTGTCGGCCGCGTTCCCCTCGGTCGCCTTCATGGGCGAGGAGACGTACAAGCCGGGCATGAAGCTGGGTCCGGAGCCGACCTTTGTCGTAGACCCGATTGACGGTGAGTCGCGCTCTACATGATGAAGTGGGAAAATGTGAAAAAGTTCCCTGGAAACTCCCCGGAAATCTAATTCTATTGTTCCCCTCTCACGTGCAGGCACTACCAACTTCATCCACGGCTTCCCCAACGCGTGCATCTCGCTCGGCCTCGCCGTGGACCGCACGCCCGTCGTCGGCGTCATCTACAACCCGTGGCAAGAGCTCCTCTTCACCGCCGTCCGCGGCCAGGGCGCCTTCATGACCCGCGGCAGCCGGGACGCCACCCCTCGCCGCCTGCCCCTCGCCGCGACCGCGCGGCCGCTGACCACGCTCGGCGAGTCGCTCGTCGCCGTCGAGTGGGGGTCTGTCCGCGACGGGCCCAACTTCGACGTCAAGGTCGAGACTTTCCGGCGGCTGGGCGCCTCCAAGGCCCTTGGCGGCGCCATGGTGCGCTCGATGCGCTCGCTCGGCTCCGCGGCGCTCAACCTCGCCGCCGTCGCCGCCGGCGAGCTCGACCTCTACTGGGAGGGCGGATGCTGGGCCTGGGACGTCTGCGCCGGCTGGTGCATCCTCGCCGAGGCCGGCGGCCGCGTGGTGAGCGGGAACCCGGGCGACTGGGAGCCCGCGGTGGACGGCCGCGTGTACCTGGCGGTGCGCGGCGCGCCGAGCGGCCAGAGGGAGATTGTGGAGGAGTTTTGGGGCGTCATGGGCGACGGCCGCATGGACTACTCGTCGTGAGAACAGATGTGGGTGGCGGCCCATGGGTTGATTGGAAAGGACAAATGGTATACATAAAAGAAAGAGGGGGGAGGCTCATGAGAATTAATGATGTTTTTTAACCGCTAGAACTACGCAATGAACGTGACGAGATCTAATCTAATGCGCCGTATGAGACAAACTTCTTGTGTAAAGGGCGCGTTTACCACCTATATTGAACCATTTTCCAATTGCAGAAGAAAAGCAAAAAAAAAAAAAACGCCGTCTGATGATGTATTGCTTGCGATGAAGAACCAGAGAACTGGCAGTGAAGCCAGGGTGAAGCCAAGCCTGTACCTGTCTTGGTACCTGCCGATAATAAGAGACGAACCGCCTCAAGCGGAAAACTTGCTCTGGGCTCGCCATTTGGCGCCAAAGTACCATAGCAGTATCGGTGCCGGCCAGCCGACGACGATGGCGGCCACGGCGAGAATTGTGCCGCCCTTGCCATAGCCCAGGGCCTGATACATCTCCGGCGCGAAGAGCGGGAAGCCGAAGCCGGCGAGACTGCGCAGCACGGTGGCGGCGCCGACGGCGCTGGCCGCGAAGCGGGTGTAGGTGTCGACGAGGTAGCCCTGGACGCACTGGAAGCCGATGATGCTGCCGAGGGAGAAGATGAGCGCGCCGATGTTGGGCCCGATCCAGTGGGTGCGGTACTCGGCGGTCCAGGCGTAGATGAGCAGGCCGACGGGGACGAGGACGGCGCCGGGGACCATGAGCGGGACGCGGAACTCGGGGCGGCCCGGCCCGCCGTCGGGCACGTACCGGCGCTTGAGCGCGGCGTAGATGCGGTCCTGCAGCGGCGCGCAGACCTGGGTGCCGAGGAAGAAGCCGAGGCCGATGGAGATGTAGTTGAGGCCCTGGATTCCCGGCCGCTCGTGGTACTCCTCGGCGAAGAGCGTGGGGAAGCTGGAGAAGAGGATGTAGATGGTGCCGTAGAGGTACGTCATATACAGCGCGAGGATCTGCACGATGAGCTGCGTGCCAAGGAGGCGAAAGGGCCGGGTGAGCGCCTTGCCGAGCGTCTGCGCGAGCGTGCGCTCCGGGTGGTCGTACTCGGTGCGCAGGGCCGCGTTGCCGGTGGCGCGGACCAGCTGCACGCGCTTGCGGTGCAGCAGCACGGGCGCGTACGTCTCGCGCAAAAAGACGAGGCCGACGGCTTGGATGAGGCCGCAGGCGATGGTGGTGCTCCAGAAGACCCAGCGCCAGGAGGTCTGCTGGGCGATCCAGCCGCCGGCGACGGGCCCGATGGCCGGGCCGAGCAGCGGCATCAGCGAGTAGACGCTCATGGCCTTGCCGCGCTGCTCGGCGGCGAAGAGGTCGCCGAGGATGCCGCCGCCGATGGCGAGCGGCGCGGAGCCGCCCAGGCCGGCGAGGAAGCGGAAGGCGACCATCTGGCCCTCGGTGCGCGCGAGGGCGCAGCCGAGGTTGAAGCCGAAGAACCACACGTTGGAGGCTTGCAGGATGAGCACGCGCCCGTAGAGCTCGGAGAGCGGGCCCCAGAGGAGGGGGCCGACGGCGTAGGCGGCGACAAAGATGGACATGACGAGGACCTGCTCGGTGCGGCCGGTGATGTGCATCTCCTCGCCGATGACGGGCAGCGCGGGGGCGACCATGGAGGAGGATATGGGGGAGATGAAGGTGAAGAGGGAGACTAGACGCGGGTTAGATGTGGTGTAGCTTGATTATGAGTCGGGTGTGTGTATTCAAAACGTACCGAGAAGAACGTCCATCCACTTCTTATTCAAAGACCAGTTTTTGGGGTTCTCCTTGTCGTCGGGCCCGTCCCAGGTCACCAAGTTGGGGTCCGGCGTCTGTTGTTGTTGTTGCTCCTTGCTGCCGTCGCCATCGTTGCTATCCTCGCCAATTTCGAGATCGCGCTGGTTGAGCATGCCGTCACGGACTTCGGAGACGGTACGGGAGAGGCGCGACGTCCGGGGCATTGCTGAGGCGACGGGCGACAGCGACGGGCCGACCCTCGACGAAGCGGTGTCGTCATGATGGTGGTAGTCATCGTCGTCGCTGCTGCTTGAGATAATGCCGGGGCGCTCGTGTCTTTCCGGGTCGTAGTCGTCACTGTGACTGTGCGCCGCCGGTAGGTCTTGCTTTTCTGGCTCGGCGGCTGACATAGTTGTGATTGTGGTTGTTGTGTGTTCGGTGTTGGTTTCGGAACGTTTACAAGCGAGGTGTTGTGAGGGATGACCACAACAGACACGACCTGTGTTCAATTGTATCGTTGTCGAGAAAAGCCTATCAAAGACACGATTCAAGAAAGTTAAGCGAAAAGAACTGCCAAATGGTGAGATAGTGTCGAGGGAGACTGAGATGCAACATTAGGAACAGAGCTTGAGGTGCGTAGTAGGTGGGAGCAGTGACACTTTTGTAGATATTACAAGACAAAAAAACAATTTTTATTAGGCGAATAATACGGAGTACGGCAGAGAATGGCCGAAGATGGAGTTAAGAATTCAAATGCGGAAAGCCAGACCGGTAATAGACCCTGTCTGGCCTTAAGCACTCCGCGGACCCTGTTGGATGGTACCGCATCGGGTGGCGTACCCCATGGATGCATTGTTGGCGTTGATTGATGTTTTTTTAATCTTCTTTTCTAGAATTCTTACTCTGGGACAAGTTTACAAGTACCTGAGCGGGAAGACCCGTGGAAAGCTCCGGCGACGAACACGGCATTCTAGAAACATTGCGTCATTCTGATTCCTCGTTTCTGGGCAGTGTTGTAGCAATATGCGTATAGCCATCATGGCTATGCATTGCCACGACATCGGTTGATTTCAAGACGGCCCGGCTGTCACCAATAACAAAGAATAGAAGGGTTGAGAACATGAAAAGCCAGCAGCCTCCCCTGTCAAATCCATCGTCGCCCCCACTCGGCCGATGCGGCGCCGGCTGAGTAACTAACCCCCGACCGCCCCACAAGTCCGCGGACATTTGCACTTTGGGCAACCAAGCTCACCAAGACGATTTGAATGAGAAGAGAAGAAAAACTGCTTGTTTTTTTTTTTTTTTTTTTAAAAAAAATCTTTGCTTCATAGACAAGCCAGTACTCACTAGAAAAATAGCATAAAGCAGTATGAAAACATCCCAGCAATCGCTGCAGGCCGCCTGCACAGCAAGGCTGTTTTGCAGCCATGGTAATATGCAGGGTATGCACATAGTTATCCGTCTGCAATACCCGTAGCTGGGCCTTCTCTGGCACGCAGGAAAGAGAGCTATACATTTAGTGGGAATTTATGCCATAGAAAATACAGGTAAAAATGGGGTTAAGACGGAGAAGAAACGTTGTGCTCCGCACGTTGGTATTGACAAAGCAACGGCAACCGCGGGTTCATGATTAAATTCAACAGGAAAGAAAAAATGAACAAAATCCACGTCGTCTGACGCTGACCGCCCGGGACTGCCATCGGCGAATCAGTTCAGGCCTGAGATGTATGTATGTATGTATGTACGTCGGCCCGTTCATTGAGAAGCCGACTCAACCAACCGACGGCGTTTAGCGCAACGGCGTATCAGCATAGACCGCCTATAGACCGCCCAACCTGTCACCGCATGTCCCTGGAAAAGCATCAAATAAGCCATCATTATAGATGCTCTGCAGGTTGTTCCTAGACTAGTTCAGGTAAAATGTCAAATGATGAAGCCAACAAATGAAAACCAGTAAAACGCCATTTACACTTGTTTGCCACCCTACAAGCCAGTCAGTTGCTCCATCCCAGTCATTCCGTGAAGCTCGCAAGTACGGCATGTAATTCTTCCCATTTATTTCTTTGACCCCGGCCGGCGAATTTTCGTTCACGCCTCCACCTTGGTATCGACCTTCTTGGCAGAGCGCTCCTCGCCAGCACCATTCTCCTCCTCACGCGAGCGCTTGCTGCCGCGATCCTCGTTGTCGCGACGACCACCGCGGAAACCACCGCCACGGCCACGACCACCACGGCCGCCGCGGCCACCACGGCCACCGCGTCCACCACGACCGCCGCGGAACCCGTTCTTCTGATCGTGCTCGCGGCGCTTCTTCCAGTCGTCCTGGTCGCGCGGGCCGCGGCGACCACCGGCACCACCCTCCTGGCCCTCGAAGAACTTCTTGCTCGTCGTGGTGCTGGGCTCCAGCTTGCCGGCACGGATGAGGTCGCTCTTCTCCTCGCAGTACGCCTGCTTGGTCATGATCTTGAGGTCGTGCCCCTTCCACTGCGGCGCGGGCTCCTTGCCGACGAACGCCTTGGCGGCGTCCTCGCTTGCAAAGGTGACGAAGACGGAGCCCTTGAAGAGGCCCTCGGGCGTGCGGCGCAGCTTCAGGCCCTTGACCTCGCCAAACTCGGCGAAGAAGGTCTCGACGTCGAACTGCGTGTTGGTTGTCTCGTCGCCGAAGCCCTTGACGTAGACGGTGGACGCCTCGGTGCGCGCGCGCGAGTTGGCCATGGGTTGGTAGGGCACCTTGCGCTTGAGCGTCTCCTTGCCCTCCTCGCCCTCGACGTCGAGGAACTTGCTGTCGCGCAGGGCGGCGACGATGGCGCTGTAGGGCTGGAAGGAGCGCATGCGCTTGAACGAGTGGATCTTCTCGACGGCGATGGGCTTGTTCTCGCCGCCGCCGCAGCTCTCCCACATGAACTTGTCCTGGGGGAAATTCCAGTCGCCAAAGTAGAACTCGACCTGCTTGCGAATGGCGGCGGGGTCGTCCGAGATCTCTCGCTGGCTGGGGTCGAACTTGTTGTTCTTCTGACGGTTTTCCTTGTCAACCTTGGCCGTGGTCTTGAGAATGTTCTTTTCGCTTTGGCCGTTGGTGGCAGAGGCAGTCGTCTCAGCGGCGTCAGGAGCAGCCTCTTTGGCGGTCTCGGGAGCTGTCTCGGGAGCGGCCTCGGGAGCAGCCTCGGAAGCAGCCTCGGGAGCGGCCTCGGGAGCGGTCTCGGGGACTGCCTCAGTGGCAGCAGCAGCAGGCTGCTCGACAGCCTCGGCGGGCTTGGTGGTAACGTCGGCCTCGCTCATGTTGGTGTTTGAATCGCAAGGATCAGCGGTGGGAATATCTTGTAATCGAGTTGCACTGTCAAGGCGACAAGATATATGAGCCCGTTTTCCAAGGATGACTCTTTTCCGGCGTCTGTCCAAGTGTGAGCAAAGACATTCGAGATTTGCGCCTACATTGGCGGGGCAAGAAAATTCCTGCCAGCCTCCCTCCGGCGTCATTCGCGAGGCAGAAGGCGCCGAGAACTCGGCTAGCATTTCAAAACTGACCTTTAAGATGCGAGAATAGGTTTTGATTCGTAAATGATGTTTAAGGCAGTCAATCCAAGATAAATGTGGTATGTTCGTAGCAAGTCTGCGAGAAGAAAAAAAGATGGTACTGACCTAGTTATTAGTATTCTGCCAGATGGAAATTGCTGCAAAAACCCCACACCGCCCAATGCGTGTCGCCCCACCTGGAACTACAATGTTGAAACTGTAATCCCTACCCTGAAGTTAAAAGTGCAGCATCACACAGTGAAAAATCGTAGGGGCCTACCTTTGTAATAGTAACGGTCCCTAAGTAGGAGTCATACAAACTATTTATACATTGATACATGCTCAAGGTTAAGGTCTGGTTACATGAGAAATTTTTTCACTCATTGTGCGCCGCTAAGGAATTTGTTGGTACTTACACAATGTTTTACCCATGAAGGACAAGACGACGAGAATACGAGGTGCTCCCTCGCGTGCGCCGTTTGGGTCACGTTGTCTCCTACATTACCCAAACACCCATTTGCCTTTCTCTTATTTTGAATAAATTCATGTGTCATACGTCGAGGTGCGAGAAAGACGATTGATTGCCTTGGTTACGCTGCGCAAGCTCTTGTCAAGGGTAACAAGACGAAGCTATTCAAACATATTGTCTAGTGGTGAGAACAATGGCTGCTTAACAAGGCTTTTGTGAGCAAGCTCAAGAATCTGATATTATTTGCAGTCACGTAGCATAAAGGCACAGCTCTTTCAGTTATAACCAGAAAGTTGCTGAATAAATTGCACGTGTTAGCGCGCCACAGTGGACGATCTGACCGCTGGAGCACCGCCATACAGTGGAGACTTCACTGAAGTTGCTGCAGAACCTTTGCTATTCTATTGGCGACAATCAGAAGCTTCAACGTTGCCAAAGGAGTAAGATCCAGATGTGGCTAGCTTCTAGTTATGTAGCGGCGATAAACGTCAGCCATTCGCAAACAGCCGATCGCGAGACTGGCCGTCGCTTTGCCTTTTCGCTGTTTTCTCACCAGAGCTCAAAAATCATCGTTGTGGCCAGAAAAACACGTTCGCCCCAGGGCGTCACGATAGCTGCTCTTCATCGCTCGCAAATATGAAGCACCCGGGCACGATCCTCGGCCAATTGGCCTCCAAGGGCATCCGCCCGACCGTCGTCAGCCGGGCTGGCTTCTCGGCCCTGCAGCCAAGACTCGGCAACGGCCTCTTCACGGCGGCCAAGCAGCGGCAGCGACGCCGCGTGTCCGCCACCACCTCCGTCGTCGCGGGAGGCTTCCTGACCTGGCTGCTCTACCCCACCGATGACTTTCGGCGGCTGTCCGCCGGCCAACAGGGACAGACCAAACCTGTGCACACCTCGGCCGGCAGCAAGCCCGACGACAGCGTCCCTACTACGGAAACGCCGCAAGGGGATGCCGAGGCCGGCGAGCCGGTAGAGGAGACAGCCTGGAGCCACTTTACAAAAGGGCTGGAGGCGCGCTCCGCCGCGGCGGACAAGGAATGGGCCGCCTTTTCCGAGAAGCTCGTCGGCTTCATCCTGCCCGAGTGGTCGAGGCAGATGCCGGGTTTCATCCGCAAGCTGCAGCACGAACTCTCGGACGCGCCCGGCTCGCTCGCCGAGGATCTGTGGGCCGAGGCGCATGATGTCTCCATGAACCCCGAGATCCGGTACACGGCCGAAGTCCGTGTCTCAGATGACCTCTGTCCGGATGAGAAGGAGTTTCTGAATCGCCGCAAGAAGAAGACGAGGGCTGCGCTCGCTAAGTATCTGCATATGGACGAAAATGACATACACCCAGACGACATTCCCACTATTGCCATGTGTGGCTCTGGCGGTGGTCTGCGTGCCCTCATTGCCGGCACTGGTTCTTTCCTCGCGGCCTCTGAAGACGGCCTCTTTGATTGTGCCACGTACACGGCTGGCGTCAGTGGCTCCTGCTGGCTGCAGCTTCTGTATCTGACTTCTTTCAACAAGGGTAGCATTCCTTCACTTCTAGAGCATCTCAAGGCACGCACTTCTACTCACATCGCCTACCCCCCGGTGGCCCTGCAGGCCTTCACGTCCCTTCCAACCTCCCGCCCTCTGCTCAGTGGCGTCATCGAGAAGATTCGTGGCGACAAAAACGCCCATTTTGGCCTGGTTGACATTTACGGCCTGCTGCTTGGTGCAAGGTTCCTCGTCCCCAAGGGCGAACTCGGTGTCAGCGACCGCGACTTCAAAATCTCCAGTCAGCGAGATATCCTCAAGGACGGCGACCGCCCGCTCCCCATCTACACCGCCGTCCGGCACGAGATTCCTGGCTTGGAAGAGGGCAAGGACAAGACCAAGTCTTCCAAGAGCGCTACTACTACGAAAAAGGAGCTCGAAAAGGCTGAGAAGGAGTCCTGGTTCCAATGGTTCGAAATTACCCCGTACGAAGTCTTTTGTGAGGAGATTGGTGCTGGTATTCCCACTTGGGCGCTTGGGCGACGATTCAAAGACGGCAAGGACGTGCCCCTGGAACACGGCTTCCACCTGCCCGAGACTCGCACCCCTCTGATGATGGGTATCTTCGGGAGCGCCTTTTGCGCCACCCTGAGCCACTACTACAAGGAGGTCCAGCCAGTCGTCAAGACGCTGACGGGTTTCAGCACCATCGACCAGATGATATCGGACCAGGACAACGCCCTCGCCAAGGTGCACCCCATCGACCCGGCCATCATCCCCAACTACGCCTACCAGATGTACGGCAAGCTCGCCAAGACGGCCACGCCGAGCATGTACGAGAACGCGCACATCCAGCTCATGGACGCTGGAATGTCCAACAACCTGCCCATCTACCCGCTGCTGCGGCCCGGTCGGGGCGTCGACGTGCTCATCTCGTTTGACGCCTCAGCCGACATCAAGACGGACAACTGGCTGGCCGTTGCCGACGGCTACGCGCGCCAGCGGGGCATCAAGGGCTGGCCCCTCGGCGTCGGCTGGCCTCAGGACGGTGGAGACCACACCGTCAACGAGATCAAGGCCGCCGAGGCGCACTCCGCCGCCCAGGCCGATGCCAAGATTGCGCAGGCCAAGGCGGACCAGAAGCAAGAGGCGCGGAGCGGCGGCGGCGGCGACCTCGGCTACTGCACCGTCTGGATCGGCACAACCGAGGAGCGCACGACCACGGAGGAGCCGCCCGCGACGCAGCCCGTCTCCGAGTCGGAGCACTGGCGGCTGACGGATCCCAACGCGGGGCTCGCCGTCGTCTACGTGCCCTTCCTGCCCAACGACAAGGTACCCGGCGTATCACCGGCCGAGAGCGACTTCATGAGCACCTGGAACTTCATCTACACACCGGAAAACATCGAGGACGTGGTGCGCCTCGCGCGCGCCAACTACGACGAAGGCAAGGCGCAGATCCGAAACACGGTGCGGGCGGTGTACGAGCGGAAGAAGCAGCTGCGCTTGAAGAAGGAGAAGGAGCTGAAGGAGCGGGGAAAGTAAAGGTAAGATAAATATAGACAATAGCGACAAGGGGAAAAAGGGCACATAATATCTCGCTCGGCGCTGTGGTTCCTGGAAGTAGCTCCTGAAGGAGCAAGGAATAACAAAAAGACGCGGCAACATAATTACAGATAGGTACGAGTTGGACATCTTGATTGCAATATTGTATTGCGTTCCCTATGTGTAAAAGTTTCAAGATATATTTCTTTATTTTACAGATGTAGATTTAAAAAAAGAGAGTTGTACAAGTGGGCAGTTGCTTTTCTTGCCCAAAAGAACCCCACGTCTCATCGTGCTGGCCACTTCTCAGCGTTGTCTATAGCATTCCTTCACACGGACACCGTCATGTTCATACAAAGAGTTACAGCCTTCCCCCTTCTCCACTATGTAAACCGATTTCGCTGCTTATGAAATGTTTGAGAGGGCGGTCCCGTCTTGATTAGATGATCTCGCCGATATCAATGTGTGGTGCTTTCCAGGGCTTGGCGTCGGGCAGGGTCATGTCACTCGGCACACGGACCTTGTTGCCCGGGCTGTACATGTACCAAGCCTTGAGAGCATTCATCGACGCCACGCGACGGGCCACGTCAAGGCTGGCCCCGGCGCCCTCGCCGAGCTTCTCCTGGCCGCTGTAGATGCCGACGATGAAGACGGGCGTCCGCGAGCGACGACCCGTCTCACTTTCCAGGCGCGCGCGGGGCGGCTCGAAGCCCTCACGAGCGCACAGCATGGCCAGCTCGCGCGTGGGAAGCTGGAACTGGAACATCCGGCTGAGGTCGATATCGCGCGATAGGATGTGGGACTTGACAAACGTCTTGGCGGTATCGGCGCCGGCGTGGGTGTAGATGGCACCGACGACGGCCTCTACGAACGAGGCGTACGCGGCGGCCTGCATCTTGGCCCGGCCGGGCTCGCCCTCGCCGGGCGCCTGGTAGGTGTCGCCAAAGGCATCGTCGAGCACGACGCGGCTGCTCATGCCGCGGCGGTAGTTGTTCCCGCGCTCCGCCTCGGCTCGGACGTAGGCCCAGCGGGAGTTGGGCGCGACAATGGGGTCGGGCTGCCATTGCAGCAGGCCCGGGTCGACCTCCTCGCCGGGGGCGGCGGCAGCGTCTACGCCCCAGCGGCGCGCGACCTGCTCGAGGGACTCGCGGCCGGCAAAGGCCCGCAGCGCCTCGTAGAGGATGGCGATGGGCAGCCGCGGCCACTTGCAGACGAGGTACTCGAGGACGTGGTAGTTGACGATGGACCGGCCCAACTCCGCGAGGCTGCCGTTGTTGAAGCTTTGGTTGCCGTCCGCTGAGGGCGTCACCAGCGCACGGGCTATTGTCTGCAGCGGGATCGATTTGGGCAGCGCCAGGCGGGCGTGCAGCGCGGCGAGCTTGGCCGACTCGAGAGCTCGGGCAGGGGGCGGCGAGGGAAGAGGATCGTGGCGGGAGAGGGTGCCCTCGAGGGGGATGTCGTCTGTGAGGTTGGGTATACCGGTAGTTGCTGTCGTCGATTGGCAGCGTGCGGATATACAAAGGGCTTGCCGTCTAGGTGCGGCGGCAACTCCTTGACGAGCAACGAGGCGCATGTGGCCGCTCCATTGTGACACCCGTAACCTCTTCATCTGCTCGAGCCCAGAAAACTATTAAGAGATAAAATGGCGATTGGAAAAGATCTGCCGAGGAGCAAAGTAATGCCCCGAGACTTTGTGGTAGCAGCAGCCGGTTATGTGGACGGAATTGAAGGAATGGCGGTTTGAAGTCGTGTCGTGGTTATTATACAAGGGTTCGCGGGAAAAGTTCTGCTGGAGTCGTGTGAGCTTGGAATTTGGGGGCAACCTGCGTTTGCAGGTGCTAATTTGCTGCAACAAGGTAGCCGGCGCCGGATTAACCTTGACCCCGCCGCAGCGGCCTAGCGCCCTGCTTGTCCTCGATTACCAACAGGAAGCCCATCCAAAACGACGCAACTGCGCATTCGAATACCAAGCACAACGCACGTCCATTGACAATTGATTGAAAATGGTGAGTCTACAGTTCAATCATGGCATTGGGAGACGAAAGTGGCTAACAGCGGCATAGGGTGGCGGTGGAAAGATTCCGTAAGTTTGTCGCGAATCGATCTCGAGAAACTCGTTTATCCCCGACCGATTGCGCTAGACGACGGCGGCGAAGGAAGATGAGAAACGGCGAATATAGAGCTAATCACCCACGAATTATAGCTACCCCAAGCACGTCTGGTCGCCGGCCGGTGGTTGGTATGCGCAGCCTGCCAACTGGAGGGGCAACACCCTGATTGCTGGCGCCGTCATCTTTGGCATTGTCGCCGTCACCTGGAAGTTTGGCGCCGACCGCGAGAAATGGGCGCACAAACCCCAACCCGGCGAGTGGTATCCTAGCAGACGGTACGTAGAATCCCCCTATGACGGAGACGAATGGGACAGGTGTTTGAGGGCCAGTCATCGCTGGAAGACATTGAGGAAGCATGCTAACTTGGAATCTCCATAGCTGGTCGAAGCAGTTGATTCAGTGGGACAAGGAGGAGAAAGAGTCTGAGCAGAACAAGACGCAATAACTGCATACAAATGTGTACGATGGTGAAGTGAGCGGGAGTGATTTGACATGTACATAAACACATACGGTGGAGAAATCGTATCAAAGTCTTCTTTGTCAATCATCCGTGCGGATGGTCAAAATCTTCCAGCTGCCTAGGATGTGAGGCGATCGCATGGTGATGGTGCGAGGGGCGGTTGCCTGGGTTGTAGGGCGCGTTGCTATCTGCGAACACGACCTTTGCCACGACGGGTACTCGTTTCATCCGGCGCTCAGAGAAGCAGCGTAATGTTTCTATTAGTGCTGTGTGTGACCCTTTCCGTTGGCTTTGGCCGTGTCTGCTGTATTACCATGTTGGGTCAGTACTCCGTGTGAATTGCAGCTTTGGGCCAGAGGTAAAAAAAGGTGGGGTTTCTCAGAATGTAATATTGCGTGCTGGGAGAAAGCAGTACCCTAGTATATAGGAGAAGAGTCGCCGAAATCTGTTTAAATCTTCTTGTAAGGAATTGGAAACTTCTAGTTCCTGGAAAGGTACATCGTCAGGCGCGCCATTACTGCTAGCCCTGGCGGGTACCTCCCTCAATGTCCTCAGCCACAGTACACACCCGCCTCACTCAGTACACCCGCCTCGCCACCATTCGCCGCATGATCCGAATACTAACGTTACTAACGTTAGTTAGGCAGTACCTCAGGTACCTTGCCGTCCAGCGAACATCACTTTTCCAACTACGTCTTGTCCTTCTTCCTTAGTATTGCCCTTTTCTCTTTCCCACCCTTTCTTCATCCTTGGCTTTTGCTTGTACCTCCCTATAATACCCATTTCTTTTTCCTTTCAGCGTTTTCTTTGACGCTGACACCGCGCGACTCACCGCTCTCCGATTTGGGTTTCAATCACGCAAGTGCAGGGTCCCAACAAATACAATACGCATCACACCCCTCCCCTCTTCTACAACATCGCCAACCTTGGTAGAGCCTCTCGGCGCATAAATTTCGTGCAAAATCATACTCGGCTCCCCATATCTCACATTTTTCCGATCGCCCCTTCGCACCGCTTTTGAAGGACACCAAGACAGAAGGCGAGTTCGCTTCAGCCAAGGCGCCGGTCTCGCTCCGCGCCACCATAGCCCGCCTCACATCGTTTGCCACCCCAACCTTTCAGCCTGGCTTCACGCGCGTTCCGCCTCGCTGGTCTCGCTGTTGGCCTCGGCCTGAGCGCCTTCGGTGCGTACCGACGTAGGCAAGACCAGATGGCTTCCGGGGCCCATCATCATCAGCATCTTGATGCGACGAACCGTGACGTTGTATACTGCCACGCCTGCAGCTACGAATGGTATCGGGATGAGTATGGCCTGGAGTGTCCTCGCTGTGAGAGCGACGCTGCAGAAATTGTGAGTGCTGACGCCCTTTGTCTTCCGTCACCCATTTTCTTTGGACCAGAACACCTGTTTGCTGACGCTGTTTGATCGTTGAAATAGGTGAGCTTGGAAAACGATCCTCGACCTACCCACGAAACCGACTCCGATGACTACGACGATTCCGAAGATGATAATTTGGACCATGTTGACGAGACACATAGAGATGTGCATGATGAGCATGAGGAGCATTCTGACCCAGAAATGGCCGACATCGACGAGCACATGGATGCAGAAGGGTTTGGGTATAGCCACTCGACGCAGGTAGGAGAGGATGCAAATCACTATAATGCCCAGCCCGGACCGTCTGTGGAGAGGTTCGCTGATATTCTTACAACTATTGGCATGCCGTTGCGGGCAACAGACGGCAATGGGGAGTTGATGGACCGCCTTCGGGAGGCATCTCGTAATGGCGGCGGGCGTGTTGAGTGGGCCAACGAGACATCCCAGGGCTCTGTGACATTTTATTCATCCAATGGGCCGTTCGTGGCCGGAGAAAACGCGCCGTTGGGCTTCGAACCTTTCTCAGCGTGAGTCGCTTCTCTTCACAAGGCGTGATTCATTTTCAGGTCGACACTAACAATGCCAATGCAACAGACTGTTTTCGACTGCATTTCGAGATTTTGGAGTTCAGCTTACAGGTGAAGCTCTCCAAGCGGCGTCCGAGCAAGGTGGCGGCGAAGGTGTGAACTTAGCGGGAGGTCTTGGAGAAATTCTTAGTCTGCTGAACAGCGGAGTGCACGGGGATGCTGTTTACTCCCAAGAGGCTATGGATCGAATCATTTCCTCGTTAATGGAGGCAAATACGCAATCGAGTGCAGCACCGCCGGCTTCGGAACAAGGATTGGCCAGCCTGTCACGCAGGACCATTGATCAGGATCTGAGAAGCGAAGATGAAAAAGCAGAGTGCCCAATTTGTATTGAAGGCATGAAGGCTGGCGAGGTGGAAGTATCCTTGCCATGCATGCACTCGTTTCATGATGAGTGTGCGGTAGCATGGCTGAAAGAGCACAATACTTGCCCCGTATGTCGCGCGCCGATTGAGGAAAGCACACAAACTGCAGACTCAACAACAAACCAGCAACAGAGCCAGAATGAGAATCAGAACCAACATCGGCGTGGGCAAAGGCATACGCCGACGCCAACAAGTGCTTTGGCCAATGACCGCGGGATGCAGACAGGGACGACCAGAGGCGCGTTTTTCGCACCGCTGGACTTTGGGTTTAGGCGACCATCTGCGGCTCGAACATCGGGATCCTCACGACCACCAAATCAGAGCCAGACACCCCTAACCGAGGCAATGCAACCCCAATCTTCACAGCGAGGCGGGCGTGACAGATCTCGCGGTGCCACAACATCATTCAGCTATGATACCTCACGGCTTCAAAGACGCAGCTCCATGTCACCGACTAGCCCTAGAGCGGCGGTTGGTGAGGAGTCGAGGACCATGAGGGAGCGCAGCCCTTCGCAGAGCGGACGGCGGACAGGCTCCTCGGAGGACGACCAAGCCAACTCAGACGGTAACGCGGGCATGGGATGGCTTAGGGGGCGATTTGTAGGTGGCAACAACCGGCGATAGGATGGATGAGAGAGACACGAGGCGGTGAGCCCATGACGTTTTGACTTTTTGCATTGTACTAGATACCGGCGCTATGATTCGCTTTTTCCCATGATGAGACCAAGACGAGACAAATGATAGGTCTTTTGTACTCTTGTCTCGAACTGCACATGTGACTGGTGGTAGCTGTCGGATTTGCTAGACTTGGTATCTTGTAAACTCTTGTTTCTCGTCACGGATGGTGTCTACTGGAGCTGGAGCGATCGGCGGCTGCGTCCAACTGGGTCGCTGAGCATCCTCACAATTCAAAGTAGCGGATGACGCAGAACACAGCAGAGACGAGGCCAGGAGGTAAGCAGCGTTCTGATGGTGAGATGAACCCTTGGGAGCTTATTATAAGCTAAATTTTAGAAGCCAGAATGACTAGCTCGACACATTGACTTCCGGGACGACGGCGTTGCCGCTCCACCAATGAATAGCGTGCTTTTGGTAAGTTTTTTCCCTTGCTATTGAAGAAGGATGAGATGATTTTGTAGTTTGGTGCTATTATGGGGTTGGCGAGGAACGGGCCTGGACGGGGCGGGTTGAAGTGGGAGGCAAGAGGTACTTGACAAAAGCACCTACAGGGATAAGTTGACTTGCAATAACTACGAATATCAGTAAAAAATTCTGTACCAATGAGTAGGAGAATAATAATGATTTGGCGGGATTGATCTACGGCCACCGGGCCGTAGTGTATTGTCCGAGCCCTGCGGGCCGTCCGGCCCCGGGTGCGGCGGTGCAGTTGCCCAGGGACACGTCAGTGGCTATTCATAGCGCCCCCCGCGATGTCTTTCGCTTCCCGCCCAAGACAAGTTGAAAACTCCGGCTCGGCGCCTAAAAACCCCGATGCCGCAAGCAAGTGCTCGGGCGACAACACGTCCATCTTTTTCCTGCTGCAATTGGGCAGGATGCCAAGATGTTGCCGTCTTAATTCGCGACACCCCAGCACTCCTGTTGGAAGAGTTGATGATTCAGTAGGTGATTTGAAAAAAAAAACGCAGTTGGTATGAGAGAGCTGTTTTGGGACAACCCAATCCGGACCACAAACTGCCAAGACCCCTCCCTCCCTCCCTGTCCCGCCAGCCATCGACCAATATTGGTACGAGAAAGTCAATGTCGTGCCATCACCAGGAATGCGGAACTATAACCAGAGGTCAGAATAAGCTAAATTTTCACTTATCAGGATGTCCGTGTACATGGACTTATAGTATAGAGAGCAGCTCCACTGCTATAGACGATCAGCTCCAGCAAATACTAGTTCGTCCCCAAGTATCAGGTCATGTACTCGAGACCGAACATATGAGTCCCGTGGTGTAACAGGACAAAGGCTAAGGCGCCAAGGACAATGTAGGCGTTGCCTCCGACATCTCGCCATCGCAGTGTTCTAAAGACGCGTATACAGATCAGGGCAGCAGTAGCAGATCCCGAGATGATGACCTAGACAACGTTGACGTTCAGCACGTGGCAGAGCTAAGGACATGCAATTTGTAAGTTGGGGCACCGACGATTAACGCTTTACAAGGAAAGGTCGCAGAAAAAGATGTAGTAGATGCCAGGGATAAAGGTACCCGTCGTGACGATTATAATGCCGAGTAGGTCTATGCGATGCCAGAACTGCTCGACTCGATGCGAGTGCGGGCCGACTAGGTGGTACGCCGCGCTAAAGAGTAAGCAGCACTCGGCCGAGAAGATGCTGAACAGAAGTGTAGTTGGTCCCTAACGCGGCGAGGGCAAGGTGATGCTGCGAAAGCCCGCGCATGACAGCGGCCGCGACGAGGGGTAGGAGCGGCGCGCCGATCAAGTGAGTGTAGACATTGCAGGTCTCATTGTGCAGAAAGGTCAAGCTGGTGAGGATCTCGAGGTAATCCGCCTTTTCGCGACGATAGCCGCTGCGGATGTACTTGTTATCCCGCCGCCATTCGGAGACCTCGTCCCACGTCAAGGTTCGACGTTCGTTCGCGGGTGACACCGCAGAGCGCGAATCCATGGCGAAGCTTGCGGCGGCGTCCCTGGTGTGACGTTTCTTGATTTCTGTTTGCGACATGGTCGTACTGCGTGCAGGCCACAAGTTGTCTTCCAGTGGGTAGAATCTCACGCCAGGTGGCCGCGAGGAATGTGAGTAACCTATGAGAGTCTGGTACGTCAAAGGGGTGAAGCCGTTGGGCGCAAGCGGGCGCCCGGCTTTTCGAGGGAGGCATTTTGGGCGCAAGCTTAGGGGGATGCTGGGACTTGGAGGTTGCACAGACTCTGAATATTCCAACAAATGTGATGGGGAGGATATCGGCCGTCGCAGGGGTTGGTTGGTTAGTACCTTTGGGCCCGTTAAGGCGGCGGTCGCGCCCGCGATGGAGCCATCTCTATCGTGAAAACCTAGTCAACTTCTAGGTTATTCGGCCGTAAGTTCTTTGTTGATTCTAGTCGCTTGAATGGATTTCAGCTTAGACTCAGACTTCCTTATCTAGGGGCGCACCTACTGGCTACGCGCTGGCTGATTGCCACCCGCACGATGTCAAGTTAGCGCCTGTGTAACGTGTAGGTGGAGAGCTGAGATGAATGAGCATCGCACTCAAGTTGCAAACTTATTAGTTAGTAGGCCGATGCTCAAAGACTGGCATTCTGGGCGGCAATGGTGCTACTCAACGCAAGGTCATAGGTATCAAATTTGCATATTTCAACTGCCCAAACAAGGTACTCGCTTCTATGTTCCTTACACATCCTCCATGCCCCTTTTACACCTCAACGATTCTCCCACAACTACGAACCAACAGAACACTCTAGATCGTATTTCCCTGGAATTAGCTATACGCCAGCTACCACAATATATCCACGACTGCGAAAATTGCTGGCCGCCATGGAGCCCAAATCGAACGACGCCTTTCTTCAAGACGACGCAGGTAGGACCATAGCTGAGCACGCTGAGCAATGCAGAGAAGCATTTGACAAATACATGGCCATTCCGCAAACTTCGTACGATCCGACCATTATGGAGGATCAAAGGGCGCGCTTTGTATGCTGGGAGGCAGACATGGATGAATTTAGGACATCCGACGCTTGGTTTTACTACCAGCTCAGATTAAATCTAAGGGTAGTGAAGCGCATACATCGGCACTTGGACTTCATTTTGAGTACACTTACGCGGTGTAAGTCTCTTACTAATCGCAGTAGTCCTGGCTTTGTGGTTTTAGCTAACTAATATACCATCGTTAGTAAATTTGATCAACGAGTCAGCGGAAACCGCGACCGCTAAGAAGCGCCGCCTATTAGAGTCGGGCCGCGCCGAAGCCACCAAGACTGTCGAGTACTCAAGCAATGCAGACACTGGAGGGTATCAAGGCGAAAGCGACGTTTACCTCATCACCTGCACGATTTATGGAACGGTGACGCTACTCCGTCGCTGTTTCAACCAAGTTCGGCGGTCCGCCGAGATTGCAAGGGCAGGCGAGAATGGCCACGTATATATATGGGAGTGTCGAGCTCCATCGCACAAACTCATCACCTTCCAGCACGAGAGCGAGTATCGAAAGCACATCCATACGGAGCACAATATACCCATGTCGCGGGTAGGGACTCTTAGCAGTGCAGTCCGACGGCTACACTCACAGAAAGATTACCGAATGTACGTTCCACGATGATCCCGCAGCTCCTGAGCACGGAGAATCGACTACTCTCCTCGCAAGCGAAACTCGGCAGCTACACGATGCCACCCAAGAAGGAAACTTGTTTCCTTGCGTTGCAAGAAATCTCTTGCGACGGCGACGACAGCACAGAAGGCAAGGATAGCAACCTTTTACCGCGAGATGACGGCCCTTGTAGGCTACAGGCTTCGATGCCAAGTGTACTGGATGACGGGGCTGTAGACCTCGTGGAGGAAGCGGATGATGAAGTTTCTGGAAAAGATTGAGAATATGATAAAAAGGGGACCACCACCACGCCATAAATAAAGCTGAGCCACGTACTACCCAGACTCACGTCATTGGATCGAGTTGACCTGGATGATGTGAAGCCATGGCACTGTGTGCTCCCAATCAACCCGTAGATTTTACCAATCCGGGCCGCCCACATCGGATTACAGGGGTGTTACAGGGATGTTGCTGATGATGATGGGCTTCTCGGGGCCACCGGCCGGCCGGGTGGGGCCTGTGGTCCCCCTGTAACTAAAACGACGTACTGTATGTATGTACTATGTAAGCTGCTAAGGTTGGTTAGTACATAGTTATGCGCCACGCAAAGTCCGTCGCCGATGCTGGCTGGGGCTTGACGAAAAGTCCTTTCATTTTATCATTAGCTGCATATTTTTTAACCCTGTTTAAAATTCAGGGCCGTATGTCTATTCTGTTTGCCTGGGATGGGTACGGGTATTCGGCAGAATCCACTCTGCCAGCCCGGACTTGATAACTCGGCCGTGTGCCGGCAAGTTACATACCTACTAATAATGTAGGTACCTACAGTATGTATGTATTGCCATTGCTGACCATTGTGGAAATCGGCCCGCCACTTTGCTCCCAGGAAACTAAACTAACCTACACAGCCGGATATCTAGGGATGTAGTTTGATGTCATCCCGTTTTAGCTCATCGTAACCGGAGTTTACAACGCCCCTGCTTAGCCTCTGTTTGCTGAGCTTAGCTTCTTACCCACCGCCCGTCGTCATGCATGGCTGAGGTTAATTTCTTAGGTGGTATGTGTAAGTTAGAGCTCCAAGTCCGGAATGGTGAGCTTCGCTTCCACATAAAAGCTCGAGGGACCCCTCCGTTGTCTGCGAGCCTGCGCCATTCCTCAGCGACTTGTCAATTTTTTTCTAAATCGATTCTACTTACCTCAATCATCTGATCATCTCTCCTCTATTTGGGTTTTGTGCAATATTGCTCAAGATAGCATCGACTACCTACGCCACATACTGACCATCAACCCCGGCCAGCTATCGGGAGCTCTCTCTGTTTGGTACGTACCCGTACATACAGGTACATACATGCCCCTCACTCCTCTCTCCTACAACCACCAAACACACAACACATGCCGAACAGTTCTTCCTCCTACCACATGTCCGCGACATCAATTCAGCTTCATCGTCCTCATGATTTCAGCCAAACCTCTCTTTTACCAGAATCTCTGGCTATTTTTCCCGAACCGCCACTGTCGCTAACACCATCTTTTCTGCTCCCAGACCCCGTCCCTCTCAAGACCTACGACTTTCACAATGGCCGAGTCCATCCCCATTCCCGAGCCTCCGGGTCTGCCATTCATCGGCAATCTTGGTGAGATGCGCACAAGTCCCATCAACGACTTGAAGCGTCTTGCAGACACATATGGTAAGCGTGCTCGCAGCTCGTTGTGACTTCCCCACGCTCACCTTGGAACGTGTCTTAGGCGAAATCTACCGCCTGCGCCTAGGCGGCAGCTCCTTTTGCGTTGTCAACTCGCGGGAGCTTGTAAACGATGCCTGCGACGAGCGTCGTTTCAAGAAAACCGTCGCCGGTACTTTGGGCAAAGTTCGCGCCGGTGTCCACGACGGCCTCTTTACCGCCGACTCCGAGACTGAGCCAAACTGGGGCAAAGCCCATCGCATTCTCATTCCCGCCTTCGGTCCCCTCTCCATCCGCAACATGTTTGATGAGATGCACGACATTGCCTCCCAGATGGCCATGAAGTTTGCCCGCCATACCGGTGACCGCATCAACGCCTCGGACGACTTCACCCGGCTCGCCCTCGACACAATCGCCCTCTGCGCCATGGACTATCGCTTCAACTCGTACTACCACGAGGAGCTTCACCCCTTCATCCGCGCCATGGGCGATTTCCTCAAAGAAAGTGGCGCCCGTAACCGCCGCCCTGCTTTTGCTCCCCAATTCTTCTACCGCGCCGTCGACGAAAAATACGAACAAGATATCAAGACCATGCGCGACGTCGCCGACGAGGTTGTTGCCAACCGCAAGAAGAACCCCAGCAACCGGAAGGACCTGCTCACAGCCATGCTTGATGGAAAGGATCCCCAAGATGGCCAGAGACTTACTGATGCGAGCATCACTGACCAGCTCATTACGTTTCTCATTGCCGGCCATGAAACCACCTCGGGAATGCTTTCATTCACCTTCTATCAGCTACTAAAGCATCCTTCCGAGTACCGAAAGGTGCGAGAAGAAGTTGACGCAGTCGTGGGCAGAGAGCGCATCACTGTTGAGCACATCTCCAAGCTCACCTACACCCAGGCGGTACGTGTCCTTGCCCGGTACCCGTCCGTTGTCTGTTTTTGAGCCTTCCACTAATACCTTGTCTAGGTCCTTCGCGAAGTCTTGCGTCTCAATGCCCCTATCCCAGCCTTCAGTGTTGAAGCAAAGGAGGACACTCTACTTGGTGGCAAATATTTCATCCCCAAGGAACACCGCCTTACTCTGCTCCTCGCCAAGTCCCATCTCGATCCTGCAGTCTATGGCGACGACGCCAGCGACTTTAAGCCTGAACGCATGCTTGACGACAGTTTTGCCCGTCTCAACAAGGAATTTCCCAACGCCTGGAAGCCATTCGGTAACGGAAAGCGCGCCTGCATCGGCAGACCCTTTGCTTGGCAAGAGGCTGTCCTTGCCATGGCTATTCTGTTCCAAAACTTCAACTTCACCTTGGATGATCCCAACTACACTTTGGAAATGCAAGAAACTCTCACAGTCAAGCCCCATAACTTCTACATGCGTGCGAGCCTTCGCCATGGAATGACTGCTACCGAGCTTGAGGACCAGCTGAAGGGTAATTCCCCTCACTCGAAGCCAACCAAGACGGCAGAATCCTCAAACGGTGCTGCCACCGCTACCAATGGCAAACCGATGTCGGTATTTTATGGCTCAAACAGCGGCACTTGTGAAGCCTTAGCCCAGAGAGTCGCTGCTGATGCTGGGTCCCATGGCTTCGCGGTAACCGAGATTGGCCCTCTGGACAATGTCAAAGACAAGCTCCCAACGGATCGCCCTGTGGTTATTGTGACTGCTTCATACGAAGGCGAACCACCATCTAATGCTGCCCACTTTGTTGACTGGCTCAGAAGCCTAAAAGGCAATGAATTACAGAATGTATCATACGCCGTTTTCGGCTGTGGTCATCATGATTGGGCCCAGACATTCCACAAGATTCCCAAGCTCGTTGACGCCACCATGGCCGAGCGCGGTGCTGACCGCATCCTCCCCATGACGGGTACCGATGCCGCTGATCGCGACATGTTCAGCGATTTCGAGACCTGGGAGGATGAAAGCCTGTGGCCGGCCCTGAAGAAGAAGTACGGAGCGAAAGACACCGAAGATGGTAAAGGCACTTCTGGCCTCAAGGTCGAGATTACTCACCCTCGCAAGACGACTCTTCGCCAGGATGTCGAAGAGGCTGCCGTTATCGAGACCAAGGTACTCACAAAGGGGGAACAGGCTGTCAAGAAACACATTGAAATCCGGCTCCCCACTGGAATGAGCTACAAAGCTGGTGATTACTTGGCTGTTCTGCCATTCAACCCGGCAGCCACTGTTGGTCGTGTGTTCCGTCGCTTCTCCCTGAGCTGGGATGCGACTTTCACCATTACCGCGAACGGGCCAACCACGCTGCCTACTGGCGTTCCGATCTCCGCCACCAATGTCCTTGGGGCATACGTCGAGCTTAGCCAGCCTGCCACGAAGAGAAGCATCCAGGCCATGATTGATGCAACCGAGGATGAAAAGACGGTGGCTGAGCTCAAGAGCCTAATTGGAGACAAGTTCTCGGAGGAAGTCACCGCTAAGCGACGCTCTGCTCTTGACCTCCTGGAGAAGTTCCCTGCTGTCGGTCTGCTCTTCGAAACGTTCCTTGCCATGCTGCCTCCAATGCGCGTTCGCCAATACTCCATCTCGTCGTCTCCTCTTGTTGACCCTACAAGGGTCACACTGACATACTCTCTCCTCGACGTACCAGCCCACTCCGGCCAAGGCCAGCACGTCGGTGTTGCTAGCCACTACCTGGCTTCTCTCCGAGAAGGCGACAAGATCCACGTCGCCATCAGGCCGTCCGCCGCGTTCCATCTACCCGCCGATGCCGAAAAGACGCCCATTATCTGCATGGCAGCCGGCACCGGCCTGGCCCCCTTCCGCGGCTTTGCCGAGGAGCGCGCCGCCATGATCACCGCCGGCCGCAAGCTCGCCCCCGCCGTGCTCTTCTTTGGCTGCCGCTCCCCGGACAGTGACGACCTGTACGCCGAGCAATTCACCGAGTGGCAAAATATGGGCGCCATTGACGTGCGCCGCGCGTACTCGCGCGCCACGGACAAGTCGGACGGCTGCAAGTACGTGCAGGACCGCATCTCCAAGGACCGCGAGGAGATCTTTGACTTGTGGGACCAGGGTGCCCGTCTGTATCTCTGCGGCAGCCGGGCCGTGGGAAAGGGGATCGAGGATATTTGCGTGGACATGGTCAAGGAGAGCGGACAACGGAACAAGTCGCGGAACGTCACTGACGAGGCTGCTCGTGCTTGGCTCGATAAGATGCGCAATGAGCGCTTCATGGCCGATGTCTTTGATTGAGCCGAGCTGGTCAAGGATAATTTGGGATATGAAATGTAATGAAATTTGAGAAATACTGAATACCAAAATGATTAGCTTTTTAATTATGCGTCCGTTAACGTATAAGGGAATGAAAGATGCCGGCTATATAATGTCAGTAACATCAGTGCAGCTTGGTTCTGTATCGGTTCTTGAACTGTGCATTCAGTATCAGGGCTTGTCGCCGCCTACTTTCAGTAACACAGTAACTACATGCTCGCACTAAAGAGGTGCATTCATTACGTTAAGAGAATTATTGTGTCCAAAAAAGTATGCTATTGGTATCATTCCTAACCACCGCTTCATACTAAAAATCCATTTCGCGTCATCATTACCCAAAGTCAAAGAAGGAGAGAGAGCCATGTGATGAACCTCATCGATCCGACAAAAATCGTATGGAAGAAAAGACATGTCCGCCACAACGTGAGTGTATATGCCAAGCTATACAAGAAAAAGGAAAAGGAAAAGGAAAAGGAAAAGGAAAAGGAAAAGGAAAAGGAAAAGGGGAAGGGGAATGGTATCTATTTTATTTCTTGTTTCTCTCTTGACTGTTTTTCTTTCTTTTAATCTTGGAAGAACTTGATAATCTCACGCAGGTCGCGCAGGCCGACACCATGCTTAGGGTAGCAAATGTAGACGGACTCGCCGAGGGCGCCAAACTTGTTGCGAAAGGTGGCCTTGCGGCGGAGGCCGAGGCTCTCGACGATGGAGCTGTAGGTGGTGGCGAGGAAGCGGGCGCGGATGCCGTGGAGGTGCTCGCCAGCAGTGAGCTTCTGGGAGACACCGGCACCAAATGTGACCTGGCCCGAGACGCTGGAAAGGGAGAGGCTGATGAGAACCTCGATGGCTCCGTTGACGGCACCGGGGAAGTCGAGCGCCCACTTGACCTGCCAGCCGTGCTTGGGCGACAACTTGGCGAGGACAACCATGGCCTGGACCTTGCCGTCCTTCTCGGCAGCGAAGTAGCGGCGATGCTCCTTGTCCACCCATGGGCGGACCTCAGTGAGGTGAACCTGCTTGCCCTTGCGGTTGGCCTTCCAGGCCTCAATGGCGGGATCTGCACGGCGAATGAAGTCATCGTCGGCCTTGACCTCATGGACCTTGACACCTTCGCGCTCGACGCGGCGAGCCTTGGGACCGTCGTTGGCGGCGGCGATCTTGTCGGCGTTGACACGCTGCTCCTCGGTGCAAGAGAGAGTGCGCCAGCCCATTTCGCGACCGAGAATCTTCTGTACCTCGTATGATACGAGCATCCAGATGGGAACGAGGTGGAGCTCAGTTGTGACGTACTTGATGAAAGCAGCGGTAATGGTCTTGTACTGTGATGCGTCGCAAAGAGGGTCGCCAGTGACCATGGCGAACTTGCCCTGTCTTACATAACCAATGGCTGCACCGGTGCTGTGTCTCCAAATGATAAATCGCTCGTCAAGCCATGACGTGTTGGAAGCATCACCGTAGTTGGCAATGAGCTTCTCGACGGATGGGGGCGCCTCAAGCGTCTTGGTGGTATCGGCATCTGGGTGTGGTAGGGAGGTCTGCTTGCGCTCAGGGAGGGACTTGGGATCACGGTGGAACAAGGATGCGTACCGAACATCACCAAGCTCAAGCATCCAAGCAACGATTCTCTCCAAGCCGAGGCCAGCGCCGGCGTGAGGCGGTGCACCTAGGTCGAAAGCAGTGAGGTAGTCTTCCATGCCGTCCTCAGTAATGCCAGCAGCAGCCAAGTTGGTTCGAAGTTCCTGAGCGTCATGAATACGCTGGCCGCCAGAGCAGATTTCTTGGCCACGGATGAAAATGTCAAACGAGTTGGTCCAGAACGGGTCGTCGGGGTCCTTGTGGGTATAGAATGGGCGTGCATTGGCAGGGAACTTGTCGAGAATGTAGTAGTCGGTGCCGAATTTCTCACGGACAAGCTCGCCGAGACGCATCTCGTCGGGAGTGGATAGATCCTCTTCCTCGACCTGGCGGCCGTCGTCGCGGAGCATCTTGATACCCTCGCGGAAGTCTAGAACCAGGGTCTCGTCGAGATACTTGAATTCCTTGCTCGGCCAGCGCTTTTGCACGACTGCGACTTCGGGCATGGAGTATACAGCTTTGAAGACGGACTTGAGAAACTCGTCGAGGACGTCGATGACTTCGTGGTAATCGTGCTCAATGGCCATTTCAATGTCAAGGCCTGTGTATTCCGTCAAGTGGCGATGGGTGTTGGAATTTTCAGCGCGAAAGACTGGGCCGACTTCGAAGACACGGCCAAAGTCACCGGAGACGGCCATTTGCTTGGCCAGCTGAGGACTTTGCGCCAAGAAGGCGTTGCGACCAAAGTAATTGACCTTGAAGACTGCGGCACCGCTTTCGGTGGCGGCGGGTTGCAGCTTGGGGGTGTTGATCTCAACAAACCCTTGACTTTCAAGTGTTTCTCTGAACTTGGAGGTGACCATGGAGCGGATGCGGAAGAGGGCGTGGTTGGCGGGATGTCTCAAGTCGAGGATACGAGCTGACATGCGGTTGCGCAGAGACTCGGGGGGCTTATAGTTGCTGAAGGGCGCGTTCTGGGCGGCGGTAACGAGGAACAGAGCTTGTATCTCAACCTCGACGTTTTGGATGGTGGCAGAGCGAACGGGCTCGGGAGGTGCCTTGAGGGTGCCGTGGACCTGTATGAGGGACTCTGGGTGAAGCTTTTGCACCCAGCCAACCATGTCCATGTTGTCGCGAGTGAGCAGACCCTGGACGGACTGTGTCTGATCACGGAGCAGGAGAAAGTCGAGGGCCTTTGAGAGTTGGCGCTGGGTGTGAATTCGGGCTCTGAAGTTGACCTCTGTGCCAACAGGAAGAGCGGCGAGTTGGCCGATGGTGTTGAGTTCCCAGGGATGGGTCGGCCAGTCGGCGCTGGAGGTGCTGCGGACGCTATCCATGCTGGAGCGACCCGAGCCCGACGTTTTGCTGAATTCGGAGCCGCCATCGAGACCGGCGAGGATGCGGCGGGTGGCCTCGGAGTGGACAGCAGTGCGAGAGGGTGATTGAGCGCGGACCTCGTCGCGGAGGTCCTGGTGTCTCTTGTCGAGGGTCAATTGATCGAGGCTCAGCTTGTCGGTGCTGGGGATGACCATGCTGTGACGTGCGCTGGTGCTGGTTCGAGGGCTGCCACCCTTGTGCATGCCAAAGGCAGAGGACACGGGGCTGACGACGCCCGAGTTGTGGTTGCTGTTGTTGCCATTGCCGTTGCTGTCGGCCATGATGAAGAGGGGTTGTGGGGGAGCAATGAGAGGAGGGGG